ATACATACATACATACATACAGTACTTTCCAAGCAATTAGTCTCGCATCTCCAGCTCCAGATCAAGCTCCATCGAGCATCTTTTAAACCCCATTTGCGCCTACGACCACGACACCACCACCACCACCCACTACACACACCACAGCACAATGCTCACCCGCCGCACAACCCTCCTCACGGCCCTCCTCGTCGCCAGCACCTTCGTCCTCTTCCTGAACGTTGATTTTTTGTCAAAATACGCGGGGTCACCACTTGCTGTGCCTGTTGCGCCTGGGGGGTTCCCCGCGGGGGCGCCTGGGGGGGAGGGACTGGGAGATGGGGGATGGCCGGCGGCGCCGGAGAGGCCGCAGGTATTTGGTGATGGGGGGTTGGCTGTTGTTAATGATAAGGATGGTGGGTTGGGGGGGTTGAATGGGGATGGCGGTCTTGGTGGTTTGGGAGGGGATAAGGATGCGGGTTTTGGGGGGGACAATAAGAACGCTGGTCTGGACGGATTTGGGGGAAACAAGGACAGTGGTCTTGACGGCCTGGGGGGAGATAATAAGAACGCTGGTCTGGACGGCCTCGGTGGCCTCGGTGGCCTAGATGGCAACAACGAGAGCAAAGAAGCTGGCAACACCGCGCCAATTGACTTCCCACCCTCAAACACCGATAGCACCACCATCGCCGTCCCTCCCGCCATCCTCCCAGAAACCACCACCACCAACACCAACCCCAATACCAACCCAGCACCCACCAACGCCGACGGCTCTCCAAAAAACACCTACTTCGACCAAGCCTTCTCGGCCTCCCCCCCCACGCCCTACGACTTCCCCGCCCTCACAGCGCAATGCGCACGCACGCACTGGCGCACCGACGACGTCTACCTCCAATGCGGCGGCATGGCCGCTGGCCTCACCTCCATCATGTCTCAAGTCAAAGTGTGCTTAAAAATGGCCTTCGAAGCCGGTACCGGGCTCGTCCTCCCCAGCATGCCGCTGCGCGACTCGGAGCACCTCGAGCAATTCAACCTCATGAACCAGGATGCGTATATGACGTACGACCAGTGGTTCGATGTTGCGCACCTCATGGACTCCGTCAAGCGCGTGTGTCCGCAGATGAAGATCGTGCACCCGGCGCAGCTTGATACGGCGGAGTACCCCGTGAAGAATAAGTGGCTTATCAAGCTCGAGGATGCGAAGGGGTATAGGCAGTTCCAGAGCTATTTCTGGACTGGGCGGCCGTTCGCGACGTTCTTCGATGAGCAGTATACTAAACTCACGCAGCTGGATAAGTTGAATCCGCATAACAAGGCTGCTGTGGAGCAGGGGGCGCCGGCGAAGAAGGGGATGACTGTCGTGAAGATGTCGAGTAACTTCCTCCTTTTCCGCATTACCGACGACCCGACGGGACAGGATCTGAAACTCTGGAACGACCTGGGCCATCTGATCCGCTTCACGCAACCGACGCGCGATCTCGTCTCCGCGCTCCTCGGCCACGTATCACGCCCGTTCTACGGCGTGCATTTCCGCGTCGAGAAGGACACGATCTGGTCCTCGCTCGAGAACCAGCTCAAGGTCGACCTTGACGCGCTGGATAAGGCGTGGGGGATGTTTGGCACCCCCGGCGGGGAGAAGCCGCTCGTCTACCTTGCGTGCGGGGACCAGGAGCAGGTTGCTAAGTTTGTGGAGGCGGGTAAGGCGCGCGGGTGGGAGGTGACGCATAAATGGACGCTTGCTGGGGGGGATAAGACGACGCTTGAGAAGATTGATGCGCTGCCGTTTGATTTTCAGGGGGCGGTGGATATGGGGTTTATGGTTAAGAGTGAGTTCTTCTTGGGGATTACGGGGAGTGCGTTTTCGAGCACGATTGGGAATGCGAGGGATGTTACGGGGAGGTATAGGGGGAGTTCGTTGTTGTTGGGGAAGGGTGGGGATGGGGGGGCGAGGACGCATTTGTTTAATGATGGGGATGCGAGTCTTTATGCTTGTTGTTTGTGAGGTGGGGGGTGAATGTGGTTTGTGAGATTTTGGGTTGGAGTTTTGGGAGTTTTAAACGAAAGGCTGGAGGCTTGAGTTTTGGGGGTGGGTGGGGGTTATTTTTTTGCGTAAAGCAGGGTGTATATATTATAAATTTAGATTCTATATAGATGAGGTGCAAGACATTGAGGATGTTATGAGTTTAAATTTCTTCGTTGTGATTATAAATCTGTTTTGTAAACCTCAATATCGTATTTCCATTCATATTCCACAAAAACAAACCACCAGTTTCCGAACAATCCACAAGTTCAAAATCTTCCATTTCCGTAATATATAATCTATAGCATTCCATCATCCTATTTCTCTATTGTGAACGCCCAAGACCGACCTGGACCTCCATGGAGACCACCCATGCCGCTATGTCATAAAATGATCATGGTGCGTGATGTCTGGCTTCGGATCTGTCATCTAGTTGGTGAAGGTCTGGGAATTATGCACTGCCGTCACTAGTTTTGAGTTCTGATGCATCATTTGAGGTGTTTTGTAGATTGATCTGTAGAACAAGATGAATAAAGCGTGTCCTGCTGTGTCGTTGCTGTGAAAACTCCCCATGCACGTTAAAGCCACAATCCCCATCCACGTCAACGCTCAACACAGTGGCAGTGAAAGAGTTATCCTGCCCTCAGAACCACAACCGTCAAAACCACACAAAAGAAACCCCCAAGAACCGTCAAAACAAACAGAGACTACAATCACAATTCACAAGAACCGACATTTCAATTTCAAATTTTCCATTTCCTATTCTAGAGTACGACACAGTGTGGAGGCTTGATTAACACACCATGCCCCCCTGATCGGAAACCAGCGAGCAAACACGCCATCACCAGAGTCTGAAAACCATCCCAAACACCCTCCCATGATATTTGCCCACTAACACCCAGTACCAGGCGCCATCACGAAATGAAGAAGTTGAAAGTCCGATACCAGCCCATCCGAAACACCACGCCAGGCACTCATGCCGACAAACAAACAAACGAAACAAAAGAAGAACAATACCCATAGGCGGGCAAGTCTTCATCCAGACCCACGCGCATCCCAAAGGAGGAGAAGCACGGGAAAAGAAGGATCTGGATACGAAGTGAACATAAGATATATTGGCAGACCGGCAGCTCGGAGCTGCACCCGCATCGCGTCGAACCCGGGTAGTAAGGGGGTTTGAAAGGAGACACGGGGGCCTGAAAAAAAAAGTAACAATCGAAGACATACGGAAGAACACCGACGCTAGATACGTGAACTCGAAGTAATGAGTTAGGCATGTGGAGGTCGGATCAAAGGACCACACACGAGGAACACTATCTTTGCCATGGACATGCTTTGTTGGAATCTGAACAGTCGAGAAAATACCGGAGTGAAACAAGATGCGGCACGAATAGAGTGAGTGCGTGGTCGAGCTGGCAGCTTAGTTGTTGCTGCTGCTACCCGTGGATCTAGCCTGCTGCTGCGAAATCATAAGCGCCTTGCGACGACGCTCGTATTCCTCAATGTCTGCAGCCATGTAGTTATAGGTGATGGGTCCGGGCTCTGGTGAGATTCGGAGCTCCTCGCGCAGACGATGGTAATGCTCCAACTCCTCGGGCTGGATAGGCTTGACAACAGCCTTGCCAGGGCGTTTTGGATCCATGTCATGCAAGTCGTACGGGGATGACTTCTTCTTCTTGTTCTTGCGCGAACGGGAACCTGGGGTTGGGGCACCTTCAACATATGGTGGGATGTTGTTGTGAGGGATCGTGATTGGGAGACCAAAAGCATGATTCCATGGGTTGATGAAGATCTGTTTGAAGACACGTCTGCAGTGGGCGCGCAGATAATTGCATGCATCAGTTGAGATGCCGATGTAGATGCAGGCATTGAAGAAACCCTGAAGAGGCAGAAGAACAGCCTCCGCGATGTTAAGCTCGTACGACACCAAGGCTGGATTAACTAATGTCGCAATGCGGTTGGCGGTGGCCGGGACCTGGTGGTGATTAGTCTTCGTGAATAAATGGGGGGAGGTCAAGATGGTGAGGTGTGAAGGCGGGGAGAAATTGTTCGGAGGAAAGAAATTAGAGGGAAGGGAGGAAGACATACCCAAGTAACGATCATAGCGGTGAAAAACATCAGGGCACACTTGAGATAGACCCAGGCGGCGCGGTCGGCACTGGACACCTCCTTCTTCTCCTTCTTGGCCTTGACCTTGGCAGTGGATTTACCTTTCTTGTATTCCTCGCGCTCGACGGAGTTAGCTGCGTCCGAAGTGACGTTGATATCGGTGGTGACCGCAATATGGCCCTCCTCTAAGACGGAAGGACTGCCAACAATGGAGGCGGCCATAGAAGCTTGGTTCCTGGAGGCTTGGGCGGTTAATTCATTGAAGCGGGCTCGGTTTCGGAAGACAATTCTGCCCACAAGGATGTAAATAGTCATCGTGGAAAGAAGGACAACCCTAGGAAAAGTGTTAGTAAGAGGTGGAAACATCGAGAATGAGAATGGCTGAAATGTGAGGGGAATCAATGTGGGAATAAAACGAAATCTCAGTCAGGGGTTGAAGACCAACAGAATATTATGTGCTCAAGTGACATGGCCGTATAATGAAAAAATAAGTAACATCAACGATTAAATTATCAAAGTAGGATAGGCCCTATCCACAAGTGTATTAAGGTTCGGAAATGTCCAGATCGGGAAGGGAGGAATAGATCAGGGGATGTATAAGTTCGCCAACACAAAATCCGCAATGGTGGGAAAATTCCAAACAGCAAAAAGTGCGCAGTAGGGTCAAAGTCGCCTGTGAATAGATCAAAGGCGAGATTGAACCAAAGCAAGAATAGATCAAGGCGAGAGTGAACAAAAGCAAGAATAGATCAAAGGCGAGAGTAAACCAAACCAAGTTGTGTATCGAAGCCAGAAGCACGTTGAAATGGTGAAGAAAAAGAAAAACAAGACTAAAAGAAATGAGAAATTGTGTCCAAAACTCACCAGACGGGGCCATAGAAGGTGGCAATACGGAGAAAGTTCCATTTGACGGTCACCCAGCACCAGAGCTAAAAAGCTATTAGCCACATAAACGAAGGTGACATGTTTGCTTTGAGAAGAGTATAGATCGAGAAGGAAAGTATGGAAGGGGGGGGTGGGGGAAACTTACTGTAGCATTCCCAAAAACACGACCACGCTCCTCAGTTTGAAGCAGCACAAATACGATTGATGGAATAGCCGGAACTCCATAGTTGAAGACGAGGTAATATTTCTCGAGAGCCAGGAATTCCGTTGGACCATACTGATAGAAGAACGTGAGGAACACATTCAAAGCCATAGAAAACATCCAGAGAGCGTCAGCAGGCATGAACCTAGAAGCAGTGTTAATACAGATGCACGGATTTGAGGTCCGATCTGAGTAGAAGTTTATATTGAAGTAAACTGGGAAGGAGCAATAGAAATGGTAGTAAAGATGAGGTACTCACATTTGGATAATGAAGGCTTGAAACTGGCAGAGCGATGAATTTTGACCAGTCAAGATGCTAGAGCGTGAGATTAGAGTGGCTAAGTTCGTAACGAGGTTGCCAAAGGTAGCGAAGAAGACCAATCTGTTGATCGGCTTGCGGAAGATCTTCATCGAAGAAAACGTTACAATGACGAAAAAACAGCCTAGAATAGAGAACACCGAAGAGATGCGCTCAGCGAGCTGAATATTAGCGAGCTCTTGCTCGGTGAAGTAAAGTTTCTTGGCCATTGTAGCTGAAACAAACTGTATGAGCTGTGAAGATTGAGGTCGGCGAGTTGAATCGTTTGATTTGAGTTGATGAAGATTGATTAAACAGGTGCATCAATGTGTTGATGAATAGAATGAAGTGAGCAAGTGTTGGAAGAGGCAAGAAGTAAAAGGGTGAAGGAAGCAAAGAAGTAAAGTGGGTGAAGGAGATGAAGAAGTGAAGAGGGTAAAGGAGATGAAGAAGTAAAAGAGTAAAGGAGGTCAAAAGGTTGTTGTGGGCGGGAGGAAAGTTTATGATAAACAGAACCGCTGAGAAGGGCGGAAGCGTGTTGTGAACGTTTGGCTCGCCGAGAAAACGAGCGGGCCAGAACTGAACCAAGCCCGTTTCAGTGATTGACAACAAGAAATATGTTTGATTTCTGGATCGGGCAAAGTGCGGTCTGGAGGTGGTTCTTCCTAGTGGAAGCGTTTTCGCCTGGCGCGGAGGAGGGGGGAGGGGGAAGACAGCGGGGGGCGCAGGGGACGCGGCGAGAGCATTAGAGGGGTTGGCACAACGGCAAGAGCGGCGAGAGCGGCATGGCCTTCTTCTTCTTTGTTCTTCGTATCCTTAAGACGAACAATCGTTCGCAGTCATCATGCTGTATATATATATGTATATATCTCTTCTTTGTTCCCTATAGCTTTATACGAGCAATCGTACTCTCGTTCGCTGTCATACCGAATATATATCTGCCTCGCCGTCATAGCCGATAGGAACCTGACCACAGGAGCGAATACAATATAGACGTAACTTCATAAGAGCACCAGCTTCCTAGAGATATCCTGCAGCAGATATTCTCAAGCACGTCTCATCCGTTCTCATTCATTGATCCTCCTGCGACGATCTTCCCATAGCGATCCTAGCCAAGAAATTCCACAACCCCAGAATGACAGAACCCAGGCAAGATCATATCATATTTTGGCTTTCTCGTTCATCCGCTGACAAGGAACAGAAGTTTCACTGCCAAAAGAACAGGGCGCCAGGGGTATCTGAAAAGCCATAACAAAGCACAGGGTCCGAAATATGGTGGCCAGGAACACGGCGTCAGTTAGTTCAGATTCGGCCAGCCTGAGGTAACCGTCACCACCTATCAACCACTTCCTGCCCCAACCTGTTTCCCTTCTACCAATACACCCGTCACCGAAGACATGTCTTGCCTCGGATATGACTAGACCTAATCAGTCTTCATTCTCTGCCAGCCCATGTTCTCTTGCGTCAAGCAGTCTGAGGTAGGGGGGTAGGAGGAGATGGCGATCAGCAGCAGTGGAAGGGATGTCTAGCATTTGACAGCTTGGTCTTGCTTGAACTTGCTTTCCCAAGCGGCCTCTCAAACCAAAAATGGTGAGCCGTGCCGTCTTTGGACTTGCCTAGCTGGCTATGGGTGCGGTGGTGGTGGCGATTTGGTGAAGTGAGGTGACAATGGTGATGTGTACAAATGATTGGGATTCTTGATGCGGCTGGAATCCTCTGGGGCTTCTATGGATAAAGCTGATGCTGCATTCAGGTGTTGATATGGGGCAGCGCGAGTGGCCTTCAGAGATCCCTTCTCATCTACCACATCAGCCATATCTCACCCTCCATGCTGGCATGGGTATGGGTGGATAAATCAGTGGTTCTGGTCCTTGCTTGGTAAATCAGGTGCTGGATGTGCATCTCCTTTGTCTTCATTTTCTCCCTGGAATACAGTTGCTACTGCCATGGGATGGGAACTACCCTGATTACTCCTGAGAAACATCTGTGAGTACTCTGCTCTCTACATATCTCACAGTGTGACTAACATATAGCTGATATACACCCTCCACCTTTACCCATGCAAAGGTCACATCCTGTGAGAAAGCCCAGAGAGTGCGATGAGAGAAAGACAAGACAAACAGTGGTTGTGGGCAAGGAGTAGAGAGACCGGGGAAGCGGGGTGCAGCATGGGGTTGCAGTTGGACAAGTGAAGCTGGTGTGGGGGAAGCAAAGCTAATAGGGGTAAAATAAGGGCAAGGAACGATGGTGGCTGTCAGCACTGGGGACCTGGGAGACAGCAAGGGGCAAGAGCAAACGTCTGCTGTTCCTGGCGCTAGCCAAGAGCAGCTAAAGGCGGGAGCGGGTGGCTGACAGCCGGAGGCAAAGAAGCGGAGCCACGAGCGAAAGAGGAGTGGCAGAACAGTGTGGCCATGTGAGTCTGCATCTGTGGCAGCTATTTGAATTTGAGGGAGAGCAAGGATGGGAGGATGGGAGGATGGGATAGAGGATATACTACAATCCTCTATGGAACATGTAGGAGGGCAAACTACAAATCTTCACGCATTTGAAGTTTCCAGTCCTTGGCTGTGAGGTGAATGGATGGATGTTGAGAGTATGAATGTAGGTAAAGGGAAGGGCAGGAGAGTGACAAAGGTAGCAGAAACACGACGACGATGACAAGGCCCAAGGGATGAGAAGGGATGGTGTGAGGTTTCAAGCAACAAGAGATGGTCCAGAAGAACTGACACTCACATAAACCATCACTCTTCTCTGCTGTATGCAGAGTATAGTGACAGAATCCCACCAAAGGCACATTAATCATTCATCATAATCACTCCATCCCAGAAACACTTGAATACACGGTTTGTGAAACTTCAAACCTCACCTCACCTCACCTCACCCACCATCTCACCCACCATCTCACCCATCCCATACGCTTGCATCCCACATGCACCATCTCTGAGAGACCCGATGAAGCAGAATAACCGTTATTATTAGGCACCACAGCTAGGGATCCCAATAGGTGATGTTGCAGGGTGCCGTTGGGATTCTCTGTCTTCAGTCGAGACAACCAGCATCATCGACGTTGAAGCAAAGTGGTGCACGGACCACCGTCGCGTCTCCCCTCACAACCTTTGGAAATAGCGCGACGAGCTCCAAATTGACGTCTCTCCCAGCCAACATCTCGACCCACAATGGCCGATAATATGGACGACGAGACGCGCGAGGTAAGATACCAGTATCCCCACATTATGTGGCTGAAGTATTAACGCACCCGCAGCGCCTCAAGGCCGCCCTCTGGTTCTCCATCGGCAAAATCGTCGATGCCGAGACCCTCCGCCTCGGCGTAAACGCAACCCCCCAGTTTATCGGTGCCCTGACGGAGATGGTGTGGGCGCAGATTGGTAAGCTACTTTAAGATACGCATCACGGGCACGGGGCGAATTGTGCTGACAACTCCTCCCCAGAAAGCGTGTCCCAGGACCTCGAGAGCTTTGCGAAGCACGCTGGTCGCTCGACGGTCACCACGGATGATGTGCTGCTTGTTACGAGGCGGAACGATGCCCTGCATGATATTATGAAGGAGTTTATTGATAAGGAGAAGGCGGCGAGTGGGAAGGGGAAGAGGAGGCAGTGAGGTCGTTCATCGCGTGCGTGGGGGAGAGGCGTTTGCGGCGTTTGAGGGTTTACGGGAGATACACAACCATGCTTGCTCTGCAGGCTGTGCACACGATATAGGACGAATAAATGACAATAATCTATATATGAGAGCCCTTCGATTGGGAATGGAGTTTAATCTTCGAGAACCTGGGCCGCGTCAATTATGGATCCGAAATCCCGGACCACCGAAAGGGGATCGTTGGCGGCGCCGTACTTCTCGACTAGGAACATTTCCAACTGACCTTGAAGAAACCTCCCTCTGCACACGGTCTTCCACCTAACGTCAAGGTGGACCTTCTTTAAGAAACAACAAAAAAATAAGGATATTTTCGGGATTTTTGGGGTTCTTTTCCTTGGTTAAGGTGGGAGTTTGGAGGTGAACTTGGAGTGCTGGTGATGATCTGGCGGGTTGTCTAGGTCAGGGTTTTTTAAAAACCCAGCCACTTCTGGAACAGTCTTCTACTAAGGCTCATTCAATGTGAAGAGCACGGATGATACTTTCCTCGAACTTCCTGGTTGGACAAAAGGTGTTGTGTGGGTGAATGGTGTTATTATTGGTTGTTACTAGACTGTTGGTCCTCAGCAGCAGCTAAATCTTCCAGGCGACTACCTGAAGAAACGGAATAGTGAGACTACCGTGCTGGTTTTGGAGCCGAATGGGAATCAAGCTCCGGCTAAGGGGATACAGGTGCGGAGTTGGAGTAATAATCCTGATCCTGATGCTCTGTGATGATCATGGGCGGGTACGGTTATAATAGTCTTAAAAAAAAGATCTATTCATCATCCTGGGAGTTTGAATTTGAGATATACAAACTTGATCAAGATTTTGATGCTACCGCCCCCTAACTAATAACACAAACCACCTTCCCCTTAGTCCCATTGCCCTCCAGCAACTCATGCGCCTTAATCACATCCTTCCAATCAAATACCTTCTCAATCTTAACCTCCAAATCCCCCTTCGCAAACGCCTCCAAGTAACCCTCCAACTTCCCCGTCAGCTGCGACTGATACTTCTCATCACGGCTTCTCAAACTGCTTCCCTCGTATCTAAGCCTCTTCGCCAGGAACAAGCCGATGTTCGTTTCAGCTGGCAGGTTGACGCCGCCCATAAGTCCCAGGTTCGCGATGCGGCCATCCTTTGCCGCTGCCTTCAGGTTATCCGCAAATGTCGAGGCGCCCATAAAGTCCACGATGACATCAATCCCCTTCCCTCCAGTGGCCTTCTGTGCCTCTTCTCCCCAGCCCTTCTGCGTGGTGTCGAAGCCACCAGCGGCGCCAAATGTGTCGACGCACCACTTGACCTTCTCCGGTGTGCGCGAAGTAACGTAGACGGCGGATGCACCAGCGAGTTTGGACAGCTGCATGCCAGCAATCGAGACGGAGGAAGCGCCGGCGTGCCAGAGGACGCTGTCCCCAGGCTTGAAGGCGCCGATCAGGTGGAGGGCTTGTGTGGCAGTCATGAAGGTCTCTGGGATTGCAGCAGCGGTCACCCAGCTTAGTGTGCTAGGCTTGTGGAGGAGAGTCGCAGCGGAGACGGTGATGAATTCGGCGTAGGCGCCTGGGAGGGGTTAGTATGTGTATCAACCTCGAGTGGGCAGTGGGTGGGAGACACACCTCCATACGCGAGTCCAAACACCTCATCTCCAACCTTGAACTTCCCCTTCTGTGCTTCGGCACCTAGCTCCTCTACGACGCCGCTGAACTCGACGCCGAGGATCAAGCTGATGTTCGGGGGTAGTGGGTATTTGCCCTCTCGCTGGAGGAGGTCCATGCGGTTCAGCCCGAAGGCCTTGACGCGCACGAGGGCCTCGGTGGGCTTGGGCAAAGGTTTGGGGACAGAGGAGTTGAGAAAGAGAGCGGAGGCAGGACCTTTGCCATTTTTGATGTCTGGGGAAGGGGTTAGTGGGGTGAGATGAGGGGAAGGAGAGGGGATGCGGGGTACCGATTGCGCGCATTGTAGCCATGATGGGCAGTGGTTTGGCTGTTTCTGGCTGGAGTTGGTGGATAAAGTGATTATAGAGGGGAATTAACGAGAACAATCAATTTGAGGGACAATTTTTTTATTGTAGATGTATTTGAAAGTCGAATTTGAAAGATGGATTGGAGAGCATTTCTAAGCAGCGCGGGGCAGCTTGGAGCTTGGGCCATGTGCGGGGATGACGTATAGGTGAGAGCGGAATCAACAACAACCGCGGATACCGGATGGGAAGGAGCGACTAAGGGAACAAGCGAACTACGGAAAGAGCGGGATAGGGAAAGAGCGAAGTACGGAAACAGCGAACTACGGAAAGAGCGAAATACTGAAAGAACAACCAACGGAAAGGGCAGGCTAGGGAAGGAGCGGCCCAAGAGCAAGAGCGGCGGCCTAGACCGCGAGGGAAGAAGCGACCGCTGAGGAGCAACTGCCGTTCAAAAGAATCTAGTGTTGCATTTACGTGAGTATATTATAGATATGTAAATTATTTGATTATATTTATTTACCATGGTAGTTCAACCCCCAAACCATGCCGAGACTCTACATAGCCATGTATGAGGCCGGAACCGGGAACTACGAGCACTGGGCTCTTTGTCTCGACGACGAGGACGGGAATGTACCGACCATCTTCGAGGTTAGCGGCGAAGATGGCACCTTTGAGAAAAGCGCTGTTCAGGATGAGCCAGAGAACAGGCTCTTACACAAGCGAAACCTTGCTGTTGGAGAAGTTAACGAGCGTGATATCCCCGAGTTGCTGAAAGTGATTGATGATGCGAAGGTGGATAATGAGACCACGGAGTGGAATTGCCAGGACTATGTGATTGAACTACTAGAAATGCTTTATGAGGAGTGCATTATTGACGAGGATGACAAGGAGTATAAGAGGGGTATGAAGAAGGCGAAGGATAAGTATTTTGGCCCGCTATAAAATGCTGTTTTTACATTGCCTGAAATGCGAGTGATCTATTATAATATACACGCGCCCTACAACCCGTTTGTTGTATGCGTCCAAATACACGCCGAAGCTGGCTCATCATTTCTCCTCGGGCCCCTTTCCCACTACCGCCAACTGATACGTCGCCAGCTGCCCCTCGGTCATGACACTCGGACTCCCCACCATAACATCCTCTCCCCTATTATTCTTCGGAAACGCAATCACATCCCTAATGCTCTCCGTCCCTGTCATAACCGCCACCATCCGATCCAGCCCCAGCGCCATACCCGCATGCGGTGGACACCCGGCCCTGAGCGCCTCAAACAGGTGCTTGAAGTCCGCCAGCCGAGCCTCTGGCATACCCAGCACCTCGCGCATGATCCACTCCTGCATCTGCGCATTGTGGATACGGCGTGAGCCACCACCGAGCTCGACGCCGTTGAGGACGAGGTCGAAGTGGTCTGCGACTACGCGGAGGGGGTCGGAGTGGAGGAGGTCGACGTCGGCGGGGGTCTTGGGGGAGGTGAAGGGGTGGTGGGTTGATGAGAAGCCGGCGGTGCCGCCTTGGCCGGGATCGGTGGTGTTAGAGGGGGTGAAGAGGGGGAAGTCGACGATCCAGAGGAAGTTGAAGGATGGGTCGGGGTCGATTAGGTCGGCGGCAATGGCGGCTTTGTGGATGTGGCTGCGGAGCCGGCCGAGGGGTGTGGAGCCGCCGGATAGTTTGACGTCTCTGGGGCGCGCTTGGAGGATTATGAGATCGCCTTGTTCAAGCGGTTCGCGTGTAGTGGGTGGTGACCAAGTGTTGGTCTCTGTTGCGGGTGCTGGGTTCTCGGGGGACACCTCATTCGTAGCGGCCATAATTTTATCCACGATTGCTTGATCTTTAGAACTGGCCGGCTCTTCCACACCCGCCCCGTAAAATGCCCTTATACTTTCGAGCCCCTCGTGGCCGAATGCTGCGAGGCCTTCTAGTGGCTTCATAGGGTCGTAGATAAAGACGCCAGGTCCGCCATCAGGGTTGTCGTGGAATGGACGCATTTCGGGCGAATCCATGATCGTCTTCACAAAGGCACCTACTTGCCTTGGGCTACAGTTCAAATTGATTTTGAAGATATCGACAATGGGGTCTTCTAGCGAGGTAATCATGCTCTTCAGGTTATCCGGAACTATGCTTTCAACTCTGTAGGTCTAGAATGGTCAGATAATGCAGTTTCACGGGATTGATAGACCTACCAAGTCTTTGATACGGAGGTCCGGTTTATCGACACCGTGGAACCTCATGGCATTGTCGTATGTCATACGCATAAAAGGGGCTGATGGCACATCTCTATCAGATCCTGCCCATAGCTTTTGCCTTAGTTTCCACATGTCTACAATAAAGCTTTCCATCCTCTTCATTACGCCGTCGGCATTTGTAAAGGCCATCTCCATGTCCAGCTTGAACCGCGTCAGTAAAGAGCACTCCTATCTGGGTATGGAATACTAACCTGGGTGAATTCGGGCTGCCGATCAGCCCTAAGATCTTCATCACGGAAGCAACGAGCGACTTGGAAATATCTGTTGATACCACTCGCCATAAGTACCTGCTTATACTGCTGCGGGCTTTGCGGCAGCGCATAAGCATGTCCAGATGTGCGGCTTGGCACGAGAAACTCTCGCGCGCCTTCAGGTGTAGATTTGAACAGTATAGGCGTCTCAACCTCGTGGAAATCTGGGAGTGCTGTCCGTATACCCTTCAGTACCTCGCTCCTGAATATCAGACGTTTCTTGAGGGTCTCGTCGAATCGTATTTGCAGATGCCTCAGCTCTGGCCCGTATGTTGCATCTTCTCCCAGAAGAATATCTGCCGGAAAGTCGTTTAGTGACTGGACAGAGTTTATCAAGAGCTCATATTCTCGAGGCGGCTCTTGTTTCCCATCCTTTGTCGGCTTGACGTTCTTCCACTGGAGAGTACCGACGACTTCTACTGGAGTGTTCGCCCTGGCAGCCTTTAAGATTTTGTGTGCGTCGGGGCTGTTATCTCGCAGAGAGATGAGTTGGATAGTGGCAGCTCCGTCGGACAATGGAACGAAGGTCATCTTGCTGGAGACGTTCCGTACATTGCCAAGGGCGCCCTGCACTCGGACGGATTTCCCGATGCTATTGTTGTCGGGGGATTTAACGATGGTAGCCAAGTTGCTCAAAGAGGGAGATTCATGGCGCTGGACTAGGTGAGAGGACAACATTAGCTGCGGATTTCACAAGTAGTAGGGACTGGGGCAATATACGGGTCTCTTTGAATTGCTTCATCCATGGTAACTCGTTCGCGCCAATTGTATTTGCTCCGCCAGCGGCATCAGCAGACAATGGGAAACCATCTGCGGCGCCGCCCGTAGGAAGCCCTGCTAAAGTTCTCCGTGTCAAACCAAAAGCAGCAATGGCCGATGAGCCACTATTAGGCAAGACATGGGATACAATCCTGGCGCCTACTCGAGGGCGGCAACATGCCCTCAACATTGGTTGTGAGATTTGCAGGATATGGTTTCGGTATCATATACAAATAATCAAATATGGCATGCGTAAATACAGCGATAATGAATGTGAATAAATAAGTGAAAGTAGTAATACAGGCCGAGATGGGGATGGAGGTCGGCGAGGCTGCTGGAATAAAATACAGGCACTTACTCAGCCTTGCGTATTAGCCACATATCCAAGGCAACAATATTCTCGCTAACGACCTTTTGCGCTAAGATCAAATAAATACCGCCCGTAGTGTAGAATTTCGATCTTTATGACCTTCCAAGTTTTAAACAGTAAGTGATTGCTCGCTCCCCCAGCGATATACTTTCATCCAACACAGTGCAACCTTGCTAACTCATGTCTGTTACAGAATGATGAAAGCCTAGCGTGTTTTATATGATATGGCTCCCTCCTCGCCGAGCTTCCGAACTCTCTCTTCACAGGGCTTCAGTGGTTTGGTTGCAAGGCGAGGTTGGGAGACGTGAAATCAGCGTTCGCCACACCCCCCTTGTTAACAAGCGGACGCGAATACGGCATCTCTGATCCTTCAAAGCCTTGGAAGGGCGCATTCTTTGATTTTTGTTGTTGGTTGGGGCTCGTGGAAGCGCCTGTGGAAGCGCCGTTGGTGGTTGGCTCCCACACGGCCGGGGCGGTGCTGTGTCAGATGCAGACATGACCGGCAGTGTTGGGGATCATGGGAAAAACAGGGCGACAGGCACCATTTCAAGTGTTCTGATGTCTGAAGCCTTGATATCTCTAGAATTTTTTATTTTGACCTGTGTCTTTGATTTCTTCGTTTTTAGCCGTAAGTTAGATATCCCCCAGCGCGCCGGACTACTACGGATTAATCGCAATATGACTTGTATTCTTCCGCTTTACAAACAATCTGTTCTAAATTACCTGGTGTGATAATGATTATAAATTAAACGTTGGAAGTAATAAGATTAAACGCTCATATGTATGCTCCGGAGTGCGGTGCGGGAAAGGCGGCCGCCCACTTACGTTGGGCCACATGGATTTGATGTTTATGACGCTCATCCTCAAGTCCCCGGCTCAGCCCAAGCTTTGTTCAACGAACAAACAACAACTTCGCCTCGACTACCAACAACGACCTTCCAGGAGCGGCCACGAATACATATAGGGCCATTCTGCGCTCGAATCCGCAAATCCGAAGTGAACTTTACCTTGCCTACAAATCCCCCGCACTCACGATGCCGGCTTCTTGGTAGATGAGATCGGGAGACCCCTACATTATTGACCAGGATTGACACGAGCTTAATCTTGCGATTAACAACACCACGTCCGTTTGCGCGCCCACGATCTACAGCATTCACGAGGCACCAAAGGCTTCTTTAGCCGTTTCTACATCGGCTAGGATTTGCAGCGGCACTTTCTATGCGCACATTCTCGCCATTGACTGTTCGTCTCTTGCCGGAAACCTTGGAGGCTTAGCCCATCGACGGTAGGCCCGTGGCATGAAACCATGTCAAGTTCATTCGAGAAATCTGTGAAGGGCGCGACAAAGATAAAGGTGACTTGCCCTTTCTATCCGCTCAATGGCGCTCTGTCCTATCCAGTACTGACCGTGTCGCCCTCTCCCAGCTTGCCCCGCCGAAATCAAAATACATTGAGCATATCCTCATCGCAACACATTCCGGTGAACATGGCGTCGCAGAAGTCTTTCGCGCCCTTCAGAACCGGTTGCGCGACTCCACATGGACGGTGGTTTTCAAGGGTCTTATAACTGTACACCTGATGATTCGGGAAGGGTCACCCGATGTTACGTTGGAGTTTCTATCAAATCACAAGAACATGTTGGCTACAAGCAGCTTCACGGACGGTATGTACAAAGCCTGGCAACCCAAGCGTATGTGCAAGCAGTGTGTCACCGCGAGTCGGATATGGTGTATCGTTCAGGAATGATTTCTTCGGGCACGTTACTGATTGTTCTACAGTTCAAACGCATGGCAAGAATATCCGCCACTATTCGAGCTATCTGACTGAACGAGCGCGAGGATACCGACATAGCAAATGCGATTTTGTCCGAGGAGCGGAGAATCGATTTCAAAAGTTAACTGTCGACAAGGGCTTATTGCGGGAGACCGAACTCGTCCAACTCCAGATCAGTACGCTGCTGAAATGTGACGTAAGTTGTCCATATGTGAAGAGAAAGGTGGATCTCTAACACTCTACAGGTGCTTGATAATGAGCCCGAGAACGAAATCACAATCACTGTATTCCGTATGCTGGTTCTTGACCTGCTGGCTCTTTACCATGTCATCAACCAGGCAATGATTGCCATCCTAGGTATGCTCGACTGGTTATATTTGTTGTATGGTGACGCTGATACAGTGTAGGTCAATTCTTTGAAATGACAAAAACAGATGCCCAGAGAGCTTTGGAGATATACAGAAGATTCACAAAGCACACGGACCTTGTAGTTGCATATCTTGGTACCGCACGGACATATGAGCACAAGACACGAGTTGAGGTACCAAAGCTTAAGCATGCGCCTGTGAACTTAGGGAAGCAGCTGGAGGACTACCTCGCCGACCCCGATTTTGATATCAACAGGCGTCAATATCTGGCGGAAGAAGAGGCAAAGAAGAAGAAGAACGGCACATTCAAACCATTTCTCACTGCACAGAAGACAGGCGGTAGCTCTTCTCGTGTTGATGAAGCAAAGGCATTCCCAGATGCCAAACCAACCAAAGAGACGGCAGCCATCACGACAAAGGCACAACCAGCTCCGCCTAAAGGTCCCGCGCCAGACTTGATAGATTTCTTCGCCTCCATCGAACAAAAACAGGAGCCCCTCGAAACTGCACCGCCACAACAGCAGGTAAATGCGCCCAACTTCACAGGCGCCCCGCAATTCCAAGGACAACAGCAGCAACCTATGCAGCAGCAAGCTATCCACCAACAACAGGTATTCCAACAGAATGGATTCATGCAGCAACAAACAGGCTTCCAGGACCCGAACCAACAGCAACAACAGTTTAATAATGGATTCGCACAACCTCAACCGATGCAACAACCGCAGCAACTCCAACCTAACATGACTGGAGCTGGCTTCGGCGGGTACACCCCGCAACCACAAGCATACCCTTCAAACTCCCTCTCCCCAATCAATCAAAATTCCCTCTCACCCTTCCCCGGACAACCACAACCACCCTTCCAAACCGGCCAACAGCAACAAGTCACAAACCCCTTCCGCGCAAGCATGATGATGAACCACGCCGCGAGCGCAAGCCCAACGACCATGGGCCAGAGTACCAGCCACACACTCTCCCCCGTATCGCCTCAAAACACAAACCCCTTCGCCAAACCAGCCTCCGCTCCTCCTGGCGGGCCACAAGCACAGCAATACCAACCAACTGGCCCCACTGCGAGCCCATTGCAGCCCGCGCCTACGGGGACTAACCCGTTTGCGCGACGACCTGGGACGAGCGGTGCGGGAACACCGGGCGGACTGGCACCGCAACCTACAGGCACGAATCCATTTAGGCAGAGTGCATTTGTGAATACCGCGACGGGGATGGGATGGCAGAATAATCAGGCGCCGATTGGTGGGGGACTAGACTCGATGCCGACTATTGAGGTGTTTCCGAGGCCGGCACAACAGCAGCCGTGGTCGCAGTAGATAGGATGACGAGGGGGAGATGGAGATGGGCAGGGGGGGGGATGGGTGATGGGTTTGAAACCTTTCATGGTGTGGATGGATTTATGGAATGAGAATGGCAGTGGAGGGAGCGATGTGGACTTGACGGGGGTTGGTATAGCGTTGATTTTAAGTCAGAGATGGAAGATTTGACAGGGCAGAGGTAGAAAGGTAGCTGGCAAGCTATAGCTCTGGGATAGGATACGTAATACCATTTCGAAAGGCGGCATGGCTCAGAGTGAACTTTCTTTGTCTTGATATATTTGATGATTCCCTGACCACCCACTCAGCTTCACATGGCGCGATTACAAGGTAACATATATTATTAAATGCGACAAAGGTACGGTAAATATAAAGGGTGAAACGAATCGTCATGGCCATTGAGGCCAACATGCCAGGTCCACGACGTCAGAGGGCCCTAAACTTTGATCTTGGACCAAGCGCGAAGATGAAAAGCGAACTTTCCATCATTTTGGTTCGCTTGTTCCTGTTTCTCCAGCATATCTTTTTATCACCAGGAGGGATACATCTACATCCCTCAAAGCCACCCAACCTCAAATATACAATTCATATTTCCTATCTACCTACTGTCTCCCAAGCCTCGCGGCCATAAATCTACTCACTTTCTTTGGCCTTCCTTCGTCATCATACTCGTCAGCATATTCTAGTATCGTTCCTTCATCATCAACCTTCGCCTCTTTCTTTTTGAATCCTCCCTCTCGCTGAATCATTCGGTTCCTCAAACGGTGAAACTCCGTCGAGACCTCCTGGTGCAGCAAGCCTGGATCAAGCTCATCTGGTCCCGTTACATCACCAGTCTCAACAACTTCTCTCTCCACAACTTGTGTGGCGAGCGTTGCATTTTCAGGGCCAGTAGGGACGGTTCGTTCACTTCGTGACGATTGGACTGGTGGCTGGGGAGGGATGAAGCCCTGAACAGGGTGGGCCTGTCGAGACGACTTAAACCGGGAAACTATCTTCCCGGTTGGAGGAGCAGGTGCTGCGACAGCGGCTGGTTGGCGCTCGACAATATCTGTGAGTGGTGCTAGGACAGCAGTAGGTTTTGGGGGCGTTGGTTTAGCAGCGGGTTTAGCAGCGGGTTTGGTTTCGGGCGCCGGAGAGACGTCGACATCGTCGGCGAAACGAACTCCCTTCTTCCCCTTCTTTGCTGTCTTTATTTCTTCCTCTGCCGGCTTATCAGGCGATTGTAGCTTCGCCGCACGATCCACATCCTCCTGGGTGATCCTAATCTGGGCGATCCCTGCGTCCGGCTCAGACCTTTCCGTAGATACGTCCGATGGCGGTTTAGGACCGAGATTCTGCATCATCCGCACGCCCAATTTCTCCTCCAGTTCGCGCATCCGCTGGTGCAGGTCATCATCGACAACCTTGCGGGTTGAGCGGCCAAATGCATCCTCATCATCATCGCCATCGCTGAACTCGTCGTCGTAGCCCTCGTCGTCCTCGGACCACTCGCTGCCTGATTCTAGGTCGAGCTCAGCGACAACGGCGCCGATTTCAGACATGGAGTACTGGAGCATTTCGCGTCGGAGAGCTGCCTCCTCTTCGCTCTCAGAAGTGGGCACAATAGGCGCATCCGGGCCAGTTGAGGGTAGAGGTTCGTTTTGAGCTTTGGAGAGGGACATTATTTCGGCAATTCGAGTCTCGGTTGCGGATAGTTCGGATGAGGGCCCAGGTTTCGTGTCTTCGGTGAAGGTGACGCTCTTCTTCCTGGGTTGGACACTAGGACGTATGGGTGCTGCATCTTCGGTGACCGCGCCGGTGGGCTCTTTCGGTGAAGGTTCAGACGTTTTTGGCAATACGTTTGTCACATCGTCTTCCTCCACTTCGGCATCGACGGGATCCAACCCTCTTACTTGAATCTCTTCTTCGGTGACGCCGACCTGTCGTAGGACATCCAATAACTGTTGTTTCTCGCTTCCTGGTGTATTCGTCTTGTAGTTTATCACATTTCCTTCATCATCCAGCTCCTCTATGATCTCCGTCAATGGTAAACCCTCTTCATCTCTTGCACTGTCTTCCAGCTCTTCAGACACCATCCCCACCTTCTCCAGCTTATCTTCCGCCGCATGTAACTGCTTCTCGGCTGTTTTCACATTCTGTGCCACATAGTCGATTCTCCGATCAAGTAGATTGATGATCTGCGCAGCATTCCGCTGTTCACCCTTAAGATTTAAAATGTCGTCTATTTCGACAAGAGTCACCACCTGGCCGTTGAAGTTTTGCCCTATCGCCAGGAGGTCTGCGTTGGTGGGAGATGAGAGGGCTTCGATTTCTTCTTTCAAGCCCTCATACTCCGCGGACCAGAGTTGCCATGTCTGAAGAGCTTTTCGAAGCTGGGTAATTTGTGTCTCGAGCAGCAGGCGGTGGCGCTCTAAGTCTTGGAGGGCGTTGTCATTTAACGGCTGTGCCATGGTGGCGAATATTGCGGGCTCAACAATGTACAGTTGTACGGGCCATATAATTCAATCTTCGGCTTTGTTGAACTTTACCCAAATTGATTTTCTCTTTCACAATTGGGAGCAAGCTGTTCCAAGAAGAAAGGCTGGTGTCTGATGCGAACAATAAATTTCCGTCAGCCTTGAGCTGCTTAGTCACCCCCGCATATGCCTATTTCAAAGCCTCGCCTTAGCCTTGCTTAGCCTCGCCAACCACCCATGCGATCATCTTTCTATCAAGCTCACATACGAAACGGCACTTCAAGCTGAGCTCCTCCAGATCCCACGAGCTCAGCATTGCGTCATTGCCCATCATGCCTCCACGGGCCCAGACCAACACCCTCACCTCCAACCCCCTCGACGACATCTGCCCGGTGTGCAAGTCGAACCGCTACCTCAACCCGTCCCTCACCTTCCTCATAAACTCAGAATGCTACCATACGATGTGCACATCCTGCGTGGACCGGCTCTTCACATCCGGTCCCGCGCCCTGCCCTGTCGCCGGTTGCCACAAGACGCTGCGCAAGCGAGGCTTTCACACAGCCTTTTTTGCAGACTTGAACATCGAGCGTGAAGTCGACGTGCGGAAGCGCGTGGCTGCGGTCTTCAATAGGCGCCAAGACGATTTCGAAACGCTGCATGATTGGAATAATTATCTTGAGAGCGTGGAGGACTTGGTATTTAAGATTGTGGAGGGGACGCCAGCTATGAAGAAGGATGCTGAAGAGGCGCTGAAGAAATATGCGGAGATGAACCGTATGGAGATCGAGGCCAACTTAGAGGCTGAGAAGGAGGAGGAAGAGATGGGACGGAGAGCACAGGCGATAGCTGATGAGAGGGCAAGGAAGAGGCGAGAGATGGGGAAGAAGAAGGAAGAGGCGGACCGAAGGGATTTGGAGAGAACGAAGCGCAATGTTATTGAGACGCTGGCGAGGTCGGAGGGCAATGCCGACGAAATTACCAGGAAAGCTGAGAGGTTAATCTTGGAGAAGACGGAGAAGATGAAACGAGATCAGGTAGAGGATCTAGAAGGTCCCAAGATGGCGATCAGGGGCTTGAAGAAGAGGAAGGCTGTGGAGGTAGAGAAGCCATATGATCCATTTGGAGATTTGGACTTGACGCCGACGAGATACGTGCTGCAGACGCGGTACAAGAACGATTGGCTGAAACAGGCGGAGAACGACCCAAGGCATATGGTTGGAGGTTATAGCTTTCAAGAGTACTATGCCCGAACGATGTTCGAGGCTTTCTCCGGGTTGGGTGTTTTCATCGAGGATGAGCTGCAAAATACCACTGCGAGTGGTGCTCCTCTTGCTGCAATTGCTGCTACGGCCAGGAGCGGGGACAAAACGATGGAGGATGTCTTCTAGTATGTGGTTCATTACTTGAGCTTATTGGCGTTCGCATAGCGTTTGGAAATGGATGGCGACAGCATTGTCACGGAGTTTGGTTTCATACATTTGAATATACCAGGGCAGTAAAAAGATATGGGACATCGTAGAACATAGAATATGGTCGCACAAGCAAGCAATAATTATGGTCACGTCTTCTCTGCTACATTTAATGTTGGGACTAAATTGTCGTGATCTCGTTGTAGGATTATCGTACTTCATATAAACACCGCTGCTATGCAATTCCGCCGATCCCATGCCTCAATTTTTTGCCACTCTGGGGCATCCTCATGCCTATCTAACTCATCTTTGCGTTCGAGAAATCCAACTCGGGGTGCTGTTTCTGGAACTGCGCCAGCATATCTGCCTTCTTCTGCTCCTCGCTCGTGGGCTTACCCAGCTCCTTCTGCCTCTGGTCAAACATCATCTTCTCGACCATTCCCCTTGTCTCGCCATCCAGGTCGCCCAGGTTGCTGTTCTCAGGCTGGATCTTGGTCACGTCGATCTTCGGCGCCGATGTGACAACGTGCTCCCACCACTGCATCTTGTTCATTTTATCGAGATGGATGTCGATCTGCTTTAGCTCCTTGCCATCAACAGCAGGGATCGAGGCGAGTGTCCATGTAGACTCGTCGACGTGGATGGGATGTGGCAGGTCACCCTGGATTTGTTAGCTCCATCCTATCCATCTGGCCGCATCCAGCCAGCGGAAAACAAGCCAGGAAGATCCATGTGAGTGGCTTTGGGTGCATACACTTATAATTGGCTCCTGCCCCTTAACTCCAGCGCTCAACTTCGTCTTCTTGATATCGACGACCAGGTCTCGGCCTTTGAGGTTTCCGGGGACGGTGAAGTTGAGGGAGAGGTCGCGGATTGTCTGAGTCCATTTGTAGGGAAGTGCAGCTTGCTCTTCTTCCTCGAGGGCACGTGCCGCCGCCTCGGCAGCTTTGTCTACTGGTGCATCACCTGTGTGACCGTCAGTCGATGCTGAGAATATAGAAGCATCTTACGGAAGGCAGTATAATTTCAGGATATAGACTTCGTAGCTCTGGTGTGCTGGGAAGGCTTGAAAAGAATAAATTCTAGCACACAATATTATTATAAAGAGCTTACCTGAAGACATGGTGTATTATGAGATCAGTTTTGCGGATGGGGCGTTAGAGGGGTTCTGAAGATAATTGAGTTGTTGACGCGGCTACCCGTCAGGTCCATGACCCCGCGATGGGGAACAAACGGCGGTGGTGCAGCCTTGCGCAAGCCCAAAGCTCGTTTACCGCATTCAGTTACGAGCGAGTATAATCGATCCACGTGACTAATGCCTCAATATACGGGACCAACAGTGCTGTCATCCACCATCGCGCGGTTTGGGCAGCTGCCTGGTTTTGCATTCATAGATTCAATGGCACCGGATACAGAATTTTGCGACGTCGAAAACCATTATCAGCTGTCAGTTCTTGAGGTAATTTGAGTTTGACATCCCAAAGCGTTGTCTATCTGTACCTCCACATTATCTCGAATCGAAACCATCTCAGCATGTCTTTGTTAGAGAATTGCCAACGTAAGTGGTCTTTGTTATTTTGCCGGCGCCAAAAGAAGAAGAATACCCATCATGGTCGCCTTCATTCTCTTGGACAATTCCGGACATTCTTTCTTTATGCTCCTTCACAGTCTTGTCACAATTTCCTGAAACCAAAATTTATTCAAAGGGACGGTGAGCTCAGAGGAAGTACCCCTTCCTTCTTCAGTCCTATTCTGTCCGAAATCCTTTCTTTGATACTTTGCTTTGTTACACTTGGTCCTATTCTATGTTATTTTGACCATGGCCTCTTCGATACCTAAAGTTGATTTTCTTGTCAAACAATATCAGCGAATGTTTTCAATTTACTACATTTCAAATTTTGCCACAATTGGAAGATATGCAGGCGCCGTACATGACCGCGACCGACGGCGCAGATCCACCAATAGATGATGGATTAGACAATGGTCCTGGAAAGCTATTTGTTGAGAGTCGAAACGAGAAGGGAGAAGTTAAGTATACCATGTTCTCTGGCAAGCCGTTAAGATGGAGAGGTGACTATATTCCTTCGCCAGAAGCCTACCAGGAGACTCTGCGCGACAAAGCCCTCGAAGCTCAGGAAGGATATGTTTTTCATGCAGAAGCTCTGCGAATGTTGGGTGTCAAAGTCTTCCGCACTGGGGACTATCACATTGAGACAAAATTACGAGGAAAACGCGATGTGGTTAAATTCCAAACCAAGGAACTCCTTCCAGGGGGACAGGTGTGGACAGGCCCTCGCAATATTGCCCATCTCGCCTTTTTATCTTTGGAGGATGGGGAGCTTCCGATTTTTCATTTCTGGATCGATCCGACTATCTTTGGGAAGAAGCCTGATCAGATGACACTCGCAGAAACAATCGACTCCGAAACTCACAAACAAAGAACCGAAGACGAAGCCAAGCAGATCGAAGAAGGACTTAAAATGCGTTTAATGCCCAATATAACTCCTTCGGATCAAATCTGGGTCGATAAGCTAGCCGAATTCCGAAAACTTCTCGCCGATTATGGAGGTAACAACCGCAATCAGTCGCTTATGGATCTTATGAAGAAGACTTTTCTTGAAGACCAAATCCGCCGCTTGGCGGCTTCGGGAGAGCATTCTATGCTTGCCATGTTGCAAGTGAGAGACCAGTTGCTATATTTTGATAACCTCGACAACGACGCGTTCAAGGGAGTAAAAAACAATGCTGCAACGAAATTTTGCATGGTTTACTTTGGCCTTCCTGTTGAGCCTCTGACTTTGACCAACATTCTCAACGCTAGAAAGAATGAGGATGACGCTCGAGAAAAAATTGAACCCGATTACAGCATACTGCCTGGAATATACGGCGCAGAGGCCGACTTGGAATTCTTGGATAACTACCACGAGAGAGCTTATGGATATCCGACTCTGCGAAGTAAGTTATGCGGTGCCACATTGATATAATAGACAGGCACTAGAAGCTAACATACTCCAGAACCGAAGGCAAAAAGGCCCTACAAGGACATCCCAGAAGAGGTCTCTGATCTAATCCGAGAGCAGAACCGGATTGACGAAGAGCTATATCCTCAGCCAACAAGGAGATGCGGGGGTAATCGTAATGCTTTCCGCGGCGTGGACAGCTATGATTTTGGGTTTGACAAACCCGAACCTGACCTCCCGTCGTTCAAGGAGTTTCTAGCTCTTCGTGGTGGCGCAGGACCGTCCCAAATTTCAGGGGATGTCAATGATGGTGATGACGATGATTCGCAACTAAACTCTGGGCATTTCAGTGACATGGAAGATGTTATTATGAATGATATGAGCATGCTTGAACACTCTGACGGAGATTATGGTTTGCCATCAAGCCTCCATAATCCTTCTTGGGTTGATGGCTTCGATGGAGGACTTAGAGGTGGAGCTTCGCCACCCAGAGGCAATGAGGGGGACGATGAAGAACAGGGCGGGCCCTCCGCACCACCACCAAATGTCAACACCCCTGGCACAAACACGAACAATGCCGCCTTGCCTCCGCCGGTCTCACTTCCACCACTTGCCTCCATGGAATCTGTTCTTGCCACTTTACAGGATAATCCTCGACAGCCGCCTAGCGGGCGTCGTGGTCGAACGACGCCTGCTACGAATGGGAGCACTTTCGACCCTAGCCAATTTCGAGAATATATGGTTGAAACAGAGAAGAATCTAGAACAAGATGACCTTCGCGTGGGTGCGTACCACAAAGCGCAGTCTGCCCACGAACCCCACTCGGGAAGTCCGGAGCCACCAAGATATGGCAAGTCAGTTGAGGAGCAGTTGGTTACTGGGCCCACAACGCCAGGTGTGTTTGCGAACGATATTAGTCTCGCTGAAGTTCGACGACTGCAAGCACGCAATGGAGAATTGGAAAGACTAATATTGGCCCGTGGGACATACTGTGGCATGTGTGATAAGACCATATCCTTCACCACCAAAGAACAGCGAGACTCCCATTTTGCAGGTCATGTGGACGGACTGCATTCCTGTGGTTTTTGTGGAATTAGCTTCAATTCGGCCACTCATGCAGAGAGAAAATCTCATCTTGCTAGCCATGCAGATATTAGATATACAAAGCAAACCGGGAAAACGCCCCAGAGGCCTACCGCCTCAGCTAGGCCTTTGGCAGCAACTCCTCCAGCCAGTTCCAGCCCAGCTCAAGTCGCGCGAGTAACTGTTGTTGAGGGCGATACCATATTGTACTGCCAGAACTGTAGCGTGGACTTGGCCAATTTTACCACTCCCGCCCAACTTATTCAACACACACGCGCCTGCTCTGGGAGGAATCGTGCGCCAAGCGAACCGGCATATTGTAAATTCTGCGCCATTGAAATTTCTAGACTCGGCAGCGCGGATGATGTTACGAACCACCGCAATCTGTGTAAAGGCTCCTCTGCCGGCCGGGGCCGACAACGAGATCTTTGGGCTGCAGCAGGCTGTTCCAAAGATGACCGGGAGTTGACGTACTGGAAGCTATGTGCCCTGGCTGGGGTCCCTGATCTTCATTACAGGCCTCGCAACCCAAACCCAAGACCATACGAGTGTCGTTACTCTGGCTGCGACGCTAGTTTGCTTGAAATGGCAAAGGAAGGGACTCTGGACGCCCACCACAAGAAGCACATCTCCGGCGAAGACAGACTCAAGTACATATGCCAGGCCAACGTCTGCGGGATGGATCTTTCCATGCATGAGAAACGGGGCGAGGAGCGGCTCCAACGACATCTCACGAGGCATCTTAAGGCGCATTGCACATACCCAGGCTGCGACGTCATCTTCCGTGACGAAGACATTTCGCCGAGCACACGTGAAATTGAACTTGAAGCTAAGAAAAAGTGGGTTGATCACGCCCATAACCATATCAACGATGATGAGGACGAGCTGGGTCATGATGGCACTTATAATTACATTGACAGTGATCCTCCAAGTGATGATGATGGCGATGGTGGACATCAAAGCACTACTGGTCACAGCCGTCAGGGAAATGGTGCAAACACCGGCGGTGGACAAGGAGCTGGTACACGTCAAACTGAAGGTAATAACCCAGCCAGACCCCCAGTCCCAAAAGCTCCAGCCCCGAAAGCTCTAGTCCCAGGTACCACTATTAGAACCACAACTACTGGCATTCTACCTCGGAGGCGTCTGCCCGCAAACACAATTCCAGAATATTTTATATCCCTCCCTAAAGAGTGGAATGCAGCCGTAAAAATGCTCCCCGCAGTGCTCTATGGTGGATCGAAGAAGCCACAGAAGTCGACATTTATCTGTCCAGTTTGTTATTTAAGCATACAAGGATTTCAACTTTCCGTGGGCCCCTACCTTTCTGTTTATTCTTCCACTTCACCATGCTTATAATACTATATAGAATCTTGCTAACTGAACTTAGTGGCATCGCAGTATCTGCCCCGACGGCACAAAGGGTTGCGGGGTGGACAACGACGATGACTTGCTCATCTTCAGCGCTGTGAGCGCTGGCCGCGTCCGCAGCTCCAAGACAGGCTACGACCAAGTCGACATGGATAACGAAGGCGCTAAGACCTGGGGAGCTACTCAACAACTATCGGTAGTGTCGCAATACCTCGCCAGAAACCGACCAACGGCAGATAAAGCACCACATACTTTGCTCGACCCGCGTTTCAACACAGCAAACGAGCAGCAGAGGGCAGCGGGACTGGTGGTGAGGAGGCAACAGGCAAACTCGGAAGAAACCGTACAAGGTAAGGCAGCGAAGAGAGCACCGCGGCCGCCGAAGCGCGCAGCTGCGGCTGCACCGGCTGGGCAGAGGCCAGCTAAGTCAGCGAGGGGAGCAGGAGGTCGAACAAGGACCAGAGCGCCAGGGACACCGGTAGCACCTCCTGCAGAAAGACAAGGAGGCGGTGGATTGTTTGTATCGCCAGATACTTGAAATATATTTTAAAGTGGGCTTTGATAAGGGAGTTTTGTTTATGGGGTCTGGAAGTTGGGTTTCTTTTGTGTGCTGGGTTTATTCGAGAACGGGCCGTGTATCCTGCGTTTGCTTGGTTATTTATGGCGCATTGATCTGTTATAAATGTTTTATTCGAGGGCGCATTGATATTCTATAAATCTGGTATTTAAATATACCTGCTTTGTCTGCCGTATTGTGCTATTAAGACTCCGCCCCCCCATATCCACCGTCTTCCGATCACGACACAGCACACCAGTACATCCACGCGGATAAATAGCCATTAAATCATATAACACAACCCCGTATTCTTAGACCATTTCCTATCCGAAACCAAGCAGTTGGTGCAGTAGGTTACGTTTCTTATCTTCTGTCTTCAGTGGTGATACTCGGAAATCCAAGCGAGCACCTTCTTTGAGCTTAGAGTCTGAGTGAATGGGCTTTGTATACATTCTTTAACGACCACCTTAGCTATCTTTTAGTGAATTGGTGAATTTCCCTAATAATGAGTTATTTGTATATAGTACTTACAGAAGGATCAGCACCATGCTGTAAAAGGAGTTCTGCAATTTGGTATGCTGTCTCGGGATAGTCCAATCCATTATGCAAGAAGATATGCCACGGCGACCTTCCGTCGAACTTCTGATTGGGTTTCGCACCATGATCAAGCAATACATTTACCATATCTGGGCTATAAACCCCTGGATTGCCTACTGTGTGGTAAAGTGCATAGTCAAGATATGGCCGGCCCTTTTTTCTGCGGAGGATAGAATTGCCATTCCCCAGCTTCTGTGCTACGTAACTATGCAGTCCATAGGTCACAGCTACTGCAAGGAAATCATCTCGCCAGTCAGGGCGGCAGAAGTTACAGTGGAAGTTAATGTGTTCTCCCCAATGTTTCTAATTTTTGCAATACCATAGTCGGTCTATCGTCATGTCCAATTTGTCAATAAACTCAACCTGGCCCTCACTCGTTTCATTTTCAGCTTGATGGGCTAGAATAAGGGTTGTGTCTACGGATTTTATAATGTCCTCCACTGGTTTTACTTGTTTTTCTAATTGCTTAGAGGGTACAATTGGTTTCCACAAGGACTGGTATATCACCAACCGAGCTCGAAACAAAGCCGTGCTCGGACTGAATCTATCTCCCTGTTGAGTTTTTACCATTAGATCTTGTATATTTTTGCCATCTAAAAGGTCCTTAGCGGTCCTGTGATGATATAAAATTGTTGCCGATGCATTCATTGAGAATGTACCAGGAACTTCCTCTTGGCTTCTTCGAAAATGTCCTCCGCCTGACACCTCTAGAAGTCCAGCACAAGATTTTCGTAGTTTAATATCAAGTTGTTTCATCCGCAATTCTAAGTCATGTTTATCGATTGGAGAGGGATTTATCGCAAAATCTTGGTTCTTATCGAGCGCGAGAGACAGTTCTAAAGCTGTTAATCCTGGAATTCGGAATGTAAGATCTCTGTATCTCTGACTGTCAAATATCGGCCTTTTTAGACTGTGCTGCGCTATCGACATTATTCCGAAGATACGAGCAGCATCCTCTGCATATATTCCGTCGATATTCTTAAGCATGTGCTTATAAAGTTCTTCGATTTCCGGTGGCACCCTAACTAATCGTTCCCTTAGTTGTGCGATGTCATCAAGATTTCCGAGACCAGTTATAAGGGAATTCAGGACAAGCTCAACCCAGAGAAAGACGCCGTTCGCTGCAGACACAATCTCCTCCTCTAATTTTAGAGCCTCTGCTTTCTCATCATGGTAAAGAGTTTTCATTTTCTCGTCGTTATGAAGAATGCCGGAAACGTAAAGATTAATGCCGTCAGATGTCAAGTCTTAGGGTCGACGCTTTGGATTATTATTAAACTGGTCCATAAAGACGGTTTCAGGGCGACTTGATACGCAAACCTTGACATCAGCGGATTTTTGAATGATAGATCTTAAAATCTTGATTGTCTCCCTGTCGTTTCCGGTACACTCATCAAGACCATCGATGAACAAGCATACCTTACCCAAATCGACTTTGCAGAGGTTATTAAATGCTTTATGGGTCCTTTCGAAATTCCACCAGTTCCGTCGTAGTTTGTCAGGATTTTTTGATGACTCTATCATCTGCCATGCGTCCTCGCACACGTCTTTGATTGGATGTTTCTTTTTATCGAGAATGTCATATAGTAGTGATCGCTGGAGTCATCATGCGATGCTTGGTCCTCAATCTTACCACTCCTCCAGAAGAAGAAACTAACGAGTAGTGGCTCATCTTCGCATGACCACTTCCGAAGGAGCAATCGCGTCTGTTTATTATCGAAAATGTAACGCATCAAGGTAGATTTTCCTGAGCCGGCCTTGCCCTCAATCCAATACAACCCATCGTCTTCGCCCAACCGTTGTTCGCCTAACCATTTCGCGAAGTTGTCCCAATCCTCAATTTTTTCTTTTGGATCATGAAAAATCCACTGGAAGGTTTCTGGATAAGGCTCCTGAATGTCGCTATAGCGAACTCCGAACGACTCAGGTTCTACAACAGTTACGGTGAAGTTGATATGACAAAAAAGGCTCTGTATTATCGATCTTCTACTAAGACTTAGCCTTACAGCGCCCTGCAGATAGATGTCTACAGTGAACACATTGTCGCACTCAAAACTGAACGCCCTACGGCCTGCCTACCCCCCGCCCTCCCACATCGAGTTAGCGGGTTCGTGCTACTGCCTAGCGGTTCCCAGTGCCGGAGGGCTGCGTCGTTTTGCCAGTAGGGGAACTCAATATGGCCCTGGCTATGCACGCTGCCTTTAACTACGACGTACCAGGTCCCGTAGGCGCCGTGCAGCAGCTAGTCGAGTTTATCCTTCTCGAAGACGAAGAGTTTACAGGATCATGTTATGTTAGCCGTAGATGGCGATGTCCAGATTAGTAGGACTTGCTAAAGCTAAGCAAGTTGTGCCCGCCGTCGGCCGAGGAAAGGGCTGAAACGATGCAGCTTAAACGTCCGGACTTGTATCATGCCGCTGACGCGTTTTAGATTCTTATATGAATAAATACGCATTTAAAATTGAGGGGTTTCTATTCTTAAAATGCAGTATGTAGAGAGCATCCTGCCCGCCTCGAGGTTTCTTACTATTGGTAGGGCGAGGTTATAATTTAGGAGAAAACATTCATTTCCTTATTATTTAACAAGGTAACTTTTATGTCCCTTTACCCGACAAAAGAAGTGCTATCATCTAGAGGTATTCCCATGAGAATCCGAAGGACCGCCCTCAACTCCTCTATCCTCTACTTCGCTATCTGCGCCTTTTTTAATAGCATTCTCTAGCGCCACTGCCTTATATCCCATAAAATACATATACACTCCTGCCTATCCAACTTAACCACCCCCCTATTCCCATATATTGCCATACAACAGCTATAGCAATGAAAAATTTCTTGTCATCAGTCATGATCGTCATCTCCGTCAATAGCGTAACATATCAGCTCTCAACCAGCCCACTCCCTAACCACAACTTCTCCGTACTCACCTCATTTGCCCTCCTCATCTTCTCTTCACCTCAGCTGCCCCAACACCTCTAACGTCCCCATCCTCGCTCCTCATCTTCATCACTCCTTCGTCTCCTAGTGAGAACCCCGTTCTGTCGTCTCTGCGACTTAGGCCTCTCTTCCCCCCTTCTATCCTTGACCTTCCAATCCACAACAGACCTTGCCTTCTTCGACACAGAGAGATACACCGGAAACACCAGCGCGATGCCAAGCCAAAAAATTATGACCCAAAACGATTCCCTCAACCTCCATTTTCTCATCGCCCCAAATATAATCCACGGGCCCACCGCCCCTAAACTAATCGAGGCCGTCAGCATTGCCGCCGCTAACCTCGTATTCTTCCCCATTCCCCTTAGCGTTATCGAATAGACAAGGGGGAAAACGGGTGCTAAAAAGAAGAACACCATCATTCCGAGCCCAGCGACCAAGTTTGGGTCTTTAGCTGCCCTGCCCTCTGGGAGAGCAACAAAGGCGATGGTGAATGTTAGGGCACCAGCAAGGGAGAGTAGAAGGATGAGCCGCGGCCACATCACAAAACAGAGGGCTCCACCTATGACTCGCGAGAAGAACTTCAAGCTGTAGGCCAGGAGGAGGTAGTTTCTAGGTGACAGATTGAGGCCGTCGATCTTGTGTTCTGCGGGCGGCGGGGCGAGTACGTAGATGTACCAGGTATCAAAAGCTACTTGTGAGAGAATGTAGATAGATTGTACCATAACACCAAGGGCAAGGGTCAGAAACACGACTCTAATGCCACCTATGTGCGTCAACGAGGTCGTCTTAACCATCCTGTTCATTGGCAGGAGGTCTGGCTGGAGCTCTTCTTGCAGATCGTCGTCGCTTGCCTCGGGGAGCGGCATGTAGTGGTAGAAGAGCGCGATGACGATGGTGAAGAGCGCGATGGTAAAGTAGGTCCACTGTACGTGGATTAAGTTCTTCTTCGTTTGAATGAGTGGGGCGAAGGCTTTGTCGGCGATTAGCTCACTGACTGTTGCCCCGAGTGCTTGCATGGCCTGCGCAAAAAGAAGCCGCATTTCGCCATACTGTGGAGGCCCGCAGAGAGTGATAAAAGAATTCGCGGCCATTTCGAGGGATGACAGGCCGATGGCAGCAACGACATTTGAGACGAGGAAGCCTGGCAAGGAGATGAAGGATGCGGAGGGCCAAAGCATAAGGGATCCAATGCCATAGATGCAGAGGCTAACAATGAAAATTATTTTGAATCCTCCTTCCTTTAGAGCGTACCATCCGACGGTGAATGGGCCTATAATATAGCCGCCGTAAAAAGCTGTACTTAGGGATAAAGATTGTTTAAAAGTTAGCTGTGCGATGGTCGAGATCTGAATGTTTAGAGCGTTAAGAAGCCCGTTAGAGAACCCCCACAAGAAGAATAGGATAGTGACCACGCTGCAATATTTCCACGAGTCACTAACAGACATCCTTAGCATGCATTTTGGGGGTTGAAGGTTAACGAAGCCAAAGTAGACGGCGGTTCCGGTTGGTTGAACGGAAAGCAACGTCTGTTCTCGAGCCGCGATATTGTTCTCTGTAAGAAACTCTAACTGGATATCCGAATCACGAGCGTCCGGGTGGATCGGTCTGTCCTCGGTGGGCGCCGTGACACCCCAACTTCCATTTGTGGTAACCTGAACATCTAAAGTCTGTTCTTGAGCCGCGATATTGTTCTCTGTAAGAAACTCCAACTGGATATCCGAATCACGAGCGTCTGGGTGGATCGGTCTGTCCTCGGTGGGCGCCGTGACACCCCAACTTCCATTTGTGGTAACTTGAACATCTAAAGTCTGATTCTCAGGCCACGGCTTCGGCTTCGGCTTCGATAACCCATCACTGCTGTGACTTCCGACCTGCTCAATAAGCCATGGCACCACCCTTTTCACCAACGGCCTCAACGTCGGGATGCAAGCACAGATAATCCCAACATTAATTTCCACAGCTGACCACATTAGTGCAGGCGACACGAGATATGCAAAGTCTGTAGTGTCTTCGAGGGAATCCGTCGTTGTTGGCACAGGGCCCCCAGCAGTGATGATCAATATGGTATTTTGCAGAGCATTAATCCGAATCACATCGACAATCATTACGAATATCCCTAGTGCGAATGTAAAAACTAGAATAACCTTTTGCTTCCGAGGCAGCTGCATTCCGGTGAGGATGGGTATTGGAAGTATTAGAATCACAATGTCAGTTGCGACGTTTGTGGGCGAGGCGGCAAAGTAAAGAGTGACGAGCCGTATGCACTTTTGCGTTGAGCTGTTGCTGAAAGTCTTGGTGATCGGATCACAGACGAATATATTGAAGAATGTCAAAATCGTGCCGGCTATGATAACCACCGCAATCGTTAAATATGTGGCTAGCCGGAAATATTTCATATTCTTTGATAGGCATAGATAGAATATTAATATGCTTGTCTTCGTCGCCATAAGCGCGGGGTTCTATGAGTTATTAGTTACAACTCTCATTTTCACTACATGCAGCTTCCTCCGTTCATCCTCCTCATAGGAGACCACCACAGAATACGCACATAAAGTACGGAAAACGTATACTCGCACTTCCTCAAATCGTCTAGCGACTGGGGTGGAATATCCACATCATGCCTGCCCAAGCCTTTCGCAACACCGATGGTAATCGAAAGGGTCACACCGAGCGCCAAGGTCCAGCCAACGACAATCATCAAGTCATCCAATGTCGATCTCTTTACAATGCCGAGGCGCGTAACCAGCCGGGCCACGACGAACAGCGTCGCAATACCTAGCGTGGTCAGCGCCACTAGCTCAACCGCTGGGCCACGGTTTGGAAGCTTAGCGGGGGGAAGCATCTTCGAATCACGACCCAAGCATCGCGTCTGCCAAGTCGATGTCTCGTCTTTAGAAAGCTTGATCTGTCACCTGCATGCGTGTGTGTATCTGTTACCACCATGTCGGGTCTGTGCCTCTATATATATCGAACCAGTTTTGATGACATCACAACATTTCTCTATAGATTTTGAAAATCCCGCGTTTCCAGGGCAAGCCACGCGTAATGCTTACTTTCGCCCCTCGCACTATTCGCAAGCAGACTAGCCTCTCACCGTTCCATGGTGCCTCTAGAGGTGTGCCGCTGGTGTTCCGCTGGTGTTCCGTGGTATAACAAGATTTGGTTGTGCTTCAACCAGCGTCTATTGCCTGTTCCTAGTGTAATATATGGCCCAACATTCTAGTAACTAGCACATACGACCATAGACTCAAGAGAATTGGGCATCCCGTCCGCTCTGCCATACACAAGCTTGAGATCGGTGGATTAGTAGTTGGGTGGGTGACCACCAGCGAATACCCACTGTTGTATGTTTTTTTGTCAATTCTTTTGCCGTTTTATTGCGTTAACATTTTGGCCCCTGAAGTTGAAGATCTTGGAGCGGAGGAGAGGAGAAGGGAGGGTGCGCTCGATGGGTGTTGTGTTTGTGTTTTTGGGCGGAGAAAGGGAGGGGATTGTTATTTCGTTTTTGGAATAATGCCATATTTGCGCCTATTCCCAGATAGATGGCTAACAATGATGTGCCGTGCCAAACTGTATCGAGTTCGAGCATATACACGCAATCAAATCTCTCCCACATGCACCTGAACAACTACAAGATCACATCAAACCACAAGCACAAAACCCCAGCAGCCATCCCACAATAAAACTTCATATCAGTAGTCATTAAAGACGCCAGCCAGCCTCTCCCCAAGCAAGACCAGCAAACACCATCTATCCCAGACATTGACCATACCCTTCACCCCACTCCCTCCCTTCATTCACCCTCGCCACCTTGCACCCGACTCACTTAAGCAGCAGCCGGGAAATCATTAGGCCAGCACTTCTCCTTCGGCCACAGCTTCTGGTCATGCGTCTCGGCATGCACCTGCAGCTGGGTCTTATTCGAGCTGACGATCTCCTTGCGGCAGTTTGCGCACTGGGGGGAGGTGTTAGTTTCATTTCCCCTTCCTCATTGATTTTTCACGATAAGCACGTCCACGCCACACCAGGCACCAGGAACGTGACCGGGGATAGAGGGGAAAAGGCAGAGGGGAAGTGAGAGGCATACGATGGAGGTAGCCTTGGGCGCCTTGACGGGGAGACCGTTGGCCTTGACTGGGGCGCGGGTACCGGCTGCGTCGGCCTTCTTGTGCTCGCGCTGGACCTGGATGAGGCATTAGTATATCTCTTTGGCCGTTCATACGCGTCCCCCGCTCTGTGTGCGGTGCGGTGCGGCGGGTGAGTGGCGGACTTACTCTGGCTTTCTTGGAGATAGGCATCTTGACTGATCTTCGGACTGGGAAGTATGAAGCTGGAGTATGGGGGATCTGGTGGAGGGCGGAGAGAAGAGGGGGTGGTTGGAGGGGCAAGAAGGGAGGTTGTTTATTTGAAAATTGTATTTGGTGGGGTGACACGTGATGATAAGCTTTTTTTTGTGAAGGGAAAAGTGGATGTGTGGTGGTGGTGGTGGCGAGGCTGAGAAAAGGTTATAAATTGCCTGATTGGGTAATGGGTGGGCGGTGAAAGGGCGGTTGTGCCACCAAAATGTCTTGGGAGGGACTACAAATTGATTTTGGCGATTTAAGCTGCTGGGATTGATATATCATGGATCATTTCGGAAAATCTACTTACCTATAGATGTGAAATAAGACCGCAAAGACGACTATATACAGCAACACACGAACTATACAAAAATTTCTCATATCCCTCCCCTCCCAATTATTTACAACTTCACCCTTCCCCCATTCAACTCCTCCCAATCCCTGTTCGTAAACGGCGTATACGTCCCATTTTTCAACCAGTAAATCTGATCCCCCCCAACCACCTTCTCTGGATCCACGCCCTCCGCCCGTAGCGTATGCTTCTGTTGCTTATTCGTCCCCGTGATCGGCCCGCCGCCATCCGTGATTCTCAGGAATATCGGAATCGCAAACCTTGGCAGCGCTTTCACATGCTCCGCCAAGCTCTTCATGAGGGGTTCGCTCGGCGACTCAGCAAGGATCACTGCAGCGCAGCCTGCGCGGCCGTCGTGGTGGGGGAGCTCAACACCATAGACGTTCGCCTCGTGCACAGCGGCATGGTAGCCCATAACCTCGCTGACCTCGTTGGTGGAGACGTTCTCGCTCTTCCAGCGGAAAGTGTCGCCGATGCGGTCGACGAAGTAGGTGCGCCCCTCCGAGTCCTTGCGAACGACATCGCCAGTGCGGAAGAATGCGTCGTCCTTGACAAGAACGCTGCGCAGGACCTTGCCCGAGGTGGCTTTCTTGTTGTTGAAGTAGCCCTGGAAGCCCTTCTCGATGTCTGCGCCGTCGAGGGTGAGCAGGAGCTCCCCGGGCTCCCCGACAGCGACCTTCTTGCCCAGCCCGGTCTTGGGATCGCGCCACGGCTCTTCCTTCTCCCAGTCTACGGTGACGATGGCGGATTGACCGCCGAGTAGCTTGCTGGAGATGGCGCCGACGCGACCGATGGCGCCGAGGGAGAAGTCGTTCCGCGACAGGTTCCAGGAGCCGGCTGTGCCCTCGGTGGCGGCGTAGAACTCGGCGATAGTCTCGATGCCGAAGCGGGCCTTGAAGGCGTTCCACACATCGGGGCGCAGGCCGTTGCCGAATGCGGTGCGGACGTTGTTCTTGAGGTCGAGGTTCTCCCCCGTCACTGGGTCGACCTGCGGTGGTGCGGCGAGGAGATAGCGGCATGTCTCGCCGACGTATTGGATGACGGTAGCGTTGCAAGCGCGGACTTCAGGCCAGAAGAGTTTTGTGCTGAATTTGCGGCCGATGCAGACAGTGGCACCACTGCCCATAACGTTCAGCGTGCCGAGGAGAGCTGCGGAGGAATGGTATAGAGGCATGGACTGAAAATTGTTAGGATAATAGGAGCTAGGGTTTTGCGACGAGACTTACTGTGTAGAAGATGTCGGGGTGCTTGAGGCTCAGCCACTTGCCTGGGAAGGCAGACGAGACAATGCACTTGATCCAACTGACAATTGCTGGTTTCGGGAGGCCGGTGGTACCGGATGTGTAGATGAGAATGGCCATGTTTTGTTGCTTATCCTCAAAGCGGTCCTCGTCTGGAGAGCGAATGGGCTCAATGCATTCTGCCTTGGCCTCGACGTCGGGCGAGAAAATGACAAACTCGACGCCCGGGAGGTCGCTCTTGAGATCATCTGTGATGTTGTTGGAGAATTGCGGGTCGACGACGACCAGTCTCGCTGTCGAAACCTTGACGCAATGCGCCAGCGCCTTGCCGGTCAAATTGTAATTCAAGAAGGCAGGCCGGGCGCCGATAGCCCACAGACCGAACCACATGAACATGAACTTCTCCGAGTTGCCAAACTCCATGGCCACAATCTCCTTCGCCTTGACGCCGTGATGCTCCTTCAGCCATGTTCCGTACTTGAGCGCCATACCGTAAAATTGCTTGTAGGTCCATTGCCGTCCTTCGAAGATGAGGTAGACATTATTGGCGGTCTTGGGGTTGAGCGCAGCTTCCTCGAGGATATAGAAGAGCGAAAGGCGGCCCTTAAACTGACGCCACTTGCCGCGGAAGACGGCGGAGAGGAAGGATGAGACCATATGGTAATCGTAGCCGACGTTGCCTTTGGCATTTATGTAGGCAAGGGCCGCAGCAGCAGCTGGGACGGCCACGGAGAGGGGAGCTGAGAGGTTGCCCTGTTAGAATGTCTCGCGGCGCAAAGAGGAGGAGGAGGCAGGACAACTTACCAGGCATGGCGATAGAGGTTCAAGAGGATGAAATGATCTTGAAGTGATGTGAAAGGACGAGGCTACCACGGCGGGTGAAAGTTCGAGGAGGACCGTATGATGTTGTATCCCAAACCAAAGACCAAGGCTGAGAGTGAGAGGTATGTGAGGATAATGATAAATAATAAAGAGTAGCGGTGTTGAAACAAACAAAGATCAGCACCTCTCCGTATAAAAAATATAAATGTACTGTACTTCCTGGTATATGTATATGAGATATATAAACTACCTGTACCAGCGCATCGCTCAAAGACCAAAGAAAGGCCTGGGGCCAGGTCGTGCTATAGAGGAATATGTTGAGCTTACAGTAGTAAGGAAGATAGATTGGCTCCGCCCACCCCGAGGTCCATGGAAAGTTGGGAAGTTAGAGCATGAGTACGTACTTGGTGCTGGGGGGGGGGGAGGAACAACGCGATCATGCCTCGGCATTTTATAGCGCCGTCTTGTGGGTAACCCCTCAAAATGATAGGAGGATTGCGATTGGCTGATACGGGTAGGTGGTGGGCTAAATACGATGAACGAAAAGTGTGGGGAAAGTACGTACTGTGTATGATGGTGCATCGGTTGCGGTGGAAAGGTTATGCCGAAATTTCACGTGCACTACTAGCCCCGCCGCCGGAATCTGCGGTAAGGAGATATCGTTCAGTCTAGTACCGCTTAATACCGTTTTAATTCCATTTGACGCCGTTAAGAGTACATGCTATGAAATACTGTTGAAGGCTATGAAATACTATAAAATAACCACGTGTGCTGTTGTATGTGGTTGAATTTGCGGTGAAGTTTGCTAGGTCACGTGCCGATTTTATCACAAATACCCTTTCATATTTACACTTACCCGGTAGAATTACTCGAGATAAGGACCCTATGTTTATCAAAGAATCCAAACCCCTGCAAACGATGCCGCCTGCGGAACATTGGAATTTAGTTCCTATCGCTTTTTTATACATTTTCCTAGATGCACATTTTCATATCTCATACTTGTGGGGTAAATGTGGGAACATACAGTACTAAGAGGCGTTTTTAGCATGACTAGAGTAACCTAAGATCTAAAACGGTGAGTCGGAACAAGGAAGTTCCGTCTCCATTACTCGGCAAATTCGGTAAATTCGGTAAATGTCCCCAGTATGACGTCTATCGGTATCCCGACCTCCGTCCCACCCGCGTCTCACTCTCACTGTCGGCCCCATCGCTAATCTAATCTAATCAATCCCCATCAGCGGCAACCTCCGCACCGCGTTGTTCACATTGGACCACCACGACCATGTGTAAATAGAGAGACAGCCCCCCATGGCAACCCCTCCGACTGACGAAGCTGAGGCTTCAAACGCTGTCCAGCGCACGGGCAAGCATGGCATTGATGACGGGGAAGCTCCCGCTGAGGCTGTGTCCGCAATCCCGAAAAAGAAGGGGCCTCCTCCTGAGAAGCCAGAGAACATCCGTATCAGGCTCTATGTGATGGCCGTGTCCTGGGCCATGGTGCTCTTTATTGGCCTGCCGATATGGTGGTGGACTACAGCTATATACCGGGCGGATCTTCCCTTGGATGCCATGATGGATTGGGCGGATGGACGAGTGAGTTGACACTGTCGGAGATTCTTGTGCCCCGTACATACAATACTAACTAACAACCCAGGCTTGCCGGCCAGTCTTTCCACTCCGCATCTCCATCGACACCGGCTCTCTGCAGGATCAAGAGGCACAGAACCTCCTACGAGCCACACAACTCGCTCTTGACGACCTCAACGACTTCTCCGCCCATCACCTGAGGCTACAACTCTCCGGTCCCCAGGTACCCCCACACACCCCCGCGAACACCTCCGTCCTCCCTACCGCAAACCAGAACGATGAAGAAGTTGCACTGCTCGTCCGCCTGCTCCCTGGGCAAACCACAGAGGCTGTTTTACAGCCGTATGCGCCAACTCTCGACATCCACTACACACCAAACCAGGTCCCGACGAGCGCATCGTCCTCGGCCCCTCTGGCAACCTACATAGCGACGAACCTGCGCGAGATTTTCGCTGAAGAACAGGCCATGATTGCCTACCTCCTCGCCACTAGCTCGTCGCCGCCAGAGCGGAGCCCCAAGGCATTAGCCCCTGAGGTCGCAGAAGCGCTCGCCAAGCGATCCACTCGTTCGATGAAGTACTCGCGGACGTACCACTTGACATTCTCTCTCTTCACGCCCTCTGCCACACCCTCGACGTGGGCTATTGAGCAGGCGCTGGAGGAGCACATGAAGCCCCTCCTGGATAGCTTTTCGGCGATCAGCAATTTCACTATTGACACGCAAGTTCAGCTCTATGCCCAGACTGGGGTAACAGGGGATATCCTCCGCAAAGAAGACCTGAGTGGCTTCATCAACCACGCTGAATGGCCGTTGAGCCCAAGCATCGGCGGCGCTCCAACACTGAACTTCATCATCTACATCGGTGACATGGAAGTCGAAGGCGGCAGCAAGAGCTGGCTCATCCCGCAATGGGGTGGTGTAATCATCCAACCCAACATGTAAGCGACCCCCCCCCCCCCACCTACCCTAGACTCTACTACAATCATACTAACACCCCCAAGTGACGACCTCCGCCCCGCAATGCTCACCTTCTCCAACCACCTCCTCGCCCTAATCGGCGCTCCCGAATCCCTCACCCTCCCCCTCCGCCTCAACACCCTAACGCGCGTCCGCAGCGCCGGACTCCTCCTCAAAGCCTCCTCCACCCTCGGCTCCCTCGCGCGCCTCACCCTCGCCCTTCCCTCCATCTCCATCCCGCGCAGCGTCGCCGACGGAGTCTCCACCACGCTCGCGCACCTGGAAGCCGCGTGTGATGGCCTGGGAGGCGTCGCGGGGCTGGAGAATGCGAGGGTGGCGGAGGAGGCGGCGGAGAGGGCTTTTTTTGAGAAGAGTATGGTGGGTCAGGTGTACTTTCCGGATGAGCATCGGATAGCGGTTTATTTGCCGCTGTTGGGGCCGATGGGGGTTCCGCTTGTGATGGGGGTGTTGAAGGAGGGGAAGGCGTGGTGGAAGAGGAGGAAGGGGGGGGTGTAGGTTAGGTTGGGTATAATATATGTAATACATGGGTTTGGTTTTGGAATATTCGTGACTGGGGTCTTGTCTTGAGATCGTGGTGTTAGATTTTCGTGCCCCTGAGCGAGGTTGTATCCAGCCATTGAGACACAACGACCATCAATAATCCTTTAAACGAGACAAATAAACATACAACCCCAATTAAAAAATCCCATCCTCAAACAAAACTCCGATCTATTCGAGTATTCGTAAGTCCAAGCCGTCCGTCGTTGTCGCAAGTATCCCCTCACAAACCATCCGAGCCTAAAATCCCAGGCACAAAACAACCACCTAAATTTCCACCTCCTCATCCTCACCACCACCACTACCCAACCCCAATCCTCACGCCCACAACCACCACACACAACCTACAAGCACCTCACCCACCCAGCGCTATACTACCCCTCCGCCTCTCCCACACCAACCCAACAATGCTCCCGCGCCTCCTCCTCTCCGCGCGCAGCGCGCTGCGCCCATCCCTCACCAAATGCGTAGCTCCCACAGCAACGAGGGCACTTTCTTCGGTAGCATTAGCGAAAACGGCAGCTGCGACGACGAGACCGACCGCGGCGGCGGCGGTGGTGAAGACGGCGGATGTGGCGATGGAGCAGGTTAGGGGGATGAAGGTTAGGAGTTCGGTGAAGAAGCTTTGTGAGGGGTGTAAGGTATGTTTTCTCTGCGCCGGGTCCTGAGGGGTGAGGGATTGAGGCTAATGCGATTTATATAGTCGGTCAGGAGGAAGGGAGGGAAGAAGGGGAAGGGACATGTGTATATTATCTGCTCGTTGAACCCGAAGCATAAGCAGCGCCAGGGATGAGTTGGGGTGGAGGATTGGATTGGGGATTGAAGACTATTCTTGAGGAGGCAGGACGGGCAATTGGTGGATGACACACGCGCATTGGACCTGTTGAGGGGGATGGGAAGGCTTGGAGCGAGAGGAAGGGTTGTAAGACATACAGATGTGAAGGGGCATAGCATTTATGGCGTTTTGGGAATGTTGGAATAGATAGTAGACTGGGGAAGTGTATGATATATTACAATATGTACAAAACCGCTCTATACACTCTATAAGTTCTCCGTCTTGAAGCACAGTTTTCCTGGCTTCGTGCCCAAAATATCCATTCGATCTCCTACAACACCGCGGCTATATATTCTTGCGCCTGTCCGCGGATTGTTGCTTCGTATGGTATGGGCCTGGGTTCGACGAGGGAGATCTCATAACCCGTCGATGTATCGCTCCGTGGCATCCCACTGTGATTTCCCCGTTGATATGAGGTATTTGATCTGTGACTGTTCCCTCATCATTAGCTTCAGTCTCAATGAATCCAATGCCGGGTTTTGACAGCTCCGAGTGAAGAAGGCAATATTGCAACACTCTCCCCCCCCACCACATCACATCCACCCCTCCCATTCGCAAGCACTGGGTGTGTAAACTTACAATATCCTTCACGTCTTTATTCCGTTCAAACTCATCCCTTGCCATCTTTCTTGTCTCCGCCCTCGTCTCAAGATCGGCGATGCGCTTCGTGTCTCGTAAAACTCGTCGCCATAGGCTCAGCACCTTCCCTCGTTGTAAGAACTACTTCAGTTAGCGCATAATCCTCAAAACATAAATGCAAGACAGTAAGGTTTTGGGAAAGAGCGACTTACATGTTCCAAGCTGACCGTAGGCCCGAATCGGGATTTCGGTCGCCTTGCCGCTTCGCTAGCAAAGAAGCGATTCCGACCATGATCTATGCACCGCGCACAAACCGTGGCGGCGGGCCGACTAATCCATCGCATCCTCCACAACCTAAGCAATCAATTGGAGGTTGCGCATATAACTGTCCTCGAACAAATCGCATGAATCCATCGAGAGGCGCGCGGCGGGCTAGATGACGGAGATTATAAATTCTGCTCCACCTCACCGCTTTTGAAGGCGCTGGATTGGGTAATTGTAAACAGCACGAGGAGGACGGGAGCTTTGGATTTTTTTGAGATCTAACGCACAGAATGGCAAATACTAAGAAGCCTCTCGGGATTGATATTGCGAATGCGAAGAGTCTTTTTGATTTTCTCAAGGATTATTTACCAATTGAGTGAGTACGTCCTTGCCAATCTAGGTTCACATGACTAACACCCACAGCACCCCATGGACGTCTTTCACCCACCCCGCAACTAAGGAGAAATATACGATTGAGCTCCAAAATTCATCCAATCTCACCCGCGATGAACTCACGACTTGCTTTTCCCTGGTAGAAGAAAGCAGCAAGGGGGATTACTCCGCCAGCAAGCAAGGATGGAAACCCGCCGCCAAACGGCGAGAGATGCGCCTACTCGAGTTGAAATACCTCCTTGTTCGCAGTACCAAACCTCGTGATGGGGAGGAAACGGGAAAGCCAGGAGATATCGAAGCATTCGTTAGTTTCATGCCCACGATTGAAGATGATCAGGAAGTTCTCTACGTTTATGAGATTCACCTTGCCCCCTCGCTGAGGCGGTCTGGGCTGGGTAGGAGGCTTATGGGGGTTGTGGAGAGCGTGGCAAGGAGGATTGGGGTGGAGAAGGTTATGTTGACTTGTTTTACGAGGAATAAGGTGGCTAAGGGGTTTTATGAGGGGATTGGTTATGGGAAGGATGAGTTTAGCCCGCTGCCGAGGGTGTTGAGGGATGGGAGGGAGGTGGAGGAGGCCTATGTTATATTGAGTAAGAGGGTTGGAGGAGTTGAATAATACTCTCGGAGCTGGAGCTGGAGCTTTCGATGCTGGGGAGAGACATGCACAGTGGAGGATATCCAGATGGCAATATACATTTTTTCTCGATTTGGACTTCTCGACACCCCTTACATTGCGCAATACTGAAATAGCAATCACATACGAAGCTTGAAATTCAGTGACTTGATACTCTCAATCGTGCTAATAGGTATAGCGTACCTTAAGTGCCTTGCTCATATCCGCCAATTGTAAGACATATATCTACATATGTCATATCCGCCATGTGGTTTTGATATGTAGACATATCAAAACCACACAAGGCAAAGTTAATAGTAGAATATAAAGCGATAGCTCTTGCTCTCTAGGTAAGGAAGCGCCATGATTGGCCTAGCACCCTGCACAGCCGCCTCCTACCAGCCTCTACGCACGCTGCTTTCTAGTTTGAAGTACTTGCAGCATGACCGACTCTTCTCTCGATCCTTGTGCGGGGAGAATTTCTGGTATTGGGACTCAAACACACAACCATCTTTAACAAGAATGGCACAGGCGAGGTGAGTCTGCTTCGTGTTGTACGTCATTGAGATATAGCCAAACAACCTGGAGTTAGTATGTCGTCACGAACTAAACATTTGGATCGCTGCCGAGTTTGAATGGAAGTTCTAGAGGGTCAGTACTATTAGCGGCACTCGGAGGGTTCCACATTTGACAAGTCACCCTACCCTCCGGGGCATGAGCGGAAGGAACCCGGGGAGCACCCGACACAATGAAGACGCCAGAATAGATGTTTTATTTTTATTTTAGTCGCCGATCGCCAGAACCGAAAACGCAGGGACTTACTTGGCGAAGAAACTATGTAGTCTGTTGACAAGATCTGAATAATTTGGACTGGTGACTATTTAGCGTAGAATTTTGATGGAGTTAAATACGTAGTACGGGAAACTACGTAGATAAGGGATTGATTCGCAGAATAAAATCGCGGGATGACGATGTGATGTGTAGTTTATACTCTGCAGCTCGAAATCATGCCATTCTAGACCAGGATCTAGACCAGTCTATATTTTTATCATATTAATGACTTCTATACCTTCCCCATATCATATTTTCCACGGTATATAGGTAGACACCAAGGTTTTAACTAAGAATCGCCACAGGATACGATATAAAAACCACACAGAAGGCCAAGGACATTGTCCTTCCCTACATCTGATGTTGCCATTGCAAAGGACCCTGGCAGCTTTTCTAGACCAGGGTGATGAGACAATCCCTGACCGGGCAGATCCCAAATCCGACATGCCGGGCACTACATCTAGCGACATCGACTCATTGAAGGTTATCGTCATCGGCGCTGGCATCGGAGGTCTCGTCCTCGCGCAGATACTCCACTCAACGCCGGGAATACAGCTGTCATGCTACGAGCGGTACAAAGCTATCGATGATCGCGTTGTCGGGTTCCGCGTGATGCTGTCGGGCACGACGCTGTCGATGCTGAAGCGCAAAATAAAGAGCGACATCTGGGCAGACCTCGCCTTCGGCATCGGGGAGCAGCCGGAGGGAGGGGAGAAGATCGAGTTTTTCAAGGGAAATGGCAACAAGATGCTCACCTGGGACTCGGACCCCACGAAGGACCAGTATTCCGTGTCGAGGTGGCACCTGAGAGAAGCCCTCGTGAAGGAGGCTTCCTTTGTCCGGACAGGTATTTCCTTCGAGCGCTATGAGGTGCTGCCGAATGGAAGAGTGAGAGCATTTTTCAGTGACGGGAGTACCGACGAGTGTGATCTCTTGGTAGGTGCAGATGGCACGAACTCGAATGTTCGAAAGCAGTTGCTCAACCATGCCACCATTAAGGACTTGGGCATGGTAGTCATTTATTTCAAGGTCCCGCTTACGGAAAGGTCCTTGAAGTTATTAGGGTCTCCTGGTAGATCAATGGTAAAACTTCCCGCCCTGCCACGCCCGTATGTATGGTCCTAAAGCTAACTCTACGCATACCTTCTGCCCAAACAATCAATATATCATGCTCGCCCCCTGGCAGAATCCCCTCGCCCCCTTTTCTACACGCTACACCCAGCACACCATCGATCCCGAAGACTCCTACATCATGCTCGGCGCCGGGTCTCCCCACGCCAACTTCCACAACCGCCGCTGCTCCCCTAACGAACTCACCCAGTCTGAGCTACAAGCTGAGGTGCTCGCGCGCACTTCTCAGCCAGGCATCCACGCTCGCTTTCGCGAGCTCGCCGAGATGGTCTGCCTTGACACAGCCTACGTGAACATCGTTCGCAAAAGCGAGGCCGTCCACCCCTGGACCTCTTCCCCTAATATCACCCTCCTTGGCGACGCCGTTTTCAACATGAGCAACACGCTCAGTCGCGGTGCGAACTGCGCGATAATGGACGCCGCCGCCCTTGCGGACCGCATCACATCACCGGAGTACAGGCGCGAGCGGCACCAGCCGGCCGCTCTGGATGACTATGTGAGAGGGAACATTGAGCGGCGCGAGGTCGAGCGGCAGCGCTCGGCTATGATGCAGAAAATTATGTTTTCGGGGCAAAATAAGCTAAGGGGATTTATAAGGAATAAGGCGCTGCCGTCTTCGCTGAAGAAGATCGATAGCTTGGATCGTGAGGAGCATGAGGGAGTGAATTGGATCGGCAGCGATGGGGAGGGAAGTGTGGACTCGACGGGGGAAGAGCCGAAGTGGGTAGAGGAGCTGAAGTGGGACGAGATCTTTGAAGGGAGGCATGGCCATGAAAAGGGTTAGAGATGGAGCTACTGAGCATATAGGCGCTAGTGCCCGATGATTTGCGGTTTAACAACTGGGGGACTGTTGACTACTGCGTCAGTCCTTGGGGTTCCCGCGTTGTACATAACTTCTCTCCTATCTACCTCTCGTCACTTCCGCATTTCGTCGCCTGCGACGATATTTATACCACTACAGCTCCATAACTATCACATACGGGTGCCAACTAGCGAATACCAAGTGTTGTATGTTTTTATTTATTTATGCTTCTTGCTTCGGTATTATATTTTGGTTGCGTACGAGACAGAAGAAAACTTCGTCCGTGCGACTGCTTCGCTGTCTCTAGTCGAAGCTGTAGCCTCCACACAGCCTATATCCACCTTGGTTCCGCCCAAAATTGAGATATTGAAACGATCCGCAAAGCCCAACAAGAGGACTTCGCCCAGCATTGTCTATCACGCTCGCAGGAATGACCGCAATCTGTGACTATTGCTGCGTCATTGATAGGATCGACCTTTTTGGGTATAGACGCGAGGCCTTAAAAACCTCATTTTCCATCAGAGCCTTTTCATAGACCACCATCCCTCGATACTAGCCATTGGTATAAAGGTGAGTTGCCGCATTTAGTGGGTGGCTGGCTACCTTCAGGATATAACAGGGAAGCGCAGCATCTTCAACGTGATTCCCATATGGAACATCTGACACCAAGAATTCCACATCCAGGATTCAGTTGCCAGTCGCTGTACCCGTCGTCATAAACCGCGTGATAGCATTGAGATCTCTTGAGATCCCCGCCGGATTCCGACTCCCACCATCTCCATAAGCATGTTTCTTCTCACCACCTTCCTCATCCCCTTCCTCCTCCTCCTCTTCTTCCTCCTCGTCGCTCTCGGCATATATATCATCCAGCGAAGACCTACTCAGCTGCGCCGCCTTCGCAACTTGAGGTAACACGTAATCCTTCGCGAAGCTCCACAGCTCATCAAGGTCCTCATCTTGTCCTCCCCCTACGTTCTCTGTTTTCCCAAGTGCGCGCCCTTCCTCGACCCAGCTCTCGGCGCTCGGCTCGAGCTTCTTGCGTAGTAGTTGCCCGACTAAGCCTTCCTGGGTCCGGCCGGGGAAGTTGGTGGAGGTGTAGACGACCGTTTGTGCGAAGAGGTCGGAGTGTTTGGAGAGGTGGTCGGTGATGTTTTTGAGGCTTTGGGCGAGGATTGTGGAGTGTACTTGGATTGAGTCTCTGTGGATGTATTGTCAGTTTTTATCCCATTTGGACTTCCCATCTTCTGAATGGGGTAGTTGGGGTATTCGTACATTGGTGGCATGACCGGAGATCGTAATATGTCGTTCTTGAGGGCGCCGATGCTCTTGGTTAGCTGATCCAGTCGCGTTCGCGTCTGGTCAATGGCGCGCATTTCATCGGAGTTGAGGCTCGTCATACTGGGCGAATTTCACTTGTATCTTGCGATGGTAACAAGGAGTATGATTGTACGGATAAATATCATCGAAGTGTCGTGGGGGTTCGCCGGGTGGACAATGCAAGGCTGACAATCGGCGGAGTTGTCGATCTGCCCAATTATCTGGCAAGGCTGTCAAATGGGTAATTTGTCCTCCCCACTCTCCCTTTGTTTGAAGTTGATTTTCAGCAGCCTATGAAGTAATCTTACAATAAATTTACAGCGGCAAGTCTTTATTTACCTAATAATGGATTTATATTGGCCTACTATGATCATCGGTATGAGTGTGGCCATTCGGAGTCTCAACATCTCGAGGGTATGAGCATCAAACACCGGATATCATCATGGGGCAAACTCATGGCACTTCTTTCAAAGTCGATATTATAGTATTAAAATATTAAATAGCGACATCAACTGCGTATCAGGAGTCAAGCTACGGAAACGAGAAATATCAAGCGTCAGAGCCTATCCGCGGCGACGAGTAGTTGGGCTCTTGCCCTTACCCTTCGTTGGAGTGGCGGTAGATTGGCCAACAGCTGGCTTCTCCTTCTGCTTCTCCGCAGCCTTCTTGGATGGTGCATTCCAGTAGTATACCATCTGAGCGGCCAGCACAGCATTGAGGGCAAATCCAGCAATGTATCCGTATAGGATCAGGTTGTCATCCACCTCTTGTAGGGTTGTAAAGATGCGTGACAGCGAGCCAGCCAAAAAGTTGAAGACCTGCGCATTAAAGTCAGTATAGTGCATCTATGACTTGGGAACATCCTGTGACTTACAGCAAACGCGCTCAACTGTCCAGTTCCTCCCTGCTGATAGATTGTTGCGATCTGCGGCAGCTTGCTTGCGACTCCCAGGACTCCAGCGCCAGCTTGGAAGTAGCTCAGTGTCTTCATGTTCACCAGATCAGCGTTGAACATCGTCGTCAGGCCCATTGCGAGCGCCGCGACAAAGATCGCCGCCTGCGTGGCGCGACCGCTGTACTTCAGCACCAGCACCGAGATCACAATATTCTGCACCACGATGAGTGCCGTCTCGCCAAACGTGCTGAACGGGAAGCCCGAGCGAACATTGTACGCCAAGCCGATCAGGTATGCCGACGTCTCCAGGAGGTAGCTGAGGAAGGAGATACCCGACGCGGATTTCGAGTTGACGAGCTTGAGGATCTGGGGAACCTTGACGACGGAGCTGGCGCCAATGATGCCGATTCCGAGGCCTTTGGAGATGGCGAGCTTGATGCATTCGGTCGCGGTTGGGTCGATTTCAAGGAGAAGCGTGTCGTAGCATTGTCTGCCGAGGATAGAGACTCCGAGTTCACGGATCGGCGCGGGGAGGTTGTGTGTGATGGGCTGCAGAGCAGCGCGTACGGAATCCATAGCGATGGTGTGTGGAATCTGAGGGTGGTGGCAGGGCTTGGGTTTGTGATATAGCTCAGAGAAGTAAGTGCTGGAAATTGTTCGCTATGACGCCGAGCTGGAGTATTAGTTGCTGCGATAACGATCTGACGATCTGAGACCGCGCTAGCAGGAAGCCACACCTCAGCTTCTTTGTTGACAACGTACTGCTGTTGAAGAAAGGCAAACATTTCGTCACATGTGTAAAGTATTATAGCATAATTTGTTGCAACTAGTGATATTGCTAACTAGGAGTGACCTCTTGAAGCATATTTATGTAGATCATCCCTTTTGTTTTGAACCTTTTATGACAAAGAATGGAGCTGTGGACCAGATCGGATTATAACGAAGGTCCTCGCATGTAATATAGGCCCCTTCGTCGTAATTCCACCAGTAGATGTCAAAAGTTATTTGTTTTTGAAGCTTCATGGTCTGATCGTTGGACCTTCATGTTCTGTTTGACTCAACGCGATTGTAGACGATCGACATTCAAACCCCTCCCATTGAACGCCGAAGAATAAAGCAAAAAAGCCTTCCAAATATCAACAGAGCAACAGGCAACAGGCAGCAGGCAGCAGGCAGCAGGCAGCAGGCAGCAGGCAACAGTAATGCCAGCAGACATACGGAGGTTAGAATGTCTGTTTAGCCTATGATGTTTTCTCAGCCGCCTTCAGAGATGGACGGCCGAGGCGATTGTTTGCCTTAGGTCCACCAGGGTTGCCAGGATGAGCATCGAAATATTCATCAATAGCTTCCGTCGAATTCTCCAAGTTAGAGCGCGGTTCCCATGTAGCCTCCTCTATCGAAAATCCCTCCCACAGGACGTAAAATTTGAGCTCCCCGTCCTTGACACGTGAATCAAGGACTCTCTCAACTTCATATTCTTCGTCCTCTCCGGAGTCATCCTTCCCATTTTTCTTTCCCTGGGGAAGTAACACTGCATTAGGCCCAAAAATTTGAAATATAAACACGCGTCATGGGTTTAATTGCAACTTACTGGCTTCACCTTGGTGAGGTGGTCTTCACGTTTACGAAGTTCTTCAAGCAGTTTCTTGTATCCATTTCTGTCCTCGGGCGTCTAGCGAGGTATATTAGCATGCATAATATTATATGAATATTGCGATTTCACTAACTGCTCTTTTCCCAGGCTGACGAATATCTTTCAAGGCTCGTCTGTAGCCATACGTTGTAGTCGACCTCTGCGCTCCACGCCTGGACCTCACTGGGCCAACCATTGTGAGGATGGTGTATAGGCTTTTCAAGACACCAGCAGCTTCCTTTTCAATAGTAAGTGCAGTCAATTACTCAACTACCTTAATCTGAAGTTGTTGTATTTTGATGGTTGTTGTTGTTAAAGGTACGAGAGTTGCAGATGTATGGTGGTTATAACATATGAAGGCGGCTAAGCTCGCTTAATTTGATCATTGCAACTCATATAACTTCCAGAACAGTTGATATTCTACTCGAATATTCGGATTTGTAGCTTCTAATCAGACAGTTCACTTTTTTTATATCTGTAGCTCTCTAAAAAGAGTGATTTTCACAGGTCACATGGTGAAAATCGCGCGGTCATTTGTCTACACACCCATTCATATTCTTTGCCACAAGCGGCTATGATCAATTTAACACCATGCTTGTGAGAGTCAAGCAGAGGCTTACGTACTGAATATATCCATCTATCGATATTCTAGGAGAATATACTAGACCCTGTTGATTTCATACAGACCGTACTGAGAACCCCAATAAGTGCACTTTTACGGACCTTCTGGCATCGTAGGCAACCCTGCGGCAATTCTGTTCGTGTTCACTTGCAATAGTAAGTTGCGAAGTGCTGAACCGTCGTTAACATTTTGAGACAAGATAGCTTGTGGCCAAGTAGGAGGGTGTTGCGGCTGTGTAGCTAATCTTTGGGTTGCTCCTGTGGATGAGTATCCGCATGGACCAATGTCAACATCGAATAGGTGTGATAGTCTGCTCATTTGCCTAAATATGCTTTCCCATAACCCAGAGTTGATTGTAATTTTATGGAACCGAATGCTTCTAATTGATTCCTTGGATTGTGTAATGAGAGAAGTGAGGGCATCGGCTGAAGTTTCCACCCCTTCCAAATCAACATGTTTGAGGCGGAGCAAACGGGTAAATTCGAAGTTTGTGAGAACTATCAAAGATTCGCTGCTTATTGCAAGGGAAGTAATATCGACAGCGAGTTCAACAAGCTGGAAAATATAGAACGCATGAGTCCGGTCAGAGTGAGTATACGGACTCAGTTTCCCACCAATGTGCAACCCTAGGTGACGAAGGCCCCGTAGGGTATGTTCGATGGGTATTTGTAATGTACCAGGTTTGTTATCCAATAACTTCCCAAAGTCAGGAGCAAGCGGGAGTGTGAACTCCAGTTCAGTCAAGTTTGAAAGCAGCCCATAGCGCAATGCAGCAATGACGGTTTTAGTGGCTGTTGTCTCATTTTCCCAGGGCAAAGAAAAAGACGCGTCGTGGAACCCAAGGGCCTTAATATTTGGAAGTCTAGCTAAGCAACCTGGTAATATTCCGGCAAGGTCTTCCTGATATAATGAGACCGATTCGGCGCTTAAATTGTCAAAGAACCGAAACCCGACGTCGAGCCGTTGTACATATACGGCATAGGGACTTTTAGAAATCTCGATAAGTCTCACTAGAGGCGATTCTTTTTGAAAGGGAACACATATGGCCACGATGTGTCGAAAGAGCAGCGGCGAGGCAATGGCACAAAAACCTCTATTGACTAGGCGCAGTGATGTGAGGTATTGTACCGCGTTGCGTCGAGGATTGAACCCCTTGTATGGAGAAATGCAATTTGCTTCATTCTCAACGCATAACACAATCTGTAATGAGTATGTTAGCACCAGGCTGGTATCAAGTTAGAACAGCATAGCACAGCTCTTACGGCGTCACAGATCTCCTGGGGAAGTCTCATGCCGACGATTTTGATAATTTGTATATTTCCAGTGCCTGAATTACAAATCAGGCCACTGCCTCTGCTTCTGATGCAGTTTGCGAATTTTAATCAGATAGACGCACACATATCAGCGTGTGATAAGGTTGGAGTTATGTGGTTGTGAGCTTGAGACGTGGGTGAGGCTATATAGGATTACATAACATATACGATCACATGACCTATGTTTAATCACGTGGTTATTATATTCACCAAGATGATTTTCACAAGCAAATACACTAAATACAAGCATCTTTCCCCGCATTTCAGACTCCAAGGGGCCCGCCGGGAACCCCCGGAATGCACGTGTGGGGAAAGACTGGGGAAGCAATATATTGACCTCAACAGAACTGTTTCTCTTCGTCTCTGGAAATTCATTTAATTGAACATTCATATCCCTTGTTCACGGCGTATAAACGCGTCCAATCCCATCATGAGCACCCCCCTTGGTCCCCTCTCGACTCCCCTCCCTCCACTCCCTGATGATGTTTTCACCTCGGCACAATGGTCCATCCTCCTTGCCCTGATGGACACTGTTGTGCCCCGGATTGTAAGGGCTTCTGCAGCTTCGCCTTCGCGCGCGATTGACGAGCTCGTCATCTCGGAGGAGGAATATGGAGCAATTGCGCGCGCGGCAGGAAACAAGGAGGGAGAAACCCTGGACGCGTACCTGGCAGAGCGGCCGAGCGAGAGTGAGGACTTCAAGGGGTTGTTGAGGAGACAGCTCGTGTCATACGCGAGGGAGGACCAGAGGAGACCACTGATGATAATATTGTCGGTTCTGAGGTAGGCCATCCTGCTTCGCGTGAGATTGGGAGCTCGAACTTACTGTTATTTCTCAGCACCCGCCCAGGAGCGCTCCTGCTCACGGGCTATGCCACGCCTCTGGACCAGCTTGACATTAAGTCCCGAACAGCAATCCTCCAGGGCTGGGGCACGAGCTATCTCGGCGCCATGCGTACTCTCTACAATACCTTGACGTCCATTGGAAAGATGATTCACATCAAATCCTCGCGCCTTTTCCCCACTGTTACGGGATTCAGTGCCATCCCGCTGAAATACTCGCCAGGCCCCTCGTATGAGTACACGTTCTTGCAGTTCCCTGAGTCCCAGACACCTGCCATCCTCGATTTTGACGTGGTGATCGTCGGCTCTGGACTCGGCGGTGGCATCTCAGCTAAGAACCTCGCCGAGGCCGGCTTCTCCGTCCTCGTCATTGACAAGGCATACCACTACACGTCCGCACAACTCCCAATGACCGAGGCACAGGGGATGATCCACCTCTTCGAGAATGGCGGCGTAATCCCGAGTGAAGACTCCTCGATTAACGTCCTAACTGGCTCCAACTTCGGCGGCGGCGGCACTGTCAACTGGTCCGCCGCGCTGCAGCCCCAAGGCTTCGTGCGCAAAGAATGGGCCGAGGACCGCAACCTCCCCCTGTTCACATCCGCCACATTCCAGGAATCCCTCGACCGCGTTTGCGAGCGCATGGGCGTCTCCGACAAGCACATCCGCCACAATCACGGCAACAGGATCCTCCTCGAGGGCGCGCGCCGCATGGGGCATACCGCCAAAGCCGTTCCGCAGAACACGGCCGGCAACGAGCATTACTGTGGCCACTGCATTATGGGTTGCTCTAGCTGCGAGAAGCAAGGGCCAAATGTGTGCTGGTTGCCTGACGCGGCACGCGCGGGCGCCCAGTTTGTCGAGGGCTTGGCAGTCGAGAAGGTCTTGATGGATGGGAAGAAGGCGGTTGGTGTTAAGGGACTGTGGACGTCGCGTGCGGGCGGCAAGCGTGAGGTTATCGTCAAGGCAAAGCGAGTCATTGTCGCAGCCGGCTCGATCTACTCACCACACATACTGATGAACAGCGGAATTAAGGTGCGTTCCCAAGCCCAAAGCCCCTGTTGCCCCTTTTTTCGTATCGGCGCTGACAAATCTGATTTCTAGAACAATCAAATTGGCCGCCACCTTTACTTGCACCCTGTCAACGTTGTCTCTGCCTTCTTCAAGGAAGAAGTCCGCCCCTGGGAGGGTGGCATCCTCACGACTGTCTGCTCTTCCTTCGAGAACCTAGACGGTCACGGCCATGGCGTCAAACTCGAGGCAACCTGCATGATGCCCTCCCTCTGCCTCTCCATGATCAACTGGAACTCCGGCACCTCCTGGAAGACCACCGCAGCCAAGTACCCGCACATGAACTCGTACATCTCACTCACGCGCGACCGCGACCCCGGCCGCGTGCTCCACGGCCCCAAGATCGAGTACACCCCCAGCGCATTCGACCGTCGCCACGTGCTCACGGGTCTGATCGAGATGTCGCGCATGCTCCTCGTAACGGGCGCGCGCGAGATCCACGTCAACGTGCCTGGCATCCGGCCATTCATCGTCGATGAGACCGGCGGCGACGCGACGTGCGAGGTCGTGGATCCGCGCTTCGTGGATTGGATTGCGCATGTGGAGGCGGTGGGCAATTCTCCGCCGAACGCAACGTTTGCGTGTGCGCATCAGATGGGGTCGAATAGGATGAGTGCGAAGAAGGCGGATGGAGTTGTTGATCCGGAGGGTAGGGTGTGGGGCACCAAGGGACTGTATATAACGGATGCCAGTGTGTTCCCGTCGGCGAGTGGGGTGAACCCCATGGTGACGAATTTGGCGATCAGTGATATCACGAGTCGTGGAATTGCGGCGGGTCTGAAGAAGGAGACGGGGACGAAGTTATAAGGGGCAGTCGCGAGCCGCTAAAGTCAGGAGAGGGGGATGCGGCGAAGCGTTGTGATACCAATACTGTGTAGCTCTGACTAGCTCCGAGTTAGTTAATACTGTAGTACATGCTAAAGTTCAGTTTTCGTTTTCCAAGATCATCTCAGTTTTCTCCGAAGGTCCGTTGCACAGCATTTCTAAGTTTGCTGTCGATTTTCGCCAGCTGTCTGTTGCCTCCCGGTTGTCCTACGCTGTCAGATTTCATCCAATAATTACAGCGTATACGTTCTGCCTTACCGCAATGCCATATACCGGTCTATCGCTCTCTAAACGAGCACTGCCATGGATGAGAGCTGCGCCAACTTGAGGTCTTCCTGATGAGGCCTTGGGCCTGCTCCACAGCGGCCGAAAGTGGCCCGCTGAAAGGGTCATGGATTTCCATGGCGCCTACATGGAGCCCAGATGTAGAGTCGCAGGGCGCATATGCTAGGCTATCTTGACTACCGTTTTATTTCCTTCGGTGCACGGAATTGAGGATAAATATTACAGAGAAGATGAGATATTTCTGAGGTAAGCTGAGATAAATGCGCTAGTTGTTATTTCAAGGGATATCAAAGTGTTAATACTCCGCTGGTAACTCCCGGATAGGTGGGGTCAGATCCATCGAAGAAGCTATATGGATATTAGATTAGTGATCAGGGCCAATACTCATCAAAGAAAGCCCCACCAGATTCCAACAAGAGTGTGAAAAATGACATATACCATTTCTTGGCCGCAACCAAAAATTCCCAATACAGCCGGCCCTATGGTGTCAGTACATGGCCGTCATAATATCCAACACGTGGTCCGTCGTTGCGTTTCATCCAGAGTCCCCCCCGGCTTAGAGCCAACATCGCGCGACCCGCGCGCCTATTCCATCAAAGGCGCCTCGTGCATCGCCATACTAGCCAAATCTAAGTTGCGCCATTCTTATCATGCGTGGAATAAGATGAAACCGCCGTTTCTGGCGCGGTATTCGGCTCTTCAGGCGAACGTATCGCTATTCTGAACCAACATCGAGGAGACGGCCTGACAAACGGCCAACCTTGATGGTTGTTCGACATGGGAATTCCAACATTACCGATGCCGTCATTCTGGGAGGGGCGGAAAATTGAAGCGCTGATCGCTGCGTGGCCGATCTAAGAGATGCGTACCAACACGGCCACACCCTCAGTTTGCAAGCTCAATATCGATGGGCCCATCCCTTCACTGACGTTTTGGGAATTCCAATAACGTTGACGCCCTTCTTACGGACACTTCAGACAGAATGATGAAGCGCCAACTTTTTATTGTCTTATGTTGGAAGGCCACCACCAACAGTGCCTCCTCTCGTCTGGCGCTACTGAAGCCCGGGACGCTGTTCTACCGTCACTAAACTCAGAAGGAGAATACCAACATCACTGCTGCCCTCCATCATGGAGCAGTTGAGATGTGAAGCGCCGGCCCTTCGTGCGGATAGCCATATCCTCTACTGGAGCTGGCCAATGACAATACCTAGCCGTATTTTGGGCGCTTGATTATACCACCTGAAAGGACCTTCATTCTGGCCAGGCTTTCCGAAATCCGAGTTCTGGATGCCCATGGCTGAGCGTTGGTGTTTCGCAGAGCGCGGCGTCTATTTGATGCTATATTTGATGATTTTAGAGTTGGGATAGAATGATGTTGGGACTGTGAATCAGTATATATGTCCTGTTAGTGTCCACCATAACTCCAGCCGAACAAGCACGATACAACGGCATCAGATACAGTTCAACTTCAACACTTGCATCTTTATTCCCAGTTTTCCATCATCATATCATTTTAATTGGAGCCTTTTGGGAATTACATTTTGCAAAGATGTGGAAGTGGATAGGTACGCTTTCACTTCAATAACCTCAGGCGTCACACAGCTGACAACCCCCGTTTAGAAAAGATTGGGCCCATGTGTATTGCACACTTTCTATTGATACCTATCATCACCACATCAAGTAAGGATCCATTTGTCTCATCAGCTGCATGTTCTCTCATACTCACTGTCGTCACGCAGTTTTGTCCATGGTGGGCTGCATCTCAATCTCCCCGGTGATACCCCAACTTTTTATCGCCGAGCTCCCCGACAGTAACGTCCAGTTTGGCTACATTGGTAAGCAGCAATCTCCATTTTTGTGTATACACGACTAACAATTAGACAGGGATCTGCAAGACAGGAGGCAACGCCACAATCTGTACATTAGCCCTTGCAACCCCCCCTGCGGACCTGGCCACGAGACTATCCCTCTCAATCGACGTCGTCCACCATGTCCTCACCCTTCAGCAATCCGTATCCCTCGCTCTTCCCGCCCTGAACAGCATCCTCATCGCCGTCGGTTATGTCGCCTTCTGGTTTGGATGGGGGATGACTGACGAGAAGTCTGTAAAATCGCGCCGCCGCTGGATTGCCACCACTCGGATCGTGCTGTGGAGCGCTGTTGGTACTGCCTTTGCCGCGGCATACTTGCTTACCTTCAGCATCAGGGCTATGGAGGTGGTTGCGCCGCCAGCCCAGCCGACGACTTCGACGACTTCGACGACTCTGACGACTTCGGCTGGGCTGGCTGTCACGAAGGGTTCGCCGTTGCAGGTTCTGCAGTGGGCGGTGTTTGTCTTCACGGCACTGTTTGTCAGCACTATCCATTATATACTGCACAAGATTGTGAAAGAAGCCCGCGACGGGATTCTACCGAAGGTCGAAGTTCGTACTGGTGATACAGCAGCAGCTGGAAGCGATCCGAAAGCGAGCACAGAAAATGATGCACCAGCGACAGCAACATCAGGACCACCATCAGCACCGCCGCTACCGCCGCTAGCAATGCCACCACAGAACCTCCAATATAGCGCAATCCATTCCGTGTACTAGTGTGGGAGTTAAAGAAGGCAATTTGGAGAAACCTTGTTCCCATCAACAGAATAGTCGGTTGTCTTAAGGTATACAGGCATTTACGGGAGTATACGTGCATTTAACCTATTGGAGGTGTTATTACAGAAGGACTTGCAGGCGAGTTCGATTGGAGTTTCAGCGAATACTGGCAGAAAGCGCGGCATTGTTGGCGTTTGACGTTTGCATTTTGCCACAGAAATTATGGGATGGGGTAAATTGTACAGAACAGCACGGGACATTTAGAATATCAGAGCAATTTGAATTGAATACTTCATGGACTACGTTTAAGGGGAACTCTCAGACAGAGAATGATACCAGATCATCTTGGTACTTAAATGAATGTAACATTGAATATAGCTACCGATTCGACGAACTTCCTTGAACTGACAATCGAAAGACAAGTCCAGGTCGCACTAATGCACCGGATTATCTGGTTCGAAAAGGGGCCGCTTCTCGGTGGTGTTTTCCACCCAGACCTTGGGTTCTTGACGCGGAGTCCTTTTATCACTGTCGTGTACTTCTCACCGTCACGTAACCTTGCTGCTGTGATTGATTATTTTAACGGTGGTGGTCTGAGCTGCCGTGTCGTGTAACATTTGTCTCATTGGCACCATATTAAAACGGGAGGCCCAAATCTATCACAGGACGTAATCCATTTTTATTGTTAGATCATGTAGAAATCCTCTATGGTATGAACTAATATATTCCATGGTCCTCTTCTGTTTGTGTAAAAATAGTAGAGTAAAATAATAGTAATATAATATCTACTTAAGCAGAACAAAAAAACCCAAAGACATGTACAACTGGTATTTGCCAGTAGCCAGGTGGCAGAATCTACAAAGTCGCGGTACGTTGTTCTGAGAACCATTTAAACCATTTCACCCAAGTTACAATTATAAGACCACTTATAAGTCGAACTGGAACTTCTCTGCCTCTTCGTCGTTATCGGCGTTGGTGGTTGGTAGTGAAGGTCCCTCTCACCCCCATCTTATCTCCAACTTACCCCGCTAACCCCGCACTGGCGCTAAGCGTTTGTAGTGGAGACGAAAGACATTCCCCAATCGCCCTTTCTGCCTCTCTCTCAACACACTTTCACAACCCATATACCCTTACTCTCATTGATCCGATGCACGACTCTTAAGGAAATTATTAGCTGTTCTGGTTCTCACATAAGGAGAGGATTCTACTACCGGTAGTGGTTAGCACAACAGACGTCGGCATGGCTGGGGAGCCGAGATCCAGTGATGGAGGGCCGCGACGGCGCACCAAAAAGGCCTGTGTAACGTGCCAGGAGAAGAAGCTCAAGGTATGTATGTACGCGCGGATAGATGGTTGGAGTCCCCGAGACTGCGCTTCTGACGATTCGTATTTCTCGTGGTAGAAATACATACATACATGACACTAAGACGGTTATATGATATAGTGTAGTGGCCTCCAACCTTGTACCGCGTGCTCCTCACGCTCAACCCAGTGCACGTACGCAGACATTCCTCGAGACCGCGCCCGGATCCACACAAGGCAGCAACGTTATGGGCGCAATCTTCAATCCACCCAGGCCCACGGGCACCTCTATCCTCGCGCCTCCCCAAAACTGCCGTTGCCGCAAAACCAAGGCTCAAACATACCCCCAAGGACGCCTCAATTTCAAAATGAGCGCTACATACGTACAGAGAGCCAGGTTACGTCCTCGAAGATGTTGCGCCCCATGAACGAAGCACCCGCGGCAACGGGGGACGTCATGGAGAGTACGTCGGTGGCAAACTCTGAAGGACAGAGACTCGGAGAGCAGCTGCGGATGTTGCAGGATGGGAAAGGCAGATTACGTGAGTAGCGAAGTTTCGTTCAGTGAGAAATAAGGAATATTTCTAATGATTGTGTAGTATATTTGGGTGATTCAGCAAGTCTATCGTATCTCGATACAATACGAAAACTCGTTGAGAGTACGATTGGGCCGTGCAACTTCACAAACGATGTGCATAAAGGCAAACTTGTTGAGGGGTCGATTTCGACAGGGTTGACGCCAACCTATGTCCTACCTGATAAGGAGGCGGCCGATTTTCTACTTGAATCTTTTTTCTCTAATGTGAGCTTCAATTTCCCTCCTGAAACGTGTACAGACACGCCACTGATGCCCCCTACAGACTGTGGGAACAATTTTAATATTCGATCGAGAGGCATTTACTCAAGAGGTTCAATCGATATACGACAATCCGCTGCAAACGAAGCAATCACGTTTATCGATTCTAAACCTCGTTTTCGCAGTAGGCCTGCAACTGATGACGAGTTCTGATGTATCTAGTCCTCATGGGCGCCAAATACTTGAGCGGCTCGATGGCGGTAGTGTTAGTAGAGCTGAGATGTTTTACGTAAATGCAACGCATCTGAACGATCCAGTATCCGGGTTTGAAGACGGAGACATCACGTCTATTCAAGCACTACTATTAGTCACGGTGTTCATGTTGACTGTAGCTAAACGTAACGCTGCATGGGCTTACTTGGGTTCGTTCCCCTTGGTCTGCATTTTTACTGGGTCTAACTAGTCATAGGTATGGCGATAAGATCAGCATATGCGCTTGGTTTGCATAGGAAACGGTCTGATTTCTCTTTCACTGCACCTGAGCAGCGTGTTAGGTTCGTACCTTCCCAGCCTCATTAGTAGACCTCGGCTTATTTTTTCCAAAGACGGAATGTCTGGCGAAGTTTGTACGTGATGGATTGTTTCCTGTCAGCAATGCTTGGCCGCCCAAACGGCATCCATTGCCGTGATGCAACGGACTCTTTGGCTGCTGGCAGTGATTTCGGCGATCTCTGGACCTCCTCTGACGACACCCTTGAATTGGCCTCTATCAGCGCCTCTGTGCGCGCTTCCTGCCTTGTCGGCGACATTCTCTCGAATATCTACGCAGATCGCAAGATCTCCACAGAGCTTGCACACGCGATCTCAAATAAATTCCAAGCCTGCAAGGACTCCCTACCTACGTTCCTGCACTGGCAGAATATCGACCTTCCAGATGAGGACCCCAAAGCGACCCTGGCGCAGTTGCATGTAAATTTGAATTATTTCCACGGCATTATACTGTTGACAAGGCCCTTCTTGCTACAGAGAGTTTCAGATGAGATTCGAGCCCTGAGGGAAACGGATGGGGGCCTCCTGTCACGGCAGACACATGAATTGCCTGAGACCGATTCCGCAAAGTCCGCGCCATTTCAAGCAGCGTGTGTCAGGTCAGCATTGTATACCATTAACGCCGTGCAAGCGGCCCTTCTCAAGCGTGCACTCCCTCGCCGGGATCCGTTTGTAATGTAGGTGTCCCCAGCATAGCGTCTCCAAATTAACTAACCAAAAACGCAGCTATTGGCTTTTCACCGCAGCACTCATAATTTGTACCAACGGCTTCTGTGCCGTTTATCACGACATCGACAACAAACATGCCATGTACACGGCGCTCAATCTACACCGTCATTTCGGTGCGGTCGATCCACTTGCGCGCCGGTTTCTGGACATTCTCATCGCATTTAGTGAGGCTATCGAGCAAGATACTATTCCTTGTGCGGTGCCAACGGGTAGTAAATCAAAGCAGGAAGCCATCTTTTCTGCCTTGTTCGGTGCCATGCACTATGGTGCTAAGCCTGGTTACGTCGACGACAGTGCCCAGCCGCAGACTGGAGGTAGTAGAGGGGCGAATGATCTCAGCCGTAACCAACCAGGAGGAATTGGTTTTCACTCAGAAATGGGACAAGGAAACGGGCAGCAGATACCGCTGGAACCGGACTCGCCGCACGTTAGCCCACCAGATTACTCGCTCGACTTTGATGCATTTCTTATGAATGTTACCCAAGATCCATATCAACAGGACCTATGGACGCCACTGTATGGGATCACAGATACGAGCTAGCCGATGCGAGCTAGCCCTCCTTCGCCTCTTGAGGGGGCTACATGGGGCGGATGCGTAGTATGAATAGTTCGTGAACAGAATGTATTTATACTGTAATATCAATAATGATTAAAACGAAGGAATAATGTGCTGTACTTTGCAAGGGGTGGGCGGTCGGTTCTTACTTATTATCAACAGGCGACACCGACCCCCAAGGACTAGATTACCGGCGTTTCAGTATGTGTTTGCTGTGATAAATTAATGTATTAACATTCTCCTAATGTTACTTGATCCTTGCAACCATATGGCAACATCCAGTCATCCAGTCAACGGGTAGATTTTGGCGACTAGTGGAGCGCATCCGAGATCCGCGGAACCACCGCGGCACATCGAGCTATCCGGTCAACGAGTAGACATTGGCAGAGCGCCATCCGAGATCGCGCCGTTCGTGGGGAAGCTCCCCCCGCAATTTGTGGAAATTAGAATCCATGTTTATTCCTCTTGTGTATATCTGACCTGTGGGTATACACTGTTCCCCCTCGCACCTCAACATTAAGGATCATCCCACTACCACTCAACTCCCATCACCCAGACGCCGGAGATTACGTGTGTTCGCCTTCATAAGACCACCGCCAAAATGGGAGCCAATATTCAGGAGTGGTTCAAAGCCTTCTATGCCACATCTGATGATGGTACTGCACATGAGAAGTACACGACTTTTTTTGCTGAGGATGCAACATTGATTATGGGCGACAATCGGGTTGTTGGACAGGCGGGTATGTGCTTATCAATTCCCCTAAGAATGATATACCAATGATGTCTGCCCTTCAACTTGAGAAATGCAACGCAGGGACACTTGGTTATGGGGAACTCGGCTGATTGCGACACAGATATTTTGCAGCTTCGAACAGGCATGTGGTCGAAGATCTCTAGCAGGAAACATACCTATACCTACTATAGTTCCACGGAACGCCCAGATACGTACATGCTGGAGGGTGACGTTGTATATGGACTCAAAGCAGGGGGCGAGGCCACAATGAAATGGGTCGCAAAGGCAGAATTTGAGGGGCAAGGGTCGGACAGACGTCTTGCATTCTATCAGGTCTTCTTAAATGCAGGCAGTAAATAAACGGACAACGTAATCGTGAGCGTGTCTATCTTAGCTTTATTTATTTTAAACTCTGCAACTCCTTCAAAAAGCCTCCGATAATCTCTTGCACCTCTGAAAATGCCTCCAAAACGTGCCAGTGCCCTACCCCCTCAAGAGTTCGGAGTTCCTTCTTAGTGCTAGCATAATTCTCCATTATGTGAATAATTCCGTCCATGGGCGCACTCTTATCCTCTGCCCCTGCAATAACCAGCAGAGGCACTTTGATGCTCTCGTATGCTGGGACGGCGCTTTCTGCAATTGCTTGGCAGAGTGATATGTAACCTGCTGGCGAAATCCCGAGAAGTAGAGAGCGAATAAAAGCGTGTACGAGAGGCGTAGATTTGCTGCCCGTGGCTGTGGTTGGGATACTGGCGGCAAGGGGCTCCATACCATCTGTAGCAAGAAATTCCTGTCAACACCTCATGCAGAATCGGTTGGTGTATTCATTTTACCTTTCTCAACGATGCTAATGCGTTTCCCAAATACCTCTGCAGCGCCAGGATTCGGGTTCACAGGCCCTATCAAGACGATAGCTTTGAATCGCTGCTGCTTGCTCGCGGAGTCTTCCGCAGCGAGAAGAGACGCAACAATACCGCCCATGCTGTGACCTACCACGACGACATTTTCTGTGATTCCTTGGGAATCGAGAAGGGCGATAGCGTCAGCGGCGATGGAAGCGGTGGTGTTTCCATGGCCAGTATAGGGTGATAATCCGGAGCCATGTGTGTCGACTGTTAGGCACTGGTAGCCCTGGCTGGTTAGGGACGGCACGAGGGGTTGGAAGAAGGATGAAGAGGAGCCTAGTCCGTGGACGAAGAGGACCGTCAGTGGGGAAGCCGTGGATGATTGGGAAGGGCTGAGCGTGAAGAACAGCGTCTTGGAGTTGACGTTTGCGTAAGGCATGGTTCGTATTGCGATTATTGCACTGTTTTTAGGTTTGATTGAGTTTTAGATCGGGGTTTATTACGGAGCCAAAAAATGAGAGATTTTGGGAATATTCGAGTTTTAGTTTCTTGATACCGGCTCAGGTCGGTAGCTACATACGCATACCTTCTACGCCATATTGCGATTGTGGCACCTTCCGCGGCAATGCCTCTACTGGTAGAGGCATTGGCTCCTCTCTTGTACATTGGAAGATGTAATGGCGGCGGTCCCTGGGGTAGAATTGCTGTGCCTGGCAGTGGGGTCGGGAGTGGGGTCCGGTCCACACCCCACTCCCGGATCGGCGCCTCCTAATTGATGGACACTATCCCATCCGATTTCTCTCACATCCGGTTCCTTCCCATCCGGTCTCCTCGGATTATGTGTGTCGGCGCTTCAAGCGCGAGTTAACGCCCCGCTTCGATTCTATTACAAACGTGCCGCTCTCGTGAAATACCTTGAATACCGAGATGGGATGTGGATACTGTTCCATCCTTTGGTACAGGGGCAAGATCGAACATGTTGTATATCGCACAACGTTTGTCTCTTTCTTATCGACTTTTACTCTACTTTCGTTATAGGCACCATAATTCCCTTCCATTGTCAATTATCAAGTTTAGAGTACCATTTATCAGAAGTGTTACAGAGTCTCCTCCTTCGCTGTGTCGATACAGTCCATCCATCTATGAAAGCAGTATGACATCGTTAAATTTCGAGGGTTATTCTCCTCGCGTCGAGGCAGGGTCTATATTTGACCGTCTGTGCGACCTTGGGGAAGAGTTGAATTTACCAAAACGTTACAAGGCACTGGCAAAGAACGTCAAGTTTACTTCTGAGAAGGATACGATTTACTTCCCGATACCTTTCAAGGAGACCGAGACAACATCTGCGTTAAAAGCTGTCGAGGCCCTTGTGGCAACATCCCTGGCAAATTTGAAGTATGGTGAAAGCTCACGCAAGATTGAGATCAATCTAGAGCAGACAACATGTTTCCTCTTTCAGACATATCTCTCTACAATCGACGGATTAGGAAAATACGATGTAGGCATCAAGGCAAAGCTGAAAGGTAATCCTCAATAGTCGCGTGATCTACGCTTAGTGGACGTTAACGGAGATCATCTAGATACCGACCTTTTCCAGGCACAATCAGATCCATACCGCCGTATGTCGGCAAATCTCTATGCTACCAAGACACCTGAGACTTACTTCCACATTCATGGTTCGCTCGAGGCAAATACAACCCTCCAGATGATCGGTCTCCCTCCCTTCCGCCCAGACCTCAAGACCATTGAAGACATCTCTGAATGCATTGAGTCCCACGTTCAGCAATTTACTATTGAGGAGCTCGAGACCAAAAACAAAGAACTCCGTCAGGCTGGTGTTACAGCGCACAAGCACGAGGATTTCATTGCCACACCGCATGGAAAGCTGAACAATGATCTTCCTCCATGGTCTGTGGTACCGCTCGAGACCACTACACCGCCGATACCCCTCTTCCAAGATGCACCTGGGGCGAAGCCCAGAGTTCTCTCCGGTATCAAAGTTCTCGAACTTTGCCGCATTATCGCCGGACCCGTCATCACCCGTATTCTCGCTGAATACGGCGCTGACGTGCTGAAGGTCACTTCACCGAACCTCCCCGACGTGCCTTTCTTCCAAGTGGACGTCAATTTTGGGAAGCAATGTGCAAATATCGATCTTAAGTCAGTCGAAGGTCGCAAAATTTTCGACAAACTACTGCTAGAAGCCGATGTTGTCGTGGACGGGTACCGACCAGGGGCTTTAGAGAAACTGGGGTATGGCGCGAAGGCACTCACAGACTTGGCTTTGAAGAGGGGGAAGGGATTTGTGTACGTGAATGAGAATTGCTTCGGGTATGAGGGAGAATGGGCCTATCGCCCAGGATGGCAGCAAATTGCTGATTGCGTAAGTTTCCCTCTCCTATTTCTTTCCGCTGGTCTATATGAAACTCTTGTATTTCTCCACCTAGACCGCCCGCTGACGACGTCAAAACAGGCTACCGGAATTGCGTGGGCGCAAGGAAAGTTTATGGGCCTTCAGGAACCTGTTATTCCTCCTTTCCCTATCTCTGATTACGGTACGGGCGTCATGGGCGCCATCGCCGCGCTGACCGGCCTTTACCACCGTGCAGTTTCTGGAGGATCATGGCACGGTAGAGTCTCCCTGATGCATTACGATTTACTCTTATTCCGAGTGGGACAGTACAGCGAGGAAATTCAAGCGCAGCTGCGAGCCCGGCAGACGGAGGACTTCTTCGAGCTAAGGCACAATCACTCTGTGGACCAGATTAGTGGAACGGTGGTCAAACAAATGAGGAAACAGTACCCGTGGCTGTTTGATCAAGAGAGGTATCGGGAGAGGTGGGTTAGTAAGGGGTGGGATGCAGAAGTGAGCGCGATCAAACCAGTGGCGTCGATTGAGGGACTGGAGTTGAGTTTCAAGAGAGCAAGTAGGCCCAATGGTAGTGATGAACCGGGATGGGAGTTCTTGGAAGAAGATACGCGGTTGCTGTGAAGCTGTTGAGGGGGAAATACGTTTTAGAATTTGGAGGACATACATACACCGAGGGATGACATTACGACACAAACAGTGATCACTTTGAACGTCTCATGATCATTTACTCTACCATCCATATACATACAGTGATAATTTCGTAACATATATTAAGAGTCTGTTATCATCATTTTCTTCGCATTCTATTCTCTTCATAGTCTGTTCTCTTCATAGTCTGTTCTCTTCATAGTCTGTTCTCTTCATAGTCTGTTCTCTTCATAGTCTGCTGCCGTCCAGCCTTGCAGGCAAGGTTCACGTATTTTTCTCCATTTTTCCATCCAGAGCCACAGTTCCGGATGGAGAAACTAGCCCATGAGGGGGCGGATAGTGTCCGGCATGCGTAGTTGGTGGTTATACTCAAGCCCGTCATACCCCGCACCCCCGATGATCTGTAGCTTTTTGAAATGTCGGATATAAGGACCAATAATACGAGAAGCCGGACTCGGCTTCTCATGTTATTGGTGGGTGTTCGACGCTTTAGTTTTAGTCTATCCGAACACCCAACCTCATGTGGGGTACAGTAACCGGCTGCTGCACCACCCCACCACTACCTGCTATGGTGAAGGTCAGCAACATCAGCAACGACAAGAACAACAAGAAAACCCAATATCCCTACGTCGCTTTGAACTTGTAAACTCCTGATATAGAAACTTTCGCGGGCAACTTTAAACAACTCACTTTTCGCTCCAGGAGCTACTCTCCGCGTTCATACACAGGCAATATCTAGGAAACATTATAAGGAGTTCTTCGACAGTTTTCGGCCATCATGAGTACTAAACCGGCATCTGATACCCCGCGCTTCGATCCCAATTTCACCCAACATGTCATCGACTCCATGGGCCCTAACACCTCACCGCGCATGCGGCAGGTTATGGCAAGCCTGACGAAACATATACATGATTTTGCCCGCGAAGTCGAGCTGACGACGGACGAGTGGATGGAAGGTGTTCAGTTACTCAATTGGGCCGGTCAGATGAGTGACGATAAGCGAAATGAAGGACAACTTCTGTGCGACGTTATCGGGCTGGAATCGTAGGTTTATTTCTCCAAGACCGAACATATTCCATAGTTGCGTAGAGGCTGACCAGGCAATCATAGGCTTGTGGACGAAATTACTTTCAAGAAAGCCTCAGAAGCTACTACTTTGGCGACCCGGACTGCTATTCTAGGCCCATTCTTCCGCACTGATCATCCCATTCGTGAAAAGGGTGCCACCATCTCCTTTAACACGCCCGATGATGCCGAGATTGTGTACATGCATGGACGTGTGCTTGACGCAGTAACAAAAACGCCTTTACCCAATGCCAGCATCGATGTGTGGGAGGCTTCGACAAACGGTTAGTCTAGGTCCCTGGTCTAATAAAGCATGCGGAATTAACGCGGCCATCAAGGTTTATACGAGCAGCAAGATGATAATCAGGTCGACAGTAACTTGCGTGGAAAGTTCATAGCAGACGCGAACGGCGAGTACGCCTTTTACTGCATAAAACCCACTCCATATCCGGTCCCAGATGATGGACCAGCAGGAAAGTTGCTGAAATTACTCGACCGCCACCCATATAGGCCGGCACATATCCATTTGAATGTTATACTTGCTGGGTTCAATCCTATGGTAACACAAATATTTGATAAGGATAGCAAATATCTCGACAATGACTCGGTTTTTGCGGTGCAGGACTCACTCCTTGTTGAGTTCGTGCCTCGCAGCGGCGACGAGAAGGCAAAATTGGAGCTGAAATATGACGTCTACCTGGCACCTTCGGAGTAGATGGTTATTTAGGACTGCAAGTGTTAGTTAGCCGCAACGATTTATATGTACTATTTTCTTTAACAACTAAGCAAAATTCAACAATAACCTATGTGTTCACTGAGTAAATACAACGACCGTTACAATCGCCAACTTCAGGGAAAGTAGGGGAAATCAGCACGGCCCGCCTCGTTATTATTGTTAGAGGCAAACATATGAGAATGTTAGCCTGTGGTTTGCATGTGATGGAATGGTGCCAACTTAACGCTCAAAGATGTAGATATTAATAATATTTATAAGACTCTAGACGGATGGAGGTAGGATGTTTCATTTACACGACTGTTTACTCGACAAGGTAACCTGGGAAAGCGGCACTGGCGCAATCTAAGTCTATACAGCAGTCGTGGGTGGTTGATTGATAAGTTATGGAAGCTATTCTCAGGCTCTCAACAACAGTTTGTCATGCATGGTCTCACTCGCGCTTATCCTCAGTCGCAGTTGCCCTCGTTCGCAGTTGCTCTCGTTCGCACTTGCCTTCATGGTCACTTATGCCCAGTCGCACCTGCCCTCACTTGCACCTGCCCTCAGTGGCACCTGCCCTCACTCGCACCTGCCCTCACTCGCAGCTTCACACCTGTCCTCACTCGCACTTTCTTTCACTAAACCCCACACAAACTACAAAGTCACAGGCAATAAATATTTTGGTTTTCTACGTATCACCAAGCTTTCCATTAAGATTAGGACTAACTTATTCCGATCAATAGGGTTCCAACCGAGAAATCGCCGCCGCCATCCCCAATGCATGGATGGTACAGAGAGTAATGTGCCGTCTTATTTCATTTGCATATGAGCGGAATTATTTAGTCAACCAGACCACTGTGGGTTGGATCAGAAACTAATGATCACGGCCAGTTGCGGCTGATTCCTCAGATGAGAGAGTGCCGGATGGCGGAATTGGCGGGTGCCGGGTCGGATTAGAGGGCGAATCGGATGTTAACAGGTAAGTGGGCCGGCCCGAGAACTACTACCATACAGTATCTCGTGCAGTAAAAACCCATCTGGGGTAGTGCTAGTTGATGCTACAACCCCGCTCAAACGTTTCCATGTCAAGAGCTGTATATTTTGTGGGGTGTGGAGTGCTTTCGCATCGGCAAATAGATGTGCGTAAGTGATGGGGGTAAGTATCCCCGCAAAGCTTCTGCCGCTCTGCCGCTCTGATAAATATATAATATTGTCAGTCTCGTTGTCTCGAGAACTCTTCATTGTATCTACGTTTGTGGCACTCTTCACCCTCCATTTGTGAGAATCATCATCTCGAGACTTTGTTTACACACAAAGACACCATGGCCCAACGAAAGGACTTCCACGTTGCTGTTTGCGGCGGGGGTATCGGAGGCCTTTGCTTGACTATTGGCCTTCTTCGCCAGAACGTCTCTGTCAAATTATACGAAGCGGCTTCAGCATTCGCAGAAGTCGGTGCCGGCGTCTCTTTCGGGCCAAACACCATTCGAGCAATGGAGCTCATTGACCCGCTAATCGCCAAAGGGTTTGAAAATTGTGCAACCACCAATGGCTGGCCAGAGAAGAAGGATACGTGGTTTGATTTCAGGACTGGACAGGAGAAGGGCACACGAGGAGGTGTGGTGGCAGCTGTTAATACGCATGTTGCCGATGTAAAGACGAGGGGGAAAGGAGAGATAGGGCAGAACAGTACTCACAGAGCGCATTTTCTGCACGAGCTCGTGAAGCTTATCCCGGATGAAGTGCCCGAGTTTGGGAAGAGGCTCAAAAACATCGAGGAGAAGGGAGACAAGATGGTATTGACTTTTGAGGATGGGACAACTGCAGAAGCAGATGCTGTTATTGGATGTGATGGTATCAAATCACGGACGCGGGAGATATTACTGGGCATAGATCACGAGGCTGCACATGCAGTTTTCTCTGGAAAATACGCATACAGAGGTCTAATACCGATGGATATCGCAGTGGATGCCTTAGGAGATGAACTGGCAAAGAACTCGCAGATGTATATGGGCGAACATGGACATGTATTGACCTTCCCTATCGAGAAGGGAAAGACTATGAATGTGGTTGCTTTCAGAACTAAGCCCGACGGGAAGTGGGATGACGAAAAATGGGTTCTAGCATCCAAGAAGGAAGACATGGTAACTGATTTCGCGGGCTGGGGAGACAAAGTTACAAGCATTATATCTGTAAGTTGAAGCCCAATTCTCACCAAAAATATGATACTTTTAGCTAATAGATATGTACAGCTTATGGAGAAGTTCGACGTTTGGGCCTTGTTTGAACACCCACCGGCACCAACATACTACAAAGACAGGCTATGTCTTCTTGGAGATGCAGCCCATGCTTCGACGCCTCATCAAGGAGCTGGCGCAGGTCAGGCTATTGAAGATGCCTTTATTTTATCACACTTATTTGGTCAAGTCCGCTCTGCGGCTGATATTACCCAAGCTTTCAAGGCCTACGATGCTGTACGAAGGCCGCGAAGCCAACGTGTAGTAACGACAAGTAAAGAGGCCGGTTGTTTATACGAGATGGAGGATGGAGAGGTTGGAAGTGATCTGGATAAGGCAAGGGAAAATTTGCTGGCCCGATGCAAGTGGATATGGGAAAACGATTTGAACTCACAGTTTAGAGAAGCTCAAGATGCTATGATGAACGGAAGCAAGATTTAGATCAATAATGAGAACAGGGGAATCATTTATAAGCAAAATTTATTGTAATTCCATAGCTATTGTAGATGTTCTGGCTGGAGATAAAACAGAAAGAAATGAGAAGTGGAATGAAGTGTAGATCAGAATGTTGATACGTTTTCTCAGCAATTGCAACTTGTGCATCTGAGTGAGCTGGGTTAACGTAATGGTGGTTCATCATCTCAAACAGGAAAATGACGGAATGAAAAAGAAGGATGGGAAGCTGGGTTGGGCTTTTCGGAGGCGGGATGCATGCCGGGTTTCACTCTCACGAGGAATAAAACAGGCAAGTCAGTAAGTTGTAGTCGATAATTGGTTGTAATTTCGTAGCTATAGTAAAGGTTCTGGCTGGAGATAAAACTAAAAGAAATGAGGAGTAGGAGTGAATGAAGATCAGAATGTTGATACGTTTTCTCAGCAATTGCAACTTGTGCATCTGAGTGAGCTGGGTTAACGTAATGGTGGTTCATCATCTCAACAGGAATTTGACAAAATGAAAAAGAAGGGTTGGGAAGTTGGATTGTGAAGTTGGGTTGGGCGTCCGGAACGATATCGATGGTGCATGCCAAGTTTCACTCTCACGAGGAATAAAACAAGCATGTCAGTTGTAGTCGAAAATTGGTTGTAATTTCGTAGCTAGTGTAAAGTTATAGCCCCAGGTAAATAAACAGAAAGAAATGGGGAGAGGAGGAAGTTGATCAGAATGTTGATACGTGTTCTCAGCAAGTGCAACTTGTGCATCTGAGTGAGCTGGGTTAACGTAATGGTGGTTCATCATTTCAACGGGGATATGACAGAATGAAAAGATGGCTGGGAAGCGGATTGGGCTTTATTTGGTGGGATGGTGCTGGTGGATGTCCGGTTCACTGTGGTGCTGATGTCGCAAGACAGTCCCTTCATGAGTTCGATTTGGTCGTAGTAATTCGATCAATATGGCGTATTTCGAAGAAGAGTCGGCTGCCACCATTGGCTTCGGGGAAGAAATCGAAATTCCCAGTCGGCTTTTCCGCAGTCCACGATCCGTAAATATTGTCGGTGTGTCCTGTTCGAAACAAGTTAATAGCACCACCAAACATTTCATAGCTGCATGCTCATGTCACAAACGCGCTTCAGTCGAATTGAAGGTGTTTCATTGTTGAGTATTCGTAGCTAATCGCAGTCTAACAAAGACCCATGATGACACTCTCCTTGTTCCGATCATCCCAATCCCATGCAGCCTGAACCCCGAGGAAAAGAGTCGCTTAGAATTTAGAGAAAGCCTTGACGGCCTTGCCGGTTCTTGGGAGAACGCGGAGAACATTGAATCGGACCTATTGCCATATCAGCCGGCCGTTCCAGAGTGCTACTTGCTCTTTAAGACAAGTAGAGGGCGCGGGTGTAAATCGCGTTTCGTTTCCAAAGATCATAGATCTGTTTATCCGATGGGTATTTTTTTTACTTACAGTCTTGCTCAATGGGCGGCATTGGCCGACGGTGACCTGGTCACCCTCCTCAACACGGAAAGCTGGCGAAACGTGCGCAGCGAGGTTCTTGTGGCGCTTCTCGTAACGGGCGTACTTGGGGACGAAGTGGAGGTACTCGCGGCGGATGATGAGGGTTCTGTGCATCTTGGTGGAGACGACAGTTCCGGTGAGGATACGGCCACGGATGGAGACTTGGCCGACGAATGGGCACTTCTTGTCTGTGAGGCGCGCAATATTAGCAGCTGTTTAAGTTTGTGTTTTCCTCCGATATCTGTTGCCATGCGACACCAGGAGCTCGAGTATCAACATTCTCTTCCACTTTCAGGTGAAGAAGTGCGCAACTTCCCACCCCATCCTCGAGCTCCTAGCAATTTCGCATTCCCTTCGTATTTTCCAAGAATCCGGTGTCGACATACCAATGTAGGTTCCCTCAATGGCGGTCTTTGGGGTCCTGAACCCAAGACCAACATCCTTATACCATCTGCGTCCTCCCTTGCCAGCTCTCGCCGACTTGGCCTTGACCTTGGAGTTAAGGAAGATATGCGGCTGCTTCTGGAAAGCGCGCTCGGACTGGACGGTCAATTCGGTGGCCATTTTTGCGTTTGGTGGATTGTCGCGATTGTCGAAAAGTCGTGCAAAGTATCGTCGTTGACTTCACTTACCTCAAAACGCGGATTTGCAGGCGCAAGCGAAGATAGGGCTGGGATGCCCTGAACTTTTTCTCAAACATACGCTAAGAGTGAAGTAGGTTAGCGCGTTGGTAGTTGGGATTTTGCTCCGCATCACGTGATCTAGTCGCGATGGGGGTCTTGATTGTGGATAAGCGAGTCGCGTCCGTGTTTGTTGACATCTCGAACTGTCCCGCAAATCAGACGTCACCATTGTAAATAATGTCCCTATAGCTCCCAACACCAAACTTGAGCTCACGATTGGGATATCGCATTACAGAATCGGCTTCTGAGCCATATACCGACATGTCTTCTCGAGGCGACATGACTCTGCCGGCTGCGCGGCCGAAGTCGCGCAAATCGCTGGCTCATGTGCCTTCCTCTAGCTCAACAATGGACAAGGAGAATATGACGGCAGATATTGGAGCGATGGTGGACAGCAACAAGAGAGCTCCAGGTGCTGGAAAAGCGGCAAAGAAGTCCCGCAGCAAAAGCATAGGCCCTGGGGGTCTTGATGCGCTCATGAGCAGTTCTGGCAACAGACGCAAGGTGAGAAAACCATGAACCACGTTTTGGCACTACCATACTAACATCTTGAAGTCAATTGCTGCTCCTCCACCAAGGTCGATTCTGAAGCCCACTATTGCTCCTCTGCAAGAGATACCGGCTCGCAAGCCAAGCCCCAGGAAACCAGGCCAGCAGGCGACGGCGCAATCGAGCTCCTTGAGAGACGCCACGAACGATGATACTGCGGATCCGTTTACGCTTCTGGAAAGCACGACTACATCAGATAACAAGGTTATGCTTCGTACAGAGGAAGAACAACAAGCCGCCGCCAGAAAACGCGACAGTGATGAAGCCCAAGATAAAGAGAAAGCTCGACGAGATGCTCGTCGCAAGTCGTTAGCAGCACGCCGTGTGTCCTTCGCTCCAGAGGCAACTCTCCATACCTGGGATGTGGTGGACTACATGCAGGACTCGACCACTTCCTCCAACTCAACCAACTCAACGCGTCGGAACTCTTCCGCCTCCAATGGCACAATCGGCTCGCCAAACACTCAATCTGGACCATTCGGTTCTGATCCATCGGAACCTCCTTCGACGCCTCCTGAGCAAGTTGAGGACAAAGTATCGGAATCGGAAACTCCTGATGACCAGCGCGCACTACACCAGAAGAAACGCAGACGAAGCTCGGGCATACCGCCTCTTAACTTTAACAACCCTGACGACGAATTCTTTTCTTCCAGTCCGTCCGAGGGGAGCTCAGTGGTTGAAGGCGCAAATGAAAACTTCAACGAGGACGGCTCTTCGGACTCAAACAGCGACTCTGACGATGATGGTACGGCAATGTCGATCGACATGGGAGAAGGTACAGACATGTCCATGGCATCTGTAAAGTCATTCGCAAGCGATGGGTCTAGCGTACGCCTAGAAAGGGCTTTACAGCTAGCGGCACAACAAGCCGGTACACAGGGAATTGACTTTGATGAAAATGGCCCTCTGGGCATTGAAGAGGATGAGGACGTTGTCGCCTCCTTTGCGCCTTGGTCACAGAGGTCTGTGGCAGCAAATCTCGAGTCACAGACAGACCAAGAAAACATCAACCCGTTTTCACCAGCGTTCGCTGTTGCTGGGACACGTCAACAGGACGCGAATGATGAAGACGATGGCATGACGATGGAAATGACGCGCTCAGTTGGTGGTATCCTTCAAGCTCCTGAATCACAACTTTCCGATGATGACGATCAGTCAATGGACATCACCATGGATATGACTAGGGCAGTAGGTCGTATTATGCCTACTGAGCAGCCTGATGAAGATGGCACCATGGAGATGACCATGGAAATGACGAAGGCCGTTGGTCACATCTTCTCAGCACCAGTGCACGATTCATCGCCTCAGGAATCCGATGAGGAGATGACTATGGACATGACTGTTGCCATTGGTGGTATCATTGGTAAAGATGCTCAGCCCAAGAATAGGCGCCAATCAGTCCGGAGACGGAGCACTCGTCGCAGGTCTTCTGTTGAAGACTCATCTCTTGGCGATGAGACCATGGATTTCACAGTGGCTATGGGCGGTATTCAACCAGCTCAACCCGCAACACCTAAGACTGCACCTCTTTACCCAGACATGAAGGCTGCGTACAACGAGATTGTTGCACACCCACCAAGCAGCATTTCGAGGCCAGAAGCCAAACGGATACTGGTCGAAGAGGTTGATCATGCAGAGGTTCTCAGTTCTCCTTTCCAACCAGATGTGCCATCGTCTATTCAACGCCCAGTTCCAACCGCCACTACTGCTTCCGAAACGGGAAGCCCTAGTATTCATGCCTTCAGAGGCAAAGGTCTACGCAGGAGTTCCGGCCTCAGGACGTCCATGACCCCCAAGACATCTTCGGCGATCACAGATGCTGTGAAGTCAGCGGCAACACCAAGCCCTCTTCAAAAGCCAACCACGCCTTCCAAGCAAGCCACGCCACAGTCGGTGCGGCCAACCACTCCTGGGAAAACTCCTCCGTCAAAGAGCATTGCAATGCGCACTGGTTCGCCACAGCGACTATTCGAAAGAGAGACCAAAGCCGCCAATGCATCTCCCAGGTTTACACCAAGTAAAAAGCCAACCACACCAAACAAACTCTTTCAAAGGAATGTCGATAACAACATTGCCACCCCAAGCATCATACTCAAGCCCCAGAGTAGGCGCTCTTCAGGTGTTGGGATAGACCGGCCAGGGCTTGGATCTCCTCGCGTCGCTGCGATTCTTGATCGTCGCGGCTCAATTGGGGACCAAGCGTCCTCATTCCAGCCAAGTAGAATGGGCGATGCTGCTCGTGTTATTCGCTTTAACGATGCCGAAATCATTGAACATGAGGTAGATAGGGAGCGTGAGGAAGAGAGGGACCGCGAAGATGGGCGCAAAGTCATGGAGAGGGAGGCCGACATGTTGGATGACGAAAAGGATGCAACTGTCAACCTCAAGGAAATGATTCAAAGCCTCACCCCAAAGAAGCGACCCCTAAAAGGCCGTAAGAGCTTGCATGTTGGAGCAGCCAAAGGTATCCTTGGGAAGCGCCCTGCGGAACTTGACGACGACGATGAAAACGGCGATGATGATGAGGGCGGTACCAAGAGACTAAAGAACTTCGAAGGTAGCCCCGTCAAAAACGTGAAGCTAAGAGCACCTCCATCAAAAGAAGAGACAACTGGCCGTTTAACACGCGCAGTCCGCCGAAGCTTGGAATTCACAAGTGGAAATGCCTCCACGCCGACTATGGCTTCATCGCCTGCCAAGGTTGCTACGGCCACCACCCCTAAGGGTCAGGCCAAGTTCAAGGACGCTGAGGCAACTGTTGGAGCCGGTACTGCCATTCCGTTTGAAGCTAGTATCACGTCAAATCACCCAATTACCATGGATGAAGACGACGTGGAGGATCGCATACAGCTTCAAGATTTCCTAAACCTGACCAGTATCAGGTTCATGGAATTGACAACCACGAAGAGGCGGCATACAATTGCCCCTAATGCTACTGCACAGGACGGATCAGAAGGCCAACTTGGAAAGGACGATGGATCATTGGAAAATTGCGTCGTCAGTGCTGCCTGCACTCTTCCCATGCTTGAGTTGTTCCAACATGTAAGTTACTCCCAGGCCCAATTTTATGCTCCAACTAACACACTACAGTCCTGCCGTGAGCTGAAGAAGTATATTTCTGAAGGCCGCAAGATGGTTCGTGAAATAGAGACGGAGACTTTTGACGAAAATCCTCCTCTATTCCAGGAATACATCTCTGCCACTCCAGATGTGAAGAAGCTTATGGATAACCAATTCCGAAACATCAAGACTCATTCGAGGCTGGTTAGTAAGGGCATGTGGTATGAGTGGCGAATGAAGCTATTGGATGGCCTTCGAGATGGCCTCATCACAATCGCAGAGGGCATGAGTTCTGATGCGGAAACTTTGGCCAAGCAGCAAGAACTACTCGACAACGTCGTTCCAGAACTTGTACAAAAGTATGAGACATTGCTCCAACAAGAGGCGGATTTACAAACTTCAGCGGAAGAAATCGCCAATTGTAACCAAGAAGATCTCGCCGAAGCGCGGGAGTGTCTCGTGGCCCTCGACGCCGATATTGAGTCAAAGAAAGCGTTCGTCCAAGAGCTACGCAGCCAAATGGAAGACAACGAGACTCGCTTCAAGGCCGCAACCGAGAGGAAACAGGCCTGCCTCGATGAAATTCGTGAGGCTGACAAGATCCGCGAAGAATGCCGCGGATGGACGGGCTCGGAGATCGCAGCGCTGAAGGCAAAGGCAGACGCACTTGAGGAGAAATACGGGTGGACTATCACTGGAATCTCAGGGACTACCCTCTCGTTGTCCCTTCGCAGTGACCTGGAGCTCGTATTCGATGCATCGTCATTCAGAACCAAGGATGGTCAAGTGAAGAATGCTCAGGCCAATTCGCGCATTGATCTCTGGTACATCGCTGCGAACCGTGAGCGTAATCCCCTGCCGTTGACACCAGAGAAGGCCTTCTTTGTGGAGAGCATCCGTGATGGGATCCGCGGTATGCCGCAGTCACAGACGACGATCAAGGAGCTCCTCGATACTGTCAGCTTCGGCTGGGCTACATCCCTCAATGTCGTCGAAGGCATCGAGGCATTGAACCGCGTGTATCCCACTGATGTCGCAAAGACGAGCGATGAGAGTATCGTCATCAAATCGAGGATGCTGCTCGCGTCGCTGGCTAGCAAAGTGGAGGTGAGCTACCATGTCACGACGAAGAATGGGGAAGAGGGACTTGAGGTACAGTTCAATACCACGGCGCGGGTTGTGTATGGCGAGAGATTCAACGAGGATAGCATGGGGAGGTTTTTGGGCAAGGGGATTGCTGAGGGACGGACCTGGGTGGAGGTTGTGAAGGAGTTGGAGGGGAGGCTGTTTGCGAGAGGGAAGAAGTGAAGGGGGTGATTTGTAGATGTCAGTCTTGTGTTTTGGCTTTGTTTAAATATCCAACTGTGGATTTTGTGTAAGGCGTTTGGGGATGGGGTATGGGTGAAGCACCTATGAGAGAACGCTTTTGTAGCGGGCTATGATGAGATATTATTTTACGAATACCCTAGCAACTATGAACTACTTCATTTTATATTGTCATTTTATAATGAAATCGATGCTATAAAATTTATCCCATGATTATTTCCAAGAAAAGCATGAGTGGGATATTAATTCCGTTATTTTTTTTTACCGACCTTTCGATATATTTTTTTGTTGACGAGATGAAAAATATATATATTTATATATTTACATGTAGACTTCTTTTCCCCCAAATCCATCGTCAAGAAACCTTTACGCGATTGGTCACAATATCCCTATTAAAAACCGCCATTTCCAAGAATCAATTGTGCACCTACCTGGGCTCAGATAGAGGAAACAGAATCGTAGCCTGATGTGGGGCAACTTAACGTATGTATTGCTCCTTGCTCCCTAAACTCCTGTCCCTCTCTCATTACGTTAACACGGTATGTATTGCTCTTTGCTCAACGGTATGCACCCCTATTGTCTAGACTTGTGGCGAAACCGCCTCCTGTTGTCACTTGTTGATGCTGTTACCGTTACTGATGTCAATGTTGCTGTCATTTAATTCTCACCGTCAACTCCCTGCCTCCACCGTGACCTTCTCGCCGTCTCCATTCATAAGACAGAATCTCACATAGATCCGCCCCCAATACCTCTGAGCAAACAGCGCCACCTCTGGAGGCAGAATTTGACACCAACCACAGCCGCTTGCCTCGATTCTTACTCCGATGTTGACACCTGAATCGGAAATAATGCTACTGCTTCGGGGGAAGTCTATATATACTGGGGGAAATAGTCGACAGGAATAGATCCCCAGCGGGACCAGGAAATGACAGGGAACAGAAACAGCACCTTCTCTATTTTGACTTCTATTAATTACATCCCAACCCCTCACAACGCATCATCCCCCTCAAGCACCCCCAGCGCCCCACCAACAAGATGCAAACTCCCCGTAACCAGCGCCTGCACCTCCCCCCCCTCCCCCGCCAACCCCCTCACATACCCCAACGCCCCCTCAATAGTCTCACTCAGCACCACCGTCGCCTCCGGATCCATCTTCTCCCACTTCTCCTTAAACGCCTTCTGCATCGTCATCCCCTTAATGGCAGCAGGATCATACATCACATTGACGAAATCCCTCTTATACCCCTCCGCATACGTGATATTCGTACAAAACACCACATGATCGAACTTCACGAGCCCCTGCTCTGCGATCCCGTTATACAGCCCCTCGAGCAGCTCGACGGCCTCTTCGCGGCCTTGTTGGTTGAATATCAGTACGCGTTTGCTGGCGGTGTGTCTGGCGCTCTCGCCGCCGAACCATTGCGCGGAGACTTTGAGGCTGTCGGCTGTGTGGGCGCCGTCTATGAACCAGCGGATGTTACCCTCGACTTTTGTCTCGCAGCGGCCGCGGAGGACGACTTGTTCTAGGCCGTCTATGAATTCTTTTGGGAGGGTGTCGGGGGGGAGTTTGAAATCGGGCTGGAGACGCTTCATTACTGTTTCTGTGAGGGAGATGGCGAGACTTGCGTTTTGCTTCTGGAATTTGGCGTCGGGTGTTATGCGGACGTCTTTGAGGCGTGGGTCGACTTGTAGAACTTCAATCTCCACGTCCTTTTCCTGAGCCCTCTTCGCTACTACGCTCGCGGCCGCAGGGAGCTGTTCAACTGAAAATGCCGGGCTGCCATGTTTGAGGATACCCGCTTTGTGCCACGCGATCTCTTCGATGGTGTGGCCCAGTATATCCACGTGATCGATTCCCAAAGTCGAGATACCAGTAGCAGCAGGCTGAGCAATGACATTCGTAGCATCATATTCACCACCAAGACCAACCTCATAGACCGCCGCATCGACGCCCTCACACACAAAAGCATGGAAGCTCATCAGCGTCAGAAAGCGGAAATACGGCGGCTTATCCAAGGCGCCCAGGCCTTCTTTGGCATTATACAGATCGAGGCGGTCCCAGACGTCGAAGAAGTACTTTGTGAACTTCTCGGTAGTGATGGGGAGGGAGTTGATGCGGATGCGCTCGCGCACGGAGACGAGATGGGGGGAGGTGAAGAGGCCGATTTTGGAGGGGAGATTGTGGCTCCGCTGGTAGGAGGCGAGGATGGAGTCGACGTAGGCGCTGGTGGTGCCTTTGCCTTTTGTGCCGGCGACGTGGACGATGTTTAGGCAGTCGAGGTCGTGTGGCTGGGGGGGTGTTAGAATGGGGATTGGAAGGGGTGGGAGGAGAGGGGATGCGGACTTTATAGCCAAGGCGGTTGAGGGCGTGGAGGGTGTTTTCATAGTGAGGTGGACCTGGTATCACACCAGCGGCTCGTCTTTCATTCAGGGTCTTGAATGAGGTCTGGAGACTGTTGAGGCAGTCGAGGGCGTCCTGTGATAGTTAGCAATGATCTCATACAGGTTGCAGGATTCTAACATCATAAGTCCGGTTTGCCATGGGCGTGTAATGCCTGGAAAAGGCGGGGAATGGAGGGGAGAATGCGGGTTTTAAAGAGGCAATCCGTTTATATGGCACGAGGGGATTTGGCCGATGCCAAAATGAAGGGATTCTCATACCCGCTCGTCATAGTTTGTAGAAACGTGACTTGGAGCTGTTGAGGTTGTTAGACCGGAGCGTATCGGGGATGTGGATTAAGCATTAATCCGAAAAAGCTAGACCGTCATCCCGCCTAAAATGTCAAATTTACGCCTGCTAGGTAAGAGCACTAGGATCGCTAAAAAAAAAAAAGGTATAAAAACAAAAAACAAAAACAAAAAAATTGACTGGTCTACTTGAGAGTAGATGGTTCTGAAATATTCCGAACCGGGGAGTCGAACCCCGCGCAACCGCGGATTCATAATTCTTTCGAATGGTGAGAGGCGGATATGTTACCGATACACCAGTTCGGAGTGGGGTTGTTGTGCCGAACACAGTTATTAGGGTATAGATAGTATAATTAGTGTGGTTTTATTTAATTTTTGAATTTTTTGGGTAATTGAAATGGCTTGGGAGTTTTTAAATATATTTACTTCATTTATTGTTACTGTTGTTACTGTAAACAATCTGAGCAACAACAGAAATTGCAGGCTTTTTTTTAAGCTTCTTGGTATCATGCACGGTTTTTACCTCTGGCTTTTGAAGCGCCGCACGTGGGATGTTTTTGGCGGCGCGAGGCTGACAAGGCTGGCGCCAACAACAGTTCCTGACCTCATCGTATCTGCTTCCTCCCTAGAACATAAACAGCGTGGGACGACGATGATGATGATTGTGTATTGTCAAAAGCTTCTCCACAGAAGCTGCGGATTGATTCCCTAGCCTATTTCTTTAATAATGATCCGCCCTACCCTCCTTCCTCCAAGGCTCATCAGATCATTACAGCAATTTCATTACTCTACCAAATCGCCCACCAAAATGGCACCCAAACCAGTGCGAACATATAAGCAAGCCCTCTCTCTTCTCAATGAGCTACAATCAAACCAGGCGGTGGTGTCCATGGTGTCATCCTCATCCGCCAATGCCAACAGCCTTGCCATTCCAGAAATGCTCGATTGGCTCCGGAAACTGACATACACCCCCGCGAGTTTCAATGACCTACGAGTCATCCACGTCGCGGGCACAAAAGGAAAAGGCAGTGTTTGCGCCATGCTTGACTCGATGCTGAAGCAGTATCTCTTAACCCAGAATGCTTCTGGTGTCACAGAAGGCCGAAAGCCGTTGGGGAGGGTAGGCGTTTTCACCAGCCCTCACCTCATTACCCCACGTGAGCGCATTCGGTTGGATGGGCTACCAATCTCGAAAGAGCTATTTACACAGCGGTTCTTCGAGGTGTGGGATAAGTATACCGCCTTCGCGCTGGAGGATAACCACCCGAATCCAGAGGGAGCGGAGTCTAAGCCTGGCTACTTTCGCTTCCTTACGATACTGGCTCTACATACCTTCTTGAAGGAGAATGTACAGACTGCGATCATCGAATGTGGTATTGGAGGCGAGTATGACAGCACCAACATCCTGCCTAAAGAGGCAAAGACGGCCACAGTTATCACAAGGCTAGGCATCGACCACGTCGGTATGCTCGGCGACACCCTGGGTGAGATCGCATGGAATAAAGCCGGGATCATGAGACCCGGCGTGCCTTGCTTCACCGTCCGGCAGCCCGAGGACGCAATGAAAGTTCTGCAAGAACGAGCCGCAGAAACAGGCACAGAACTCACAGTCGTGAAGCGGATACCCGAGTTCGACAACAACGAACTCAAACTAAGTCTCGAAGGTGACTTCCAAAAAGACAATGCCAGCCTCGCCATCGCAGCTCTCACCTCCCATCTCAAAACCCTCGGCATCGCCGCAATACCAGAAACCACCACCCCCCCCGAGATCCAAAGAGGCCTATCCTCCATCTCCTGGCCCGGCAGATGCCAAGTCATACACGAGAACAACATCGACTGGCTCATCGACGGCGCGCACACCGACGACAGCCTCGCCGAGGTTGCGCGCTGGTTCGCTGGGAAATGGGACGCGGAGGCCCATCAACCGGCTGTGCTGATTTTTAACTCGCAGCTTCGGGATGCGCCGAGGTTGGCGGGGAAGTTGAGGGAGAGTTTGGGGGAGGCTACGGGGGGGGGGAGGGATGTCTTTTGTAAGGCTGGGTTTTCGACGAATATACCGTTTAAGAAGGATGTGCCCAACCCGAGCATAGATACGCTGCAGAGGGAGACGGCGGAGGCGTGGGTGCGTGGGGGTGGGAGTGGTGTGCCTGCTGTTTATGATAGTATTGAAGCTGCGATATCTGGAGCCAGGGAGGTTGCGAAGGCGCGGCACCCGGAGAAGGTGCATGTACTTGTGACAGGAAGCTTGCATCTAGTTGGCGGCTTCTTGAAGGCAATGGGGGCCGAATCAGAATAGATTAGCTGTTTGAATATATTGGCGTCGACCGTCCCTTTAGCCTGCCCCCTATTCTTTCAATCTCCACCGATTTCACACATCCTAAATCAGAATTTTGACAGTACAACTACAGGTCAGGCACTTTATTTTTCTATATTTGTACACCTTTTATTTATCATTGTACCGTACAAGCCTTCTAAGCAAGCTCCCTCGCTGCTACCGATGACACAAACAAATGAAATCACCTTCTATCTATTCCATCCTCAAGCTCTGAAGTCTAGCCTCCGTCGCAATGACCTGGGAAAATATTAGTTTCTGACTCCAAAACGTCCATCGACAGGGAAAAAGGGGAAAACTCACATCAAGCGCCTGCTGCACCTCCAATACCTTGCGCGCCTCACCCAACCAATCGCGACTCAGCGTCTTCGCCCACCCCGTCAACCCATTCATCTCCCTAGCAGCCTCATCCAGATTCCCCTCCTCCAGGAACGTCTCCGTCCTCGTAAGAATGCTCTCCACATCATCCCCAACCGCCAACCCGCGCTTCTTAAACAGCAGCTTGCTCAGCACGTAACTCGACGCATGACTCGCGACGCCCGCCTCATCCGGCAGCAGCGACGCCTTGCGCACCTCTCCCGCGACGCGACGGAAGCGGTCGATCAACTGGGCCGAGGTGGGGATGCCGCGCTGGTATGCGAGCGGGTTGATGGAAGCGATTGCGGCGTCGACGACGGGGTCAGCGGCGGCGATCTCCTTGAGTGCGGCGAGCTCGCGCACGAACGGCTTGGGGGAGCGGGAGTTCTCGAGGTTGGCGCGCACGGCCTCGACGGCGACGTGGAGGTGCTGCGTCTTGAGGTTGGAGTCGACGACGTCGGTCCAGCCTGTGGTGAGTTTCTCGAGGTCATCGACCGTCTTGGAGAGGTCGGTGAGCTTGCCGAGGCGGCTGTTGCGCTCCTCCTCGACGCGGGTGTTGACCTCGGCGACGAACTTGCGCTTCATTTCGACGGCTTGCTCGAGGAGCTCGTTGCGTAGGCGCTGCTCGTTGACGTCCTTGGCGTGGGCGATCTCGGAGCGGAGGCGCTGCTCGTAGTGCTGCTGGAGTTTGGTGCGCTCCTCCTCGTACTCCTCCTTCCAGCGGCCTTCTTGCTCGTGCATCTCGCCCTCGAGACGGCGGATGAGCTCCTTGGCGGCGCGGTCAAAGTCCTCGTGGGAGGCCTTGACCTTCTCGTCGGCTTCCTTCATGGCGATGGCCTTGAGGGCCTGAACCTTGTCTCCAACCTTCTCAAGCTCGGTCCTGGCGTTCTTGATGACGGGGGAGAACTTGTTACCGGCCTTGTCGGCATTGACAACAAGAATGATGTCGTTCAGGATCTTGACAAGGTCCTGAACCACGGGGTCGTTGGCGTTCTTGATGTTAATGGGGTCAATCCTCTCAACGTACGGCGTGTAAACGGAGGGCTCGTTGACCTCTGGGACCTTCTTGGCCACAGCTGGCGCAGGCGCAGGCGCATCGACGACTGTTGGCTTCACGGCTGGCTCGGCCGCAGATTTAGCCTGAGCAGCTGCGATGGGTGCAGCAGCAGCGGGCGCAGTTGTATCAGCGTACTCTGGCTTCTTAACACCCTTCACGCTCTCCACCTTCTCCTTCTGCTTAGTGTCACTTGCGTCAGTCTTTGCTGTCGGCGCAGCCTTCGACACTTCAGGCTGCTGTGGCTTCTCCTCGGCTAGCTTCCACGTAACTCCGTTCGAGCTCGGGATCGTGACGCGGTTTCCTAACTCTCTGCTTCTTGGCTTGCTGTTGAGAACGGGGAAGCGCTTGCGGAACTCGCGTTCCTCGAAGAAGAGGACGGCCTCCTCTCCGAAGGGAACGTACTCCGTGAAGAAGTCATGGAAGTTGTCGTTGACGCGAGAGTAGTAGACGCCACCGGCGAATCCTCCAACAGATAGTGCCAGAAGTGTGAGGAACAGCTTGCGGATTAACTTTCGCGACTTCTTTGGTGGTGGTGGTGGAGGTGTCGATGCGGCTGGAGCTGGCGTAGGCTTAATCGGTGGTGCTGAACCCAGCGACGTCGGTGGAGATGACTGGACCTTGCTCGGAGATGGAGGCGTCAGAGGAACGGTCTGGGTCACCTTTGAATCTGCGCTCGGCGTCTGGGGAGTGGGCGAATTTAACGAGCTTGTGATCTTTCCTGGTGCTGGAGGAACTTCAGCGTGCGTTGTGCTTCCGGAACCTGGGAGGACCACTGGCTCGGGGTCGTTTATGCTCGGTTTCTTGTTATCCGCAAAGCTCCTCTGTGATACTCGTTAGTTTGGCTGCCATCACGAGTCTCCGAGGAGGTGCTGTTGGGGATATCATACTGCAGATGGGCGGCTATATACCGCCTGCGCGCCGAGCAATTGACGCCCAGCTCTGGCTGCGATGGAGCCATTGCTGAGCGCTGTTGATGCTCTAAGGGAGGCTCGCAGCATGACGTCCTGCGTTGGCGGAAGGAATGTGGTCGTGGTGTTGATGCTGGCTCGCGTGGGCTGGGAGAAAAGCTATTTGACGTTCCTTGAATTGAAGCTCGGGAAGCCGCCGGAACGCCAAGCCTTTTCGATTCCGGTTCCAAGCGGCCGCATCATCAGCTCCGCATTATCTCATATGGAACTCACATAGCGATAACGGAGTATTAAAAGAATATTAAATAGCAAAAGTCAAATAGTAAACCAAATTCTAAGAGAGAGTTTACAGAATCATCTTAATAACTAAGGTCGTGTGAAGCTGCTCTATCGTCTTTATACATCCCACACACTGTTAAAAAAACAGCACCACGACCCAATCTCTCGCTCCCCCCGCCACAGCGTCCAAACCATCGACTCTGCCCAACAAACAAAAAGGAGAGTTCAAGGTATTAAAAGGCTAGTCCTATAGAAGCATACCAAATGCGCATCGCCGCAAGTTCTGTTCTCCGGAGCCTTGAGGAATCGAGAAAGCCAGCAACCGTAAACACAACGAATCTCCCACCCCCACATGCAACCCCTTTGCCCAACATCCATTAAACCGTTATAACATACAGTAATCACTTAGCAAGAGCACCCCGCGCCTCCTTGAGTGTTGGCTGCCTCTGGGCGAAGATCTACACCTGGCCTTGGTCCCGAGCGTGGGTTCCGCGGTCCGGCCTGGTCGAGGGGAAGCTTCTTTGCGATGGCGGTGAATAGCTCCCTGACATTCTCTGAGGTCTTTGCGGATGTCTCGAAGAAGAGAAGACCGGCCTCCTTAGCATATGCCTCAGCATCCGCGGTCTGGATTACGCGCTTGTCTGGTTGTTCGGTGACAAGATCGAGCTTGTTGCCGGCCAGGGCGATGATGATGTTCTCGTTCGCTTGTCTCTGTAACTCCTTCACCCACGCCTTTGCCTTGTCGAGGGACGACTATTGGAACATGTATTAGCCTCTGTGTCCATGTTTGTCAGTGCCGGAAGACTTACAGCTTGTGTAATATCATAAACAACGACGGCGCAGTTAGCATTCCTGTAGTACATGGGCGCTAACGACTTGTATCTCTCCTGTCCGGCAGTATCCCAAATCTCAAACTTGACGGTGGTAGCCTCATCTAGCGAAATCGTCTGGGTGAGGAAGGCAGCTCCGATCGTTGACTCGCGGTAATCATCGAATTGGTCCTGTGATAGTGTCAGCTGTGATGCAAAGGAGTTGGGGGATTTCGACCAGGGAGATTCATACCTTGACAAAACGGAGGACTAAAGAACTCTACGGGAGAAGTGTCAGTAAATATCAGCGACGAGAAACCCCTAGAACCCTCGACATGCATACCTTTCCGACGGCAGATTCGCCTGTATCTCATATTAGTACTCGTATCCGGGGGTCCAGGGAGATGGCAGACGTACCGAGAAGCACAAGTTTGAACTGCGCAAAGCGAGCATTGTTCGCTCTGGCGCCAGGAGGGCCTCTTGCAGCCATGTTGTGTGTGTGAGGGGAGTAGTTATGGGCGGCTAGGTGATTTGATGGGCGGCCTAATGACAGCAGCCTCAAAGAAAGAAGGCTGGATCAATAACGGTGAGAGACCTGGCGGGGAGAAAGTTGGAATGTCGTAGAGTTCGAGGTATAATATACGTTTCAGCTATTCAGTGGCGTAGTGGTGCAGAAGTTGAGAAGTTGAGAAGTTGTATGGTGGTTGATCTTTTGAGGGCGATGAGGGTTGAGGGTGACGACGGATGATGGGCTTCTTGGTTTCTTGGGGATTCATGGACCGACGGACCTGCGTATTCCAGAGTATAGTAAGATAAGTACATGGCTAACCAGCCAGTTGTGGCACAGTTACGAAGTACTACGGCGAAACCTTGAACCTGCTCTCGCTCTTTCTCTCGGCCCGCCACATTTCAACCACTTCAAATGTGGCGGATTTATATCACGTGCGAATATACCAATCATATCACGTGGATTAGCACGTGCTTTTAAGATTAGGTGAGGCTGGGGGAGGCTGAGGCTGAGGCTGAGAACTTTCCCAGGCCACCACGTTTCCTTGGTCGGTCCCTGGAATCTGATCATGCTCAAGATCAAGATCACCTATATCTCTTGTCACGGTTAAATCTCTGTTCTGTTACTGTACGGCTACCAGGAGGATTGGATTCTTATTCTCGCGAGTATTAATATATTTTACGAGAATTGGAATGCAGGCCGATTACTGTCCTATGTTATAGTCGAAGCTCACAACCAACACAAAACCTCCAGCTATCATCATGGCGCCTAGCTTGCCCTTCAGGGATATAAATGTCCACGCCTCGGCGTCGCATTATGCCTTCACATCGCCCTCTTCGCCCTCGGCAGCGACTTTAGTAGTGGATCGCCCTACTGGTGATATCAGGTTGAATGATGGGAAGGTCTTGGGCGGAAAGCGTGTCTCGAGCATTGCTGGTATCCTGGGCATGATCAGATTGCGATTGGGTTAGTTTGCGCCTCTTCTTGACGCTGGACGTGGCTAATTATGTTTGCCCATTAGATAAATACATCATTGTTATTACAAAGGCACAGCCCATGGGCCGACTGAAGGGGCACATGGTGTACAAAGTTATTGCGACCGAATTTCTGCCGTTGCGCGAACGACCCCTCCACGACAATGACGAAGATATCTACCTCACACTCCTCAAGGGCTTCATCAAGTCAGGACCGATGTACTTCTCATACTCATCCGACTTGACCAACAGCTTCCAGCGCCAGGCCCAGATCGACCAGAGCCAGCCATTGTGGAAGCGGGCAGATGACCGGTTTTTCTGGAACAGATTCATTCAGTCGGATCTGATCGACTTCCGCTCGTCAGGAAGCAGGCAACAGATTGGCCAACAGCCGGGAGCCGACCCGTTCATCCTGCCTGTCATATTTGGCATGCTTGAGATATCACCTACGACCGTCAAGGGGATGCCATTAACAATCGCCCTGATCACCCGTAGATCAAGACACCGCGCTGGCACAAGATACTTTTCCAGAGGAATTGACGAGTCGGGACATGTGTCGAATTTCAACGAGACGGAGCAGATCGTTATAATCAATGAAAGCGGGGCGGGGTTGGGTGGCTTTGCCGGTGGTGGTGGCATGCAAAATGGCAAAGTAGGGGGCTCCGACGGCCGAGAGGTCCAAGTGATGTCCTACGTTCAAACCCGCGGCAGTATCCCCGTATACTGGGCGGAGGTCAACACGCTGAGCTACACACCAAAGCTCCAAGTAAGAGGCGTCGAATCTGCCGTGGGCGCAGCAAAGGCCCATTTCGACGAGCAAATCCGACTCTATGGGGACAACTACTTGGTCAACTTGGTCAACCAGAAAGGTCGCGAGAAGCGCATGAAGGAAGCCTACGAGCAAATCGTAAAGCTCCTCCTCTCATCTCCCAAGGAATCCCAGCAAGCCGACGAGAAGTCAGACGAGAAGCTCCACTTCGTGGAATCGCGATCAAGAAGCCAAGAATTCGACCGCCTCCACTACGTCTACTTCGACTTCCACAACGAGACCAAGGGCCTCCAATGGCACCGCGCCCAGCTTCTCCTCGACCAGCTCGAAGGCGCCCTCCAGCAACAAGCCTACTTCCGCGCCACCGACATGCCCGCCGACACCACGGGCCGCCTCGACGTCCGCAGCCTCCAAACCAGCATCATCCGCACAAACTGCATGGACTGCCTCGACCGCACCAACGTCGTGCAATCCATGCTCGCGCGCCACACGCTGAACCGCATGCTGCGCGACCTTGGCGTGCTCCCCCGCGACGAGACCTTCAACTCAGATTCCGCATTCGAGTCGCTCTTCCGCAACATCTGGGCCGACAACGCCGACGTGGTGTCCAAATCATACTCTGGTACTGGCGCACTGAAGACGGATTTCACGCGCACGGGGAACCGCACCAAGGCCGGCGCGCTGCAGGATCTGTCGAACTCGATCACGCGGTACGCGAAGAACAATTTCCTCGATGGGCCGAAGCAGGACTCGTTTGATCTGTTCCTGGGCGCGCATCTGCCCGCCACGGGGAATATTGGGAATACATCCGTGTTTGTGGATAGGCGGCCTGTGATCATCCAGGCTGTGCCGTATGTCCTCGCTTTTGCGGTGTTCTTCGTGCTGCTGGGGATTTTCACCATACGGTTACCTGAGAGCGCGGTGTTGCCGCTGAGGCTGTTTACGATTTTCTGGTTCATTGTTGGTGGGCTGAGCGCGAGCTTTATTTTCAAGAATGGCATGCTTTATGTAAGTTCTCGTTATCCCCTATGTACACTGTGTCCCCTGACTGGATTCTAACTTCAACACAGGTCAACTGGCCTAAACTCATACCCCGCCCATGGGCCACAGAGGGCTACAACGAGACCGTCAACAAGCTCCGCAAAGACAAAGTCCTCGGCGGCCTCGTAGCGCGACACGAGAGGGGCATGAGCACAGCCCGCTTCCTGAGCGCCGAGGAAGGGAAGAAGAGGATCGAATGAGCGGCGAGTCGTTTATTGCTGTTGTAAAGCGGACATCGACATAGCCTAGAAAATGTAGGTATAAAGGGAGGAAGGAAGAGACGCTGAGCAAGATAGCAGCTAAGCAGCTAGAATGGTACATTCCTGTACTATTAGCACACCTTATATGTGGATGGATGGATGGGGGAGCGGATGTTGGCCAGAGCCCACGGAACACGCAGGCCCCTTACTGGGGATGCACAATAATATTTTTCTTCCCAATATCTCATAATCTCACATTACCATTACTATTAAAATACACACATAACAATCGTTAACCCCCCCCCATCTCCCAAGAAACCACCAGTCCGTCCATCACTCCCTCACAACCAAAACAACCACCTCCCCACCCCCACCACCCCCCTAAACAACCCCCTCAAAAGCCTCAACAACACAACAACCAACCAAGCCCACCACATAACCCCAACAAGCACCCACTCAACCAACACCCACCCCCCCCGTCTCGCCCACCTAAACCTCCTCCTCCTCCTCCGCATCATCGTATCCATCGCCCCCGCCAGCGCCTTCGCCCTCAACATCTGCGACCCCATCACCTCCTTCGCCAACTCATCCGCCTCATCCGCCGCTTTCTTACCCTGCTCGCTCAACCCGCCCGGCCCATCGAGTTTCTCATGTAATAATTCTACTTGTTTCTCTAGCTCTGCCATTTTCCCGTCCCGGAACGACTCAGCGGCTGCTTCCCACGCGCGGGCGGAGCGTCGCATGTCCTCCTCCAGTACGCGGGCAGCGAGGAGGTGTTCTTGTGCGCGTGGGGCCCGCTCGAGCGCTAGGTCTGGGACTAGTTGCGCGACGGTGGCGAAGCGGTATGCGGCTGCGTTATTGAGATCGCGCAGCTCGTTATGGCGACGCGTGAGTTCCTTCGCCTTGATTCCCGAGGACAGCAGAAGGGCGCGCACCCGCGCGACATCCTGGCGCGTGATGTGCGTTGGTTCCGCACTGGGGTCGCGCGGGCGCGAACCGAGGCTGGGGCGGCGCGCAGCGAGGGCCGCGAGGTCGGTGGCGGGGAGGAAGGTGGTGCGCATGGGGCTTATGCCGGGGATATTGAGGATGGAGTTTAAGCGTGCGTCTGCGCTGTGGACGCGGAGGAGGCTTCCCTGTGGAGAGCGATCGCGCGAGGTGGTTTTGGGGGAGGAGTCGCCGGAGGCGCGTTGGATGTCTATGCGGGGTGGTTTGAGACGGTCGAGGCGGTCTTGACGGTGTTTGGCGTGAGCTTTTTGTTGTTGCGTTTGGGCGTCGTAGTCGGGTGACATTTGGGTTGGGTGTCGGGAGTCTGTGGGACGGCCGCGGCGTTCGGTGGGGGAGATGAAGGTGGACATTTCGCCGAGGAGGGCTTTGACTTTGCGGGAGGCGGCGCCGCGGGTGCTGCCTTGGTCGGTCATTATTGAGTTTCTTCGGCTTGATTCTGATTCCTCTTTGCTTGATTCGAAGGCATTTTCGTCGATGTCTGTGTCTTCAGGGGCGGTATCGCCTTGTTTATCTGATGCGCTGGTATCGTCCTTTGTCCATAAGAGGTTGCTCACCCTTGCAATAGGGTTGCGACTCTTTGGCTTCCCAGCCATATTAGGTGGGCTTCCATCTTTCGGTCTCTGTCTCGCCAGCGAGGCAGCAGATGGTGACTTGATGGTATTATCAACTGACCCCTTCACGGGTCTCTTCCTTGGACTAAGGGAACGTATATGATCAAGTGGGCTACCCGGACTCTCTTGCAAGCTAAGTTTTCGATCTGAATCGAGGTCGGACTCCCCCTTCCGACGACGCCCCAGTGGTTCCGCGCTCCGCTCTCGAAGCCTGCTTATCTTTGAACGAACTCGGTCAAGGGGCATTCTATGGCTGTGAGTTGGCGATAATGGGCTGTGAGGGGGGGAAAGGTCCATGGATATGCTGGGAATAAGAGCGTTCAATAACTTTGCTGCTTTTGACTCGGGCGAGTTTGGAGCTGTCGTGTCCAAGTCGCTACTTGGCCACTCGCTGGGGCGTTGACCAGGAACCTCCAGACTGCTTCTCCCTAACGGAGCTGCTTTATCTCCATAATTTAGGGACCAGTTCCGACGATGTAACTCGGGTCTTGGCTTCCTTGCGATCAATTTCCGGGGTGATAGTGTGTCCGACTCCTCGGCCTTCGCAGGGGCGGTTATAGGTGACGGTGTCGCCTCGACAGATGAAGCCGGTTTCTTTTCTTCTTCTATCTTTTCAGGGACTTCTTTCGATACTTCTTTGGATACTTCTTTCGATTCCTCGTCTGTTTCCTTTGCTATCATTTGTGACATCTGCTTCGCCAAGATGCCACGATTAAGGGCGAAACTATCTGCCGTGTCGCTCCGACCTCTCCGCATTTGAGCATTATAAAGGGAGTCATCGCTATCAGACGACTCGGAATCTACCCTGCTACGGGACCTTATTGGACCGGTGCTATCCAGTTTCCGGGCCATCTTGTGCAGTTTGTGTCGGATTTTGGGTGTATGATTGATATCCGATCCATTATGGCCAGGGCGTCGGATAGAGTTAAACGCAGGCAATCTTGTTTCCACGTGTAGTTTTCCGGGTATTTTTGCTTTGGCGTCGGGCGACTGTGCTGATTCTGATTCTTCAACCTCTTGCTCACTCGTGTGTCGCTGCTGTTCTAATTGCCGCAGTTGCTCTTCGCTCGTCCTGGTCGGCAGCCTGACCAGGTTTGTAGAGGGTGGAAATATCTTTCTCTCCCGATTATCCTCAATCAACTTTTTGTTGTCACTCTGTTCCAGCCATACGATGTCTGCCAGCATATTCGGCGCACTGATCATCCAGTCAATCCTCGGCCGCTTCACTTTGACAGGAGGAACTGCCGGTTTACTTGGATCAGCCCCGGCAGCGACATGAGCCTGACTTTCCGCCTCATCGGGGACCAGAGGCGGCAGTTCCAAGCAGTCGCTGATTTCATAACCATCGCCAGGGCAATGTTTTGCCACACGGTCAACCCATGCGGTAACATCGTCAACGTCGCCAAAGCCCTGCGCTTCTCCATCGATCGGCTGCCTTTCTCTCGCCCTGACCTTCCTGTTGCGAATATATTGTAGCGGGTTGTAGGGCCTGCCAATCTGTTTGTTCGTTGCCGTGCTAGCTCGTGATAGTGTATTTAGTCTAACTGGAATTCCTGCTGACGTGCCGGGTGGGCTGATGGTTGGGACAGGTGTCAAACCATGTGACTTCAATGGAGGTAGGTATTGTAGCAGGCGCCTATACTGGGCCATAAGCTCAAAGGCGTTCTTTGCCTTTTCGGCTCGAGCCAAAGTAGCTGCCGAAAACTGATACTTTTGCTCGACATCTTGAGTAAATGCAGTTTGTAGGGGGCTGGTTATAGGTTGTGCTAGCTTGGGTGGTCCAAATTTCTCTCCTTTGTCGGGTTTGGGTGAGATGTTCCGTGACGATCGTCTCTGAGCTTGAAGGTGCTGCCGCAGGCTTCCTCCTCCAAAGGTATCTTCAAAGCCATGGATCGTCGGGGGGGATGGAACTGTTACAACCCTCCTGGCTGCTTGACGTCTGCTCTCGCTCAGGTTGAGGGCGAGATTCACAATCTGTGCAGAGTCCACGTCCAGCCCAGTTTGGATCGTCTTGCCGACGTTGACCTGGCCCGCATTCTCTTCCGTATTCGTGCCATCCGTATGAGCCTTATCTTGGGCGTCTGCCTGTCTTACATGTGTTGCCAACGGGCTCCCTCCATTTGTCTGATCCGTCTTGGGTCTGACAGGAACCTTCCCCTTTGGATCGCGCCGTTGTTGTCGCTTTCTGGGGGGAGTAAGCTGGTTCCCTATCGATGCTCGAGTTTCGTGTACCGGCGGCTCGAAAAATGTATTATCGGAGAGGAGAAAACCGCCAGACGTTCTGCTCCTGTGGCTTCGATGGCTCCCTCTGCCATGGCTGTTCCTTCCGAGGTCGGTGAGTGAGGGGTCGACAGGCTTATAGGTGTCGTCGGTCGACCGGTCTTGTTGTTCGCTATTTCGTGAGCTAGATTCACCAGCCTCATCACTGGCTACACTATATCTGTTCCTCATCGCTGTAGTGCCAGGCGGGGTAGCATGGTTTCTTCGAGGATCTGACGGGGTGGTCATAGCCACTCGGCCCAAGGCGTCGGTCATTTTGTGACCAGCACATTTGGGATAACTTGACGATCTCAAATTCGATCAGAGCATTTCGTAAGCTCAAAGGGCGTAGCTATTATTCATGTTCTGCGAGACTCTTGAGCAATAAGGATCCATACAGTCATTCGGGCACAGTGAAGCTCGTGAAAGCGGCAGCATGGTCTACTAAATTACGGCTCGGCAAGCTACACTGCAGCATGACAAGCATGGACCATGCTGAGGGTAGGGGGCTAGCATCCATGCAGTAAGGTTAGTTTGACGGGTGCACGGGTCATGATTCCCGATAAGGGTTGCCGGCCGATAAACGCCCCGTACCCGTACCGGCCCGTCTGACTGGCTATTGTTAATATTTAGATGTGGGATTCGAGCATATATATCGGAGTAGATATCAACTTTATGGAAGGTCAGACACTTTGTTTCGGCTCAACCCATGAGATAATGATAGGTTCGGAGAGCAGACCAAAGTTAGAGGGGCGGCTGGTATAAGTAGGGCGACAGCGATATACAGAGCGCAACTCTCAAGCCCCACAACCCTGTAAGAGCCCACCGAGCAGATTGCCCATCAAGCGGTTCGAAGATTGCGTTGAGGGGCCAGTAGCTTTGTTGGTACGGGTGGTGGCAGCATGGTCAAACTGGCTACAGCAGGTTGAGTTGGCGGTGGCATAATTAGCTGACAACGAGAATTGCACGACGGTGAGAAGATTTTAAGGTAACAGGCGGAAATATTGACAAGAGTGATCACGATTGAAACACAACACCCTTGATCCCATTATCGAACAGGGCAATGTTCTTGCCCTAGAGGCTTGCCAAATACGACCGGATTTGCTTGTTTGGTGCCGGATGTCCCAGGACGTATTTTGTTATTCTGTCAACGTTGCAGAATACGGGTTCCTAAGAACTATTTGCATCAAGTATTTGATATTAACTAAGACCCATCCATCTTAATTTTCATATATATATACACTTTCCATTTGGAAGCTTTGCCACGGGAGTTCCTACAGCCGCGGTCTTCTATATCTGCGTAACCTCCTTCCCAATCATCTCCGGCCTCTCAACCTCCCACTCATCCCTCAGAACCGCAAACAAGATATCCGCCACCAGAATACTCATCCCAAGACTCCACACCAGCGTAATGGCATAGAAGAAGTTGGCATTCCCACTACCAGCATAAATCCACAGGTAGTAGAACGCTGGTCCCAGAGCAGTGGCGTATAATATCGTTGACGTCGCCAAGTAGCTGTACCTCATCAGGGGAAACACGTGGCGGTACAGTGGCACCAAGGCCAGGAAGAGCGACGTGTCTGAGATGGATGGGTATGGCTTGAAGATGGCAAATAGCCCAAGCAGCGTGGTGATGATGAAGAGTGGCTGTCCGCGAAGGCGAATGGTGAGACCTACAACGTACGATGACAGGTGCAGCCAGAAAACACCGAGGAAGAAGGACCTGAATGAGTCGAACATTTCGATAAAGAAGTACCACCACAGTCCGACATTTGGCGTTAAGTCAGGCAATAGAAGCTGCACACCGTATGTCGAGGGGATAAACTCCCAGGATCCGGAGATCTGGTACGACATGAATAGCAGGGCGTAAATGGACCCTCCCACAGCTGGTACAGTGCTGAAGACGAAACTGGTCAAGGACTCTGTGACCTTTGTCGCTCGCCGCCTGTCGTAGCAAAGTAGCACTAGAGGCGGAAGAAGTAGGAGCGGATACATGGATAGGTATGATGCAAAGGCAATGGCGAACATGCTTGTGAACGACGCCCCATTTACAGCCTTCGCGATGGCGTGGAGGATGGCGCAAGTCGTGAAGACGCTTGTGGGGCGACCAATGCAGGTCGCAAGAGTAAAGGGGTTAAATAAGAAGCTATAACGCTATTGTCAGCATGAAAAGTCAAGTCTGGTTGGCGAGAGGTCTTACAAGGCCGCAATTTTGGTGCTGCTCCACCTCCTGTCCTTTCGAGGGGATGTGTAGTGCTTTGTGGAAACGGATTCTCCGGACTCAGCAATCTTCATAAGAGCCACAGCGCTCAGTAGATCCACCAATATGTATATTATATTCGTAAATATCGGCCATGACGCGTAGTTTGGGAGGAGTGAGAAGAATGGCAGGAGAAGGGGCGCCTGATGGTACACCCCGCCATCGTATGGGGAGACATTGTGGTTATAGAGGAAGAGGCCTTCTTGGACTAATAGACAGTTAGAACCTGATATCACAACCTCAAAATAACACTTACGTCTCTTAAAGCTGGTCACCGGCGTCGATATCTCGACTCGGCCCGTCAGGGTGTCTGGGAGAGTCGGAAATGCTGTAAAAAGGACCAGGCGCAAGACAGCCGCCGCCCCAAAGAGCGAGGCTGTCTGCTTGTCAATCTTCATCGCATTCATCTATATGCAAATGGAGTTCTTTGACAAAGTAAAACCATTGCCGTGCTGCGCATAAATTCGTAAAATAACTGACTTGAACACCTCAGTCCACGCTCGGAGGCTTCAGTCGTATGTAACTGTCCTGAACCCGCGATTGATAGGATGTGGTCTGTGCGCGGGCGGTGAGCCGATGAGCCAATTAGATAAGACCTTGATACAGAAAGTTGGGATTCGATTTCTTCCTCGCGAACTTTTGAAAAAAGACGACCTTCTTATCTCAAGTCCACAGAGCCAAGAGATCAAGGTTCTACGCTCTACAAACAATTACAGTAATAATGGCTAGAATAAAGAAGAAGGGTAAGACTTACATTTGCCATTGATTCGAAATTATTTTCTCTAACACAACCAAACAGGAACTTCTGGCCAGGCCAAGAACTTCATCACCAGAACGCAGGCTGTCCGAAAGCTTCAGATCAGTCTCCCGGATTTTCGCAAACTCTGCATCTGGAAGGGAATCTACCCCCGCGAGCCGCGCAACAAGAAGAAGGCCTCGAGCACCTCGCACGCAGCGACCACCTTTTACTACACCAAGGACATCCAGTACCTGCTCCACGAGCCGCTCCTCCAGAAGTTCCGCGACCAGAAGGCTCTCGAGAAGAAGATTGCAAGGGCCCTCGGCAGAGGCGACGCACACAATGCTTCCAGACTTGAGCGCAATGCGTCCAGGCCTGAGAAGACTGGCCGGGCCAAGTACACCCTGGACCATGTCATCAGAGAGCGCTACCCCACATTCATCGACGCCTTGAGAGATTTGGACGACTGCTTGTCCATGCTCTTCCTCTTTGCCAACCTCCCATCCACGGACTCCGTCCCAGCCAAGATGATTGCGAGATGCGAGAAGTTGGTTCTCGAGTTCGAGCACTACCTGATTGTGTCGCACAGCCTGCGCAAGTCGTTCCTGTCTATCAAGGGCATCTACTACCAGGCCACCATTCAAGGACAGGATATCCTCTGGTTGGTGCCATACAAGTTCAACCAGCGTGTCACTGGAGATGTCGATTTCAGGATAATGGGAACCTTTGTGGAGTTCTACCAAACCCTTCTCGGATTCGTCAACTACAGGCTCTACACCTCATTAGGCCTCGCCTACCCCCCCAAGTTCGACAAGGAGAGCGACGACCAAGGTGCTGAGCTCGGTGCTTTCACCCTGGAAGGAAACTCAGTTGGACCGATTGAGCAGCCCAAGTTCGGCCTGACCAGCGAGGAGCAAAGAAATGCGAAGCCCGACGCCAAGCTCCAAGTCGAGATCGACAAACTGATGGCCCAGCTGAACGTCCCAGAGGAGAAGGCCAAGGAATTGGCCTCCAAGGCCGACGCCGACATGGAAGACGCCGATGGAGCAACCGACGCGCTTGACAAGTTCGTCCCCGTCGCACCAGGCGGAGACATCCTCCCGCAGCCTTCCTACTCCTCCACCGACCCCTCCACCCTCTTCTCCAACTACACCTTCTTCCTCTCCCGCGAGACGCCCCGCCAACCCCTCGAGTTCATCCTGCGCGCATTCGGATGCAAGCGCATCGGGTGGGACGCCGTCCTCGGCGCCGGCGCATTCACGCACAACGAGCTCGACCCGTCCATCACGCACCAGGTCGTCGACAGGCCGCCGCGCCAGGTCGAGGACGAGGATAACCAGTCCGCGCAGACGCTCGTCAAGGGCTCGAGGGTCCCGGGCCGCATCTACGTCCAGCCGCAGTGGGTGTGGGATAGCATTAACGAGGAGGAGCTCAAGCGCGCGGATCTGTACGCACCGGGTGCACAGCTGCCGCCGCATTTGAGTCCGTTCGTCAAGAAGGTCCGTGGAGCGTATGATCCAAGTGCACCGCTTGATGAGCAGGAGCGTGAGAATGAGGAGTTGGAGGCTGATACCGATGATGAGGAGGATGAAGAGGATGAGGAGGAGGAGGCCGAGGAGCTTACTGCTGCTGAGGTGGCGAATATTGATATCGATGCTTCGGCTGCGGGTATGGAGGTTGCTGGCTCTGATGAGGAGGATGACGAGGAGGAGGTTGCCAAGGACGCTACGTTCGGCGGCTTCTCTGACGCCGAGGAGGACCAGGAGTCTGAGGATGAGGCTACGACTGCAGCTGTACAGAGGCAGAAGGAGCTCGAGGCCGAGATGACCGGCGTGCCGCTGAAGGAGACCAAGGTCGACCCGCGGACAAAGGCCAAGGCCGACGCGCGGAAGAAGCTGTCCAAGGCGAGGGAAGAGGAGGACGAGGAGCTGGAGCGCGGCAAGATGATGCTGAGTCGACGCAAGCGCAAGATCCTGGAGAAGATGGTGTATAGTAACAAGGAGAAGGAGAAGGAGGCGGAGGGACTGCGCGCGAAGAGACGGAAGATCGAGAAGTCCGGGAAGGGAGGTGTTAGAGAGTAGAGGGGGGTAGCTTTTTACGGGGTGTCACTTTTCGGGCGGCGTTGTGGAAAAATGGGACATGTTTGCGTAGCATTTGTTCGGAGATTTTACGGCTTCATGGCCTCTGTAGCTTAAAGTTGCAGTAAAATGTCCTTATTCGCAGTATGAGCCTGTCGTCGTGCTTTTGTGATTGCAAGGCTCGGTTGGAGCTATTGATGTGATATTGCACCCCACGCTCCTATGGAATGAGGAGCATAAACAGGAAGGCAGGACGGGAGGAGTAGCACCTTCCTTCTATAATTGAACTTGCAGTAGCCATGAGGAAGGCACGATGCGATACCCCGTACTTTCCCTGGGCCGTGCCTTCCTTGGATGTAATTGTTCCGTGCGGCCATAGAAGGAAGCTACGAACCTCTTCAATTACGTCAGTGACGCATAGCAACATCTCATTAAAAAACTGATTTGTTTGCCTTTGCTACGATAGAGTCTATAGGCCCGTAAATTATACCAGATTCTGTCATTGTTTTATGTGTTTACAGTAGCTGTGAGTAAAAAATATGGTCACAATTAGTCCTAACCTCAAAAATAATGCGTATGAATTATTGTCACTGTAAATTATCACAGCAACCAACAATCCAAAATAAAATTAACTACTCACGGCAGCAATTTATCACATCAGCCAAATTAATTAAAATAGACAGAGTCTACCAACTGTATTTCACTATCAATTCCCGTCTACATATATATGCCAATGCGTGGCTCCCGACAGTAAAAACCCGTAGAGCCTAATAAAAATATTGATATTAAATTGACATAAAAGTATCAATAAGCTTCCACTTGACATCAAAAACAACGGCCGGGTGGTGTAGTTGGTTATCACGTTTCGTTAACATTTCAATATGTCCCGAAAAGGTCCTGGGATCGAACCCCAGCCTGGTCAATTCTTTTGATATTTTTTTGCATTTTTTAATTCGTCGACGTGGGCTCCAACCGGCGTTCTACTTAGTGCGGCCGCGCCCCACCAAAGCTTCTTATGTACCTGCCTGTTGATCGTCTCCAGCATCAGCCTCATGGGATAGGAAATATGGATTCCGATACCGAGTACACAGAGTATAGGACCGATGTCTCTGAAACCGATATCGCGTCTCCCGCTCGCCCCGGCCGCTTCAAGGGCCCGAAATCAACATGGCGTACCTTCAACGAGGACGAGATTGCCCTTGCGGAGTCCCTGGTCAAGCTCGAGGCGCAGGATCTATCAGCACATTTATACAACGCGCACGTGATGAAGAAGTCTTTATATGACCCCGATCTCGTGATAGACGCGAAGCCGTGGGCCAGCAAGGTGCGTGTGTTCCTGCAGCGATTTTTTTTTCCGGGTTACTGACGGAGAGTAGGAGCGCTGGCGCCCGGCGGAAGTTGGTGATGATGGGAAGAATTTTGTGCCGCCGGAGAGGTGGACGGCGTGGCCGCTTGAGCCGGAGATTGTGCCCAGGAGCGAGAGGCCAAAGGCAGACGAGGAGTTTACGTTGAAGAGGGTGGAGGAAGAGAAGCCGAGCCGGGAGATGGAGGAGGTCCTTACAGGCGTGATGCTTAAATTTGCCAAAAACACGTTTGAGAGGAGGAAGTGGGAGAGTGACGAGGCATTACAAATCAGTAGCGACGCAGAAAGCGACAGCAATTCCCAAGAAGCCCAAGAAGAAAACCCAAAAGAAGACGACCACTACCCCACCGACTCAGAAGCACCCGCCCAACCATCCCTCTCACACCCCCCACCCTCCAAACCCATCATCTCCGCCGACGACGACCGCTCCGCGCGCCTCCTCCGCCCTACAATCCGCCACACCATCGCCCGCCTCGACAACCTCCTCACCGCGCTCCAAATCTCCCGCCGCGCCTGTCTCCGCCCTGACCGTTCCCCCTCCCCCACCGCCGACCCGCTCTTCCCAACCGTCGAACCCGAAGACGTGCCCAGCACCCCCGACTCCCCGAAACGCCGCCAGGGCCGCCCGAGACGCGTGATCTCTGACCAGCCGCACCCCCTCGCTGCTGCGAGCCCGCCGAAGAAATCTAATCGCGGCAGGAAGAAGAAAGTTCATGCCCCGCTACCCGGGGAGACGCAGACGGAGATGCTGGTGCGTATTGCGAGGGAGCAGCATAAGTCCATCCCCTTTGCGGTTGACTCGCCGCGGAGCTCGACATCGCGCTCGACGCAATCTAGGTCGCGGAGTCGGAGTATGAGTCGCAGCCGGAGCAGGAGTTCGAGTCGGGGGAGTCGAGCGAGGCTGGGGACGAGGGATTGGAGCGAGGTTATTGGGGCGGCGGCGTTGGTGGGGTGGCCGGAGGATGTGGTGGAGAGGGCGGGGAGGAGGTGCGCGACGCTGTTTGGGGAGGGGATGGGGGTTAGGGTGTTGACGGAGGGAGTGATGGGTGGGGAGGTGAAGGAGGAGATGTATGTGCCAGAGGAGGTTCTTGATTTTGGGGAGATGAGCGAAGAGGAGGAGGAAGAAGAGACGGTGGAGGAAGCACCAGCGCCGAGGAGATCTAGGTCTGCTCGCCCTGAAAGCAGGCCGAGGAGTCGCTCGCGTAGCCGCGAGTCAAGATCGAGAATGGATGAGAGGAGCGCGGTTGAGAAGTTTGGGATCTACGCGGCTTATTGCCCTCTCCAGGAGTGCGAAAGGTATCAGAGGGGATTCAATAGCGAGAGGGCTGTGAGGGATCATTTGAGGATAAATCATAGGATGGGGAAAGAGGAGATACAGAAGATGGACGAGGAGGAAGATATGATCGGGGCGGTGCACAGAGACGGGTTCGGGGTGATGGTGAAGAGGAGACCAGGTTGGAGGGGTGTTGATGAAGGGTTGAGGAAGAAGAGGGGAAGGGGTGGGAGTGGTGCTGTGGATGAAAGCGTGGCTGGGGATGAGAGCGAGGAAGAGGGAATGAGCGATTCTCTCAAAACTGAATATTTTTGAAGTAGAAATAGGCAGACATGCAATTCAGTTGGGGCAACTCACATAAATCTTCGTCACAAGTTTTGGTGATGGTTTGGTCTTCCCCTTTTGGCCAGTTTGGTCGCGGTTGTAAGCAGCGTCGGACCCCCCAGCGCTAGTCCACAAAGGCTCCCTCTGCCTGAAAATAGCTCCAATAGTGCGAAACGCCAAACAACAATGAACCCGCCAGCCAAGGATTGTGAAATGACAATGTCAGGAACAACAATAAATATAGATAAATGTCAATGCATATAAATCTACATAAAAGTATATATATCGTAGGCAGGCCATTGCTGCCTCACAATCAAGTGGGCCGTCTAGGCTGCTGGTCCCATCAACAATGCATCGCCGCGGGATTGCCTTGCCTACCCCACTGCGTATGTTTAGAAGTATAAAGAGACGCCAATGTGGCGTCGCAGCTCTTATTTATTCCGGTCACTCTTCATCATTCTTCTCTGTATCCTCACGCCAGAGCACACTACACGCATCTCGTCCTCAGTCGATTTCTACAGCAATGTCGCACGAATACCCAGGCATCAATATTGACCTGCGCTATTATAACAATGATGGACCTATATACCCTCTTGGTGCCCATGGTAACTGCTTTGGCGCCGACTCGGAGCTTTTGCCTGTCCGCGAAGTATTCATGATGGTATTGATGGACCGCTTGTCTGACAAAGTTGACTGGCACAAGAAGGTCTTCAACGAGGAGATTGTGAGCAAATGGCGGAAGGAGGCGCTGGAGCAACATGAGGACAAGCTATTCACACAAGTAGTTGAGGCCAGAGTTGGTGACATCAAGGTTTCCATGCCACGTGCACACATCATTTCAGCAGCTGCCTTTGACTACGTATGTGAACCTATTAGTTTGGGGATTTCAAGTCATTAACATCTGAATTAGTGCATCAAGGAGTTGAGGGAGAAAGCTGCCCACTTCGAGCGTACGGGCCTGATCCCCACCCTCGATTCTGATGGCAATACGATTGTCAAGTCTGACACGATTGTGACCCCGGAACTGCAGAAAGAGCTCCGCGCTGCATTTGACCAGCTAAGGGCCGATCAGGCGTCTGATGTCGACTGGCATCCACGCAGCGATGAAAAGGTTCAGGACTTGGTTCACCCTTCCATGTACCCCTTTATCTATGGTATGATATCCAATGGCCTCCAGGTGTAGCATCAAGCTAATGCCGACATCAAGGAAAATCGAACTTTTTCCAGGAAGAAGTTGTCGGGGTATCCGACGCGATCGAATTGTGGGCTGGCAAGGGCGAACCTGCTCGGGCGGCACGCAAAAGAGATTTACCTGATCCTAACGTGTCATATGATCAAGGAGGCAGTGGTATCCCTTTTGAATACTGGTCTGATACGTATCAATGGCTGCCAGCGAACCTGGCTTTCCAAGAAGACGGGACTGTGAAGTTTACGAGCTACATCAACAACCTCCATCCAAAGAAATATCCTAGCATCTACCGCACCATAGAGAAGCTTATTGACACGGCTATTCCGGCATGGGACCAGTTCCTGTCCGTACACGATTATAAACAAAAAACCCTCCCCCCAGTCGGGCGGCAAAAATCGCGCTTCTCCGTGCCTGATAGCGGCGAGTAAGTGTGTCCCTAAACTGAGGCTCTTCGTCCCGAATGCTAATTTCCTTTTCTTTTCTCTGTATAGTGATGAAGATGAAGCATTATGGGAGCCATATAGTGCCGAAGTGCTAGCAGAGGAGAATTATGAGCTTACCGAATCCGATTGGGAGCAGATTAGAGAGGAGAGACGGTACAATAGCAGAGACGAAGAGCGCCAGTGGGGCGAAGAGAGGCCGGAGGACGCGGAAAGAGACGAGGAAGGTGAGATTTGCCCCCAGAAAGTGAGGTTGACATGAAGAAGCTAACAATTCAGCCGACGATGTTCGAGATTTTAAATGGAAACAGATTCGTGATCCAGTGCTCACCGAACCCGATAGTGAGGAAAAAGTCAACTATCTGTGCCAAGAGAGCATTCGCCAAAAATTCAAGGAGAGCGGGCTCCAAGTTATTGTCAAGATGGCTACCATTGAGCTCACGCCTGAGAAGCCCGACTTCCCCATGGGCGGCTGGCATGTAAGTTCTCTCGCAAGACAAGCCCCTGAAGCTTACTAAATGTGATGGTGTAGGTTGAAGGTCAAATCAACGAGCGTATCTGCGCCACAGCTCTGTTCTACCTTGACAGTGAGAACGTGACGCCCAGTCACCTGTCCTTCCGCATGCAAACCACGTACGACCAAGACGAACTGCAGGGTATTGCCGGCCAGAATCAATTCAACTGGCTCGAGCGTGTGTATGGAACTCAGCTCAGCCAGTCAAGTGATGGAGCGAGTTCCTGTCTCCAGCACTACGGAAGTGCCGAGACCCGACAGGGGCGTCTGCTTGCTTTCCCTAACGTGTTGTACGTACCTAACCCCCCATCCCTCAAGCGGACCAATTCTACAGGAGCATCTGTCGAGCATTGTCAAGCTAACAAACACTGTCACGCAGCCACCACAGGGTCTCCCCCTTCAAACTCCAAGACCCAACCAAGCCAGGCCACAGACGCTTCATCGCGCTCTGGCTCGTCGACCCCCACCAACGCATCATTTCAACCGGCAACGTCCCACCACAGCAGCAAGACTGGTGGGCCGAGGCCGTTTTTGGCAACGGCGCAGACGCAAACACCGGCAACATGCCGCCGGAGCTCTTGGAGCTGATCGCGGAACGCGGCCCAGCTAAGAAGTCCCAGAAACAAGAAGGTGGCCAAACGGCGGACCGGAAGCTGCCGACTGAGATTATGGAGATGGTGAGAGAGAATGGGCTTGCGACGCAGGGGCTGATGACGGTGGAGGAGGCGAGGCACCATCGCGAGGAGCTGATGAATGTTAGGAGTCGGTTCCATGAGAAGGCGGAGCAGGAGTGGGAGGGTGTCGAGTATTTCTTCTGTGAGCACTAGGTGTGCTGAATGACGGGCTTTGTGAGATATTGGAGGCTTGCTGGAAAGGTTTTCGGTATTGTTTCTTCCAACACAGACTGTACTGAGGAATATGCAGAGAAATAGTTACATTGGAGGCTATTCTTGCTAATGCATGTTCTATCTATATTTTTGTTACAAGTTGACTAAATCAATGTGCTGATACAGTCCGAGAGCGGTGACTTTTGGGGAGTGGACGTGAGGGGGATGCCGGACCACAATCCAGACAAGACATCTATATATAATATCTACACTATCTCTTTCTCTTGTGCCACTTGTGTACCATGCCACGCCTACAGACTATCCCAGAGCTTGCGCCTTCTTCTCCTATTTGTAAAATTAACTTACTTACGTTCGTATTACCTTCTGACCTGACTGCGAAATGATTTATTCGAGAAGGAGACGAACTTCAACGGCAGCATACAGGTGACAAGATCGAAACGACAGCAACCTGTTTATATGATAACAGCAGGTTCAGTCGACAGTGACATGGTCAACCAACGGATCCACTGCCGCCTCACCAGCGATGACGGGATTACTACCTCCTGTATCCTGGCTTTGATCGATGGCTCGGAATTCTCCTACGTTCCGAAATAGAGCTGGCCTAAAGGTGCCGAGGGAAGCAAAGGTTTGCAGAATCCGCTATATATATGAACTCAATTCGCATAGTGTCGGAAGAGAACCGTGAAATAAGTAAATAAATCGACAACAGCACCCAAGCACACATCTTGGACGACTGAGGAACTGTATAGATTATATATATATACCTGGAACAAATCATGTATATTCTGCACAACAGTAACTATTCCAAACAGCCGCTGAACGCCGCCCATGCTCTCCCACCCAGCCACTTAAATACAAACTCTCCTATCCTATCTACTACCTCTTCTCCACAAGCAAAACATGCATAGCCACATAAGCCAGCACAACAAACACAGCCGCAAACGCGCCCAACTTCGACACATCCGACCACAGCGCCATATTATCGAATCCAAAACTACTCAATATCGTCGCACCGGGAACCTCGATACTGAGACCGAACTTCATATCGCGCAGCGTCAACATCGCCACCTCGTTGACAATCAAACTCTCAAAACCGTAGTGGAAAATACTCAGCGACTGCAGCCACAGCGCCGCCTTAGGAATCGCATCGTGGTTGAGCAGCAGGCCTGCGAAGAGCAAGCTGAACAGCATGACGAGACTGCCGATCAAGTTCGCGACGCCGTGGTCCTTGCACACGATGCCGATAAAGAGACAGATGGCGGCGGCGGCAAGGTTGAAGAGAACGAGAATGAGGAGGAAGGGGAGGAAGTGCGCCATGTCGGGACATAGCCCGGTCATGGGGTAGACGATGCTGCCCATGATGATCGGTGGGATGATGCGCAGGGGGATGATATCGAAGACGACTTTGGCGAGGAAGTAGGTGATGGGGGCATAGTATCCGTTGGCGCGCTCGCGGACGAAGAGAAGACGCTCCGAAGCGAACACCGTGAGCGATGTGAGAGTGCTGAAGCCGAAGAGGGCCAGCAGGAAGAAGAACAGTCCGAGGCGATTCTGGAAGCCGGGGATGTCATCTGTCAGGCCGTAGAAGAGGAACCCGGAGAGGACAGCGAGAAGGATCGCAATAGCATAGTGCGTGAGCATAAGCATTGGGTTCCGGTAGAGATTGCGCCATGTGCGTTGGGAGAGGATTGTGAATTGCCTCCAGTATCCGATGCGGGCGTACCCTTTGCCCATGGTGTTGCCGTTGGGAGATGCCGTACCGTTACCCCCAGAAAATCCGTTCGACTGACCATTCGCTGCCTGTGCATTCGAGACGGTAGTTTGAATGTCCTCGCGAATCTCACCAGCTATGCTAGAGTGTGCGTAAGAGGAAACCAATAGGTCCAAAGCAGTATTTTGGCCTGAAGATAGAGGGGGTAGGTCGTGGTCTTCCAGTACAGTCGACGGCACATTTGTCAATGGGACCGTTTCCGTGGTCTTTCTCCGTGTGAACAAACCGCGTTCTTGCTTCTTCTTTATCGAATCCCTACGGTGACGGTTGGGCCGAAGCAGCGACTCGCCTGCGCTATCGCCATCGTCGAGGCTTTCGCGGACACTAGCGATTGACTTGACGGCCCTTGTGCTGCTTGGTCCTGTACTCCTATCATCGCTGTTGAGTTCTCTATCATCTTCTTCGGAGGGTGTGCCCGGACTCTCAACGTGCATTGTGAGATCAACCAAATAGTCGGCAATGTTGAAACCTGGTGGACACGAATATCCGATGCTGTCAAAGTAGTTCTGGCAGAGTGCAAATTCTCCAGAGTAGACCGTCTTTCCCTTTGCCAATAGAACCAGTTGGTCGAACAGGGCAACGATATTAGATCTAGGCTGATGAATAGTGAAAATTACCGTACGGTTGTATGTCTTGGCCAGCGTAACAAGGCATTCGATAACGTTAAACGCATTGAAGGCGTCAAGACCACTGGTAGGCTCATCCAAAAAGAGAATGCTTGGGCTTGTAACCAACTCACAGGCGATCCCGACTCGGCGCTTCTCTCCGCCCGAGATACCGCGACCATTTCCCTCTTCAGAACCAATCAGAGAGTCCTTGATATGTGAAATGCCAAGCTGCTTCTCTACTTCGTATACCCGAAGCTCTTTCGCCGCGTGGCCCATGTCGCGGGGTAGTCGGAGCAAGGCGCTTGTCATAATTGTCTCGTGGACTGTCAAAGTCGGCAACATCGTATCCTCTTGGTCGACAAAGCCGATAACGTTCTTGTAGTCTGAATTGCTAACCTTCTCTCCGTTCACATAGAAATTACCCTCAACCGAGCCACGCTTGTTTTTCCGGGCGAGAATATCGAGGAACGTCGTCTTGCCTGCTCCTGAAGCACCCATGATGGCCATGATCTGACCTGGGTGGGCCACACCTTGAATGCGATCCAGAATTACCTTCCCATTGAGCGTATACGAAACATTCTCAAAATAAAGTGAAGCTGGCTTATGATCCGCCATGAGTTTGAGATTCTCATCGTCGGAATCGTCCAGGCTAACTGGCTTATATGCGAACTTTCGGCGTCCCAAATACCAGACCGACAGGATAACTCCTACGACGAATAACGATGACATAGCAATAACCCCTGCGATCAATGGAGTGTTGATTTTCTTGATAGGTCGCTCATATCCTGGGACTTCTGTTTCATATAGACACTCTCCGGATTGACACTCGAGGGTGATACTTTTGTCGCCGAACAGCTGCTGGATCAAGTCGTTCATAGCGGGCTCTTGGAAGGCGCATTTATTCGTTCCTCCACTTTGTTGGAGACACTCGAATGTTGCGGGCCCCTTAATTTCCTCCGTCAGAAAGTCGGATATATCAACGGATCCATTTTCTCCGCACAACATCCTGTCGGGAATGCATTTGCATTGAATATTGTCGCATTTATAATTCGTGCTGTTGCGCTCGTAGGTGTTATCGGAGCCTGAAATACAGCCGCCGAGAGAGCAGTAGAATGATTCCCTCTGTTGAACCCAGACTTCGGCATATGTTAGCAATGATCTCCTGAAATTAGTAGGGATGGCATACATTGGAAATCGCACTTCTTGTCGCTTGCGTCGCACGTAAAAGTGACCTGCGGTACCTTCTCATTGAGAAGATCCCGAATCTTTTTGTTTGTAACTTCGCACATCTGATAATTCTCCTTGACGACCTCTCCATTTTGATAGCATACTCCGCCAGTATTCTCGGGCATCAGTGCATTGCATGCTTGGTTCGTAGTGCATACATTGCAGTTTATGCCGCCCCAGCCTTCCTTGCAGTCGCACTTATCACCTTGTCGCATTGGTCGCTCTTTTCCATCTGCCAACGATCCGCATACTGTAATAAAAAGTCAACATTGTTCACTGCTTGCGCGAGTGAGGGACCATACCTGGTTGCATGCAGTCCTCCCCGCCGAACCCAGCAGGACAGCTGCACTTCCCATCGTACTGCTGGCATTCGGCAAATTGGCCACAGGTGAAAGCTGGCAAGAGACAATTGAAGCTATATCCATTAGTTACCATCACTGCAACTATCGTTCGCCGAATGCTTCTCGGAGCGGGGATAGCACTTACCACGGAGGACAATCACCACGGCCGTCCATCAGCGCATTACGCGCACGCATCATGTCGATGTAGGTGAAGTTGTCAGAGGCCAGGGCTCCCACAGATAACGAAAGCACGGCGGCCAGCGCCTGGCCAATATGTAATCCACGCATCGTGGGCGGTTGTCGAGATGGCTCCCCTCAACAGCTTCGTAGCCAGGTGCCTCCCAAGGCCAACCACCACGGGTAATCTAGCCTGATTTGCGCCCGAAGCTCAACTTAGATAGTAAGCACCGCAAAATATGAATATAGTCTGTAGAGAAGATCATATATATATAGCCAAGCAGACACTGTCCGAAGAAACGATTGAGGAGGACAGTTGTGGCGGATAAAGAGTGTCGTTCTGGTGACACTTCGGCTCCCAGGTCGTCGATGATGATGGGATGGGGCCGAGTTGCGACCTTGGTCACCCGCGCTAAAGTGAGACCCCTGTATTTCCCCACGTTCGAAGGTCTTAGACGGGAGGGGAAGATCACGTGCATACTACTGCACGTCAGTGAGGGGATGATGCAGATATATGCATGGAATACTGGCGAATAGAATCTATTTTTGAGGTTAAAGTTGATATTAATATTGAGAAATAATTTCCAAGAAGCAACTATGGTCAAGTTAGAAGAGTTTGGCGTCGAACAGGTTTGACCCCGTATATCCAGACATTCCCCAAATCCGTTCACCTGGACTAACCATATCTCAGTGGATGGACAAGTATGAGACCACGCCTGATGTCCTCAATATCGCTGAGACATGCGCCGCTTCTGTCTCCATAGATGAGCTTGTTGCACTGTGTGAAGACAAAAAAGCCCCTGGGCCTCTGGATACTTCGGTCACCCTTACCTATGGAGCAATCCGCGGATCGGACAAGCTGCGCCAACGGCTGGCTGACTTGTATTCCGCGAGAGCTGCGTCGCCCATGTCGCTGGAGAGCATTCTGATTACTCCTGGGGCTATATCCGCCAACTTTCTTGTCCTATACAAGCTCATCGGACCTGGAGATCATGTTATCTGCATGTACCCCACCTACCAGCAGCTGTATTCTGTTCCCGAGAGCCTTGGCGCCGAAGTCTCGCTATGGAAGCTCAGACGGGAGAAGAACTACGTCCCTGATGTGGCCGAACTGGAGCAATTGGTGAAGCCAAACACCAAACTCATCATAATCAACAACCCGAACAACCCAACCGGCGCGGTCATCCGCAAGTCTGCGCTTCAAGCGATTATCTCTTTTGCCCGTGAGAGAGATATCACCATCCTTTCGGACGAGGTGTATCGACCTCTCTTCCATGGTATCTCACCTGTGGATGATGAGTACCCACCATCTCTGATATCAATGGGATATGACAAGGCCATTGTCACTGGCTCCATGTCAAAGGCGTATGCATTGGCTGGAATCCGCACCGGCTGGATAGCCTGCCGCAACCCTGAAATCATCGAGGCATTGGCCAGTGCCAGAGATTACACAACGATATCTGTGTCTCAGCTCGATGATCAAGTGGCAAGTTATGCATTATCTGCGAACGTCATACACGCATTGCTCTCGAGGAACATAAACTTGGCCAAAACAAACGTGGCTCTGGTTGAAAAGTTCGTGAATGATCACAGCTCAGTGTGCTCCTGGGTAAAGCCGTTAGCAGGGACAACTGCCTTCATCCAATTCAAGAAGAACGGCGAACCAGTGGACGACGTGGCATTCTGTTTGGACGTACTGGAGAAGACCAAGGCCATGATACTGCCTGGCTCCAAGGGATTTGGACACGAGAGGGGGTTCGACTATAAGGGATATGTCAGAATTGGCTACGTCTGCCATACTGCCGTCTTGAAAGAGGCTTTGGAGAGGATGTCGAAGTATGTAGCTGAGGAGCTGGTAGGAGGTGCATTCCCGAGTGGGCAGTTACCCCTTAGATGAGAATATTCAAAAAAATGAAGCTCATGATCACCCCGAGGCCGATGGTCCCCACGTCGTAAGCTTGAAAGTGTTTATTGTGCCCTGCTTCATAGTGAATCTCTTATCGTGCTGTCTGTTATCGATAACAATTAATCCTATCTTGATGGGTTGGGCTGCCCAAATATGTGAAGTTGATCTCGCGTAGCAACTTTTAGCCTTTGTTATTCCTCCCCCTTCCTCTTTTCCTCCTTTTCACAACACAAATCATCATTCTATACTATGAATACCACTATACTTTTATTTGTATTATGGATTATTCAAAACCGACGGTGATATGACCATCGTTTGGTCAATCCCAAAGTAGGTTCTCCATCCTCAGTGTTTCCATAACACAAGCATTCTTCCAGAATTTGGACCCGAAACAGAGCTGACTTTCTTCACTTTGCTCCAGAATACCGGTCGATATCTTTGGCGAGAACCACTCGCCACGGCGAAAAGCCAGGATTGGCTGGCCCGTAAGTCATCTCACTCTTCATTTCCACCCTTTTCCCTGCCGTGCCTCGAATAGCCAGACCTCAGGGACCACATGTGAACCTATGACCGGACTGGGCCTTGCTTTGTGGGCCTGCTGTCATCTTCGATCCTCGATCTCCCATGATCTCTGTTTGAAAGCAAGCCACTGACACTCATACAGGCTGGCGGGCGGCCTTCTGCCGTCCCGCGAGGTCAACATTACCGGCGAGGTTAGCGTGCGCCTCTCTGTCGCCCGCTGATTAAGAATGAAGAATCAGCGGGTGACGCGGATGCAAACGAGATGGGCTGATGGGCGGAGGAAGTTTTCGTAGCACTCGAGATCAAGGCTAGGAAACTGATAATACGTTTTATCAGTTTCGTAGCCTTGATCTCGAGTGCTACGAAAACTTCCTCCGCGGTTACCACCAGCGATCCCACTCTCCGCGAGGTCATGAACCTCTAGGGCATGGACCCACGCGACATCGACCCGACGGAGGGTGGGATCGCAGCTCCCTTGTAAGTGCTCTCCCTTGCTCCTTCCAGTTGTATGTGCTGACTGATGTTTGATCTAGGCCAGCATCGCTACACTGTACTGCCGCAAGATACTGGCTTAGGCTTTGTTTCTTCGCCATCTTCGACGTAAGTTAGTTTTTATTTCATGATATTGGATTCTTGTTACCGCAATGTTTGCTGGCACCCCATGAATTTCCTTCTACGGATCTGTCTTGTGTGGACTGTTGGAGTTGGCTGTTGGTGTTGCCATGCAGCCTGCTGCTGTCGATACGTTCTTGCCGTCTGCCCCTTTTCTTGTCACCGGCGGCGTCCTCAGGACGCCAATGACAGTCTTTGTTCTTGCTGCACACCCCCTTATATCCGCCAGAATTCTTAGGCAGTGCCGATGATAGCCTCTGGTTTTTGTGTATAAAGCAACCTCTTTCAACCCTGACCACTATTCTTCTTTCTTCTTTTGTTCGTAACACAGCACGCACATCACGCACAGCACGCTCAATCTCTTTCACACACAATCGTCGCAGTATTATCGTACTCTAGCTTTACATTACACATCTTCTTTGAGCTCTACCTGCACTGGCTTCCAAATCCTCTACCTCCAACATCATATTTGAGCATCGTTTACGCTGAGCATTTGCACCTTCATTAGGTATTTGCTTCATCCACCACTGGGCTTTGCTTCATTAACCACAACCAATCACTCCTTGACATTTTGCTTCATCCGCCACGATCAATCTTGCCGATCTTTTGCTTTGTCCACGACAAACTTTCAAATATTCCGAAGACTTTGCCCCGTCCACAGCAGCACTTCACCCTTCAAGCCTTTCAAGCCTTCCTCAACTTCCTCGGGCTCCACCAACAACCAGTTCATTCTTTTTTCGAAGTGCGTTTCATAGAAATTTATTCTGCACACATTCTTTTCCTTTCTCAATCATTGTGTCATATCTCCCTTATTCTTTGTTGGAGTTCACCAAAGGCACTATGCAGACTTGGCTAACATTTTCCGCAATCAAGATGTCAACAGACAAAATGGTGTCGTCGGCTGGCGTCTGCTGGACGTTGGCAGACGACTTTGCCCAATGGTGGGCAGAGGTGCGTTCTTTCACATTTCCACCTCACTCTTACTGCGGATTAAACTGACTCGATCTAGGGGGAGGTAGTTACGGGAAAGGAGAAGGGAGTGGGATCGGTGGGATCGGTGACGCCGATTTCACCAGAATCGACGGCTGCGGTGGCACCGACTCCTGGTCCGATGGAGCAGGTGACATGCCCCTCCCTAGTGGAGGAGGCCTCCCATGCCGCCGTCACCGCGCAAACTTCCGGTTCTTCGAGAGATTCCGGTTCGCCTCTTTTCTCGATCCGCCCATCTCCCAAGGGTGGCATGGGTGCTTTCGCACTCTCGGACATTGCAGAATCCACTGTCATCATGAAAGAGCTGGCTCTCTTTCTAGCGACAGATGGCAAGGGGCACTTGGCGGAGGAATTGGAGAAACTCAGCGTGGAGGAAAGAACGGAGTTTTCAAAACTCGCGTGTTATGAGCTGCTAGACCGGGACCGGGACACTGCCATCTTCAAAACAAATCGGTATGCTTGCTTTATTTTCTTCTTCTATGATGTTTGTTTTCTCGATCCCCTGGTTTGACTAGGGATGGAACACGACCTAATGATGGACTTATCTCCTTCATATCAACACTTACTCGTGCTCCTGTACATTTTAATTTTTTGCTTTGAGATCGCGAAAGAAGGGACGCATCACATCATATACTGACTATAATACAGATTCCGCACCGGTTCCTCCTCCGGAATCTTTCTCGTCGCGTCGCGCTTCAACCACTCATGCAACCCCGTGATCCGCTACAGCTACGACTACAGCAACCGCCAGCTGATCTTCTCGACGAAACGCGACGTCAAAGAAGGCGAAGAGCTCACAATCATGTACACGCCCAACTCGCAATACCTCAGCATGGATTACGGGTTCCTTTGTGACTGCGGGGTCTGTGATCCACCTCTCAAGGTGCCGGTATACTATGATCGATGGGCGGACAAAGTGCCACACGAAACCGACGACTGGTGAAGGGTGGACCAGTGGGTGAGGAGGGTGCTGAGCGATGGAGATTCTTGGGACGATGGAAATGTTGGCCGAAAGGAATGATCGAGAGGTCAGGGGGAAGTGCAAACGAAATGGTTTAATTTGGGGGTGGGAATGATCGGGAGGTCAGGGGGAAGTGCAAACAAATGGTTTTACTCGGGGGTGAAGTTTGTGATGGAAGGGTGCGCGATGGGGGTTGGCAAATGTGTACAAAAGAGAGCACATAGAAATTACGTTGATCAATCGAAGCTTTTTTCCCCCTTTCTTTTTTGAACCAAAACGCAAATCAATGATGTACAGAAGCCAGCTCTTTCAACAACCGGTCCACATCCTTATTTGTCTGTTCACAGGATGTCGATGGAATGGAATCAGTTGCCGTTCAAGTATAATGCCAGATCTTCAAACTCCTATCTATGCTTCTGAATCACTGTGAATGAATATGTGCATGGCTAAAAGTATTCCATTGGTGGTATACAAGACAATATTGGTACAAAACATTTCCCCATATACAATACAACCCCTCTCTAATCCATCTTTCCTCCAGTCAACTCCTCCGCAATCTTCACCATTCTCTTGCCCGTCACCTTCGCCGGCGTCTGATAGTAATCCACAGCCTTCTTCTGTGTATTGCTGACCTCGCTCAGCATACTGAAGACCGTCATTGGCGATCCTTCGGCATCCCAAATATTCGTCTCGTTCTCCCTTCCGTGAACATGTGCAAACGGCCTCTCCGTGAAGATCTTGTCGATCTCAGCATCCAGCTCCTTCTCGGTGGTGATGAAAGAGCGTGCATGCATGTATAACGAGTGCAGCGAATCGCGGCGTGCCTCCTCCTGAGCCTTGATCTTCGCAGCCACCTTCTCCGCGGACGCAGCAATGCGAGCCGCTCTGTTCGGGTCGGGGAGGGCACCGTGCTGGAACGTGGCCATGGCGGCTGTGATGGTGGGTGAAGTGAGACGATCGGATTCTCGCTGGGGTGCATCAACAAGGCGTTGGTTGTTCTCTTGCGTAATGCTGCTCTTGCGTGCAACCTGAGCGTCCTTCTTCACCTTACGGTCGTAAAGCTTGGTCAGCCCCTCTCGCAGATTCTCACGCCGGGATGCGGCCATGCGTCGTTTCCACGCCGTGTATTCAGAAGGGGTCTTGGTGAGCTGGTGGGCGGCGGTTGGCTCGAAAGTGGCGCGGGCAATGTATTCAGGGGAGGACTTGTCGCCGGCTCGTTTCGGGAAGATGTTTCGGGGAACTGGGAGGACACCCTTGACATCGACATGCTTTTGGGCGAAGCGTTGCCGGGGAAGGGGGATCTCGATAAATTTTGGAGATTCAGGGCCAATGGCCTGGCACTGGGACGAGGAGGTGAAAGTGCGCGCTGCGGACTTGAAGCATAGCGATTGCTTCCCGCGGGCCAAGCTGCCCAGCGAGCTGGAGGGGAGTGACGGCGGCATTGTTGGAATTATATCCTCCCTATTGAGGTTCGTCGTCGAAATTCCGAAGACGAGCGTCCAGCGAGGTTTGGATTTCCTTAGCGTGTGGCTCGTGCTTTGATGTCTTGGCGCTAGATACCAGCCACGCTGATAGTAAACTTTTTGCCGATAAACTTTTCTGCCAATCTGGAGAGGGACCATTTCTTCTTCATACCAAGAACATTTCCCCCATACCAACCACAATTAGAGGATATTAATCCTCGTTGTCGCTATGGGTACCGGAAAGAAAGAAGCGACCAGGAAGGTCCGCCAGGGAAAGGTCGGAGATGGCATGGAAAACGTCAAGGTCAAGGGCGAGAATTTTTATCGGTATGTTGTACCGTCAAGGCGCAATCCGCCGAAAACCACACCGTTCAAGAGCCAGAACTAACGTCGCACAGTACTGGTAAACAAGCCAAGGTGTTGAAGATCTTCACTGGTGGTAAGGAGAGGAGAAACGCTGCTGGAAAAATCACACAATCTGCTGTATTCCAAGGCCGTGAAGTCCCAGCCGCCCGTATCGAGCCAAACAGGAAATGGTTCACCAACTCGAGAGTTATCAGCCAGGATGCGCTTTCTTCCTTTCGCGATGCCATGGCAGAGAGAGCAGCGGACCCATACACCGTGCTGCTGAAGACGAACAAATTACCTATGACCTTGATCAGAGATGGAGAAGGCAAGAATGGCATCAAGCAGCATCAAGCGAAGATTGCGGTCGAAGCTTCACCTTTCAGCGATACCTTCGGACCGAAATCACAGCGTAAGCGTGTTAAGCTCAGCGTCAACTCTCTGGCGGATCTTGCGGACGATAGTGTCAAGAGCCACGATACATACCTGGACAGACTTGAGCAAGCCAAGCTTCTGAGCGGCAATCCCGAGGAAAAAGAGACTGTTGGAGAGGCAGCACCTGAAGATTACGGCTACGTCTCGAGCGCAAGGGAAGCTATCTTCAGCAAGGGACAGAGCAAACGTATTTGGAACGAGCTTTACAAGGTTATCGATTCTTCTGACGTTGTCATCCACGTTCTCGATGCAAGAGACCCGCTCGGCACGAGGTGTCGCAGCGTCGAGAAATACATCAAGGAGGAGGCACCGCACAAGCATCTCATCTTCGTTCTCAACAAGTGCGATTTAGTACCTACTGGCGTTGCTGTAAGTTCACCCATTTTTTCAAATAATCTCTTTAGTTTTCCTGCGTTTCCATCGTTAAGTCAAGACATCTTCTGCATATTATGTGCTCCTCACAATGGAAGTTTGCCTGTTACAACTTTGGTATATTGACTCCATTCTCGCCGCTCTTGATCCAAGAATCTTGACGACTGGGCCACGTGCCCGACAGTCTCGATTTGAGGACGGATCTCGAGTAGACAGCGGCCCGTCTTGGGACGCCTGTCGTAAAGAGTTTGGTTCTGTTTCGTTTGAGTTGAAGGCCGCTCCCACTCTTATGGTGGCTTGTAGCAGCCTTCTTAGTAATGATTCATACATACCCCCCAAAAACAACATATTTTGTCGCATAACTGACATTTATATTCAGGCTGCCTGGGTCCGCTATTTATCGAAAGATTACCCCACCCTCGCCTTCCACGCCTCCATCACCAACTCCTTCGGCAAGGGCTCCCTCATCCAACTCCTCCGCCAATTCTCCAGCCTCCACTCCGACCGCAAGCAAGTCTCCGTCGGCTTCATCGGCTACCCCAACACCGGCAAATCCTCCATCATCAACACCCTCCGCAACAAGAAGGTCTGCACCGTCGCTCCCATCCCCGGAGAGACCAAGATCTGGCAGTACATCACCCTCATGAAGCGCATCTACCTGATCGACTGCCCCGGTGTCGTCCCACCCTCCTCATCCGACACCCCGCAGGATATTCTCCTCCGTGGTGTCGTGCGTGTCGAGAACGTCGAGAACCCTGAGCAGTACATCCCCGCCGTTCTGGCGAAGACCAAGCCTCAGCACATCGAGCGCACCTACGCGCTGCGCGGCTACAAGGACCACATTGAGTTCCTGGAGCTGCTCGCTCGCAAGGGTGGACGTCTGTTGCACGGTGGCGAGCCGGATGTGGATGGTGTTGCCAAGATGGTGCTGAATGATTTCCTTCGCGGAAAAATTCCTTGGTTCACCCCGCCGCCGCTTTTGGAGGGCGCGGAGGCTGATGTGAAGGGCGTCGAGGGCCGTATGGGGAAGCTGGGCGAGATGGGCAAGAAGAGGAAGAGAGAGGATGCTGAGTCGACTGTTGCCGAGTCCGAGGCGGCTGATACTTCTATGGCTGATGTGACTGGTGACGATTTCGAGGGCTTTGGCTCGGATGGTGGAGCAGACCTGTCGGATGATGGGATGCCGGATAGTGATTCTGAGGTTGAGGAGGGCGGTGCGGAGCTTGAAGATGATGATGAGGACAATGAGGATGCCGAGGATGTGGACGAAGAAGAAGAGGAGGAGGATGAGGAGGGTTTAGAAGATGCGATTGCACAGCAGATTCGCGAGACGATAAAAAGTAATCCGAAAACCAGGGGTACGGTGAAGATACCGACGCCGAGAAAGGAGCGGCGGACGAAGCGTTAAGATATGTATATAGTTGAAGAAGATAAACAATGAATAATGTCAAAAGCGCTTCATTCTTTCAATCACAAGAACTGCATCAAAAGCTGAGCAATGTAATTAATTTGCAGTGTGTTGAGAGTCTAATAGTCTACAGTATGACTGGATATATACAACTATATTCCCCCCACATCTATATATGCAGGCCACCGTTATATTTCAATCCAATCATACAATCATCAATCGTTGCCCTGCGGCGTCTCCGGTCCTTTATTTTCTATTATTTTGACTCCGAACCGGTCTCCTTTGTATCTACATCCACCACCGTTGCCGGAGCCGGTGGCGCCCTCACAAGGACCTTTTGCTCCTCGCCCATAACCACTGGTATAGTCAGTATCATCCCATGTCACAGAGTCCCCAAACAAAAAGGGAAACTCACATCGCTGCCACAGCACGTAGCTCGTCACAATTGCAATCGGCAATGCCACAATAGTCATCGTCACCTTCCTCGCCACAGGCTTATACCCCTTCGGCAACTGCTGCTGCCCTCCTGGCAAAGGCCTTGCCCCAGCCGGTTTACTGATATTATCCACAATCTGCGCATTCAGCGCACGTAGTGGTATCTTCGGTGCCGGCGGCTTCACGGGCGGTGCAGGCTTGGGAGTCGGCGTTTTGGCGGCCGTCTTGGCGGGGGGCTTGGGCGTTGAGGTTTTGGAGGGTGTGCGTGGGTGGGAGACTGGCTTGTTGGAGGGAGAGGGTTTTGGGGCCGGAGAGGCTTTGGTGGAGAGTTCGCGAACGGCGGTGAGGATTGCGGAGGGGCGGTGCTGTGGTGTTGGTGAGGCGGTTGGGCGGGGTGAAGGAGGGGGAACGCTGGTGGTCTGATTTGACGGCTCAACGGATTCGGGGATTGGAGAAGGCGCGGGGGCCGCAGCCTTGGGCTGGATTGGGGTTATGGGCATGGCGACTTCGGGTGAGGGTGTTTCTGGGGTTGGAGTCTTCGCTTTCCTTGTTCGTGGTTTGGCGGGCTCTGTTGCTGCTGGGGTTGTCTTTGGGGCGGCGGTTTTGCGTGCGGTGGTGGTTTTGGCGGGAGCAGGCGAGGATGGAGCGGCTGTCTCTGGGAGGGGGTTCTTCCGGGGACGCCCTCGTTTCTTCGCAACTGTTTGTTCGGTCGACATTGGCACGGTTGGGGAGAGATAAGTAGTGATTCTGATGGGGTGAGTCGTGGTTGTCTTGGATTTTTTTTGGGGGGAGTTTAGACGCGTGCCTGGGGTGGGTTAGACGCGTTTTTCGCGTTGGTAATTTACCTTGCGGGGTTGATGGCAGTAACGACTGGGATGTTGAAACGCAACGACGATACAGTAATGATATCGATGACTGATTGACAACTTTGTTTATATTTACGAAGACTGAAGAACGAGAGGGGAGTCAGAGGTCAATTTTCTTATCGTCAATTACGAATTCAGGAGTTAGTGTTCGATTCTGTGGAGTTAACTGGTTATCCACGAGTTTGCATGAATAAAGGGAAATTAACCCACGAAGTCTGTGCCGCTCATAATCCCCCGCTCTATATGGACAAATCAAGTTTTTTGACGGTGTGACTATCATTGGAGTCTAACAACGAACTTTCGGCTCCCTTTGTCCCTTTGTCGGCCAGCGAACATTTGCTTTGACAAGCCAAAACTAAACCATCAACCTGCTGCCACAAACTCCCAAATCCTCCCTGTACCCGCTGAAATGCCGAACAGTGCTGTCGGTATAAAATGCCAAACAGCGTGGTTGATATAAAATGCCCTTCTGTAAAAAAAACCGTAGCCCTGGCCGGCGACATCTCATGACGGCTACACCGAACGTATATTTGTGTTGATTTGTGTTAAAGTCGCAACTCTAGGGCTAGAGAGTCCAGGGGTGCTCTTGCCATTGTTGTTAAAATCCGGTGAGTAAAGAAGGTCTAAGGAAATGCTCAAAAGAATACTCTACCCGCGAGAAACGAGAAACGAGAGTACTCGTCGTTTGTCGAGGGCAGGTCTGATCATTCCCGGCTGTTCCTACTGCTTGTGCTCCGACAATGCTGTCTCAAACATACCTCGCAGCCTGAATATATTCCAAAGTGTACCCTAGGGCCTATCTAGACTCATGATGCATGTTCTAAATCCGTGTATGCTCAAGTCTCCGAGGTTCACTTCGACGGCGGGACTTGGAAATATTTTATATTCAAGTGCTGTGAGGAAGTATGTGCGACACTTTATTTGGCGGAAATCGACGTTTTACTAAAGACAGAAGTCGCTCTCCTCAAAAGTTTGACACCCTTTTCAAATGTCGAAGTTCTGTCTCCACGTTTAAGGGGCGTAGGCTCGGGGTTGTGTTTTGGCTTTCCTACGGCACGGTAGCAAAGTAAGCGTTTGCATCTCTCGACAAGACACTTTAGTCTAGCATTCTGCTCACCTGTTGACCTTTGCCTGGATGCCTCCTGCTCAGCCTCGAATTTTCTCCTCTGTGTGCTTGGATCCGCCGTCATTCGCTCTATCCGTTGAGCTTCTTCTCTCGAAAGGAGATTTGTGGGAGAAGCCCGCTTTGGCTTTGGGTCAATAGCAATGATTGACATGTCTAGCGAGCAAGAATATATGTTATTGTAGTATAAATCGACGATAGTATTGAGGATGAAAAGGTGGCGGGATGGTATCTAGGCATATATACGAAGATCTCCTTGTCACCAGTTCGCCACGAGCAGGTGTGTGACACCTCGCAAGTGCGACACCTCCCAGGCACTTCGCCAAGCGTCGAACTGTCACCGCCACCACCATGGTGATTCCACGAGTACATTAGGGATACTAATAGGTACGGCTAAAATCTATGCTTATATCCAATCGCGTTATCTCTACGCCTAAGTTTGAAGATACCCAGCCTATCAGAACTGCCATACCCGCATATACGTGGAATAGCAAATATCTTTGTTTTCCTCATATGATGACCTGTCCAATGACTGCGCCCTGCGCGTGGTCTAACTATGATAAAAGGGCGACCAATACATAAAGGAACAATAAAACTACATCTATTGTAAATGCCGGAGAGAAAACGCCACGTTGATGCAGAGTGCCCCGTCGCGCGCCTAACAAGGCTATGAAGGCCGAAAAGGATGCACATCCCAGCCTCACTTTTTCTTTACTTCTCTTCCCATCTCTCAGTTAGAGATACGGAAGTGCATTGGGGTGGGGTGTAAACATATGGCATTATTTATGCCTAAGGTCTTATTTCCCTACTAATCTTTTGACAGCTTTACTAATATATCCATAGGAGAACCGTGGGCTTACTACTAGCATAGTTTGTTTAATATCTAACACAAGCCACTGTCTGCACTGCACTAGGATGGTCGACTATGCTGCATCAAATACATCGCTGCTCTTACGAAGTAGTTAGACGATACCAATTAACAAGGATCGCAAATGCCACCATTGCTGCCCAGTGAGAGCTGAGAGATTGTGTCGGTGATGCTCTTCAAGAGCCGCTTTCCCCAAAAGTATGGGTGTCCAGGTTGTAGCCTTGTCGATTCCAATATCTTGCTACCCCCCCTCTGAATTGTCGTCGCATCAGCTACTATAGTACAATCATGAGATATCCCCAAACTGAGGGAGTTATTGAGCCAGGACGCCTCGCTCACCATGTCTCTATCACCTCCAGAATCAGTCCGAAGACCGAGTCAAGCGCCAGCTTCGGCTCAAGACACAATCCAAACTACACCACTGGATTGGTCATCAACCGCACCGTCTGCACCGCAAGGTTCCACGAAATCCCTACTTGAAAAAGAATCAAATATTCTAAGCACAGATGCTACTACGAATGTTTCAACAGCAAGTGATCCGACTAATGCTCTGACTTCAAGCGACTCGGCTCTAAATGAGCCAACTGAGCAAGAAATTGCGGAGAACCCCTGGAAATACAGTATGTATTGGATCGCAGCTCCGTAGTTTGCAGTCATAGCTGGACTTAAGTTATACAAGATATATATGTTAATCTGCTACTTTAGTTGGCTATCCGCAATTCTCCCGATGGGTCGCCTCAGATCAAGCATGGTTTATCACCCGACGTTTCAGCACCCTTAACGCTCGAGTAATACTTTTACTTCAAGACAGAATTGTCGAGCTCGAGGATAAACTTAACGCTCTGGATGAGGTCTATAGTCTGCCCCGTAATATTATCGGCGACGAAGACTTGACGCACAATGGCTCTTTTCGAATAGACCGCGAGTCTCAGCGGACAACGGTGTTAAATGATCTAAGTAAAGCATTGGCCCAATATAGTAAGCAAGAAGAGAATCACAGAATATAATACGCAAAACTGATATTTCTACGAATAGACTCCTTTGTCAACGAATACTCGCAACTTGCGTCTCGTCCATCAGTGAGAATGGATGACGTGAAGGCCGTGCGTCAGTGGCTAGCTAACCACGAATCTGCTATTGACGATCTTGAGGCTGCCTATATCAATGAAAACCACAACGATGACCTCATCCCCGTCCACCCAAAACCACGATCCTGGTTTAGAATGGTCCTTGAGAAATCATCTATACTACGCCATCGCCCACTGAAACGGTTCCTTTCACGAGAACCGTCTGACCCCTTGATAAAGAAGAAAGATGAGGGACAAACTGTATGGCATAATGATCGGCGCGTCGAACGTCTTTCTGCAGTCGTTATTGGCATAGTTGGACTTTCGATGCTAATTGGACCGATCTGGGCATTGTATGAAGTGGAACCTAGTAATAAGAGGCTGGGTATTATTACTGGGTTTATTGTGGCTTTCTACATTCTCGTAGTAATTGCAACTACGGCGAAGTTGTTTGAGAGCCTGGCAGCCGTGGCGGCGTACTCGGCGGTCTTAATGGTGTTTATGCAGATACAAAAGCAATGACTATTTCTAGTTTTGTTCTTAGCTATAATGGGGAATGTTTATACTCCCGTGCTGTTCTAGTCGATACCGATTTAATGTAATTGCTACAAGCTCTAGGTTATAGCGTCCTAGGAAATCATCTTTGGATGCGCTCTCTGTCTAAGACCAAGTCGTTAAGGGGCCATGGTAGGGGTATTGTATGTGAGACTACGAACCCTTTTCCAGGACTGGGCTTGAGGCGCCCAAAAGCCGCCAGACTGAGAAATCGCCTATATAAAACGCATGGGTCACTCAACAAGAAAAACCAAGGGATCTATTGGCGATTAAAGTTGGCGGGAATAGCGTAAACATGAAGACGATGCCTTCTTGTATGGCTGTTGATGTTGTACATGGGTGCCTTGAGACAAAAGCCGAAGTGCCCCACTGTGGGGAGTAGTCTGGCAGCGCTAGAGACGCCATGGGCCGCCAGCCGCCTTGTCAATTGTAGATCCCGCCACTAATTTTAGACCTAACATCTGAACAAATAGGCCAACGGCGACTCCAGAGATCCCGCCCTTCACCCAGGCCACGCCGCTGCTGACGACGTGCAACCAGACTGAATTATTTTGACAACTGCAAGATAATATTGCAACCGATGCGCGGCTAACTTTGAAACCGTAGTATTTACACATTTCTAGCGAAGTGCAGATGATCGCAAAGGCCTCTAATGTGGCAGGATTGTGGCGAAGTGTAGATCCAACCCTCTTCGCGGGCTAACCCACGAACCCGAACCAGAATAGATTATTTACGCAGCATGGCTGCCTTCGTTCCTCCTTCTTCTACACATATCTTGAAGTCCTGTTGTGTGATCCCCCTCGCACTCCCACAGACCTACCAGCACCTTTACCTCGCTTTAAGGATAGCATCCTGATGAACTGAAGCATAGCCGTTGTATTTTTCCTTGATCAAGACACCCGAAAGGTGGCCCAAATAAATATGGAGTCCAGATCTCCTCGGAAGTCAAAAGGCGTTGGATCCAGTGTCCAGACACTTCGATGTCGGCAAAGGTCAATATGGTTGTTAGCATTATACCTCCCATTACTTGTCGTTCCATGGATTGCGACATGTATTCTTATGTCACGGCCAATAGGCCTGTCATCATACATTGACCAACAAGGGCGTTATTCTCCTGACGATGTACGAAACATGGAGCGGTGGCTCAAATCAGTCGATGTCTTGGGAAAAATCTCTGGAGTCTTTGCAGTTCCTGTCAACTCTGCACTTCTTGCTCAAGCTGCGGTCCGGTATTCCCAGCGTCAAAAAGCAATCCAGAGCCTAAGTGTAGAGCAACTCTTTACGCTCGCAGACCGGGCTTGGGCCGATGCCATTCTTTTATACAGGGCATATAGGCACCCAAGTATGAGATCACGCTTACTCTGGCTTGGGGCCGCTCTAGTGTTTATAGGTGAGAGAATTCCCTTGATACAATATGATTCTTACAACACTAACATCGTTTAGCTGTCATCCAGCCACCTATTCAGTCTCTGCTAGTCCAGATTGAACCAACCATGGTGGTCATGTGTAATGACACTCCCATTGTTGTGTTAAGCAATAGTCCCTCCTGTGATAACACTGGAGTTTCAAATAAAGTCGTAGGCTATAACCCTGAACCAGGAGACCTCGAAACTTGCCCACAAGATGTTGTGGTTCAGCGGTTGGAGACAATCCAATCGCATTCGGCTGGATCACCCACTTGCCTGATCCTTCAACGATCACGTCGTTGGATTTGGATTCCATCCGAGAGACACATCTAGGTCGAATTCTGTCGGTGACCCCAGGGCTTAAAAGTCTTACGTGGGACTGGTTCCACAACTCTCAGTCTAGAAATTCATCGAACACACCGCTAATTGACCTTGACGAGGTTGCTACCGCACTTATTCACGTTCGTAATACGCTGAAGCAGCTATCTATTACTGCTGATTGTATTTTCCATACCGGATGGGGAACTAGTGAATTTCCAGTCCTGGAGATAAAGGGGTCCTTAACCCCTCTGGTTGACTTCAATCAGTTGGAAAGTCTTGACATCCCACCACTGCCATTTCTTGCCAGTTTTACACCAAAGACTGGAATTCAGCTTGAAGACGTGGTTCCTAGGAATGTTAAGCACCTGCGAATCTCAGATGACTTAGAGATGCACGAGCGGTATGATTGGGACGACACATCGCTTTTACGCACCATAGAATCATGGCGGAACAGTTTGAGAGCCTCTAACCCCAATCTAAGCACTATTTCTCTTTGGGTAAACGGGAAGAATTCCGACTGGTGCCCTGAGACAAGAGGGGAATTTCAAACACTATGTGATAAACACGGAGTTAGGGCGAAGGTGGGCAAATTATTTAATGGCGTGTATTATGGCATGTAATAAATTATGAAAACTATTTGGCACGCCTCGAAAGCTACGTGGGAACTCTTTGAAGATCCTGCCAGAAGTCGATTCCGTGGCTGTCAGATCTCAATGAAAAACATGGAATAATTTTGCACAGGAGGTACTTGTCCTACATAAGGGTATCTCCATCTATTGAGAATGATGTTGCCCCATGGCTGAGAAGTAAGGCTTTAATCCTCCCTAATTTGAAGCCATCAGGCATACCCTCATTTCCATTATTTCCATAGGGGGTGCCTTGAGAATTTTCGAATATTTGAAGAGGACTATCGCCATGTAGCGCGTTAAATTGACCTAAATATGTGTCGTCTTCCCATTTAGCACCGAAATTATTCCCAGTGTCGTTAGAGTTTGCACCAGCTTCAAGAAGCATCCGGCATCCTTCGTAATCTGATGTTACAACAGCGATTTGTATTGGTGCCACATAGTAATCCATTCCCGTTGGATCAGCGCCAATTTGTAGTAACACCTCAACCGGGCAAGACTGTCTGCAATTTTTCTCGTGGATGTGGGACCCGATGTATGATACGAGTAACGCCGAAGGATCGGTTTCTTTACACCTGTAGCTTAGAAAAAATCCAAATGCTTCAGGGTAAAAGAAGCCTAATTGTGCGAGGATTTCGAGTAATTGACCAGAAAACACGTAACGAGCGGAATCTTTTCCGGGCTGCCTGTTCACGACTATTTCGAAGGCTAAGTGCGTTGTTGTCCATGCCTGAAGTATTTGTGCGCCATGGTCCGGCTGTTTAGTGAAAACTAAGTTCTTAGTCCACAATAGTAGGAGAAATATTGCACCAACATCTGCTGGGGGAGGTGATTTCCACTCGATTTCCCAGAAGGTTGAACCTGGGTCATAGCGATGCTTATCATCATATAGCAAAGTGCTAGTGCTGATGAACGAGTGTAAATCTTCAAGACAACGAATGAAATAAAAAAGCGGGTTGTAGTGAGGTGCAGATGGGTTATATAGGGCGAATACAAGTGCGTTTAAATCTTCTCGCCTACTAATTTGTTCGGACCAGTGATTTATTGATAGAACTGCTGACGCGGCGCAGTATGCGGCGAAGTTCTCGATCAACTTCCTGTTGTTCCAGTCTTCTGTTTCTCGTATTTCGTCAGAGCAATTTGAGGGTATTACGCAGGAGTCCTGGTTTATGCTCCTATCAACGTCGTTTTGGAGGAAATTATCTGCTGAGTATGAAATTTCTTCGTCGCTACCGTGTCCATCTCTGTAAGTAGTAGGATTGAGCGCTATAAGGATTGCTGCCTTTACTGAATCTAGCGGAATATGATCTTTCGGAAATGAAAAATAAGAAGCGCGGCTTCTAGATATGCGCTCCGAGTCAAGGAATTCGAGTACAGTGTAATGGGCAAACGATATAGAGGGAGGCCTAAAGACAAGGTCGTCGTTCTCAACCTCGTCGTCATCATCGTTCTCTTCGTCCTCGCTGTCGTCGCCCTCATAGTCTTCGTCTGCACCCTCATCATACTCATCCTCGTTATATTCGTCCTCGTCTTCGGAAACCTCGTTGTCATCCTCGCTCTCATCCTCGTCATCAGTTTCCGCGACTCCAATAAAGCCAAATGGGCGTCCATTTGATATGGTAATGAGACAGCCACATAGCTCTCTAATGGTTGTTTCATCGTAAAAGTTACCATTGCCATATGTATCCGAGAGAGGATTCTTCTCTAGTGCTTGAATTACTATTCCACATGGGACTTTAGCTCCATAAAGTTTACTGTGAAATAAAGTCCATTCGAAAACCTGCCGGACAACTGCCCAGTCCTCCTGGGGGATCTCAAGAAATATTCTTTCATAGGTCTCATCTAGCGTCTTCGGTAAGTTGTGGAGAGCTTCCATAATAATGAGGCGTTCGGGCTTCATTCGCTGTAGCCGGTCGATCTGGCAAACAGCCCAGCGGAACCTAATATATTAGTTTAGATTCTAGACACTTTTAAATTAATAAAAAAAACTTACATTCCTTTTGCCTTGGTTGGTATTGTATTTTCGACCTCTTCAAGAAGCTGCTGGGGCCAGCGTAAAAATCTAATATTTCTCTGCAACTCTACTTGCACATAAGATCGGATGTCGTTGGTAACATCTTCGTTATCCATCGAAACAGCACATGATATATTTTCGAGCGCTGTTTCAATATCGACATACTCTCTACTAGTTGCCAGAAGTCGTATCTTGGCAAACCGTGGATCAGTTGCCAAATCCCTGAGCATCTTGAGCAGATCTTGTCGTGGAGACATGCTTTCGTCGACTGCATCTATAACAACAAAGACACATTCAAACTCTGCGAGGCAACTCTCGAGGATATCTAGAAGATCTAGAATACTAGGTTGTAATCCGGATTTGAATTGCTCGTACGCCGTTATAGGGACCGAGTTTGATTTTCGGAGCAGTTGGCTCACAATCCAGTGGAGCAAAGGGTATGCTTCATTCTGGTTGTGGGTGTACGAGCAGTAGTAATACATACAGCCGTATTGTTTCCTGACGGTGCGACAATGCTTCGAAATGGTTTCTATTAAATAGGAAGCCAAAACGGTCTTGCCTGCACCAGGAATACCATGAATCCATAAGAACTTATTGTCACCGCAAATCCAGTCTTTCCAGTCTGAGGACTGTAGCATCCAGTCGCCAGTTCCTACTACATAATGTCCATAGGCGACATTGTGTAGTGGGGAAGGATCAGTTCGTTGAAACCATGCGGAAATGTCTCTCTTTTGGTTATCTATTCCTGGTAAGCAAAAATATAAATTATTAAGCCCGAGGCAGCTATTCGAACCTGTTAAGTCTTCTTTAATCCAAGTCGTTGTATCTTTAATCATCTTGATATCTTGGCTAAACGACTTAGATTAGTTATGTATAGTAGATACAACCAGTTGAATTGTACATAGAGCTCCTCACCTAGATTCCGTAGTGAGTGTTAAACTGATGGTTGTCTTGCATCTGGCAATTTCACTCATTAACTTTGCGGCCTTGCTTTCCTTCAGGGGCCAAGCTAAGGTAATCAATGCCCTCTTTGCTTTGTTACGCATTGGTTGGTTTGCCTTGGAGTCAGCCGCCTGAAGACGATCCTGCGATGGGATCAGTTTCTCTAGCTCAAGCACTAATTTATGTGAATGGTCGATAGGCCCATCTGTATTGAACAGAGCATTCAAGTTGGTCGATTTCTTGGCATCGGGTAGATTGCTGATAAATTGGAGAAACTCCAGAATGGCTTTGAACGAAGAAATTTCTATGAGAATCGACCGCAAGTCTAATGGGGCGCCATCTGCCGTTTCAATGTAAAACTTGCACAGCCCAACCACTCTGTCGGCGACCTGGATGATAGCGATAATCGTTCCAACGCTATCCATTGTGCAGAGTGAGACTACCTAGGTCTGAACGCTGTAAAATTGCAGGTGATAGTGATTGGAAGCATTTACAAATGCCGCAGATGTCTTGTCTTGAAGAGTTGCGACAAAAAACAGTTACAACAAGGCTGTGAGCGGATCTATTGTGGTTAGGCATCAGCCGTGAGTGAGCCTTTCTTATTCCAATCAGCACATGATCTGCGACGTACAACTCGTGGCGCAGTGTGCCTATTTATAGCATTAATCATTCAGTAAGGAACTGCGAGTGGAATTTGAGTAGTAGAATGAAAGTTGTAATATTTGCGCATTATTTACACCCAAACTGGAAGGAGGCCATCTGTTGCGACCTCGGTGAACAGAGAGGTAATAGACGCACAGGCCACCTTCATCAACCCAACTCAGAGTAAAGGGCGCGAAGCTGACCCATGTGCGGGGCACAGCAACCACAGAAGTTATGAGAAGTAGTATAACCAAAATAATGTGTTTGCTGTCTTGTGAAAGCAATTAAAAGGGGCCGCCCTCCTCCGTCATCTTTCTTTTTTTCCCCATCGTTCTCTTCATCGCTGTTAAATGATTATATTGAAAATAGCTCAAAATGTCCGAACGAGGCAGTTCTCTCCAGTATCACAGGAGTGAGGGATCATCGTCTCAAAGCATTGTATGCCTAAATCCCCTTACCATGTTCCCGGGTATGAGATTATAGAGTAACAAATTCCAGTCCGAGATGAGTATCGATTCGGACTACACCCCCGAGTTCAGCCTGGGCATGAGGCCGGAAACGAAGCAGCTCTATCGACCCGACGATAGATCAACTTGGGATGAGTGGAACCCTGGTAATATCCACACCGATGCAGAGGCTGGCTCCTTTTCCCAGGAGTGCGCTCTCATCGTCCGCCGTGAACCGCATCCGAGCAACAACAACCAAGCCGCGTTGCATTCTATTACTGTTCAAAGCCCGTTGATCAAGAAGGTTCTCGAGGGCACGTTTGAGGGATTTGAGGGTCTCAATACGCAGTTGAAACAGCTGACTTTTAAGGCTCCCTTTCACCCTTTCTACTATCGCTGGCACCGCTTTGAGAAGCTTCGCCAGGATGAGCAGGACCAGGACACCAAGAACCACCTCGATTTGCTATATGCCATTCTGAGCAAGGAAATTTTGCCACATATAGAGGCCATGGAAGATCTCACCAAAAACAAGGTGATAAGCTTTGACTACTTATGGACCATCTTTTCGCCGGGAATGGAAGTGTACACCAAGATTGACGGCCACGACCGCATCGTGTTACTGAGGGATAGTAGGTACGGAGCTAACATGAGTGGGGAGTACTTTTCCCTGGAGTGTCGGTATATCGACTGCAACGGTTCGAGGTTTGGATACGTCGAAACCTCACTAGAAATCAATTCATTTGACGGCGTGAAGAAACTCGTGGATCTCGATGCGTTCCCTTCCCACCTTCATCCTGATGTCGAGGGGCTTGTGAGTAGATTGCACGCGCGCGGCGACAATCTCGAGCAACTCAATGGATTCCATCATATGTCGTATTCGGGGTTTTACACAGCCAGGTCCACGAGACAGGTTCGGAAACGACATGTAAGTGCTGGCCTGTGTGCTGGCGGCCGCACTATGCTCACTGATCGTTTTATATAGGTAGAAAGTGGTCGTATCATCATTGACCCGCACACTTTCAATATTTACGGAATGCCGGGACCTAATATTGAGTCGATCGAGTCCGATGCGTCAACAAATTCTGCCGATGACAAGTTATTCGGCGGAATTCGCAATGTGATATACAAGGCAACAAGCCAGGCATTCCAGGAATATGAAAACGCCTTGAAAAGGCTCGGGAAAGACCAGAAAAGCAGTAAGCAATCTTCTTATGTATTTTAACCACTGTGGCCGTGATTAATCCCTCGCCAGCCAAAACTTTGAGTCCCAAGCAACGGTTGCTCTGCACTCCGATTGTTCGAGGCTACTGCCTGACATCCAAATCCTGGGGTAAGGCTCCAATTCGAATGGGACGGCGATTTGTGCGCTAATGTGTATATTCATTTCCCAGCCGAGTTTGACATTGAGAACGTTGGCCCAGTACGCTGGAGTGGGAATGCATTCGCCAGACTCGTTCTCCCTCATGGGTATAAGGACATCATCCGTGCTTTTGTTCAAGAGCAACTCTCTCGCGACGATGATTTCGATGATATTATCTCCGGAAAAGGTTGGGACGGCTGTTATTACCCATTCTTGCACGAAGTAAGCTGCTAATAGAACAAACACAGGTCTTGGCTTTATCATGTTGCTCAGCGGAGATCCAGGAGTTGGGAAAACCCTCACGGCAGAATCTGGTCAGTTTACCCTGTTTCATAACTGATGGATCATGCCGTGCTAAATTAGCCTAGTTGCTGAAGAGATGCACCAGCCACTTTACTCGATGAGTGCTGGTGAACTGGGAGAGACAGCTGCTGAGGTGGAAGACTCCCTCGAACTCGTTCTTGAGCTTACTAGCAAGTGGAATGCTATTCTTCTCCTCGATGAATGTGACATGTTTTTGGAGGCCCGTACAACTGCCGACATAAGGCGCAACCGCCTCATATCTAGTGAGTTTCATCTGTTTCCCTTGGCCATATATGCTGTTCGGCGCTTACCATCCACCTCGCCCAGTTTTCTTGAAAAAACTCGAGTACTACCGCGGTGTAATGTTCCTCACCAGCAACCGCATCAGCGACTTTGACCCTGCGTTCGAATCCCGGATTCATCTCACAGTTCACTATCCAGCCCTGGATACCGCCAGCAGGCTGCATATATGGAAGACGTTTGTCAGGATGGGGAATTCGGACAGTCGGCTGAGCGATAAGGACATAGCAATTCTGGCGAAGAATGAGATTAACGGGAGACAGATCAAGAATATCATCAAGACGGGTAGATTGCTTTCGAAGCAACAGAAGGTCCCTTTGGGTATGGAACATGTGGAGATGGTGTTGAAAGTTAAGAGGGGGGATTTTCGTTGATGGGAAATGGTACACAGAACATTTTAAAACCTTCATTAGATCTATTGGCTTATGTTAGAGAAATGTTCATTGGAGTATGTAGGTCAATGATATTCTATCCTATATGTCTGATACCATATATCTTTTGTAAGTTGTGTAATCCCGCCGTGTAACCTCGTCACATTATTTCACTGGCGAACTTAGATCGTCTCCGAATAGCCGGGCCATAGAGGATTAGAACCCATGGAACAAGAGCCAAGAGAATAGCCTAGCGACATAAAATCAGTATTTGTCAAACACAGTGCACGGAATCAAACTCACAATCCCACCCAACATACTACACGCGGCGCCAATCCCCAACCCCCCGAACAACGCCGCCGTCACAAGCGGAAACACTGCACCCAACATATTCCGACAGAAGCTCTGCGCCGCCAGGGCACTACTAGCATACTTATGATACACGTCGGCCAGATAGTTGAATGTAGCGAGGTACACGGCATAAATGCCCATGGTCGCGATCGTAACGCCGATGCACGGCACGAACCAATGGATTCCAGGGTTCGCCGTCCATCCTAGCCAGAACAACCCTATCGGTAGGAGCGGGGAATGCAGACACGCGATGGCGAGGCGAATTTCGGGATCATCTTCCGTGGGTGGCGGGTGGCCGGGGCGGAGGCGCGAGAAGAAGCGGGCTAGTGCGAGGGCATGCGAGTCTTGGACGATGGCGAGGTAGGAGGCGAGTATGCCGCCGATGGACATGGCAGCGAAGACGGCGCCGCATTCTTGGAGATTGAAGGAGTAGGTTGTGCGGAAGATGAGGGGGAGGGAGGCGAAGGTTAGGTAGAGGACAGCCCAGGCAAATGACACCCATAGCGAGAAGAAGAAGACGACTGGTTCGGTGGCGAGGAGATCTGTGGTTGTTAGTTGGATATTGTAAATGGGACAGAGAGACGAAAAGGGTTAAGATGACATACGAATAGGTCGCCAGACGGAAATCTTGATCATCTTCATGAGCGATTCGCGCTCTTCATCCGCCTTGACGCGCCACCTGATCCGCTGGGGAACCTCACCACAACCACTCTCATCAGGCATATCAAACCCCACATAACCGGCCGCCTCTCTCGCCTCATACCACTTATTCAGCGCCGCAGCCTTTTTGCTCAACAACACGCTCCCCCGCGACTCCTTCAGAAACAAAATGACGGCTAAAATCACAACACCACACATGATAGCTTGCACCCAGAACACCCACCGCCAGGGCAGGTGCTGTGCAATCGCACTCGCAATAAGCGGCCCCATTCCAGTCCCGAATATCGCAGCACCGGCAAACAACGCCATAGGGGTGTTCCGCTCATTGGAGCTGTACAGGTCGCTGATAACGCCACCGATCATGGATGAGAAGACAGATGAGCCGCAACCGGAAAGAAAACGCATCACAATCATCCCCGCAAGACTAGGCGTCAGCGCGCACGCAATCTGAAAAGCTTCGAACACGATTCCGGCGCCGACGAAAACGGGGTAGCGGCCCTGGATCTCGGAGAGGGGTGCCAGGACCATGGGGGTGATGGCGAAGCCGACGCAGAAGGAGGTAATGCCTGTGAGGACGGCGATCTCGGAGGAGGCAAACTCGCGAATCATGCCGGCGGCGGGGGGAGCGTAGGAGCCAGCATTGTAGGCGGCGACGAAGGTGGCGACGGAGCCGAGATAGACGGCAAAGCGTTTGCGGAGAGGGGACCAGAGGAGGGGGTCGGTGAAGGGACTTAGGTTCGGACATGGGGGCGGGGGGGAAGAAACGGATGATGGGGAGCTGGAGGCGAATGGAAGAGGAGTTCCGAAGGTGAGATAGTGGTAGGTGATGGGTGTTTCGCCATTGAGACCGGTGTGGGTGGTAGTTGACGTGCTGGGGTTGCTGCCGTCATATTTCTCGTGGTAGGGGACATCTGCTATCTGTTCGTTGAGGCTCGGCGATGAATCTGAGCGCGGTGACGCATCGCGAATTGGCAGCTTTTCAACGGAGGAGTCATGGTGTTCTACTCCGGGCTGTGACTCAACAGTCTGCTGTTTGCCCTGGACTCTTCCATCGTCTGAAGTTCCGGCATCTCTCTCACTCGCTTCTAGCTTCTTCATTACCATTACCAGCAGCGACGGCAGCTCCAATCCAACTCGACAAAGTATGAAGAAGAAGAGACATATATACTAGGACAAACGGTATATTACAAAGCCCACCTACCCCCGCCTTTTTTGTCAAGACAAGGGCGTGAAACCCACCCCGTAAACGGAAGTATCATAGCCGCGACCACCATTCCGCCATCCGATGCAAGCCTTTTACGTTATCCGGCCCCCCTCAAAAAAAGAGACGTGCGCTTGCATTGGCAATGGCTGAAGAAAACCATGATGAGTGGCTGCATGTGCCGTGCCATGTGGGCCAAAGCGGAGAGATATTGCAGATGTGGACGAGGATGTTATTCCCGCGGTGCTGGCATTCCCGTCTTAGCGAGGCGCGATGTTACTGGGCTTCTATCTGTAGCCAATCTGGATGGCGAAATACGATCTGGCGTGGGTTTTAGTGTGTTTAGCGCGGGAAGGTGCGGGCCTCCTCATATCCGAGCTTGTTGCCGAAGAACACCGATATACGGAAGGTACAACCCAGAGTAAGCTTTGTAATTGGAGACGGAAGGAGCTTCTTTCCTACATTGGTAATCACTTGTACAGTAAAGGCAAGAAATCGGGATTGATAAGCAAAATGGTGAAGCCACAGACGAGTTAAGGATTTGGAGATTTGGAATTTGGAGATTCAGAGATCAACGTAAGAGGGGGAGAACGATGAGGATAGCATCACAATGAAGGCACATAAATGTTGGTAAGATTGGTCACAGCCTAGCTCTTGACTCGAACCCATACGTGAACATTCCTCTCGTCGGTGTTGCGCTCAGAGCGGAGATCATCTCCCTTTCCTCACCCTCAACCATCCCAGCCACTTCCTTCGACAGCTCCTCGCCAATTCCCACATGGATAGGCTGTATTCAAGCACTTCCCACACTACAAAACGTACCTAAACCCTGGGTTAAGAACCAACAGTCCTCCAACTCCTTCCAACACAATCTCATCATGAGACACACCCTTCTCGTCCGAGTTTTCGACAATGCTCTGTTGTGTTTCAATAGCTTCGAGCTTCTTATTTTCGCGCACGAGGCAGAAGCGGAGTAGGAGGGCAATCATGATGGATGCGAAAACAAATACGGCTATTTATAATGTAAGTCAAGGTTCGAGTTCGTTCATAAAAGGGGTGATAATGTGGCGTACTGTTTGCAACCATGGCGGGGAGGTATTGAGGCCCGCTGGTCTTTTTGTATAGATACGGCGAGTAGATCTGGGCAAAGTTTCCAACCATCTGTTTATCTCCACATTAGAATATTATCAATAGAGAGGGGTTTATCAACACAGATAATGCCAGGGCTAGGATAACTTACGTTCACAAAAGCCAAAGCCGCAGCTCTCTTCTCCATCGGTCGAGGCAGCTATAATCTCCAGTCAGACATCTCCTCAATAAAAAACAGCGAGATAAAATTACCGTAGAAGACACCCACGCAAGTCCAACATTAAAACCACCATACACACCACCAAGCATGAGAAATAGCGAGAAATACCGCGGAGCCAGACCCGTGGTGGCCGCAGCGATGATAAACCCAATCATGCCAAACGTCAACGGCACAACCAGATGTCCACAGCGCTCGAGCCTCCTATCACTGCTCATGGAAATACTCATTGCGCAGATTGCTGCAAAGACGTATGGCGGGGCTGTGAGAAGGAGGGAGTCGACTTTGTTGTACTTGAATGTAGCGACTAGGGTGGGGATGAACGAGGTGACAGCTGCCGCGCTTGTTTTTGTGATGACAATCATCCTGTAATCATGTTAGGGAGTACTCAGTTGTGGGGATCAGAGATTCCATACGCAAGAAGCCAGACTTTATAATCAGTCACAGCCATCCAAACGCCCTTTACCAATGATCCTCGCTCTTCGTCCTGGGCTCCGCTCCCCTCTCTGAGTCTATATGCGGCGAGGCTTCTTTCTTCTGGGGTGAGCCACTTTGTAGTTGATGGGAAATCTGGGAGGACAAATCTGTGGATATCAGTAAAGGCTAAAACAAAGGGGGATAGGTCGGATACATACATGCAACCAAGAGCGAAAGCAACAGTCACAGTTCCCTCAATGATAAATAGCCATCTACATTATTAGTTCGGCTTTTCAGCGTCAGGAAACACGACTTACCTCCAAGACTCCAACCCACGCTTCCCATGAAGACCATACTCAACACCCGCGCCAACGAGGCCACCGAATCCACTCGAGAGAAGACTGCCGGTGTATAGCACTGCAGTCCTAGTAGCCAGTTCTTTGCGCGTGTACCAACTTGATAGAAGGAAGAGAGCTCCCGGGAAGTAAGGCCTGGGGTTGTCAGTGATTGCTCTCAGCGCAAGATTAGAACGTAGATACGTACGCTTCCATGAATCCGAGGAAGAATCGCGCAACGACAAGGCCGTTGAAGTTATGTACAAGAGCGGTACAGGCAGATACAACGCCCCAGATTGCCATGCAAACAGGCTGCAGCTTGTTAGAACATGTATTTAACTGGAGATCTGTTGGTTGTTGTGCTTACTAGATAGATACTCGGCCGAACTCTCGTCAGCAGCATATTGGACGGGATCTGGAGAGCAATATAACCCGCAAAAAGCACAGAAATAGCAGTATTATACTGGTCTCCAACAAGACCGAGGTCGTCTTCAATTCCTTGAATCCTTGCATTAGGTAGGGCATTGCGGTCGAGATAACTAGTAAGTGTGAATATCAACCCTTTTTACGCGATAGTCTGTGAAAGGGCACTGACTTGAGAACAATCATCCCCAGAAGACATGGCATAAGGCGATAATCGATCTTACGCAACAGAGCTTTCTCTCTACGCGCAAATTCAACAGGATCAAGACTTTCAAAATGTTCGTGGACTGCATCGGGCCTTTCCATCGTGGCACTGGTTGTCTTTTCCATTCCCTCGGTTGGAGTCATGGTCGCGTCAAGAGAGCTTTTGATTTCGAGCTCAATGCTGTGAAGGGAGACGAGAACCACCAAAATCTGAGATGGGGTTACACGATCACGTCCTCATCCCCATATATATATCTACCCATGAGAAGGATCTTTACTAACCACATCTGCTCTCCATCACTTCGGGCATCTTTTCCCGCACCTCCAACATCACCTCCACCGCGATCTCCACTGACCCCAGCTCGAGCATCCTCCACTGCATACATCCCCCATCACCAACCCCCCATCCACCACACTAATCAACACCCGCGCAAGCTTTTCCGCCACATAAAAACCACGGCAACACGGCTCTACTAACGTTCAAGGTTATTACCTTAGTTCGTAGTTCGGGATTTCCAGGACGCGTCCCACTGCGCGCGCCGCGCTAAGAATACCCCGCCAATGGAGGTTCGGACAACTTCCGAGTTAACATAAGCTGTGGGGATTTTTTGACAACTGTTGGTGGTATGTTATTCAGAGCTGCTGAGAGCTCCTGGGGTAATTATTGTGGAGATGGGGGATGGGGGATGGGGTTGCTTGGGGAAAGCTTCTCTCCGCAACCCCACAAAGTAAGTGGTGGCGTCTATATCTAGCGAATTTGAGTCGGAGGTTGTCCGAACCTCAACTGGATTAAGATGCGAAGCAGGCAAAAAAAAACTGTGAAGGGGCTAAAAGCAAAGTATTGTGAAATGTGTTGTCTTGTTTGCTGTCTGTCCTTGATTTGATCCATGGTCGTCTGAATCGCGAATACAAATATTTTCTGCATTTCACTGTCAGTTGCTCCCACTCCCCAACTTTGAATGACGAGAGCTTCATTATCACCATCTATCTCAGCTAACTCCATCAAGTTGCGTGAATCCATTACTTCTATCCATGATACCGATACTCCTTTCGCCATCCCACAACGCAGTCGACGCAAAAAGAATTGCAAGCCCCCAAAAGCATAACAGCAACCGGTAACACCACAACTTCCCCAATACTCCAGACCATAGCCTCACTCTAGGCATTAACCGCGATCGGGCCACCATTACCTGCAAATACAGCTCCCCAAATCATCCTTCTCTCATCAGCGCCGTCCCAATCTGTCACACCGCTTCTGCTTCTGCCCTTGCAATCGTAAGTGTAACACCCATCTCTCTCTCTATCCCCGCCCACATCAGCACGGGCGCCTGCGACAACGAAAATGTTCGCACAAACCCTTGCTCCCCAGGCCGCGGCTGGTCCATAGTATTTATCACATTGGAATACCACGTCACTATGGCGGTTGTGTACCTCGTGCCTATGCCGTACACCTTGTTCGCCTGCATCAGCAGTTCGTTCAAGAGCCCAATGAAGAAATACCGAAATCTCCGCATATCAGGTATACCAAATTGAGGGGCGCCTGGTGTGATTATAAATTGTTCCAAGTACAGGAGGCATACGTGCAGGGAGTCCACCCACTCGGGGCCAGAGCGATTTGTCGTTGAGAGGCAGCCTTTGAGGGCGTGCATAGCGGCTTGGAGGTGGTTGTTGGACAGTCTCGCGAGGCAGAACCTTATGGTACCTATGGGCTTGAGGGTATCCGGCCAAGGTCGGGTGGTGAAGATGGCTCTGGTGTGGGCATCGAGGGCCGCCTCTAGTTGTTCGGCGGTGTATGTAAAAACTTGGTTCCCCAAATTAATAAGTTTCATTTCCGTGTCAGCGAAGTCATTGAGAGAGAAGCCCTCATTTGTTGTCAGAGCGGAGATTATCATATGCTCTACTTCGCATCTGATACCTGTATGACATAAGCTAACTGTTTATTAGAAATAATTTGAAACCTTTGACTTACAACTGCAGGTGAAGGAGGCCCTGATCGATAACTCCTGCCTGCGCACCAACACGCCTGCCTTGAGGTCTGTGTACGTTTGCGTTATTTCGTCGCCAGCACGGATCGGCTTCAGTGACCGCAATCGAAGCTGGCCACATTCGAAGACCATAACCGTGTTTGGATCACATGAGTGGTTGATCAAGGACCCTACGAGATCGAGCATTCCTCCGTAACTCTCTTCGCCAGGGGGCTTTATGAGCATACCATTCGAGAGAACCTCAAAAACGTGAGTCCTCCCAGCCTAATGTCCGAAAATGCAATGAAGGCCTTACCTTACAATAAAGATCCTGTATTTTCTCATCCCCAAGCTCCGACTGTATCAAGGTCTCTACATTCGTGACAGTGGTAACAATTATGTCGCTGCTAACGCCATAGGGATTCTGTCCCCGGTGACCCCAGAGGTGACGGAGAGCATCCGCCTCATGGTCCGAGATAGCTCCCAGTTTATGCATCGCGAGCATTCGATACAGCATGCGAGTCAAGAATCCCGCAGTTGGAAACTGAGCTAAAGCATCACACTCGAATTTGTGGTACTCTTCAAAGGACTTCGTGAAGCAGTTCTGACAGAGGTTAGTTAGTATTTGCGTAGTCGACATGGCGAAATTCAAGATAACAGCCAGGATCCTCACCACAGAGCAATACCCACATACTCCGCATACTATGCACATAGTGATCTCGGGTATCGCTATCGCATCGAATGTAGGTTTCATACTATCAATGCCATTAAAATTGGGGGCCATGCTGGCAAAGCAGTAATCGCAAGTAATATGTTGTCGGCCGTCCGCGACACAGGTGACTAATGGCGTCGACCGGAAGATCTCCGATCCTTCGGGAATCGCTTCCTTTGCAAAGAGACCACTGCCATTGTCATGGATCTTTGACGGTAAGATTTCGAGAATGTGTGAGGCGTTGACATTTTGTAAGAGCTGAAGACAGAGTTCTTGGCGGTCGTGCATGGCAGCAGTTTCCGGGAGATTGGCTGGGGGGAGTGCTTGGCTCGCCATTTCAGCTCATGTAACGTATGCTAATCCGTGAGCAATACTCTGTAATAAGAATGGACGGTGCTCAAAATAGTGATACGTTGTGTTGGTAGAATGATTTGAGCGTTCTGGAGATTTGAGAGAAGCCATGTTGAGTGTAGTTTGTTGGTTGCGTGCGGCAGGTGAGAACCGCTTGGTCGTTCCTTCCCAGTGAACACAATTCTTATAACCCAGCAACGCAGCAATAAAATGGAATAAATAAAGTATAGTATATATGTCACTTAGCCTATTGAATTTCAATACCTCCATTTTAAATCGCTAAATTATGTAAAGTTGCAGTTTGTTGGTTGCGCGGCAGCTGCGAACCCCTTGGACGTTCCTTCTCCCAGCGAACATGAATCTTTATAACCCAGCAACGCAGCTATGAAAGTGAACAACGTGGTAATTGGCTAATTATTACTTAGGATGGAACTAGATTTCACTGGCAGGCTGTACTACCACCTCTCTGAACTCCACCCTTGACTTCGATTCCACAACGCCCAGGCGGAAACTAATATGGCTCCCGCTGGCTGCAGGGTCGACTATGCATGGAGAGCAGCCAATGGGGTAAATGTGAAGCTGTGCGAGGAGGAAGGGAAACGGTTTTGTCTCAGGCATAGGCAGGTATGCATCGAGTTACCAAGTCCGCGGCAGGGTATGCAGTCGATAACCTCAGTAACCTCAATAGCCTCAGTAACATTAATATCCTCAATAACCTCAAGAACCTCAAGAACCTCTGGGAACAACTCGGTTCTTCTACATTATACCACCCTGAAGTCTCCCGGTTTAACTTATTGTATGTATAAGTAACATCCATCCAGCATCCAGCATCCAGCTTTTCCGACTTGGCCTGTATTCACATGAAACCCAGAATCCAGAGCGAGTAACCCCTCATATCCCTCATATCACAGTCAGACACAACACCAATATGCCTCACACCACCCTCAAACACAACACCAATCCCTTCAACCCCCCTTACCTTCCCCACCAAACCACGGCCAACGGCGGGCAAAATCGTCAGTGACATATCGAGGCCTTCTCATACGCGGAGAAGGCGGAGAAGGCGGAGGTGCATCGAAATGGCGGGATCGGGCAGGGAGGGGAAGCAGGTAGATTTATTGGCTACCCGGGGGATGTGTGGTGGAAGCCACCCGCTGTGGTGTGAATGCGTGGGATGTTGTGGAATGAGCTCATGTGTGCATACAGTATGGTGGGGTATATGGGATGTAGTTTCCCTGGAGTCAATAATAGAATATTATTGTCTATTAATCCTTTGAATAAATCCAGAAGCTACAATCCAGAAGCTACAACAACTATATCTCTACGTAAAAAATAATTAATAATCGAAAATCGAAAATCAACAATTATCCCATTGTTGAGTTAACAAGTACCCCCGCCAACCCCCCACCACCACCAAAAAACCCACGATCACGTCACCCTGCTTACTAATCAACCCCTCCATACCATTTTATACTTTTCCCCTACCCAAACACCAAGTACCACTTCCACAGCCTCGCGCTACGGCCAACCGAGACGAGGCTACCACAATATCCAGCTTCAATAACCAATCACATCGAGTCTTGGCGTGGATTGCGTGCTTGAGGGGTGTGGTGTGTGGAGGGGGTGGATGGAGGGGTTCATTGCGTTTCTTACCTGGTGCGGGTACAGATTACTCTTCCGCCCACTACTCCCTCCACTAATCACCTATAAGACCACTCTGTCCCTGCTTGTTTTCTTCTCTTTCTGCTCTCTTTCTCCCTCCTCTTCAATCTTCAATCTTCAATCTTCATACTTCTATTACTCACGTAGTAGCTTCGCCATATTCTCATCTCTACAACATCTCCAAATAACGTCACAAACGTCATCATGTCTGCTTCCGAAGAGAGAGCTGCTCCGTAAGTCGGAAGAAACACCCAACACCACCTGATCACAATAATTCCCTCAAAACCCTGAATGGTCCTCGAATCAAGCTCGATCAACCTTCAAAACCCCCCCTCCCCATCTCAGTCTCCTCACAAACTCACTCCACCTCCTTCAGACCGAACCACCCAGCTAACCTCCCCCCCACAGCCTCCGCCTGGGTTCCATCGCCCCCAACTTCAAGGCCGAGACCACCGGCGGCGACATCGACTTCCACGAGTTCATCGGCGACAAGTGGGTGATCTTCTTCTCTCACCCCGAGGACTACACCCCCGTGTGCACCACCGAGCTCGGCGCCTTCGCCAAGCTCGAGCCCGAGTTCACCAAGCGCGGCGCGAAGCTCATCGGCCTCTCCGCCAACACCATCGAGTCCCACGGCGGCTGGATCAAGGATATCGATGAGATCTCCGGGTCCAAGCTGACTTTCCCTATCATTGGCGATAAGCAGCGCCAGATTGCTTTCGCGTATGATATGCTCGATCACCAGGATGCTACCAATGTCGATTCTAAGGGCATTGCTTTCACGATCCGCTCGGTCTTCATCATTGACCCCAAGAAGACTATCCGTACTATCCTTTCTTACCCCGCCTCTACCGGCCGCAACACCGCTGAGGTCCTCCGTATCCTTGACTCCCTCCAGACGTAAGTTTTTTCATTCTTCCTTTCCCTTGCCAGGCTCAAAAACCTAACACCCCCCCGCAGCGGTGACAAGAACCGCATCACCACCCCCATCAACTGGATCCCCGGAGACGACGTCATCGTCCACCCCTCCGTCACCAACGACGAGGCCAAGACCCTCTTCCCCCAGTTCCGCATCGTGAAGCCATACCTGCGCTTCACCCCTCTCCCAAAGGAGAAGACCTCTGCCAACATCTAAGTTAAAAAAGGTGTGGATGTGGTAGGAGATGATGGGACGGGATGGATGGATGGAGTTAAATTTGTTTGTTTTAGCGGAGAGGGGAGGATAGGGGTGTGGTAGTCGAATGAGATGAGATACCCCATGCATGTGTGGATTGTGTTTGTGTGTGATTGCTGTGCTGTGATGATATGTGCTGGTGTTGTGAGATGATGAGGGGGTGTTCATTCATCGATTGACCCTGATCAACCCGTGGGGGTTTTGAATATAACCGGCAGCTGCGACTGGTGCTTGCTTGGTGACCGTTCCTTCCATGCCTACCAGGATTTGAAGGTTTTAAGGAAGCTGCGATCGAGGCTTGCTTGATAATCATTCCTTCCATATCTAGAACTTATAACGTTCTAAGTTAGTTGCGACTGAGGCTTGCTTTCTAATCGTTCCTTCAATATCTATAACTTATAACCTCTTGAGGAAGCTGCGATTGAGGCTGCTTTATGATCATTCCTTCATATTCAGAAGTTCAACAACGTTCCGAGGAAGTTGCGATGGAAGGCTTGCTTGGTAATCGTTCTTTCCAATATAAGCTTTAGAAAGCTTTGAAGAAGCTGCGATCGAGGTTGTTTACTTCCCCCCTTCCGCAGTCAATGTAGTCAAATCCTCTCGACTCATCAAGCTCTAAACAGCTTCCCCTCGAGCTCACTTACTACATATAGGGCCCCCAATCCAATGGTATATAAATATACGTTCCACTGATATTCAATAGAACTCATTGTAGCCACCCATTGCGTGTTCCCATCTGCCGAGCACAGCTTTTAATGTGTGATAGAAGTAAAATGCGGGAGCATCAATTATGATACACGAACGAAACAATTAATTTAATTTTACTGCTTGCTTTTAATATATTTGCACGATTTTAAGTTAACACCATGTTTCATTTAGACTTCGTCTTTATACCGAGATTAATGCACGTTAATATTTAGTGTGCATATATTCAAACAAACAATTAATAAACTTTCCTGCAAACGCCAATTTAAAAGGTGTCTAAAACGTGTATCCCCAGGGTCCATCAAACACATACCCCAGCCCCTTTACAAAACCCCAAATCCCAAACAACCAGAACAACCAAACCCTCAAAATCCCACCCCCCCAACATTTCAGCCACCAAAACACCTCCGCCCCCAATCTTTCATCCGATCTCTCTACTGCATATACTACTGTAACCCCCCCCTAAAATCACGTGTCACCCCAGCCATGCGGCCCTCCATTTCATCCCATCATCATCTCGCCTCCAGCGCCTCAGCGCTTGGACCACCCACGCTACAGCACTACGCAACCACGCAACCACGCACTTCCCACGCTACGGGGTCAAAGCGCGCGGTCCCCGCGTTTAGGCTGTGAGTGGAGTAGAGTAGAGTGAAGGAGTCTAGTTTGTTCGCACAACGAACGGGACGACGACAGACAGGACAGGACGACGGCTTAGGCTTTGAGTGTGCGACAGCTTGACGATCAGGACGACTTTATACGACTTTTTTTTGAGGGTACGAGAGAGAGAATTTGAGGGCTAGGAAGCCATTGGAAAGACAGAGTTTTTTGGGGCCAAGATTCGTTGGGTTTGGAGATTGGGTTAGGAAACGACGGTGTCAGATACAAGGTGTCAACCACGACCACAAGAACAGAAGAGCATAGCTGAACGAACTACACGAATACAACAGCAACAGCAACTCCGCCGGTGATCGAGCAGCACACAAATCCATCCATCCACCCAAACCACGCACCCACCAACCCACACCGATTCGATCGAAACCCACCCACCACACCGCGGCTTCGCCGCAACCACACACATCAGATGTCACGCCCCATCCTCCACCGCGCCAGCACCATGGACAGCGCGACCGCCAGCGGCAGCAGCGGGGACGCCTACACGCGGCGTCGCGAGGGCGAGTCTCCCTATCTCGGGACCGCGAATGGGCACCCTTCCTCCAGCCTGCCATCGCGGGGGTTCGAGGACGACGGGAGAGGAGGAGGAGGAGATGATGCAGGAGGGGGGCATTCGAGCTCCACGCCTCGCAGCGCGGGGTCGGCTGCTAGTCCTGCGCAGCCTGGGAGTGGGGGCCCGAGTGGTGGAGGGGGAGGCGGGGGAACGCATTTGTCGGGGTTGATGTGTAATGTGCATCGTACTACGGGGAGGGAGCCTCATGCGCTTGTTGGGGCGACGACGACGATATTGGGGGATAAATTGTATGTCTTTGGCGGGAAGATACTTTCGCGTACGCGCGCGGCGTTGACGGCGGATTTGTATGAGTTGGATCTCATCAGGCGGCATTGGACGAAGCTTGAGCCTTCGGGGGCGGCGGTGCCGCCGAGGTACTTTCATAGTATGTGTTCGGTCGGCGATACGAAGTTGGTGTGTTATGGTGGCATGTCGCCTGCTACTGGTGCGAATGGACAGCCCCTGCCACCGGCGCCGCCGCAGAATGGACAGGAGGCGCAGCCGGAGGTGGTGGTCATGTCTGATATTCATATCTATGATGCGCCGACTAATACGTGGACGTATGTCCCGACGTCTGATACGCCGCAGGGGCGGTACGCGCATTGTGCTACGATCTTGCCTTCAGCGGCGTCCTTTGCGAATGCGTCTTCTGCACCCTTGTCAGCTCTTCAGCATAACCCCGCTGGGGAGAACCCTAATCAGGGCGTGCTAGGTGTGCATATCGATGGCACAGGCGGAGCTGAGATGGTCGTTGTCGGCGGCCAAGACAGCGCAAACCACTACATCGAGCAAATCAGCGTCTTCAACCTCCGCTCCCTCTCCTGGACACGCACCCAACTCCTCGGAAAAAGCTGCGGCGCCTACCGCAGCGTCGTCGCCCCCGTCTCCGCCACCGTAGCCTCACGCATCGGAAAGGGAAACTCCAAACCCGACACCACGCCCGGCCCAGACCGCGACACAGCATCCTCGATGCTCATCTACAGTAACTACAACTTCCTCGACGTGAAACTGGAGCTCCAACTCCGCGGCTCCGACGGCTCTCTGGTCGAGAAACCCATGTCCGGCGCCTTTACCCCTCCTGGCCTGCGCTTCCCCAACGGCGCGGTAATCGCTAATACCTTCGTGGTAAGCGGGACGTACCTCACCTCCTCCAAACAGGAATACGCGCTCTGGGCCCTCGATCTACCATCCCTAACATGGTCCCGCATCGACGCCGGCGGCAACGTCTTCTCCACCGGCTCCTGGAACCGCGGCGTCCTCTGGTCGCGACGCTCTGCGTTCGTGGTGCTGGGTTCGAGGAAAAGGGCGCTGGTGGATGATTATAACCACCGTCGTCTCAATTTTAGCGATGTTTGCGTGGTGGAGTTAGAGGCGTTCGGGTTGTATGAGAATCCCCGCCGTGCGTCCCCGTCGAGCTCTTATGTCTCTGCTTCTGCTGCGCTACCTGCATCTCGCCCTGGACCGTGGCAGCCAGGCGGACGCACTTTGAGCGCTGCGGCGGAAGAACTCGGCGCGCTGGCAATGGCTGCCACAGAGGTGGCGGATATGGATATCCTCGCCGTAGGGGGTGAGCGCGTCCCCGTCAACTCGCGCCTCCTCGCTCGGCGATGGGGTGCGTACATCGAGACGCTCGAGCGCGAAGGCACAGCCGTGCAAGAAGGTGTTGATGTCGCCACGCTCCGCGGCGGGGAATCAGGTCGTCGTATCAGCGGTTCCACCATCACGGGGTCCGGCGGGGGAGGAAGGCCAAGGACGCTGTATATGCCTCATACTGTCCTGACTATCCAGGCGCTCGTTGCGTATCTCTACTCTGGTAGTCTGCCGAGGGGGTGTACACCGCAGGTTTTATGTAGTTTGTTGCAAGTCGCTAGACCGTATCGCGTGGAGGGACTGCTGGAGGCGGTGGTGGAGGGGTTGCATGGGGTGTTGGATTCGAGGAATGCGGCGGCGGTGTTTAATGCTGCTGCTATGGGGGCTGGTGGCGGGAGAGGTGTGGGAGAAGGGGGAGCGTGGGAGGAGGAGAGGGGTGGTGGTGGGGGTGGGGGAGGGGGAGGGAGGGATGATAGGGGCTGGGATGGCGGGGATGGGGGGAGCGAGGGGGGGAGTGGGAGTGAAGGCGGAGGCTGGGATAGGGGGGGGAGGGAGGAGTGGAGGGGCGGGGTGAGCGCGGTTATTGGGTTGCAGAAGAGGGGGTTGAGGGGGTTGATGGAGGGGAGGAGGTTGAGGGAACGGGGGATGAGTGCGGGGAGGCAGCAGCAGGAGGTGGGGTTGGGGATTAGTTAGTGGGGGTTGGAAGGGGGGGGGTGTATGTTTGATGGTTAGGATGGGGGGCCGGGGGGTGGGGGGTGGGTAGATAGATTGGTTGGATTGGATTGGATTGGGAAAGTGGCATAGCCAGCGGGAGAATTTTGGTCTATTTTTTCGTTTCTATGGATTGAAGTTGGGCACACAACAGGTTATTTTTCTTCAATGGCAAATATTGAATCTGTCGATCACTGGAAAGGGGATATGAGATAAGTGATAATTAGACATGATTTTGCCCTGAGTGGCGACTAAGAAACGATGATAAGAGCAGAGCAGAGAGTATCCTGATCTAGCAACAACATTACCAATGGAAGAGTCGTTGGGTTCACAACGGGACATGAACTACAAATTGCAAACTCGCGAAAAGAAAACAGGAACGGTGAACTTCAAATCGCAAGCTCACCAAAAACACGCTTTGATGCATGGCGCATACGCGCCGCACACTGTGGTAGTAGTGGAGACGAGGTGAGAAGAGAGAGCGGTGGCGAGGAGAGGGGCGGTGGTGGTGACAGTGGAGTGGTGAGAGGATTAGTACGACAGCGTTCAGATCGTCTGGGACATCACCATCTGGAATTCCCATCGTATGGCATTGGTTCTTGAACTCCGGGATCGAAATTCTCGTGTGGATGTCTTTGGCTTCTGCCATATATTCAGCTAAGCTTCGACCTCGTTGATGGAAGTTGTTCAACTCTGCCGCCACTCTGCCGCCACTCTTTGCCGCAGAAACGGCCTTTGGCGGACTTCATCCCTTCCATATATAGCCACCAGTAAACTAACCTGTTTGATTTCTGATTCTACAGTAGACAAGGTGGTTATTTGTTACAATAATCCATACGAAGCTACAGCCAGATAAGACGATCAGGGCGTCAATCCATTTTACTGAATCATTTTGCTTGTCGACTCTGCGGTCATCTGCGGTCAACAAAACAACATCTCAAGCGTCAGATACGAACAAAGTGTTTTTCATTCCCAGTCCTAATCATCAATACACACCATCGGATATTACGCAGCGTTCAACGGCTTGCGTGCCCAAACTCGTCTCCTAAAAGCATTGTTAGCATCAAGCAATTCCACCCCCCGCAAGAAACCGGAAAAAACTCACGTAAAATGATAAATATGCAACCCCACCGCCGCCCCCTCCGTCAACTCCCTCCTCACCTTCGCCACATAAACCCTCACCTCATCCGCACTCCACGGCGTCGGCCTTCCATGCTTCGTCAACAACCACATCGCCCACCCCTCCAGCCCACTCTTCCAATGCACCGCATTCACCCTTCCCGCATCCTTATACACCGGATGCTTCGGCCACTCGCCAATGGGGCACTTATACAATTTCTCCCTGATCTCGGTGAACCCCGCCGCGGCGATCGAGTCGCGCATCGTGGTTTGGGTGTTTAGGGGGCGCCCGGCGTCGGAGGCGCAGTCGAGGAAGGTCTGGCCCCAGCCGGCCAGGAGGGAGTCGGGCTTGAGAGAGCCGTCGTCGGACATGACGCGTACGTCGAGCTCGACTTGTTCTATCCAGCCGCCAGGTTGGAGGTTACTGGGGAGACGGTTAGTAGAGTGGACGGGTAAGCGGGGGGGGGGGGGCAGACGCACTCGTAGCATTGCCTGTAAAGCTTTGCCCACTCGTCTTGTTTGAAGGCGCCGAGGAGGAGGCGGAGATGGATCAGGTCGAACTTGTTGTTCCATGTCCAGTCTTGGGTGATGTCGTCTACTTCAAAGATGCAGTTGGGGGGGACCCAGGTTACGGGTGGGGGGTAGAGGTCAACCCCGTGGACGGTAACTAAGATACATCGTCAGCTCAGTGGGGACGTTGGCAGGCACATGTCGACCTACTCCCAGGAAACCTGTCGGCGACTTGAACGGCCCACGTTCCGTCTCCGGTGCCGAGGTCGATGATATGCTACTCGGAGGGTTAGCAGGCAGTCTCAACTGCGGAATGAGCATTGACTTACCTGAGCATTCGCCGGAATGGGGGAGCGGAAGAGGGTGTTCTCTTCCTGACAATCGAGGATCTGGTACACGAGGTGGCCAGCCTCGAAGGTCTCGAATTGCTGCTCGTCAGACGGTCCCCAGTACTTATCTTCTCTTACTGTCTGATAGCGCCTGCCATTCTCTATGTATCCCCTGTACATAGAGGACGCAATAGAGGTTGTCTCACTGCCGACTATTAGAGGGTGTTCTATCTGAAAAGGGGCTGCGCAGAGCACTCACGATTGGGAGTCATCGCCACCATACGCGGAGTCCTCGTCATCCTGCGCGAGGGAAGGTAAGAAACGGCACCAAAGATGCTAGCAAGCATACATAGTATAAGAACTCACGATCTCTACGAGTCCATCCTCCGGGAGTGGCTCCTGTGGTATCTCGGCGTATGCTGGAGCTGTTGGGGCTCCCGGGGATGAGGCTAGGGGAGGGGTTCTGGATTTGCCAGCAGACCCGACTGACGCCGGGGAGCTCGGTTTCGGTGGAGAGCTCGATTTGGCCGGAGAGCTAGGTTTCGGCGGAGAAGCAGAGATCTGCACCGGGGCCGACGCTGCCACGTTCTGAACGTCTGGGGATGCTGGATCCGTCATGTTAGAGTAGGATGAGGATGTGCGGCGTAGAGGCGTGGGCGCTTGACTCGTAAAAAGCCGGGCATATATGTAGGGTATGTAGGTATTTTAGTTTCCCCTCACCACTTTAGCGTCGGTTTTTTAATATTTGGTAAGAAGTGGCCAAGAAGTGGCTAAGAAGTAGCTGCCTATTAAAACAGGTTTTGTAGAAGGGACATAAGTCGCAGCTTCGCTCTGGTCACTTTAATGTATATTTTAGTATTTTATACGTAAACAAGTTGTAGAGTCGTATTTAGGATATTGTGATCACCTCAATAGTGAGATTTATCCCGTGTTGATGTCCCTTAGGGTGAGGTTCTAGCTTTATGGGGTATGCTAATGGAAGTATACTACCCTAAGAAAACTAAAGAAAACTCCCCCTTAGTACTTTCGTAGCTAGAGTTAGCTGGGGGTTAGCCGTAGGGGTTTGACCCACTAGAATGACAGCTACTAATGTAATTATTCGTTCTAGGTACCACCGTGCAGAGTACAGTACATAGAAGTAAGGTTGCTGAAACCTGTAGTTTAATAGATAGTTTCGCAATCAAGAAGACGACGTGGAGAGTTATTTGTACGTACGTTAGAAGAGCTACCAAGAAGATTATAGAGAACACGAAGCCATTCCCTCCCTATCTCCTGCCTCCTTAGCAGGTCCAAACCATTTACTCTAGGACCGCACCGGTACCGGACCGTACCGCGGCGCACCGAGCGCTCATTGCCATGTGGAAGTTGTGGTTGTGGAATTACCTAACTAGGTATTACTTTACCCCACTCGTAACAGAAACTGCGTACTCCGCTCAATATTCAACTACATAACCCCTCTTTTACATACAGACACACAGATAACAGAGTAGTATCTGCAGCCAGTATGCTAGATTTCCAAGGATCCTCCGCGGACTACTAGGACTAACCCACGTGTTATCATCGTTCTAACATCCTAGGCTTACTGGACTCGTAACAGTTCCACATAACTTGCCTTAGTTAGTCTCCTACCAGTTATTTGTTCGTAACATTGAAATAAAGTGGTCTCCCTGCTGTGTCACACACACTCTCTGATTATCCATCTCCATCCCCTCACATTCGCCTCCAGTCTGTCGGGTTTCAACAATCAAATCAACCACCATCATTCACTGCCGCTGCCCACCATGACAGCCACCAACACTGATCCTCTCCCCTCCCGGATCCTCGCCGGCGTATCAATCCCCGACACCCCCCTCATCGCCAAGGCCCTCGAGTTCGCGCGCGCCCACAGCGACGACTTCGCCTACAACCACATCATCCGCTCCATGCTTTTGGGGTTCATCATCAGCGCTAAGATCCCGTCCATCGCCGATCGCGACCTCGAGGTCCACGCCGTCGCGGCCCTTCTGCACGACATCGGCTGGGACCCAACCGGCGAGCTGGTGTCGGAGGATAAGCGCTTCGAGGTCGACGGCGCGAATGCCGCGCGGGACTTCCTCCATCGCGAGGTCCCGCACTGGGATAAGCATCGCGTGCAGCTGGTCTGGGATGCGATCGCGTTGCATACTATTGGCTCGGTGGTGTTCTATAAGGAGGCGGAGGTGCAGGCGTCCAGTTATGGGATTTGGGCCGATTTTCAGGGGCCGGATCGCGTGCAGGGGGGCTTGTTGACGTGGGAGGAGTATAATAAGGTTGTGGAGGAGTTTCCGAGGTTGGAGCTGATGGCGAACTTGAAGAAGGTGATGTGTCACTTGTGTGTTACGAAGCCGCAGACGACTTATGATAATACTGTTGGAGAGTGGGGTGATAAGTATGTTGATACTTATGATCGCAAGGGGAAGCTGACCCAGGATCTGTTGGATACGTGCGATCTCGACTCGAGGTAGTCGTGGAATAGCGTTGCTTTTCATCGTGGCTTCATGAATTACGATTAGCTAGGAGGATCAACTGGAGACTTTACGAACGATTGTGAAAGGTCACTTTTAGTCATTAGTTTACGAATAATTATAACGATCAATCCAACTCAAGCCCCTTCTATGCGTGTGCATGGTACAAGGTTATCATTGTGATAACGCATCTTAATACAAGTGGGATTGATATCTGTTTACTAGTTCAAGCACTGCGTATCTAATAGATCTAAGACCTAACAATGATTCTTTCTTATTCATCAACTATTATCATGTAGATTGTAATTTAAATGATAGTATCTCAACATGAATGGAGTAGTATTTAATATAAATGGCTCGAAAATGAAACCTCCTCTTTTCGCCAAAATGCAACGCCGCTGAAGACTCAAAAAGGAAAATAACAAGCCGGCAATCCAACTGCTGCATCTACCTCATCAGCACCTCTCATTTCTATCTTCTGCAAACCTGACCATGTACCAACCCCCACACAGCCCTTGTATAGCACTTCACCCCTCCCTTAGCCATCCACACCGCCACAGCCACCCCAATCACCGGCACCACCAGCGCCCCGGCAGCCAAAATCACATTCCCCTGATGCCGACTCGCCTCCACAACCTCACTATACCTCATATTCCCAAAGCTAACCCTCGAATACTGCGTCGCCCACCCCAGCGCCGGGAAATACTGACTCAGCGTCTCCTCCAAGCGCTTCCTCAGCTTGTAAAGCGGGGACACAACACCCTCGCGCATCTCGACGTAGTTAGCCAGCGCGAGGGCACCGATGGCTGCTGCGTCGGGGGCGCGGAGGGCGGTGTAACGGTCTAGTGATTCTGGGGTTGGGGTGATGGAGGGGGGAAGGAGGTCGAAGAGGACGCGCACGTCTTCGAGGCCAGCGTTCATGCCCTGGCCGTAGAAGGGGACCATAGCGTGTGCAGCGTCACCGAGGATGACGGCCGAGGCGCGGAAGTGGTAAGGGGAGCAGGTGAGGGAGATCAAGGGGAGGTGGGGGTTTGCCTCGAACTGGGCTATGAGAGAGGCAGGGGGGATGAGGGCGGTGACGCCGGGGAAGGAGGCGTTGAAGAAGGCGGGGATGGTGGAGGGGTCGGTGGCGAGGCAGGAGAACTCGCCAGAGGGGAGGAAGAGTGTGCAGGTGAAGGAGCCGTCGAGGGAGGGGATCGCGATGAACATCCTGTCGCTGCCGGGCCAGATGTGGAGGTGGTTGGGGGAGATGGCGTGTTTGGAGGTTGAGGTGGGGTTGGCTTTTGGGGTGATGGTGAATTCGCACCAGAGCGTGTCGATGTACTCTTGCCTGTAGTCCATGCGTGTGTACTTCATAAGGTGGTAGCGGGTGGCGGAGTGGGCACCGTCGGCGCCGATGAGGAGGTCGAAGGTGATTTCGATTTCTTGCGTTTCGCCGGCGGGGGATTTTGTCTCGAGCCAGGCTTTGTTGTCGGCGAAGTTTGCGCCGACGAGCTTGTGGTTGAAGAAGATCTTCACGTTGGGCATTGATTCTAGCTCGTCAAGGAGGTGCTTGTTCAGTCCGCCACGGTCAACGGCGAAAATGGTCTGACGATGTTAGAAGGGTTTGATAGGGATGTGAGATGACTTACCCTGCCGTGGATATCGTAGTCCTGGGCTTCTTCGTAGATGCTTCCCGAAGCTTTCTTGCCGTGGATCATACGGCCTCGCATGGGGATGGTGTCGGCCATGATGCGCTCAAGTAAGCCGTCTCTTCCACTGGCCCGCAGGGAATTGATCCCACGCTCGGAGAGGGCGAGATTGATGGACCGGGTAAAATTCAACGGTGTTGTTGAAGGGTCGCGGAGATCTGTTACGTATTAGATTCTGCCTCGGAGAGATGAAAATGCACGTAGTTCCTGCATGACTGGGAACTCTCAAAATGAGATGCTTCTCGAATCGGCACAAAACCATGACAAAACCCCAATGGATGACAAAGGAACATAGCAACTGCGTATAAAAAAGAATATATATTCGTAGGCGATAGATAATAAATGATATAATTACCATTGCGTAGCTCATACACCTCCACCTCAAAGCCCCGTTCAGCCGCATATATGGCGGCCAGCGCTCCCACCGGCCCCGCGCCGACGACGACAATCTTGCTCTTTGTCCCCGATTCATGCTGATTTTGGCTTTCCCGACCATCCGAGACAGAATCCGAACCCCGAGAGCCCGTGACCGTCGATGTCACGCCTGGCTGGTGCTGCTCTGAGTCTGAGCCGAGGTCTGACTCGACGATGGAATATGAAGAATCCATGGTGCGAATAATAAGTATGTGCGTATAGACAAAATATATACAGAAAAAGAAAAGGAAACAGATGGGAAATGACGGAGCTTTAAGCAAATATTGTTACGCAAACCATGGCGTGTCACTCGGGGCAAAAGATGAGGCCGATGACACTCCGATGAGTAAACTTTAAACAAGCTTTAAAACGTGCCAAGCCATTTTATTCTAGCCTCGTGGAAATTGTTCAGCCTCGTCATGATTTTGTCAGCCTTGCGGATGTTTTCAGCCGACTCAGCCTTGTGTGGCTAAGTCAGCAAATATTGTGGCGCAAAATGTTGGTCGGCTGAAGGAACTTCTGGTTTTGGAAGTTGTCTTGGGGAAGGCGCAACGCTTTGCATCGGAAAGGAATAATCTTCACTGAACATACTTAACTCCACAGACTACAGCGGGAGATCAGGCATACATAGGATATATTCGATATCCAGTTTTGTATAGCTCTACGCCCCATCGCCAGCAATATGACTGCAACCACGGACCAAAAGCGCATGTGCATCGGCGCCGACTGCCCCAACGAGGCTGGCACTCTGCAATGCCCGACGTGCTTGAAGCTTGATATCAAGGATAGCTTTTTCTGCTCGCAGGATTGCTTCAAGAAGAATTGGGTATGTGAACTCCATGGCTCTTCTTTCATGCCCCACGCGACACCAACGAGTACAAAACTAACACGCACCCCGCAGTCCACCCACAAGACCGCCCACAAGTCAAGTAACTTCCTCCGAAACCTCATAGTGCCTGGTGTCGTATCTAAACCGGATCCCATTACAGGTCTCTTCAATCCCTTCCCCACCTACCCCTTCGCAGGGCCCCTCAGGCCTGTATACCCGCTGTCTGAGACACGAACCCTCCCCGCATCGATACCCCGCCCCGACTACGCCAGAGATGGCATCCCAAGGAGCGAGCGCGCGCAGGGACGCCAAAAGATCGAGATTCTAGACAAGGCAGCACAGGATGGGATGCGCAAGGTGTGCCGGTTGGCGAGAGAGGTCCTGGATATTGCGGCTGCGGCGGCGGTTCCTGGCGTCACGACTGACCACATCGATGAGATCGTCCACAACGCCTGCATCGAGAGAAACGTATGCCATTATACCCCATGTTTGTAGGAACATTTGCTGACGTCTACGCAGTCATACCCCTCGCCACTGAACTACTGCCACTTCCCGAAATCCGTATGCACCTCCCTTAACGAAATTATCTGCCACGGCATTCCCGATAAGCGCGTCCTGGTCGACGGCGACATCCTCAACATCGACGTCACCCTCTACCACGGCGGCTACCACGGTGACCTCAACGAGACATACTACATCGGCGAGAAGGCTCGTAACGATCCCGACTCCGTCCGTGTTGTTGAGGCAGCACGCACCTGCCTGAACGACGCCATTGCGATGGTCAAGCCCGGCGTCCTCTTCCGCGACTTCGGAACTGCGATCGACAAGCACGCCAAGTCGCAAAAATGCGACGTCGTCAAGGCGTACGTCGGCCACGGCATCAACAGCCTGTTCCATTGCGCACCGAACATTCCGCATTACAAGAACAACAAGGCGGTTGGGCAGGCGAAGGAGGGAATGTGCTTTACGATCGAGCCTATGATCAACCTGGGGTCGCACAGGGATAAGACCTGGCCAGATGACTGGACCAGCACGACGGCGGACGGAAAGAGGTCTGCACAGTTTGGTAGGTGTTGCGGATGTGATATTTGTGTACTTGGCTGACTTTCTTATAGAACACACACTTTTGGTGACAGCGGATGGAGTGGAGGTTCTCACGGCAAGGTTACCAAACTCACCTGGCGGCCCGGTGCCAATGCCAGTCGTAGAAAAGGTAGAGAATGGGACAAAAGCAGAGTAGTGGCAGTGTCATGTTATGCCTTTGGTGGTTTGGTCGGCACGGGGCGGTCCCACAGTGTAAATAGCTGAAATCAGGGGAATTAACTGAGCCACTGAACCCTTAGACTGCCTCAAGACATGACGGTTGACAGTTCGTTTGAAGTCTGACGTAGATATGAAGTATGAACCTACTCAGGTACACACAAAAACTCACCATTATGAACAAAATACAACAATAAAGAGTGAAGAATTGATCGTCCCTTGCATATCTTCACGTGCAGTAATATTTGCCCCCTATTACCCCCAAAAACCAACAAAAATGAAAAAATATGAGGTGGCTGGTGGCAGTGCACTGTAAGGGTTTAGTAGTGTGGCTGGCTCCTGCACCGCACCGGAAGGCGAAGATTCTCCATCGCCCGTGCGCGCCAAAACACCCATTTCATCATCTCGGCCTCGAGCTACCCAACCAAGCTTTCCACCGCCTCACGCTTCCTCCTCGTCGCAACTCCCACCAACGCCCACGAGAACTCCTAGAGAAGAATACGATATTCTCGCCGAATCTCCATCTCCTCCCGTCTATCTTCAGCTTTCCGTTCCGAGTCCGAAGCCCGCGAACGACCAACACCCCCGCGTCATCACAGCTTCATCACCAACAGGAGTCACGAATCGCAAGTCGAAAGGGAGGGAAGAGAAGAAGAGACGAAGCTTCGCTGTGAGAAAAAAGGGACATATACACATCTCTAGCCCGCACGCGATCCCGCTAGGAAACTTATCTGCCTATCATGATGTCCGGCGAGGCCTGGTTATACCTGTTGGCGGTCATTATCAATGCCGTCAACCTGTTCCTGCAGGTCTTCTTCACTATCATGTACAGTGATCTCGAGTGGTGAGTTTCCTCCGCACCCTGGACTCGGTTTCTTGGCGCAGCACGCGCCGAGAGGGGGTCATACACTGTGAGTGCTGGACTGACTGGGCGTAGTGACTACATCAACCCGATCGACCTCTGCAACCGCCTTAACACATATATTATCCCCGAGGCTGCGGTGCATGGATTCCTGACTTTCCTCTTCCTCATCAATGGCTACTGGGTTGCGCTCATCCTCAACCTGCCGCTCCTGGCATACAACGTGAACAAGTACGTCACCCCGTCTGCCTGCGTGGCATCGTACTCTGGGTGGGGTTTGGGACTAACACGCGCGCAGGATCGTGAGCAACTCGCATCTCCTGGATGCGACTGAGATCTTCCGTAAGCTGAATGTGCACAAGAGGGTATGTGGAGCTCCTATCTACCGACACGACATCTGCTAACACGACCAGGAATCCTTCTCCAAGCTTGGTTTCCACCTCATTATGTTCTTCTTCTATCTTTACAGGTATGCTCGAACCAACCCATTTCACAATAAACTTAAACTAACACCACGCAGCATGATTGTCGCCCTTATCCGCGACGAGACGCACTAAATAGCGGACACGTTCTAGACGGGACAGCGATGAATGAATGATGTGCTTGGAAATGTTGGGATAATGACTGAGGACAGCGGGCATCATAGCGAGAGCTTGTCTGTGCGGAGGATCGTAATGTGAGAAGTGTTGTGAGAGAGAAAGTCGGAGTCGGAGTCGCGGGGTCGAGCGAGGAGAATTGGAGGATATCTGTGTGTGGGTACGGTACGGAGTAGTTATATGCGATATATAGCTGGAAGGGGACGGTACAGCGATTGGGGGCGCGATAGATGGGATGAAGTTGTGAATATGAATGGTATTATGTATGCATTTACAGCAGTGTATCGTTTCTCTTAAATCCGTTTTGACAGCGTCACTCCCCATAGCTCAAGCCCTCGTGGGCGAGATTCTGATAACAGCAAACCGATCACGTGACCACTTATTTATCGCCGCGAACCTCTCAGCCAACCTTAAATTTCCTGAGTCCAGAACGTCAACATCCACAGCTCTCCCAAACAACCTCACACCACACACAACCATGGCGGACCTCAACGCCTACCCAGCGGACATGGCGCCCCAAAACGCGCTGGTCGCGCGCCAGCTCTCCGGCCCCGACCACGCCGTCGTACCCTACAGCGCCGAAAACCTGTCGCGCCCCACGCAAGGGCCCGCGAACCCATTTAAAGACGACGTGAATAGCTTGAAGCGCAAGAACGTGCCGACGGGGTTCGCGCAGGAGACGTACATGAGCGAACATACGTTCCGGTCGCAGCAGCTTGCTGGGGTGAGGGGCGCGAGGGGGGGGATGACGGGCCCGGAACTGAAGGCGGAGGCGGAGCGGATAAAGGCGAAGAGGATGAAGAGGGGGGATGCGCTGGTGGTGGAGGGGGAGGGGGAGTATGTTGGGCCGTGGGCGGGGTATAAGAGGGCGGAGTATGAGGAGAGGGATGCGGAGGATGGGGGGGAGTTGGGGAGCGGGGAGGAGTATGAGGAGGTTACGGATGAGGAGGGGGTGGTGGAGAGTGGGACGGTGGTGAAGGCGCTGCCGCAGGCTGTGGCGAAGAGGAAGGAGGAGGAGGGACAAGGGGGGGAGACGACGACGTTTCATGGGGAGGAGGAACGCGATTATCAGGGCAGGACGTATATGCATGTTCCGCAGGACTTGGATGTGGATCTGAGGAAGGAGGAGGGAAGCATCAAGAACTTCGTGCCGAAGAAGTTGATACATACGTGGAAGGGACATACCAAGCCTGTCGTGGCGCTGCGCTTCTTCCCGAGCAGCGGACATGTCATGCTCAGCGCCAGCGCGGACTCGACTGTCAAGCTATGGGACGTTTACCACCAGCGCGAGCTCCTGCGTACGTTCTCCGGCCACACCAAGGCGCTGTCGGATATCACTTTCAACACTTCCGGCTCGCAATTCCTCTCCGCATCATATGATCGCATGATCAAGCTCTGGGACACCGAGACGGGCCAATGCATCAACCGCTTCACGACGGGCAAGACCCCGCACGTGGTGCGCTTCAACCCCGACCCGGAGAACGCGCACGAGTTCCTGGCTGGTATGAGCGATAAGAAGATCGTGCAGTTCGATACGCGCACGCGCGCCATCGTGCAGGAGTACGATCACCATCTCGCAGCTGTCAATACGCTCACCTTCGTCGACGAGGCGAGGCGCTTCATCTCGACGTCTGATGATAAGAGTTTAAGAGCCTGGGACTACCATATACCCGTCCCGATCAAGTACGTTGCTGAGCCATACATGTACCCTCTCGTGCGCTCGTACGCCCATCCGAACGGCAAGGCGGTGCTGTTCCAGAGCGCGGATAACCAGATCGTGGTATACGCTGCTGGGGACAAGTTCAGGCAGAACAGGAAGAAGGTGTACAAGGGGCACAACAACGCGGGATACGCGATTGATGTTGTGGTGAGCCCTGATGGGCAGTTCGTGGCCAGTGGTGATAGTGGGGGTTATGTGTGCGTGTGGGACTGGAAGACGTGTAAGATGTGGCATAAGATTAAGGTTGCCGAGGGGGCGGTGACGGCGCTGGCGTGGCAGCCGCAGGAGAGTAGTCGTGTGGCGGCGGCAGGGTTGGATGGGAAGATTAGGTATTTTGATTAATGGAAAAGGGATGAGATTGGGATTGTGAGCATATGGTGGTGGGATTGCAGATGGCGTTTTCGGGCAGCGGGAGGGAAGGGGGTTACATGTAATTCTAAGCGTTGCTCTGAGGGTAGTTCTTGAAGCTAGACTACTTTACCCTAAGGATGAAATCTAGATATGATATTGGCAAGCACGCTACTGTCTTGACGCATCGCGACTACCGTCTCTAACATGTTTGGTTTGTCATCAAACGTAGAGGAGGAAGGGGCGACTGGGTTGACTCTCAACCATAGATGAGGAAGGAGCGAAGAGCAGATTCCCAATACTCGAACAGCAGGAGCCTCAAGGCCCTTTCCAATATCCTCGAGATCAGCCTTTCTCTAGTCCGTCTCTGCCGCGCAGGCCACGAAACGCGAAGGAGCGAGCCGTGTTATATCCACAGTACTGAGGAAAATTGCACTTAGCAAACAATAAGCAGCGGCCCAACCCAACGCCGCCACACTCTCTCTACCAGTTTTCCCGTCATAAGGCGTCCTAGCGGTGAGTGCGGCTCCTGCAGGCATACCATACTTGGCCATAGCGGCGCCAATTCGATCCTGCCGGCTCGTGCGGCGCTGTTGGGACCAATTGGTAGCGGTGTGGCGTGGGGTAGTGGGTGGTTGAAACGGGATGGGGGGATTAGGAATCTTTTTCTGTCGCTGTGGGGTGGGAGGGGAGGGGGGGTGGGGGGAGGAAGTGGTTGGGGATATGGATCAGCGGTTTGGGATGGGCGGGGGAGATGAGGTGGGATGAGATGAGATGAGATGATGGAGGAGAGGGGGGTAAGCGCGTAGACGCAGTACGTAAGTAAGGCTTTGTTGGTTTTACTGTCTTCGTCTTCATCTTCGAGGAGGGGTGATGGAGAGGAAGGGAGGCTGTAGGGAATATTCCGCCATATCACGAGTATAATCAGAATGTAATCAGAATAGAATATACTATCCCTATAGAAGATTAGAAGAAGAGGAGGCTGGTATCTCTGGCGCCAATATCAAAATAAATATCAAACTAGTCGACCAGTCCCAGTCTCCAGTCCTGAGGGATTGCGGCTGTGAATATATTTCTATATTTAGCTCCCCGGCTGTCACCGTCCATTGGGTCCACCAGGGGTCAAATCCCACGCACACCATAGTACCTAGCCTGTCATAGCTAGTTACTTCCAATTTAGCGTGCATGCCACCAACAACTTCAGTACCATCCTAAGTACCTGTCCATGATGTCTTGGCGAGGGGGAGAGCTGGCTGACGCTAGCCGGACTGGTTGACGCCGTAAGCCCTACCGCCGCAGACGAGAGAGGACCTTTCGCGCTTCGATTCCCGTAGGATTACTAGACTTCCTTCTCTCCTTCTTCTTCTTATTGTCATGTATTCTGCTTCTACTTCTGCTTCTTTGAGCCTTCTGTACGCGCTGTTGTTGTGAATTGAGCTTGCTATTGTTGTGCTGAGCGGGAGAACGGCAAGCTGTGCTACTATTGTGCATACGGCTGGACCCTGGGCTTTTTCAGCTGGAGGTGTCAGCCTTGGGCGTGTCAGCCTGAAGAAGGACGACGACGACGACGACGTGGAACGAGTTGAGAGGAGGATTGTGGATTAATAGGAGGAAGGAGAAGAGAAGGAAAATATCCGGACAGAGACGCGTTGAGGTCAACGACAGCAGATATACCCGGACGCTGTGAGGAGGACAGTAATACCCGAAGTCTGAGAGCCCAAGATACACGATATCGACGATTCGAGATACTCGGAACAAGAGCTCGACAAAGACAAAACAGGGACAAGATCCCACGGTCCATATACACACAGTGTCACCATGTTCATCGATCAGCCGCGTCTGTCGCGGCGTGAGATGAAGGGAACCCAGCTGGGTCAGATTGTAGGTTTTCCCCCAGACCCCTACTTTAAGACAATCCCGGCATGATTCTACACTCGAATACCCTCATTCTCCTGCTACCAAAGGCACTACCTTCACTGCCCTCAATTTTATCCATCCCCGTCACCCTCCCTCAGAGAATACACAGCTGACATCCCCCAAGATAGCAGGCTCAATCATACTCGCCCTCGCTGCCAGCATAATCGCCTACTACTCCCTCCGCAGTTTCCGCCGCAACCATTCCAAACCAACATACCTACCAACCGCCTACCTCAAACGCAAATGGATACACTGGGACGTCCCCCAATACCGCATGTCCCGCACCGATGCCACCCACCTCGAACCCATCTCCAGCAACAGCACCGCAGGCCCCAACCGAGGTCAACCCCCCTCCACAGGCGACAGCAGCGCCATCCTGTCCGCCCCCTTCAACTTCGGCGTAAATTCCACCTCCAATCCTAATGCGGCGCCCTCGAGCGCCTCGGCAATTGACCGCAACACCTCCGTGCGGTCCATCGCCACCCTCCCCGAATACGCCTTCTACCCCAAGTCGACGGAGCAAGTGCTCGGCCGCGCCGGCGAGCGCGACGGCATAGACACCGTCGTCAAGTTCCCTGACATCGCCGAGGCGGCCGAGGAAGAGCGCCGCGAAGATGAAATGGAAGCACTGTACCAGGTCCGCCTCGCACGACGCAACGAGATCGCTGCTCGCGAGGAAAGGCGGCGGTTGAGACGCGAGGCCCGCGACCGCGGCGACCTCGATGCTCTTGCTGAGCTGAGGACCAGAGGGCGCGCAGAAAGCAACACTAACCTCGATGCCCTCCGCGCGGAGCACTCGCGGCTACGTGAGCGCGAGCGTGCTGTCAGCCAAGTCTCATACGAAGGCCTAGGCGTAGCCCACCTCGACGGCTCACGCGTTCGCGCCAACTCCGAGGAATCCGAGCGTCCCCTCCTCGGAGACGCGGGCGATATGGGTGGTGGTGGACGCGCAAGCATGGGCAGTTTCTCGACCTTCGACAACACCACCCGCTACAGCGAACGCTACAGCGAAGACGACCCCGGCCGCCCACCAATGTACGACGAGATTTCCCTCGGAGCCGGCCGCGACGTCCCACCAGGATACATGCCCAGCGCGCACGCCAGTGGGGGAAACAGTCCACGCACGCGCCCAGATCTCTCACTCGGCTCGCACCCAGTCACTGAACTCGATCTCGGCCTTGGCATCTCACCAGCCCCCATCATCGAGCGCCGCGCTAGTGCATCCCCACCCGTTCCCTTCCCCGATATCGAGGAAGGGTATGACACCGACGACGCCGCGGAGCTGAACAGACTGAACAGACTTAACAACGCCAGCGGTAGCGGCGCGAGTAGTTCCGGTGCCGCCGCAAACGCATCGAACTCCCGCCGCGCATCAGCTACGTTTATCGATCCCGTCGCACAGCGCCGCCTCTCTCCCAGCCCAGGCCGTCGCGTCTCTCCGCCTCGGCACATCCAGCTCCCGCGCGCGGCGTCGTTTCCCGTCGTCGCTTCGTCGGAGGGGGGATTAACACCTCCTTCGCAATCACCTTCGCCCACACCACACGGCGCTGCTCCAGGCGGAGGGGCATCTGGTGGTTCTAGCGGTTCTGGTAGCGCGAGTGGAGACCCAGCGCCCCGTCGTATGTCGACGCTTGCGCGGAGGAGGATCTCGGTGAATGATTTGATGGGCACAGTTGGTCGTGCGGCAGAGGATGTGATACCCCAGAAGACGACGTATGTGTTGCATACACCCCCGATACCGTCTACCACCCCACCGCTGGGTGAGAGGAGGAGGAGTTCGTTTATGGGACTCCCGCGCCTGGGCGGTGGGGGTGGGGGGAATGCAGGACAGGTGCAGGGGGGGTTGGGGGTGGGACCTAGTATTGTTGTTGAGAGCGCTACGCCTGTTGTTGGACCTGGAGGGAGGGGGAGGGGGGCGTTGGGGTGGGAGAATGAGAGGGCTGGTGGGTGAAGAGGGGATGGAGAAGGGGAGGTTGGTTGGGTGTGGATTTAGCGGGTGAATATGGGGCGGGCGTTTTTGGTTCTTTGCGGAAACTTTTCGCGGTTTTTTTCTTGAAGGTTCTTTATATTGGCATATATTGCCGTTATCACTTACTAACTAACTCTTTCTTTTCGTTGTTTAATTTTTTGGGGGGGTAGATTATAGGGGGGGGGGGGGAGGGGTTGTATGAAAACAGAGACGACTATACAATAGGGGCGTACATTAGGGGTGTAGTGAGAGAAATCTGACATAAGATGAAGTTATATAACCTGCTGTGCTTCGTGAAACCGACGATGCGATTAGTGACACCTGGTGTTGCAGGGTTGCACGGTGAACAAGGGAGAGATGAGGTGACATAGATGTTAAAACCCAAAAGAGTAAATTTGCTTTCAAAGAAAATATCACACTAAATTCAAATATCCCATCCCACCCGCTCTCCTCCCCAAACCACTAAACTACCACCAACCCCCCCCAACCAACACGACAACACTTACCCATACTTCTTCTCAAACTTCTTCAAGAACCCCGTAACCCCCTTCTCCAACCTCACCGCATTCTGCCCCAACTTACTCTTCTCCCCCTCCACCGGCTTCACCTTCCCCATCGCCTCCCCCTCCGTCGGCCTATACACCTGCTGATGCACACCATACTCCGCCTGTCCCTGCGCCGGCTGCCCGCCCTGCGCATACGAGTAATTCGCATACGCTAGCCCTGACGCCGCTGTGGCTGGCTGGGCAGCTGCTGGCGCGCTGCCGGGGTGGGGAGCTGAGGGGGGGGAGGTGGTAGGTGCGTATTGCCCGCCGGATGCGCTGGGGGGGCCGGGGAAGTAAACTGCCCCGCCCGGGGGTGGCGTGGGTTGGTATTGCTGCTGCTGCTGGTGATCGTGCGTCGCGGCATGGAGGGGGTTAGTCCCTGCATCTGGTGGCGGGGGTGTTTTCTCGCGGTGAGCGATTGCCTCGGGCGCAGCGGGGGCAGCGGGGTTATACGCTAGTGGCGCGAAGGACTGCGCTGCCTGCGGGGAGGTGGAGGCGGGTGGTGCGGTGGTGGGTGGACCAGCGAAGGGGGGGGAGTGTTCCTGGATCGCGATGTTCTCAAGCTGTTGGACTATAGGGCTCATGGCTTGGGCGTGGGGTGGTGGGGGGAGGACAGCGCCGGCGATGGCGAGGTGGTTAGAGGGGAGGAGGCGCTGGAGGGTGGTGAGGAGGAGGGTGGCGTCGGCGGGGGTGTAGAGGTAGATGTCGATTGTGTGGAGGCGGTAGAGGTATTTGTTCTCATTTCGCGGGTCGTAGGTGGGGAGGCGGAAGTCGGTGGGGGAGGGGGGGGGGAGGGGGGGGAAGGCGTCGATAGTGATGGTGAGGAGGGTGGGGTGCTTGTGGTCGTAGGTTATGAGGACGTTGTCGAGGACTGGGATGGGTTAGTTGGCGGGGGTGTATGGAGGGGTTGGGGGGGGACTCACGGCCCTCGAAGGCGTCTTGGTCTGGTGTCCCTGCTGAATTGGCGACCTCGATACGTGCGCGTCGCTGGGAGGCATTCTCGTAGAGGTAGAGGTAGGAGCCTTTGTCGAAGCGGTGGTGAGGCGGCTTTGCAGTGGGCGGGCCGTAGAAGTAGTGGACGTCGGCGAAGCTGTGGTTTCTTGTCAGTATACAGCTTCTCTCTCTATAGATATGTAGGAAGATGCAGTGAAGCAAACTTACAGTGTCGCAGTGACTTCTTCGCCCGGATGAGCAGCCATCGTGGCCTCTCTCCTCCTGCCAGCTGCTTACGGAGTGCGGGGTTCGCTCTCAGCTCGGCGCCTATGTGTATATGAAGCTGTGTCTATGACGCTGTAGCTGTACAGCTCAAGTGAATAACGTCGTGATCGCAAACAACGACCACAAACCTCATAAAACCGCAGAAAAAGAGAGAAACAGTGAGAGATATATAGGAAAGCAAGGGGAAGAACAGAAAAGACAAAGAGAAGTAAGGGAAGTACCACCTAACTGTAACTTAGCAGTGTGATACATGCTGCAGTGCGTGATCCCTCGGCGGCTGCTGGTCTTGGCATTTCCGATGGGGACCGTTCCTGTTGGCTATCGCGATAACAGGGGGACCAGGGGGGAAGTTGCCCGATAATTGATACCTAATATTTAAGGCAAACTCCGAAAGGATTGATACCTGATATGTAAGGCAAACACGGAACGGAGCAAGGAGTTGACCGATAATACGACACCTAATATTTAAGGCAAACACTGCGACCACCCATGCTCAAATAATTTCTCGATTGGATAGACAAGAAGACGTGAAGCTCCAGTGAGGCCAATATATACAAATATATATCCCACGACCACAACTGCGCCCTCATCCACCGCGCGCTTCTCCACCTCGCCGCTCCCACGCTCAATTGAGCTCCACGCGCCCTCAGGTATTCCCTCCTCGTCCCCCCCGATCCCGCAACTCCCCCATCTAACTTCCTCCCCCAGAACCACTCCAAACCCCCCAACTGCGCACCACCACACCCGCCGCCCTCGCGGGCCAACGAATCTTCTCCCACACACCACCACCACCACCGCCAACCTCACCATGTCTCTCGTCAACCTCGCAAACGTGTGCTCGCACCTCCAAAACGCCAGCCGGGCACGCCTAGGCCTCACCTCCGTCCCCGCCTCGAACATGATCCTCGGCCTCTCCCTCTCGCTCCAACAATCCGGGTTCCTCCGCTCCGTGACGCGAGGCGGCGCCCAACCCCCCCCCGTCGACGCGCTGAGCACCTACGTCCCCGAGCCGGTGACGCAGGAGAACGTAGCGAGCAGGCGGTTGTGGCTGGGTCTGAAGTACTGGAATAACGCGCCGGTGCTGAGTCAGATGGCGATGGTGAGTAAGCCGACTAAGAGGATTTATGTGGATGCGGTGGGGATTGCGAAGTTGGTGAGGGGGAGGGATGCGGGGACTGTGAGGGGGTTGAGGAAGCCGGGAGAGTGTATTTTTGTCAGTACTGATAGGGGGATTTTGGAGGCGAGGGAGTGTGCGGAGAGGAAGATTGGGGGGATGTTGTTGTGTAGGGTGTTATAAGGGGGTGTTGTATGGAATATGGGGGTGGAAAATGGGGGATGGGGGGGGGGTGTATGATACGTGTAACTGCATTGCGCGGTGCTGGTGTGTATAAACCAATTTATTCTCTTTTACTTTTCGTTCATTGTGTCATTCCATGTCTTGTTCACTTTCACCCGCCGAATCGAGCTTCAGCGGATGCGTCGTCCATTCAGCGTCCGCAATCAAAAAATCCGACCAGTGATTCACCACTTCTTCTCCTTATATCGAGTCCAACTTCAACTCAGCTGGACGATTTCCTCCTCCACCTACTACCAACGCACCCTCATACCAGTCCTTTCTATACAACCCATGCAAACCAACAACCATGGATTACAACGACTGGCTATACTTCTACTCACAGTTCTTCTGCCCCGACTGCGGCAGCTTCCACCCCCCCGACGACGGCGGCTACGGAGGCTACCCAGGACAGCAAGGAGGCTACCCCGGCCAACAAGGAGGTTACCCTGGCCCACAAGGAGGTTATCCCGGACCCTAAGGCAGCGGAGGCTACCCCCCAGGCGTCGGCGGATACCCCCCTCAAAGCAACAACACCACCCCCCTCCCCGCCGGCCGCGGCGGCCCCCCCATCTACGGCCCCTCCACCGAAACCGCCGACGGCAACACCCCCGTCACCAGCGGTCTCGGCAGTCTCTCCTCTCCCCTCCCTCCCCTCCCCCCTCCCGGCCCCGGCCTCCTCACCCCTCTGGATCCATCCCAGACATTCTTTAATAACTCCTTACACGGCCACCTACCCGGGTCACGCACGCACCCGGCTGACGAGGGGTTTCCGAAGCGGCTGTATACGAGGGTGCCGGATGTGAGTTCCATGACTGCTGAGGAGCAGTCTGCGAGGGCTTTTGTGCTTACCGCTCTCGAAATGCTCAACTGGCGCGCCTTCGGCGAAGACATGCATTCTCTCCTCACCCTCACCCCCTCCCCCCTCCCCCCCGCCCTAGCATCCCAAATCCGCTACCTCCTCTACTGCACAATCCCCCACCTCGAAGACGGAGGCGACGTCCCGCCGGGGGATTACTGTAAGATCCGCGCTGTGCTGGATAGGTGCGCAGAGGTTGGAGAGGTGTGGGGCGGGGCGCTGACGTGGGGGTTTGGGTTTGGGAAGGGGGGGGGGAGGGCGAGGGAGAGGGGGTGGTGGAGGACTGAGAGGGAGGGGTGGCCGGATGGGGGGGCGGTGAATTCGGGGGATATTTTGGGGGGTGGAGGCGAAATGGGGGGGTGGTGGTGGGAGGAAGTGCGGTGATTTTTTGGGGGGGGGAGATGGAGTGGAGGGCATAGTAAGGTTTTGTTTGTTTGTACGTCTAATTTAGCATATCGAGGATGCTGTGAACTCCTTCCGTCGCGCCTGGTTGTAGTGACAACTATATACATGCTCCAAGCCACCATCATCTATAAGCTACCAGCTATCAATCCATCCCCTGAAACCCAATAACTCCATTCGGCGTCCCCCCCTCCCCCTTCGCACCTCCCTTCCCACCCTTCCTCCTCTTCTTCTGCGGCTTCTCCTCCTCACTATCACTGCTATCCTTCTCACTATCCTCCTCGCTGTCGCTATCACTCCCACTACTCCCCCCCTCTCCCTCCTTCTCCGCCCAAACCTTGACCACGTCTCCACCCCCCGAAATCAGACGGCCGTAGCAATCATATCCCACAGCGATGACACTCTCAACCTCGTCGTGCCTCAACACATGCCTCACCCCCCTCCCCGTCAAATCCACAATCCTCACCTTCCCATCTCCGCATCCAACAACCACCTCCCTACTCCCCGGCACACGCGCCAACGCATCCAGACTCTCGCCCTCCGCCTTCCCACCAGGAACAACAACGACCCTCTCCCCCTGATCATCCCACACCCCCCTCTCCCATAATGTAATCACGCCATTCCCACCGCCAACAACGACTTTCTCCCCACTTCCCCCCGCCCTGGTGGAAAACCCATCCACACTCAACGAACTTAGCAACTCCTCCTCCTGCTCCTCACTCTTCACCAACACGCCCCTCCTTAAATCCGTGACCGCCAATGTCCCTCCCCCCGTAGTAACCCACTGCTTCGCGAACCCGGAGGTACTCGCATCAGATGGCTTGAGCGGGGTGAGCGAGGAGATATAGTCGTCGTGAGGCCTGTGCGTCGCTGCTGGCTTGGCCGCGCCAAATGCGGACGAGGAGCGTAGGTCGAAGAGGTGAAGGGCGCTGGAGTCGGTGGCGAGGAGGAGGGTTTGCGGGGAGAGGGCGTGCAGGAGGGTGGGGTGGTCAGGGAGGTCGTTGTGTGTGGGGATACGGAGCTTGGAGGTTACGATGCCGGTGAGGGGGGAGAAGGCTTTGAGGAGGGTGTCGGTGCCTGCTGAGTAGAGGACTAAGAGCAGGAGAGTTAGTTTACGCTATAAGTGACAAGTAAGGTGGGGGAGAATGGGTGGGGGAGGACGTACCTTCACCGTCTGGACTGAAGCCTAGGGAGCGGCAGGAGCCTTTGTGGCGGCGGGTGCGCCATTGCGTTTCAATGTGGCTTTTGCCATTGGAAAGCGCAGAAAGCGTCGTAGTGTCCCCCTCATCATCATCATCATCGTCAGACCCAGCATTGTCCTCCTCCTCCTCAGCCGGAAGTCGGAAAGCCTGAACGTGTCCGCTGGAGAGACCAACAGCGACAATAGGCTCAGACGGGTGGATGGCCTGGCAGAAGAGCTCGGAGCTGAGGGGGAGCTGGCAGAGATTCTCGTACAGCGACATCTTTGCGATTGGGGGACCGCTGGGCGGAGACGGTGGATTGGTCCTTGGTGATAGTGGGGAGTGTTGGTGAGGGTTTGAGTGGTTGGGGTTCGGGGGGGAGGTTTTGGAGATCTTTTTGGCGGCAGAATTGGTCTCACCGCTTTTGGGTGGGCGAGGCTGGGAATTATTTTTCTCTTGGCGTTGACGACAATCTCTGAAATGCGCGAAGGGTCCTATTTTGCAGTTTGGGCGTGAAATGTGTAGATATCTCTGGGTTATTATGGTAGGGTCTTCATGAAAGATGGAGTCAGGCTGAGGATGATCTATATGAAAGGTCGGGTACTCAAACAAAGAGAATTCCAATGGCTCGTACAAAAATTTCACATGATCGGTTATCACATTCTTCCAGTCAGATATTTTCAACATGTGGTTACGAGCATTCTATGGAATAAACAGCTATGCACATCCCAGAAACATAACAGTAACAGTCCATGGAACCAGCCGTGTCCAGGGAAATCTCCCAATGAACGTAACCATCACTCCAAGTTGAACTTCCACCAGATAAACACAACCATAGTCAAACCGAAACTTCCCAGTCTCACCATACTTCCTCACAAACAGCTAATTCTTCCTCACAACCAAGCATCAAGCCCAGCCTGCAATGAAAAAAGAAGACAAAAGCCTGTCAGACATCCATCACCACCCACCCAATCCACGCGCCCGAAGGCAGACCGCAAGACCGGGACAAGATCATCACCACTCTCTAATACAGCCGCCTCTTGCGAGAACAACCGCCACGCTTGCGCGCAGAGCGAGAGTATAAGGTATCACTCTTGGGCAGTGAGGAGATAAGTCATCAACCAGGTTGGAATCTGTGGCTTTCGTGAGAAACACAGTATGGGGATGTTTACTAAAGAAAATGATTCCATCTGGTGAAGGTGTTAGCTGGTGTTCAGATATAATCTGTTTGACTGGCAACTCTTGTGTGAGTGAAGTCGGAGCTGGGAGGGTAGACTCACGAAGTAAAATCGACATGAAAAGAAAAGAAGAGAATTTGGGGGGGAAAGGGAGTTTATATATCTTTTCTCGCGTCGCGCTAGTCGGGGTAGGCGAGGCTGGCGCATTTTCCAGATTGAGAAAATTTCGGGGTTGACTTGGTGATTGATGGAGCAAACTGTGCAAACGCTGCAAACTTAGAGCAAACTGTGGAAATGGGAAATGGGCAAGCGGACAAACGGGGCAAACTATACGGAGAATGATCATAAGTAAGAATAAAGGGTCATAAGGGTTCATAAGGTAGGTACAAGTGGATCGAGAGCGCAGAAAAAAGAGTGAGAATGAAATGACGAGGTGGATATTGTTATATGAGGAATCAATCAGTAGAAAAAGTGAAACTAGAAAAATGGGATTCTCTCGTTGCACAGACAAGCCAGAAAAGTTCAAATCAAATCAAATCAAATCATTCATTCGATCCTGAAATCCAGACTCAGCCGTCGTCTCTATCTAATACATCCAAATAAACGCCAGCATGGTATCATCCCTTCCCTCCCTCGATCAATATAATCGGCCGTTAAATCACCCCAAATGTACTCCCACCATTCCCCCTTCCCTCCCCTGGCTTAAACATAAGCCCTGCTTCCCTCCCCACTCCTCCTGCTGCCCCTGCTACCCCTGCTTCCCCTCCTCGACCTATGCCCATGCCTGCTCCCATGGCTCTCCCTCTTCACCACCACCACCTCCTCCTTATGCCCCCCATGCATAAACGCCAACATACTCGTAAAGAAAAAGAACAAACAATTCATAATCGACAGCGCCCAGCTCGCCTTAAGCATCGCACACGTCTTACTCAACGGAATCCCATACCCCCCAAACCTCACGCTCCCCAGGAGCGCAAAGCTCGCCGTATACGAAGTCGTCGAGGTCAGCCCGGTACAGTTATCCCCGGAGATGCCGCGGAGGGTGTAGATCCCCCCGATGAAGGCGCCGACGAAGGCGAGGTCGACGAGCGCGACGAAGCGGGCGTTGTTCTTGGAGCGGTGGTAGGTGAAGAGCGTGCCGATGGCCCAGACGACGGCGAGGACCACGACGATGAAGAGGACGAGGATGGCGTCGGGGGTGAGGGCGTTGGCGGTTACGTAGAGGTGGATGAACCAGGATAGCATGCCTACTGCTGGGATCTGGGGGGGGATGTTAGCTAGTTGTTCGAGGAGGAGGTGGGTAGTATGTATGGAGGCAGCAAGGGAGGACGTACGAGGGTGAAGATCTGGGAGAAGCGCCAGAAGGCGAAGAAGAGTCCGAAGAGCATTGTGAGTGGTTTGTAGATGTGAAAGAGGGTGGTGTGTTGGTGATCGGAATGATCGGAAGTGATGTTGTCGAGGTCGCAGTGCAGGTGTTTGCGACGACGGATCAGGCGCCTTCTTGTCGCGCTTGGCTCACCGCCTAGGTATACTGAAAAGGACGAATGAAGCCTTCAGTCTATTTGTGGTGTCGAGTTTGTATTGTACTCGTTGTTGCGTCGATAGACTCTCAAACCGGTATTCTCACTTCGCAGCCTCGCAGTAGTGTTGAGTTACTGATAAGACAACTTCACGATGCGACAGCAATGAGAGACAGTGTATAAAATATCTCGAGCGATAGATTTATGAAGAGAATAGATAAGTGAAGGTAGTACAGGAAAGATAGAAGAAGAAGTAGAAGAGTAGGAAGAGGGAATAAAAGCTGCAGGTCGAACGAGCCACTTACATATGTCGCTCCCCGCCATCTTTTTCTTGTTGCAACCTTGGCTGGTTGGCGAGGATTTGGGGATGGGGATTTGCCAGGGAAAATGGGAAAATGGAGGGGTTGGCGGGGGATTTGGGGGTGGTTGGGGGTAGTGGAGCCAGGGGTTTTAGGGGATTAGCGAACACGCGAATATTACCAGCTGGCTCTAACTTTTCGAGGGGACGGATATTTATCTTTATATTATTTATATTATCTATATTATATTGTATATATTTATTACTACGGTATACATTAATATATAATCGATATATAATTGTTGTATTATTAGCGAGATGCTTCCACGTGGATGAAATGCGGGATTTCATCTCTAAGCCAGGTATAATCAATCACGTGATATCGAGTTTAATAAACCACGTGACCATAATTATAACAACTGGCAATGTGACACCAACAATCCCCTCATCCAACGTTCACAAACTACATAACAAATAAACATATTCAAAAGTCCAGGTTCGTCTCTTAATCCACAAAAAACCTGTCCATATTAAAACAAACAAACCCCTCCCTCATGGCCACGGCATCCACCTCCACGACCACCCCAACCTCACCCCCTACCAACCCCCTCCTCCACCTCGAACCCCAAACCCTCTACCTCCTCCTCTCCCGCCAACAAGTCTCCCTAAAATGGCACTGGTCGCTCTACATCCACGTCTCCCTCGCCTCCGGCGGCTACACGCAACACATCACGCGCGCCGACTCCCTCTGGATCCTCGACGCCCGCCGCACCCCTGACGCGAGCTACAACGCTGACATCGTGTGCGCGCTCGCGCTGACGTGGGTCGAGGCTGAGCTGGAGGATGCGCTCAAAGAGAGGGTGAGGCAGGTGCCGTTGGAGGATACGGAGAGGTGGGGTGGGCTGACGTGTCGGACGTGGGTGTTGAGGGTGTTGGAGGAGTTGGATGCGGAGGGGTGGATCTCGGTGAGGGTGGGGAGTACGGTGGAGGATGTGGAAGCGGAGGCGAAGGATGGGGCGGCGGCGGCGGCGGAGGGGGAGGGGGATAGGGTGTTGAGGAGTAAGCATGTTATTCTTTGAGTGGGTGGGGGAGGGGAGGGAGTAAGGCGTAGGGAGTAAGGCGTAGGGAGTAAGGGGTAGGGAGTAAGGCGTAGGGAGTAAGGGGTAGGGAGTAAGGGGTAGGGAGTAATGGGTTGATCACGGCTGAGGTTTTGCTATGGCAGGATTATGGCGGATATGATTTTATGACTATGACATGACACTACAATGAAAGTTTCCGAACCGCTTCTCCATTATCCAACTCCAAGCGCTAAACTCCCTCTCGCTCACCCCTGAATTAAAAAGTTACCCCCCTCATGTCCAACTCCACATTAAACTCATGACCCATACGGAAATACTTTCCAAATCCACCTCTCCGTCTTCAGCTCCAGATCAAACTCATGTCCCCACACCCCCCGATAAATCCCTACAGCCTCGTCACTCTTCGCCGTCCGCATTGCTTTCGTAAACTCCCAGTACGCCGGCATGAAAGACGCGCCCTCCACAATCCCCGACAACCGTCCCCCATCCACGAGCACATTAGAGAAGAAGAGATCTCCATGCGTAAACACCGAGTCATGGGACCGCGAAAACGCAGTCGGGATCTCATCCGTCAGGTACTTCATAAACTCGGTCCTACCTAAGAGGCGCATATTCAGGTCTCCCTCTGAGTTGTACGGGCCCGCATTATCTGAGAGGCGGTTGTCGTAGATAGATCCACCGGAGACATTGGAGTAGCGATATGGCGACGTGTTCTTGATCTTGTGCATTTGAGCGAGAATATTAGACAGGTCGGCGGCGAGCTGCGCGCGCTCGGCATACGAGGTGCGGTGGATGACGCTCTCGAGGCGCGTGCCGGGGACGCGGGTCATGATGAACCAGTCGACTGAGTCGTCGGTGAAGGTGTCGATGAGGAGGGGGGCAAGGATGGAAGGGGCTTCGCGCTCGAGGGTGCGGAGGGCGTGGACTTCGTTGTCTCCGGCTATGGTGCAGCGCTTTGCGTAGAGGCCAAAGGGGAGCTGCTGCACGACGTCGGAGATGTCGTGGCCGTATTTGGATTTTCCTTTTTCGAGGAGATGGCGGTAGCAGGTTATGCGGATGAATTTTGGTACGAGGAGCCAGAGGGTGCGGACTATGAGTTGCGTGCTGCGACTGAAGTATGCTGCACAGCACGCAACTCATAGTCCGCACCCTACGTTAGCACGTGGTATGTGATCAAGAGGGACAGGTGAACTCGCATTGGGATTGTAGAGGGCCCCAGCCGCCAGATATGCGCTCCTCAACATGGAACTGATGGAGGGCGTTGGCAAACTTGAAATGCGTCTTGAGGAGAAAGGGGCTTGGTAGAGGGAGCTGCTTTGGATCCTCGGTCTGTAGAGCGATTGTGTAAGGGGAGCCAGGGCCGCAGAACGATGATCTATCAGCAAGAAGGATATGATCATAAGGTTCTGGATATATTTCAAAAATGAAGTACTACCCAAATTAGTAAATGCCGATGACAATGTGCGGCAGTCGATTAGATATGCTCACCTTAGCCGTCAAGTCGTCCTTGCCTGTATCCTCATCAAGCTTGTCCCAACTCTTCGCACCGTGGATCCGAACCTGGAGATGCCCGTTTTTAAAGGCGTGCTGTACGCTTGGTGCAAGAAGCAATGCGTTTGCAAGTTTCCCCGGATCGGTTCTGTCTGAAACCATGTTCTGCAACCGCGCCACTCTCGACGGCGTCATGAACGCGTCCAGCAGCGACTTTTATGAGTGCTACATTAAATGCGTCAGTATTAAATAGCATGGCCTGTAGGAATAAACACAATACCTCAGCTCCATCCGCATCTACCAGCTCTGATAGAGCGGGCGGGATAATAAACGTTGGTTCCGGTTCATCGAGCTGTTGGCGGTCAGGTGGGGTTACGCAACACCTGGCAGGATCGCGACGAGCAACCAGGTCTCTAAGGGAAGCATCAAATGGCGTTTGGTGAGAGACTACTTGAGGTTTTAGTACTGGTCTCGACTTGCGGGAATGAATGGAGATACTCACTGACAGCTACCAGCTCATGCCAGTCCTGTTTGAGGACGCGCAAAGCCTCTTCCACCGGCCGGTCATCGCCACGTATCCTGTCGAGGACCTCCTGTGCCGCCAGGCTAGGTTCATATGCCTCTTTAACGAAATTTACGAGAATCTTATGTTCGATAGCAGTCAGGTCAGCCGTCTCAATTGCGCTTATCGCGGTGTCGACGGTTCCATCAGCCATGGCGCTATGGCGGCAGTATCGCGGCTGTTGTTCAACCTCAAAGCAATGTAACGACGCAAATACAATAATATATACAAGGGCTGTATCGCATAGAAGTAGGTCCCGCCCCGAGATTAATTGTGTGTCGTTGTTTATAGCAAGAGATGGTAAAGTTTCATTTCGAAGGTACCGTGTATTACTACTGTACGGTGCCTCGCCATGCCAAGTAACAGTACGGTCTCCTTCTACAGGCACTCCTTGAAGGGATGGGATTAGTAGGATCCAGGAGACTTTTTGGGGTGGTGGAAAGGGATGTCGATTCGAGATTGAGAAGGGTAGAGCGAGGGTTGCGAGATTGTATCTACTGTAGCAACATATCTATCTGGCCAGAATTTAGTTTTTTATTATATCTATTGCTGTTTGGCTGCGTTGACTTGAATTGAATACCATTCCCATCATCACATCTCATAGCTACACCTCCCGATCCCCTTCCGCGACGAAACTTTTCCTTTAACCAAGAGCAATCTTCTTCAACTGGTCCAAGCTGCCGTTGAACACATCCGAGTCACCACCATAAGCATAAGCATCGCTGTTCTGCCAGATAGTCTGGTACGGCCATCCCGCTGGCATAGTGCCGGGCGAGGAGGCGTACCTAGCCAGGACAAGCGGGCAGGTGCTTGCGAACGCCGCGCTGTTGCCAGTGCACTGGGTCCACCAATCAGTGGTCGTATAGATCATTGGATAGACGCCAGTCTTGGTGTGGTAGGTGTTGACGAAGTCGTGGATCCAGGCCACCATCGACGCGGCGGAGAGGCCGTAGCAGGTTGCGCCGGAGGGGTTGTACTCGATATCGAGCATACCGGGGAGGGTGATACCATCCTTGGACCAGCCGCCGCCGTGGGCGAGGAAGTAGTTGGCCTGCGCGGCGCCGGTGGAGGAGCCGGGGTGGGCAAAGTGGTAACCACCGCGGATGAAGCCGGCGTTGGTGGCGCCGGTGTACTGGGAGGAGAAGGTGGAGGAGATGAAGGTGGTTCCTTCGGTGGCCTGGGGGGTTCGGTTAGTTATTAGGTTCTCTGCGGGTGGTGGGGTAGGTCTCACCTTGATGATCACAAAGCGAGCTCCGCTGGCGTAGGCAGCTGCGAAGTTGACACTGGGCTGGTAGCCAGAGATATCGAACCCCTGGACGGTGGCACGCTTCTCGAGCGGCGCCGGGGTGGCAGCGGCAAAGCCGAGGATGGAGGCGACGGCGAGGGCAGAGAGCTTCATGTTGGCGACCTGCTTTGAATTGTGGATACAACAGAGGAGGGCTGAAGAACCATAATTGGGGGAACAACAAGCTTATATATACCCGCTGATCCACACGGCCCAAGAAGTCACCGAATTCAGGGGATAAAAGCTCCGAATGTTCATAAGCTTGCAGCCATCCCAGCTCTGGCGCAGATCTATACTACCTCCCTGCTACGTCAAATTCACAGCCCGTCCATGACACCCGTCAATTCGCCCCCTCTATCCTTGTGCGAGCTGACGATCGGCACTGCCTCTGCCGATCTCTCGCTTGCTAGACAGGTCTGGAAGGTGGATATGGCAAGCACGCGCACATGCCATAGGACGACGGTGCAAGGCATACAGAAGCTTGAGGAGTTCCTGCCATGGCACCTAGCGTATAGTATAGTTCGGCCCATAGAAAAAGCAAAAGTCGCCGAGCGACTGACAGCGGCGCGATTCAGACGTGAACGGGGTTGTAGATCCCATTGGCAGACTTCCGGGTCACTGTTGCCGTTATGAAATGGTCTATTGCATCACATAGTCCGTTGTGGCTGGCGTTGAGGCGCATTATAAATATGATTTTGGTTGCATCCTTGAAGTGAAACAGAAGATCACTACGGGGAAACCAAGATTGTAAGACGGACATTTGGTCTTGCCGTGCCGGGTTGCTGGATCGTGCCGCATTTGAGGCGCATGACAGGTTCAATTGAAGGAGATGGCTGATTCAAGCATTTGCGGCGTTTCGGGAACGCGGGAAGAAGGAAGCCATTGACGATTTTTGAAGGGGCGACCTGGTGTTGTCGAATCTCTTTGAGGGAAAGAGCAAAGGTCAGCCACAGCAATCAAAACACGTGATTGAAACTCAGCTGGAAGAAGATGCTTAAAGTCTGGAAGCATCACAATGAAATAAAATATGTAGAAAGAAGTATTATTTATTTATTGATGAATCGTTCATGATAAACTGTCAGAAGGCGTGATGTATTCACGTGTTGTGAATTAGCCGCATCTGACACCCATCGCGTCTGGCGCGGCTAAGCGAATATCAAAGTCGCTCCTCCCCCCAAAACACCACTAAAAGCACCATTACTGACATTTCTGTGCCTCACCAGAATGGAGACCCCGAGGTTTTCTAGATCCTATCAAACTGACGCGTGCAGCGTGTCGTTACGCTAACAGGCCGAGCTAAACCTCCCATTGTTGGGGGGAAGACGAGCAATTGGCGCTTATATGGGGTGTTGGCGGCTGTGGAAGTACAGATGCTGGGAATCACAGCAAATTTTATATGGGATTCCCAACTTGAGTACTTCAGCACAGAACTGAAATCCTGTACTTTGCTCTCACCCCACTCCCACTGCTGTTCATGTACCGTTCCAGGGCGTCTGCCTATTAACGCGGTCTGTCCCATAAATCACTCTCCTTCTTGTAACCGTGAACAAAACAATCCAGACATTCAACGTGTTTTGTTGCATGAAGAATACTCTTTTATAACATTCACACAGCAATCCAAACGATGCCAAGACATTTCTCATATTCACCATACCACACACGTGACTTTCAGACAATAATGCCCCTATTGGCTGGAGATACTGCAGCTTACATCCATTTAAGTCCAGAATCCGACTGATCGCCGTCTCACCACCTCGTCGTCGTCAGACATCAGCCTGGTAAATTGCATTATTCCATAGTTTGCCGTGCTTACGCAGATGCTTACTGAACTATAGATATTCTCCCCATCCCTCCCCAGCAACTTACAACCTCAAAAACCCAGACGTTCCGCCCTATATCCAATCCCTGCACTCCCAAACCAATCTAATCATGCACATCATCCTCACCGGCGCCACTGGCCTCATTGGCACCGCCACCTTGCACCACATCCTCTCCGCCCCCAAGGTCACCAAAGTCACTATCCTCTCTCGCCGCCTGGTTCCCCTCGCCGCCAATAACCCAAAAGTCGTGACCATCCTCCACGAGGACTACACGTCCTACCCCCCTGCGCTTCTGGCCGACCTCAAGGATGCAGAGGCCTGCATCTGGGCTCAGGGAGTGTCAATTAATGATGTCTCGAAGGAGTGCGTATCCATTCCTGTAACTATGTCCAGTGGGGCTAGCTAATCTGATGACGTGGTAGGGAATACGAGAAGATCACAGTTGATTACCCACTCGCGGCTGCAAAGGCGTTTGCAGGGCTGAATGACCCATTCACCTTTGTTTACGTCTCTGGTACACCTCCCCCGCCACGTCTCTCTTAACCGTTAATAACCAGCTAACCCCCTCCCAGGCGAAGGCGCAGCCGTAACCCCCACCCGCTCAACCCCCAATTACGGCCTCGTCAAAGGGCGCGCCGAAGCTGCCCTCCTCGCTCTGCAGAAAGTCACCCCATCTCTCCGCCATTACTCCGTGCGCCCAGGTTATGTTGATCCCAGCGGCCATCCGGCGCAGGAGTTTATGCCGGCGAGGAAGTGGTGGTTGAAGGGGTTGGAGACTGTGGTGGCGCCGCCGCTGAGGTGGTTCTGGAGTGGTATGGTGAGTCCGGCGGGGGAGTTGGGAGAGGTGTTGACGGATCTTGCGGTTGGCGGGGGGGAGAGGTTTGATGAGAGGGAGAAGGGGGTTGAGGAGGAGGGGAGGGTCTTGGGGAATGTGTGGTTGAGGAAGTTGAGTGCGATGAAGGCTGCGAGGGGGAAGGGGAGCGAATGAGTTTATGGAACTGTGTGGAGAGATGGGAAGAGTAGCTAATGTCAACGATGATATCACTGAATGATTAAGGGTATTTATATTACTTATTATTGCTGTAAATAAGACTGTTCTGCGTAGTCCTTCAGATGTTTGAGTGACACGATTACTCCGACCACCCTCTCTTTGACTACCTCACCACCGGCGTCAATTTCACATACAGTGGCCCTTTTTGCCACAACGAAAATATCTTCTGGCTCGCCCAGTTATTGCTCTCCGGTGCCAGCTCCATATCAAAATTCCAAAGCACCTGTGCGAGGATTAGACGCATCTCGGCGTAGGCGAGACTACCCACAGTTAGCGAGCGGACCTCAATGTTTTGCATCATAACCATTTCGCTCCAGACACGAGAGGCAAAACTTACTTTCGGCCCACGCAATTTCTGGGTCCGAGACTAAACGGTTGCAGCGCGTGCTTATTATCTGAAGCAAAGCGAGGATCGTCGAGGAAACGTTCGGGGATGAACGAGTTAGGCTCTCGGAAGTTGGCTTCAGAGCGGTAGGTTGACCAGTTGTTTACTGACACCGATGTCTAATTCGCAAGTAGTCAGCCATCAATACAGTCTCCGCCAACACTGGGGTCCAACACATACCCCTCCCGGAACCCATCGGTCGTTGATAACATCTCCATCACCAGGAACACGGCGAGGTAGCCCCGTCGGTACAGGCGGATACATCCGAAACGACTCATCCAAGACCGCTAGCATATATTCTAGGCCATTCACCCCAGCCATATCAATATCCTCTTCTACCTTAAAAGCCTCTCTAATCTCCCTCTGCAACTTCTTCATCACCCTCGGATTCTTAAGAAGATGATACGTCGCGCCCGACAACAGCGTCGCCGTAGTCTCCGACCCCGCCACAATCAACAGGGTAGAATTAGTGATAATCTCCGGGACCTTCATCCCCTTCTCATCATTGTGCCGGAGGATATGGCTCATGAAATCCGGCCTACTAGTCCCCTGCTCAAGACGCTTCATGACTTTCTCCTTCGTCAACTTCATATTATCCGTCCTACTCTTCAGCAGCCCCTTTGGAACAAGCACTATCATCATCCATTTTATCCCATAGCGCTTTAACGAACTCATAAAAGCCCCAGCTTTGATACTGGCGAAGAGCATGCTGATCCACGGGTGATACGTGCAGTTCTCCAGACACCCGAAGGACTCCCCGAACGCAAGGTCGCCGATGAGGTCAAAAGTCGTCCAGTTGTACCAAGCTACCATATCGAGGGGACCGGTACTGGAGCGCTCATGCAGGCGCTGGATCAATAGGTCAACGTACCCCTTGATCAGAGGCTCCTGCTCGCGCAGTGCTTTGTCCGAGAAGGCGTGGGCGATGAGACGGCGTTGGCGGGAGTGATCAGCGCGATTGGCTGTGATGAGACTATGTGCGCCGTTGGAGGGGGTGTTGTAGAAGGACATGTCCTTGTTCATGGGCTGGTGGCCTTGGCGGTGGCTGTATATATCTTTCCAGGCATCGGCGTTGGTGAAGGAGAGCTCGTCGGGGGCTATACGTACTACGTCGCCGTAGGTGGTGTGGAGTTGGTGGCATCTGTAGGGGAGTTGGCCGGTGAGGTGATAGTAGACGTAGGTGAGGCGGGTGGCGGCGTGGGATTTGGGGCCGGGGTAGGATGAGAGGGGGTGGAAGTAGATGTTGTATATCACGTAGTAAGATGCGTAGAGGATGGTCTGATGGGAATTAAACAAGATTCTATGACTTGAGGCTATTTCGCCTTGACTTACTAGGACAGCGAGGCAGCCAGGGATGAGAGCGTAAAGCGGTGGGATATGCGTGTTGAAGACATCGAATTGAGGCGCCATGATGCGCAACCCAAACAGTGGATTATAATTTCAGGTTCTTGCGCCAAACCAAGCTATAAACTAAACACGAGTAATCCAAGATTCAAGACGAGTGAGGTTCCGTATGACCCTGGGTAAGCATCCAAACATATATGCCGCCGTAAGATCGAAATTGTGCAAAATCGGCCGGAGTCCCGTTTCCCCGCAAAGCAAGGCGCAAAGCAAGGGAGCTCCATATCGCGACATGGTTAAATTCCAGGTCAACCCCAACGTTTCAGACGTTAAAACAGATGCTCATCGGCGATCTCTGCACATCTCCATTGCACAAATGTATAATTTTTAATGAAGCTATAGTAGATAGTAAATGCTGTAGCTATGAGTGGGAGATCGGAGGATCGACCACGACATGATGCACGGCGGGGTAATAACTCGCTCGTTGTACCACCGACGTGCAGCTTCAGTGCATATTATACCAAAATATGCATTTTTATAGTGCGCACAACTGCCGGGATCGCGGACGGGACGGACGGCATTTTGTAGATGCAAGGAATCAACGCCGTTTTATTGGGTGGCTGTCTTGGCTCGCTGCTGTGATTTGTTGAGGCCGGCGATGGCAGCGGATGTCAACATATCCTGGCGCAGCTCCAGCTTCCTTGCATGCATTTTATAAAGTACCCAAGAAATATACAGATCCGAGGCAGCCGTGGCCATGGTGACTCGTGATCAGTTAATAACAATAAGCCTCTTGCCATTGATCAGATAACTGCCGGGTTGTCCAAACGGCATGGGAAGTTGTCTAGTGTGCCTTCCGAATTGCTCAAAGGATCTACTGGATGGTTGGCTACTAATCAGAGAATCAAATGAGCTTAAGGAAGGAGCCTGTGGATAATAGGAATGTTTTGGTGGTGAGACCTGAGCTGGTGACAAGAAATCTATGACGATAAAACTAGAATGACATAAATCCACGATGACAAGAAAGCTGCATCGACAGAAACCTGGGTAGTAGATATAAGAGACCAGTGCATTTGATAGATTTGTCAAAATTTGCCTACATCGGGCTACGCATAACGCCTTGTCAGCTTTGTTTTGTATCTGTTTCTTCGTTCTCTTTGTCTACAGACATAAACAATGTGGTGGGGGCTATATAGCACATAATTGCTTTCTCCCACACAATATGGAAGAAAAATAACCGCGCTTGGTGCCATGAGACCTTTCTTTTGAAAAATAAACTCTGATTATGAAACTAATACAAAGGAGCGCTGTCCAAGGTAGGTTGTATGATCCGTGTACATTTTGCCTTTATCAACGGAGTATTCTAACTTTGAGATGACATGACATCCAACCAGTTCTCTTACAGTTCCGCGCATTCCAATCCCAAATTCACTGACCCTCGCCATCAACTCCTATCCGCCTCCCCTCCCCCTCCCAACCCCCCTCTACCACCATCAAAGCAGCCAACCCATCTACCTCTTCTGCTTCTTACAGCAGCATCGCTTACGTCCCCACCCACAGTCCGTCTTCTGCATATTGTCGAACTTCCAAGGATTGCAGTAGTCCTCGCACTTGCCAGCCCACGAAAAGCTGCAGCTGCTGCGGTTCCAGCATGTGCCGCGCTCCTGGAGCTCGAGGCCGCTAGAGGCGGGTGCGGATTGGTCGGCGGCTGGGGCGGCGAGGGCGCCGGTTGCGGCGGCGGCGGCGAGGAGGAGGATGTTGAGCTTCATGTTTGGGTTTTGGGTTTTTTGAAGGAGGAAGTGAGGTTGTGTTGGTTTGAAAGTTGTTTTGGGGTGATTGTTGTGTGTGTGAGGAGATTGATGCTGTTGATGCCTCCATTATCTCGGGGCAGGAAGCCATATTTATATCCATTCCACCCTTCCATCCACATGCCCGATTCCAACACTCGACGTAAGGTGAAGTTTCCCAAGCTACACAATCTGCCTCGTGAATCCGACCGTCATGCCCGTCTTACAGTCTCACAGTGTCTCACTCGCCGTCGCCCAGCCCATCGTGGCCGTCATGCCTCACAGCTGAGCACTATATGGCACGCGCGATAGGGCTGTTCCACGCGACACAGACAACCGATATTGGTCTCTGGGGTCAACCTCTGTTTCTCTTGCCACAACAGAATGTTTTACCAGCGATCTCTGGCTGACTTCCCCACATCGCTACAGGCGAGGCTGACGGGGCGATGCAGGTGCCAATCGCGGGGAAGCGATCTGCGCGCGCCCATCGCATATCCTTGTCTGTGGCTGCAAGGGGAAACATAATTAGAGCTCTGTTTTCTGGGCAGGAGAAGGGATAGGCTTTGAATGGTGGCGTGGTGGTGGCGCCGAGGGCTTGGGAGAGCTCGGCATGGGCGCAGCTCGGTTCAGCCCTTAGTGATCGACAGTGAGCGCCGCGCCGCTGTCAATGAATGCCGCAACGGGTGCTAATTTTGTCTCCATTTATAGCCGTCTGACTGATGGACGGTGTTGTTATTTTGTCCGAACGACTGAATAAAGTAAGTTGGTCCAGATTGCTGATAGTTGGGAGAAATACTCGAAACTTCTCATTGTGAGACTCACGATCACGTGCCAAGGTACGCGTACCGGACAGGAGTTGACATCCGCGATTGAGATTCTGAGTAACTGGCTTATTAATTATTGCCCTGTGTGACTGAGGGCCGCTATGCCGTTTAGAGTTGCTGTGAACTCTCAAAGCTGCAATAGGGGTGGGGTGGTTCCTGGCCTTTCGGTGGCTGTTATCATGACGATTGAACGTGGTAATCGACGAATAAGGAATCCCATAATTATACTAACTTTGGCTCAAGTACACCCTATTTTCTATGACGCTCACATATATGAAAATTAAATGTATTTTTAAACATTCGCGTTGCCTATTAAGATGGGATGGGTGATGAACTATTTGTTTATTTATTATTATATTGTTTTGTGTTATTTTTTTTTAAAGAAAAAAGAGTAATATGGCACCTACGACAAGAAATCAAGCGCGAAAGCAGTCAGAGACCCATTCGGAATTAATACCCCTGAGGAAACTGGAAGATAGAAGAGAGCATTCACTAAGCCCCGATCGAGTTGAAGAATGTGCGACAATGTTCCCGGCATTTGTTACCTCTCCCGTCCCATTAAAGGTTAGTTAGTACGGAAATATCGAGCCACTTTCCCAGTCAAGAATATCTCGATTAATCTTCCATGGCTAAATTAACCTCTCAGATGCTGGATGAGTTACTCGTCGAGTCCAGGAAAGGTACATGTGCCATGCTCGGGGACGACGAAGGCATACCTGGCGACTGCATTTGCATCCTCGATACCAAGGACTTGAACTCAGTGGAGCACGGCTCCCGGACGCCAATGCAACCGTTCGAGTCTCCTTTCATCGGCTGGACAGATGACGAATGTCGGTCTTGGATGAATGAGCATCGGCATCCTTACTTCGCCGAGTACAACTTTATAGTGCTTGACGAGGATACGGTTAAGAATAAGACATGCCGTGTTGGATACACATACGTCAATGAACCGATGGGCGATAAGATGCTAACTACCGATTTCTTTACTTGTATGCACAATATGCCGGCTATAGATGTAGGCATGTTACTATGGTATGAGATCGAGCTTCTTGGGACTGATGAAGTCGACGATAGAGCAGAGTTCGAGGAGTCCCTGAGGGAAGCATATGAGACATATGTGAGGATGGAATCGGAGCGGAGTGAGAGGGATCGTAGGAGATTTCCTCACGCGCCCCCACATACCCCCAAAGGCCTATAGGCGTATATGATACTACAAGATGTTACATGAGATATATATATTAACAAGCGGAGGCCATGATCGATGGACCTAATCCCGTTCCCTCAATCAGTGGGTCGTCAAATCTCAGTCCTCCATCATCCCCACCAGCCGCGTACGCCCAGCCGCGCTCGCCAAGACCTCGCAGGGGTACGAACGCAGCAGCCGCACCCGCTCGCTTCCCCATCCGAAATGTGTTCACTACTTGGCCTCCATCACGCCTGACGCCCGCATACCACGAAGCTTCCAACAACCCAATTGCATTCCCCCACGAATCCCAAAATGCGATTCCTCCATCTCCTGCCGTCGCTGCTGCTAGCCGGCACGGCTCTCGCGGCTGAGAAACCCTGGTCTTTCAAGGACGCGACTGTCTCTGTGGTTGGGAAGGGTAGTCAGGGTACCTCTAAGGAATCGTACGTCTACCTCTCCAAGAGCTCCAATTCCCCCAATTCATCCCCCCCAACACCCCAATCCTCCCCCCTCAATCTCTCCCGATACACCCAAAACAGCAAAACTAACACACCCAACCAGCCTCTCCCCCTCCAAGCCCCTCGCCAAACCCCTCGCCCTCGGCCCAGCAGGAACCCTCAAGCTCTCCCTAACCACCACCTCCACCACGCCCTCCCGCCCCCACCAAGCCTTCCTCACCCTCACCGACCCCACCACCGGCCTCTCCACCTCCTTCGCCCTCCAAACCCGCACCACCGGCTCCGCAACGCTCGAGCTCCCCTACGCCTCCCTCCCCTCCGCACTCCTCTCCTCGCCCTCCCTCTCCGCCTCCCTCGTACTCGGTTCTTTCGGCTCTGCTCCGGCGTCCGAGACTCAACTCTTCAACATCGCACTCAGCGCCGACGAGACTCTCGCGCAGGAAATCGAGAAGCCAGTCCGCTACGGGAAGTTGGGCGAGATCCACCATATTTTCGCCCCCGAGCAGAGTAGCCCACCCAGGGTGATAAGTGTCTTCTTCGCCCTCGCGGTACTTGCTACGCTCCCCGTGGTGGTGGGTGCGTGGGCGCTAGCGGGCGGGAATGCGGGACATGTTGGTACAGCGCTTGCTGCGGCGCCGGTGAGCCATGGGTTGTTTTTTGGGAGTCTGGTGGCGATGGAGGGGGTGTTTGCTATGTATTATTTTAGTTGGAGGTTGTTTGAGGTGCTGCCGCTTGCCGGGGTGGTGGGGGCGGTGGCGTTTGTGAGTGGGAGTAAGGCGTTGAGTGAGGTGCAGGCGAGGAGGGTGAGGGGGGAGAGGTGAAGTGGGGGGGAGGGGTGTAAAGATATAGATTGATGGGGGTGACGAGGGGAGTTGAAAATGGGGATATGAGAAAGGGAAGAGATAGATGGGGAGGTCGGTTGGGGGATAGATAGGCTGTATTGCTATGTTTATACTAGGCACGCATGATATCACGTTTGCTTTGATGGATGGTTACGTTGCTGGTGAACCTGCTCTGATCATACATACAACGTTGCTGGTGAGCCTGCTCTGGTCGTACATGCGACTACTGAACCATAGACTTCAATCACAGCGATTTACGAAATAGAAATCCAGCACAAGTACAATAGTTGCTACAGAGCTTTTATCTACCTGGTATACCCTAAACAGACACTCTCATCTACACCTACAATCTCCTCAAGATATCCGCGACCACCTCGCTCGTCTTAGCCGTCCCCCCAAGATCAGGCGACAAATACTTCCCCTCCGTCAAATTCGCATCAACCGCCTTATAAATCAACGCCGCCGCCTTCTCCTCCTTCAAGAACTCCAACATCAACGCCACAGACCTAAGCGTCGCAATCGGATTCGCGATATCCTGCCCCGCGATATCCGGCGCACTCCCATGGCAGGGCTCACCGATCGCAAACCCTTCCCCAACATTGGCAGATGGCACGAGACCGAGCGATCCAACAAGCGCCGCAGCACCGTCGGAGAGGATATCACCGTACAAATTCGGCGCGACAATGACGTCGTATGTCTCCGGCTGGCGGAAGAGCTTGTAGACCATCGAATCGACGATCTGCTCCTCGACGCCCACGCCCTTGAATTGCGGCAGCGCGAGGGCTTCGCGGCAGGTCGTCCGGAAGAGCCCGTCGGTTTGGGAGAGGACGTTGGATTTGTGCGTGATTGTGACGAGCGGGGCGGAGTGGATTGATGGTGCTCCAGCGTCACGGATGCGCTGGCGCGATTGCGCGATCTCGGCGGCGATGACGGCGATGCGGTGGGAGGCGCGCTGGGAGATCCGCTTGATTGCCTCGGCGACTAAAGAGCCGTCGGGGGCAGTGAAGGTGCGCTCCTCCTTGACGTAGAGGTCCTCTGTGTTTTCACGGACGATGACCATATCAATCGGGTTCGCGGCCGTCATGACGGATTTGACCGGTCTTACATTGGCGTAGAGGTCGAGGCGCTTGCGTAAGGCGACAATGGGGGAGGAGTAGCCCTTTACGGCTGTGGAGGGGGATTGGACGGCGCCGAAGAGGGCACCGTCGCATTCGTGCTTTAGGACGTCGACGGTCTTGTCGGGGAGTGCGGTGCCGGTTTGCTCGAAGGTCTCGAAGCCGGCTTTGAGGTCGACGAAGTCGAATTTGAGTCCTAGGCTTGCGGGGAGGGCTTCGAGGAGACGGCGGCCGGCGGGGATGACTTCTTTGCCAATGCCGTCACCTGGGATGAGGCCTGAGGGGGTCAATTAGCTCGGTGGTGAGAGTGAAAGGGGGGAGGAGGGGGGAGGTTACCGATTCTGAGGGTTCTGGTTGCCATTGTGAGGGTTTGATGGAGGTAGAGCTGTTTTGAAGCTGCGATGTCGGGGAGAGGGAAGAAATGTTATGTTGCGTAGCTATGAAGTACTATGGGAGCGGGTAATAGATATTCCGGATGAGGCCATCGGGTGTGTGTCGGCTGTTGAGTACATCCGTGTTTGTACTTTTTGTTAGACAACGCGCAATCACGTGATTGTTTCGCCTGGAATCCCGTACTGTTCCGCTAAGTCTGCTGGTCTACTCTGACTACACGCAATCACGTGACTGTTTCGTCTGAAATCCCGCACAGTTCCGCTGTTCGACTGGCTGTAGACCCCTACTATGCAAACTACATGTCTAATACGGCAGACCAGAGATACCACTTCCGCATTTATTTACTCCCTGAGAAACCCCACAGACCCCTATTCCCTTGCTCCAGACACCACCAGACAAGTACCCCTCACAGCCATTTTGTATGCTAAAGGTACTTGCTCCCCTACTATTTACCCTCCCATATTCGAGACACCAGCCGTCTCGAAAGACACAATAGAAGCCACATGCTCCCAACTTTCCCATACTAATTTACTCATTTACTCTTATAATTTCAGTTCTAATGCTTCATATCTATTCTATATAATATCTGTCTTCTATATATTTTATCTACGCTGTTGCTCAAATATCCTGTTACTTCTGCGCATCTACCCGCCCGCATACTCCTCTCCCTCGCGTCCTGCGCGTCATACACTGTTTGCTCGAGCTCCCGTTTGCGACGAATCAGCCGCCGAGGACCAGCCTAAGGAGAGTAGCCAGGGGATATTGCCCGCCATTTCAATACCACCACCACCAACTCCTCCAACCATTATATTTACCCAGAGAAGGAAGAAAGATATATAAACCGCATGAGAAGAAACTACACCAGTCTCAGCGTCATCGATCATCTGTGGTCTCTCTCTACCATAATTCCCTTATCCAGAGAGCTCTCTTCGCTGGGCCGTTCCTACATACGCCGCTATGTCTAGCCAGGGGCGATCCGCCAGCAGCGGTGTCCGCAATCTCCGTGCTATGTTCGAGAACAAAGACGACTCAACAACATCGCCACCACAACACAGAGGCCGTTCTCCAGCGCCATCAATTGGTATGTGAATACCTTTGTCTGTCTGATTCAGATGCTGGGGTCGCCGCTCACAAAGAGCTTCCTTGTCCCGTTCCTGTTGCTACCCCTGCTTCAGCTCTTCACATACCCTGCAACAGCTCCCCCCTCGCGTTCCTCAACAGCCCAAGCTCAAGCTTCAACCTCGAAGCTGCTCTACAACTTTAATAAAATTCAACTGACACGGGGTAAGCAGGAAATAACAGTGCATCGCCACGACCGCTCTCGAAAGTACGAACGAGCTTTGTCGCAGTCGAGCGAAACGGACAAACAGGCATACAGTGGGGCTTAAGGAAAGAAACAACAACAATCGTCCCACCCGAAGATTCCACCATGTCACACCGACGAGGAAGCTTCGCCGAGAACGAAGCCACCGACCCCGACGTGGTAATTGAGAGGAAGAAGTCCATCCAGGCGGAATTCAAGGCACGCAAGAACAGCATCGACGTCTCCGAGACCATCCCCGAGTTCGCCCTCGAGATGCCATCCGCTGCAGGGAGCAAGCAGGGGACTCCGACCATTGAACCGAAGGATCCTATACTACCTGCTGCGCATACCCCGACGGGGAACCCAGATAAGCCATCGGCGGTGGAAGAGCGTAATGCAAAGCTCCTCCCAGCCGATGTGAAGAGCGCAGCTGTAGTTTCTGGTGGCAAAGCTCTGAAGGGTGCCTCGGGAGTAGGAGAGGACCTCAAGGGCGTCACAACTGGCAAGCTGAAGACCACCTCCTCAGCCAAGCCAAGCGACAAGGCAAGCAAGTCCTCCAAACCCGCTCCAATCTCGACAACCAAAACCTCCACCCTGTCGAAATCAAGCAAATCGCCCGCCCTCCCAAAAACCCCCCTCTCCAGCACCTCCACCAAGTCAAGCACCAGGACCACCAAACCCGCGACCGAAAAACCCACCGCCAGGCCCTCCACAACAACCACAACAACCACCAAGCCCACCGCAGCGCCAACAACCCGCACCACCAACCCAGCCACCAAAAAACCCGCCCTCCCATCCTCAACAGGTTTCATCAAGCCGCGCCCAAAATCCCCCACCAAACCCGCTAAACTACCCTCCTCCCTCACCGCCCCAACCTCCTCTTCCCTCTCCAAACTGACCGACGACGCGCGCCGCACCAGCGCCGGGTCGACGCGCTCACCCAGCCGTGTCAGCGCGAGTCAGAAGTCGGAACAGTCCCGCAAGGCACCGAGTAGTAGTAGACCATCCCTTGGCCCGCCACCAGCTGCGGCGGGGGGGTTGAAGAAACAGGCGTCGAGACAGAGTTTACCGAAGGCGGTGGCGCCGGCGGATGAGGGGTTTTTGGCGAGGATGATGAGGCCTACGACTGCGTCGGCGGGGAAGACGCATGATAAAGCTGGGACGCCGCCTAAGCCTAAGGTGGTGGGGGCGGGGGGGGAGAGGCCGGCGACGAGGAATGGACAGAATGCCAGGGGGGGGAGTAATGGGAGTCCGGTGGCTGTTGTGAGGCCGCCTGTGCCAATGGTGGGGGCGGTGCCGACGTTGAAGGCTTTGGGTGCGAAGGCTACGGCGGGGAAAGGGGGAAAGAAGGCGGAGGTGCCGGTAGCGAAGAAGGAGGTTTCTGCTCCGGTTGTTGCGAAGGCTGTGGAGCCAGTAGCTGCACCTGTTGTCGAGGAGAAGATCGAAGAGCCGACTGTCGAGGCTGTGAGTGTGCCAGAGCCCGCTGCTCCTGTTGTTCAAGAGCAAGTTTTGGAACCTGCAGTAGTTGAGGAAGCTGTTGTGGAAGAAGAGGTTGCTGCACCTGTCACTACCGCTGGGGAGACCGCACCAGCAGAGAAGGAGGTTGAGATCGATGAGCCTGCCCCGGCTGTCGATATCGAGGAGGTGGAGGAGGTTGCTGTTGAAGCCGCGGCCCCTGTTGAAGAATCCACCGAGGAGACCACCGAGGAAGCGACCGAAGAGGCGACCGAGGAACCTGCATCTGAAATCCCAACTGAGGATGAACCAGTTATCACAGACAAAGTCGACATCGAAGCTGTTATCGAGAACACCGGGGAGGCTGCTGTGACTGATAAGGTCGACGTCGTTGCTGTTGTCGAAGAGACTGGGAAGGAGGATGAGGCTACGGAGGCTGAGGTGGGGGGTGAAGAGGTCCCTGTTGTCGTCGAAACTGAAACTGAGACTGTTGCTGTTGCTGAGGAGACCCCAGCTGCTACTGTTGGTGAAGCGGAAACAGAGGCTGCTGAGGCTGCTGAAGTTGAGGTGGAGGATGTCGCCGAGCCCACCGCCTCCACCACCGCGGTTGCCGAGACTGCCGAGGAAGAGACCGCCGCTGTCGCTGCTGAAGAAAAGACACCCGCTACGGGAGATAAGACCGAGAAGCCGGAGGTGGAAGAAGTCGAACTCGCAGATGCGTCTAGTGATGTTACGACGCCGGCTGCGAGTGTGACGCCGGTGGTTGCTTTATAACACCGCCCTTCGTTCTTGGTACGGGATGGGTGGGTGGGTGATGGTTTTAAGAGTGTGAGAGTACTGGGGTGAAGAGGGGAGGGGGGGAAAGGGGGAGAAGGGGAGGGGTGGAGAGGTGTGTGTAAGTTTAGTAGTTATATAAAGGGATTGGAATCCAGCGATGGTTTTTTGGGTGAGCGAGCTAGGGTGGGCGAGCCGTGGGCGAGCGCGGGTGAAGTGGAGTGAAGGGGAGTGACGGGGTAAGGGGGGGTTAGAGGAGTGAGAGGAAGGGGGAGATTGGATAGAAAAACAACAGAGAGAAAGGCAGAAAGAGAGAGAGAAAGAAATTAAGATAAATTATAGTATTTTTAAGCGGTTAATAATAGAGTTTTCACTTCTCCTCATTGAATCTGGCTCATCTGGGAGTCGGGCTGTGGGTGTGGCTGTGGTTGTTTGATTGGGGGAGGGGGGGTGAGGGGATGGTGAGGGGATGGATGAGTATTGTGGGGGGGGGGGGAGGGGGTTGAAGGTGGGTTTGGGGATTGGAGTGGCTGAGTGGGTATTGATTGTGTTGGTGAGGGTTGTGGGGTCGGAGATGGGGGGGTTCGGGGGTTGGGGATTTGGATTGTGGTGTATCTGTGGTGTTGCTGGTAGAGTAAGAGTCATGGGGAGTTTGGGTTTGGGAGGGGGCTGTTGATTGGGGTTGTTGGAATTTTGAAGTTGGGGTTTGGGATTGGAGTGACTGAGTGGCTATCGTGTGTCTGCCGGTTTTTGAAGTTGGGTTTCTACATGATAGTGATCATCTATCTATTGCACGTCTGGTGTTTCTTGAAGTTGGATATATGTATCATGGTGACTGTCTACAGGAAATCTGTGTTATTAAACCTGAGATAGCTCGTCGTGTTTGGGGGTTACTCGGAAAGAGAGGCATCGCCGCCAGAACAGCTTATTCATACCTTGTAACCAGTTTCTTATACAAAAACGAATCACCGGATCTATTGCCTGAAACTTTTATAATAACCACTTATCATTCCTATGCGTTACTACGGAACTAACTCTACCTATCTTACACCCAGCCCCCCACCATTCCCACCCCCACCACAGCAACTACACCCCCCCTATCGTACAAACAGTCACCCACACCCACATTACACCACATAACCCTCCTCCTCATCATCCTCCTCCACCGCCGCCACCCTCGGCCCCCTCACCAACCCCAATGTCCCCCTATCCCCCCTCGTCTCCCTCTCCCTCCTCTCAATCTCCCTCTCCCTCGCCCTCAACTCCTCCAGCTCCCTCCTCTCAATCTCCCTATCCCTTTCCATCTCCTCCTCAATCTCCCGCTCCTCCCGCTCCTCCCTCTCCTCTCTCTCCCTCCTCTCCCTCGCCTCTCTCACCTCGCGCAGCCCAGCAGGGGCTACCATCCCCTCCCCCGCGCCCCAACGGACGTTGGCCAAGCTGCCTCGGCCGTCTTTCCTGCCCCCATTGGGGCCAAATATGCTCCCGGCGGCGGCGGCGCGACGGCCGAAACTCCGAGAGAAGCTATAGCCACCACTTGGGGTGGCGCTCTGACGTCCCGAAGCCGCGCTCTGGCGCCCGGAAGCTGCGCTATCGCGCCCAGAAGTGGTACTCTCGCGGCCGTCGGTGGTGCTCTGGCGCCCAGAAGCAGCGCTCTCACGTCCCGTGGTAGTGCTCTGACGTCCACCGGTACTCTCATTCGTGTTCGTCGCGATGGTGGCCGAGGAACCGTTGAAAAGAAGAGAGAGGTTTGAGGACATGGTGTCGATTTCGTCGGCGTTGAGGAGCTTGGACGTTTTGCGGCGGAGGCTGTTGAAGAAACCGCGTGAGCGGGCGCGGGGTTCTGGAGTTGGAGCAGGGGCGGCGGGAACGGGGAGCTCGTTAGTTGGCTCATTGGTGAGATCGTTTGATAGATCGTTTGATAGATCGTTTGACAGATCGTTTGGCAGGTCGTCTGTGAGTTCCTCGGGTTGCTCTTTGGGCAACTCATCTGGGAGCTCTGTGGCGCTGTTGTTTATCGTTGAACTTCGGCGACGCAGGCGCAGGGGGTTGAAAGAAAAGCTTCGCATGCTGCACAAAGGCGGGTGCGGCGCACTCTCAACTTCCGCATCTGGCTGTGCCTCTCCTTTGTTGCGCTTCCAGAAACCGCCAGCGCGGCTACTGGGCCCGATGGTGCCTTTGTCGGCTGGGGTGTCGGCGGCGGAATCACTGAAGAGATGATTGATCTTGTTCGACATCTCCTCAACCTCTTCTGCGCCTTTGAGCCCTTCTTTCTTGCGGTGGAAAAGACGGGACATGCTGCGCTTCTCTTTCAGATTTGGAGGCGGGGCGAGCCCGGAGTCATCGGGAGCTTCGCGTCCATAGAAATTGGATGGGAAACTTTTCGCCGCACGCAGCGTTGGCGTCTTGGAGGGCTTGTCATCGGCGTCATTCTTTGCTTTGCGTTTTCCCCAGAAACTGTCAGATCGGCTACGTTGTTTTTTGGGCTCCTTTGGCTTTTTGGGCTCCCTTGGTACTGGTTCCACACCGTAATTGAACAACGAATCAAGACTCTGCATCCCCCGACTGTGCTTTCTCTCTTCATCTTGTCTTTGTTTCCTGAAACTATCACTTCGGGCACGTCTAGCCTCCTGTTGAGCGTCTGTTTCCTCGGGGACATCAAAGCGCAATGTTTTCCTTGAAGAAGACGTGGGGATCTGGTGAAGTTGGCCCTCATCACAAAATCGAATAGCACGCCTCGAGGAGGAGGTGGGAATTTCATGCAATTCGTCCTCATTGGCAAAACGTAAGGTGCGTCGTGATGATACGGTGGCGATCCGATGCAATTGGTTTCCTATCTCAGGCACTGGAGGAGGTGGCCTTGTTGGTGGCAAGGTGGCGATCTGATGCAATTGGTTTCCTATCTCAGGCACTGGAGGAGGCGGTCTCGTTGGCGCTGGGGGCATCGTGAAGTTTGGAAGTGGCCAATCAAGTACCACACTGCCCTCGGTATTCGATCTCGATCTCGTACCATCAGTATCATATGTAGAACTTGTATAAACTGTATGGAGTTCCAGTTCAGAGTGGTTCGATTGTTCATCCATATGGTCCCAAGGCTCATCGGCGTGGCTGAGATTCTCGCTGCGGATACGTGCCATTGTTGGAGTGTCAGATCCATCATCGGGAATATAAAGAGTTGACGAAGAATCAACCTCTTGCTCATGGATGGGAGCGAGCTGTGCAGGAATTGTAGGATCTGAAAACGCCATGTCGAGAGTTGATTCTGAAGCGTTGGTATAGAAAGTAGAATTGGTTGAAGAATTATGCTGCGCTAGATGCGAGAGACCGTGGCGTTCTTGTCCAAGGTTCCAGTGCCCGTTCATCTGAATTTGGTTCTGAGCAGTTGCTGATATTCGTTGCTCAGGAAAATTAAACAATCCATTCACTGGTGAGGAGGCCGCATTGATTTCTTGAAGTTGATCGTCGACCTCGGGTATGGTCGCCATCCTTACGGGTATGACGGGAGTTCTCGATACAAACCTCTTGAGGCCCTTGAATAGTGTAGGGATTGATCTGTGCGTCGACTCGACGACAATAGGTGGACGGCGGTCCTTGGGTAATCCACGAGTTGCCGTGGATACTCCAAACAAATCACCGAACCTTTTTGACACCGAATCAATCGCCCAGATCTCGATGATTTCGTCGCACGGGTCGGGGAAGTCAGGCTCCTCCAGCTTTTGTTCGATGTGTCGTTCTATGTCATACATCCGCATCAAGGAGTATTTGTTGTTGGGATGGCGCTGAAGAATGGGAAGCTGGATTCCTAAGCCAACGCCTTCTGGGTCATCCTCGTCCTCTGAAGCTGTATCCGACTCATCGTCTTCATCCGAGTCATAGAAGTCTGGAAATAGCACTCTATAGTCAAATGGAGGGCTGGTTTCAGGGTCTGTCTTGCGAGTCCTGGAAAAGGTTATCCTGCTAAGAGCTCTTTTGAAAAACGCCTTGCTTGCAGTAAGCCTGCTTATACGTGGCTTTTCGACAGACTCCTCTTCTTTGGGATTGACAAACTTTACGACAGTGCCCAGGTAATCGCCATCAGTCGTAGTTATGCTATGATGAATTTCGGGGTAATCGCGAGGCCAAGGAGGGACTTTTGGGGTGATCAGACGTGTGGGCCCGTTGCCAACCGAACCAATTTGTCTTAGGATATGTTTGGTATATGGCTTTCCAAAGCCAGAGAGGCGGAGATGGTAGACCGGTATGCCTTTTTTCCCAAGACGTCGCGGCAGGAAGTCCAGAACTGTTGTTGTGTACGAGGAACAGTATTTGATAGGAACATCTGCGGATGGTTAGTATGTGCCTTGGGAATAAATGAACAATGACATACGTTTGTAATGCGTATCCTTTTTCGGCTCATCTTTTTCCGACTCATCGCTATGCGACTCATCTGAATTGGATGTTTCCTTTTCATGCAATAGATCAACCATAACACTACTGTTTAGCGAAGTTCTAGCTTCAGAAGTCGCATCTTCAGAGACATCTTCAGAGGAATCTTCAGAGGCATCTTGGGCCCCATCTTCGGGAGTGCCATCTTCGGGAGTGCTATCTTCAGCAGTACCATCTTCAGGAGTACCATCTTCAGGAGATCTATCTTTAGGAGGCTCAGCTACAGAAGGTCAGTAATAGGTCTTGGAAAATGAAACAATAACATACTATTATCAGGAATATTTTCCTCCGGAATATATCTCTGCGAGGGTGATCGGTAACCTTTGTATCTCCGGCACATAAAATGCAGACTCCGGATTGTTCCGCTCCTATTCGAGAGGGATTTTACTAGCGATTTCACAAACCACTGCATGCGTTTTCCGCCATGTCTGAGTGCAAACTTCTCATTTCTGTAGCACCCCCCTAGGCGTGTCAAGTCAACTTCCACAGTCAAGAACTGCATCTTGTTTGCAAATAGTGGTAGCCATTTGTTCATGAGCGGCGCAACCATTGGAGAGCAGAAGTAGTCGATAGTAACATGAAAGTGGAATTGTGAACAATAATATGTCATGATTTCGTGCCGGAGTTGGAAACACGACAAACTTAGGCCGCCAATAATATCGAATACAGTCCGAGGCTCCATGAAGAGCTTTTTTGGCCAAAACCCATCTATCGTACGGTCTGGCGATAGAATAATCATCTTGTTCTTTGCTCGTACTGGCCCAGTCACAAACTGGTAGATTCGGAAGCGAACATTGACTGGAAGACCCAGAAGGTGTGGATCTCCAAATCCAGGCACTCTAGCTCTTTCGCGGTACCGAAGACCTTTGGGCAAATTGGGCAAGCTTGTCTTGAAAGCATCCAACGCGTCTCCATTATCGTAATAACCAATCTCATAATCGACCAGGTGGTGGTAAGGAGGAATATGTTGCCTCTCCGGGGGGATTTGAATTGGAACTGGGACGGGGACTAGGGCAGTTGTGACCTTCGGATCTTTGTTCCGGATGAATGGTAACTTCAGACTCTTGAATATCGAAGGGCGTGGAAAAGCAGACTTCGCTTTGCTGAGTGAAGGATCGGGAACCTTGTTGCGTATAAATGGGGACTTGAACCTCGGAAAGAAAGGAATGGAAATCTTGTGGCCGAAAAACGAAGACTTCAGATTTACAAGGGAAGTTTTGCGCTCAGGAAATTTTGACTTTGTATCTCCTACTGGAGGATCAGGCGGCTTGCTTCCGACGAACGGGGATCTCAGACCCTCTAGCAACGGAGTGAGGATGTACCTCATCTGTGAAAGGACATTAGCAATCTGGTTTTGGCTGCTAACACATACGCAGAGGTGGGTAGAGTAGCTAGCTACCTTGTCGTTGCTAAAAAGGACCGGTCTGTAGATTCAATAGAATGAAAGACGCTCATCGAATGGTTTAATATGTAGATTCGACCGAGTGAAAGCCGCCCAGAGAAATGGTTAATCTGTAATAGAGTGACAGACGTTTGGAGAAATGATTTATCTGAGGATTGGATAGAGTGAAAGGTGTTTCTTGAGAGGATTGGTCTGTAGATTTGATCGAGTGAAAGAAGTTTCTTGAGAGGATTGGCCTGTAGATTTGACAGAGTGAAAGACGTAGACGTTTATAAAAGGGATTGGCCTGTAGATTGAATGGAGTGAAGGAGACTCGACGGCCAAGGGGCCGTCGAGTAGAAGCACGCAGATGAGGTTATGAGTTTGACGATGACAAAGAATTCAAAACATAGATTTTAGTTGCCCTTGACGATTGGCGTTTTTGTTTGGCGTGGGCCCAGGGTGAGTGCCAAATTGTTCGCTACGTGCTATTCTGTTCGCCATGTGCCATTTGTCCGCTCCCCCCAGCGAATTGTTCCAGGAGAGCAACTCTATATCTGTAGAGATAAAGCGAATATGGCTTTGTGATTCAGAAAGAGCATATAACAATTACTCACCTACCACAAATAACGCATTGAATTGATATTCTCATATACTTCGTTTGGTCCCTAGTGTGAGAATATCAGCTCATACGGGGAGCGCGGCACTCCTGTCATTTCAAAGTAGTGACTTTGACCCATTAAATAACTGGCCTGCATACTAGTCATCGTATTCATATCACCGATACCATTTTATCAATTTGAACCTCTTTCTCAACTTGTGGAACAGACGAGAACAATGACAGCCCAGAGAAAGAAAATGAAATATCCCAACAGTAATAGGCACCGGGCATTATGAAAACAGACACATTGAAACATGCAAGAGATATTCAGGAGTCTACCAAAAACAAATCCAAGGGCTATGGACACCTACGAAGTATGGGCTAACCATTATAATATAGAACTATATGAGCATGATCGTTGTCGTCAATTCAACATTAAGCGCCAAGCGCGATCCGGCAGCGTCTATGGCGGGGTAATTTTGGCGCTAAAAAATCATCGCAAGATCGGTATTTCCCGCACCGTCATTCTGCCCAATTTCGCACCCCTCTACCGTGGAGACAATATCAATTTTATACCCTTTGGACATACTTGGAGGGTTGAATATTACTAGGTTTCGCCGATTTTATTTCGTTTTACACCAACATTGTTTGTAAATAGATTACGAAAGCACACCAACGATGTCGGGGCCACCTGCAAAGTTCAACGCCGAAGAGGCCGATAACTTGGAGGATGTATGTTTTTGTCCCCCTCAAAGCTTGCAGTTTGGCTTATATTTGGGTAGATTGAGAAGCAGTTTGCGGTGAAAGGTACATTCTATCCCTTTGGGCTCGTTTTCGCCGCTGACTTGAGTGCAAACAGCTGTGCAACACATGTCGACTTACTGGGCAATCCTCGAGAAAGTCAAGGGATCCTCCCTCAAACTGACAAAGATGGACGATGATATCTACGAGCATCTAAAGAAAGACCTTCCAGACTTCGATCCCGCAGTTACCATCAACGAGGATGAGATGAAGAGCAAACTAGGCAAGGAGAAGTGGCGCAACTTCATGATGTTTTACGACAAGAAGATTGACGACTACAACTTCGGAACGATGCTGAGGATCAGCCCGACAGAGGAATATACACAGGACGGTACCATTTTTGGTGAGAATTGCTCGTGAGACGCTCGTAGTAGTGTTACTAACCCCGAAATAGTGCCAAGAATGCAGTTTTACGCTGTTGAAATCGCAAGGTAAGACCACAACCATCTATTTGCCCTTATATACTTGCGCGACCTATCCTTAATTCTATTTGGAGCTGAGTATGCTGATCATAGCGCAGAAACCGCAACGGACTGAATGACTGGATTTATGAGAAGGCACAGAACGAGAAGGCTGTCACAGAGGCGTAGACAACACACCTTATCAAGGAAATTACGACCCAATCTATAACTTACATGTGTTTTGGTGGACCCCTGATATGATAGAATATTGAGAAATCCGACCGAAATTTGTGAGGAAAGTACGGATGTGACGTCGTCTGGAATGGTACAGTACCCTTTCAATTATTCAGGTACAACTCATAGCCCTTGCTTGAGTATATTTCTTTCATTCGTGTTACCACCACAGCACGAGCTCTCCCTTGCTTGGTAGCGATTTGATAATAGTTGATGCATCATCTGTTACCCGGCGCCATTTCTGCTTCCGGCGACCGAAATCGCCAAAATTGCGATTGATTCGGCCGCTTCGAAGAACAATAGTAAGGAACCGACAATGAAGCTATGGGGTTCATGCCGGCCAGAACCTTCACAGACTTGTCTCATACTTGGGTGGTACTACACCCACTAATTCTTTGGCCTACTTTCTTCATCATGCTTGCCGCTTTCAATCATCTGTATATTTTTCACTGCCACTGACGGCTTATGGGGATGGCGGATACTTCTCTTCGCGATGAGGCTTCGGCAAGGTTAGAGAACTCTACTGCGGGCAGAGAAGACTCCGATACGAAGCCGGCATGGAAGTCCATGTTTGCGTTTGCGGTGCGGGGCCACCTCGCCGTCATGATCCCTGCGTGGATCTCCTCCATGACCGCGGGAGTAATCAAGCCATCTATGGCGATTTTTATGGGATTTATTTTCGACGATATAGCAGAGTATGTGGCTGGATCAACGAACTATTCATCAATGATAAGACGTATCTCAAAATGGTGTATTGTCCTCACAGGTCTGGGGGTGGGCTCTTGCCTTGCCAACGCCGGGTTCTTTGGATTGTGGTTGATATTTGGAGAGTCACAAGCAAATCAGGCGAGACAGAAACTGTTCACAGGATTGCTGAAGAGAGAAATGGAGTGGTACGACCTTCGTAAAGACGGAATATCACCCGTTCTTATTAGAATACAAACGTAAGTCGGTATTGGGCGAAGATGACTTGATCTGCTGACACTTTTAACAGACAAGTTAGAGAGCTACAAATGGCGACATCCCAACCGATGGGGTTCTTCGTAAAGGATGTTGCAGCGGCTGTCATGGCCATTGGCATAGCATTTTATTACTCGTGGAAGTTAACTCTTGTCCTTTCACTGAGCGTCCCGACAGCGTCACTTGTTCTGTGGCTCATATCACGTCGACTCCAACCAGCGATCGAGGCCCAAAGGCGAGAACTAAACATAGCCTCAAAATATACCAACACAGCCTTCCATGCAATCGACACTGTGAAAGTGTTCAACGGACAGAACCACGAGATACGGCAATACGCTTCTGCAATCAACGCCGCCGGCTTGTCATATATGATCCAAGGGCAGGTCAGAGCTTCACAGATGGGCACTGCCCGCTTTCTTGTGGTGGTCATGTTTATGGCTGGATTCTGGTATGGTCTCAAGTTGCACAAGGACGGTGAACTCACACCGGGCGACGTGATCACGACGTTTTACTCGTTCTTGATGGCGAACCAGGCTGTGACGTCGCTCTTGGCGCAATATGTGATATTATGCAAGGGCAAATATGCGGGGGCGACACTGGGGAGGATTATTGGAGAATTGAACAATACGTTGCCGCTCTCGAAAGTTGCTGGATCTCGGACATTGGAGGTCTGTGATGGGGATATCGAGGTCACGAATGTAGGTGATAAACTCGTTCGATATTGTAGGCATCGCTAATTATAACAGCTCACATTCTCATATCCATCGAATCCAACGCAGTCTTCGCTTATCGGCGTCGACTTATTCTTCCCTGCTGGAGAAACAACATTTTTGTTTGGTCGAAGTGGATCTGGCAAGAGCACATTAACGAACTTATTACTTCGGTTGTATGATACCACATCAGGCACGATCTCAATCGATGGCTGTCCAATCGAAACCCTGGATGTTAACTGGCTTCGAAATAATGTAACTCTAGTGCAGCAGCAGAGTGTCTTGTTCGACGATACTCTGTGGAACAATGTTGCCTTTGGTTGCAGCGACGGGAAGCAACCAACAGAGGAAGATATCCACGTGGCATGCGAGATGGCTATGCTCACCGAGGTTATTCACGACTTACCCCATGGACTTAACACTGTAATTGGAACAGGGGGCGCTGCCATGAGTGGGGGACAGAAGCAAAGAGTTGCAATCGCTCGCGCACGACTACGAGACACTCCGATTCTGATTTTGGACGAAGCAACAAATGCGCTAGACCACGTGAATAAAACCCTCGTTATGGACGCAATTCGAGAGTGGAGAAAGGATAAGACTACTATAATAATCACCCACGATTCATCACAGATCCAAGACATGGACTTTGTTTACGTTATCGACCACGGGAAAGTTGTCGAAGAAGGCTACCGGCAATTGCTCGCTCAGAATCCTTTTGGCAATTTCGCATCTCTGGCAGATATCAAGAGCGACAAGGAATATATGGAGGAGAAACGTGGTCAAGTGTCATCCATTCATCAAAACAGGAGCTCAACACAACCGCATACTAGTACGGAGATGATCAATAATATGCGTGTAGCCTCTGCCAACCCTTACGCAAACGGCCCCTTTGGGGAAGGCAGCTCAGAAACCTCGGAACCCTTGACAAAGTTGCAACGCCTGTCTACTTTTCTGGCCTATAATCCGGGTTCAAGCCAGCAAGCTCATCACTACAATAATAGAACATCTCTCAGTATGGCGACGGTGTATGCAAATACTATCCATACTAATGACACTTCAGATAACCGGATCTCCTGGCCACTCCGCTCCCAAGAACCTTTGCCCAACCCGCCTGAGCCGAGTTACAGGAGATCCCATAATCGGTTAAGCCAATATCCGCCGAAGAACTTCAGCTATAATGGGTTGGCGGCTCACAGCCATAAAGAAATGATGTATCGGGTTGACACAAGAGAAACAGATGACTTGGATGCGAGGATTGCGGAATCAGAGTTGAATCTCGAGTATATTAACTTGGTGAGGGGTAGTACCATACAAGTCTCGGCAGAAAAGACCAAAATGGTCTCCAGGCGTCCTGGACCAGCTACCCTGAAAACGATTCTGGGTACTATTTGGCCAAGTCTTACCCGGAGAGAACGGCTGGTATTGATACTTGGGTTTGTCAGTGCCTTCGTCTATGCCGCGTGCACGCCTGTATTTTCTTATGTACTTGCAAAGCTCTTCAATACCTTCTATGAGACTAAGAACCAAGGGCTAGAAGCGCGTAAATGGGCACTGTCGCTCCTCTTCATCGCAGTAGCAGACGGCGCATCCAGCTATACCTTCTACTACTCTCTTGATTGCTGTGCCAGAGCCTGGGTTGACTCCCTTCGAAAGGAAGCGCTCACACGGATCCTGGACCAACCTCGCGCATGGTTTGATGAGGCCGAGAACTCGCTGTCCATCCTCAACGAGAGCCTTGATCGCAGTGGAGAAGAAATGCGCAACCTCCTCGGTCGCTTTGCTGGATACACATTCGCTGCAGCCTGCATGATTAGCATCGGCGTCGTCTGGGCATTCATTATGTGCTGGAAGCTCACAGCTGTCAGTCTAGCTAGTGTCCCGATTATCTACGCCATAACCCGCGGATTTGAGGTTGTATCTGGAAACCTTGAACGCAAGAGTGACGCAAAGTCCAATGCTATTGGCGAAGTCTTTTCCGAGACTTTCATCAACATCCGCATCGTCAGGGCGCTCACACTAGAATCCCACTTCCAGCGCAAGAACTCCATTGCTGTTCAAGAAGCATTCCGCATCGGCCTCCGCCGCGGCACCTTCTGCGGTCTATTCTTCGGAATGTCCCAATCAACAACCTTCTTCCTCACAGCCCTCATCCTCTTCTACGGCGCCGTCCTCGTCGGCACCCGCGCCGCCAGTTTCTACGACGTCGTAGCCTGCATAACCCTCCTCCTCTTCAGCATCGGCAACGCAAACGACACCCTCGCCGTCATCCCCCAAATCGCCAGCGCCCGCGCCGGCGCAACCCGTATGCTTCGCCTCTCCTCTCTCCCGCCCGGTGAATCCTCACGGCTTCTCCACCAACGCACTCTTCTCACCCCTCTCCCCATCCGCATGACCAACCTCTCCTTTGCCTACCCCTCACAACCACAAACCCCAATCCTACAAAACCTCTCACTTACCCTAAAGGCCGGAACCAGCACTGCCCTAGTCGGATCCTCCGGGTCAGGCAAAACAACACTCACCTCTCTCCTCCTGGGCCTATACACCCCAACCTCCAATCTCTCATCCCTAACATTCGCGCACCACCCCCTCTCCAACCTCGCCCTCCCCGACCTCCGCGCCCACATGGCACTCGTCCCCCAATTCCCCACTCTCTTCCCCGCCTCCCTCGCGCAAAACATCCTCTACGGCCTCTCACCGAGCAGTCCTCTCACAAGCCTCGCGAACATTGAACGCGCAGTCTCTGCAGCGGGGCTAAATGATTTCGTGGCGCGGTTACCAGATGGGCTAGAGACGCAAATTGGGGAGGGGGGAAGGGCGTTGTCAGGGGGTGAAACGGTGAGGGTCGCGATTGCGAGGGCGTTGGTTAGGAGGCCGAAGGTGTTGGTTATGGATGAGCCGACGGCGGGGTTGGATGGGGAGGGAGTGGAGAAGGTAGGGGAGGTGTTAGAGAGGTTGGGGGATGGGGTGGCGGTGGTGCTTGTTACGCATGATGTGAGGATGATGAGGAGGGCGGGGTGGGTGGTTGTTGTTGAGGGGGGGAGGGCGGTGGAGCAGGGACGGTGGGAGGATTTGAGGTGGGCGGGAGGGGCGATGGAGAGGCTTGTTGGAGGAGGGGAGTTGGGGGGAGTGAAGGAGTAGGAGGAAGTTGAAGATAGGGTGGCGATTTAATATGGGAGGGAGTTTGGGGGATTGGTGTTATTGCATTTGGCTAATTTACCACGTTCACCTTGGCTATGATAATGTTTTTTATTATTATTTAACGTATTTCACATGCGAGTTGCCTACCCAAGCGAGTTGCCCACCAAAACACCAAAACGCGTTAACTTAACTACAGTCAACGATGCCACAACCAACGCAAGCCCAATACTCTAATAAAGAGGATAAAATACTACAAGCTATCTAGGCAATTAAAAATGGGCATTTAAAGAGTGTCTAACAAGCTGCAGAATCGTTTGATGTAACACGTAGGACCCTAGGCAACAGAATGAATGGAATGCCTTCTCGACGCGACTGTACCCCTAACTCACGCAAGTTAACTCTGTACGAAGAGTCAGCTCTCGTTTAGTATATCCTTAACCTAGATTCGCGTGGATTTCTACCCTAGCTGCAAGCTATATAAGAAATAGCAGACCTAGTACTCTCTAAACGAGGCAAGAGCCCTATTAGGAAGAACTAGACTACTAACTTTATAAAGCGTTGTATAGAAATTAAATCAAAGTTTAATTAGAAGTACGATTATAAACGAGCAAAATGTAAAGATCTAAAGATAATTAAAGGGTAGTTCTCCCTCATATAAAACATAGTTACAAAATATAGAATCTTAGAGTAGGACATCTATAACTTTAATAAAGCAGGTTTTGTAATAGGAGTTATTACTACTATAAAGGTAGTTATAAGCTTAGAAGCAAAGAGCTGTCTAAAGACTATATAGCTAGGGAATAGAGAGTAGGTGTTAATTATCTAAGGTGTTAATTTATATAGATAGGCACTCCTACCATTCATCATTTTTAAGGCGTAGAACTACCTCTCTACTTAGTATAAGGACTTAGGATTACTAGACGACTAGGTGATTATGCTAAGTAAGAATAGGTAGACTTTAAATTTAATTAGGTACAAGTAGATTTAACACTTTAATTAACATACAAACAGTCGTTTAATTAGAACCTATTACCTTCTTATTCTTAATAGACATAAGAGCTACCTCTCTACTTAATTTTAATACTACTATATAGAGTAGAAGATAATTACCCTCTATATACCCTACCCGTAGATATTTTAGAGTACCCGGCGTATCCGGGTATATACCCGGGTATATGCCAAGAGTAGCCAAGCATCGCTAAGGCTTCATTTTACAGACGTCGTCTCAACGTTATGCTTAAACTATTGCCTTATAAGCATACTAATATCCTTAATATGTAGTTATTACCTATTACTTATTATATTTAGTAGTTCTAGTAGCCTCTATAGTCTTAGAACGAATATTTAGTAATAATAGTGATATTATTATAAAAAAGTATGATAGGTTATTACTACTAAAAGCTTCATTTTTATATGCTTTTATTCAGCCTCATGTATCCGGGTATATACCCTACTCTACCCGTCAGATCTTCGCCGGGTATATACCCTACCCGTGGGCTTCACGGATACTACCCGGATACATATCCGCCGAACACTGTATTCGGTGGTTAATAACCACCGAATTAATTTTACATTACGAAAATCCAACTCGAGTCTCCTGCAAAAAGGCGATTTGAATGATTAATAATGCTCATGGTTCTTTATAATACAAGTACACCGACTCTATGCGGCGTCTATTTCATGCCTCATAACCGCTATCAATACAATACAAATGCAGCTGCCTGGCGCTTCTATTACTGAGGCACCTTAGACCAATCACGACACATCCCAAGCACCGTCCTACACAGCTTCCCCATCTCAACCGTCATATCCTTCTTGCGCCAGCTTCCCTGCGCACGATGCTGTAATCGCGCATCCGGATCCGTCAAGGGCTTCGAGCCCATATTGCCGTAAGACGAGCGGCCGGGACTGTTAAGGGTTAGCACGGTACTCCAACCATAGCGACCAAGGGAAAAAAATGGCGGAGAATAGGAACATACCTAAACCCCGTAATCGGGAAAATAATCGTATCCCCAACAGCCTTACTTCTTCCTCCATCCTTCAGCCCCGTGAGTGCCTCCCACCTCAACCCCGCATCATCCTCCAACTGCACCATCGCCGCCGTCGTAATCGCCTCTGGCCCCGTAAGTTTTAACGGGTCCTCCCTGGCCAAAACCCCCGCCTCCGCCGTCGCTGTCAAGTTCCCCCCAAACGGCGTCGCCAGCTGCGCGACGCGGGTCTTGAAATTCGCCAGGAAGCGATTGAGCACCGGGTGGTTCGGCGCAGCAGCCAGCGCCCACTGCGTGAGCTGGATAGGGAAGAAGTAGCCCATGCGCCAGTGGGTGTCGGTGTTGGGGTCGTTGTCGGCTTCGATGCCGAGGAGAAGGCGGGCGAGTTGGGGGGTGGATTTAGAGGAGTGCCCGGAGGCGGGGCTGTATTCGGTGTTGGACTGCGGGTCGGTCCAGGGGGTCATGTCGCGGTCTTCGAGCCAGGTGGCGGGGGAGCGGATGGGGTGGGTGTCGATGTCGCCGTACTGGTGGGGGATGGGTTAGCCTTGTCGGGGGATTGTGTGTTGATGAGGGGTTGTTTGGGGGAACTCACGATTCCGCCAATGCTGTTTGCGACCACAACTCTGAAGACGTCTGATCTCTCGACTGGTAATGGTAGTGCATTCAGGGTATCCACGAGGTCCGGCGTCGCATCTGCAAAAAGTTGGTCGCAACCATCGTCCAGCCAGAGGAAGTACGCCATGCTCCCACTGCCCTCAGCCTTTGCGTATTCGAGCCAGCGCTCCACGCCCAGCACAAGGTCTGGCGCCCACTCATCAATCTTCGTATTCATCCATGTCTGGTGTACTATCAAGGGAATTTTGGAGTGAGGGATCGTGTGCTTGAGTTCGGTAGCGCGCTTGGACGCCAGCCGCGCGGCTTCGAGTATGGTGGTAGTTGGCGGATCGGAGTCTTTTCGCCATTCGTCGGGAATATACCATACTGTAAGGCGCACATATGTTAGCCATGAACTCCATTCATTATCCCATAGCAATTGGGGTGGCAAATGAGGCCGGGATCCCCTATGAAGCGCAAAGGGGGCAAGGACGCGCGTACCTCCTCCTTTCCCACTGTTGCTGTTTTTCCATATATGTTCCCACGCAAGAGGGTATTTCTGTCGGATATACGCCTCATCGTACTTCGGCTTCGAGGCCTGGAGAAAGGGGCGACCGAGCCATAGGTGGAGGAAGACGAGCAGGAGACAGACTGTGATGAGCTGCCTCCGGCGAAAGAGAGCCATGCAGGCGACTAGGACGTGGTTGCTGTGTTATGGGAAGATGTTACCGCATGTCGGGGCGCTGTAGATTCGAGTCTCAGGGTAAAAGACGACGAGGTTATTAAAGGGACAGGGACAGATAATTAGAGTCTGTAGTAGTGATGCCGTCGAACGGGGGTGGCGGAGTAGTGGAGCGAGGACCCCAAATCACGCTAACTCGTGTGGAAGCATCATGTCCAGGTACATAGAAGCGTTAGCGGCATTAACGATTGCGCCTCAAAATATCACTTTTTTAACCCAATTCACAGCCAAGACTTCATAATCACGAGTTTAGAGCCGTAAATTCACATTATATAATAGAATGAAGTCCACTATCATTAAATGCATTTAGTTATAATAAAATTGAGAGTTATGGTTTAAAAAAGTGAATTTGGTACTAGGGGTTACAATAATCTTTACATAACTGTACCTGGCCTGGCGGCTATCAGGAACTTTTTTTCGTCTTTTCTCTCTGCATTTTGTGGGGTAAGACGCTAGTATCACGTGCCTCAATATCAACTGGCCGAATTGCACGTGACTAGTTATCATTTCCCTCCTCTTAAGCTTGTGGCTCGTATCAGAGTAAAGCCGCTCGGGTCTGTCTAAATTCTGTGGTACTGACAATATGAAAGTTGTATCAGGTTTGAGGGATGGGTTTTAGATACCCAATCATGTATGAGGTCTTCCGTTTTACTTTCTCATCAAACATAAGTATCATATTGTGTTGAACCATCGAACCAGGCAAAAGTGGATCGCCCACACTTTGGCATGTCAAAGCTGGTCTATATTTTACAACATATCAGCACCGTAGCTTAATCATCAAATAGAGAAGAATACATGTATTCGCAATATCTCTCTCTGCTAGACTAAATTATTCCTAATCAAATAATCAATTCATCTCCGTGCCGCATGCGACCTCAATTCTCCAGACCGTAGCAGAGAGCACGATGTTGGATCGGTCCCTTGCCATGAACCCGACCGGCTCTAGAAGTTGGCGCAGACGCAATGGAAGGGCGAAGTGTAGTATCTACACACGGGGAATGGGTCGCAGCAATAATACCCTCTGCAGGGGTATCCGCACGTGTAGCATCCTGTCCCTTGTTAGCTGCAATCCAGAAACCCAGGAACCCAGGGCAGTATATGAGTAAAATGGATAAGACGTACTATCGGCGATTACCTCATTGTCAGCTTTGGGGGTGGCGGCGGTGACCCTTGTGCCCTCGGCGACGGCAACCAATTCTGTCGAGTGTTAGCGGTGGATGGTGGAGGTGGAGGGGATGAGGTACCAGTAGCTGGCTTGGCCTCCGTGGCAGGGACGGCCAGAACCTGGGTGGTGGCTGCCAGGATGGCCACAAGGACGTATTGGAACTGCATGTTGGAGCAAAGTAACTAGACTGTCTCTGGGGATTGAAGATTGTAATGGATGTCAGGACAAGTGTTCGGTGAAAGAACTGACCTTGAGAGAATCGGGGGGATGAGAGGGAGAAGGACGGTGCTTAAATAGACAGAACCGGAGTATATTAAGCCGATGAGCCTTGAGAATTATCACATTGTCATAAGCCTCTGCCAACTTTTGCTCTTCTCTTTACTTCAACCATCCAAATGGCTTAGCGTTTCACAGCCTGACGAGCAAGAGCCAAACATCAATGCTGTAACCAGTTGTCATAGCTGAGATCCATGTTTTGTGTAAGTTGCCGATCCGTTCGTATTCCCAAACATATCCAATCACCTCTCCATCCCGCCCTCTTTCACACGCCACGTTCTGAATCACATCCCCAGCTTGACTGTCGACGCGACGTCTCACAGAGCTTCTACTGAAGTTGTGGAAAAAAAAGGGGGTCAACACCTCCATCTCTGAGGCTCTGCTACGTAACTCATGTCAAACCAACCTCTTAGATAAGAGACGCCCGTGGGGAGCTTAGGCGGTTGCACAGAGGGATTGCTGATCACCACGATTTCGGATTCGATCAGCACAGTAGCCTGATGATTTGCTGGCAAGGCTCCTCAAGTCTGCCACCGAGTTAGTGAAGGCAACCAAATGATGATTTGAAGCAAAAATAGAAGTGAATCAAGGAAAACTGTCAGCTTTGAGAGAAGGATTAGGCCTGATCACTGACAGTACCAAGCAACTGGGCATCGATTTGGAGCACAACCAAATATCAAGCCAAGGAGAGAACCGGGACAAGCATCGATCGGGCGTAAGCAGCCACCCTTCGCACCAGCACCGATCTAGATAACAGGCAATCAATCAAACTTTACTACATATTGACAAAAGGAAATATTCTTCTGATGAGATCCAGCTTCGCATCGATCTCAACCAAAAGCAGCCAGCTGAGACAGAGGCCTTGGCAGATCGAAATCAAATAACCCACCGCGCTCCAAACTCTGTCAAATAACCATCCTCCCAAGACCAAATGCACCGAGCAAAAGCCCAGCCCTATCAAAACCAGCACGCCAAGCACGACCGTTGAAATGCATCCACGTCTCCCACCCGGTCCAGCCCCCATCCAGCCACCGGAATCGGGACCCCCTCAAGCCATCCGCGCCTTGCCGAGCGGTCCACCAACCCAACCTACCTGTCCCATGGCCAGATCAGGCGCAACGTTTCCCCGTCCCCAGATAAGCATACAGATGCCCCTGACTCGATTGGCGGGGACGGAGGGGCGGGGCGGCTGAGTTGCTCTGCGACGAGATGGCGTGGGCTGGGCTGAGACTAGCGCTGTCAGGAGGGGCGGAGGGGGAGGTGAGTGCCGGCGGTGTGGGGTTGGGTGCCGAGATGGCAGTTGGAACCGGGGTGGTGGGGGTAAGACGGGGTAATTAGTAAGGGATAGTGGTGGTTCTGGGGGATGGTGATATGTTGTCCCGAGACATCATATCCAAGTCATAGTTATTTCTATTTTGGGGATGGGTAATGTGAATGAAAGTTCAGGTCAAATTAATAAACATTGTCCATTTCTGACATCGAGGTTCAAATACTATCTACAGGGGCGTATGTCTATACATAATGGTTGTTATAGAAGTAGGTTTAGAGATTAGTCATTGGTGTCACCAAGAACCCTCCCAAGTTCGCAAGATTTCTCGCCCATAGTTACTCTGGGACAGAGCAATATCTCCGGACCCCCGGGGTGGGGTAACTTACACCAGACATCTCGATTTATCACTTTTATCTTGCCCGTGGCTAGGCAGATACTCACTGCTATCTCGAACTCTTTGGAATATCTGTATGAGGAGCTTTTCTCCCAGGAGCTGGTTATAGGCAATCCGTCCATGCGTTACAAAGGACAGGCCGGTACTATAATGGCTATAAGCTCTTATCGTTAGCCTCGTCACCGATGTCACGCAGAACGTTCTCGATTACATCTCTTCCCCCTCGAGAAATGTACGTAATGATTCTAAAGGGTGAGTACTACTTGCATCGTCGATATCTACCTCGATTTAGACAAGAAAGGCTAAGGAGTCAATTACCGAGATACACAACTTCATTTGCCCTGTTTGAGGGACTTTGGGAGGTACGACTTGCCTTATAGTCATGATAAAACTATCACGCTTAATGCATTGAGAAGGCTGGTATAACGACCTGCTTCGTCAATGTCGGGTCTGATCACCCATCTATCATCGAGGCTATCGTCAAAGGCAAAAGAGAGCGCCACAACCGTTGGCCCAAAATGATCACTTGTCCTTATGAAATTACTGCAATCTCGATGGCAGATGGTTATGCCCGAGTAACAGGACGTCCGCAAGCTATTCTCGTGCATGTTGATGTTAGCACCCAAGCTCTCGGCCAGGGTATCCATAATGCAAGCGTCGGTCGTGTGCTAATCTTCATCTTTGCAGGTTTGTGTCCATACACCGAATCCGGCGAACTCCCTGGTTCTCGGACAGAATACATGCACTGACTACAAAAACCTCACGATCAAAAGGCCATCGTGCGGCAATATTGCAGGTACACTGGTGAAATTCGCACTGGGCTCAATGTCAAGCAAACGATTGGACGTGCTTTACAGTTTGTAAATTCTATGCCTAAAGGCCTCGTATATATTGCCAGTTTATGAGAGGTTCTTGTAGAAGAGATCGAACAATACCCCTTGCATTAAGAGCAATGGGTTCCCATTGGTCCGGCAGCGCTTCTATCTGATGCTGTCTGGGATATTTCTGCCGCACTCGTTGAAGGATGTTTGCTTCCCTTTCTCGCACATCGCCTCCGAGGGCTCTAGTTTCAGCACACACAAATGCACGAAAGACGCAGATATGATCCTCCTTCTTGACTGTGACGTTCCGTGGATTCCGTCCCGTAACCCACCCCCCAAGAATGCTAAGATATATATCACATAGATAGCGATCCTCTGAACTAACAGACCTCAGTATCTTTTTTCCCCGCCCATGGCCGCTGGAAAGTGGACAGCTACACAGCCGTAACGCAGCTGGTTGATTATATCAAAAGTGATGTCTCGATTACTACCTCACTAAAAGACCCAAAGTATGAAGCTCGTGGTGTAGTGCGTGCCGCTGTACACAAAGCTCGTGTCGAAAAAATTGTGTCTCAACCTCGTTTGGATGATGGAGATGGACTAGATATACACAATGTCGGCAGTCTATTGAAAACATCGGTTGCGGACTCAACGACATTCGTCGTTGGAGCTGTCACTTTAGCAAAGGAACTCTACAATCAATTGCAACGTGATCGGCCAGGAAGCTGGATCAATTGCGGTGGAACGGGAATCGGATGGAGCAATGGTGCTATGCTAGGCGTGAAGATGGCGCTCGCGGACTTGGAGAGAGACGAACCCCACAGGTCGAGCTTAGTCTGCCAGGTAGTCGGCGATGAAAGCTTTATGTCTGCAGCGCCATCTAGTGCACTGTGGGTTGCGAGCAAGTACGAAATCCCAGTCTTGACTATTGTTTTGAATAATGGTGGTAAGCCGCTTGGCATCAACTGTACAAAAATCAACCTCACGTCCTTCGAGACCGTGAAATCTTATTAATGTGACCCTACTTATAGGTTGGAAAGCTCCCCAAAATTCCACCCAACTTGTCTACCCTCATGATCTCAACACCAATGCGTCTGATGATGAGATCAACACCTCTTTCCACCCAACACCTAACTATGCTGCTTTGGAAGAGGCAGCAGCAGGGTCAAATGTTGGCTGGAAAAACACTCTAGATAACTCAGGAACATGGGTCAAGGGCCTACGAGTAGGGGCTGTGGGGGAGTTCAGAGAAGCGCTTCAGCCTGCGAATTTGAGGGTGGCGCAGGAGGGAAAGGGGATGCTGATTGAGGTTGAGGTGACAAAATAATTCCGAATAGTAACCTGACTTGAGTGGAAATCAGTAAACAACTAATGGGGCAATGGACATTGTTTCTCTTTGACTCTATTCTGTTGGTCTCGCCATTATGGTCTGACACATGTTTTGGCTCGCTCAAGATATGTCTTGCCCTAGTGATCCTTGTCCCCAATTGTAACAGCCTGGCTAGAAAATGCTTTATTCCGAAGTATGAGATTCGCACAGCTTGCTGATTGGCCCACCGGATCGCCCTGCTCGCCACCCATTGTGATAACTTTTGTGGTCGGATTGTTGGGCCAAACTGCCGTAATATCCCCCATCCAAATCTTCTGCTGCCTAGCAAGCTTCGGAGCTACGTCGTTTCGCTCGGATAACACTGCAATAACGAAGCACGTTATTGAGAACCAGCTGTTGGCCAGATGTCTGATAGACCAGTCCCATGGTTTTTGATCTTCTCCGCTGTGACCCTTTGCCCAGTTATTGCCGACGTTGTCTTTTGCAGGCTGCAAAGTAGCAACATAGACAATTCTGAATTAAGCAGGCTCGCTACCTAAATATTATGGTTGCGACTTCGATTGATGATTTCACAACTCAAGATGATTCGGCGGTCACAGCTGGAAGCCTCTCTCGGTCGTAAGGTGGAAGACAATAGTATAGCACCCCATGAACCATAGAGGCAGCCAACGGTCCTATCCAATGTATCCAATGGTAAGAAACAAAGTGCGACCCAACCATTGCCCCAAAGCACCGTGCAGGGTTTCCCGCTTTTGAGATGTTAGAATTCGAAGTTCTGCAAATAATGTTCATTTGGAAACTCACAGAACCCAGTGTAACCAATACGAGCAAAGCCCGTCATAAAAGTACACACTCCTAAAATCACGCCAACAAAGATAGGGCCCAAGGCTGGCCCGAATACAGAGCGCTGTCGAGGGTCAAGTCCCACACTAAACGCGAGAAAGATTAACGCGAAATCTGTGGTGAATTCCATGGCGAACGCGCTGCCCAATGAGACTTTTGTGGTATCAATAAAGCAACCGGGAACGACGAACTGTGTGGGCGCATCAGCATAGGTTCTCTACGGCCCAAAGAGAAAAGGGATAACGTACATCTCTCGTGTCGAAGCTTGCTCTCAACAGTAAACCTCCCATGGCTCCTCCAAACATCTGAAATGCGACGTATAGAATGCATCGCGGCAACGTCGATAGGCGCCCGAAGAATGTGGCGAGGGTGATGGTAGGATTAAGGTGGCCTCCAGAAACTGGACCTGTGGCGAAGATGAACAAAGGAAGGACAAACATCGTCGTAAATCCACCAATTAAGCTAGGTACAAGTGCCCCAGTCGCAAAGATGCTTCGTAGCGTTATTATCGAGATCTCGGCGAATAAGAAGGTAGGAAGAACTTACTTCACAGTATGGCTTAAGCCTATAGCAAAGAAGCAGGTCAAGTATACTAGCAAACATGTTCCTGGTGATGTGAACATTAATGTCACTTGCATAATAGTAAGGGCTCACTGACCTACTGCCTCAACACATGCGGCCTTCCATAGCGCTGGTTGCAGAATGTGTCGCAAAGATAGGGCATCTCGTAGTGGGATCCAAGGAGCAGCATCGGGAAACTTCTGCAATATTTCTAAATGCGCACAGTTGTCTTTGTTCAGGGAGAACTCTTGATTGGCACCAATGCGACCAGCGAATGGAACAGCGATGGCTGCCGACGGTAATCTCTCAGCATCGTGCTTGCTTCTCCAGAATTTGGCTTGAGGGAGAATGGACATCGTATGTCACGATCTTCAAATATTTGTTGGCAGTAATTGCTGGACGCGGGGGACTGCACACCAAATCGTGTGATGATCTCCAGTTCCCGTGATCGATTCCTTCAGGTAACGGAGGAGAAGCTTCACAGTAGAGTATAGTAAAGGAGAAGAATATAATCAGTCGAAACCAGTCGAATTGGTATCTAATCTACGAGCCCACGTACGCTATTTGTAGACTTGGGGGAAAACCCGAATCCCCTGACGATGAGCAAATAAATGGAATGGCTATACGCGCACGGGTGTGGTTTCACATATTTAGTATTTAGTGTTAATAATGGTTGATTAATACGTTACTTACATACTAAGTAACTTCAGTATGGGCAACCGAGCTGAGTGAGCTATTAGCTCAGCTGAATAACCCGACTCAGTAGCTTCTAATAGTCTAGCGTCTCTAGCTAACTCGTGGACTAACCAAGAGCTAGACAACCCCCCGCCCGGGGAAAATCTGTCATTTTAGCTGTCATTTTAGGGTGTGAAGCCCACTGCGTAACCCGCAGCAAAGCCCGTTCCCCCCATCAATATTGGTTCACGTACTTCAACGTCGGCGAGCGCGCACTGCCTTACGATAGAAATGGATCCCGAGGGATTTGTACACATCGTTTAGAGATTTTCAATACGGGCAGTATTTTCCTATAAAAGGGTCATGACGTAGACCATTTCGAGGTTTCGCTTCGAAGATGCCTTTCCGAGGTTCTCCATTACGTTCCAGAGTACTGTTTCCACCAATAAGTAACGCACGGGCCACGCTAAATAATAAAGCTGCCCTTTGTCAGCTTATAAATTTAGGCTAGACAACCTTAATCGTCGTGACCAACTTTATCCTTAGCTTATAACTTACGTATGAGTTTGATGGAAACCAGCCATTGACTAGTAGGATTGACCTTAATAAGCCTGACGTGAATGATTTTAAAGAATGAGGTCACACTCGAAATATGGAGACCGAGGCAATTCAAGCATCTAGATCGAGTGCGAGTTCTATCGTACTATATAATTGACAGCTTTCCCGTATATTGTTGAAGTCGCACATCATACAACAATCATTATAACAATATCACATCAGTACTCCGTCTACAAATCACCATGTCGCCTCCTGCATACAAGCGTCTCGACAGAGACAACTGCGTCTTCCTCTTTGTTGATCACCAGGTACGTTGCGTTATCAATTCATCAACAATTCGATTTGACTAATTTTCGTTGAAATAGTCTGGGCTAGTCCAACTGGTCCGTGACTTTGACCCCAATGAATTTCACACAAATGTTTTGGGATTGGCTAAGGTGGCAGCTTACTTTAAAGCGCCTGCCATCCTGACTACCTCTTTTGAAACTGGGCCTAATGGCCCCATCGTCAAAGAGCTTCCGGAGATGCTCCCCAATGCACCCCTGATTCGTCGCCCCGGGCAAATCAATGCCATGGACAACGAGGATTTTGCCAATGCTGTCAAAGCAACCGGCAAAAAGCAGGTCATCATCAGGTAAGTCAAGGATTGAGACTATCTACCAGCGCAGTTTTAGATCGACCTCGCTAACAATCGGTAGTGGTGTATTGACTGAAGTCTGCGTTGCCTTCCCCGCTCTCAGCTTGATTGAACAAGGCTATGATGTCTTTGTGGTCACTGATGCGTCTGGTACCTTCAAGGAGCACACGAGGGAAGCCGCCCATAAGCGGATGGTTCAAGCAGGCTGCCAGCTTCTCAACTGGGCAGCTGTTGGTGCTGAGCTTCACAGAGATTGGCGCCGGGATATCGAAGGGTTCGGTGCAATCTGGAATGACTATGTTCCGGGTTACAGGTGCTTGACGCAAAGCTATATGGCAACCAAGGATACCTCAAAGTAAAGAGGCAGTGCTCCTAACACTCAATCGGTGTTTAATTCGAATGTCACATGTGAGGCCCGAGGCTCAACATCTTAACTTAAAACTTTTGAGATTGAATTAAATTATCGTTTATCCGGTTGCAATATTTGATTTGAGGTGTCCTATCCCGCAAGATAGAATTATTACAACTTTGAAACGGAAGCCGTTCTTCAAGATCCAGAAAATTCCCCAAATTGAATGAAATTGAGTGTCTCCCCTCGGCCACGCAAAATGGTGCTGGTTTTCCCCGCCCTTCGTAATGATAATCAGCGACGACTGCGACCGATAGGGTTTCAATAGGGGTTTTCATCCAGATGCAGTTCCAACAACAAAGTTTATCGATTAGCCTCGCTCTCAGAGTAAGATATCTCAGTATGAAGTTTGCACGAAATGGCACCTCGTTGTATATAATGGAATGTAGATTGGTTGGCATTGAAGTATGACCTCCAAATTGCGATACGGCCGTTAACGAGTCGGCAGAGGGGCATAGCACAATAGTGAAGATCGCACGCGAATGGAACAAAGTCTAAATTCGCCCATTTATAAATAGACGACTAATTATATCCTCCCAATCTAGGGACTAAGAACCAATTTCTTCGGGCTACGCCCCGCCAGCACGTCTTCGCAGGCTGCCTGGATTTCAGATAACCCACCAGGTCGCTTTTCTAACGGCGTCGGTGTAACACCGCCAGCAAGAGCCGTAGGTAAATAGTCACCATACCACCATGCTGTGAAGTCTGCATTCTCCACTTTTTGGGTAGCCATGCTAAAAAAGCCGTAATGGAGGCTGACATTGGCAGCAAGACGCATCTCCTCGCTCTTCGGGCGGGTACAGACAAATTTACCACCCGCGGGCTGCAGGATGTCACTGATAGCGTTTACTCCTACTGCATCCCCAGAAGCTGTCATGACAAAGTCATATGGGCCGAGTTCCTGCAGCTTTTTAACAATCTGGTCATCTTTGTAGTCCAGGACCTCGCTCGCACCAAGACCACGCACGTAGTCGAATTTCCGCGGCGATGCTGTTGCCACGACGTCATATCCAACCTAATACTGGTGTCAACACGTTTTCTTGCCAGTGCTTCTTGGCCTTTCAAAACTCACACTTGAAGCGTACTGAACAGCATATCCTCCCACCGATCCACTTGCTCCCCAGATCAGTGCTTTTCCATGGCGATTCTCCTTGGGTTTACCCATCCCCAATTCCAAATGCAGGGCTGCTACCGCAGTTAAAAGTGCAAAAGGGATCGCTGCAGCGTCCTCAAATTTGGTGTTTTCCGGAATCTTTGCAGTCGTAGCTTCTGTTCCCACCACGTACTTCTGCCAACACCCGTATTTGGTTTTCTTCAACTGGTAAGTTGGTGTGTCTGATACGACGCGGTCGCCTTTTTTGAACTTTGTAACTGATGGTCCGATTTCATCGACGACTCCAGCCACACCGTTCCCCAAAATGAAGGGATATGGCATATCCATATAGGCTTTGGCGCGAATATTTGCATCTAAGGGCTGGATGGCAAATGCGTGGTTCTGTTAAGTGTTAACTTAGTTGATCGCTCGTCTGGTAGACCCTGCGATCTGCGGGGAACATCAACAGTCATTGCACACCTTGATAACAATTTCATTTTGCTCCGGGACTGGATACGGGGTTGGTTGAACCCGAAGGTCTCCCTTTGCCTCCAAAATCCAAGCTGCTTCATTCACGGACATCGTAAATCCACGTAAACTCGTGTACGTTCACGTTCTGATAGGAAAACACTTTCGTCGGAATGTTTAGAAAAATATGATAGCCTGCACGCTTTTGTGATATCACCTTTACACCCTTACCTCATTATATACCCTATACTAGCTTACATCATATTACTGGAAGTAATTAGGGTCTTAATCAGCACCACGCCTCACGTTACATGAAGCGGGGTGCTGATTAAGACTTAAATTAGCGTGGACAGGATTTGTGGATAAACCCATGGCTGACACTGGCGGCGCTAGCGTAGGTATGGATTGTTTTCAATGACTGGTCGCACTCCTTCTAATTAAACTGCTGAACTGGAGAATGCGGTAAAATGAATTTTAGTATTAAGAGACAAATGTGAATTGATCTGATGTTCATTCAACAGAGTCCAAATTGAAATCACAACAGTCACATGCCGATGTTCAGGAAGAGAACACAAGACGTGCTCCTATTGGCTGAACGATAAGGGAAACAAATGAAGTGAGTGGCTGTTAAAATAAGCCATCCAGACCTCACAGTGGAGCTCAGACTGTAGGTAAAGGACAAAGATTGCCATAAATGGCCGTGTGGCGCTGCGCGGCCCACACAACGGCAGACTACCGTGGTAATAAAAATTCTCGAAGCGCTTATCCCCATCTAGTTGGTCTGGAACGCGCCCTCATTTTGCGCATGTTCATCATTGTTGCCATCAAATCATACCTCAATGGTAAAGACCGCGCGTAGTAAATAGACTTGTGATTCAAGGCGTCTCTGCGATCGAAGGTCGTTGGAGGTTGGCATCGTCATCCACAGAGTCTGTCCCAGAGTTTGAGGTGAAAGAAACGAGTATACTAAAGTAGGCAACACCGACGCTAGCCCGCCATCAAATATATTTCGCTCGTCTCAAGAGATATCGATATATTCGTGAACCTGTACTCCGGTAAGGAAGCACGGGATGCTATAGAATGGGGTCATTTAGAGCAGCGTGCTACTGCCGTACTGTGATATGATGGGTATCTTTTCAGGGGCGCAGACAGAGTTCGGAGCGAACTACAGCCCAGATAAGAGGCTGCCAAGGTAAAAGATCGACGGAGACCCGCTGCTTGTACGTCCTAGGGACGGCTCAAACTGAACTACTCTGTATTCTGCTTAAGCTACATATTAATATGGCGGATGATAAGCATAATAGTGCATAAAGGTCGGATTCTAGACTAAAACATCATATCTGGCACTTGATTTCGTGTGTCCTGGGAAATAAGGTGCTTACTCGTCTGCTGCTATCGCAGCGCACGGTTGTTTAGCACCCCTGTTCCTTCCCCGCATTTCCAACCTCATCTGCAATTGCCGATCGCTTGAACCTAGGCCTCACTGATACGTCAGACAATAACACCCATACACACGGAACGGAGTAGCTAACCCCCCCACCAAAAAAAATTTGCAGTCGGGAGATGCTCTGTGTATTCACATGAGCTAGAAACGCCATTGTCTTGACAGAAGGCATGTATTGGGCTAAAAGGCACTCTGCCCCGCCTTTTGGCCCAATACAAAATTCGACAACCATGGGTACATGTCAGAGCGGGAGAGGTGATACTCCCTGCTGTTAAGTCGGCCACATCCAATGTTAATAGAACAACCCACCCAGATGGGTCGTCAATCTTTGGCCTATTATGTCGCATCCTACAGCGCTAGTGATTGTGTGCCACTCTCAAATAAAACGTCTCCTCTGATCGGCACCTTCATTTCCTCTGATCGACACCTTCATCTCCTCTGATTGACACCTCCATCTCGTGCACATACCTGATGCGTAAGGAACTACGGTGGGGAACTTGATGGTGGCATAGAGGACGTGGCACAAATGATACACAGCGACAACCGTGGAGGGCATGATAAGAAAGCTATGTATGTCCAGATCCAAGTTCTTCACCTTCATCTTCATCGAAATCGCAACTTGCACTCCTCACCAACGCCCGTCGGAGAGGTCTGATTGAGCCTCGCGAACTATCTCGATTCACCATGCCAGTAGCCCCAGCTGGTCGAGGACCTGAACTCCTTGCAACGGTTGGCTTGTTCGTCGCATTAGGCACCATCGCAATTGTTTTACGATGCTATACTAGAATATTCATTGTCAAAAGCTTTGGACTCGACGACTACTCTGCCGTCATCGCTTGGGTACACTACCTTTTCTATTCTCCTGTGTGATTTACACAAACGCTGACGAGACTTGCAAGATTCTCTTCATATTCTACAGTACATTTGCCATCTCTGGCGTGCATAACGGGACTGGCCAGCATGTTGCTGATATCCCACAGGCGGTGCTCCCAGTGGGTTTGAAGGTAGTTAGTCCTCATCGGCAAGACGAGGGTCGGGGCTAATCTCGTTCTCAGTGGTGGTGGGCATGTGAACCCGTCTACATCTTGACCTCCATGGCGCTCAAATTCAGCATTGGCGTTTTCTTGCTCCGAATCGCCGTCGCCAGGACCCACAAAATCATCATCTGGACCGTCATCATCGTCACTGAAGCCTACTCCACGTTTTTCTTCTTTCTTTTCGTCCTGCAGTGTCGTCCCTCAGCATACTTCTGGACCCAGTACACCGGTGGAGAGGGCACCTGTATTGACCCGAAGATCACAGTCTATACCTTCTACGCCTACTCAGCAATCTCCTGTGTGGGGGACTGGACATTCGGCATCCTCCCTGCCTTCATGGTCTGGAATCTGCAAATGAATTTCCGCACCAAACTGTCCGTCGCCGCCATTCTTGCCGTCGGTTGCATGTGAGCATCCTGCATTCCTTCCACCCACTCCGTCCCCGCAATCGCAGATCAGACCTGACCCATCCCTAGTGCCTCAACCGCCACGATCGTCCGCATCCCATTCATTAGTGGCATGGCCCATATCAACGACTTCCTCTACTCCACCATGGACGTTGCGATCTGGTCCACGGTTGAGGTCGGCATCGGCATCGTCGCCTCCGCTGCAGCGACCCTGCGCCCGCTCTTCCGCGTCTTCTTCGGCGGCAGCATGGGCACAGGCGGTGGCAGCTCCGCCCCAGAGCTCTCGAACCATTGGCCGAAATCTGGCTACATGCGCAGCAGAAGCACCACCGAGGCGTTTGCGCTTCGCAGCGATATTGGCAAGACCGGCGGCGTCACGACGGTCATCGAGTGGGATGTGCATACGAAGAGGGGCCAAACCAAAAAGGGGTCGCATGATCGGAATGTGGACCCTGGAGGGTGGAACAACAGTGATGCCCAATTAAGGGGGAACAGTAGTGATGACGAGCCGACTTGGAGAGGGGGGATTATGAAGACGACTGGCATGACGCAGACGACGCATTAAGCTGAGAACGAAGACGAGTGTGTGCGATGATACCATTTCTATGCCAACTACTTCACTAAATTTCAGAATGACCTAATAGGGAAATTTATATTTATATGCATAATGAAATTTCTTAGCTCATTGATGCCGATATCCTTCCTAGAACGCGCGGGGTGTGTTGGTGCGCAGACGCTAGCGATGGGCTGATACCTCCCACCCGCTCTGCAACCCAACTTCCCAGTCATGCCGCTGGGGGGTCGTGGTCTGTTCCCATGCACGTTTTAAGTAAGTCGAGGGGTGCATGATTCACGTTTACGATTTCCAGAGAGCTTTGTGCGAAGATTGCGAGCTCATTAGCGCCTGGCTGTATTAATGGAGAAGGTTGGACGCTACCACCGTTTTTAGTAGTTCAACGCAAATGGGTGATTAAACCGATGGGGAAAGGTTGGGATTTTTGGTTTTGGCCCCTATGCTAGTGGGGTTAAGGGCCAAGAACGCAACCACTGCACGACCCTAGACTCGGTACTTATGTGCTCTTCCCCTCTTCCAGATTCTTTGAAATTCCAGCTCCGGATATCTCCGTAAAGTGATTTTAGCACGTGAAACTGACCATAATAGAAGAACCCCGTACAATTATGCTAGTACTGAATGGCGGCTATAAATATAAGATTTCTGTATTGATTTTGCTGCCTACGCTTCATGAACCAGAGTGAAAACTACTTGTATTATTTTCAAAATACCAGTAGAACCAGTCGCTCTCGAGCAACCCTGAGGACGTGGGATCGTAGGGGGCCGTTTGGCTGAGAGGCGTCCGAGCGCTGATGATCGCAGGAGCAACTGGTCACCCATGAGGACTAAACTAAACTAATTCCTTCATGATAAATGGCCAAGCAAAGACCACATGCACATTGGCTTACATAATGTTATTATGGACTATCTAGTAATAAATATGGTCGTTATGCGCTCCTTCAAAGCTATAGATCTGTCATTTACATGCTAAATTAGATTAGAAATACATAGTCATTTTGTTAGCTTTTCCTAGCTACTTTAGTAAGGAATTAACCATGTCTACATAACAGTAGGCTTATAGATTAAATAGAAAGGTTTTCTATTTAATCTATAAGCCTACTGTTATGTAGACATGTATCTTAGACAAAAGTACTTTAAACTAAAGAAACTATCTTCTTAGCTAACAACTTTACATTACTAAGGAACCTTATACTAATATAATTATACTTCTTATCCTTAATAATAAATCTGTAAGATGTAAGTTTAATCTTAGATGCTTTATATAGGAGTAAGATTAATAACTTATACCCTATTAAACGACGTGTTGGCGCAGGGGTTGCGGGAACTCGCCGTAACAGTAAGCTTGCAGTGGTCTATAGAATAGACCTTAGATATAGCATGAAGGCTTTGTGTAGGGTCTTTTTTAGATAGCCTAGATAGCTAAGGTCAACTTTCTCTCGTCACTTTTTTGTTGAGGCATGTCGTGTTGTTGAGAAGTACTATGTTTGGTTGGGTAGTGGGGGTGGTCGTGGAATTTTGGCACATTCGCTTGTCTGCCACATTCGTTATACATGTACGTTAAAGAAAAAATACGAATCAATTTCACAGGAACAATGAACTAATCCTGCTTTTTGACAGCATTTTTTCGTCCCAAGTAACTCAAATTTTAACCATAACTTCCAAAACGGGCTTATAGCTCTTTCCTCACCCGACTGCTAAAGTGAGAATTTCCCACTACCAGAGTAACCCTCAGGAATCGGGCATATGTCTCTGCCACCCGCTAATATCTCCAACGCAGGGCGGCACAAAGAAGTCAATCGAACGGCAAGCCGAACATAAGCTCTAAAACCACAATCTTATAATCTTATATAATATTACGAAGTTCACATCCATTTCAAACAATTAATTATTTTCTTGAAGTCACGAGCCACGGGGTCAGGTGACAGGAGGCCACGAGGCTTCAGGATGGCACGGAGCGTTCCATTAATCTGTCAAGGCCCGAACCTTGCTAGCACGCCCCAGCGCGGGTCGTATACCCGAACGCTGGATCATGGCTAATGACAAAGGGCTTGCATCCACCAGAAGCCCCATAGCGAAGGCTTCCAAGCCTCTTTAATGCTTGTGTAGGCGTTATCGACTGGTGGGAATGAAGGGTTACATACTTTTCCAGCCCTGCGACTGCCTATGAGGCTGTGTTTTGGGGGCCGCGTTTCATCACAGTACGACAACCCCAGAAATAGTTTTTGCTGCCTAAGCATTGTTCAACCCTGTCTGACCCCCCAGAACAGCTTCTTCATGTGACGAGGGGTATTGCGGCGGTATCGCAATTACCCACTCTTCCGATGTTTTCCACGCTGTAAATTACGAGTGCGCTTGTGCTATCGCACGCATAACACCATAGTCACACCGTAAAGCGCGCCGACCCTCGCGGCGGCTATACTTTCGGAATGTCCGGCGCTGAAGCGCTGGCCCTTATCGGGATCATTTCGAGTACTCTCCAGCTCGTCAGTTTCAGCTCGCAGGTGCTGCGGCGGATAAAGGACTACAAAGATGACACCACGAGCCTGCCGAGAGAGTTTTGGGCGTTACAAGATGTGCACCTTAATCTTCATGTCGCTACTGGGATAAAGGACTAACAATATACAGCAACTACCCCTCATTTCGCATGCGCTCCACATAACATGGAAGCAGACCCAGTCCGACGAACTCGAGGAGGAGGCATGCAAGGCGCTTGTTCCGGTTATCAACGCCTGCCATCAGGAGGTTCTCAAGTTGAAGGCGATATTGGAGAAGGTGGCGCCCTCAGCTGGTGATGCAGGATGGAAGAGAAACTGGAAGGCCCTCACGAGCGTTTTCCACGACAAAGATGTCGAAGCCGTGGCAGCGGGTCTGGCGCAGTCGCTAACAGTCATCAACCACTATCATGGAGCATATACGGCCGCAACAGCGGGTTCGATCCTGCAGAAGTTGACTGCTATGGCAGAGATGCCCAAGAAAGTCGAAGTCGAGGTTGAAGTGCCCGTCAAGCATTTCATTGCTCCTACTGTCTGGACGGACGATTTTGCTGGACGAAAAGATACCATAGAGGCGCTAGAGAAGTTGCTAGCAGGCGAAGATAAACATCGTCGAATCTCTGTCATCGGGCTTGGTGGGGTGGGGAAGACTCGACTACTGCTGCAATATGCGTATCGGTTCAAGGACTCGGACACTCACTCGGTGTTCTGGATCCACGCTAGCAGTATGTCTCGAATGAACAAGACGTGCGCCGAAATAGCGAGGCTCGTAAAAATCAAAGGATGGGAAAACCCCATGTCCAACAAGATCGAGCTGGTGAAGGATTATCTTGAAAGTCCGAAGTCGGGCAAGTGGACGCTTTTACTAGACAACGCCGACGACTATGACCTATTCTACGGATCTGGTAAACTGTCGCAGTCAATACCACGCTCGGATAATGGCTCCATACTTATGTCAACTCGCGATGGAAGAGTAGGAATGGAATTCGCGAAGAGAAACTCAATTTCGCTCGGAGCATTGTCCCTCGAGGAGTCGATTACATTGCTTGATACCCGCCTTGGGGTGGAAGACAATACTTTCAACGATCTCAAAGAACTGAGCGAGGAACTCTGCGGCATACCTCTCGCACTCGTTCAAGCGTCGTCATTTATAAAACAGAACTTCCTTTCTATCTCTAGCTACCTCGAGATCTACCGCTCAAGCGACAAAGATAAGATCGAGCTCCTCAGTGAAGACTTTGACGACGACTACCGGGACGACGAAATCCGCAACCCGATAGCGACGACATGGAGCCTCTCGTTTGAGTTCATTCAAAAAAGAGACCCGCTAGCTGCCGAGATACTCTCTGTCATGAGCATGCTCGATCCGCAGGCGATCCCCGAGTCTCTCATTTACAACGAGAAGAGCACCCTTAAATTCAGCAAGGCAATGGGCACGCTGCAAGCTTTTTCTCTGATCACCTCACGTGCGGATGGCCCAATATGGGAGGGCCGACGAGACAAGTCATTTGACCTTCACCGACTAGTCAGGCTAGCTATGCGTAGTTGGCTAGCCCATCATGACCGACTTGAGATGTTCACGGCAAAGGCTTTGGGAATCATGGCAGAGCGATACGTGCACAGCGACTGGGATACTAGGGCCAAGTGGGCGGCGTACCTTCCCCATGCTGTTGTGCTTTTACAATCGGATCACCTGAAAGAGATTGAGAATATGGCCAACACAAAGGTATCCCATAACGAGAAGGATGGAGCTGTCAGCCATGTACCAGAAGGGACTGTATGTCCAGTTTGTGCAGGGAAGTTGCTTGCCATCGTATCGATGTGCCGGTATACTATTGGCAATCCGACGGCAAGTTTGCAGGAGGCTGAGAAATCGTATACCCTTAGACTGTAAGTTGGTTCTTTATAATATTGGAGTGTTATCTAACAATTGTACAGGAGATTCCTGGGAGAAGATCATCCAGATACACTAGAAACCCTTGATCTTGTCGCCAAGGCCGCAAAAGATCTGTACTTATTCCCCAAGGCCATGGACGCATGTTTCCGCGCCATAAAAGGCAAAACAGACACGCTCGGCCCCGACCATCCGTCGACGCTCAGAAGCATGGCATATCTAGGGATTGTATACCGGCCGATGGAAAAGCTCCAAGAGGCGAAAGAAATTGGAACCCATGTGTTGGAAAGACGGCGTGAGGTTTTGGGAAATGAGCACCCGGATACTCTTATCTCGATGAGCTATGCAGCAACTGCATACCGTGCGCTTGGAGACTACGATAGTGCGGCGAAGTTGGAAGCCGAAAAGCTGAAAGGCTGGACGAAGCTATACGGACCATCACATCCACAGAGCTTAGATGCCCTGGCTTTGATAGGTTGGGCATACGCATGCCAGGGGAAGTACGTGGAAGCTGAAAAGCTCATGTCTCACTCACTTGCTGTTCAGCTCGAGACCAGACCAACACACTGGTTCACATTCTGGACAATGCATTCCTTCTCCTGTCTCCTCGGCATGCGAGGTAAATACTTTGAAGCCGAGGAGTTAACAGAGCAAGCACTCGATTTTAGGACCCAGTACATGGGCCTCTCACATCCTTATCGATACATATCTCTCTTATACCTCGCCTGGCTCTACAATGAAACTGGTCGGTATGCTGAAGCTGAGATGATCGAGCTGGAGGTTCTTGAGTTTAATCAGAAATTTTACGAAGGCGACACACACCACGAGGTACTCCTCACTCGCTCCCAGCTCGCCTCAACCTACTCATTCATGTCGCGCCATACCGAGGCCTACGCCATCAAAACTGCCGTCTACAACATCCGTCTGGAGACAAAAGGCGAAATCCACCCGGCGACACTACGATGCAGATCTAGCCTTGGCGCAACACTTACCTCACTCAGCCGCCTTTCCGAAGCAGAGCCCCTTCTAACTTCCGCACACGACCTCCAGAAAATCCACCTCGGCCACGAGCATCCAGAAACTCTAACAACTCTATCTCGCCTCGCGACGCTTTACGAGCGCCAGTCCCGCCACCACGAGGCCGCAGGCCTGTTTGTCGACGTCCTCCAGGCGAGCGAGCGCGTGCTTGGTGAGAAGCATCCAAGGACACAGGCACGGGCTAAGGATGTCCAGCGCTCCGAGGACTCTCGACGCGGATTAGAGACAGGGACGGCGCCTAATTTGGGGGCGAAGCTGGTGGTGAAGGCGTTTGCGCAGGGGAAGGGAGGGGGCCAAAAGATGCCGTCGAAGCTAGACACGAGGATTACGGATGATATCATGAACTTTGCGGTGGGGGGAGATGGGGAACGTAGGGCGGGGAGTTGGACGGCGTGAGGAATGCGACAGCGCTAGGGTTGAGGGGAGATGGTTATTGGATAGGTTCCTTATTGAGGAGAGGCCAACTTATTTTATACTTGCATGATAGTAGTTCGCGCGAGTGCTGGCACCGCCGTAGTTCTATTTCATCGGCAGGGAAGCGGGAAGCGGGCCTTAAGGGCATCGTGCCGACGCGAGCAAAGGGTCTAGTGGAGCCACAGGGAGGAGTCTATCCACTCCCACGGTTCGCGCCGGCGTTAGAGGCCAGGCACTCAAATCACGAAAAACGAAGTAATGCGAAGTCCACATTTCCGTGTCAAATAACTAGAAATATCAAATAAAGAGTTGCCTTCAAACTCCACGTGACCCGCAAGGATCGAAATCCCATTGAGGGCTTTGTCAGCCTAGATGGGCCGTAATTTGATTGTTCCAGCCACTAATCCATCCCCATAGATTGCTCCACAGTAAGCGTGGCTACGGCGGATGTCTCGCCGAACCTCCATGACAGGGCGGAATATTTACATCGCCCAAACTGCAGCAATTGCTTCTGTCACCTTCAACCCTCTTTCTCTATCTCTGGTATTGGGTACATTGGCTGCACCTGCACGCTGAATATCTATCTCTCAAAGTTTAAAGCGCGTGGTAGCCGGCCCTACGTTTGACAGCATATTCTCAGGTTATACCAAGGATTGTGTCAACTCCTTTTACAAAAGGCCGCCGCTCGCTCAACTGCAGCTGAAATACTGAGCATACCACAGCTCGAAGTTTCAAGCAAGTATGCAGAACGCTACGAGCAGCCAAGTAGTGCAGGGCGTATCGGCTGTGCTTGCCGTTGCTGGTCTGTTGTGCTACTTCAGAGACGGGGATTCAACCTCATCGAATCTGACACCAAAGGAAATTGAAGAGCAAATTGGGAGCTGGTTTTCAAGCAGGAACGGATGGACGCTATTCAGCGCGCCGGCGCTACCTCTCGGGCCCGCAATCAGTATACAGCAGGCTGAGAAATTCTGCGGTGCCAATAACCTCCGTCTCACGCGGCACCCTCACGACGGGATGGGAACAAACGGATGGGCCACACTCCTAAGCTTTATCCGACCCGATGTTTCCCTCTCTACCTCAACTACCACCAAAGGCACCACTGGCTTTGACCCCGTGACCGCCTGGTCGGACGTCCCCCTTGTCCCCCTCTCCCTCCAAGACGGCAAGCTCTGCGTCCCCATCTCGCGCGCAACGCTCATGACGCTGTTCGCACTCACCAACGCACGCTGTATCTTTACCTACTCCGACGCCGCCGGCCATCGCGCTGCCTATCCCTCCTACGCGGGTCAGTGGGCTGTCACCTGGCCTATCCGCGAGCAGTGCATCGTAACTTTTGCGGCGCATGACGGAATGAACGCTATGAAAGACGTTTATCCGCCGTCGTTCCCATTGCGTGCTGGGAAGTGCGTCGAGATGCTGGCGGGGATCGTGGACGATGGTATGGGGTGGAAAGCCGCATTTCCTGGCAGGGCGAAGAAGCACGGCCCATGGGTATTGCAGGAGAGGAAGAAGGGGTTTCCGGGGGCGCATGGGAGCCGACACTTGTATAATATGGCGGGTGGGAAGTCGGCGGAGGTAGATTTCTTGGCTCTTGCACCGGCTGGAGATCTGAGTGCCAGCAAGGAAGACACAAAGCTCGATGTGCAGTGTTCGGCGCCGGACATCGAGACGGCAAGTATAATCGTCAAGAAACATGAGCAGGAGCTCTTGAGGCGGGCACTGGATTGTCTGCCTTGGACGCATCTGTCTTGGTCGATGCATCGCGGTATGAGGGATATTCTACTTGCCTATGGGTCTGAGGTCATGAATAGCTATCGCGAGGAGTTGGCAGGTCTGATTGGGGACATTGTGAGAGACAAGAAGAGTGCCTTGGTCGAAGCTGGATGGTCTCCTGAGTTTCTACGGACGTCCATGGCAGAAATGGCTTCGTCATCTGTTATGTTTGGACGGGGAAACAGTGGAGATCTAGTGCGGATCGTGGCTGGTCTCGTGGATATCCTCGTTGAAAATTCCGAAGGCTGCGAATCCATTAACAAAGATCAAACATCTTTCTGGAGAAGCTCTGAGAGGCCGGCGAAGTTAGATTTAGATGGAATAGTGGCGCTGACGAAGTTTTTCGTCTTGGAGTGGTCGCAGGAGCTGAATTACCAGCTCTATCACCAGTTACCCGCTACCGTGTATTTATCATAAAGAGGGGCGCTATTATGAGCACTCCTATGGCTGTGTCGATTTAACACTTCCAAACCAAGCCTGCTGTGATGAACGATCCCATAACTGCTAATTCCGTTCCATTACGTGCCTAGCTTGCCACCCATTTATCCACGGCGTCCACCATGTCGCAATCGGATGAGGTTCACAGCTACGGCCGCAAGGCAGACAGTGAGGTACGTTGCAGCCGAGATGCCCTTTCTATGTTCACATTTTAGGCTATGTATAGCTGACCAAGGCGAGCAAATTCAAGGAGGATATATATTGTACGACAGGTCACGTCAGCCGCCTGCATGTAATTCGGGTCCTTATCAACGTCTCATCGGATACAGCGGAATTGAGATGTATAGGTTAGTGACTATTCGAACATTTTCCAACGTAAGATGATGCACAAGTAAGCTTTTCTCAGTTACCGTGAGGTTCTTGGATGAATGGCATTGAGGTTACTCCGCGTTCCTGTCAGCCCGCGTCAACCTGTGACAGCGGCTACACTTGACAGGGACAGAGCGCCTATTTCTGTCGGTTGTGCTGTTCCTCACATAGGCTATTTCCCCGCACGTTATAGTGCCAGACATGGAACAATGCTACGCTAAGGTAAACTTAGGTGCGCAAGCTCGCGTGCTTCATTACTGAATATAGATCCTCGATTATTGAAAAATTAATATCTGGAAGACCTCCCTTCTCGTTCACAAACTGCGAAGGGCCAACCGGGAAAAATATGAGTATTTTTAAGGACAAATTCAGCTTCAATGATGTATTTTGCCCACCAATATCTAGGAAATACCTCGTGGCAAAATCCTTGATCCTCCAAGGCAAACTGACAGCGGGCTTATAAATTTGCCGGATATCAGAAAACGGATGGTCCCTGAGTCGTCCGGGGATAAAAGACACCGGCGACGCACATATCTATGCACATACGCCAGCCAAGGCGGTGCGGGTTTACGTTCTCGCCCGACAACACTTCAAGGCGTATATTATCTTACTCTTGGCACGATGATATCCAGCGCCAAAGATCGCGAGAAAACGACAAGAGCGGGTGTTGAGATGTGCCGTATTATCTTCACACGATGAACAGAGGCGAACCCAAATAAAATTCCAGGCTTGAGATGAAGTGATGTGAGAAAATAATGTATAAAGAGGACGTGAAATCCCGAAAATCCTTTCCCTTTACTCTCACATCACCTCATCTCAAGCCTTCCAGCTCCAACCAAGCAATTCTCAAAAACAAAACCCAAAGTCATGAAGCTCTCCAACGCCTTCACTCTCCTCCTACTGCCGCTAGCGGCCCTTGCCAACCCCGTCCCCGAGCCTGAGGTCGTGAAGGGTGAAGTCGTGAAAGGCGGCTACACCCCCCGCGATATTATTGCCCTCCGCGACGAGGATGCTGAAGTGGCGGGCCTCGTCCCCCGCGCCACCGTGGTCTGCAAGATCGTCAACGTCGTGACGACTGTCAGCTGCCGCTGGAACCCCTGGCATGCAGGGTGGAATGGCAATGGAAAATCTGCGGTCCGCACCGATTTCAAGCCTAATACAGGCCATGACTTTAGCTGCTACACGGTCGGAGAGTGCATTGGCGGGAACTGGTTAGTATTGCTTTTCTCGGCACGGGAGAGGGCCTTGAATCGTTGGATGAGATAGCTGACAAGGGTTGAAGCACATGGGACTGGGCTCCGAACTGGAGTTGCTATGTTCCAGGATATTACACTGACTCCAAGTGTACCAAGGGTGGGCCTCCCTTACCCTTGTTTTATAGATTTTGAGAGATACTAACAAAGCACAGCTGCCCTCGGACCCTGTCCATGGCCAGATGTGCCAAACAGCTCTCCACCAGCAGGACTATGGGACTAAATCCCAAGACTCATACCCCCTTGTTACTAACACTAGCATGCAAATAGACACCTATAATCGAAGGTTAAAGGTTGAAAAGTGCCGAGGGTGGATGGGGTTGTTGTGAGAGGTGAGCTGGGGTTTGTGCCATTTTATCTTCATAGCTTAGCTACTTCCGTCAAACTTTATGCAGTCGTAGAACATAATTTATGATTACTACGCATGAGTGGTTTCCGTCTCTTAAAATAAACTGGCGGATGAGCGAGGACATTAGAAAGAGACGGCTGGATATGAGAACGTGTGATAAGCAATGTGGCACAGACACTGTCCCGCGGCTGACTTTTAGCAGGCTGGGTCTCCTTATTTATGCTAAACTTGATGATGTATATATTCTGATAGATTACTTTCATTTTTGTATTTATTTTTAAACTTTATACAAGGTTGTGGCTGCTGTTTTCAGCGGGTTTGGTTGCTGCTTTATGCAGCCTCGCTCTGTACGCGGCGTAACCAGTGAGAAGAATGCCAAGGCGATAGTGGCTGTGTATACACGTTGACCTGCATGCCGACATCTTGAAGGTGTCGAGGAATGGCCTCTCTTTCTCCTCGATTAACTCATTCCGACTCCAAATAATTTCTTCCCATGGATGGACTCTCAGCAGCTGCCAGCGGCATTGCCGTCGTCTCCCTCGCTATCCAACTCGCAGAAAGTGTCAAGAAACTCCACGACTTCTGGGAGTCTGTCAAAGACGCACCGAAACATTTCTGTGCAATTCAGACAGATCTGCGATTGTTATCTACGATTCTTGAGAAGATCGATTGTGAAGAGGATTTATCTGATCCATATATTCGCGATGTGTTGAAGAATTGTGAAGGGCAAGTTGCGTCGCTTGTTACAACTGTGAGCGATATTGTTCCTGGCTTCAAGGCTGAAAGTCGACGTACTCGAGCATGGGCTACTTTAAAAGCCGCGTTCAAGAAAGAAAAAGTCGGCGAGTTCAAATCATGTTTACAAGAGACGATGTCAACATTACGTCTTGCACTGATAATGGCGAGGTTAGTCTTCTGTATAGTGCACTGTTTCATCATTACTGAAGTGTATTAGCCATACATCCCATACTACGCAGCATCAAGCACTCAAGAAGGAAATAGAAACCCTTCAACTGCAGCAGACACTTCAACTACACCAGACGACCCAAGCTGTAACGACCTTATCGAAGATCTCGGATGATCTTAACAACCACAAGCTGGAAATACTCGCTGCTGTCCATCAAATGATGCCTGGCAGTTCTAATCCAGTGTACCGACACGGGGTTGAATTTGGTCTCAAGCAGGCATTTGAACAAATATCGAGTGTTACAATGAGCGAGGTCGATGCTCAACCTACACCCTCGACACGACGTTCCACAACCAAACGCCGCCAGGTCTATGAAGGGACAAGAATTTATAAAAGATACCAAACAAGTACTACGAGTACCATTTTTGGTACATTTCATATCTCTTCTCAGACATGTGCACTTATTCCGGAAGGAAGTGACGAGGATGACGACGACGTGCAATACGAGCATTTCACAACAATTCGAGTCCATCCTAGCTGGTGGCTCATAAAAATGGGTTTTCAATATCACATCAATGCTATGATAACGCAAACCTCGCAAGAATGGCGGCCGTTATTTCTCAAGTCTTACGCGGTACCTGACGACGCTATTATTTTTAGCCTCTGCGACACAGGAGACATTGAGGCTGTTAAAAAACTCTTCTCAGCCCGAGTAGCCACGCCATGGGACACAGATTTTAGAGGCTGGACACCCTTGCATGTAAGTTTTAATAAAAGTTAGGTATATGAATATCTCCATAATAGCATCATTCTAGATAGCAGCACAAAATCATGATGTAGAGCTATGCGACATTTTACTAAAAGCTGGTGCATCAAAAAATGCAATGGCATTATATGCTAATAAAAAGCATGATTGGTATGGAGCAACCTTTACTACTAAAAGTCCGATATAATTGTCCTGTTAGGACTTTTATTTAACTTGTTTAATAGGTCTCCTCTTCACGCACTTGTTGAAGCTGGGATACCAGACTCTCGGCGATTTATCAACACCTTCCGTCTTTTTACGTCTGAAATTGATCTCTCAGACGACATTACCCAAAAAGGAGAAATATGTCCTATATATATGATGATTGAATCTCACTGCAGTTCTCGTCGCTATTCTTTCGGCGCAAAAGAAACATACCCAGACACTGCATGGGCGCTCGCTGCTGCTTCGTCAAATAATATGGATATTGTATATCCAGGCTTTTGGAGCGAGGTAATAGACTATGTAGTAATCGTTGAGAGTTTATATCTGGATGAACTACTTAATTCTATTCTAAATATAGGGCCTTCTATTATTACAGGACTGAATACATCTCCATGCGACCGGCGCTCTATTTGTCACAGTTATGTTCAATTTGAACAATTTTTAGAAACAGTTTTAGACGTTTCTAAGCAAAGGTGGAAGCCTTCATATCATCTCTGAAGATGTCAGCTTTCGCCAACCACATACGCCTACATCGCTCTCACTCTGCAGCCCAGAGTCATTCCATCTGTGGGCGACTTTTATAAAAGAATCCGTGGAAAATCTTGAACAATTTTTGGAGGATGAAATTTCTGCTGGTGTGGTGGTAGAGGATGGGTGGGATACAAATTCACTTCGAATTTTGTTTAATATGGATGTTAATCCTTATGAAGAGGATAGCTGTCAATTATGTACGGAGTATACATATAACGACTACTCAGTGGAACATATCAGCTCCATTAGACACCCTTGTTGGGAAAAAAAACTACCTGGGATTAAATGGGCAACATTCGCAACCTAGGCTGGCGGGCCAAATACAAACTCCTCTGCAAAAACTGCTGGAGTCTTTCCCAACAAGAAGTTGAGCAGGCTCTTGAAGATGCCAGAGAATCTGAAGGACCGATTGAGGAAATAGACAGCGAAGACTCGTCAACGGAGTCCGACGCAGAAAGCGAAGAGTTATCATCGGATTATGACTCCCCTTTCCTTCTCTCATTTGGCTAGGACGGTTCTTATGGATTAGAGTTCGGGGATATAAGAAAGTATGCCACCTTAACAAGTCCAACTCACAAATTCACAAACTGATTTATTATTGTAAAGGGACGAACTGTGGAATATCTCGAATGCCACTTGGAAATTCTAATAAAATAGATGGGCAGCTGTTTAAGAAGCGGCAATCATGATAGCATAAATGGACTGAACGCGCCTTGGCTTCGTCTAACATTGAGGTCTCCGAATAACACTAAGCAGCAAGATAGAGTCAACTAGCGAGTCGTTATGTTGAACATCCCCCAATGATGCTGCAAGTTGCTATTTGGTGTGTTGTAGGGGAGGTAGGTGCTTGTTTAACATCACTCTCGTCGGTTTTGCGTATGATTGATGGCTTTGGAGCGGGATTGTGGTTGTATAATTTAACATAGTCATATTCATACTGGCCATCTTGAACAAAAGTAAGACGCTGAATGGGAGGATGCTGCTCTTGAGAACGAGGGTTTTTGAACGGAATGATAGATCTATCTCCCTCATGCAGCTGCACGATACACGTCCTCAATTTCACTTGCATACTCTTTCGTAGTTAACAATCGCACAACCGAACCCTTGCTAGCCCTGTGAAACGGCTTTTCGGGATCGCTAACAATAACCAAGTTCTTCGGAATCCTTGCATGCTCCGGAACAAGTGCATTTGCGCTCTCCAGCGCTGGCCAAACCTCCTCAATCAGAGCATCCGCCGCAATCTTCGGGTCCTTTGGTTCAAGCAATATCCCGCATTTCGTATGATCCCATCCAAACACCAATGCCCCTTTCAACGATGGATGGCTTTGCAAGCTCGTTTCGATGTGCACTGGGTTGACTTTTAATGCGTTGCTGAGGCCGATTATATCGTCGACCCTGCCCTCGTATTTCCACAAGTGCTCAAAGCCGGGGTCTTTGCATCGGCTCACCAAATCCTTTGATCGCCATTCATCTATGTCAGGAAAGACATCAAAAACCATGCGAGACCAAGCGAGGTTTGGGTCGGGCTGCCGCCGGGACACAACTTCGTATAGCTCGGAATCTGGAGCGGTTTGCTCTACTGACGGTCCTGTGATGGGGTGGAACTCCATATACTGCCAGTGGGACTTTGGGGGCGACATCATAAAATAAGCGCCGACTTCCGTGGAGCCGAATACCTGCCAGAGATCTGCATTGGTGTTGTTAACAATCCATTCTCCAGTGCTAAAAGCCAATGGACCTGATATGTAGTGTTAGCAGTGACTTTCAAAATTTGTTCTTGCTCGGACAGGAGATCCATCCAGAGAGAACGATTAGGCCTTGAAATTTATAACGTACCTCCCAGCCAGCATATATGTCGCAACGAACCCAGATATGGGCGTATCTCATCTCTGTACTCCGAGAATACAACATCGAACATGTTTGGAACCATGATGATGCCATCTAGTTCAATCCTCTTCGCAATTTCAACAACCATCTTTCCTGTCAGCGGACAAACTGGTGGGCCAATCACTGAAATTGCTGGGCAAAATATCGCATAGACGCCGAAGAATATTCCACTTAGATGGAAGAATGGAGTGGATGACAGAAATGGCTTGTTCTTTGCAATCATGCTGTATAAACTTAGCGACATTCGTCCTGGTATTGACGGGTTGCGGTAGGAAGCATCCGGAAAGGCCAAAACCTTATTTGTATAGTATATGGGCTTCGGGGCACCTGTCGAGCCTGATGTATGTACTATCATGACAACATCATCTTTTGCTTCTTCCCAAGTCTTGGTGTATAAGTAAGGCTTAGACGGAGTATTTATCATTTCATCCAGGTCCGGAACTTCCACAATCCGCAGGCTTGCCACGAGGCTTTGCAGCTGGATGCACTGTTCCTTGCAATTGCCAGAGTAAAATACCATGCCACACTTGGTGGCTTCAAGCAGCGACACTGTGTTTGGAAGGGCATTCTTAGGGCTTGGAAGAAGCAGCGGATGCCCGATCTTGATAGCAGCAATCTCCATGACCCAATATCTGAAGTCCTGGGTGCCGATATATGCAATCGTATGAGACAAGCTGGGTTGGGATTCTAGCCAGTGTGCAGTGTAGTTCACAGCTTGGGAGAGCTGCAAGGCCGTATATGAATTGAAGCCCTCGGATATATCAACCTTTGCAGACATTGCCAAAACATGGTTCGGGTCTGTAGATGCAAGGCCATCCAGGACTTGGGGAAGAAGCCTTGTCCCGTGACCGACTGTGTCGTTTTGGTCTTGAGGAGAAGAAGTGCCATTCGGGACGGAGGACGAGGAAGCCATACTGATCAATATTCCCCTGGGGCAATGAAGTAAATATCGAAAAAGAAATTGTTGGTCTTTCTCCTCAAAATATAATATCTCGTACATCTTAGTATCAGAGCGCAGGTTATTTTCTCTTTTACTACGTTTACTATCAGCCCATTTTTTGTCAGCTTACAGACTAAGAGCACCTTCTCATACGTACGTCGGTACGTATCTGTTCCCCGTGTATCATCGACCAAATCTACCACCAATATAATCTGTGAACCGGCGAACCGCCGAATCGCTTGGTAGTCTCCATGTTCTTCCGGGGAGGTCAAAAAGGCTAGTGAGTACTAAAATCTCACAAGAGATCCCTTCGACTAAGGCGAACACAAGAGATCTTAGCGGCTGAGATGTTCGCCTTCTTTGCTCTAGTGTAACTTTACATCGTAGCTTTGCGCTGATACAAGCATTCCGTGATGACAAGACAACTTGTCTGCGCTTACGGCAATGGATGCTGACGTGAATCCGAATGCGACAGCAACACGCCTTGTGGTGTCATCCTCGCCTGGTTACCCCCGTTTGATGCTTCTTGAAGCCAATAGGGATTCGATTGATACCTTGGACGTCGGCTATGTGTTATATGATGTGTTTTTTGAGGCGTGCTCGGTCCATTGTGGAATCATTCCTTCGCTCTTCGGTGAAAATTCCGGCCTGGTGGACACAAAATCATATTTGGCATTATATTAACATACCCCTCAAGTTACCATCCAAACTCCCCCCCCGATTACCCCTGTTATCTTATATACGTTACCCCTTCCATTCCCTCACCCCCCCCCCCCCCCCCGGGATCATCGCCCCACTCGCACGTTGTCGGTATCACATTTCTCTTTCGGACAACTTCCCTCCCCCTAATGCTGTCCCGCCAACTCGTGCTTCGCCCTCGAATCCAACTCAACCACATACCTACTATCCATCTCCGCCGGCACCGTCCCCGCCGGATAAAACTTCCCCTTCCCATCCCCCCCCACCACCCCCACACCCCCCGGCCTCCTCTGCCTCCGCAACACCATCCCCAAAGCAATCAAACTCGCCACCAAAGCCGCGCCCAGCACCGCTCCCACCGACGCCCCCACCACAGCCGTATTATCCTTCGGACACTCCTCTGCCGTCGTTCCGCTCTTGGTCTCGCTCACGGCTGTTGTCTGGCCCGCGGCGTCTAGCTTAACTGTTTTGGTTTCCGTCTCTGTTACTACCACCGCACTGCCCGTCAGAGTCGTCGTCGCCCCGCCGCCTAGGACGGTACGTGTGATTGCCTTGGCGATCGGGAGGACGTCGCGTGGGTTTAGGGTGATATGGGGGAGGGAACAGCATTTGTCGCCGTCGGGGCTGCAGCACCAGTTCGCGTCTTCGCAGGAGTGGAGGTTGTATGTGAGTGCGCCGGTATCTATCATCCATCGTCAGTCCTTGTCCCCCCAAAAATCACGCCCTTAACCCCCCCCCCCACGCTCTGCAACAAAAACTCCCACGGAAAGAAAGGGGAGAGGAAACTCACTTTTACAATAAGTCTGACAAGCAACATCCTTCCCCGTCGGATCCGTACACCCATACGCCACCAAAAGCTGCGCAATCGTATTCCCATCCTGACTATAGCACAACCCCCCCCCAATACATATATCCGGCGGATCCTTGGTGAGGTTGCAGCATGCGACGTGGCTACCCGCTGGCAGATCCGCTTGGCATGGTTTGATGTCCGAGCTTTGGAGAGAGCCGTTTACGCCGTAGCATTTTTGGTCGTCTGCTGCTGTTGAGGGGCCGGCGGCGGAGAGGAGGAGGAGGAGGAGGCGCGGGATGAGGGCGGGGAGGTGGCGGCAGTGCATTGTGAGGTCGCTGCGTGCGGTGGGATCGCGGGGTGGGTGGATTGATGGGTGAGCGAGCGACGGCGAGGAGGTTGAGGGTGAGGGCGCGATGGGGATAAAAAAGGCTCACGACGTCGGTCCAGCCATACCGTCCACCCTGTGTCACCGAACCCCGAACACGAGCTATTTCCAGCCACCACCCGGGGTTAATTTTCCCACCCCTCAGCTCTCCCAATGGGGATTTTATGAAGGATTCTGATCTGCGAGGCTGAAGCCTCGGGTGCATAAATGACGGGTCTTGGCGAATCAGAAGATCGGGATAGTAGGGGTGGCCCGGATCCTTCATCTGGACTTTGCGGGACGATGAGGGGGTTGGGGGCTGTGATAGGTGGGTGTGGAGGGGGGTAATTCCACTGTGGGTTACGGCTGGACTGTGCGGGTAGGGCGATGACCGATCCGGGCCGTGGCGCAGGGGGAGCTGGATATAATTTGGAATTTTTGTGGAATTTCTGAGCTTGGGATTTACTGAATAGATGGCATCGCTAGCATCGCTGAATGGGTATAGGCATAGTCGGTGAGCGGAGGAGAAGATGGGGTAGAGGCAGAAGGTTTGATATTGCGATCAATAGACGCCATGCGACAGCCGCTATGGAATGTGCGATATATCTCCCCTCCCCCCCCCAAAAAAAAAGCCAAGCAAGACTAAGCAAAGCCAAGCATACAGCTAGTCAAGCCAGCCAGATGTTAGAAATTATGTTTAAACCATTACTTCCTCCCCAACGACCACCTCAGTTCTCCCACCCCTCCACCCCCCTCTTCGCCCCCCTCCCCGGCTTCCCCACATACCACTCCCCCACCCACCCCTTAAGAATCTCAATCTCCTTATCCACCACCTTCTTCACCCCGGGATCAATATAGTTCTTCAGAATCAAATCACTACAATGGAACCCCCCCGGAATAATCTCCACCGGAATCTCCTTAGTGCTCTTCAGCGGCCCACCGGGCCTGAACTCGGACGACACACCGGCTGTGCGCCATGGGTCGAGTTCGCCGTTGACGTAGAGGAGGCGCTTGGACTTGCGGGGTGACCAGCCGGAGGTGTAGTGGTTGGTGAAGTCGACGGTGCGGCCAAAGGCGGAGTTGGGGGAGCCTTGGGAGGGGGGGAAGAAGAGCGCGCATTGGCGCTGCCAGTAGGCGGCGTTGATGTTGCGGGAGACGATGGTTTTGTGGTTTTTGGGGGCACCACTGGGGAGGGGAGTTAGTATATGTTTCGTAGCCTATTGGGGGGGGGGGAGGGTAAAACGTACTCTTGCCACCATCCGAATGGCTCATTGCACAACATCCACTGCCATTGACGATCAATAGCGTTTCCGACAGTGCGATCAGTGAACAGCTTGTTATCCGGGTTATAAGTATCATAGCACTCAATGGACGCTGGATCCTTGTAACCGAAAATCTGGCACGACTCAGGGAGGTAAACCTCCTTCACCCACTGCGCGTAGCCCTCGAGCGCCTTGACGACACCGACGCCTGCGACGCCGTGGTTGGTGGGCGCGCTGGTGGTGTTGGAATGGGCGCCCTCGACGTAGTCGCAGAATTCCGTCAGGGGGTGGGGGTTGTAGAAGTTGTTGGATTGTTCTTGCCATGGGCCGTATTCCAGGACACTGGGGTGGATTAGCTTTTGCTCGGTCTTTGTAAACTTGCTGCTGGGGGGACTCACCCAGAGAAATCATCATTCCTCAGCTTGCCCAATCCAAACTTATCCTTCAACGCCACCTGCTCCTTCTGCGAACCCTTCGCGAACACCTTATCGATGTACTCCACGACCTTTGACACATCCGAGCTGCAGTTCCTCGGCATCGCCTTCTCGACAGGCACAAAGTACTGCCAGTAATCGTCAATGGCCTCGACTGGCGCACTGCTGGAATGGTACGCCCAGAAGGTACCGGGCGATACGGACTCGGTCCACGCGGAGAGTGAGCCGGCGTAGGATCCACCCATCATGATCCATGGGGCGTGTGCGGCGTCCGATTTGTGCGACGGGTCGAAGGGGAGTTGCACGGTAGCAGCGATGCGCACGAAATCCGCGATGGAGTTGCGGAGAGTGAGCTGCTTCAGGTTGTGGCCGGTGAGGTCATCATAGGGGGAGGATTCGCCCCAGAAGCGGTCTTTGAGAGGCGAGTTAGTCACGGATTCTCAATTGGCAGTAAATGGGGAATTGGGGACGCACGCTCAACCATAACCACAGCGCCCTTAACCTCCTGCGCAAACTTCCCCGTCAGGGTCGCATTAGTGAGATATCCTCCATACCCGCCCGCGGCGGTCTCGCCGGGCGTGAAGAAGATAATTGGCGACCCCGGGCCGGCCCAATGCTCCGAGTTCCACCACACGCGCTGACCGAACGTGTCGCCGTGGGGCGAATCATGGTCGAGCAGCTGCGTGAAGACGAAATTGCCCGTTGAATTCGAGATGCGCGCCGCAGCAGCCGGTGGGAGCGGTACAGCCGGTGGCACGAGACGTGGGCGTTTAGCTGAAGCCGGGGTGAGGAGGGCCAACAGGCCGAGGCTGAGAGCGGCGGAGAGCTGCATTGTCGCAGTTGGTTGTGAGGGGATTGGAGGAAGGAGAGGAGAAGGGACAGAAGGAAACCAGGAGAGCAGCTCAAATCAACGAGCTTGCTGGACCTAGGTGCTTACCTCTCTTGTCGACAAACTGGGCACACGACGATTTATAAACAGGACCATGGCATGAGCAGCCTCGTGCTGGCGCCAGATCGGCACGGTCAGATCGGCAAGGTAAGACAGATGTCTCCTTCCAAAAGCATACCTTGCACGCCGAGGCTAGGGAGATTCCCTTGCTGCCCTGCCACCCTGCCACCCTGCCAGCCACTTTACCTTCCTTCCTGTTGCTATCCACCCAGCCACCCCTGTGTAGCTTAATGCGGGAATCTTGGAGTATTTTATCTCGGTCGTCGTAAATGCGACCTTCTACACCCGTTTCCGCACCCTAGATTGCCTAGGCATGGGCATGACAGTGGGACATTCCTCTTTCTGACCAGCGTCCCCCTCCCCTCACTGACATCGCCCGCTACTGCAGGTTTGCCAGGTATAGCACTCTCAATCCCTGTGTCCCTGTCTCTTCATCCCTGTGGAACGTTGCAGGTGCAGGCGCAGGCGTACGAGAATGCCATAGCAGCTGCTGATTGCGCGCCGGGTGATTTGCGATTGGCAGCGAATGTGGCAGGTGTAGATCGCTGTCTCGGGTGGGAATAGTCGTGTTGTGATAGTGGTGGATAGTGTTGTTATAGTGATCTTGGCGGGAGCGGGGCGGAGGGGCGGGGGGGGCGGAGGGGCGGAGAAGGCGGAGCTTGAAGGAGGAAGCTGGCTGTGATTGTGATTGTGGTTGTGATGCATGAATATGGAAAGTTATATTTATATTTTTGTATGTAAAGGGCATATATCTGCGTCTACACAGCATATACAATATTTTATTATTATTGTTATGATATAGCTTCACATTCTGACAGTTGCGTACTCTGTCTTGTATTTGCATTTGTCCCACTGTCCCCCCAGGTACCGAAACATTCCCAGGCACACCCGAGCCGTCGCCAGGAACAGGAACAGCCGCCACCCACTGCCTCATGCTGCTATAGAAACCATCCAACACCGTGGCTTGCTATAGAAAAATCAATAAGAACACATCTCCACGAGCCTTTGCTATATATTATATATTGTCTGCTATACCTCATCCCATCCATTATAACCCCCCAAGCACAAACAACCTATATAAAAGGGTCATTCACCACCGTTTTCACACTCTATCCGCTATCCCATACAATATTGATCATTTACCCACCGCCATCCCACCACCAAATAAACAACCCTCAATTCTACCCCGATAATATCCAAAGTAGCCATTACAAACTCTCTCCCCTTTCCTCTAAAGCCACGAGATCCATATCTAGAATCCCCCTTACTATCCATTTTCCTTGGTATCGCGTACAACATCACACACGGCACAACTTCAAACGCAGTTCAACCCGTGTGTACCATACAAACATCTCAATCACCCCTCCCGGCCACCCTCCTCGAGCCGCCGAGAATTCAACCACCGTCCGCGCCTAGATCACACAGGTATACCAGCAATTTAGGGGATTAATTATATTGATTATGAGGGGGGATTCCATATCCCTCCCGACTTCGCCGAGGCCGACGCGCATATACAGGGAGAAGAGGGGAGGGAGGGGATCCAGACGCGCCAAGGTATGCTGTACTATGTGACTTATATCACCAATCCCCCTCCCTTCCGACATTCCGACGACGCCGCCTTGCTTCTTCTCTCTTTACCCCGAGAAACTCCTCCTATCCCCCGCGGGTCTATTCTGTATCGATTCTTCGACCTAGAACTTCTCCTCGGGCACAATCACGACCGTGCTAAACAGCGCGTTTACTTATCTCACCACCCACACACCTTCCCCATCTAGCACCCCTCCACCCCTAGCACGCTAGAACCCACAAACCCACCACATAAGCCCGCACAAGCACTACGAGCGCGCATAAGTGCCGATGGATAGCGGCGCGCGTGTACTAGAGCGAGAGGGGCAGGTGTTGGGGGTGTGTGTTTGTGCGTGCGTGCGGGGTTTGGGTGGTGTGCTGTGCAGTGTCCTGGGAGGAGGTGTAAGGTGGAAGGTGTGCTGTACTGGTAGTGAGTCTGCGAGTGAGGGAGGGGAGAGTGAGGGGAAGGTGAGGAGGTGATGCTGGTGAGTTGTACGTGAACCAATCGTGATAACCCAGAGTACGAGGGCAGGTGAGGATGTTGTGTCGATGCTCAGTTGGTGTATAGGCCAAGTCTAGGGCGAAGACGCCGAGAAGGAAGACGAAGTGTAGGGTGAAGACGGCGAGAAAGAAGACCAAGTCTAGAGTTAAGACGCCGAGGAAGAGCTGTAAGATGGGTGATGGGATACATGAGGCAAGGAGTACGACACAAGGAGACAGCAGTGACGCCAGTGACAACAGTGGTAGAGTGGTAATCGTTCTTTCTTTTCAATCCCCTCTCACGAACCCGGGCTCAGATCAATTAATCACTGGCCTGGCCTGACTAGTTCTAGCTCTAGCTAGTCGGTATAAATAGACTATGAATAAGATCCCATCTCATCTCATCTCATTCCCTTGAGGTCTTCTCCAACATCTCTACGCATACAGATATCAATCTTCGCTCACAGTCGCATACAGACTCCCATCTTTTTCTTTTCCCATCTCTTCCATTCCCATCCCATCCCATCTTTTCCTCCCAGACCCGTTCGCTTTTCCCAAAAAAAACATAAAAACCCATATAATAACCCCCAAACTGCCAGTCTTTCAATCTGTCCAGTCCAATTCATCTGCCTCTTCCTTCCCCCCAAAAAACGCCACCCACAAAACCCAAACACACCAAACTAACTCACCGTCCTAATAAAATTCTGATACCGTTCCTCCTCCGACAACCCCTTCGGCGGCGCCTTCACCCTTGCCCCCCCGCCATTCACCTGATTCGCGCTCGTATTCCACAGCACCGCCTCCTCCCCCGTCTCCCTCTTCAGCTCCCTCTCCCTCTCCTCCTCCTTCTTTACTTCCTTCTCGCGTTCCCTCTCCCGATCCGTCACGCCCCGCTCGCGGGGTAGGCGCATAGCGAGTAATACGTACTCCCCCCTCGTCATCCCCTCCATCACCCCATCCATCCACCTCCTCACCTCCTCCTGCGGTCTCACCACACGCGCCAGACTCTCAAGCTGACGTCCCTGTCCCGTCCACAACCTCATCGTAACAGGCTGGTAGTAATCCAGCGCCGGATCATAACCCCCTCCCTCCCCAGCTGAGCCCTTCCTCACGATCAAGAAAGATGCGATCACCTGACCACCCGGCACGTATTCGAGAATGCTGTACTTAGGGAAAAGATACCTATCCCCGTTCCCCCCCACGAACTCGAAGACCACACACGAGAGCTCGGGTTTCGTGCTCACGGGCCCCTTTGAGCGGAGTGCCTGCGGCTGAGGCGGCGCGCCATACGGCGACGCGTGCTGGAGCGGCTTATCATACGGTCGCGGCTGCGCGAGCAACGGCGGCGGTCCACCCTGTCTCTGCGCATGCGGCGGCAAGGGCTGCGTCCCAGTATGCTCCCATTTCGGCTGCACCTGATGCTGCCCCGGCATAGGCGGCTGCTGCGTCTGCAGCGGAGGCGGTGGTGCGGGGGAGGGTTGGGATTTGGGCGGTCCGCCGCGAGCGTTCAGGGCTTTGGTGAGCTCGTCGATGTGCGTCTGGAAGCGGCGCAGTTCGGCGGGCGTGGCTTTGCCGTCGGCGACGATGCGCATTAGGGCCTTGAGATCGGGGGATTTGGCGGCGCGCTCGGCGAGCATTTGGATTACGGGGTCGAAGGTTTTGGCTGGGGGGGCGGGGGAGGGTGCGGGGTGGTGGTTGGGGTTGGAGGGGATGTGTGGCGGATGTGAGGGGTGTGAGGGGTGTGAGGGGTGTGATTGGGGGGTTGGGGGTTGTGATTGTGAGAGCGGTGGGGGCGGTTGTGGTTGAGTTTGTGGAGTTTGAGGATGTGGTTGCGAGATGAGCGGAGGTGGGGGGTGAGGGTGGCCGTTCAGAGGGGGTGGTCCTGCGGGTTGGCCTGTGTGTGTTGGTTCGGAAGGTCGCGTTGGTGTGTCTTGTGGCCTTGATTGTGGTGGGTGTTGAGGATGTGGTGGTTGAGGAGGCGGAGCCGCATGCATTGGGACGAATTGCTGGTGAGGGGCCTGTGGTGGTGGTGGTGGCGGGTGTTGGGGAACGACACCATTAGGCGGTCCGTATTGCATGATGGGTCGATACTGCGGCAGCTGTTGTGGCGTCGGTGGCTGCTTCGGCGTCGTATCTTTGACAACGTACATGATAGCGTCGAAGACGTGTGGCTCGATCGTAATTGTGCACTGTCCGATTTTCGTCATGGAGTCCTTGGGCGGGTTCTTGAGCTCCTCCACCGGCCGGCCATCCTTGGGTTTCTTCTTTGACGGCTTTGTCCAGTACTTCTCGAAGATGCCCTCGCTCAGCCACTTCCTCCTCGATCGATCCAGCGACTCGGCCAAGACGCGGCTGTTTCACAGAAAAAAGTCAGTATATCCGCACGCCAAGCTAATCGGCCATCCCCAAGGTGCATGCTTGCTTACCTCTCGGCAATGGACTGGTATTCGCTCGACGACAAGTCATCTGGTTGTTGCTGCTCGACAGTCGGCAGCGGCTTGCCCGGGACTATGCTCTTGGGAAGTGGTTCCTTCTCGACGACGACGACAGGAACCGGGGTGGGTGGACGCGCAGGCTCGCGGGGCGGCGTCGATGTCCGCTTCTTGCTGGCGGCCTCGACGCGCGACGAGGTGCGGGCGGGGAGCTTGCGCTTCTTGCTCTCCATTCTGTGAGCGGCCACGGCGGCTGCAGAAATCGGAGATGAGTGTTGGTGGTGAGTTGCGTTTTGGTGGTCTGGACGCGTCGGGGCAGTAGATGGAATGGCGGACGGCGGCCGTTGAATAAATTGCTAAACGAGGGTGAGGTGAGCTTGGCTTGGGTGCTGACGCCGCTTTGATTCGGCAGCCGAGATGCGCGGTTGTTCGCGACTACTCAACTTAGATAGTTCATTGATTTATTTCAATCAACGTGATAACAAGATTTGTCACGAATGCGTTGAAGTTGAGGAATTGTATTTATATATCAATCGGATTGATGTGCGTATTGTGTTGTATGTATCTCCATCTCCTGCACCTCTGCGTTTTATCTTCGCCTTCGGCGACACGCGGCCGCATGACAGTTTGCCTCGGGATTCGCTGTTTGCTTGTTTTATAATGCATTTCATGGCCACTTGTATGGTTTCTCTCGAATATTGGGATTACAACTATGTTTGCCGGTTATTTGCCATTAATAGCTGCTGTCCGATGCCCTGTTCTCCTGCGCATGATCGTCGATGATGCTACACTAAGGCTTCTCTTTTGAAAATCGATATCTATCGACCTTTCTAATACGTTGTACAGAGATACACGGACAAGTTGATTTTCGCCCCATCTCCTGGCGCGCCAGCCCTCGGGCTATCAACTGAGTCCGATGCCTCCATCTACTTCTATATTTCACACCTCCCTCTTGGTCTTGGCAGGGACCGGGGCAATCTACGCCATCTGTCTTGGAGCCCTCACAAATCCATTTATCCAGAGGCAGTAAGTCTACGCTCCTCTCTTCGAGTATTTGTCATCTCACTAAGTTGCATTGCAGCGCCTTGTATATGCACAAGTTGCATACAGCATACTTTGAAGACCTCAACAAGCCCGAGCAATGGGGATTTGCTAGTAAGTAGAACGGCTCTATCTTCGACTGTCATTTCTGACGGATCCACAGACAACCAGATTACCCCTTTCAATTTCACAACTCCGGATGGCGAGACTTTGTATGCATGGCACGTGATTCCACCGGGGTTGTACGCCAAGCACGAAGAGGAGATTCTTAAACAGCCATCTGGATTGGCGGAGGATATTACAAAGACGAAGGCATTTGCTCTCCTTACGGCTGATCCACGGGCCAGGCTTATTATCAGCTGTGAGTCCAGTGTGCCTTCCCCCATGGATGTGGCTATGCTAACCTATCACAGTCCATGGGGTCAGTAACACTGCTTAAACGGATAGACCCAACTTGCTAATAGACACTCAGAACGGCGGAACCGTTGCACAAGGCTGGAGGCCAGAAATCTACCGTACACTATCAGATGGTGGCACATCAATTTTCCATATCCTGGCAGTCGATTACCGCGGATATGGCTATTCAAGCGGGGTCCCCACTGAATCAGGCCTGATCACAGATGGAATCGCCACAGTCAACTGGGCGCTGAACGTTGCGAAGATACCCCCCAGCCGTATTGTCATCGTTGGCCACAGCCTCGGGACGGCAGTGACAGCAGCAACGGTTGAGCATTTCGCGGAGCAAGGCGTTAGTTTCGCGGGGGTGGTGGTGATAGCTCCGTTTGCCAGCCTCACTACATTGCTAACGAGATACTCTCCGGGGGGGCTGATACCGCTCTTCGGACCTGTGGGATGGGTCCCTGGGTTCGATAAATGGTTCTTCAGCCTGCTTGTCGATAAATGGAACTCTGCACAGCGGGTGGCAAACATTGCAAGCATCAGCAAACGTCTGAAATTGTTTATTATTCACGCACGAAACGATTGGAATATCCCGTATACCCATTCAGTTTCTTGGTTTGCGGCTGCGGCCAATGCTGCAACTCCGGGGGCCTCGGATGTGTTTGTGGAGACGAAGGCGTCTAATACTGTTCATGTGGGTGATGGTGGGTCAATAAGCACCTGGACGGCACCCGGAAAGTTTATCCAAGAGATTCTTGTGCCGAATGGAGGTAAGTTTGGCATGGGCTCGGGAATGAGGTAGTAAGGATATTGCTAACGTATCCAGGACATAATGTGGTGATGACATTGCCTCCGGTGGCGTTGGCGGTGTTGAAAGCGTTTGATATTGATGAAGAGAATGTGCTGTAGAAGTCGAATTGGGGGGCTTGAGATCGTGGTCTGGAATAGAATAGCTGGCTGTGCCCAAGTAAAGAACGTATAGTAAATACGTATATATACCCTTTATTACTACCTGCCAAAGTCAGCAATCCCTCCCCCCCCTTACAACCCCTATTTCTCAGGCCAACCACCGACAGGCGAGGCAACCTTATAACCAAACTTAACTCCTCTTCATCTAAGCGGCACAGTGGCGCAGTGGAAGAACCACTGTCTGGACAATCTGGCCAGCGGAGGATAGATGAAAGGTTATGGATTCGAGACCCGGCGTGGAAAAGATGAAACCAAAAATGAGAAAGAGTTTGGAAACGAGCGATCAACACGACATGATGTAACGACAAAAAGTAAAATCACAAAGATGATTTTCTCCCTTATCAAATCTCAATAATCGACGAGATTTGATAAGTCTTTTGCATTTTTAATATCTCCAATTCTATTCTTTTTAAGTTCATTTCTCTCTCCTCTAATATTCTATGTAACTGCTCTTCATTGTGATTATCGTTCCAACGGGTTTGAAGCTATACTCTAAATTTTAGCCGTCTTGCTCCGAACCAATCACACAGCTCGGGTCCCTCAATTGAATTCATGCCTCAGGCGCTAAATAACCCCGCCGCCGTTGTACCTGCCACATTTATATAAACACCATCCTCACTTCACCGTACAACAGCAACATCAAAACATGGCCGAAGAAAGCAAACTCATAGACACGACAGCGCCCCAAGAGGCACCGGCCTCGTCCGCCCCCATCGCGGCCACCGAAGACGCCTCCTCCGGCTCCGAAGACGATGCCCCACCATCCACCTCCACCGACCCCAACGCCGCCCCCAAAAAGAAATCCAAGAAGAAGCGCTCGAAGAAGGACCGTCTAAAGTCCGCCGTTGGCCTCGCCTCGAAGGATGATAAGCCCGGCGAGAGCAGCAGCGCTGCGGACCATAACCCCGTCAGCGCCTTATCCAAGTCGCAGCTCAATGAGCTGTTGCTGATGAACCCCGCGCTTGCCCGCGAGGTGGGTCTCAAGGATGGTGAGGAGGCGACGGGGACGGCTATCGAGGCGCTGAAGAAACTGAGTCTGCAGGATATTATGACGGGGTTGGCGGCGAGCGGGAAGAACGCCAAGGATATCGGGTCGTATAAGTTCTGGCAAACGCAGCCGGTGAGGAAGTTTGGTGACACGGGCGAGATTGAGGAGGGGCCATTCAAGGTTATTGATCCGGAGAAGGTTCCCAAGGAGCCGGCGACGATGATGGAGGGGTTTGAGTGGGTTACGATGGATTTGGAGAAGGATGAGGAGCTGCAGGAGGTGTTTGATTTGTTGAATGGGCATTATGTTGAGGATGAGGAGTCGACGTTCCGGTTCAACTACTCGAAGTCGTTCCTCAAGTGGTGAGTAATACTACTAATTTCAAAATACATCGCTAACATCAACTTTCAGGGCACTTCAAGCACCGGGCTGGAGGGCAGAGTGGCACGTCGGTGTCCGCGCCTCGAAGTCAAGGAAGCTCGTCGCATTCATCTCTGGTGTCCCCGTCGCCTTACGAGTCCGCCAAAAGGTGCTAAAGGCCACCGAGATCAACTTCCTCTGCATCCACAAGAAGCTGCGCGCGAAGCGCCTCACACCCGTTCTCATCAAGGAAATTACACGTCGCTGCTACCTGCTCGGCATCTTCCAGGCCATCTACACTGGTGGCGTGGTACTGCCAACACCAGTGAGCACGTGCAGGTACTTCCACAGATCGCTGGATTGGATGAAGCTGTATGAGGTTGGTTTCAGCCCGCTGCCAGCGAAGAGCAAGCCATCATACCAGGTCTCAAAGTACCGCCTGCCGGAAAACACAAACACCAAGGGTCTACGCCCGATGGAGGCTAGGGATATCGATGCCGTTCTGGACCTGTTGAAGCGCTACTTGGCGCGCTTCGATATGGCGCCTGTCTTTACGAGAGAGGAGGTTGAGCACTGGCTCCTCCAGAAGAAACTAGATACCCCTACTAAGGACCAGGTCGTTTGGTCATACGTGGTCGAAGTAAGTTCACTCTAAACCTACAGCTTTCAGTCTCTAACATATCCCAGGACCCCCAAACCAAGAAGATCACCGACTACTTCTCCTTCTACTCCCTCGAGTCCACCGTCATCGACCACCCCCAACACGAGGTTGTCCGCGCAGCCTATCTCTTCTACTACGCCACCGAGACCGGGCTGACAATACCCTTCGACAAGCCCGCCCTCAAGGTGCGCCTGAACGCGCTAATGAACGACTGCCTCATCCTCGCCAAGCGGTACAAGTTCGACGTCTTCAACTCGCTGACTCTGATGGACAACGTGCTGTTCCTTGAGGACCAGAAGTTCGGGAAGGGAGACGGACAGCTGCATTATTACCTGTATAACTATAACGCGAATCCGATTGCGGGTGGGGTGGATCGGAGGAATGAGATCGATGAGGCGGGGATGAGCGGGATTGGTGTTGCGATGTTGTAGGGGGGGTGTGGGTTGAGCCTGGGATGGAGAATAGGAGCATAGCATGATCAATGGGATTTGGACAAAATGTATTAGGTCAATTGATGGACTTGATATCTAACCTCGAGAAGTTTTCTCGTAACTCGTTCAAACTCAAGTGCACCTCCGTTCTCAACCATGTGAAGATCTTGTCAGGTATCATTCCGAGTAGTACACAATAAAGTGTACATTCTCGTCATTAAATCATTTCATGTCGTCTAATCGTATACTGAGATCGAGCTAGAACCATCAATGTCGCTCAAACAATCTTGGTACATCCCCATCCGCGCAACTGTATGCCTTTACATACTCCCAATTGCGGCCCTGCCCCAACTGACTATTAATTACATATAGCTCGCCCTTCACCAACCCACACACCCCTAAAAAAAATCCTGATTAACCCACGCCGCCGAATCGCAAATCGGCTCCTTCTGAACCGCAAACCCCTCCCCCCCAGCCGCCTGCCTATTCGACGTATACCCAAAGCACTGTCCGGGGAACTCATTATTGTCAAACGTATTCCGCCAGCAGACAGCATTACACACAGCCGCCTTGCCCGCCTTGATATCAGCCCTGATCTGCACGTTATAGGCGGCGCAGAGGTTGATGCAGTCATCCAAGCTCTTGGTAGCAACATTGACGACGGTACTCCCGAGATCGTTGGGATAGGAGAGCCCGCAGATCTTCCGGAAGGACATGACGGAGCCGATGTCGACGGAGTAGAGGGTGTTGTTGGAGGAGGGGCAGTCGCTGAGGAGGGTTGCGGAGGGGCCGCGGATTTCAGTGGTGGTTAGGGAAAGGGTGGTGCTTGTGGGGGAGGGGGTGGTTGTGCTGGAAGGCGCGGACTTGGATTTTGTAGGTGAGGTTTGGGAGGGTGTGACATTTGACCCTGGAGGCGAGGTTTCCGAGGGCGTAGACTTCGACTCTGTAGGCAAGACTTCCGAGGCGGAGGTCACTGCTGGTAAAACCGTTGGTGACGAGCCCGCCCTATCTCCGGTTTGGGCCAACACAGAGGAGGATGAAGAACTTTCGGCGTTGATCGCGTCCCTGCTATTTTTAGCAGCGAGGCTCCCTCCTACGCCTCCGGCCACGGCACCCACGACCACAATTGCAATTATCACAGTGAGGAATATCCAAAAAGTTCGCGGCGCAAGACCGCAGATGATGCGATCTGGAGGCGGTGGCGGAGACGGCGCATTCTTCTCGAGATAAGGCTCGATTCCCGAGTAATACTTGGGATGCTGGGCCTCGAGTCCTGTGTAATCCGGGTCATGGAGCCCAGAAAGACCAGGGAGCTGGAGCCCCGAGGAGTCGGGTGCTACGGATTGCAGCCCTGATGAGTCTGGTTGGTGTCTCGAGGATTCGGGCGCTTGGGGTTGGAGGTAGCTGCGTAATCGAGACCGTCGAAGGTCTAGGGGCTGGCCAGGAACCACTTCAAGATCGGAATATGAAAGGACCATGTTGACTGACAATCGACAAATTTTTCACGAGGCCGAAGGCCTCTGCCTATATCTCAAAATAGTCCTAAGATAGCCGCTGTCAAACCCTGCATTTTGACTGTCTAGTTTGAAAATCGCCTTTTAAGCTTTTGACGCCAAATCATGTCGTAGATCTACTGAAACACCAACATCCATACAGGTCCTGTAACAACCCAATGACACAGCTTACCGTCCCCATATCCACCCTTCAAATCCATAATTAGACCTCGAAGACGACGGGTCTGTTGTTTAAAGCGGTTGTATGTGTTTAAGGATAGGCTCTCGGCCGCTGGACCACTAGCCTAAATTGCGCCTCGGCGGTTAGAGGCGATTGGGGGCGCTTCTGGAGATTGGCACAAGCTGAAAGGCAGAAGGCATTCTGAAACTTTGCGGCGCTGTCAAGGGCATCTGTATTTCCGGGTAGGTGGATTGAAATCTGGGAATTAGTGGGATAGAGAGGCGAAAGTGTGTGAGATGAATCCTGAGGGTGAGAAGCGGCGTTTGTTTCTTGTGGAATTGCCAAGGCATCTGGACCTGCCTAGCGGGGGTGGGGCGCCCCATGAAGAATGGGTGCCGGTCTATTTTAGGGAACATATTTGCGGGAGCGGGGTAGCTGTTGACAGGTACAACTGGGGCGGTGATGATGTGTCTCTTGACAAAGGGCGAATTCAAATCTGTTTAAAGTCACTGTTAAAAATGTTAATAGTAGGGGCTTGTGCAATTATAGTGTGAATTAACGACTGTTATTTTATTGCGATTTAAAATTGGTGATTATAGCCTGGAATTATTTACTGTCGGGAATATCACTGATGAAATCAACCTTACGTTTGATTTTCCTCTTGAGATCATTATATTTCATTGTATTTTAGACTGATTCATAATCTTTTCCGCCAATTGTGTAGAAAGTAAATAGTGAACTATCAATGTTTCCAATGGTACCAGAGTAGTCGATACTGGAAACAAAGACACCATCAATATCCAATCCCATCTTTGGACGGGAGGTATTGCTGTTTAACCTGAGCAGCTGGTGAGCTGGGCTTCAACCACGCACGCCCTAATCCTTCACCTTGTAGAAACTCAATCTATCTCCATTCCCGCACAACTGGTTGTCATTGCCGCTGCAAGTCATGCTGCAGTCAGTGCCTTCAACCGCTCTGGCACCTGGAGTGATTGTATTTCCACACCAACACTCAGTGCTCCACTCAGTCCCAAAGTACGTGTAGCCATTACAGAAAGTAGCGCACGTCTCCAGCGTCATGTCATCGCTCCTGAGCATATCCCCCGTCAACGTACGCGATGACTGGAGATCAGTAACACAGCCTGTGTACTCGTAGTTGCCAACCGTAGTTGGTTGCTGGGGACCAGTCAGTGCGGAATTCACGTAGAGCGACAGACGGCGCGAGCCTCCGCATAGCTGCGATGCGTCTCCAGCGCAGGGGTAGTCGCACTCTCCCAATGGAGCTAATCCCCCTCCTGCTGGCCCAGTGCCGCACCAACACTCCTTGCTCCACTGGGTGCCGAAGTATGGGTAGGCGGCGCAGAAGGTGGCGCATTTCTCGTTAGTCATGTCGTCGGCGGCGGTGGATTTGGCAGCGAATGAACGGCCGGCAGCTGGCTCGGCCCAGCAGTATACGAAGTCGTAGTCACCGACTGTTACTGGGCTGGTTGGGGTTGTAGGGACTCCAGTGTTCGTTGGTGGTGCGACGGTGGTTGTTGGTGGTGGAGCAGTAGTTGTTGGAACCACAGTTGAGGTTGGGGGCGGCGCTGTGGAGGTGGGAGGCGTGGCGGTACCAGTTGGGCTTATGCCATTGCGGAAAATCACCATCTCAACGGGCATAAATTCATTGTTGATCTCTAAGTAAGGCAGACACAGGTGTCAGCAATAGTAACACATATTCCCCCATTTCTGGGGTCTTGAATTACTCCCGTGGGGTAAAGAAAAGTTAAAAGCAACTTACTGGTGTTTCCTGGGGGTGAGTAACGGAACTCCAATGTCCCGACCGCGTCCCGAATGCCGATCTGCCCACCAAGCACGGGCGGATCAGTGAGGCGAGCAACAAGTTTCAGGCGGATCTGCAGCTCATCTGTGTCTGGATCGCAGGCATACTCGCCCTTGAAGACAGCAGATGGGTGGTATTCACGTGCAGTCATGAACATCTTGGTCGTGTCATCTTGGTCGTTGTACTAGCAGGGTCGGTCAGCTTTAACATTGCTTGTCCCAGCTTCCCTAGGCCAATTGTGGAAATCTTACCTCCAGATCGATCACAGCGTGGATAGTATTGTAAATGAGACGGCCATTTTGAAGATATAGCACGTCGTTGGTCGCAACGCCTACAGGAGGCAGCACAAGATGCTCGTCGTCGCCATTGGCCCTGAATCTCATGACCTTGTTGTGAACTGTGGGAATGCTCGGGTTCTGGACAACAATGCTGAACTTGTCAAGGATGGTGTCTCCCGGCGGCGTGGTAGGGATTGTACATGCTATCGAGCTGGCCACAGATCCAAGCAAAGCAAGGAGAAGGCTAGATGATGGACGAGGCATAATTGTTGATGTTGGCAGTAACGATGTAGCCGTAAACAACGGCAACAGTAAGCTTACAAGCAAAGGAATACAACTCAATGGAAAGGGAAAACAGCTAACTACCATTACTTATAGGTCGTATTTATCCCCTCCCCTTCCCTTCCGTCCCTGCTTGTCCTTGTCCGTCCCTGGCCGTCCCTGTCGCCTATAATTCTTTATCCAGTGACGTGGTGCCCTTTCGGTGGTGACGGCCGGTGTCAGCCGCAGCTTGGCGGCCCTAGCCAACGAATACGAAGCCGTATGCCGCCAAGACAATAGTCACGGATGCATGGCATATATTGATTGATGCACCTTACAGATTATTATTGAAAATAGATCGGGAGGCAAGGTATTGGTAGTGATTATTCCGTTTGCTTAATGATGCCTACAAACGAGGCCAAAAAAAAATGCGCTGTACCACCTACACGCAGGGCAATAATTCGTTATCGTCCCCTCGAGTCCCTCGTCACAAAATAAATTGGAAAGCCGCATGCGCTGAATCGCTTAGATGAGGTTGTCTCACAATCAGACGCAGACGGGGTTGATTTATGACTTGGACCCCCGTTTGCTGGGAATTTCCATCCGCATTCATACCCGTGGCTGCGAACTGTCATTTTATCGGCTCGGCTTAAAGTTATTATAAGCTTACTACGGCTGTCACCCACACAAATAGAAGCTTCGATCTACGGCTGTTGTACCACCTCTATTTTTTTAAATTACCGCAATATCAAATATTCTGTAACCAATATCTCATAAGCTGAAAGGCAGTGTGACAATACACGGTTCGCGTACATGAATTTCCACGTGGCTGAAAGTTCTGCAGATTTCCAGCGAGCGTGGAACACGCATACAAGCTCCATGTGCCACATATGTACCGCATTACTGGAAGTAAATCAAATATAGACCCCTACAGAATGTCAAATTTATTTGTATGGCGTTGCGTACAGCTCAAATGTGCAGCCGTACCAATTGAATGGCGTAGCTGTGATTACCTATCAGAGAGATATAGACTATCTGCGTGATCTGAGCCGCACCGGTGTCACCCGAACCGTTACTGGTGCTATAGGTGTGACCGAAGCTCATAACATGCCTCGAACAACTTAATCTCGTGCTAATTAACTACTTTGCCTTCGCCCTCGCCTTCTTTGCGAACTCTTCCGCACATGCTCTTTTTAAGATGACCCGTTTCGACAGCTCTCGCATTGCGTCGTCTTTAACCTTGGGGTTGGCAATACCAGTATACCGGGAACAAGAGACTTCTAGAAAAATAGCACCAATAGCTCGACTGAAGGCTTCTCCCTCTTCCGTAGTAACTTGGCGTGTTCGTGGTGATTTGGAGTCCATGTCTGAGACAGCAAGCACCATAACAGGAGGAGGCGGCCTTGCTTCAAGATGCCTCAGATGTAACCTGCTCAGAAGCCTTCTCACCAAGCCGGGCTCAAAAGCGCTTTGTCCGGGTTTTGGGGTAGCTGCTTGTGGGATAAAAGAATTGCACGCTCTCTCGAATACAGATGGTAGCCCGAGAAAGCCCTGTCTCTCTGAGATGTGGTAAATGAAAATGACTGCCTCGCTGTTGCTGTTGCGCATGCCATATTCAAACATTGGCCCGCCTGCGGGACAATATTCCATTTGCATAAAAAGAGTTTTGTCGTTAATCGAAAATTGTCTGGATTCTTCGTAATTTTCAGTCGGATCAAAGAATGGTTTTTGATAGAATCCAAAGACGAGCTGCGAGATGTTAGAAATGTATTACATGTTAGACACTTGATGTTAGGGAGTGTACAGTATAAAACAGATCATAGCCTGGGTCGCGGGCTGTTACTACGGGTGTTAAGAACCTAAAAAAATTGTGGCTGTGTTGCCATTGGCGGACCATGTCCTCTTGAGTTGGGGTCAGCGGCATTCTATCAGCGGTTGATGCAAAAGGTTGGATTCTGTTCGTGTATGTTTTTTGATGTTGTTGTCACGACTAGATGATAAAAGATGGAAGACAGGTGGTGGGAGGTGGAAGGAGATGTAAGAAGTTAGTTGTTGGTTCGTTTTGGTTGCTTGATTTGGTTGGGTGTTGGCTGAAGGTTGAAACTCTAAAAGCTTACTCAGCTGAGAACTTAGACTTTGGTGAGATCGGATTGGATATCTTTGTGCAATTATAAATTAGACGCATTTCAATCTTCAAATACTACAATAATTCGACGCATACACTGCGGCGATAAGCTTCGTGGGTGGTATAGCATCACGAAAAGTTATGCGTGGAGTTCTCACATCTGGCTAAGATTTGTTATCTTTGAACCGCTTCACAATGAGTATGGCCCAATAAATGAGATAATAATAGAATTCCATGATTATCTATCCCTGTAGCTACAGTATTGACTTCCTCCATTCATTTCCTAGCCAAATTTCCAGTGTCGACTCAGTTGCAGCTCGACACCCTTACGGCCCATTTTATGGTATTGACAACTAATTCAGCAGAGTCCAAGGTTGGCTATAATACCATGTGAAATTAGCAACTATCCCCAATGTATATATATCATGTAGAAGAGACACAAGCTTACCAATAGAACAGGCGCTTGAAGTATAGTAACCGCTGATGTAACAACCATGCTCTGGCATGTACTCCCAAGTGCTAAACATCATGTCAGCTTGTCGTCGGCATCATTACAATTCAAACTCACCAGTTGCCACTGACACACGTGCCCCTCTTATAGCATTTGAAAACAAACTTTTCTCCGTTGAATGTCTGGCCAACTACTGGGTAGCTTGTGCCAGGCCCCGAGCGACAGTTCACAGTTGAAGAAACGTTGACGATCGAGCAGGTCGTGGCAGCGCGCTCAAAGATATCGCCTTCGCTTCGTTTCTCGCTGACAAAAATGGGGTGTTTTTCATCAGATGTCACTGCGTCGGAGCTTTTGCGACTGGCGAGGCAAGGGAGACGATGGGGAGAAGGAGGATAGCGAGAGTGGTAGCGGAGAACTTCATTTTGATGAGTGAGTTTGGGATAATGAGCAAGAGGCTGAATATGTTGATAGTGAAGTGATTGAAGTCGAACTGATGATGATTGATGGAGAGCTGGCGGAATGGTTGCTTTTATAATCATTTGCGAGCTTCTAACAAATCTGTTTCTTAGTCGGAATTTATTCTCCCCTCAAACACAAGATACTCCGCGGAGTGAAGCTGGAGCTGGAACAAAGGAATTAGTAAATGAGGCATGAAAATATGCACGTAAGAAATCTGTCCATGGTGGTTCTCCGGATCCCAGTTTCCTATCATGGTCACCGAATGTTGCCTCGAATATTATTTCCTATTCTGTTGTAAGATGTTTCTTGGAATCTCTTGAAGATAGCTGCTTTGTGGTTTCTGCCGGCCTCCCATATTGCTTGGCTATTCTTTGAAATGTATCTAATTAGATCACAATTAACTTTCGTTGCATACTTCTTGGGTGTTGGTAACCTTTCGACCCTTGCCTCGAAGTACAGAGAAACATTCTTAACCTTTTCCGAGTCTCACGTGGTATAAACAGTTGTCAGGCAGGCATATAGGCAGGCCGATCTTATATTCTGCGTACGCGTTTTCTCCCATCAAGATACCCAAACGCAACACAAGACGGCCACTTATTATTCTAGAAACTCGATCTGACACAAACTGGTCTAGTAATATTGATGATATATTGCAATTAGGTCATAATGAACCATACCGGACATGAGAGTCGCATTTCTCGCATTGACTATCAGAATTTGGTGCGTTAACCATGGGAAGATGCGCCTCCCCCGAGCAGTCTAATATATTAAAGTGTGGCATCTCGGTTCAAAGCTAATCCTTGGCCTGCAGCGGCAATGACGGCACCAACCATTTCCTACCGAGCACTTAGTTTAGGCCGAACTTGGAGCATTTGCTGACACGTAGAAACCAGTGAGGCGTGAGATGCGGGGAAGAACGCGTCGACTCAATAAGATGTGGAGAATGGAAGCGCCCGACAGGGATAAAGCGCGGGGAACAAATTACCAAGTCATGCAAGTACGTAGCCTTGCCTACTTTTAAAGACTAGTTTGCCTTTTTGTTGATTTACATATGGATCGAATTACTTGGGATGCAGTGTACACGTTGGTCCCTATCTATTATCCCGTTGGCTAATGGCTGGGATGTAAGACGGGCCAACTTAATAGAAGCCGCTCCATGGATATTCACTTCCAAGGCTAGCCCGAGGACCAATATTTTGAATGTGGCTCATTAGCAGAGTACTCTGATGCCGGTGACCCCTAGCTGTTTGGATGGAAGAGTTCCGAGGCCGTGCCGGATATCCGGGGGAGTGGGTGGTGGATTAGGAATGGTGAAGATACAGAGTTACGGTGCCTCCTTCAACAAAACGGCTAATGAATAGGCATAGAAATTGATCTTTTGTTGCGCCATTCTATAAACTGTTAGGCCGCGCTCCTGGGTTAGTGGCGGCGCCACCCGCCGACGATCAATTATGGCGTGCAATGTGGAGACAGTGATCAACTCCATCACCACGTTTTTGTTCGCGTAATATCGTGAATTCAATCATTTAGGGTGTCACTTGGTGGGAATCTACAGAGTTTCAAAGATTCTGGGCACGGTTCGTCTGACAGAATGCAGATTGTTGTTGAGCTCTTACACAGTCGAGGCTGGCACCATAATATGATTGATAATATAGAAACGTAATGTTAGTCTAGTCCGGAATGCCGTGTTTACTACCAAGTATACATGGCAGGCCTGGGATCTGACGCAGTTGGTTTAATTCCCTGTAGAAGACAAGATGCAACATCAATTCCCCGATTTTTATGTAGCCGGGAACGAGCGGTCTCTCTTCGGGCCTATGCACATAAACCAACTTTAACCACTCCAATCAAGGCACCGCACAGCTCCCCAACCATAGGAACACAGCCACAGCAAATTCGCCGCCTCTCATTGGCGTTGATTTCGCTTTTCTACCTTGCTATTGTGTTTATATATGCGACTCCATCCTCTCGATCAGTGTCTGCTTCCACATAACTTTTGTCTTTCCGAAACACAAAATTCTGTGGGGCTTTGCCATATTTCGGCCATTTGGCGATATTTGGAACTAGATTTCAAAGTCTATATTAGCCAATAGCCTATTACTGTGCAAATACAGAGGCTCTCGTAGATAGACTCACCACCGTGTCCATTAGGGTCGAGATCATGTGCAAACGAGGTCCACATTCTCATCACCAGGCGTGACAACTCGATATTCTCCGTGCTATTTCCAAGTGGCGTAAGATCCTGCTCTGGGTTGCCAAACACAAAGGGAATCTACATTTGGTAAGTGTGTATTATATAATCCTTGTGGGGCTTTACTTCACCTCAGAGAAATGGTTGATTCCAATTGACGTTGTTGTATTATACTTGGGCGCATCCCACCTGTACGAATATACATTGGACTTGAACTTGCTCATTTGCTTTGCCAGTAACCTTCGGGGAGCGAACATTGTGATATCGGTAGCCATGCTTTGGAAACGCTTGAATTGAAGGCCGTATTCCGGCCAGGTCCGGTTACCCCATCCGTACGGAGATCCGACGACAGGATCATTGGGATATCGTTTTAAGACTTCTTGGGCTTCGGGCTCTGTTAAAACGTAACGTTTGGAGTGAGTAAGCTGCCAGATAGCATCCGAGTCCGTGTTGACCCCATTGACGCCGAAGCCCTCGTCAGTGTTTGTCCCAACAATTATTGGAATTTTTGCGAATCGCCCCGTTACCAACGACTCTTGGCCGTACCGTGGGATAAAAGTACCATCAAGAGCATGAAACCATTCGAGCCCCTGGTATGCCAATGGGCCTATGATTTCTATCGGTACCTTGCGGAGGCATGCGAGTGAATCAGTCTGATTGCCACACCCTGTAGCAGTGGCAATTTTGTCATACATCGGCTGATACCATGTAGTGCCATTCAAAGGCGGTCCAACGGATCCGCCGCTCTCCAGGATTGCAGCTCGAAACAGTCCTTCGTTGTTGCCATTGTAGGCATTGATATGATCCCCGACGGAGTAGGCGCCAGCTGATTCTCCCCATATGGTGACTTTATCTGGGTCCCCGCCAAATGAAGAGATGTGTCGGTTTATCCACTTGAATGCGACGCGCTGATCTCGGAGTCCAAGGTTTTCATTGTGGCTTTCTGCTATCTCTTTGCTGTAGAGGAAACCAAAAGCGGCCAAACGATAGTTTATGGAGACTCCAATGACTGGTTTTTTGTTGAGAACAGACTGCTCAACAACGTAACTCAAGTTATATCTGTTTTTTGGTCAGCAAACTGAAATAAAATACATTGTTCAAACCGCTTCAATATTTGTGAATATTAAATTAAATAGAATAAAACGATTAAATATCGGAATTAATATTACCTTGGATCGCTTGTTGCGCCCTGCGTCCAACCGCCACCATAAATCCATAAAAGAACCGGCAGTCCTTTGCTCTCACCAGCTGGCTTCACAATATTTAAGTTCAGGCAATCTTCTCCCAAGGTGGTAAAACCACGGGAAACCAATTGGTCAGTGTCTGATCCAATGCCATAGCAGTCAGTTCCATAATTGCTAGCATTAAAATGGGTCTTTGGCGAGTCGTGATTGAGGACAGAGGGCGTAAACCGGACTGGCTCCGGTGCAAATTTTATGCCCAGAAATGCATCTTGGTTAAAGTTTGACAGGTGCCGACCATGATAAATCCCAGCACGGGAGTGGACCACTGGCTCCACGGGCAAGCTCCAGACAGAAGTGGCAAAGGCAAGGATTAATAACCGCTGCAGAAACATTGTACGAAACAATTCACGGGTTATATAATGGCCAATTCCGTCGAGATGGTACTATGAAAAACATGCTGATCAAATCGTGAAATGTAGGTTCTTATGATAAACTTACGCCGGAGCTAAACTCATCTCTCGGCAGAATGAAGTAGCTTATTCCTTAGTTTGCGGGGTTTGGTAGGAGCATCCATTTCCCACCAATGAGACAACCTCTCATAACGGCATCAGTGCATCCAGCTGGCTGGATGCACCATAGTTGAACAAAGTTGAGGTGAATTAACGGAATAAAGTAGCCCCAGGTATCTTCCCACTGTAATATATACGAAAAACTACCTTCGGGTGAAATTAATACGCCGTGGAAAAAAGTAAAACGTTTCTTTCCTTAATTTCATTGTTATTAATCTTATATTAATATTGCACTCGCATCGCAGGATATAATCTACAGTAATTAATCTTAAAATCCAAATATTTTCTTTGGGTCGTTATTACATCCTCATTTTTCAAGTTATGGAATGTATGGATATGCTAGGACAAAGAAAATCCCGACCACCCTTGTGGTAATTTTGAAGCTTCTTAGCACAGCTGCCTAACGTCCGACGTGGCAGAGCGGGATCTTAAGCTTCTCATCTTCTTTTTCTTTAATATAAACGATTATAGCCCCAACATTAACTTTTGTCCCTGTCTGTGTTGAACAGCCGTCTCATCCAAACTATTGGGAATTAATCGGGAAATACGGTGTTCTACACCCAAAATAGGGTGATAATCTCCGGTATCCCGTACGATCCCACAGTGCAAACGGTGCCAGGGAGTATCACAAGTAAATACAGTATATAGAAAATATAAAATCGATTAAATTATCTACCTATCTTACTGGGCTACGTGGCTATATACTCGATTCCTAGGGGGTGGCTAAAACCCTGAGTTTTGACCTGTCTCACATCAGCTAGTTTGCTGAATCGGTAAAGCTAATAGGATAAGCCTGGGAAACGCCCAAAATATAGGGCTATTTCTTGGCAAATCCCAAGGCATCCCCCGAATCTCCAAGACAAACCACCCTCGTCCGGCAGAGAAACCTCTTCATGTCAGTGTTATGGGACCTTTGTATGCGATTCAAAAGATCTTCCCTGAAGTCAACTGGCCGCTGGAGATTTCTCCCGACCGATCCTTCCTTGTAGAGGCAGGTACCCATCTCTCGAACTTGGTGTTCTCGACCATCTACGGCTGTGGCCCAGATAAGTATCACAGCGATGACTTTGTATTCAAAAGCGCTGCATAGAATCGATTGAAAGGCTCCGCTCCCACTCTGTAGGCCCCCTGTCTTCTATCCGATTTATAGACAGGCGAAAAATAATTTCTGATGAAATGCTAATGCTATACGACTAGTGATGGAGTGAACTTCGAAGCAATATTTGATCATCTCGTGCCCTCCGGCGTTAATAATCCTGAGGTCCTTCAAATAAACATTGTGGATCCAGAGGAGAAGGAGTCAAATGATAGATATCTAAAGATTGTTATCAATCTAGAGGAGCACAGAGGGACCTTCATCGCGGTCCCAAGATGCTGCCAAGTCAGAGTCGGATCTACCGAGCGCGCACGGGTCAATGACCTACCTTGATGATGGAGTAGTCAATGAAATGGACCCAGGGTGACTATTGTGGGAATGGCTGAGTTTGAATTCAAATGATGATGTCAGGTGGAGAGAATGCACGGGGTTATTGATTTATTACACAGCATTTTTAACTTTTACCCAATCGTTTCGTACCACTCACGACTGCAATGCAACCCCAAGACACTACATCTTGTTTATCCCATCGCGTCCAACACTACTCGTTGAGGACTGGTAGATACCGCTGTATCCCTCCACGGTTTCCCCCATTTCCTCGAAGACAATCTGTGCGAGCTTGGCATCCTTGTACAGAACAACTCCGTTGGGATTCTTCACCTCCATCAACGCTCCCATAGCACCCTCATACCCAGCATCAACTACACCAGCACTGATTCCCACGCCGGACCGCCATAGCGAAGATCTAGGGAAAACGCTTGCCATGCAGTTTCGTGGAATTTGAACCGTTTCGTTGAAATCGATCAAGTAAGCGCCTGGTTGTAGTGTAATTGTGTGGTTGGTGCTGTCGAAAGGTAAGTTAGAAACTTGCGCCGCCTGGCGATTGGAATTATCAAAATCAATCGTAGCCGCAGAGGTCCATTTAGAAACCTGACGCAGAGTAAGGTCAACACCGCATGGCTGTTGTTGCTGGGCGACATGTCGCAGGTTGCGCACCAATTGGCGGGTGACGATTTCGAGTCCACTGAGAATCATAGTGATGATTGGGAACGGAATAGCCTAGGTTACTGGAATTGGCACCTCGTCTGGTTGCCTTTGTCACTTGAGATTAATAAGCTAGCTGGAGTTTGGTTCAAGGCTGTTCGGCTGGCTGACTTCGCGACCAGTGTATGTATGAATTTGATCTGTCCACAGGATTAGAGAGAGATCTTCCCAGAACACCTATTTCGGGAGCTCGCAGTCACACCAGAAAACGACCTGCAGCACGAACTGTATATGATATCAAGCCCTTTGATGCGATTGTAAGCCCAGAATTCTCTTCCTGAAGCGAAGTCTAAGTCGTCGGCATCGCAGCTTATTATCCTTTTATTTGGGGAAAAATTCCTTATTCAAGATAAATGTTTCGGCTGACCACGACGAGTATGATGTGAGAATTTATATTACATAGCATAAGTGCTTTGGCTTATTCCCTGAATTGTACGAGCAGATTACAGACCTGAAGAGACTCACTATCTTCGTAAAGACAATGCAAAACAACGTTGGCGAGGCGACCAAGCCATTCTATCTCGCAGCAGCCAAGGAATGTGCAAGAAGGATAAAGAGTTTGTGCCAAAGACCATGAAACTCGATGACACATCTCCCCCAAATTATTCACCAGAGAGAATCTGGGAGATTAGAAGTCCAAGTAGATTGGCAAGTCCTAAAACCCGAGTTTTCGTCTTATGAGCTGCTGGATATGGCACGACACTGGAAATATGAGTATGGACGAAGCGGTGAGTCTGACTCCGACATTTTTCCCGGACTTATAAGCTTGAGTCCGGAACCTTGCTCATAAATTAAGTTTAGCTATGGCCTGCAAGATGAGTACGACATCTGTAGACACGACAAGCGCTTCGGCCCGTTCCTGGGATGATAATAGCCACGTTCAACACGCGCCCCTGGCTGGCAATTCGCTGTAAACAAAGAAAAAACAGTCCTAGGAGAATAATTGTACATAATGGCGGTTAAGTCGGGAGTTAAGTTGTCCGTGATAACATCCCTGATAAGGTGGTGGGGGATGACGCGCACGCCATGTTGATCTTAAATCGCAAATTAGGGTAACGAACCACGGCATTCTGGATGCCGACATACCGCGATTTCGTGGGGGGGAAAATGAGAAAACGATCCAGACAAAGCTTCACTGACTTATTGTTACATACATAGTATATTTAAATAGAGTTAAGTGTAAGGATCTTAAGGCGGGGTGAATTACCCTGGTAAAATCACAAGTCGCAATGGCGACATATCTACTCATATCGCCGTCATCGGCTATTGCACTGGAGGTCCCATCTGGCTCTCGATATCTATCTTTCATGATACTGGTGCCTCAAATATCCATTGACAACGAACTAAACAGTCCAATTTGGTGGCTATTAGAAACATGAGACAAAGTTTTTTATCTGCCGCTTTATTAGCGGCCGTTGCCGTTAACTCGACAGCTACCCCTGATCAGCATGCCCTTAACAACACCCCGCTGCCAGACCGTGAAACCCAACGCCCAAATGTGGTTTTTATCTTAACGGATGATCAAGATGTGCATCTTGATTCACTGGAATACATGCCACTCCTTCGCAAGCATCTGATTGAAAAGGGCACACAATTCACCAAGCATTATTGCACCACGGCTGTGTGCTGCCCATCGAGGGTCACGCTCTGGACTGGAAAGGCTGCACATAACACAAATGTCACAGATGTGTCTCCTCCATATGGTAAATGAAAAAATACTCATCTTTATAGCCGGCGAAGCTTACCCTTCTTCCTAGGCGGCTACCCAAAATTTGTTTCTCAGGGGCTGAATAAGAATTATCTCCCGGTGTGGTTGCAGCAAGCCGGCTACAACACATACTACACTGGCAAGCTCTTCAATGCGCACACGATATTAAACTATTTCGCTCCATTTCCTGGTGGATTTACAGGAACGGTAACATACCGCTGCTTACTCTGATACCGTCCAAGGCTAATTATCGAAGGAATTTTTACTTGACCCGCATACATATGATTATATGAACAGCGTGTTCCAGCGCAATAAATTACCACCTGTGAGCCACAAAGGAGAGTATTCTACCGATGTCCTCACCAAAAAGGCGTATGGGCTTTTGGCCGAGGCTGTCAAGGCTGACAAGCCTTTCTTCCTCACTCTCGCGCCAATCGGACCCCATTCCAATATCAACGTGAAAGACCTCTTGACTCCTCCCTTCGGCGGTATCGTTTTTGACGCGCCAATCCCAGCTAAGAGACACGAGAACTTATTCCCAGATGTTAAAGTGCCTCGCACAGCAAACTTCAATCCCGATTCGGTATGTAATCGACCCTTCAATACTCATTGGGAAAGTTATCATATTGTATTCTAACTCTGCTTGAAGCCATCGGGGGCCAATTGGGTCCGCGAGTTAAAGCAGCTAAATGAGACGAACATCGAGTACATCGACCACTTTTATCGATCGCGCCTCCGAGCACTTCAGGCGGTGGACGAATTGGTGGAGGGAGTCATTGCTAAATTGGAAGATTATGGCATACTGGATAACACTTATATCGTGTACAGCAGCGACAACGGGTTTCATATTGGACAGCATCGCCTGCAGCCTGGCAAGTCCTGTGGTTATGAAGAGGATATCAACGTTCCCCTGATTATTCGCGGACCTGGAATATCTGCCAATTTGACGACGGACGTAGTATCCACTCACACAGACCTTGCACCGACATTCTTCGAGCTCTTGGGAATACCTCTCAGGGACGATTTTGACGGGACACCAATCCCACTTACGAAAGAAGCCATTGCCCAGGCAAAGAACTCGGGCACAAGACGAGAGCATGTTGGCGTTGAGTACTGGGGTATTGCGGGGGGTGAAGGTATCTATGACAGCGGTAAGACATGCGTTATATCCCCTTTAAATGTGTTTGATGGCTGACGTTTGACTAGGCCTGGTTGGTCCGCGGAACAACACCTATAAATCTATTCGGCTTTATGGGGAAGGCTATAACCTCTACTATTCTACCTGGTGCAGCAATGAGCATGAGCTCTACAATTTAGATGTATGTCTCCATGCAGTGTAACAAGCTACCAGTGATATAAACCTGCCGCTAACCTAATTATTTTTCAGGATGACCCTGGACAACTCAATAACCTACTTTTTGAGGAAGATGGACCCAAGCCATCCACAAAGCCTCTTACACTGCTAGGCTACCCAGTCTCCAAAATTGTTGCCAGACTTGACACGCTGTTGTTCTTGCTGAAGTCATGCAAGGGCCAGGTTTGTGTAAAGCCATGGGAGAAACTGCATCCCGAAGGGGACGTACATACGCTAAAGGACGCATTGTCTTCGAATTTTGACAATTTCTACGAGATCGAGCAGACGAGAGTCAGCTTCACTACCTGTCAGCCGGGATATATTATTAGTGCCGAAGGCCCGCAGTTTGATCAAGATGGGCTTATCTTCAGGGATGGCCTATCCTGGGACCAGTGGACTTGAGTCCGGTGATGGTGGGGAATAAATTGTGTCTGGGCGAGCGAACAATTTATTCGCTATTTAATTGTCATATATGCGATAAATATAAACATGAGAATTTGCCCATTTAAATTAAAGCAGGCATTATATACATTCTTAAGGCTGGATATATTTTCGAAGGTTATGTTAGGTAGGCGATTTGTTTTTGGTTCTCAGATACCCATGGAACTTTAATTGGGAGCATGTGTCGACACCAACAATTTATTCTACCAAATCGGCAGGCCTGGCCTTTTTAATCCAAACTCCATGAATGACCTCCAATGCAATTAAATATGCATATTCAAAGCCCACAAATAATGGTACTGACCGATAACGGACTGTGATTTTTATGGTTGATTTCGCACGGCATTAAGGAATGCCGTGCTCTCGTGATTCTGCACGAAATTACGTGATTACCCACTCCAACAAGCATAGCGATGCACACTTTATCAGCAGGACTTATACCAGGAACATGGCGAACACAGAGCTTTTGGCGATTTAGTCGCGAAATAAAGTTGACTATACTCCCGCGTTGGCCTATTGATAGTAGGGTGGGTTTTGTTTCCGGGACATCCTTTCTGAGTGTAACCATCGCACATGACACATCTTCCAACAAGTTTCTGACGACAGCACACTTGTACGGCGGAATCCAAAGGAAACCATTGAATACGAACCTATAAAACAAGCAAGTATGGGGATCGGCACGGATACCAAAATCGGGTTCCCACAAGATAACGAGGAATCACCATTGCTTGTGTCGAACCCGTCCCAGTCGACCACCATCTGTGGAAGTTCCAGCGGCACAGACACTGAAGGCGACGTCGAGAATGCAGCAGATGAATACTCTCCGAAGGCAACGAAGAGGTCAATAACTGTCATTATCACGGCTTTATTAATCGGTTCGTCTTGTTATCATAATTCTTGTCACATGATGGGTTGGCTGACCTCGATGCTCAGGGGTTTTCATTGCTAACGCCGATGGGTCTCTACTTTTGGCTACCAATGGCTGGATTGCGTCTGAATTCAATGATCTTGAGAATGCAAGCTGGTTGGTGACGAGCTATGTGTTGACGTTGTGTGCGGCACAACCCCTTGTAAGTGATGGTTAATCTTCTTGCGGCACTTATGGGTATACAGGAATATTAACCAGATTGGAATTTATAGTACATCAAGCTCAGCGATATATATGGTCGAAGGACTATGATCTTGATCGCGTATAGTATCTTTGGAATTGGCTGGTGAGTGTCGCACCTTTGCTTCATTATGTGAGAAAGCTAACAAAAGACCCAGTGCAATTTGGTGAGTTACTGATACTAGCTCCATTTTTTCTCCAGTTATCATACCAATGGCAATACTAAATTAAAATGCAGTGCCTTGGGCCAGTCCTTGCTAATTGTAGTAGCTGGACGGATTGTTTCTGGGATAGGTGGGGCCGGTATGGACTCCTTGGTAAATATCTTGATCACAGGTGAGTGCCCATATCGCATGTGGTGGCTATTATCGCTGACATCTAAAAAGATCTGGTACCCCCGAGAGATGTTGGGTCCTGGAGAAGCTATGTGAATATTGTAGCTACAACTGGCCGTTCACTTGGTGGGCCAGTTGGTGGGTACCTGGCAGACACAGTTGGATGGCGATGGTATGCCCTTTTTAATCGCAGATATATTTGATCTGATCTGATAACCTCTAGGTCTTTCCTTGGACAATGTCCCCTTACACTTCTTGCAATCATATCAACATACCTCCTTGTTCCCAAGCAAACCGCAACGCGGACAGGGGATGTGAAGGAAGGGAGCAAGCTTGCACGGATTGATTTTGCTGGAGCATTCTTGCTGGCGGCCACAATCCTGTTCTTCCTTCTGCCACTTGAGATTACAGGAGAGAAAATACCTTGGACGCATCCTTTTGTCCTGGGATTATTTGCGTCATCCATAACGATGGGGGTTCTCTTCGTGGTCGTTGAGACTCATTGGGCCAAAGAGCCGATATTCCCGCTCAACCTCCTCCGTTCTCGACATGTCGTTATCCCAGATATTCTTGTATTTCTTCAATTGGCTGCACAATTAGGCGTATGTGCTCCAGAACCCCCCTTATACGCATAAGTCACTAATACTATTTGGAATCACGGCAGATGATGTATACAGTCCCTCTATATTTCCAAGTCACCCAGGACGCATCGACTGCAGTTGCTGGAGCGCATCTATTTCCCGCCGTGACAGGCGTTGCTGTGGCAGGGCTCCTTTCGGGCTATCTAATAAAAAAGTACTCATACCGAGTTAACTCCATAAGACTCTGCTAACTTATACGTTCTGTATCATAGGACTGGACGTTATAAGGCGCTTCTTACAATTGCCTCAGCCTGCGCATCTATATCGTATCTCCTCCTTATTCTCCGCTGGCACGGCCATACAAACTGGCTAGAGTCATTATATGTTGTACCCGGGTAAGACCCTCAAGCACTAGTTGCCCTGGAAGATTAGCTACTAATGGGCTGTAAAGAGGGTTTGGTAGTGGGATGCTCAACTCAGCTGCCTTCGTCGCTCTCACAGCGACCATCAACCGCGATCAAATAGCCATGGCTGCCTCGACATTTTTTCTAAGCGCCAATGCAGGCATGGCTGTTGGCATGGCATCTGCAAGTGCAGTTATACAGAGTGGCCTAAGAAGTGGCCTAGAGGCGAGGCTGGGTGATATTCCAAATAGAGCTCTGGTACGTCGCTCTCCGATTGGCTGTTTTCTCAGCTGGTATATTAGTTAATCCCAAACTTGGGTACAAACTGACAACCATTCTTGAACAGGTCATCAAAAAATCGATGTCGAGCATTGATTACATCCAGTCACTCGAGGGAGATGTAAAGAGCATCGTGGTGAGTGTCTATACGGACAGCTTACAAAAGTCTCATTGTATGTATAGTGATGATGTTCTGAACTAGGCGCAACGAAGCTGATATATTGTGTTTCTAGATCTAAACCTTGGGTTTGCAGTCACTGGAATTTTCGTGAGCTTGCTTGTGGAAGAGGTTCAAATATAGTGGTCATAAAATCTTTAGTTGGCCAACAATCGTATCAAGTTTCGACGCCTGGGTACGGACAGGAATGAAAGGTAGTCAAATTATGGCAATGGGCATACAGCAAGCAATTCCTGGAAGCATCACATTTGGTATCGGGATCTCAGAGCCTCTAATATAAAATGTAGATCAATAGAATACAAGCCATCAGCGTTTGCTATTGTATCGAGGAGCTTTCATAATACATCGCCAAAAAAAACTGTTCACAATTTAATTAAAGCATCTCACAACCCCCAACAACACCATAACATCCCCTAAAATCCCATGAAAGATGCAAAAGCTTTCCATCTGGTGCTAATTGGTGAATCCAAGAACCCCTTATTCGGATTTAACTCCACCAACAGACAGTTCCCGGACACCACCATGGGTGTTCCCTTCGTCGCAACAATTGCCGTCATTATCAGCTCCGCCAACGCCGGAAGTGCCATTGCAGGAGCCATTTGCGATGGATTGCCAAGAGACATGATGCCGAAGAGAGTCGAAATGGAAAATGTCACCGTCTGCAGGATTCGGAACTGACTAAACCGTGCTCCCTGTTGCAGATAGTCGAGGCCTTGGTAAGGAGTACACCCATTGAGATTCGTGACTTCGTATGCTACCCGTCCAAGATCGGAGTGCCAGCGCTGGATGACCAATGCTAGTGAGGCGGGATATTGGAAGATGAGAGGGATTGCCGCGAAGACAGTGTAGAATTGCGAGAGGTCGAACCACATGGCCCAGCCGAGTACAGACATCCACCCTCCAGTTTTGAAGCTTGCTTGTGTCATCCCAAAAGCTACCACCCACGCAACGAAGAGGAATGGCGACAGGAGTAGTTGGAGGATATTGAACGGCGTGATGGAGAAACTGGAAACGACTTGTCCATTAATCTCATGTGACGATGTGCTGAAGCAATTGATCGGTGGGTTTATCAAGATGTACTGCACCAGCGCTTGCGGCCAGCTGGGCATGAACGCAGCATCTTGAGGTGTACTGTCGACGATGGTGAGGTTATAGAGTTTGCGAAACGCTTCAATATCTTCGGTTTTTTTCGACAGTTTCCAGAAGTTCTGTCCGGTTTCGCTACGATTCGCATCAGTTGTATCCTCGCGCCTGAGAAGCTCTGGTTGGGTTCCAGAGTACAAGGCTGGATTTCTCGGAGCCAATAGGCCTAGTGCGGTATGGCCCCCACTGCTGATCGCTAGAATTGTGAGAACATAGCGGAGGATCCACATCGCGAATGCTAAAACATACAGATTTGATGACTTACGATTGTTTACATGTCTGTAGTCAGATCCCTTGGAGAATATCTAATATTTATGACCAAGGGCTCCAGTACCAGCGCGTTCCAACTTCAGTGAGGCTATTCCAGGCTGACCACCTGTCAGGCTTGCCCGTTTTGCACAGCCACCACAATGCAATGCCCCAAGCATTTCAGCCTTACTTTAAGTTCCCGCCCATATATATGTGAGGGATTTTAAGATTTGACCGTTGAAATTGTAGTAGAGAAGTAAAACTCCTCGAACAGCGAAGAATCTAAATTACTCGCCCGAAACGGTCTTCATACGATGCTTCAAGAAGCACTGTAGTTGTTTTTGTTTTTCTTGTAGGACAGAAGAGATGCCTTGCCACCGGGAGCTTCGATGGTGGAGTTGAACCACCCTTCAAAAAAATTCAAAAATTATGGGCTCAACCGGGATTTGAACCCGGGACCTGTCACATTCAAGCATCTGTTCTTTGAGAACAGGGGATGAATCCCGAAGCAACAATCATACGACTAGACCATTGAGCCTGTGATTTTCATCTTATGCGTCAAATGCGGCGTCTTTGTGAAGGAGAGTGTCACTCAAATGTTTAGACTAAGCTTGGCATATTGTTTCCTAAATATCGCTCGGTGTAGACCCTGCCAAAACTAGCTGACAGGGTGCGGCCAAGCACATCCTTGCCCTATACTGAATAATCTATACCACTGTGTGCACTGATAGGAGGGCTGAGTGCCGTCACCCTTCACTCCGTGGATGGGTTGCATTCAAGATACCAGCCAATCCGACGATCAGCCTCATCATATCATCAAGCAGGTGAGCATTAAGCTTCAGTTTGGAATGTGACAGCTCAGGACCCCTGTATTCAGCCCAAACTTTGACTGTCTGCACTGTATAGTAAGGCAGTTTAGGCCCAAGCCACGAAGCTGTAGCTCCGATAAAATCCGGGCAAATACCACAAAAATATTTCGAACATTGCGGAATGGTACCTTTTCAGAGAGATAGGTCCTAATAAATGGCAGCAAAATCATTAATGTGATAAATCGTCCGGGGAAAAATACGTGGGTACTATGTATCCTCTGGGGGAGACTGTCTGATTTGACTAAGAAGTTTATCTGATTTATTTACATTGCAAACATCTAAAACCCAGCAACACCAAGCTCTGTAAACAACAGGCGTCGCATCTTGTCCATTATGCGGTTTTTAGCCATCCCATGAGTGCTTCGTGATACCTATCTGGGGCTTGAATCTGTGGCGCGTGGCCAAGGTCGGGAAACGCAATTAATTTTCCGTTGGGAATCATCGCAGCAACCTGTGGACCAAGTACATCGTAGTGGCCTAGTATTGCCTGAACTGCCGGGGGAGACCACTGAGCCCCAATGGCGGTGTTATCCTTGGCACCAATGAGCAGGAGCGTCTTTGGCTTCAAGAGATGAAACTCATAAACGACTGGCTGTGTGAGAACCATGTCAACAACAAGAGCCTGGTTCCAGGCGTAATCAATGCCTTTGGATCCCGAGTAAATTCCGACAAGCATATTCACCCAGGTGTCGTAGGCTGGAGCCCAGGTTCCCACGTAGTAGGTAGCCTGTTCGTAGCCGCGGATAGAGTTATAGGTGCTTGCTTGCTCGTTGGCCCACGAGATGTCAGTGTTGATATATGGTACGCCAAGAGCTTTCCAGTCCTCGAGACCGATAGGATTCGTCAGAACCAACTCCGTCACGTTGCTAGGATACATCAAGGAAAAGCGCGTGGCGAGCATGCCGCCCATTGAATGGCCGATGAGAGTAACCTTATCGATGCCGAGGGTTTTCAGCAGACCTAATGTGTTCATTGCGAACTGCTGCAGACTGAATTGGTACGTTTTTGGCTTGGATGATTTGCAGAAGCCAATCTGGTCAGGGAGAATGACGCGATAGCCAGCTGCAGTAAGCTTGTCCGCGGTCTCCTTCCAAGTTGGTCCACAGAAGTTTTTGCCATGCAGGAGCACGGCGGTCTTGCCATTAGGTGGACCCGTTGGCGCAACGTCCATGAAGGCCATCTCGAGCCTCTGTTTTCTTTGCGTCTCGAATTGATAGAGCTTCACGGGCCAGGGATAGACAAACTTAGAACCATTCAGGTCGAATGGGATATCGCGCTCCTTGATAGAGTCATTGGAGGTGGCGGAGACAAGACCGAACAGGCCTAGGCCGAGGATTGCAATGCATTGTAGTCCCTTCATGGCTGTAATCTGATTTGGCAGGCTGATCTCAAAGTTAGTTCTCCTCCTGGAAACCAAACACGCCGTCGTATATGGTCACAACGCGGGTTTGCGATTGTAGCAGGGTTGGTGGGGTTGACCGACCTTCAGGAACCTAGGATCTACTTGATGTCTCACCGAACAATCGCGAGGGGATTGTATCACAGAAGAGATATATAGTAAACAAAACAAGCAGAATACAGCTCAGTGAAGATATTACATTTAACAAGATGGGATCCAGCCGAGAGCCAGTGGAGAACTCATGTCAACAACAGTGGAGGACCAACGCCGTATTCTCGCCATTTTGCGCACTCCACGAAATTAGATATCACAAGGTAGAGGTACACTCGAGGGGAGATATATAGCTATACCACAGCACAAATACCCCATCTGCCCAAGGTAGTGATACAACATCACCCAGCACCCACTGAGGTTACTGGGGTCAATATGGGTAGCATCGTTCTTCTTGGGGTGCTCACTGTGGGGATTCGGACTATTACCCCTCCTTCATCTCATAACTTTCTTACAACGTGCATATCTCATTTCCGGTCCAACTCATCGGCGGTACCTCGTTTATCCGTAGAATAAAGTACCAAACTTCCACTTTAGTAGCAAGTCCGGCTGACATGGCTGCAACCTGGTTCGGTACTTTCCTATTTTAGGAAGTCGCAAGTAGATCGGAACGGGATAGGATTCGGCCCGCTAGGGACTTTGTGGACCTTCTTCATTGAGCAACATGGAAATGCATAGAGTTGGAAAAAAAAACAGGGAAGCCATCGTGAGATGCCACCGTGTACCAAAGTAAGCATGTCGCGTCGATCATCGCATGCCAGTATGCGGCTATTTCGTAGCTCGGTCTCATGTTCAGTGAAATGGCACATTTCAATGCCGTTTAGGGCTGATTAAGGCTGCATTGTTGAGTTATCTGCGATTTGGGACGGCGATGGTGAGTGTATATTTGGGCGACTGCCCCAGATTTATCATGTTGGCTTTCTCTTCTTCCCTTCGGCGCATGTCCGACATCTTCTCCTCGCTGATGGGAATCTCACGTCGTAATTACGATGGTTAGTGGTAACGCACCCGGAGAGAGCCACGCTCTGCAAGTTCAGATTCCTTGCATCGTGTTCTTTGTTGTCACACCCATCTTCATCATCATCAGAATATGGACTCGGATCAAGCTGAAGAGTGGCCTTGGCTATGATGACTGGACAATTTTGTTCTCTTTTGTAAGAATTCTTGGCAGATCGTGACCCGCCAAGCGGGCAGATCGCGATCCTCGGAACTAGTTACAAACCTAATCTGCCTCACAGATCAATTCCTTGGCTGTTTCGGCCTTGATGATGGCATCCTGTGCCTATGGATTTGGGCAGCACAATGCCAACTTGTCCGTGTATAATCGAAAGATGACTTTCAAGGTAATTATTTATCGCATTATCCATTCCGAGAATGCCGGTTGCTCACACTTCTCCAGCTGTTCTATGTAGCCCAAGCGTTCTACAAAATCACAATTAACCTGACGAAAGCTTCGATCCTGCTACTATATCTCAGAATTTTTATTCAGAGGCCTTTTCGGATTATGTGCTATGTTATGTTGGGGATCATCTTAAGTTACATGGTTGCCACTTTCTTTTCGTCTGTCTTTCAATGTACGCCTATATCGCGTGCTTGGGACAAATCGATTCATGGCTCATGCATCAGTATTCCCAAGAACTGGTACGCCAATGCCGGCTTCTCGATCGCCACGGACTTTATCATTTTGGTGCTTCCAATGCCCATCATATACAAGTCATATCTCCCTTCAAACCAAAAGGTGGCACTGATGTTTGTGTTTGCACTCGGAGCCTTGTAATTATGCCATACCCTTTTGAAAAATTAATTGCTGACCCCTACAGTGTCATGATCACGAGTATCTTCCGAATGCAAACCCTTAATTTCTCATCAACAAGCCCTGATCCGACTTGTAAGTCCTATACACCACCCAACCCCAGAATTATAAACAGCCGTTGACATATCCGGTAAGATGATATTGCCTCCTCACTCTGGACCATTGTTGAAGAAAATGTCGGCATCATATGTGCTTGTCTCCCCTCGTGCAGACCGATCCTTTCGATGCTGTTCCCCACTGTTTTCCCATCTAACTCTGGGAGCGGACCCTACGGGTCTTCTTCGGGGAACCCGAGAAGCAACACATTCGAGAACACTGATTCTGCCAAAAGCGGTTGGACCCCCTCACGGGGTGACAAAGACGCCATGGGAGTTAACCTCACGACTGTGAAGGCCCATGGCTTGAAAGGCAGCACAAGCGAGGAATCCATTCTTAGGCGTCACGATGGGTTGGGTAATGACAGCGATGGGAATGGGATCCATAAGGTAACAGCTTATTATGTTTCATGGCCTTTCGAATAATATTAAATACAGTTCACAATACCGACAGGGAAATATCTGACTGATGAAATATCCCTTAGGGTTAGGGTATATATACTCTTCGCGATGTTGAAAGACATCATAGAATATGAACTTAAGTCATATGTGGTCGACGTCCAGTGTTTGATATTGATAACGAGGGTTGAAAGGTCCATGTGATCCACATCCTTCGTAGCGCCTCCGTGGCAACCTCTAACAAGCCACAATTTTGTAGCCACCAATCAAACGTTGAGTTCTCCTGGCCAAAATAACCCGAAGCTGATGCCTGGGGTTAACTCAGAATCTACCTACCAGAGCTCCATCTCGCAGACATCCATTTATCATAATCCGTCTTCTCCTCCCCTTCCCTTCCTTTCTCGTATTACTTCCCTCCATATTCTGACGCTACGACTTCTTTCCCCACCTCTTCTTTCCCACATCTTCTCTCCCCATCTCTTCATTCTTTCGCCCCCTCCTTCTCTCACTTCCCCTCCATTTTCCTTTACTTGGAGCCCTCTTATCTTTACCGCAGTGCCATTAGCATCTTTACCCTTTTTAGCAGGACACTCCTGTATTAAGAATTCGCAGTTCCTTCTTCTCCAATCTGAGAGGTCCCATTCTCTCTCCGCAATTATCATAACTGGTTGAATGATTTTGAGGGCCTCGTTATAGTCGCCACCCCATAAAAGTACCCATGCGAGTGCTTGTTGTGAGGAAATAAGAATAGGGTGAGTAGGAGTAAAGATTGTGTTCTGTATCTGAACAACTTCCTGGAGTAGTGAAACAGCATGTTTATGCTTGCCGGCTCTAGAAAGCGCCATAGCAAGTTCATGTTGTGAAGTAAGGCAATTGACGTTGATATGGTTCATGTTTGTCTTATGTATTTGAACAATATCCTCAAAGAGTAATATAGCCTCTTTATGCTCACCGGCTCTTGAAAGCGCCACAGCAAGTTCATGCTGTGAAGCAAGAAGGCTAACATGTCCAGCTTTCTTAGTTGAGATCTGTATCTGCACGACATCCCGAAGGATAGAAATAGCCTCTTCATGGCTGCCGTCTTTTGAAAGTTCTATGGCAAGCCTCTGCAGGGAACTAAGACGGCTAGGATTTTCAGGTTCCGTTGTTGCTTTCTGCATCTTAACAATATCCTGGAGAAGTGAAATAGCATCTTTTGGCTTGCCATCCATCGAAAGTGCCCTAGCAAATTCATGCTGCGCCCATAAAATGTCCAGGGTAGAATATTGCGATGATGTTCCAATTGTTCGGACTACCTCTCGAAGGATGTCGACAGCAAGCTGGTTCTTCCCTTCTAATAGATAGATCGCTGCCAGTGCCATTTTTGTAGCAAACAAAATTCTATTTGTAATTGCTGTGGAGCCTTCATTGCTGCACACTATACTTTCAAGTATACCTTGGGCGGTATGATGATCGTGTAGTGGTATTAAGCATAGGGCATGGATATACTCTATCCAAGAGCTATTTGTCAAGAGAGGATCTTCCGAATCAAACTTCTTCCGGAGTATTGTAGTTTGTGCTTTACACCGAATAAAGTTATCCACTCTGTAGAAAAACCATGCAAATTGAGCGAACATTCGGCCAATCTCAATTGACGGGTATATATCAAAAGCCTTTTGGGGTGATTCGTCTATACAAGTCTCGATATGGGGTTGCAAAGGTCGCCAAAATTCCTCGTGGTCATGGTGGCAAGTTTCCACGAAAGATACTCACGAACATGTCGAAAGCGCGATCAGTGACATTGTACACACCCATGCATCCTGTCTATCGGCTTCTATAAGTCGATCCCATGCCCATGCGTGAGCTAACGGATGCATGGATATTTCCTTCGTTTCAAGTTGAATCGTAATGATGGCAAAAGACCGAAGAACTCCCAAGGCATCATGAAGAGAGGTGGGTAGATCATCTAATTCGTCGTTGAGGGATAGTCCATGGAGAAATTTAGGCAACCTTGACACATGCCAACGCGACAAACCCGTAATGTCGTCGGCATTAAGAGGCTCTTCCGGAATGTTTTGCGCGTATTTCGAAGCACAGGTGAACATACCCTGGGGCACTCCCGTAAAATATAAATGGCCTAAGACACCGAGCAATTCCAGAGCATTAGCGTATGCTTGATTGGTTGATTTGGATTGCTCTAAAAATTGGGCGGAGATTTCGAATGTAGCGTAAACGTTTCCGCTTCTTGATGAAGCTTGTATCTGCCCGAAGCGCAGTAGAGAATCACGTTGCCGTTGAAACCTCTCAATATATTCCTTTAGCGTGCAGTAACGCTGGCTGATATATGCCCCTGCCTGTATTACAGCCAAAGCATGCTGCGCCAGTTGCTTTACCACAGCTTCGGCGTCGCCTTGTTTCTCAGTTCGATCCGATTTAGGGGTGTTGGATGCTTTGAATAGCAGCGAAATGGCATCATCGATCTCAAGTTCCGTCAGAGTTTTTGCGCCAGAAGTTCCATAATAATGCATCTCGTTATTCCGGCTGGTTATTAGTATAGTGGCACCAACTCCCGTTGGAATATATGGATTTAGGTTTAATTCTAGATTGTCGGCGTTGTCAAGGACAAAAAGATATGGGTGTTTTACATTGTCGAAAAAGGCCTTCGCTGTTGCAAAGTTCCTGATCTCTGAGCCTGTATCTGCTTGACATGCGTTAGCAGCATCGAGGTAACCGCGCTGGATGGTAGATGAAGCACTGGCATCGATCCAAAACACTCCCCAGAAACTAACAGTAATTAGATCAGCATCGATATGTTGGTGCATAGGTCAGATGTGATGACCTACCTCTGCCGATGTGTGGTCGCGAATCTCAAGCACACCTCCAATTCCAGTGATGGCAAAGCAGTTTTGTGGCGGTCCCTGACCAGTAACGAAATTGCAGAGCGTTGCATGCATTTCTTCCAAGAGTCTTTTGCCGTGCTTTCGGTAGGATTCTTTTACCGATTGGCAGTTCTGAAGGAAACCGTGTCTGACGATGTGAACTACGATCCCGAAACTAGCCAGTCTGTAGAATAGCTGCAAAATCAATCACCATTTTTTGGCTCTAGTTGTGGCAGTTTTGAAAAACTATTAGTTATGCCATGGATGCCATCGCTGTTTCCCAAATATAACCAATATTCTCTATGGCAACAAATTTGAAGTGACAAAAACTACATAAAGTAATTCAAAAATATTTATAGAAATTCCATTTACTGCTATAAGTAAAATAGCCACGTAGATTTGGCGCTTTGGCTATTCATATTGTCAAAGGGGTCTTATAGAGTGGCTATAATTGATTTAGCACAGCTTGCTTCCCTCTCTACCCTCTCCAGACGGCCGGACCAGGAATGGTATAGCTAGTTGGCTACGTAGACATAGTTAGTATCAGCATTATTATATTTCGTAGAAGCGTAACATACCACAGGCCAGTAGATTTGGATCAAAATTCCAGGATCAGTTGCCTTGTAAGCTCCAGGGAACGAAACCAATGGGGCTGGAGTTCCACTGCCACCGCCTGTCACCGTGATTTGTCCGCAAGACAGATAGAACTGTGCACCGTTTGCTTGGCTAGCGGCGTGAAGACCGATATGCTCAATTCGTGCAAGATAATCACCGGACGGTGTAGCTTTTGGGATTGTAAAGCCGAGAGTCGTCAAACCTATGCACGATTAGAAACAAGTTATTATATGTAGGAAACACATACCACTTGAAGGCCAATCTCCTCCGTTACCAACCCATCCGGTGGGGCCTTGTTCCCAAACCTTGAACCAAACAGCACCACTTCCGTCCCAGGTGGCAGCAGTCTTTCCAGCTGGAACTTTGGCTAAGTATGCTAGACTTGGACCAGGATGCTGAATGCTTGGGTCGACAACAAAGCTAAGGGTGGACCCTGCAGCTACTGACAGGATACCTGGAGCAAATGCGGAAGACGCATCCTTTCCACATCGGATATCCAGCAATGACGTGTCTAGTACTGGACCATGACTGTCTGAGTCGGATCTCTTTCGAACTGCACAATAATTAGAAATGAAGGATACGGGATAAAGGGCATACCTTGTTGCCAAGTTGCTTGAGTGGTGCCGCCGTAGATCAAGGCGTTGAAGTTGTAGTGGGCTTGAACCACAGAAGCGGAGGCTAGGAGAACAGGGAGTAGTTGCATGTTGAGAGGTATTGAAAACGTTGAAATGTGGGCGATATCATTGCCACTATTTTGGAAGATTGTTGCCTCATATACAAATTCACGGGTTTAGTTCCATTTTCATTAGTGCTTTCCTGTAGATGGCTAGAAAGGTCACCTGCGACGAATATATTATCAGATCACGCTGACCTTCCTCGATTGGCGGAAGTTCCCTGTATTCCACTTTAGGCTGAGGTAAAGTTGACTATTTTCTTGTTTTGCGTTACGGCTAAATTGGGTCTATAATCGCGGTTCCAAAGCAGCGAATCTTAAGTTGCCATCATTAACAATCTTGTTTACTTGGCACTCACCCACAGCAGAGATGACTGCCGTAAATATATTAAGCACACATGAAGCTAAGAAAGACGGCCAGTCCATTTGCTGAAGCTCCCACACAAACCGGCTAAGAAATAATTATCTCCGGGAGTACTATATTTAATTATATGAAATGAAATTAGCGTCATCAATATTTTGGTCACAAGCTTCGAAAGAACTGCCGAACATCAGAAGTTGTACTTCCGACTCTACTGTCGCAGAATTATCAAACGTAGGCAGTGAGCAGGACTTGGCATTCTACGAGGCTATCTTTCTTATCCTCTTTAAAGGGAGCTTCCTAAGACTTTTGAATATATTCCAAGCTCTCATCCTTAGCCAATCAGTCATGTTTGAGAAGTGGTTAGAAAACCGTGAAGAACTCCTTCCACTTTTCTTCCCACACCTTCTTAAGTTCATGCATCACTATTTTCTTGGGCGTATCCTCAGAAACCTCGATATAATCATGCCCCTTTCTGCAAACACCCAGGTTACTTCCTTTATTTATCTTTTGCCAGCACCTGTGACATAGAATGGTATTAGTGCAGTAGTAGCATAGACGGACTGGGTTGTCTTCGTCGAAGTTGTCCATCGTCGTGCCGCAGGGGCCATTGCATTCGACATTAATCTTAGAAGGTTTATGATTTGGTTTCTCCACTTTCCTAGACCTCGTCCGGTCCGCTTTCTCACGTTGCCCCCCATCATCGATATTTAAATCAGAACTGACCAGGCACCAGTTTTTGAACGCGGCTCTTGATTGTTCCTCTAGCCCTAGCAGAGCCAGAATTTTAGCAAGCATCACGTAGCTTGGCTTGTCGTTGTAGATTACGTTGTCTGTCAGCGCCTTGTAGCAACTATGAAAGGTCTTGTCTACTTCCTCAAAGAATTTCTTCTCCTGCTTCGTACGTCGGTATATTATGGCAAGTGGGATACTCAGCGGCGACAAGGACACCTCAAAATCCGGGTCTTGTATGCCCGAAAACCATTTAATTACGTGTTCCATGCTGCCTTGTGCCTTCTCCTTTCTGCTTAAGTAGTCTTCAACTTCTTCGTTGGCCAACGGGCGGCAGAACTCCTCAAAGTAATAGTCCATTAGTTGCCAGCTTGCAAATGTCTTCGTCGCAAAACTAGCGTTTGTCGTAGGGTTTAGCACCAAAAGAAGATCCTTTACACTCTGCTCAGCCCACTCCTCCTTGCCGTCGGAACCCGGAAGACTGTAGAATCGCCAAAAGATAGCACGCCAAAGGAGTGTCGAGCCTAACAATTGACTGTTTTGCTGCTTCTCGAGGGTCTCAATAGCTTTGTCGTATAAAACCTTGATTCTCTTAAGGACACTAGTATTTCCTTGCGCGCTGTATTGAATGAACTTATGTGTTTCTTTCTTGCATCCATCTGAGAGTTGCGTGTCGCTGACGCCATTTAAGAGCAGATGCATGTTGTCCCAATGACCCCGATTCCGCTCCGCTCGTTCCGCTATGTGCCTTACAATATCATCGAAGAAGGTTATTTCCGGGTACCCTGAAATTCTCCCGATAATTTTTTTCTCCTCTTCGAGACAGCTATTTAGCTTGATTTCAATTTTGAGTTTCAATTGCTTTGTCCTCTCAACTTTCTCTTTTCCCTTCTCTTTGTCTTTAGAGCATTTTTCTCCACACTTGACCGCTTCATCAAGATTCCTTAACGCTTCTCTAAGTTTCCCTTTGTCGTCTTTCCTAGGATATGAGTCTTCTACGTCACCGAAGTTAATACGACCGATCCTGTCATAAAGCTCAAACTTCGTCCATGGATCGTTTGGAGGATCATTTGGATCTAATTCTAGTCCCAAGTTGGCTTTTGATAAAGCCTCATCGTAGTGTCCATTATACCGCAAGGCCATCGCGAGGCACTTATAGTCTTGCGCGCTATATGACTTTCCCCATAAATTCTCTGAAACTTCCATGATAGAATCGGCTGTAATTTCCGCTTTAAATTCTTTACGGCCGGAATATCGAAGCATTTGATTGGCTAGTTGAAAGCAAGTGTAAGCCTCGACCGGAAATTTGCTGAATCGCCAATTCTGAGCATGCGCCCTAGCAATCTCTTTGCAAACATTTCTATAACATTCGCTCCTACTTTGGCAACCTTCGCTCAAGTTTCGGCAACCGTTGCTCATCCTTCGGCAAAAGCTCTTGAGTTTCGCACGTTTAGGCCCATAGCCATCCTCTTCCAGATACATGTTAGACCAATCCCAAATCGATTTCGCGATTTTGTCAGCATTTGTTCTGTTAATTTTTGTCTGGCTTTCGATCTTCGCTAGAGCGTCATTCCTTATCTCATCGACATCCAAGACATTAGAAATCATCATGATTACAGATTCAGCGCCTGGATACTCGTATTTTGTTTTGTGGGGGACACAAGTATTTAGCCTTAGGAGGTAGTCGCTCCATGACTTTGCGGCGTAAGAGGACAATTCCGCATCTGCCACATCTGCCGTAGAATTATATGCATCACTCTTTGCCATAGTGAGTACCATCGTAACCAGCTCAAACATCACTACTATGGGGGGTATCCGATCTTCGCTAGAATTACGGAGGAAGAAGGTTCGAAGCGATGGCTCTGAAAATGCGAGAAAGCTAGTATTGTCATACTCGTTTATCTTCGAATCTCGGTAATTGTGTTCTATCGCTGTCAAAAAATTCGGCGAAAGGGATAAGATCCTGTAAGTGTTAGAGCGTGCTAGGTTTTCGGTGTGAAATGTGAGGTTTCTCCTACCGAGACAAGGGACCGTCTAATTCATCGTCGATATCGATGTCTTCTCCATCTTCATGTTTACCCTTTTCCTTGATCCACTCATGGAGCCGTCGTATAGCACCCAGGGTAAAGCGATGCTCTGCATAGGCAAGCCATATCAAGATTTTTCTTCGCTGCTGGTACTCCTTTGCGCTGCGGCGACTACCAAACAATTGCTTGTAGATGTCATCAGTGCTTTCAGGTAGCTCGCCCCATTGAACCTTGAGCCACGTACTATTATTCAGTCCATGGAGGGTATGCTCAATATATGGAAAACCTAGGATTCGGTCAGCAAATCTAAGACTAGCTAAGTACGAGTTGGTAGGTGACGTACTGTCAGCCTTGCTGCACACCTCGTCGATGATTATTGTCTTGCGATATTCCGGAAGCATCGAAAGCCTTTGCAAGGTTTGTAGGCGAGATTTCGCAAATATTTCCAAATCGTTCTTGCTTTCAGTTACATTCTCACGTCTGCTTCTAAATGTCAAATCGATGACTGCTGTCCTAGTTTCATCGGGCTGTTCCATTTCTTCTGAATTGTCTGATGCCAAAGAAATGGCAGGGTGCAACAGGATTTCCTTGAGCTTGTCGTTGATCTTGACCATTTCTGTGTAGGCCTCGTCGTCGACCTTGATCTTTTCCATGTTGGCGCCATCTATCACTAAGAACATGCGTGTGTTCTTCACTCCCTCAGTTTTCTCAAGGAACAACTCTAGACATAAGTGATTCTTGATGTGTTTGTCTGTGCAGTTGCAAGTGTCCTGTTTTTTGTCCTCTCGCTCCTTCAAATCCTCAACGAGCCGTTTACGGTATTTATTATCCTGCATAGCAAACTGAAGCGCACAGCAACATATCATGTCTTGGACAGTGAAGCGCTTGCCGCTCCGATCTGCGAAGCTGAAGTAGGCCGTGAGAATTCTCTCTTCGGCCTCGGGTCGTTGTGCTATTAAGCTGTAGAAGATATAGAAGAGCAACATGCTTTTGCCACTCCAAGCGCCGCCTTTTATAATCAGTCGAGTGATTTCACCTTCCTTAAATTTCTTGAAATCCGCTGTCTCGTGCAACCAAAGACAAGTGTCTTGCATGAAGGCATACCCCATTTCCGCTATATGCTGTCTAAGAGACAACTCAGCACCTGTAGAAAGTCGTTTTAGCGTGCCCTCTAATCCACTAAACCTTCTCTGTCCTAAGTCCGTCAACTTGTTTTCATAGGTGGTATCATTTGAATTGTTTCTTTGAGAACGGACGCCACGGTATTCGCGCTCGGAATCGTTTCTGTGGTTTCCCATCACACCAAAAACAATGTCTTGCCGAGGCAACGTAGATACACTCCACAGTACCGTGCGAAGCAAACTCTGGGTCTCTCGAGACATTTCCTCCAAATTCTCTACTCCCCTGCCAGTTTGGACACTAATGCCAAGGGTGGCAGTGATGATGGCCGACTCGAAGTGGCTCATCTGATTGTTAAACTCGGCGTACGCTCCTGCTAGCCCGTCATCAGCCTGGAACAGCGTCTTGGTGAAAGTCAGCATGCGGCCAGCCTTCGTGAAAGTCTGCGCGATGGCACACATATTTAGAATTGTCCCTAACAACCGCACGAGCTGTGAGCGAAATGCGTTTTGAGGAGGCATCCTTTCTTGGAGAAGGGCCAACCTCTCACAGAAGATAATAACGGTTTCGTAGAAGCCGACAATCTGATCATACTTGTCGCTCACATTTTTGCATGCTCCAAGCACGAAGACAAGGGCCTGGCTAATAGTCGGGGCAGGCGGAAATGAGGCGCTTGCAATGTTGCCAGCCATGCCGACTAGAGTCTGGATGACACCCGATAACTTCCCCAAGGATGTGCGAATTCTGTCTACCCATTTATCATTATGCCGAAAATCAAGGAATTTCTTTTGAAGTTCCGTTGCCTTCGTTGCAGGCTCACTGCCAGGTTCAAATTTGTAGACGACTCCTGTGGTATTGTTATACTTCTTGATCGCCTCGTCCCAGATCGCCGTAAGGTCCGAATCTGCCGCTGGGATATTGAGAGCCATGAGTGAACGAGGAGCAAGGTTCGCTTCTATAGGGGATATAATAGCTCTGTATTTTTTACAGCAGTTGAAGCAATATGTGCAAGTGTTGATATTACAGCCGATAGGAACTCTTGGTCAATTTATTTTTATGTAACAATTGCCATTACATACATATACTGCGTTGGGCAGACCTGGAGAAGCACAATCGGTTGCATCAGGCAGGCTTGCAGGTGCATCCCGTTGCGTGTTTCTTCCGATACGGTTCCTGGAATCGGAGTATTATTTACCCGTTTACCACGTATTGTTCCTAGATATGGTTGCCTAAACTGTTTTTCGTTTTTCTTGGAGTTACACTGTACACAATGTGTAGAACTCTGTGTACACGAGATAGGGAACAGATCTTCCTAGTGCCAGTTCTGTGTTAACTCACTTCTAACGCTAGTTTATACGCGTAGTATTGCAGACTAGGTCACCGCAGCCTTACGTCCTTCATCAGCTCTTCTAAAACAATAAAAATAAAAATAAAGCGGAGGTTTCCTACCACGACGCAGATTAGCCTTTCATTTTACCTCTAGTAAGTTCACGTCTAAGATATACTTATATGGCTTTTTCTTAACTTACTGCTAGAATACTGCAATATACTGTTTCTTTTATGACATAGTGTCACACCTACTCTTTAAATATGAGCAAACGGGCGAAGCGCAAAGCAAAGGAGATAACGATGTCCTCTGCCGGCTCTCAGAGCATTCAGTTCTACAATAAAGAAGGGAATATGTGCGAAAATACCTCTTTAGATGACCTGCGAGCTCAAAATAGTGAGCTTTGCAGTCGTTGCAACGGAATCGATATGGACAACGCATTAAAGGTTACGAATGATCAGAGTAGCCGCTTCATCATGCCTCTTGGAAATATCTCTGAGGATATGAAGTATTCTCTATGCCCACTTTGTCGCCTATTTTCTTTTACATTTGTCCCACTGGAGACTAAGCGATACCCTACTCTGAGAGGCCATCACCTACGAGTGTTTATGGTTGATTCAACAGATATCAATACGATTAACTTTAGAGGACACGGAGTAGCTCTTGGAGTTTGCCAAGGAATTTTGGAAAAGAAGATAGCGGCTAAAGAACGACTGAGATGCCTTGCCAAGGGGTTTATTGCTCCCGTCTTCCCTCGGAATCCACACCCGAGTGCGCTTCAGCTGCAACTGGTTTCTAGAGGAAAAGTTGATTTTCAACAAATGCAAGCTTGGCTTCAGAAATGTCAAGATAATCATTCTGGAATTTGCGGACGAAAGACTGGCTCTCGTCCTATTGGTTTTAAATGCATTGATATCAACACCAGGTTGACTTGCTATATTAAGTCAGACGATGAGTATTATGCACTTAGTTACGTTTGGGCCACTTCAAACACAGGCACTAGTGCTAAAGGTGTGACCGATGATGCTAGCGCACTGCCACTCTCCGGTGTGCCTCAAGTTATTGAAGATGCTATAGCTGTGGTGCGAGGTCTTGGAGGACAGTATTTATGGGTTGATAAGTATTGCATTAATCAAAAGGATCAAGATCAAAAGCAAACTCAGATTAACGCCATGGATAAGATTTATGAGGGTGCTATAGCAACAATTATCGCTGCTTCTGCAAAGAATTCGCCTCCTGGTCTGGCAGGTGTTAGTCGCCCCCGAATTCTGCAGCAACCTACTGAATTGGTTGGAAGTCATTTGCTGGCATCTACATTATCGCATATCTCTAAAGCTGTAGCAGCTTCTACTTGGGTCACGCGAGGTTGGACATACCAAGAGGCGGTCCTTTCCGAGAGGTGTTTTTTTTTTACAGACGAGCAAGTGCATTTTCTGTGCAGATGTTCGACTTCCTGCGAGTCTATTGCTGCGTCTCCAAAGGCAGTTATATCGTCCCCTATAAGGGCAAGGACTAGGAATGATGCATGGAGCGTTAATGAAACAGCTGCTGGCCAAAACCTAACCGGCTTGTGGGACTTTTTCGACACCTTGCATCATTACAAAAGCCGGGATTTGACGTATGAGTCTGATTCTCTGAATGCTTTTCAGGGACTGCTAGCAAAGTCGAGCTTTAGGAACATCTGGGGGGTGCCAATTGCTTGCGATCCCGATCGAGAAGAAGCCGCCCTCTCTATTGGCTTTGCAAGAGGACTTTGGTGGGAGAATCCAGGAAACAACTGGAGCGATGTTCTGAAAGCTGAAGAAACGTACGTTTCATATACTCGACGTCCTAGTTTCCCAAGCTGGTCATGGGCTGGTTGGGGTGGTCCAACTCGGCCGCATAAATATTGTGGTGATAAGTCCTCTGATACTGGCTGCAACGAGGTGGACGATGAATCCTTCGATATACAGTTTTGGGTTGAGCTCACATCTGGCGAACAGATTTCTCTGAGTGAATTTTGTCACTTGACCAAAAAATCAAGCCAGGTTCCTCAACTGTCTCACATTTTACACATCGAAACAGAAATACACAAAGTAAGAATTCGTCGCCATCCGCACCATCCAAAGTCTATGGCTTGCATTTGCGATTGTCCACTAGACTACAATCGATGCAATAAAAAGAAAAAGCATATGACGTCTACTCACAACGTCCGATTCTTCGAGGATCTAATGAGAAACGAAAGTTTTTCTGACGTCATCTTCTCTCAGTTCTGGGACGTTATTCCCCTTTTCACAGCTAAGGATTCAAAATATTCAGTCTCAATTGCGTCGCTGATTATCGACTGGAATAAAGAGTCATCCGGTCTTGCTCAAGTTCGAGGGGTTGCATATCTTCACAGGAGATTATTTTTAGGTACTAGGCGCCTTAAGTTTCGGCTAACATGAATGCTCTATGCTATAATGTCTCCTCCGTATCAAGTTCAGCTTTTTCTGCATAGTTATGTTATACGAAGTTAATATTATGTAGACAACTTTATATATACCGCCAACTTTAGATCTGCTGCATAGATGGTTCAAAAAAAAAATCTGAAATTCTTGCTTTACCTAAGTCTACATATTTTGTGTCACATATAGACTGATACAGCTAGCTTTGCGAGTGAAGAAATCTAGATTACAGCCCCTGCCATTGCAATATCTAAAAGATGCTGAATACGGCCTTTCACAGATTCATTAAAAGCCTCGCACTTTAAATCATTCTCGATTTCTTGGCGTAAAGATATGAGCTCGAGAGTCTTTGGGGTGTCCTTTGCGGTCTGTGTAGTGTCTCCTACAGTCTGTGGGCTGTCTTCGAAGATTGATGCGCTAGAGTCAATAGAAGCTTCGGAAGAATCCTGATCTTGGGATTGGGCTTGAGTATGTACATCAATTGCTCTCTGTCGTGCGCGATCATACAAAAGCGAAAACTGTGCCTTCTCATAATCTCTAGAGCGGCAATATTCTCTGCTGTATTCTTCTCTGAGTGAGATTTGCAATTGTTCAAAAGAACTAGCTGTATGAAATCGGAGCCTTTGCACAACCATTGAATGAGGTCCACATAGATGAATTCGATTTTGTTTACAAAACACTCTCAATTCGCGTGTATTGTAACAAGTCAGAGCATCGCTGATCAAAAATCGGGGTCTGCCATTTGCAATTGCCCTTGTTTGAGGTTCGAATATATTCATGAACCATTTCATGGTAATCTTTCTATCCAGATAGCCATTCCTGGATTGATTGTGGTGACAGTTAAGAACATGGCTGAGTGTTTGATTTCTCTCGGCGTCAGTTGGCGAAATGATCAAGGGATTTATAAATCGACCGTCCATACTACTGCATTCAATGGTGGTAACAACCTTTCCTTCTTTATTGGCGTCCAAATAAGCGCGTATCGTATCCTCGCTGACAATTTCCGGAATTATTGCAGGAAATTTTAGTATGCCCCCTGTAGTAATAACGTGGTATGTGTTCTTATTTAACGCCTTTAACGTGTCGAGTTTCGGTGATATGATGTTGATCCATGCATCTATATTATCGTAGATGTGCTGATCGCATTTTTTTGTGTTCTTTGCGATTTTCAATGCGTTTTTTAGCGTAGGATGCCGTTTGTAGAATGCCGCCGACCAATTCTTTCCAGGCATGCGAACATCATCACCCTCTGGCTGATATTGGTGAACGGGTTCAATTGAATTGCGTTGGCGCTTAACATGATGAGCTATTTTTCGTATAAAGTTTCTTGGGGGACGATGCCCCCTCTGAGCCATAGACAACAAGCAAGTAGCAATTACTTTTTCTTCCTCATATGTCAAGTATTGTCTATCGTAGGCAGCTTCTCGTGTTGATTGGCGTCCAAGGTTCCGATGGCCTAAAGAAGTGAAATGAATCCCGCTCTTCAGGGAGAGATCCCTATATGTTATCCCGCGTGAATACCCATACTGGCTAAGCCAAGCCGCCGCCTTGTCAATTTCTAGGGGTTCAGCCATAAGATCGATGCGAAAACGAGTATATGCCGAGCGTTAGGATTCGGAATCAGTACATGGTATTAAAAGATTTATGAGGACCTGGGATAAGATCATTTAATTTTAAATCGCTTCAGAGCGTGATGATTCTGGTTTATATGTTGGGGACCCTGGCCCGTACAAGGCAGCTAGATGCACTGCCACCTGTCGTCCCTGTCAGTAGGTACAGTAAGGTGACGACGACATAGAAAGGCTGAGACACTATTCTGACTCAAAAATTTACTTCGCCCCTCCCATCCCTGAGGCAGCAAGGATCTAGAATACACGTCACAACCTTTTAGCACGATTGATGGGAAGAAAAAACACGTACAATAGCAGATATCCGCTTAGTAGTCAGGCCAAGGAGAGTTGGGCATCCAGTTCGCCTTGTTCAGTAATTGGGTAAGGTTATTCCATGGCTTAATGCCTCACCAAAACCATTCCCCGTTACCAGCGTAGCCTTCGCATCTCCACTCAAGCATTGCTGCTCTTTGCTACACTACTACTGGAAACCCCGTGGGGCAGCCGTTAGCGGACTGTGAGGAAGTGGGTGCTAGAAGACGCGAAATAGTTTGTTAATTTGGTTGATTCTGAAATCTGCCTCACCGCCTTGGTGAAACCTGTATTCTGTGCGCAGCTAGGCTGCGCCACGGGGGACCGACCCCAGACCGGACCATGGTCTGGTCTGGTCCTAAATTTTTAGACCGGACCGTGGTCCGGCCTGAAGCCTCTAACCCACGGTCCCCCCACGGTCTGCCAAGAAACCGTTCAAAATATAGCAGATGTACTGCTATACCTATTTTATAGGTAAAGGTACTTTATCATGTGATAAAGAGTTATAGTAGTATATTATGATTCGTCACGTGACAAAGCACCTTTACATATAAAATAGGTGTAGTAGTACATTTACAATATATTAAACGGTTTCTTGGCAGACCGTTGGGGGACCACACCGGTCTGGGCGGTTCGCCCTCATTTTCCAACCCAGACCGCGGTCCGGGTTGGAAAATGTTCAGACCGCCGGTTTAGAACCACCGGTCCCCCATGACGCAGCCTAGCGCAGCCTTGTCGCCGCCTGGCTTTTCTCCTCGATGCCCAAAATGAACAGATAACACATCACTAGTTGCCCGGGTTGCAGTGGATCCACTGCGCTGTACTGCAACCTGGCAACTAGTGATGTCTGGTGATATACTATAGAAAAGAACGATACCGCCTCGAGAGTTCATTAGCACATGGTGTGAATTCAGGTGAGTTTCCTACAGCCGATAGTCGGTTACAACATATGGGGCTAGATTATCAACATCATAAATTAGGGAAGCCAAACCGCTTGGCACTTTTCAGGTTTCAGTTAATGCATGTTTCCGTATTAGCTAACCATTTACTTGCTTTAAGCGCTTGTTGAGCCCTGCTCATGTCCGACGGGCACGAGAGACTAGGCATCAACCGGAAAAACTCACAAAAAACTCACAAAAAGCGGCACTGGTACTTGTAACTTGTTATGGCTACCCCCCTCAATAATCTTTGATGGTCTAATGGTCATATAGACCATCCATAATTTGGGTGCATCCTGTTGCGTGTTTCTCGAATGCTGCTTTTGGTTTTCGCCATTTCGGTTCCTGGAATCGGAGAATGGTTTTCCCGCTTACTAGGAAGGTGCACAGCTTCTGGTAAACCAGAAACAATTTTCTAGTTCTTAGATTTATACGTCTTAGATTTATACGTCTTAGATTTATACGCTTTATACATTAGCTGTTTCCTAGATTCACGAAACGGTTTTCTCAATCTAGAACGTAAGGCCGCTTTCTCCATTTTTAGATGCAGCCTTGGTTATGCTAGTATAGAGTGAGAGAGTGGCCTTTCTTTATATACACTAGGGTCATCGCCTGCCCCCTTTTATCGCTGAGTAATATGAGCCCTCTTCTAAACTCTCTTGTCTTCTTTTATATTTCTGCTCCTGTTGCTTTCACTCCTCATTCAGGAATCTCTACCCCTTCAGTTCTCGCTACATCTAACTACCTGCAATGATACCTGGCGATAATGACTGGCTTCGTTCTCAATTTGCTGGGTTGGGGGCATCGCCAGTGCCAAAACAGTAGCCTGTATGAGCAAAAAAAGAGATTACAGGTGGGAAATCGACCAACCATCCCCCGCTTCCAGGAAGCCGCTGTCGTGATCAAAAACACGGGATGCGGCTGTTAGAGCGGCCCGAGGCAGACATCACAATCGACCAACTGTCTCCCGTTTCCATAAAGCTGTCGTCACGTGACAGGGTGCGTCTCTAGACTCAGGAATAAAAGTTAGTCAACGTTACAGAATTTGTATCATGACCTAGTAATTTAATCACATAAACTAGCCAGTAATGAGCGCTAAATCACAAGGACTTATAAAATAGCTTAACCTAAAAAGACCATTAGAATATCCTGCTATTACTCATTAGGTGCTCTGATCTAGGACTAGGCTGGAGCCAAAGAGTATTCTTCTCATTCCGTGCGATCTTAACCTGTAGAAGATAGTGCGTGCCCTTCGAGAGTCTCGGCGATCAAATTGTGCCCTTTCATTAAAGCTTTTGCGAGAGGCATAACGCCATCGTTGTCTGGTATATGAAGGTCCGCATTTTTGCATAGTAGCCACGCCACAGCTTCGTTATGTCCATTCGCTGATGCCCACCAAAGAGGCGTACGACCGGTCAGATCTTGAGAGTTCACATTTACTACCCCTAGCTTAAAGAGGGTGGCCAGGACAGGGACATGGCCTTCTCTTGCAGCTAGCGCGAATGGAGTTTGGCCAGAACAATCTGCAAAATCTAGCTCCTTATGGCTCTGCGCCAACAGAAGAGAAACAATCGCAACATCCCCGTTATACGCTGCTGTATGTAAGGCGTATTTAAACCAGCCACAAGGGACATCTGTCCTCATCCCGTTGCTAAGTGCCAACTTAACTATATACTCATTGTGTGCTTCCACTCCCTCGTGGAATGCCTTGATCTGAGCTCCACGCTCGAGTAGAACCTGCGCCTTTGCGTTAATATTCAGCGACAGTATATGTTGGATGGCCGTGAAGAATTGATTAAGAAGGTTGATATCGGCTCTCGCCTCGAGCAGCTGCGTGACAACGGCAGCGTGCCCTCTATACGCCGCCGCCTGCAGAGCATTGTCGTATTGTCCTCCCTGTGCGTTGACATTAGCTCCTGCCTTAAGCAGCTGCGTGACGACAGCCGCATGCCCTCCATACGCCGCCGCCTGCAGAGCGTTGCCGTAGTGTCCGCCCTCTACGATAACGTCAGCTCCCGCCTCAAGCAGCTGCAGGACGACGGCAGCATGCCCTCTATACGCCGCTGCCTGTAGAGCGTTGCCATGTTCTCCGCCCTGCGCGTTAACGTCAGCTCCTGCCTCAAGCAGCTGTGTAACAACGGCTAGGTGACCACTATACGCTGTCGCCTGTAGAGCGTTGCCGTAGTGTCCGCCCTGCGCGTTGACGTCAGCTCCTGCCTTAAGCAGCTGCGTGACAACGGCAGCATACCCTCCATACGCCGCTGCCTGCAGAGCGTTGCCATGTTCTCCGCCCTGCGCGTTAACGTCAGCTCCTGCCTCAAGCAGCTGCGTAACCACGGCTAGGTGACCACTAATCGCTGTCGCCTGTAGAGCGTTGCCGTGGTGTCCGCCCTGCGCGTTGACGTCAGCTCCTGCCTCGAGTAGCTGGGTGACAACGGCAGCGTGCCCTCCATGCAACACCGCCGTCGCCTGTAGAGCGTTGCAGTACTGCCCGCCCTGCGCATTAACGTCAGCTCCTGCCTCAAGCAGCTGCGTAACCACGGCTAGGTGACCACTATACGCTGTCGCCTGTAGAGCGTTGCCGTAGTGTCCGCCCTGCGCGTTAACGTCAGCTCCTGCCTCAAGCAGCTGCGTAACCACGGCTAGGTGACCACTATACGCTGTCGCCTGTAGAGCGTTGCCGTGGTGTCCGCCCTGCGCGTTGACGTCAGCTCCTGCCTTAAGCAGCATATTAACCAATATCCTATTTCCTTTTGTAGCAGCAGCTTGAAGGGCATTCCCCGATGCTCCTGTGCTCTCATTAACATCGGCACCGCGATGTAATAAAAGTCGTAACATCTCTTCATGCCCATTTCCAGCTGCGCACTCTAGCGCTGTACTGTCGTTCCTACTCTTTGCCCCTATATCAGCGCCAGCATCAATCAAAATTTCAGCCAAGACTTTGTGGCCCCAGCGTGAAGCATAGTGCAATGCTCGATTACCAGCATCATCTTCTTCATTTATATTTACATTATCACGTTGGAGAATTTGGACGACGCTTCGAAGATTTGAGCTAGATGCAATGTGTAATAGGGTGGAGCCAAGCTCGGGGCATTTTGCGTTTCCTTGGAAATCTATTTTCCCATAGATTTTTACCCAGGTCTGAAAAGCTGGTCCTGGAGGGGATCCGAGTTGCTGCACCAAGTCCTGTTGTGAAGTTCCAAAACTTTCGGCCTTTTCCGCATGCAAGAACCAAAACTTTGTGGCATACCTCAGAAATGGAAGATTCTCTAAACGTGACGATACATCCGTGTAGCCGAAGTCTTTATGGTCGGCCAATTCTGAGCCACCAACAAGGACTTCCTCCAACCTCAAATAGTTAATACATGACTTAGACAGCCGACCCTGACTTTGGCCGATAATATCATCCATCGATGAGGAGAGATCCTTTAGACCGCCAGATAGGAGGAAATCGTTGACTGATTGATGGATAAATTGTACGGTGGTTTTGAACATATGATGCTTAACCTCAACAAGGCCACCAGACAGGCTTCTGATCAGTCTCTCCATACGCGCATCAGTGTCCACAAAGTCCTTTGCTTCTTTACAAGATTCTCGTGCTGGATGAATATACAGGTCATCTGAGGCTATCGCAAACCGTAGCTCTGTCACTGAGAGTGGTACCTCAGCTAGGCAAATCCACTGCATCAGATGAAATGTTCTTGTGCGATTCCGATGATCGATGACCTCCCTAAAGATGTGTTCGTAAACGTCGCCCAGGTCTGTTGGTACCTTGCTTAACTCTTTGTAGATATACTGTAATGACTCTCCTTGTTGATTGAGATCAACGACTAGTGGAACAACAAGACGTGCCCACTGGAATACTCCTGAAGCTCGCGTCACAATAGTTCCTTCAAGTTCTTGGAATTCGTCAATTGAAAGGCCCACCATGTTCATTTCTTGAATTCCAGAGTTGAGCCTGTGCTTGACGTACTTTGTAATGTCATTGTGGTTTTCGTCTTCAACACAGATTTCCAAACTGTTGTTGGCCGCTACTATCGGATAATGACGACATGAGATGCAGATTCTTGAAGCGCCTTTCATAGCTGCAAGTTTATCGTTTAAGTCGTGGAAGTACATAGCAAGATCTCGCGCAACAATGCTGCCAGCCTCATCTAGTGCGTCCACGAAGATAGTTATCTTCCATAACTTAGCGGAGTCAATAAGAGCGTTCGAGAAAAGGTCCTTCAATTCTTTGCACTGCCATTCCCAACTAGTTCCAGCCTTGCCAAAGCTCTTTTTCTCTTTAAAGGCAGTCTGTATTGGCAATCTCACCAATGGAATCTTTGTGTATATTTGATATAAAAGGGATCGAAACATGCCGATTGGAGTTTTTTGTAATGCAGCACCCCGCCCATGGAAGAAGAACTCAAGACCTATGCGTTGGTTTAAGAGAAAATTGTCCTGGGATGCCTGGAATTCCTGATAGAGGAACGCCATCAAGGTAGACTTCCCTGCGCCAGGCTTTCCTTTTATCCAAAGAAGTTCACGTTCCTTGCTTATCCACTTTGTATAGGACCTATGTTGCAATATCCACTCACACGTATGTAAATGAGCTTGGTCTGCCTCCTGCCGTCGGTAGGTAATCTCAGGAAAAGCGAACGACTTAAGGCAATCTTTCTAGGGTTAGAATTGCAGCTCCTGTGATATAACGGAGGGTCGAAGCATACCATTATCTTCGGAAGTCATTTCCTCCTTCTCTAGGTTGATAAATTATTCAGTAAATTCCTGTAGCATAGATCCAATTTCACGGGCGATCAAGGAGACATAATTAGTTATCGTTACCTTTGGTGGAAAATGTCACACGAGGAATTACCAAGACAGCAACAGACATCATTCGCTTCAGCACAGCGAGAACCCTTTCATAGTCCTCATCGTTACTAGAGAACTTGACCAACTGTGAATGACTTCTTTTCAGTGCCAAACAGTGATGCGCTTCATTCTCCCATGGGCGGCCGTGCCTTGCGGATGAGCTATCGACCAAGATGCTAAGCGGCCCCGTCATCTTCCACTTCTCTCCATCCTAGAAGAAACCGTTAGAAGAAACCAACACTTAGAACATCGTGCTTACCTTAGCTGCAGTTGGCGACATTTCAGTTTCAAAGAAGCAGATTATTTCTGAGTCTTGATGGCCGAAGGCTTTGGGGAAATCTCTGCACTGGTTGCGCAGAATCTGTGATTCTTTTCCGAGCGAATGTAACAGACCTTGGTTAGGTTGATCTTTGACTAATGGAATAAGAGAAGTAATCTCCATTCCCTGACTTGGTACACCGAAAAAAAGCGCACCATATATAGAATCAAGCAAAGCATGGTGATTCTTGTCGCGCTTCATTTGTATTATAGCTTCTTTGACTATGAGGCCCCCAAGACTGTGGGCAACAAATATCAATGGTACTGTCTTAGGCTTGGTATGTTTAGAGTCTTGTGTAGTTAGGGTCTGAAGATCTGATCGTAACAGGCTCCCCAGTGCTTCAAGGTCTTGAAAAGTGTGACTATCATGCAGTTGGGTGTCATAGCCGTAGATCATGACTCGGGCGCCGGTAAGATCGGAGGGAAGTGAATCGCGCAACCACATATGTGGTCCTGCTCGCTCTTTGAAGGACCCAAAAGCGTGCCCGCCAAGCCCCGAGATCGCAACGCAGCTAACTCTGTCAGCCATGTAATTCCCGCCAAGTACGCAAAGATACCTACTCGATCTTGTGCTCTGCGACATTCTTGAAGGATCGAAATATTGTGATGCCTCTGAAGTGGCTATCGATTGTAATCGTAGGTGCCTTGGGAATGATATCGTCATCGTCGTCGCTCTCAGCATCGCTGTTGTCAACATCAGGGATCTCAAAAGACCACTCCTTTCGGTCTGATGACAGACAGGGAGGTGGGTTTTGGAAATTGACGGTGGCCATCTTAGTCTTCTGGTTAGGACTGATGGCTATCGACTTGACTTGAACCGTGCCCCGAGCTGCATCAAGTCCTAAGACTGATCGAAGCAATTCCTGGACCTGTCGCAGCTTATATTCCAGTGGTATTCCTCGCACCCGATATGTAACCTGCGATATTTTTGCATTAGCCGGCGGGTAAGCTATGGATGTCTTGATGTACTCATAGATTAGACTCAACATGAGTTTCTTGATTTGGTGTTAGACTTACAGACTCCAAGTCATTCAGCTTCCGTTTTTTTGATCCATTGCTATACTGAGTCGCATAGCTAGTCATATTGTCAAATTATGAGAAGATCATAGAGTTAGGTTTGAATCTGCCTTTCGAACTGTCTTCGAAGTTTCAAAACTAAATCGAGAGTAGTTCTTGTAAGATACTTTTTGGTACGCTGAAGGCTGTGGCTATATTCTCCACGACGTGTCAAAGGGTTGGTGCTTCAGCCGCATCCCAATATCTATTTATAGATACCACTAACAACTGACTTAACCGGATCTACCCTTACTATCAAGTGACTTCCTTGAGCGCTTAATTTGGAGGTACCTACCCATGTGGCGACGTTGTATGGCAAAACTCCGTAGTCACCATAAGGCTGAAAATGATTTGTTAGCATCGTGGTGAGGCTCGGAAACCTAGACCAAAGTGTTCTATGAGTTAAAAGACGCAAAGAGCTCGTGGTGATGCTACAGGTCGAGGGGTTCTATTATACTTCGAATTGACGCAACGCCCTCCGCAATTAGGTGCGACGGCATACTTGTAAATTTCAATGTAGCTGGGGCTTGAACTATTCAAGAGTAGTCACATAACATGACTGACACAAAAATGCTGGAATTTTCAATGGATTCACAAATTTAGAATCAATTGAATTCAAAGTACTAATGGCTCGTCTTGAATCGTTAATTTGGCACAGCAAGTAATCGAAGATACAGGATGCGGCCATTCGATTCGAGAGGCCTGAGGCAGATTTGGTAAATCGACCAACCATCCCCCGTTTTCATGAAGCTGTCGTCGTGTTCAGTGGCTTGTAGACCCCACGCCACAAAGGACGGGAAGCAAGAAGCCGTATTGTGCATAATTCTAAAAACAGTCTTTTATGCTAACGAGAAACTGAAGTCGGGAATTAGAGAATGACAAAACCCGATTCCAGGCATCAACTTTTTGGTTGCTAGCTCCGGAAAAACTGACGAAAAGCAGCGCCAGTTCTTCTTTTCCGTTACCCCGTTTCCGACAACAATCTTTGATGGTCTAACGGTCATGATTTCCGCTTGTCATGTGACAAAGCGCGGGAGACCGGGGTTCGACTCCCCGTCAGAGAGAATTTCCTCTCTGAGCTCATGGCTCAGAATATATTTTTGCTTATTTTTTTGTTTTATCGCTGAAGCCATTCAGTTTTAAACCGTTATTTCAATACCTTTTTTGGAGCTGTGTCGAAGCTGCGAGGAGGGTAAACTGGTTAGCGTACACGAAGAGCAGGCGACTCTCTTCACGCTCAGAAAACAGGCTCCAGGGCATCATATCAGGGTCCTGCCAGGGAGAGAGTATTGAGGATAGCGCGCTTAGCCAAATTCCCCCCAGTTGACAGTGGTGAAACAGGTCTAAGATGGCCGTGGGGTGCTCTCCTACCAACTAATACTACTATTTTCATATCTACAGCGTCGGAAAACTATCACTTCGTTCACATTAATCTGCGTCTATTATATACATCGCAAGATAATCTCTTCCTCTACACTTTATATATCATCGCAACGCAGCGCCGCCCTGGCGACAAGGGACCATTCTATCTACGTCGCCTTTCGCGACGCGTCGATCAAAGTGATGTCAACACTATCCACTTTCCACCTCTTCCCCAGCCTCCCCGTCGAGATCCGCCTCAAAATCTGGTCTTTACTCCTCTCAATTCCTCGATCGGTAAGATGTACCCAAAACATCATAAGTCATGCCGCCCCTCGCGTTATCAAAGTCTGGGATACCGATACTCCATCCCCGCCTCTTCTCCACGTGAACCGCGAATCTCGGTACGAAGCCCTCGCCGTCTATGCACCATATTTCGCCACCCCTTCTAATCCACGACCCATATATCTCTCCCTCCCTCAAGACGTGGTCAGGTTCACGGATGGCCTCCTGCCTTATATCCCCGATGGACCCCTGAATGAGATCCAGCATATGATTACGGATACGAAAGATTGTGCTTATTTTGGGTACTATCACATGGGCACTCTAAAGAGCATGAAGAGGCTGAGGGAGCTGGAGATATATGCAGAGAAGGGCCTAGTCTATGGAGGGGATGATACGGATCGGTTTATTAATTTGCTCGTGTCAGAATTTGAGGACGCGATGGAGGCTGATCCAGGGTGGGAATGTCCAAAAGTCAGGATTGTCGATGCGCAGACAGGAAAGGACTTGAGGTTTATTGAGGGTGGGGCAAAAATACCAGGATGGGTACCTGAGGAGTAAGTATTTTCCATGGAATTTGGGGATTATGCTGACTGAATTAGAATTGTCTATGTATATGATGATGAATATTAGATGCTGGGTACGCGTATTTGCATTTGAATACGATTTATTCCCTTCTCATCCATCGCAGTAAGCAGTGTGTTTCACGGGCACAATTTCTCCTCGGTCACATATTCTATTTGCATGCCAGTAGGTTTCATTTACTTGCGATTAGTGAGCTGGACATTGCCAGCATTGCTAGTCTTCTCATTCCTCCGATAGCTCTAAGCTCATAGCTCTGGAACAATCTCGGTCGCCGAGATGTACTGCGCGGCACCCGTGTACCTCCAGCGCTTGAAGTACGCGTTTCCACCAGCCGAACAGTCCAATCCAGTTCCAGCTCCATTGCAGGTGGCATAGGCACCCACCAGACTCCCTACAAAACTTCCCCTTCCACCACTCACAAGGCGCGCGGATGCCGTCCCAAGTATGATTCTGGCATTCGGGTTTGCAGCTGGCATAGCAGCGACGTTATAGTGGGTGGCATTTGCTGTCTGGATCTCCAGTCGAATTTGGCCGGAGCCCCAGCTTACTGGCACGGGGATAATGGTTGGTTCGGGAGATTCGATTGTGCCAATGGTGCGGAAGCGGAGTGATAGCTGGGGCTTTGCATTGCCCTTGGAGGTTGATGCGTCTGGGGCGAGAAGCACGATTCCAAGGTCAATATGGTTGAATTGCGTAAGGAATAGTGTGACACCTGCCTCCTGTCCGACCACCCGAGGGCTGAATGATACATCAGTAGTGAAGGTGAACAGAGTGTCTGTCTGACGGCGGCCGATAAATGCCAACCCCTTCTGGCCAGTGAGCTCGGGTGTTACCAAAGACTCTGGCGTTCCTGTCAAGTTGTTTCGGCTAGGCACAATCTGCAGACCCTTGGCTGTCACTGAGATTGCATTGGCTCGTGGCACACGCCAGTACACTAGGTTTCGTGGTATGGCTTTCCCCAGGGGGAAGTCGTACACATCTGGATCGGCGTTGAATGGTCCGTCTCCTGGTACGTCACGGCTAGTTGGCGGCAATGGCCATCCACTCATTTCGCCTCGCACTGGGTCTAGTACTGGCCACTCGCCCTTATCCCATCTTGCTGAGAAGAGCACAGCTTCACGGCCCATGGGGAACACCTCAAACTCTGGCCCAGTGCGGGTCGCGAGACACATTCCCCACCACTTCCCATTAGTATCTTGAAACAGATCACCATGTCCAACAGTCTGGAAGTATTCATCGGTACCACGGTTCGTCAGAATTGGGTTACTGGGATTGGCCTCATAAGGGCCGGTAATCTTGCGAGATCTTGCAATTGTGATGGAATGATCCCGTTCAGTCCCTCCTTCGGCAATCAATAAGTAGTACCAGCCATCTTTCTTGTGAATATGCGGGCCTTCGGGCCAGACGCCTCCAGTGCCATTCCAGATATTGATCGGAGGTTGGCTGAGCTCGCCAGTCTCGAGGTTGAGCTCTTGGAGTAGAATGCCATGCGTGGCAGAATATACCTTGCCGTCATCGTCCCAGAACAGATCTGGATCGATATTTGTGGGCTTGAATGTTACTGGGTCGCTCCAGGATTTCTCATTAAACGGATCCCTTGTTTTGAATACGACGCCGATGATGCCATCTGGTAAACCGAGATACTCGCAGATCACATAGAATTCCCCATTGCGGTAGCGTATTGTTGGCGCATACATGCCGTCTTGTTGACCAACAGTGCTTGCGCTGACGCCCGGGAGTTGGCTTTCCCGGTTCCACACATGGCTTACGAGTTTCCAGTTGATTAAATCTTTTGAGGCATAGATGGGAATTCCTGGAAAGGAAATGAATGTGGAGATCGCACAGAAGAATGTCCCCTTGACTTGGATACACGAGGGGTCAGAGTGCCATCCTGGTAAGACTGGATTATAGAATGTAGAGTTTCCCAGGCTTGCCAATGGCGAAGCTATGGCACCAGCGAGTAGGGCCAGAGGTAAGCCAAATGAGAGCTTCATTATGAACTGCGTTTTGAGTCTTCAATTGTGGCGGACAGAATCAGTCTGGCTCAAACAATAACGGCACTCGAATGAGCTTATGTTCTTCCCCAGTGCGGGGTAAGCCACCAGATATTAACTACGATAGCTTCCATCTGAATAATCTATGGTGCATATTTATCAAGAGTTGGGGCTAGAAGCTACTAAATAAATACGACTGCGTTCGCGTCGTAGTAGGAGGAAAATTGTGTCTCCGTGAGACTATTCGCTTTCGTGAGTGCTCCGAGTATTCTTTAGGCTAAATTTCGGAGATCTTCCTGGGGCACTGCTCCCCCCCAGTATGTTGCTAGGCTCTATATGATGAAGTGTTGAAGATCAGCAAGACCGTTGCGATATATTTAGCCTAAATTCGTGATGAGGATCTGTGTGTCGTCTTTAATTGGCCTATCAACGCAACCATGAACTCCTCTCAATTTGTGTTAATGTCTTTGAGTAACTGTATGCAGGAGCATATACTGTGGAGAACTTCCTCCTTCAAGATTCGCCATTATATTACGTGGTTCCGTCAATCCTTGGAGTCTTTCGATGCCGTGGGTGTGATACGACATGTCTAGTAGGATTTGCTGTACATTAGATATCTAATGCCACTTTTTGTTATGGCCAACGTCCCTCAATCTGATTCACCTATAAATGACCAAAAATCGGCGTAGTCACTTGCATGTTTTAAAAATGACTTATTCACGCTTAATATTTCCTTACAGGGAGGAGCCCCCTGCATCTGGTCCGGCGAGATGCATCTCATAATGTGCCCTTCCAGACCGCGTTGTCTCAGCGCCACAACCAACGGCGATTACCAGATATCGATATACAGATGCAAATAATATTTAATTAAAACAAACATATCAGATATTTTTATATGCGTATATTTCATTAGTGCGGGGCCTATAAATTTGATAACATCCGTTCTCATACTGCGGGATGCTGTGCTATGTATAAAATCTAAGACATAAAAGGTCATTCCATACCTGTGAGCTAGTAACACAAAGTCCCTTACTGCTTGTCCCTTGATGCTTGTATGTGGATTCCATTCCTGTGGATGCACACGAATAAGACATTTTCTAGAAAACCTACTTGGCATGCCAATTAACAAATGTATTGTTGCTAGATGGACCGAATGATATATTCTCTGTTTTAATCCGTAGCACAATAGATTTGCTCTCTCCGGTAGTTGTATTTCGGTCTTACCAGTATGCAACAATGCAATGTTAGAATGAGGGATCGGGCATTAGAACTGGCGGCAATGGGCGTCTCTAACAATATTGGCCATGGATTGATTGCCTTGCATTCGATTCTCACCGTGAGTCAGGTGGCAGGCTGCCTTGTGCCGTGTCGTCGAGACAAGCAAGACATAACTCTCAATTTCCCAACTCTTCACTTAATAATTCCCATCTCAGCCGTCCTTCTCTCTCATCATATTCCGTATTTTTTTTCGTGCTCCATATCATACTCACAAAACTCAGTATTGATTACTTATTGATATCAAACCCCCCAAAAGATCTCTCAACATTCTAATACGCAATAATGGGGCAAACACAATCTAGATTGGGCTTCAATACCAGTTCTAGCAACTATGGTAAAGTTACGGAGCAAACTCTTGCGTCAGCGGATATCGATGTCAAAACACAGGTCACTACTCCCGGCAAAGACTCATGGTACTATCCAGTCGACATCGAGAACGATCTTCAAGACGTCGATCTCCCGCCAGATGCCAAGGCCGAGGTCTTAAACACTGCATGGGAGTATGTTCGGTGCTCGGCACCACAATACACCAACTGGGAGCGATATGTTGCCTTCATGCGAACCATAACGATATGTACTATCGCCGAGTTTAAGGGGAAACTTGTGGACGTGTCTGCTAGTGACAACATCATGGGCTATGACGTGGGTGCCACTCTCGCTACCCTTTTCAAAGGCACTCCGGGGCATGCAGACATGGCTCGAGAGTATCGTGCCTTTCTCCTGCTCACAGCCGATAAATCCAGCTCCAGGCGTGATGGTGAGCTATTCCGGCGTTATGTGAACGCACTCGCGCAGTCCCCAAGGCACTGGTAAGTCAAAAGACAATATATTCCACGGACAATTTCTCTGAGTAGGCGTAGCAGTGCTGACTTTTGCAACGACATAGGTTCCGCATGCGTGATTGCGACGCATTGGTGAGGTACACCATAGGCTGCGCGTTGGTGTCCAATGACCATGACGATGTTTGGTTTACCGACGAGCAGTTCGAAATTCTGAGCGAGATCTACATCACGCTCTACGATGCCGTGGCATTTTTCAAGCATCGCTCGGAGGGGGAGACGCACAACACTTTTGCCTACATGCCCGAACATCTCCGTGTTAAAGCCTACCAACAGTCCCGTCAGATTCTCTGGGGTTTGGATACGGCCTGGGCTCACCATCATGGGCGTCAGATTGCCATCAACTTTATACGCCTCACATCCGGGCCCACCCACATAATGATGCGGCGGTACCGCTTCGTCGAAGAGAATCTGACCATTGGCAAACGCGAGACCGACGAAGTCATTGGCCACGCACGTACGAATGCTAAGCTTTGGAATCGCATTGACGGCACCAATAGGGGTGTTAATGACACGCAGCGCTATAAGGACCTCCTTGCCCAGAGCGACGACCTGATGTTCCCTGAACTGGCCGGCTTCCTCGAGAGCGGTGGGGATGGTAGCTGCAAGGACTGCCGCTACCGTGCTTCCTATGGTGCTGAGACGCCACATGAATTTGGGGGCGTCAAACTATGTGGCGGCTGCAAAGAGACGTGGCAGGAGTATATGGAGTCATTGCCAGAGCGTGCAAAGAAAGTCTTTCCTGAGATTGCATCAGTTAAAGCTCGTTGAATACACACGCCACAAAATTGAATTCAACGCGTGGGGAAACATTAGCAGTAATCATTTTATTAGATTTCAATATAAAGTGGGCGTTGTTAGAAAATATGCTATATATAGACTGCAATTGTACAATATATAGATCGTATGGTGTGTACCCGTCTTCAGGTTAAGTGAATTTCCAACCTCCGGTCTTGCTGGAAAAAAATCCCTCGGGGTCATACTTGGCCTTTGCTATCTTCAAGGTTTCGTACCCTCCATAAGTCTCAAGTGGATTCTGGTCAAAGCTCGCATCGTTAATAAACAACGGTAGTCCCTTAGCATTAGGAATTGCCTCCACCATCGCCTTGAAGCTGGCTTGAATTCGCTTGTAGTTGGCAGCCGTGGTAAGAGGCGGGAGAGTGATCAGATAGTTAATCCACATCCACGGCCCTTCAGGCATTTGCATGGCATTTCCACCCTCGTAAGCGTTCGATGCATCGGTGAGTGACTTAGCAACAGGCTGGAAGTCGAGAGATATGAGAAAATAATCCCCCTTGTGGCTCTCGGCCCAGGCGTTCCAGTTGGCGTACACATCATGGACAGCAGTGCCATGAACACGTTGAACCGCGACCCGGAATGTGTTGGCACCTCGGGAAAGCTCCCCTGACATAGGAGCCGGCATGTTGGTCACCTCTGGGTAGGTCTTGATTGACATGGTGTTGAGGAACGAAGGGATGCTAGTAAAGTTCTGGAAGGCATCTCCTGCGTCCGGACCATCGTAGACGAGGAAGATGATAATAAATTCATCAAGGTTAAGGGTGAGATCTGGTGTGGGGAGCTTTTCGTATGTTCCAATAATGGATGCCTTGGGGTCCGTGTTGTAAGCGGCGAAGTTGTTGATAGCATCGAGAACATCCAGAGTTTGTTCGAAGAGGTAAAAAATGTTTCCAGCGAAGAACTGACCGGCTGGGCGCGATTGAACCGTGTACTTGGTGACAACGCCGTAAGCGTTGCCTCCTCCCCCACGCGAAGCAAAGAAGAGGTCGGGGTTGGACTCTGGGGAGGCAGTAACTATTTCTCCGCTTGGCAGAACAATCTCAAGAGAGCGGAAGGAATCGCAAGCCATGCCATACTGGGGCGAGATAAAGGACAAGCCACCTGATAGTGCGAGACCAGTGCCGACGCCAGCCAGACGGGCGCCGACAACTGTGCGTCCAAGGGGTGCGTAGAACTCGTAGAGGTCGCCAAACTTGTTTCCAGGCTCATAAGTTGCGAGAGTAGTCTCGGCGTCGTATGATTTGCCATTCATCTTTTTGAGGTCAATCAAGACCCCTTGGTCAACGGATGAGAAGAAATCATTCGGGTTATGACCACCGGCTTTGATGGCAAACCGAGAGCCCGTCGTCCGAATAACCTTGATGGCGGTGGAGATGTCTTGGGCGGAAGTTGGGTAGAAGATACACGACGGGGTATAACTGCTTTGGCGAGAATTCCAGTATGTGTACCGACTGCTTATAAAATCAGGGTGAAGTATACTGTTGATGACTTCTACATTCGATAGAGAAGACTTCAAGGTAGCACAGGCTGCGGGACCAACCAGTGCCTGCCCAGTTACGAGCGTTGACAAAAAGGCGACGCCATAAAGGAGGCCAATGGGCGACATGGTCAGCAGTGTTTGTCTTAGGATGAGTTCAAGTATGTGGTTTTGCGTGTAAGCATTTCCTACTTATCAGACAAATACAGCAAGTCTAAAGAGGACCGTGAGGGCAGTATTTATATCTCATGTCAGCGCATCACAATGATCGTCTTCCATTTAAATAACGCTTTCAGGGGCTTACCGAGGCGGTGATAAGCTTACTACGGTACTAGACAAGCAGGGCCAGATGCAGAAATGCCGACGCTAGAACAGGGTACCCCACTGCAAATCCACACTCTAATGGGTTACCCCACAAGCAACTCGACCCTGATTGCAACCCCGCATAGACATAAACGTGGGGTTGTCTCGCATGTGATGCTCATAAAATATCAAAAATCCCCTTCGGGGCTTGTTAAAGTTCAATTGTTGTGATAGAAACGGGAACAGAATATGATAACTTGAGACAAAGTCTGGAGACGGAGAAAGCTTCGTTGTAGAGCGAGCTAGGAAGCGTGTGTTCACAATTGCGTGTTTTGTGGGAATAAACGCTTCTTTAACATTTAGCTGCTCCAATATTTAGCATGTAGCCTTTTACTAGCACATGCTAGTGATACTAAGGATTCGAACACGAAATGTCAACATGCGAATGCGAACGCGAGTACGAACGCGACAAGGAAACAATTGACGACCTCGCAAGGCTATATACTAAGGCCAAATGTGGATATTTCTAGCTTGTGAAAAATATGCTGAGTCAGCTACTGCCCAATTCAGTTTATTTAGCCTATCTCAGTAATGTGCGCTGCCGGCCACGGAGCTGTGGCTTATTTGCCGCCATCAATGCGAAACGCGGAGAGTCCAGACGCCGCGAAAAATTAATAAATATCTGATAGTGGTCGTCATATGACACATTTATTGTTCCTCAAAAGCAGGCCATTTCCCGTTAGAAATGGATTTCTTTCAATGTTCTCTGCTCGTTGTGTATGTAAAATCCGAGTAAGCCAGAATTCTAATCAAGATGCGCTCATTCACTTTCCTCGCCGCTGCGTCGCTCGCCGCCTCGGCCGCCGCTGTGCCGCTGGACGTCTCCAATGATATCGCGGAGAGGCAAACAAAACCCTACCAAATCCGTGGTGTTCAGGACCCGATATATCATCTCTACCTCCAATCTCTACCGGGCGATGGCACACCTGTCATGGGCCCTGAGGCAACGTCTGAATACTTCACAATCGGCAATACCATCCAGAGCACAAATACGTCTCTGTATTTGAATATTGGCGAGGCAAGCACCTCTTATCTCCCGCTGACATTTGACGCCACGGCCACCACGACGGCTTGGGGACTCGAGGGGGATACTATTATTACCACGAATGGAAGCCCATATGGACGCCGTAAGTGTTATCCTCATTTATTAGGTCCATCACAGGGGGCGAGTATCAGAAAATGCCGGATCCCGCAAAGAGTCCACAGACTGACTGGGAGCCATTAGAATTAAACTTCCTTGTCTGCAATGGCGCTACAGCGGGCTATTATGACCTGTTTTTGCAGAAGGGAAGTGATACGCCCGCAGGGAAGACGTGCAGCAATTACCAGACAATCCATTTGCCATGTTTATGTTAAGCTGAAGAAATCGACAGTGCAGGTAAGGAAATGGGGACAGTGTGGGGATGCTCAAGTCGCTAGGAGCGATATGAATGGCATGCAGTGAGATGACACTGAAATCTTACCTGCTGTACATACTTCAGTTCTTACAAATATTTGACAAAACATTGCACGAAACACAGTGGATGAATATGCGAGCTTCACGAGACCAGGGATCTGATAAATCGCTCGCGCTTGCCAGATTCTTCAATGGCAACACCATAATCTGATTGAAGTGACTGGAAAAAGATTCGGTATTATTATTATAATCGGGATTGTATAGTACAAAATATAACAACCTCTACGTGCATTATGCTCCTATTACAGCCTTTGCCTACCGAGGCGGATCATCTTGTCCCATTAGAGAGCTTCTGCGGCTCTGGCATCCTATATTTATGCTGATACTCAATTGCATCCAATTCTTCCTGGTGCGTATCGTCCGCGGGTAACTCCCCCCGTGGCATATCCTTCCCGGCTGATAGCTCCACCTCAGCTCCCTCTGAGCCACCGTCGCCCTCCTTCACGTTTTGATACCCCTGGTTGCCTTGGTAATCTGTGGCAGCAAGTGCCCCGCTATTTCTATTAATTGCCTTGGGTTTCCGCCAGCAGAACCACCACAGTAGAAATCCAGCAAGCGCCACCGCGAACACTCCTCCGACAACGCCGCCAGCTATGTCGCCGACATTTGTCTTGCTCCTAGTCTCTTTCTCAGGTTCAGGTGTATGCGTGGGCGTGGGTGTGGGCGTGGGCGTGGACGTGGTTTTAGGCGTTGTCGCGGTGACGGATTTGTTGAAAATAGAATTTAAAGCGGCATCGCCCCAAGTGGATGGGAATGCTGAGTTGCTCGAGTAGAATCTATTTACCATATCTGGCCTGGTATACGCTTTCGCGTCAGGATTATAGCTGTCGCTCCACGTAAGTGTCGTGAGATCGAAGATCTTCATGGCGGAGTTCCAGGAGTCAACGTATGATGACCAATCCACGCCCGAGGGGTGCTGATCACCGCCGACGGAAAGCATCTGCCGCTGATTATGCTGGGAGATGGACTTTTCGCCAATTTTTTGGCACTTGTGGTTGTTGCGCCAGGTGCTGGCTGAGGTGGGTACCTCGAGCCAGTGAAATGCAGGGAGGGTTAGGATGTAAACCTTGCTGAGGGTGGCCACTGCTGCAGAGTTGGAAGAGCCCACGTCGCCTCCGTAGATAAAACTGTCTTATGTTAAAATAGGGATGGCGAGCGCAAAGTGACAGAATATACGTACATTTCGTATGAAGAACTATTCGCATTACTAGCTCCTACAGAGCAGAATGAGTATCGCCCCGTCGGCGCATTCGTAGCCGCTTGGGTATAAAATGTATCCGTGTAAATATCATAAACATCAATAGAGCCAAGGTCTGCAAGATCTAATGATGCCGCTCCCCTGTCCACTGGGTTCTTCCCGCCAAAGAAAAGTAGCACGCCCTCTTCGCCATACTGCGGAACAAACTGTGCCTCGCCCGCGAGACTGTGTGGTGTAGTCCGTGATACGTTGCTATATGTCTGGGTTGCGTAGTCATAGGTTACAAAGTCTTCCATCACCATTTGTATGGGTACTCCTTCCCCACCGTCGGGAACTACATTATAAGTTATCGTGCCGCCAAAGCTATAATGCTTTTTATCGCTGCTTGTCGTGAGGGCGTATTCGATACTGGAGGTGAGAGGGAAAGAGTCTGAAATTGACTTCGCGAATTGGCGCGACCAGTTCACGTTACCGTTTTCGGGAGGCGTAAAGCCCCAGACTTCAGGCGTCACATTCGCTTCATATGTAACATGGTCGTCTTTGAAGTTTGCGCTGTAGTATGCCCCGCCGTAACTGTAGACAACGTTATGTATCGTATCGTGGTAGATCTCTGGCCGTCGGGACGGCTTGAATTCTTCGGCGTGATTAGAGATTATTGCATCGACAGTGGAGGTGGACCAGGACTTGGAAAGGTCAATTGCGAAAGTCTGGGAGTCTATGAAGGTCTAGAGGTGAGCTAACGAAGGGGGTGAGGAGAGGAAGCGTACTTGGTAGATAGGTCATGACACCATCATCGTTATGATGGATTTCGCCGCCATGGAGGTAGAGCCAGTTGCCTACGACAATTGCTTTTGTGAAGGTTAGATCCGCATGTCTGCAACAGCACTACTCCTTGTAAACCTCAACTACGTACAAGATGGCCAAAACCACGATTTAAATCCTTTTGGGAGAAACGAGGCTGGTGTGGCATTGACGCTGGAGATTCGAAGTCCGAGAAGAAGTAGGATAATGAACCTCATTGTCGCATCTGGCGCGACGGCGCAGGGCGTAGAGTGCTATTTCCAACACGATGGAGTTGATTCGCTACATCAACCAAAGCATATGTAGCATACATAAGAAAGAGAAGGGGTCCTCGGAGGAAGAGAGGGGAGGGCAGAAATACAATAGTATCCACTCCGGTCAGCTGGCAGTAACTGCCACAACGGCCACAGTGTGGGGTTTTAAATGAAGGCTAAATTCTAAGTCTTGGCCCCTTGTCCCTGTCCATCTGTCGAAGCGGCCTTGCTCCTATTAACACAACACAACACATGTCAACAAAAACGTCTCAGAGCCCCCTAAGCGCCACTCGAATCCACGATAATGAGCAACGGTTGTAAACTTAGAAGGTGGAGACGAGGATGCCCCGTAGGATTAGCCGCGGTGCTTGAGCGAGGGTTTCTTGGATTGAGATATGGATGGTGGTGATTCTACGGCGGCGGCACCTTTCCGGAAATTGTTTCCTTGGCCTTTTGTAGCGGTTTCCTTGGCCTTTCGTAACGAGTCTCTGGCACCTGTTTACGTAACGCCCAAGCTAATTTATGTGTCCAAGCTATAACCGTAAGTAAAATGAGGCTGATGGTGAGTTGAATAGAAAGCGTATACCCTTTGATGCACATGGGATGCATTTATGCGTACCTGTCGGTGCGTGCCGTGCCGCTGTCACGACGGTGGCGGTGTCGATTGATAAATCACATGACTGCAGACGGCCAGATTGGGCATTTGGCCAACAGGAAAAGGGGAACGAAGCCGCGATGATCGGAGGATGATGCGGAATTGCTATTTGTAAGATTCTCAAAATTCAATATCAACGTGGGTGTATAAAAGCAATACTTTTACAGCAACATGTGCAACCATATTGCGTGATCTACATCGCACACAAATATGTTTTTATGCCGCTGCTCATTCGTCCTTGCCGCCGTCAACCCGAGGGCGATTGAGTGCATTTTGAAGAATTCTGCAAATTGAATTATAGGTGCGGTGCGACTCCCGAAACCAAGCCACTGCTCAACATTTGCACAAGTTTGAGACACACGCCGTCTATTTGAAATGGAAAAACGCCCATTCAAATACTGCTAGGGCTGAGGTCAGGCGACATCACGCAGGTCATGACATGGCGCATCCGTTAGGGTCACGATTCGTTTCTCAAATCTCATGTCGCGGCTACGAGAGATCCAGAGCTGGGGAGCACAGTAAGGGGTGGCCACCGGCATCGTCTCCGGGCTCCGCGGTTGGAGTAATGTTTGCTTATTTGTCTGTCGTACTCCAATAACTTTAAAACCATACGTACACGCTCAATCGCAGCGTCATTACATTCGGTGCTGCTTGTTTCTCCAAAATAGCAGCAGTGTGTGACACCAAGCTCCGTGGGTTGCACGCTTGACTTGTCGTGGAGACGTTGTTCTCGATGCGGGTTCTTCCAACGTCCCAGTTACTTTTGTCGATTCTGCAATTGAGCAGACTCATCGTGGGAGCGCGCAAGCTGTGGAATAAAGCCGGGGTCACAGAGGACATGAGGTCCAATCATTGCGTTTGTTTCGGTACTGAACTCGTTCAGTTTTCGGTTTCCCTCAAGCACGGATATAGCGACGACGATCGATCCAGTCCCTCGTGCTGGTGGTCCGGAAACCCGCCGTATCCCACGGCGTTCGTGGTGATCGTTGCGTCCTGTCGTGGTTGTGTGTCTTCGTCAAACTCGATAACAGTGATGATATCAGAAACTCGAATCGCACAATAGAGATCTGTGTGGAATCTGATATCTTTAGGGCCAGTCAGCTGCTGTTTTGCGTGCACAGCGGCTGTGGTGGTCTTCAAATGGCCTATGAGATGCTCCCGGAATATTCATCAGGAACCGCGTGGAGTCCTTAATCTCTCACACCTTGGTGGATATGTTGCTGTGTTTTAATATCCGGCCGCTTTGGCGGCCAGACTGCAAAGTTTGCAGTACCTACGGTCGTTGCTAGCATTCAGAACACCACAAATGCAGTGGAAAATTTATACTCGCCCCTATGTCTGACACTGGAATGGACACCTATATGAATAGTTACAAGCCCCATTCCCAGGGCCATTCTTTTAGATCTGACGGCCCAGCAAGTACAACTATTCTCTTCCATAAACCTAAGGTCTATTTGAAGTAGTAGCAATGGCAGCCAGCTTAAAGGCATGTTCAGAACCAAGCCGAAGGTAAAGCTCAACTGCTGATATATTCCAACCCCCCAAACCCCCCCGGATTCTCATATTGGTCCGCTCTATTGAACCGTCTGGGCTAAGCGCGGAGACTAACAAAGGAAGCTACAGAGTTATATCGTCTTCCAAGCCAACCAAAAATATAAAACAGACAACGCAGAGATCCAAGCCACCCAAAGTTCGAGAGACGTCAGCGCAACTCCAACGCTTCCTCGATGAGGAAGACGCAGACTACAAGTCTCTTGCCATTCCAGGGAGCGAGTCTCACCACAAAACTGCCAAAGAAGAGCGCCGCAAGGCTATCAATGAGGCAGTTGCACGTGAATACTGAGCGGTAATGCTGCTGGAAGCTGCAGTGTGCCAATGGTGGGGTGGGGAGGAGAGTACAGGTCTGTTTTGGAATGATACCATTGGGCTCCTAGGCCTCGAGGAGTTAGGTTGATGAGAGATACCCGAACTGCTTCGTTTTCGGGGGGATATTAATGTACTTTGCGTATTGTTGCAATTGAAAGTTGTCTGAATCCGCTCGTATGCATTGACCAACATCTCTGGTGGTACAGGCTACGAAACCAAACGTCAACCGAGTTGATCACTATCATTCAAATCAATCATATTGCCCTGATCGGTACTGTCAGAAGCGTCCAACTATTATCCACATGTTCATTTGGGACCCCGCTGACTACAAGCCCCAGCCTCGATCTCTCTCCTACCATTTCTCACATGCATTTGATAACACCTTCAACTGATTAATTAATCAGCACTTTCACAGGCATGGTGCCATATATAGTATCCATCCGCTGCTACATCCGCCATGGCACGTGTCAAAGATAGTTTGAAAGACATCAATTGGTATTCATAATAGCGCTGGTGAACGGAGCAGCGGACCAGTTTAAGGATAGGGTTTGTCTCTTTAGCTCGACTTCCAAGGAACTAGCTCCTTAAAGGATGCAATATAGCTGTAATACGACGATAGAATGCCGAGGTTTGTCCGCGAATATTCGCTCATATAACCAATGGCCAGGTCCATGCCCTTGCGTCCGGGCAGAATTCACCTGCCGGTGATTGAGCATCTTTCGTTTAGTGATAGTTTCTATATATCCTAGCTGTTGTACACAGTTCGTCTTCGGGCCTTTGGGTGGCAAGACAAACTTAAGCATACACGTTGCAAGCGGATTATTATTCCTCCACATCAAACCCCAAACGTTCAACCCCACGCATATCACATCATCCGCTTCGATTAGCCTCGTACAGCTTCCCCGCACCATCCATGGTGGTAGATCGAGGGGTTTGTCTTGGCAACCTAATAATTCCACCATATAAAGCCTCCATCTTATATAGTGCCAGGGACAGGTCCAAAAAACTTTCTATACGTGGAACTATCCGGTAAATAGAATCAGTGATATGCCGAGCTATTCATTTATGCCTTTCTTTACCATGTCCTCCGAGTAAGTTAATCTAGAAATTCGGCTTTGCCGTCTCGGTAGTGGCTTTCCATTCGTGCGAGTTATAGTGTTCTCCTTATATTCAACTGGATCCCTCTTGGATTTCTCTAGTATCACGCATCATGAAGCTCTCAACCGTATTTTACGCCTTTCTGGCATCAAGCACCGTATCGGCCCTGCCCTTGGAGTCTGATATTACAGATATCTCTGTCCGTGCTGACTCTAGTCTTGTGGGTTACCTTGGAGTCTTCTTCCTGGGAGACGCACCAAATGTCTACTTCTACTTGAGCAATGGAAACAATGCGCTCTCCTTCAAAGCTTTGAAGGGCGGTCAGGCAATTCTCGACCCATCTTCCGGTACGGGCGGAGTCCGCGATCCGTCTATTATCAACGGTGGTGGATCTGAGGCTGGCAAAAAATGGTATATCATGGGAACCGATTTAGATATCGCAAAGGTAAACTATGGCCTGAAGATGTCCCCTATCATCAGTTTTATTTGGCCAGGATCTGACACGAAGGCAGACCACCTGGGACGCATCTCAGCGTAAAGGGTCTCTCAGTATTTATATCTGGGAAAGCACAGATCTAATTAACTGGGGCTCTGAGAGGTTGATAAAAGTTGAGAACGACCAAGCTGGAATGGTGTGGGCGCCTGATGCAATTTGGGATGCGAGCAAGGGTGAGATCCCAAAACCTGTCTTAGAAGGCGATGGTTATATTGACACCTCTCCAGGCCAATACTTGGTTCACTGGGCATCCAAATTCGTAAGACGCCCGCTACCTTATACTATTCACTTCCTAACCTGAATTGCAGTACTCCACGTCCGACTCCCAGCACACTGGAACCCCTGGTGCCAGCCAAATCCGATATGCTTACACCAGCGACTTCAAAACCTTCACCTCGCCACAGACTCTCATCGCCGCCTCAACTCCCGTCATCGACCTAGCAATCTTACAGCTACCACAATATGGCGCCAATAGCTACGCACGCTTCCTTAAGGATGAGTCCGCCTCACTCGTCTACATGGAACGGTCAGACAACGGTTTATTCGGTACCTGGACACGACCCGGCGGCGCCTCGGCTTGGATTCACACTCAGGTTGAGGGCCCATACGCCTACCTAGATAATCAAGTTAATGGGAAGGTCAACCTGCTGTTAGATTATTATGGCAGTGATGGGTACAGGCCATTTACGTCAACGAATCTGAATGCCAATGCCTGGGTGGATGGGGATCGAACGAATTTCCCAACGTACTTGAGGCATGGTTCGGTTATTGGAATCAACCAGGCGAGATATGATGCGCTGAATGCGAAATGGGGGTAAGAGGACGATCTAGATGGCCACGATCGCATCCTTCACATAGTCGGGTACGAGACAGTATCTTGGCTTTTAGTTCATAGTACAAATATATAGTAGCTCTGGGGGTTAGTCGACTGTATATACTGAAGAACTCCACCTCGTAACTCAGTTTACATACCAGATATATATTATGAAGCTATCCATAGTCCGCAATTCCAGATGAAGTAATCGGTGGTAATCGTGGGATTCGTCTGTGGCGTATTAGCTTGTGAAAGTGTGGGGTTCTATTTTAGGAAGGGGCCACCCACCGGAGTCGTACGTACCTGCCCCACTCTTTCCAAGCGCGTTCCTGCCTTGCATTTACAATATCAATGCCAACATCATATTAGCCCGCAAACTCTCCTGCTTCTCATCTGTTTCGGTTTCTTAATTTGTGAATACATTTGTAACTCCGCGATGTAGGTTCCTAGGCCCTCTCCTGCCCTGTCGCATGCTGACCGCCGCATAGGGCTCATGCTCCTCCAGATACCGCCGCCAAGCACCCACGCCTGACGGCCGCTGAGGTGACGGCATTGCCTAGCTACCCATCAGTGACGTGGAAACTTCAGCCAACACAGGAGGGAAAGTTGAAAGTTGCAGAGGGGAGAGGAGGTCCTTTGAACATTTCATGGGAGGTACACGGAACGGGAAAGACGAAGGTTATAGTAAGTCACGAGACACCGCATGGCATGTCGTACACGTGATTACGAGGAGCTAGATGTTAGAAAAATGATGGAACTAGACTAACAAGCTATTATTCAGGCGATCACAGGACTTGGAGCCAACAAGGTAAGTTCATAGATCCCCGCATGAATTATAGAGGCTAACACAAGAATAGGCAGCATGGCAACGCCAAACATTAAGGTTTGGCCACGAGCAGGGAGATCAGTACTCCTTCTTGATCTTCGATAACCGCGGTATTGGCCGCTCTGACAAGCCTGTCATGCGCTACTCGACCTCCGAAATGGCGAAGGATGTTGTCGAGCTCGCAGATCACTTAGGCTGGACTCAGGAGCGGGAATTGCACGTTATTGGGGTGTCAATGGGCGGTATGATCGCACAGGAACTCGTATGCAGCCTTATCCACCATAGCCTTGATCATTTCTTGGTTCAGTCACTAACAGTTCTTCAGGGTCAACTCATACCCGAGCGCATATGCTCACTTTCTCTTTTCTCCACTCTTGCACGTTTCCAGCGCACCGTCCCTTTCCTGCAAAATGTACGTAACAGAGTCAGCATGTTTTTGCCCAAGTCCCTTGATCGCACCATCATCGACGTCGCCTACAACATGTTCCCTGACAGCTGGCTCGACGCTCCCGACACCCTACACCTGCCTTCCTCAACCACACCCGGCTGCCTCCCTGCCGCCGGCCACACGGACTGGGAGTCGGGCGCGTACGGCCACTTCCCGACCAACTTTGCGCGCATCGCAGCGCAAGATCTAGAGAAGCGTTCGGATACAGACAGCTTTGGACCGAAGGGTTTCATTTTACAAGCCATTGCTGCGGGGTGGCATGACATGAGTCCAGAGCGGCTGAAGGAGCTTGGGGACAAGGTGGGGAGGGAGAGGATTTTGGTTGTGCATGGAACCGAGGATCGCATGCTGACGTTCCCTCATGGGGAGGCTCTAATAAAGCAACTGGAGCCTGGACAGAGTTACGTGAGGGAGGGGAGGGGACATGTTCTTTTGATAGAAGAGCAGGACTGGCATGACGAAACTATAGCGAAATTATGGGCGAAGACTGCTTCGTTATCGGTTTAAGTTTGCGGGTTCGTATCAAGGAGCGACTGGAAGGGGATAAGTTGCCGTGTTTGACACCACTATGAATAGGGCCGATAGGGAGCGCCAACGATTTTTTTGGTAAGGCTTATTACTTGACAAATTGGTTTATAATACCTATTATAAGAACTATTTTAGCCTAGAGTAATAGACTTCGCCCTTACAAGTGCCAGTGTTTATTTAGAGAAAGTGGAGCTCGTATTTAAATCCAGCCCGGTGTAGTCACATGATTTGGTGTCGCAGATATCAACTATATTGACCCTTAGCCGCGCGTCATACCACGACACAAGTTCTATTTCTGTCACTTCTTCGACGGTATAAGCTAGTTTTCCTATCCGAACTACTCTAAATGTTATTTTTCAATTAGTATACCCCAGAATACCTCGAGGCTCTAGTTTCCTGCAATAATTTTGTGGATTAGACGGCCAAATGCGACGCAGAGTGCACAAGAAGTCGAAGAGTGGATGCCAGGAATGTAAGAGAAGACACATGAAAGTAATATATCCCCTAAAGATTTTTATTATTGGGTCAATATTGCTCCAAAAACCTCGTCATTATTATACTACTCTGGGTTTTGTGTTCAGCTAGCTAATTATTACTACAGTGTGATGAACGGCGCCCATCATGCGTCAATTGTACCACGTCAGAGCGTTCCTGTCTTTATCTTGATACTGGGCGCAAGCCGCCGATTGTATCGCCTGCTTCACCGGCCAGTTCACCAGCTTTGAGCAACGCAAGTCATGCAAGTTTTGCTGGTTCTCCAGCTGCCACTTCGGCCACGGCAGTACGTGTGAACGGCTCCTTTTCACCTCTTGGAAGCTCGCCAGTGTCATCGGACCGCCAAAGCCAATTCACGCCATCTACCATTTCTCCAGTTATTGCCGGTTCAACGATTGGAGAAGCACTGCCTCATGGGGTCAATGGCACGGTTAACATGCTGCATATGGAGCTCCTCTACCACGCATTGCAGGAGAAGTCTTTATACGTCGGCGCCAGCCAAAGTTATTCCCAGACCATGACCGATATGGTAATTCCGCCAGCTTTGACCCATCCATTCCTAATGTACGAATTACTTGCGTTGTCAGCCCTTCATCTCGCCGTGGTACAGCCAAACCGACAACAACTTCTTGAGAGCGTCGCTGCAGAACTTCAAACAGTCGCCCTCTCATCATTCAATCAAACATGCCATCAAGTTACACCAACCAACTGTCTCCCAATGTTCGTTTTCTCCTCGTTCATAGGTAACCATGTATTCTACACCACGTTCAAATATCACAGCGACAACTTCCACAGCTTCCTCGAAGAGTTCGTCAAGTATATGCAAGTCCACCGCGGTGTCCGGTCCGTTATTTCCAACAACTGGGAGATGCTACGCGAATTATCAGCTAAAGCGCTCATGCTCGAGGATGAGAGCGATTTGCCACAGCGCGGCCAACCGCAGGGTAACGAGTGCGACAGCCTTCGCCACCTCCTCGAGGCAGCTGACATTAGCCCCGCGACCAGAGAAACATACATGCAGGCCGTCGAGAGCCTACAATGGGGGTTTGACGCCCAGCGCGTGCGACATGTAGTTGGTCTAGCGTTTGCCTGGCCGATTCAAATTTCCACTGAGTACTTGGATCTGTTGAAGCAGCGCAGGCCGGAGGCGCTCGCTATTTTGGCACATTTCGCTGTGATGCTGCATTCGCATCGTGACGCCTGGCTGGTTGGGGGTTCTGGGAGGTATATTATCGAGTCTATCTCGGGGTACTTGGGAACGTATTGGGAGAATTGGTTGGCTTGGCCGAGTGCGGCTCTTGCCGAGTCTTCTACGCCTGCGGAATAGGATTTTGGAATTAAACAGGAGTTTCAATCAGGAGGTTCGAAAAATAAATGCCAAGAATTCCTTGGGGTGATGTGCTATTTTGGTAGGAGTTGGAAAATGAAGATTTGGTACACTATAAATATATATTAATTTCTCACGAATCAAAAATATAATAATTCACAGATGACGAACCACCAATTCTCGAATGAAGTTATAATTCATACCAAGATTACAAAGCAGTCTCTTATACGGAAATCCGGAAAACTATTGGCAGCATGTCTTATTTGGTAACTATATCGAATGGGTGCTATCTCGCTATTCAAAAACAACTATATCAAAATCCTCTAATAACGCCACAGCAAATAAAACTATAGTAGATGACAAATGAAAAACACTCTCGATTCTCCCTTCTATAACCCGATCGAGGTTTCGAACTTATGCTTTCGAGCTCATGCTTTCAAGCTGAACACGCTCTGCATCGTGGATCTTCGCAGCCGTGAGGGCGCCTGGATGTCTCCAGTAAAACAACACCGTCACACCAAACATCAACGTCGCATCGAACACATACAGCGGCCACTCATTCATCAGAAGATAACCATCGTTGCCCATCACATACTCCGCAACACGGAAGATGCTCCTTATCATGATCAATGCACTGACCATGTAGAGCATACCCAGATACTGCTCCCATTTGGCGTCAATGGTGTAGCTCTCGGTTGTCGGATTCTTGCGAATCTTAAGGTGGAAGAGGACAGCTGTAAGCCAGAAGAGCCCAAACATGAGGAGTTGGATGCCCAAACCGCCCAAAATCATGTTCTGGCCGAGCTTGACCTTGCTTTGATCCCCACCAGCCATCATTCCACCACCTCCGCCCTGGACCATAAAAGAGAAGACATCGCCGCCCACGAAAATCTTGGTGAGCCATGTTGGTCGGATGATAGAAAGATGCCCTCCATTGACAGCGTTGATGATTCGGCCGAGGGTCATGTAGATGGAGGCAGCGAAGAGGGCAGGCGGGAGGAGAATAAATAAGTTCTGGATGATGTAGGGCATGAGTGCATCGGTTCGGTTATGGGCAGCCGCTCGCGCGCCAAAGCCAATAACTTCGACTATCGTAGAGGTTAGACTTGGACCAGAGACTGGAATAGGCCACGGAACGTGGAGGGGCAGGGTAGAAGGATCGTACAAAAAGCCCCGATGGTAAAGGCGAGACAAAACCAGGCGCGAGTCTTGCACAAGCGCCATAAGTGCGCGACCGTGGCGATTATGAAGAGGATGCAGAAGATAACTGCCGCGGGGGTCGAGGGAAGATAGTGCCACAGATAGTAGCCATTGTGAGACTTGAGTTCAGTCATCCTGACAATCTAGGTTATACCTGATGTAAGGAAGCCGAATGTCGAATTGAACAGTGAAGGAATGCTCCGATGTAGTGGTAAGGGGCGAGAGCTCAAGAAAGAGAGGCAAGGAAAGGGACGAAGAGAAAGGCAATGGAAGATTGGGTATAAATGAAGTTGAGTAGTCGAGTGTGTGACTTTCAACCAGAATGAGAAGGGAGAGGGGACTACTTATCTTTTCTACACATGGGTATTATTGTCTATGGAAACAGACCTTTGGTGCATCAAAAGCTCGAAGTAAGAGGAAATCTCCGCGTATCGCAATGAACCGTACCAGAAACGGGCAAGCGCTCTATAAATTTAGCTTGCGCGTACAATATGGCATTGATGGAGTAGACCTGATTCATGGCAACGGGCAGAAATTGGGGTATGGCGTAGTGCATATAGCTAAGAGCTTTACTCGTATATCCCATGGCATTTCACGTACTTGCGCGTATTTGCGCGTATCCTGCACGTATTAGGAAGTCTATACGGCGGTATACGCGTATCGGATAGCTATACGCGTATAAAAGAAATTAGTTCGGAGCTAGGCTAAATTAATCAAGCACTATCATTCTGCCGCCAGTTGCCGATCATCCCACCACAAATTATTGTTCCCCGCCAAATCCGAGACGAGGCTGAGACACCACATACATAACCAGCCCGATGGAAGGAAACCTTGTTGCGCCGCCGGTGCTGTCGACGCCAGACGCACATCTATTCGAAGACCCTACGCCTGTTGCGAAGAGCTCGTTCGGCAAAAGGTTGAGCGACGATGATGTGCGACACGTTTACGAGATTGTCCGGACGGCGGGGGAGATCCGAGCTGGAGGATGGAGGCGAGTCGCTCTACAGTTTCCAGACAACATGCTGAACGATGCGCCGAGGGTTTTCGAATTTTTACAGAAGGCGCTGAAAGATTTGTCCCCAAAGGCTGCGGAAGCAGACGCTGGTGTGGAGGATGTGGCCAAGGCTGTGCAAGAGCTGGATATTGCGAAACAAAATATAGCAAAGCAACCATCCGAAGACCGACTTTTTATACTGGCAGATACATCATATGGAGCATGTTGTGTGGATGAGATCGCAGCAGAGCATGTTGACGCCGACGTAGTGGTCCACTATGGCCGTTCTTGCCTGTCGCCCACGGCGAGGCTTCCCGTCATCTACGTCTTTACAACCCATAAGCTTCCGATTGAACCCGTGATAGAAGCATTCCAGCAAACATATACGGAAAAGGATAACAAGATTATACTCATGGCCGATATTATATACTCAGACCATATACCCACGATACTCGAACAAGTAACGGCTCTGGGCTACACCGATGTCTTCGCCCCATCTATTATTCACGACCCAGCATCGCCTCTCCCAAATCGAACAGTACCTTCAACTGTCGAATCTGGGGAAAATAAGATGCAAGATTATAGTTTATTCCATATATCAGAGCCACCTCGGAGTCTGCTCCTTACGCTATCCTCGCGGCTCAAGTCGATGCATATATACCCGACCGATACGGCAAATCCACAAGCTCTAGAAGCTCAAACATCCCGTCTCTTGATGAGGCGGTATGCTACACTCACATCCTTAAATACCTGTTCCATTTTTGGGATTCTCATAAACACGCTCTCCGTTAAAAATTACATGCCGACTGTCGACGCCATAAAGGCACGGATTGCTGCGGCGGGAAAGAAGAGTTATACGTTTGTAGTAGGCAAAGTCAACGCTGCAAAGGTTGCAAACTTTTCGGAAATCGGGGGATGGGTTGTCATTGGGTGCTGGGAAAGCAGTCTGCTTGATAGCACAGAGTTCTTCCGACCCATAATCACCCCTTTCGAGCTTGGTCTAGCATTGATGAGCGATGAGGAACGGGTATGGACAGGTGAATGGAACGGGGATTTCAGCGACATTATTAACAAGCCACTCGTACCCCGGACAGTTAAAAAGGATGCAGATGAGCCTGGTGATGAAGACAATGAAGGCTCGGATGAAGAAGAAGACTCAGCTCCACCAGAATTTGACCTCCGGACTGGCCGTTATATAAGTCACAGCAGGCCCATGCGTCCGTCGAAAACAACCCAGTCAACCTCCAATGATGCGACAGGTGAAACCGGGGTACCAGCATCAAGTGCCCTGATGAAGCGTGCAAACGGAGACTTGGCTATGATCAACGGTATAGCAAGCCCTGGCGCGGAATATCTACGTTCCCAGCGAACATGGAAGGGGCTTGGTAGTGATTTTGAGGTTGCCTATGATAATGATGACGGGCAGCTGGGTGCGCAAGTGGAACAAGGTAGGGGAGGTGTCGCAAGAGGATATACCGTGGGTGGTGAGGGCGATAGACACTGATTTGATGTACCCGTTTTAAGGGTTGGAATAAAATGCATCGACCATGGGATACCCTAGAATCTGCCATTTACGTCGGACAGAAAGTGTTTTATGAGCGCAAAATAAGCCATATTGGATGATACAGAGATATTTGGATGGCATTGTGAGAACCATAATAGAATGTCGATCCGGAATAATCCAATCCCCTACTTGTCCGCGACCAGGTTTGATGGGATGAAGTGAGGCATCTCTCCCTTGAAAAGTCAAGGCGGCTGTGTTCTTCATGCGTAGGAGAATTAAAAAGCTTCAAAATGATGAACGGAATATTTTGATTTTTGTTGTTCGATAGTCGCAGGCATCATACGCCTGTCTGATTTGTCGGTTGTCAGGGCCGAACATCCCCGCGATGTCCCGTCAGCCACCCTTCTTGGTCCATGCGTCGCTTCAGACCACCTGAAACTCCTTGTCGGTCTCAAAGGCTGTCTCAACATCACCCTAAAGTAACAGCAGCCGCTCCGCTATGGTTTTACAGTTCGCCCCGAGGCAACACCTCAATTCGCATTGAATTGTAATGACCGAACCCCAAGAACAGTTGACTACCAGGGCGGAGTTGATAACCAACAAGTATTTCATATCCCACAGAGCCTTTAGGAATCTTACAACCCCTGAATTACGATTTCCGTACCTAGATGAAGAGATTACAGACTACCATGAGGAGGTCGCAACGATGGTGGGGCCCAAAGATGGGGAGCCTCAATAACCCTAGTAGCTCCTTGAGACGCTTCAAGCCGTGGACGTTTCCAAGGCACCTCAGAACATTCTCGTCTGATATCCCCAGCAACGCCCCCCACGTACCACTTCCAACGTATGGCCGAAACACCACATACCCCATGGTTGGCGGTTGGCCCTGGCCCCAAAGTCAAGGGTCTGTTGTAGCAAGACATGGCAAAGAGGGAGCTATGGGCGCTAAAAGACGCCTCTTCCTGCTCTATACCGCCGCACAGGCTTGTTCGGATATCATCCGGTCTGAGGATATTAATTCCGTCTCGATCTCCTGCATGGCCCTCCTCTTGGCAGGGATGAGACGGCGCAAAGTGGGCTGGCAACCCCCAATTCTGTCCGAATCTTACAAGAATACGACAAGGTAGGATCTCCATATAAGGTCAGACGAGACCCAGAATCATGTCTCTTTCTTTCCTCATCACTTCTTCAAACTTTCCATCGAGTCCTTTGTTTCTATTCTCAGTTCTGTGAACTTTCGCTTCTATTTACATTCATTCTTTAAATCAGCGTCGGCAGGCCCACCTTCATTTAACTTCAATTCTACGATCTTTAAGTGTCAAAAAACCAAACCCATCAAATCAGGAAATATGCAGTCCAAGGCTATCCTTCTTTCTCTTCTCATCGCCTACGCCGAGGCTAGATTTGGCCAGGAGCAAGAACCTATCAGTGCCATTTCAGCTGTCACCAGTGGCGGCGGCCCCGGTGTTGCCGCTACCTTAGCTGGAGGTGCCATCAGCACCCTTCTCGGCGCCGCAAACCCTTGCGCCAAGGTACGACCCACAACGCCCTTTAATATGAAGTCAGCTACTAACAAATAATAGCTCCAAGCTGCCGACGAAATCATTGCCAAGCTTGGCACTGGTGCTGATGCCGTAGCAGCAGCCATCGGCCTCGTTGCTGCCGAGCAGAACTTCAACCCCTTCGCGACCGACATCCCCAGCATCTGCGGCGACCCAACCCTCCCCGCCACTGAGGTTCTTCGTGGTGTTGTGCCGCTCGTTGACCCTGCCGTCACCAACTCTGCCACTGAGAATGCCAACTCGGCCAAGTCGAAGACGGCCCCTTTCAATGCGAAGGGCCTTAGTGTTGCGCAGGTCATGGTCAACAATGGCTTTACTAGCCTGAAAGCAGTTGACCTTTCTGGAGCTACCGTCGATGTCAAGGCAGGTGCTGCTGCTGGTGCAAATGCCGGTACCAACACTGGTGCTAATGCCGGCGCTGGTGCTGCTGCTGATGCCGCAGTTACCACGGCTGCTGCTGCCGCTGCTAAGACAGCTGTGGCTGCGGCTGATTGCCCACCGGCCACTGTATTTGTTACTGTTACCATGGGTGCTGCCGCTGCTGCTGATACTGCTGCCGCGAACGCCGGAAACAACAACGCCAACAACAATGGAAATGCTGCTACTGGAAACGGTGGAGCCCAAGCTTCCGCGGGCGGGTTCGACTTCGGAACCTGCACTCCTACCATGAAATTTGTCGGTGGACTTGGCAACCGCCCTGCCACTGAATTCACCTTCCAGGCCATTGACCCCGTTGTCGCCCTGGGCCAACAGGAGGCTCTCAACCCCAACATCATCACCAACAGGATCTGCGATCAACTTACCAACGTCTGCAACGCCGGCGCCTCTGGCAAGGCCGCTTGCCTCGATGCAAAGGCACAGATTCTCGCGCTTGGCACAAGGGATGCCTCCACCGCAGCAAAGTGGAACTCGCTGCTCGGTTTCTAGAGTGTCTAAAGTAACACCCTGCAGCCTTCTGGGGGTATTCTGAGCTAGTGTACGAATGATTGGCGTCGGGAGTTCGTAGTGTTTATGATTAGATGAAGGCAGTTTTGCTATTCCTGTGATGGGTATTTTGGAGGCTACCCCGATAGTTTGTTAGCTTATACTATCTGAATATATATTTACCTAGCCGCATCGTTGTCTCTGCAAAATTTTATCCCCGACACATTTGATTTTGACCATAATTAATCGACTAATATGTGACAATTTCAGTTTAATAACTCTTGTGATAACGACCATAGTGCCCATGGATTTAGAGCCTTAGGGTGAGCAACTCAAGCTGACTCATGAGTCTACAAAATTATTGACTCACGACTCATGATTAAGTATAAACTCATGAGTCTATGAGTTTTTTTGCTCACCCTGTAGAGCCTTGACTGTTAACTTCGAAGCATTAAGGTCGTAAGTGTGTGATGTTATCTGTCTATGAAACGAGAACTTTGAAAATGATCCTTCATTAAAATAATTTTATTCATATTTAATAAATTCACCACAACCTAGTAATATTAGCCATCTGTAAAACTTCGGCTCTCTATTAGCCGTTTGTTTAATAGTAGAAATTGTAACAGGAGTTACATTATCAATGGACGCCTCCTTCCACTTGTAAATAATTGTTGACTTCACAGAAGCTCAAGATCGCCAAACTAATAAATTGACAGCGCACGGACCACAAGGCTGAAATTCGCCAACCTCCTCCAGTCCAACCTGCCCCTTCCCTCTCAACGAAGCAAACAATACTCCACGAAACACTACTATCACCACCTTCATTTGCATAAAACTTACGCCAGTCATAACATATCGACAATAGCGATGACCATTCTGCCATGGTTTATCGACGCAAACTACTTCTGAAACCAGCAGCGCGTCTTTGATTCTGGCCCAAATGTCAGCCTCATCAGGCGCAAGCTTGACTACGCTCTCGAGACCCAGGATAGCCGTTGTCCTGGTCACTGTCCTGGCAAGTGTGTATGGTATTTACTACCTACACAGTAGCAGCGATGGCACCGAAACGACCGCAGAGCCTATTGCACCGTCTGGACCTGGACTTCACCGCACCAACGCAATTCGGCGTCGCCACCGACGACCAGCCCCCCGAACAGGCGATGGAGCTGAGGACAACCCAGACACATCTCACGATGAGTCCGAAGATACGGATGGTGAAAGCGGGCCAGTGGTTCTGAGACCCCTTACCGATGGCGAAACGGTAGTCGACGAGGCCGCATTTGACGAATTCGACGATCCCTCGTGGAACCGACAGCGTGCTGGACAGCATATGGTACAACTGCTATTTCGAATATCCGAAGATGCTACAAAACGAAACGCATACGTCCATCGTGGAACGCTATGTAATGCTTGCGGAGTTGTTCCAATCCGCGGTATTAGGTATCGCTGTGCAAACTGTGCGGACTACGACCTCTGCGAATCCTGTGAATCCCAAGGCCACCACTACAGGACGCACGTTTTCTACAAGATTCGAGTTCCTATATCCAACTATGCGCCGAGGCAATTGCAGTCGGCGTTCTATCCTGGCGACCCAGACACTGCCGTGAAGATGTTGACTCGCGAACTCACGACAAGGCTCACAAGAGAGACAGGCCTAGATCGGCCCGAAATCGAGGCGTACTGGGAGCAGTGGACATACATGGCAAACACAGAGTGGCGCGACGACCCAGACGCACTTTTCCTGGCCATGGACCGACGAACATTTGACCGCTGCCTTGTTCCGTCCGACGGAAATCGCTATGCGGCGCCGAATCTCATACACGACCGCATGTTCGCATTCTACGACCAAAACAACGACGACTTAATCAGTTTTCCGGAATACCTACAAGGGCTGGCGTTTAGGAAAAGCAAGAATAAGCTCAGAAGGGTATTTGATGGGTACGACATCAACGGAGACGGATTCGTTGATAGAAAAGATTTTCTACGGATGTTCCGGTCGTACTATGTTTTGTTCAAGAATATGCGGAAAGATATGCTGGATAGTATGGATGAGCATGCTGTTAATAGTGTTGAAGCACATCAACTCGTTCACAGCAGGCAACCCCTGAGTAGTGCTTTCGGCCGCGATGGTCGATTTGGACGTGCTTCGAATCCACGTACTCCTGGGGAAGGGAAACAACCCAATCCCGACGGCGACCTCGAAATCGTCGATGGTAAAGGGATTGTAAATCCAAGCGGCGATGACCACGGCGACAAAGCAGACGTATTTAGAGACCCCCTTGGTCGAGCCATGAACGATTTCCCCCCGGACGGGACTGGTAACTACTGGGGAGTCGTGTCATCTCCCCCAGCCACGCTGGAAACGTTGCAAAGTAGGGTATTGGAGAATATTTTGTCAACTCGGAGTCAGCAGGAAAATACTCCACCCCGGAACGAACGATCTGGAAATCAGGAGCTACCAGACGAAATTGATGTGAACTGGCCCCCAGAAATTGTTGAGCCTTGCGATGTATCCGAAGTCCTCGGTATGGATGTGCCGTTCGATCAGGTGCCTCTCAGCCAACGTGCTAAAATTATAGACGAGGCTTCAAGACGACTGCTTCGCAACGCCCATCTGGAGCAGGAGGCAATTACTAATAACCGCATGCATGAACGGTGGAGGAGGCGCCAGTTTTATACTGATGAAGAGGAAGGAGTAGAGGCACCTGCGGACTGGAAAGTCGAAGAAGATGTCCCTCTTGGCGAGACGAAATCGGAGGAAGCTCCTCAAATACCAGCCCCATCTCCTCGCTCAAGATCGTCTTCGAAGGTTAGATTTGCAGAAGACATGGATGACTACGAGACCAGATCGAATCCATCAACGTCATCGCGCAGTGTTCCAGAGCGTTGGGGTGGAATGGAGATACCCGAAGCAGAGAAGGACGCAGGAAAAGATGTCTTGTACCAAGTCGCCCAACAGGCGTTCAATGAGCTTCTTGATAATCTCTTCAAAAACGCGGAGGATGCTGCTATAGCTTCGCTTTCGTCTAAGAAGACCAGAGCCCTACACCGCCATTTATTTACAAATGTATACTTTGAATGGTGGGCTGAGCGGGTTGACATGAGCTACGCCGAGAAAGACAACAAAGAATCTGATGATGCGGATAAGAAGAGCCTCGAGGCTGAGCTTGCACGCCACATGCAAAGGGAAATCAGATCATGGAACGAAGAACCGAGTGCCACATTTATTGAGATAGAGGAGACGCGCCAGGTCCCTCTAGATGTACTCCTCGCTACATCGGGATATTCAGTCGAACAGGGCACCGAAGTCACCGAATCTAGTGCTATCCCCAATGAAGATATAGCAGTACATGACGCCTCGTCACCCGAAAGTCAGAGTTTGGATACACCAGTCGATGAGCACCACCGTGACCTACTGGAAGTCCTCCGCGGCCCCATCCCAGACCAAACAGAACCCCCGTTGCCCACCGACGAAGACGACTTCACAGATATGTTGCAATCATATCGTGATCCAACCCTACCCCAATTCCGGCCTTCAGCCGTATCGCCTCCCGCCTCCAACCCACCACCCCCAGAACCCCAAGACATACCACTGCCAACAACCGAAACCTCCGAACCACTTCGCCGTGAAGGCAGCGACCGCTCAAACCACGAACGCTCGCGCACCTCCAAACGAGGCAGCAAAGCTCATCGCAGCCGCGCTAAGAACTCTACTGAGTCCTCATCTCCCAAACTCGAGAAAACCCCACTCCGCGACCTACAAAAAGAGCTTCTCACCGAGATGAAAGCGGACGCTACTGTGCCGACCGAAGTCCACCGTAGCCTTGCGAAGTGGGACTGGATGGCACTATACAAGCTGCGCGAGATGGAGAGTACAGAGGCTAACGCGCGGACGCGTGGTGGATGGGGCCGGATCGGCTGGGTCGAGTTCGAGGATATCGTGCGCCTACGGGATGCGGCGTGGCGGACGGAGAAGCGGGAGTTGAAGGAGGCGGGGAAGGCAGAGGCGGGGAGGAGGATCATGAAGAGGGAGCAGGATGTGGAGAGGATGGTGGAGTATCTGGGGAGCTGGATCGAGATGTGTATCCCGGGATAATGGGAGTTGGGGTGGGTGCTGGCTGATGGCTATGTGGGTGATAAGGCGCTTACAATGTATATTATGGGTTCGCAGTAGCGTTAATATGGCTTCCGAATAAGGAAGGGACGACGGCTAGATGGCAAGAGCGAGCATAAGGAAGGCACAGGAGCTTCAGATAGAAGGTGCGAACCTGACATACAAATAAAATTATGGAAGGCACGTACGTATTTTAAAAGGAAGGTGCGATGGTCTACTGTGATAAACATGCAAATGGACCTTGAAAGTTCTAGAATTCAATTCCGGCATCTGTAGTAATCTTCGCGCTGCGCCCATGTTATAATCCTGGGCGTCGCCGAAACGGTTTGGTGTTCCTGAAGCACACATCGTTACCCCTGGCGCCTCGGCATTGTGGAACCCCGGTTTGGGACTTGGCAAAGCATCATTTCATAGCTCTTCAAACCACGCGTGTATCACATCACCACCCGTCTAATTTTCCCATTTGTCCCAATGGCAATGATCTCTGGGTAGAGTAGTTCCCGTCCCATTTGTCTTGGCTCTGTTGCAAAACTTGTCTCAGGAGTTGTCTTTGCACAGAAAAATGCCTACATAACCCGCACTCTCCCCTCGTCTGTTTCCTCTCCTCTCCTTCACGCCAATCCTCATCATCCAAACTATCTCCTAACTTATTCTTTTCTACCTTGCAAATTTTAATATCGTCGCCGGTCGACAGCCAGTCTTTCTAGAAACCATCAAAAAATTATTCTTATATACACCAATATCACCGCCATAATGCAGTTCAAGATTCTCGCCTTTGCCTCGTTCCTCGCTGTTGCCATTGCAGCACCCGCTGTTCAATCTAGCGGAGGTAAATATGCCTCTCCGCATATATGCTACTGAATACAGCTAACAACTATTTTGCAGAGGTCGTTGTCCGCGCACCGCTTCCTGCAGTCCTCAGCGAGACCGCAGCAATGAGCAACGCCAATGGAGAGGTCGTTCCTTTCTCATCGACTGAGGTTCACCAGCCACTCAAGGCTGCCGGGAAATAAATTGATGGAACGGTTATAATTTAAAGGGACACTGTACGAGTGCTGCCTTGTGTGTGAGGGTTCAGGTTTTAAATGGAAGAAGGGGCGTATCTAAGGATGGAAACGAGTCGTTGTGGGATAGGGACATCAGAAAGTGATGGGATTCGGTCGTCGAAATAATGTGCAGCTATAGATTCGATACTTCTATAATCGTACTGTATTCTGTCTATGTCGTCTTCTTGTGCCTCATCTTGACCTGTCATCATTTTTGGACCATGGTTGCGATTCTAATGCACAAGAGAGGGCTTCCTCATGATTACGGAAGTACCGAGCAGAAGGAAGGCACGAGGTTTCAACGGAAAGCGCGAAGCTGTAACATGAGGCACTAACATGCCATGGAAATTAGAAGAGGGAAGGCACGTCTTTTGAACGGGAAGGTGCAATGGGTCACTTCACTAAAGACATATAGCATATGACTTTGGATTGAGAATTTCATTGCTTGCATAATAATCTAATATTCTTCGCACTGCGCCTATCGTACAGTTATTAGAGACCCTATCTCCCCCCAAAAATAGCCCTCAAAAATACCACGGCGGCGTACTCGCTGATTGATCTCTGAAATGTTGTCCCCATCCATTCTGCCATTTCAGATCAGGAACGTCGTAACATCTTGCACAGCTCGATCAGACAGCGATTGAAAACCTTCGTGTCCGTCTATGTGTCAAGTCGAGAGACAGCCTCCGTGTGTCACTGTGTCGCTCTTGCAATCCGGCAACATTTGAAGTGGCTTGTAGCATCTCATGGCTGCAAGTCCCCATCTGATACTTTGCAAGCACATCTGAGAGCTGAGGCGGCGATATGGTAGACATAACTGAGCTAATTCCAGTGAGGTCGTCCCTCCCAGCTACAGCCAGATCTAGACGTGGACATAGCGCAACGGGCGCTTGGTCTTGAGCACCCTGGGTCTTAGTAATAGGGGATGGTTGCCCCGGAGCCTTTAGATCCCGACTGCCCCAACCGATATCACATACCGTGGCAAGCGTCCACAACCTAGTAATGCCATGGTAATAAACAAAGAGTATTCCGATCGGGATATACAGGACCGACCATGGCTGCTGCTTCCATACATGTCTTTCCACGAACAGCTCCGTCGGCTTGCTGCGCCAACTGGTGCGCGCCCACCGATGCATCTTTGGGCTGAGCTGGGACCACCGAGTAACGGAAATGCTTGTCCGCATGGGAGCTTCCTCATGGTTATAGAAAACCGTCTTCCATCCCTGGCTCTAACACCATCGGGCGACGAATTTGTCATCGTCGACGAGAAGAGGTCCGCAGGTTCCGAACAGCCAGGTTTCGTTGAGATATGCGTGGGCAAAATTTGAGTTCTTCACCATGTCTGTACGCATCAGAGCGGTTCGGCCAAAGATGGTGGAGACGCCTCCATCGATGTTGGATGTTGCCGTGAGGTCGAAGTTGGATCTCTCAAGGTACATTACCGCGATGTAGTTGAGGATGTCCGTGAAAGAGAATAGCGGCAGATTCTCCCGATGCACGCGCTTAACAGTTCCTACCAAGCCAACATGCGCATCGTTGAAAGGTAGGAGGGCATACCTCAAGAAATTATTTCCCCAGTACACCTGGTCATCAGCAGAGATAATAATCTTTGTCGTTGCGAAAGAGACAGCTTCCAAGAACTGTGCACGCTTGTTTGCCTCTTTGACTATGATGACTTTCAGATTCTTGGATATGTCGCCGCAGGCCCTTTCTGCAGATTCCTCTTTGACTCGACTGTGGCGATGAAGACCTGCGCTGGGTTGCATTCAAGGACCGACCAAACGCAGCGTGTGAAGGCATCCCCAAAATTGTCAATGCTGGGGATTATCACAGTGACATCTTCAGCATTATAGGCGGCATTTTTCGCTGAAGGAAGTTGCGGCCTATATGCTAAGTATGAAATGGAATGAACAACGACTTTGAGAAATTTGAAGACAGAAAGAATAATAAACCCCCTTTGCCATCGTGACAGATTGGACCAGCTGTTCCAACCACGTTGGATCTCGACGTTGAGAATGACTCCAAGGGTAAGGCAGAGAACGGACGCCACAGGGCGCCACCAGATGAATTGCAACGTCGCAAAGAATATGTTACAGAGCGTAATAGCGACAATGCGCCCAAATGTATCCAAAAAACCCACGACATTGCCATTGCTGTGGATTGATCCCACGAGAGATTTATGGACAGCAGTCCAGGGAGAAGACAGTGTGACCAAGGCTGCCAAAAGGCCAACTGATTGCCAGACACCCAGAGAGGGGAGAACGCACGAACACGCGTGCCAGAGACATGTATTGTCCGACGAAATGTCGAACCCAGCCGCAAACGATGCCAGCGAGATGATGCAAAATGCAATGACCGTGGCCAGAAATGGTTTCCAATGGACCATCATTCTCCAAGACTTTGCAGCGAAGGAGGAAAATCCAAGAAGCTGCGTGTGAACCAGGGAATCCAAAAAGCCGTGCGTGAAGCGCGAAACCAAGAAGCTGCGTGCAAACGAGGGTAATCCAACAAGAGGCGCTGGACACAATGTGATCCCAATAAGACAAGATTGTCCGAAGCTGTGAGGGGATTGGATAGCTGAAAGCAGCTGGTTTGATTGCTTTGATAGGAAAGCGAATAGTATTCTAACGCTCGTATATATAAGCATAAAAAGACCGGAGGAAACGAATCAACACCGAACAACAGTAACGAATGGGAATGAAAATGAATAATTATGAACAACAACGAATTAAAAAGAAAATGAATCAACCGAGTGAACAATGGCAGAATATGCTGAACCATTCCCGTCCGAATCGACTCCGTGACCGACAGCAGAATACGTCGAGAAACTGAACCATCCCCGACTTATGTGAGGTTCAGTGGCATGTATAAAATTGAGTATAGGTCCCGACCGAGAGGAAATGGTATATTGGATATATATATCATGGCGCGCATATATCCCCAGTAACAATAGACGAAAGAAAGGTGAAATAGATGGATTTACATCTGTATATAGGAGACATATATCCCCAGCAACAACAGACGAAAGAAAGGAGTAATAGATGGATTTTCATCTGTATATGAGACAACAAGGGTGAAAATATCCGTATGTAGAACTATAGGGGTCCACGTGATTGAGAATAGTGCTGACAACGGTGTTAGGGACATCAATAATCCGACTGAGGGCCTCAACCACAAAAACGAGGCTATGACATAGTGGACTTTTTAGCACAATATATAGTCGCCGGCGCCATACCAGAAGCAGTTTGAGAGACTGACGACGCAGCTTGCGCCATCACTTCTGACAGTTAGATCATGAGATATGAAAGGTCAAATAACAAACGGCAAATACATGTACCATCAAACTGAATTTGTGGTCTTCGGAGAGGCGGATGAGTCCAAACCAGCTCGGAATCGAAGCGTTCCGTATGATGCACCAGCTTACGCGCCTGCACACGGGACAAGAATGCCGTGTGCAGGCGCGTAAGCTGCCTGTCTGGCTGGTTTTCTTGCTGTTTGTATACATCGTTGAGTTGCTTGTCTCACACAGTGGGGTGGAGGTTGAGGACGGGCGCGTAGATTGTTGGTTTAGGGCCCCATTTGACCCTTCTTTCCCCAGCACAGCAGGCATGTTGTGTTGTGTTGTGTTGTAAAACAGAAACCCCTAGAAACCCACAAAACCCCCACTTTGCGACGTTTGATGGCCATTCAGGACAGCCGCAGCCGCTGTCGGCAAACAAAAATAGCGACAAACAAGCTCCTGTGATTCGCGACAAGGGTCTACGTAAGCGCAGCAGCCACAGCAACACAGCATGCAAGGCTGAGCCGACCGGCTCCGTGAAACTGACTCCCGACACAAGGCGTTGCTGCGCACTCCGTAATCACGAAGAGCTCCTTCATCTCCATAGATTCTTTTTTCGCCCCATTATCTTTTTATATTACTGTTTATTGCTCCTCCCGCCTTGAGATCTTGGCAAATTTGTTTTCTCCCAATCACTCTACGTGTGCGAACTCATTGACTGCTTGGCATTCATCCGAACATTGAAGTGTCGTCATTGCTTTTATTCCGGCAAACATCCCCAGCAAGTCGGACTTGACTTGGCAACCCCGGATCTACGCATCCCTTGTCCATTATATTATCACAATACCAAAAGATTGAACTCTGTGTGAGAATTGACAATGAAGACAGCACTTCTCTCTGGCCTCGCAGCCACGGGATACCTTATCTCGAGCGCAACAGCGGCGGTCCATGTATCCATCGTAAAAAACCACCGTGTCCAAGCAGATCAGCTCCAAGCCGCACAGCTCCGGAGGCGTGGGACAGTCACCGAGTCATTAGGGAATGCACAGCAGTTTGGTCTCTACTATGCAAACGTCACCGCCGGGACACCCGCACAAGATCTGTCGTTACAAATAGACACAGGGAGCAGCGATGTCTGGCTGCCCAGTTCAACTGCACGGCTGTGCAGGTCGAGGTCAGGATGCGAAGGAGGATCGTGTAAGTCGACCCTGATACAGAAACAAGCTTTGTATGCGGCAGTTGCTAATGGTTGTGGCAAACAGTTGATTCGACTGCATCGTCGACATTCCAGGTTGTTGGACAAGACGAGTTTAATATTTCGTATGTCGACGGGACTGGATCTGTAGGAAGCTACTTCACCGACACATTCGGCATTGGGGGGAAGACAATTCAAAACTTTGAGATGGGCCTTGGAGAGGACACCACAATTTCAATCGGGATCTTGTAAGTTTTGTACATCCACGGCGCTCGAACCGGAAGTATCTAACAGTCGTAGGGGAATCGGTTATGCGAATTCTGTCGCCAATGTCTTCACCGGCACTGGCACGTCATACGCCAACCTTCCACTAGCCTTGGTGAACGCAGGCCTCATTAACTCACCAGCATACAGTCTCTGGCTCGACGACATCGATTCTTCTACCGGCTCGATCCTCTTCGGTGGAATCGACACCGCAAAATACACCGGCCAGTTGCAGTCCATCAAGGTCTATCCCAGCTCCAAATCCGGAAACGTCACCTCCTTCACCGTCGCCTTCACCTCGCTACACGCAACCTCCTCGAGCGGCACTGATCTGCTTACCTCCAGTACCTACGCTCAACCCGCCATCCTCGACAGTGGGACAACCCTCACTCTCCTCCCAGACGACATCGCCGCCCTCGTCTTCGAAGAGCTCGGTGCCATCGATGACACGTCCCTTGGAGCCGTTGTCGTCCCCTGCTCTCTCGCCTCCAACTCCGGATCCCTCAAATTCGGCTTCGGCGGCGCCAGTGGCCCCACCATCAACGTCCCCGTCTCCGAGCTTGTCCTTCCCCTCACCCTCACCAACGGCGGGACCCCGAAATTTGAGAACGGCGCCGACGCCTGCCAGCTTGGCATCCAAGCCGCCGGCGACCTGCCAATCCTCTTCGGCGACACCTTCCTGCGCTCCGCGTACGTTGTGTACGACTTAGCGAACAACCAAGTCGGCCTCGCGCAGACAGACTTCAATGCCACTGGCAGCAATGTCGTTGAGTTTGCAAGCATGGGCGCAGCGATCCCGCAGGCGACCACGGCATCAGGGCAGGACCAGATCGGCGTGTCGCAGACGAATACGGGGATTCCAAGAGGAGGAGAGGCAACTCAGACGGCGGTGGGAAGTGGCGTCGTCCAGGGCAGTGCGACGCCTACCGGGGGACTCACTGCCGCGAGTGGGTTTGCTACTAATGCTGTGGAAAAGGAAAGTGCTGGTGGGCGGCTGGAGCCGTTGAGGTGGGGCATGTTTTCATTCCTGGGCGTGTGGATGGGCATCATGATGGTTGGCGGGGGTATGATCACCTTGGCGTGAGGAATGGACCCCGCTGTGGGTGGGGATGTGGATAACGACTTAAACTATACAATGATGGGGACGCATTTTTGGGATATGGGTGTGTTAGGTACGGAAAGCATTATGGCGTTCTGGGACTTCTGTCCATAGATGATAGGCACTGCTGCATTGGCGTTGAACAGAGATGGGGATGAGTGGGGGGTTCGGGGTGTAAATTGTGTGCGTTTAAGATATACATAAAATCCATCATGTCTTACTTCAAGCATCTCCAAGGCCTCAGGACAAACTTATGACAAGTACCAATAATAATAGTATAGCTATCCCTGCTTTAACCTAAGTAGTTGATCAAAATAACTTGGGCGGAAAATATCTAATATTATCACGTGACGCGGCCGCATGCCCCTGGCACTAACCGGCATCTCCCGCCTCTCCATCAAAAAAAGTTCAGGGCGTGGCCATCGTCGACGGGACTCGTATCGCTCTTTCCCCCCTTTCCAATCCCCTCCTTTCCCGCCACATATATTCGACGCGATGAGGGCAGCACGAGCAGCAGGGACAGCGGCGGCGGCTGGCGCAGCGGCGCGCCAGAGGATGGCACAGAGCGCGCCGACGGCGGGCAGGTTCCGGTGTCTGTTTGCGAGGGAGAGCGCGACGGTTAGGGTGGGTGGATTGAGGGCTGGAGCTGTGGAGATGCAGAGGAGGGCATTTTCGGGCTCGAGGGGATTGAGGAATGAGGAGGCTGCGTAAGTTTTTCTGGGGGTTGTTTCTCACTTCCAGTGCAGGGGAAACTTCAGGGGATGTCTAGGGAAGGGGGGGCGTCGCATTAGCTTTGGAGGGATGTCACGATTGAATGAGTCGCGCTGACCGCAATCTTTACTACAGAGCCAAGCCCGAAGTAGTTGTGCTGGGCCCCAGCCTCGAACAGATCCAGATCGACATGTCGCCCTCGGAGAAAGGACGACTCTCGAAACTCCGCAACATCGGTATCGCAGCACACATCGACTCCGGTAAGACGACTTGCACGGAGCGCGTGCTCTTCTACACCGGCCGCATCAATGCTATCCACGAAGTTCGCGGCAAGGATGCCGTCGGCGCGAAGATGGACAGCATGGACCTCGAGCGCGAGAAGGGAATTACCATCCAGTCCGCGGCGACGTTCTGTGACTGGAAGAAGAAGAATGTCGATGGCGTGGAGGAGATGTTCCATTTCAACTTGATTGATACACCCGGCCATATCGATTTCACGATTGAGGTAGAGAGAGCGCTGCGTGTGCTCGATGGTGCCGTGATGGTGCTGTGCGCAGTCAGTGGCGTGCAGAGCCAGACGATCACGGTGGATAGGCAGATGAAGAGGTACAATGTGCCGCGTATCTCGTTTGTGAACAAGATGGACAGAATGGGAGCGAATCCGTTCAAGGCCGTGGACCAGATCAACCACAAGCTGAAGCTGAACGCTGCGGCGATCCAGGTGCCCATTGGCGGGGAGGACAGCTTCAAGGGTGTTGTCGATCTGCTCCGCATGAAGGCTATCTACTTTGAGGGCGAGCAGGGTACTACGCTTAGAGAGACTGATGAGATCCCACCGGATGTGCTGCCGATTGCGCAGGAGCGCAAGAGAATGCTCATTGAGGCTGTGGCAGATGTGGACGATGAGATTGCGGAGCTCTTCTTGGATGAGAAGGAACCTACGACTGCTCAGCTCAAGGCGGCTATCCGTAGGACTACGATCGCGCTCAAGTTCACGCCTGTGATGATGGGTAGTGCGCTCGCAAACAAGGGCTTGCAGCCGGTTCTCGATGCTGTCTGTGACTACCTCCCAGACCCATCTGAGGTGCCTAACCTGGCTCTCGACCAGCGCAAGGCCGAGGCTCCAGTCGCGCTTGTTCCATACAATACCCTACCCTTCGTCGGGTTGGCGTTCAAGCTTGAAGAGTCCAATTTTGGCCAGCTCACGTATATCCGTGTCTACCAGGGTACTCTCAAGAAGGCCATGAACGTCTTCAATGCGCGCACCGACAAGAAGGTCAAGATCCCACGTATCGTGCGTATGCATTCCAACGAGATGGAAGAAGTTCCCGAAGTCGGCGCTGGCGAGATCTGCGCCGTGTTCGGCGTCGACTGCGCGTCCGGCGACACCTTCACCGACGGAACCCTCCCCTACTCGATGTCGTCTATGTTCGTGCCCGAGCCTGTCATCTCGCTCTCCATCACCCCCAAGAACAAGACGGACACCAACAACTTCTCCAAGGCCATGAACCGCTTCCAGCGCGAGGACCCCACCTTCCGCGTTCACGTCGACAGTGATTCCCACGAGAACATCATCTCCGGTATGGGCGAGCTGCATCTCGAGGTCTACGTTGAGCGCATGCGCCGCGAGTACCGCGTCGACTGCGTAACAGGCCAGCCTCGCGTCGCTTACCGCGAGACCGTCACCAAGCACGTCGAGTTTGACCACACCCACAAGAAGCAGACTGGTGGTGCCGGAGATTACGCTCGTGTCGTCGGTTACATCGAGCCAACCGGCAGCCTGACCTCGAACAAGTTCGAGCAGCAGGTCACTGGTGGTTCTATTGACGAGAAGTTCCTGTTCGCTTGCGACAAGGGTTTCCAGGCCGCGTGCGAGAAGGGACCTATGCTTCAGCAAAAGGTCTTGGGTACCAGTATGGTCATCAACGACGGTGCAACGCACATGACTGATTCCAGTGAAATGGCGTTCAAGGTCGCGACACAGCAAGCCTTCCGCAAGGCCTTCCTCCAGGCCGGCCCCGTCGTGCTCGAGCCGCTCATGAAGACCACCATCACCTCGCCGAACGAGTTCCAGGGTAACATCGTCGGGCTGCTGAATAAGCGCAATGCTGTTATTCTCGATACCGAGATTGGGCCGGAGGACTTCACGCTCACGGCTGACTGCAGTTTGAATGCTATGTTTGGCTTTTCGAGCCAGCTGCGCGCGGCTACGCAGGGTAAGGGGGAGTTCGGGATGGAGTTCTCGCATTATGCGCCTGCGCCGATGCAGATCCAGTAAGTTTGCCCTCCGTGTGGTATTTTGATGTGGATGTGTGCTGATTACTTTTCTAGGAAGGAGCTCATCGCCAAGCACGAGAAGATGCTGGCGGAGAAGCGCAAGTAGATTTGATGTTCCGCCATGGTGGAATTTCTTTGTATTGAGAGCGACGCGCCGTCGTTTATCTCGAGTATGTCGTTCCTGGGACGACACTTGTATTTTGATGTACAGCATATCATCACATCACCACTGTACCCCTGGCGGCGCATGATAAAAGGGCAGGGCGGTATAGATTTTGTATATAGCACCGCATTGAATGGGTCGCGTGTTGCTGGTAATTAGGTCTAGATTGTAAGATTATGTATGAGATTGAAGCTATAGTCTGTGTTTAGACCTGAAGTGGAGAAAGTGAGTGAAATGGCGTGCGGTGTGAGGTGTTGATGTGTTTCCTTCTACATATATTGAGATGGGACATCGCGGAATTGCAAAGCCGTCACAATTTCAAGTATCATAAATAGTAAGGTATGCCAAGTGTAAATTTCAATAACCAGAGCTACAAGTAATAGAAAACCGATGAGAAGAGCCTGAGAGATATATCAAACGTATCTTCAACAACTGAGAGAGATGTAATAAGCAGTAAACGACGACTGACAAGAACCTAAGAGATATACCAAACGTATCTTCAACAACTAAGAAAGATGAAATAAGCAGTAAATGACGCCTGACAAGAACCTATGAGATACATCAAACGCAAGTTCGTCGTCAACTAAGAACACTTCGAAACTAAATCTCTAGCTTGAAACCAACACAGAACGAATGTGGGTTTAATTCCCGGAAGAGTGACTCCAGATACAGAAGAACACTCGTAAAGGAAAATCAGAGGTCGTGAGCAAGGCTCGAAGCAATAAAGACCAATGGGGACACAAGTGAATGTTCCCGGAGTGTAGTTGTGGTATTCGGAAGAGTAGCTCCAGATGCAGGAGACCAGCTCAGAATATCAAAACACTCCTTGGCGATGGAGAGGGCGAAATAGAGTCTGTGGCGAGGACAGAAGGTAGGCGGTCGGAAGGAAGTGAGGGAGGAATGTGGCTACAGTACTCTATAGAGTGACTCCAGATGCAGGAGAACACATAGAGTACAGAATCACAGTCCAGGTGGATGGTGGGGGTAAATTGGGGCTGTAGAATAATACAGTGGCCAGTCGCGATGATGCATCCTAGAGAAGAGAAAATCTACTTCCCCAGTGCATCCAGGCGTGGCATTTGCATCTCCGCATAACGTATAATTGATACTATTATCTAATAGCATCTGCGGCGAATACTCAGACTGCGTAGGTATCTGAATAAATGGCTGTTGGTAGAATGGGGTGCCTTGAGTAGAGAAATGACTTTCGGGAATGAAGATTATCGGAGAAGCGCCCATCGTTTGCCCCCTTGTGGAAAAGGGGGCATGGTTATCTAGTGGCAAAGAGTCGTACCCTACCTGAAGGGTTTGAAAATTCCTAGGGTACTGGTTGTGATAACTTGCATTGGGGTATATATAGCCCTGATTGCTATCGCGGTACCAGATTGCCGCGGCGTTGAACGGCGGGTGATAGTTACCATCTAGCCCGAGTGGATTCAAGCCTGCACCATATATGTCACAGCTTGGTGTGGTGGCTAAGTCATGGGCGGGGTTTTGATAATCAGAAAAGGCAATCGGTGCTTCGCCGTAGGCTTCTCTGGCAGGTGACATGGTCTGTTGTTGTATGAGGGCCCAGTCTGTCGGTGGCCCAAACCGATGAAATCCATTATAATCGCCTGGCTGGCTCGGTTCAGCTGACAACTCCCACATCGACATTTCAAAATATATCGTGAAGTTATGCACCAGTTTCGCTATTTCTTCGTGTGCAGTTTTGAATCCTTTATAGAAGTCGTCTTGTTGTCGGCAAGCTGTCTTCCAACGGTTGCTGAGTTCTTCCCAGACATGGCCAACCCAACACCAGACATGCTCAAAAAGTTGACGGCTCCCCTATCAAAATATGAGTTATAGATTACTACAAGAGATAATTATATGCCTACTTACAAACAAGTTGGCAGATTGGCCATGTTTGGCACACTTCATAGATCGTTTTAGCTTGCTCATGGCGTAGTACCATATAATCAGCTGTGAGCTTGATTCTTCGTCGATTATCAGTGAGCCGGACCGCACTTTGAGTAGAGACATTTGCAGCTGCTTATCGATTTGCTGAACTACAATCCAGATAAAATCCGACTGGAGGTCGCTACACGGAAACTGTGCATATTGAGCCATTATGAGAAGCTTGCAAAGACCGAATCCGCGGCAAGCATACGCTATCAATCCGCAGTCCTGTTGCGTTTGTCCAACAATCTTGGGAACAAAGTGTCTGTCGACAATTTCGAAGAGTTTTTGCACAACTGGGTTGTTCTGCTCATCGAAGAGGCCATTGACGGGAATATCGCAGGTTACTGGTTGTGGACTGTCGCCATTGCTTCCTGGTATGGTCGCCTTGAATCTGACTGTGCCGTAGATCCGGTTCACTCGTAGAGGTAATCCTTGCTGGGAAGCAGGGCCAAAGATGATCGATTTGCATTCTATTACTAGGCGTTAGTTCGAAACGTATTTCAGTGTATAAATAAAAGTAAGGCTAACATACCTCCGCTAGATAGCATAGGCGCAAGCTTCAGTATTGATTTTTGATCCTTCGAAGCTCCACGGCTGCATTCAGAGCAGCAGTTACCTTCTCCCATATCTGTGTACTTTTCAACGCAGTTAGCTCTATATGTAGTGTATAGTAATAAATGTGGCATACCTGTCCTCGCGCGTAACGCCTCTTTACGCATGGCACTACTTGCACCTTTGGCCGTCTTGGAATATTGTCTGCTATCATCGTAGAGTTGTATGAACACCGTAGGATGGTGCATGAATTTGAAAAGAGTGCGAAGCGGATCATTTAGTGGTATGAAATATGGGCGTACATACAAATACACTAGTTCTTATATTAAGACAAAATACATATGGAGCCTCGTTCGCAATGGAGTGGTCTAATATCATAGATAGCCTAGCCGGTGACAGGTAGGGACGATGGCTATGGGAAAGGAATGCAGCGCCATTGTAGTACCTTGCGCATATGCCGCCAAGCACTAGATATTGAAGTAAGACACTGATATGAAGAGAGTAATAGGCAGGATGCTGAAATATGTGACCGAGTCTCTCAAATATATGACCGACAGTCGTAGCCGAGTCCATAGAGCCCATTGTAGTAGTCTAGCCTTGCCACGCGTACATCACCGACACGGTAAAATATATGAGGCGAAGTCACAAACGACTAATCATAGTGATCCCTATCTGCAGTCAGCATCCACTAATGCAGCGCCTGCAGATAGGTGTGTATATAACGATAGAATTTAGACTCATCCTCCACCACTCCTGGTTGGATCGTTAAACTTGCTTAGCCAACGTTTGAACACCTCTCATGTCACCTGACGATCTATGGAAACGTTAACTGGTGATATCCGTTACAGACTACCTGGCAGCTCTCATACCACACCCGTTATCTGCGTTTAGAGCAATTATACTCGCATCTATTTAATTCTAAACCGACTTCGATGCTTTAAAGGTGATCTTGGTACTTCCGCCATCCGCCTCAACCAGCCTCGATGGAATCAAGCGAAAGGCTGGCAAGCTTCCCTCCAAAGGCATATGGCAAATTGCAGACACCTCACAAGTTCTTCAAAGTAGGAAGGGTCTTCCAAAGTGACGACGAATTGATTTACGTTGTAGCCCGCGAAGGATATAGCTCTTCGACTTGCTGTGAGCTACAATATGTAGGACAAAGCAGCAACATCGACTGCAGTTTGCCAAACATTGCCGCCCTTTGTCTTCTAGACTGTCCAATTAAGAGCCCTAGCGACAACCAATATCAACTTATATTAGAATGCCCCCGCGACGAGGTTTTGCCGATATATCACTTTGACTGTTCGAAATGGCTTGTACTCAACCACCAAATCGAAGTTTACAAAATTGGCCGGGTTGATAGAAAGTCCATCAAGAGGCTAGAGGCGATGTTTGCAGCTTTCAGCACTCCTTCTGAGACCATTACTAGCACTACGGTGGGGAGCACTGAGCTGAAGAGCACTAGGATGGAGAGAACTGAAATAGAGATAACTGAGATGAAGAGAACTGAGATGGAGAGAAATGAGGTGAAGAGAACCGAGATGGAGAGCACCGCGATGGAGAGAACGGAGATGGAGAAACCTGGAGTGGAGAGCACCGAGATTGAGGCATCTACTTTAAAAGCGGCTGCATTATTCTCTGCAGCATCATATGCCAACAAAACTAGCAGCCCTGCAGAAACCAGCTACGATATGACAAGTATCAGCAAGCGCCGCTCGAACAACACTGTTTCAACTGATTGGAGTGGTTGGGAATATAATAAGGATATGGGGTATGTCGCCTCTAGAATTAACAAATCTGGAAGTACGAACAGCTCACCAACTCTTAATGCAATATATTTGAGTAGGTGCTAACTCCTACTAGAAGAGGATCCTCAATATTCTGGTATAAGTTCACCGCCTCGCATGCAGACGCCACCGATGGAAAGCCTATGGAAAGATCTCCGTGTCGCTCTCCCACTCTATGAGAATAAGGTGAAAGGAGAAGAAGAAATATCTCAAGAGGAAGGTATCAAGTTAGCCCCGGGCTCCCACACAGAGGTATCCCAAGACCACACACCTTCTTACAACAGCTACATGGCACAGTATGCAGACCTAGCTTTCTCGCATACTCCAAAACCATCAATTAGTGCGCATAAATACCAAGAACAAATAGCTACAGGTCCTCAAATACAGATAAATGCACTCCCGCGCCTAAAATTGTGGGAAGGTACTAAAATCTAAGATCAAATTCTAGAATAAGATACTGAGCAACTGACATTAACAGAATTCAAAGTACACCACTCTAAGCACTTCAAACCAGGTTATGCAAGAGTTCCCTTCCTCTTTGTACTCCATATGCTAATACATTGGCTGTAGGTCTTTAAAATTGTGTGGTCTGAGCCTGAAGGAGAAACGATATCTCGTCAGAGGGAATTAATTAGCGGTTACTCGCGAATGGCAGAATCAAAATATGGCGAGTTGGTTTATACGTCAATTCGCCGGTTCATTATTATGGCTTCGTATGAGGGCCACAGCATCTGCTTGTAAGTCGGTCCCTTAATAATATACCTTTAGAATATAGGATTCTCATACCTAACTAGACCAATTTACACCTATGGAGGCCGGGGCACAGCGAAGTCTGGTGTTGTACCAGATCATCATGCCATAATATATTCCATGCGCCGGAGAACTTCGGATCGCGACCCCCCGAGAAAAAGCAATGGGGAGCAAGAGTTAGTGAATGCACCAATACGAATTGAACCGAAATCCCCGAGGGACGTTCTACATGAAATGTCGAGGCTTAATTATGCAAAGGCCTATACGGTAGAGCATAATGTGAAGGTGGCCTTCATTGGTCGTGTTCACGAAGACTCTAAACTCACATTACAAAAAGATTATCTTAAGATTCAGGGGACTCCCTTCAGTGATAATACGAGCGAGCCTAGTGGATCCAATTTAGATCCCAATGATGGAGATAATGAAGCCTTAAACGGCGATGATGGAACGGTATCGGATATCGACGTAGCGCGCGCCAATGGAGCTCGAAGTGAATCAAACGAGGAAGTTCCGGAGCCGGAGCTGCAGCCGGAGCCGCAACCGTGGTGATAGTTTCCCCAAAAAAATGGAGGTCACAGGACTTTGGGTATTAATCGAGCTTGCATCATAAACCCATAGCACGAACTATATCATATTTCGAACATTGTATTCTGGCTTAACAGTCTACTCTATCGCCGCTTTGCATACGTCAAAGCAAGTAATGTTCATACGGACAGTCTAATCAAATTTTACTAACTCTCGTCCACAACTGTGGCTGTTCCTGAAGAGTTACCGCTATTCGCGGAGTACGCCCGAATCGCCTCCAAGACAGGTCGTCTCGTCGCAGGTGTATCAAACACCTGCGCGTGATCTAGATCGTCGAACCAGAGGATATCAATCCCCTTCCCTCGCCAAGGTCTATGTTTCCACCCTTCATGTAACAGCAAGCCCCCCTCCTCGCTCACATCGGGCATTATCTCCACATCTCTCTCGTCATCCGCGTCTTCGCTTCCCTCTGCCAAATATCGGCCCACAGCCTCGGTATTAACAATCAAATCTCTCCCTGCCAAACTGACCGTAACATCACGGCCCTCTAAAGCCTCCTTCCACAGCACATTCTCCGACCAGAAGAAGTGTCGCGCCAAACTGTGCGCAACTCCCATATCCATGCTGGCAAAGTACCACAGCTGGTGCTGACTCGCTGACTGCGGCTGACGCCGCGTGAAATTGTATGCCACGTCAGGTAGGTGCAATAAGATGGTCACAGGGTCGATAAGAACCATATCCGCGATCATCGGCGCCGTTTCGGCGTGCGCGAGGAGATGGGTCGCAATCACAGAGCCGTAACTGTGTGTGGCAAGCACGACCTGGGAGTAGCCGTGCTGGTTGAGGATTGAGGCGATCTCAGCGCATAGCACGGCAGGGGATAGTGGGGCGTGGGTCAGACGGAAGGAGACGGGGTGTATTTCGAGGGCAATGATGCCAATTTGGCCGCCTGAACCATCTCCGGCGGGAAGGTCCTTGGCCGAGTTGATGTCGGAGAGGAAGGGGACGTAGGGGTAGAGTCCGATACCGATACCGTGAATGAAGAGAACTGGGAGGTGCGTGGTCGACGTGTGGGGACGGTGCCAGTAGGTTGTGTATTTCGCGGGTGACCGCTTGGTGGTCAGAACAGCTTGTGGGCGGAATGGGAACAGTGTGAAGAATCGGGAGAGCGAGGTGCGGTGGAAATGGAACCCGGCGCGGAGGAGGTTGATGTAGGTGAGCAAGTCGACAAAGCCCACGCACTGGGACAAATTAGCTTCGTGATAATGGAAACAGTGGGACCTATACATACCATATACCAAGCCAAACTACGATGTAGCATGTCTATTGGATCGAGTGTCAGGCGAAGACTCTCAGCCTTGCCCCTCCCTGGCTCGAACTTTCTCCCCACCAGGGTCTCGTATGCAGCCACATACTCGTGCAACTCCTCCTCATCATCTCCAGCCTCTCCACCGCGGTTGAAAAACGCCCATTGTATAAACTCTTTCACATTATCATGCTTTATCTCCTCCTGCGGGGCACCCAGGAACCACCGATCAAGGTAGGTGTCTGGATCTGGGATGAACTTGTAACACTTTTCGAATAGCGCCTTTCGTTCTGCTCGAGAGGGGACGGGCGGGTGAACGGCTGCACGCTGGAGATATGCGCTGTATGGGAGGAAGACGACGAGGTAGAATAGCGACTCGGCGACAGCGATAACGTTGATCGCAAGTGGGGTGTGAGGGCGTGGTATTCCAAAGATGTAACTGGCGATGAGGAATACCGTATAGATGATGCTGGCTGGTGTGAGATAGTGTAAGAAGACGATGCAGGTGCGGATGAAGATGTATTCGAGGCGGGAGTCGTTTATCATGACTGCTGGTGTAGTGGGTTGTAGGATCTTGTGAGGGTCCTTCTTTTCAAGGTCTCAGGATCAAGCGGTTATGATCGTGATTCCGTCGTCGCCATGAGGTTTCCGGCTGAGGTTTATCGAGTCGAAATGTTATAGGAGTAATGGCCATAAAATATATGTCCTCCATCACAAAGTTCGAGCAGGTACGTCAGCCTTTGGTGGGATTATAGTGTGTTGAGACACTTGAGGTCTCACGGAAGGCACGTATGGCATGTGAAAGAAGAAGCGTTGGGATGCTACCCTGGTAGATTTATTCAACGAATCACGTGCCCGACTACTAAATATGGAAATTTTCTATCGGAGGCTCTAATCTTGGTGCTTTTGTTGTCAACACTGTCGATTTTGATGTTCGGCAGTACTGGACTCCTAAGACCCTTGCTCTGTCTTTCCGCCCCTCATGCTTAATTAACGTGGCATGGCTCTTGACACCCTCAAAACTCCACTCGCTTCCTATTGCCCTCTGATAGCCTTGCCAGCCACTGTCAATCTCTAAACTCTATCTTGGATATCTATGCATACTCCCATATCTCACATATCTGGAGACCGTTATGCACTGGAGAAATCATAGTTATCATGGGGTGGTGGCCTGAGCAAGGCAGATCATCCCTTCCGAGTTAGCTTCACTTGTAGAATATCTCGAAGGTGAAACACGGTTCGGATCGCATTGACCAAAATAACTTAAATCAGACCTCAAGAATTCCTCCAAACGCGTGAATTGTGTCCACGCGCAGACTAGATCTGTAATGAAACACGATAACAGGAGTCCCCTCTCGTATATAAAAGAGAATAATTCCGTCAAACTCATTATGCGTCATCTTGAGTCTTGAACTCTTATTCGGCAGCCGCAACTGGTTCGTCAACAGACTCCATAAAGATATCAAACCCAATATGCCCTTTCGGATCCAAGTATCGGACCGCGCCCGTAGATTTGACAATTTTATTGATCTTCGTCATATCTTCGTCGGCGAGGCGAGAGAGTGCTCGGTTCTCTACCATTCTGTCCTCTTGAGCTGTTATGGGAACAACAGACACACCACGCTGGAGCGCCCAGGAAAGGAGGACTTGGGCAGGTGATTTGCCAATCGATTTTGCAATTTCAGCAATCGTTGAGAGGGTTAGCTGGTAAAATTATCAAAGGTAGCGGAGCTTATTGTGGGGTCCAAGAGAGGACCGGGGCGGTCTGAATTTGGGCCGACCGGGGCGACTGGGCGGCCTCCGAGGGGCTGGTGAGCGGTGACGTGGATCCCCTCGGCAAAGCAGAAATCCAGAAGCTCCTGTTGAGGGAAATATCTAACAACGTATTTAGAGAAATCCCCCGAGTATGGCACAAATTAGGGGTTGCATACTTACGGGTGTATTTCTACCTGGTTTACGGCAGGTCGGATCCGTGCAATTTCAAGGATTCGCTTTGTCTTGAGGATGCTGAAGTTTGAGACGCCTAGTTTCAAGAATTAATAAAGCTTGTGATGTGATATCGCGGGGAAGAGGTTGTCCTACCTATCAGTCTCGTCTTGCCACTATCCACCAACTTCTCCATTGCTTGCCAAGTTTGCGGGTATGCTCGCGACAGCTCGAGGTCGATTACTGGCTTTGTATCTTGTTAACACACGCAGTATTTAGATTGGGTATTTTAGTGCCCTACTTTTCCATTGGGATGGCGGACTGTACTGTGATTTGGACCTGCGGTATATGCATGGGGGACTGACGTGTTTGTTAATTTATCATCTGAAGCAATATTAAATGGGAAAACCCACAATGCATCAAATGTAAATCCACTGAAACATTCGGGGTATTCGTTAGCTATCGTTGAGTTTCTGTTGTCGGAAAGATTGCTTGTGCTTACCATAATCGAGTTGCAGGGTCTTCAAACTTTGGTCGAGTGCTTCTTCCACATCTGAAGGGTTATGCCACGTCTGAGCTCTGAGAGACCCATCAATATAAGATGACTTTGGAAGCCATTGCTGGGAAGGAGTAGATATCTTACAATTTAGTGGTGACAAAAATCTCTTTCCGAGGAATACCGCTTTCCTTGATGGCTTCGCCGACTTCTTTCTCGTTCCCATAGGCCAAGGCAGTGTCGATGTGTCTGTAGCCCGCCCGTAAAGCATTTAGCACAGCTTTCTTGACTTGGCCATTTCCGTCGCCGCCCTGGAACGTGCCAAAGCCTACTGCTGGGATAGATATATCGTTCACATCAAATGAAGTAGAGAGAGCTTGAGCTGTTGACGCAGCTGAGATGCCCTCCACTTCCTCGTAGCCATTTGGATATTTTGCAATTAACCTCTTCATTTCATCTATAACCCTTAGTCATAATCAGTTACTAATACAATAGGCAGATAGATAGGATGCATCACAACTCTCTATAGCTCAACTCTCCCGGAAATAGAGCTGCAGCATGCAGATTGAAGCGTATTGAATACAGGGCATTTCGGTCATCAAAATCATCCACGGGCTCTGACTTCTTCATGTTCAATTCGTATGCAAGGAAATAGCTTCTGTCAAATTTATTCCGCCCTGGTCGCCAATTTCCAAGCTCGTCTAGAATTTGTTAACAATACTAACTGGAGACGCGGAGAGATCTTTCCTCACATTCATTGTGCGCGTAAAAGCTAGAGGGGTCATATACCAATGGACAACCAGTTTCGGAATCTACGGCAGCATTTCCATACCATAAATCGCCGTGGACTAGACACGGCTTGATAAATCGCCCGTTGGACTCCATAGGCCGGAGAAGTCTTGGAATGACTTTATCTATCACAGCTGATTTGAGTTTTTCCATTTCCTCCCATGGTCCCCCACGGTCTATGTTCAAGGTTAACATATGCCTAAAGCCACTGACGAAACATTCTTCCCAAGTATCAGCATACCCATTCTCCTGGGGAAGATTCCCATTGTATGTTATCACATGGAAGCCGAATTTTCCGTTTGGCGATTGGCTCTTGGAGTGCAGTTCGGCCACCTTTGCGCAAAACTCGAATTTCTCCGGGAGATCTGGTCTTAGTTTATAGAATTTGCAGATATAGTAGTGGGCGTTTTGTATTTCTTTGAACGAGCCCCATAGAATTGGCTTGGGGATGAAATCGGGTACGACAGAATGGATTTTTGACGTAGATTCAAATTCTCCATACAATGCAGCCCTCCCTTGCTCGCCAATTGATACCTATTGTCATGTTAATATAGCAATGTAAAATGTATGTCTTAATGCTAAGTTTATCGCAAGATTTTGGGGTTCTTCGAAGGTTGATTTACCTTCATGAAATAGCTCTCATCTTCCCCAGCGTCATTCTTGCTGTCAACCCTATAAGCCGAAGCCCAGAGCGAAGAGCCAAGGCTACTGACGCCTAGCGGCCGCTGAAATAGTGGTATCTCTGATTGAAAAGCATAAGTAAATGATCTCAGATATGCTACGGATAAGTTGTGCAAACCAGAAACCACGTCAATGTTTATCGTGGGACTGTTTTCTTGCATGTTCAATCTTGACGTTGATTCCATGCTTTGTGACAAACTAATTATATTGTTCCAGGTGTCTCGATGTTTGAATATATCATGAGTCGAACTCTATTCAGCGGATTTACTTCAACTTATGCGGAGTTTCGGTTTCGGTGTTGGAATCTATTTGGCCTCCCCCCCCACACTATGTAGTATGCTGCGGCGTAACTAACCAACCTCGGCACCTACCCATCTGTTGTAGGCACGGATACTGTTGAATAAATATATCGAACCGAAATAACCTTTCCAAATGTAACTAAATTTTACACAGTCTAGAATTGCCTTTAGCCGAACATTCAGAGGAATACTGACACTATTTGTCCATAGTTCCCACCACAGGTAACCGCTTCGACATAATAGCGTATTAGCCGCCGAAGTAAACCCTCAACTGAGTCTGTGCATGATGGATGTTTCAAGTTGGCGGATAATTTATAATCCATTTGACGATTGCTCGCCTGGTTGGCGGTTGAACGACATGTTATCCACTTTCCTGCATAGCCATGCATTCGGCATGCAGGCTTGACAATGTACTGCACTGGAATCGCACACCTACAGCCAACAGATGGAGCGCAGACGTGGCAGACAGATCCTACATGAGGTCCTGAAATCGTATTTTTAGTATATCTGTTGATAGGCTGCGAGGCTCGGCAACTTGAATGAGTGACCGTCAGATACAAATTCATTTTCTCTGTCGTAATGTCCCAATCCCACGTTAACGTGCCCTCTCATTTATTACCTCAATACCTCCTGTCAGGTATATGGGATTCTTCCGCCGCTAAACCACTGTTCGGGACAGAGGACGGAGCCCCATTTGCGCCGTAACTCAGGCCATCATGGATCGCGTAAGTCAAATATATGCCTTAATTATTATTACGCAGAGCCTTACCAGATATTAGTTTAGAAGGCATCCGGCGGTGGCGGCATCCCCAGCAAAAAACCCTGACCACATAGGACGATCAGTAATAGGAGCTTTGCAGAGAATTGGCCTTTCTCATAAAACAAGATCCAAAATAGAAGAAGCTTTAGATACCCCACAAGATATCAAAGGGCCGCTCGGACTTAATCTCATCCATGACGTCCCAAAGCCTCTAATAGACTTTATTTTTGTCCATGGTCTCGGTGGCGGCTCTCGGAAAACATGGTCTATGTCACCCGATCCAATGCATTACTGGCCAAAGGAATGGTTGCCACTAGATCCTAATTTTCGCCATGTACGCATACACAGCTTTGGCTACAAGGCAGATTGGGATGAGAGGAAAGAGAGCACACTGACAGTCCATGACTTTGCCCGATCTTTGCTAGGCGAGGTTAAATGCAGCCCTGATATCCGTGGAAATAAGGTATGCCCGGAGCAAGCATTGCCGTGGTTATGATCTGATTATCCAATAGACGAAAATTGTCTTCGTTGCACATAGCATGGGTGGAATTGTCATAAAAAAGGTACGCCTTTCATGCTGCTATAGGAAGTGGCCTACTGATTGAAAATGGCCCAGGCTTATCTACTTGCTCGAGAAGACCCGCAGTTACGAGACTTGACTCGTCGTATCCACAGTCTTTATTTTTTGGCGACACCCCATCGAGGTTCTCACTTAGCAAAGACATTGTCAAACATCCTCCAAATATCCATTGGACCAGTTTCCTATGGCGCAAAGCCCTTTGTTGCAGAATTAAACCGCACTTCCGAAACGATCATTTCTATCAATGACAGTTTCCGACATTTCGCAGAAGATCTTCAACTCTGGTCGTTCTACGAAACAATCCCGAGCACAATCATAGGCGTAGATACAATGATTGTCGACAAATCATCGGCCACCCTTGGCTATGCAAAGGAACATTCATCACTTTTAAATGCTAATCATCGTGGTGTGTGTAAGTTTGATTTAAAGACCGATCCAAATTATCAGACACTTCGCAGGTCTTTCATTACCACAATAGACTTGATTTTATTAGAAGGTAATGTAAACCTACATGACAAATAAGGAACGGGGACACTTCTAATATTTCCCAGCTTCTCAGGCTTCGTCTGACGTCTTAGAACTGCAGCGACAGCAGCTCATAAAATTCACGGGGGTGGCTGAGCCACCCATTGGGGATCTATCAACTCTAGAAAATATACGAGTTGCCGGTTCTGGCGGGTGGCTATTGTCCAATGAAGTCTATATCTCCTGGAGGGGAGATGAGGACGCCAAGCGACGCATTTTTTGTCTTTCTGGAAAGCCAGGTTCGGGTAAGTCTGTTTTGTCCAGCCAAGTAATCACCGATCTTCGAGACCGCGAATTGAAATGCTGCTTTTATTTCTTCAGGCGTGGCAATGCTACAAAATCAACAATTTCCGGATGTCTACGATCTTTAGCTTATCAAATGGCAAACAATGACAATACGATACTGAAGAGATTATGCGAATTTAAGCAAGAATCTACTTCGTGGGAACAGTGGGATGAAAGGACGATTTGGCAAAAGTTGTTTCTTGGGTGCATATTCAAAGATCACAGCTCAAATATTCACTTCTGGGTAATCGATGCTCTAGATGAGTGCCGTTTTCTTCCACTCATTCTCTCTTTATTCGCCGAAATCCCTCAACACTTAAGGATATTCATAACCTCGGGCAAGTCTCCTGAGCTCGACAACTGCTTGGCCAACATCACGCATTTTACTGAGCACTACCAAGTTAAAGCTGTTGATACACTTAAAGACCTAGAAATCTTTATTGATTCAAAAATACATCTTCTTCCTGCTAGCGACGAGAATGGGCAGCGGCTTTTGAAGCAGCGAATACTTGCCAAAGCATCTGGATCGTTTCTATGGGTTTCTTTGGTAGTGAAAGAGCTACAGCAGGCATATTCAGAGGAAAGCGCCGAGGATATTCTGAGCGATTTGTCGACAGATATGAACGAATTCTACGCTGGGATGCTAGAAACCGTTTCCGCTAAAGGCCTTCGCACTACGACACTTGCAAAGGCCGTCTTTATGTGGGCTTTATTGTCATCTCGCCCATTGAAAGTTGATGAGCTACAACTTGTGATTAAGCTGGATATAAACCAGACTGTTCACAATCTTAGAAAATTCATTTCTGCAATATGTGGCCAGCTGTTATCCGTCAATCAAAAAGATGAGGTTGAAGCTATTCATCAAACCGCCAAGTCATTTTTGTTACAACAGCATAATTTGCCTAACCTTAAGCTAGAGCAAATAAGTAGCCATACTCGAATAGCCCAGATATGCCTTCAAATCTTAACAGAAGACATGCAGCAATGGCAGACGAAAGGAGGCCTAAAAGATGTCACAAGGGCACAATTCCTAGAATACGCTTGCGAGTATTTCTCAGATCATATCAATGGATGTTCATCACAGGATCCAACCATATGGGATGCCCTTTTGAAGTTCTTAGACAACAATCTTCTTTTATGGATAGAACATCTCGCAGAAAAGAGAAAGTTGGGCCATATTACGCAAACTGCACATAATCTGCAAGCATACTTGCAGCGCCGCATCAAATGTCTGCCACCACTATCTCCACCCACGGAAAGACTCGAAGTCTGGATAACAGATCTAATTAGACTCAGCGCAAAATTCGGTCCAAATATTGATATTTCACCATCGTCAATACGTGACATAATCCCACAAATGTGCCCAGTGGAGTCTCTCATTTCGAAGACTTACAGATCTACTCAACCTGGATTATGCATAAAGGGGGAATTAGACGATATTTGGGATGATTGCTTGGTTAGAATCCACTACCCGACTCATACAACCACCGCAGTCGCCTATGGAAAGCACTATATAGCGGTGTCAGCATCGGATGGCACTATATTCCTCTATGATAAGGAGTCAAACTACGAAAAATACATGGTAGACCATGGCGAAAGGCCAAAGGCTATTATTTTTAGCAGCAAGGACGAATACATGGCTTCGAGCGGTCTACGAAAAGTGAAGGTCTGGGACACGGCAGAGAAGACCCAAGTTTGGAGTTTTGATACGGACCACGAAGCCCTAACTCTTCTTTTTATTGACGACAATGCTACTTTAATTGCCGCCACTAAAGGCAACTACATAATCACCTGGGGATTACTTGATGGGACCGAAATAGAGCGCTGGCAATGGACGGACAGCATACACAGTACAGCTCCCTTTCCAAATCCATGTCAGGTACCAAGAAAGGCATTATTCTCTCCGGATTCTACAACCTTGATTGTGAACTATCGTGGCCTTCCGTTGTATCTTTTTGCTCCGAGAACAAGGAAGTTTATTGGCTGTTGCAGCAGAGAAGATATCAAACTTTTAGATAGCCCTAAAAGTTTCGCGGATTACAGCGTTGTCGATGCACTTGCCTTCAATCCAAATCCAGAAATCAACAATTTAGTTGTGTCATATGGATTTGGGGAGATTGCAGTTTACGATTTGCATTCAGCTGACCTCTGCTTTCAAATTCCAGAAGTGTATGCTCACTACCTCGCATGCTCACCTAACGGTCGCACACTCGTTACTGGGAGCGCCTGTGGCACAATTAAAATATTTGAAATTTCGGGCACTAGAGGAGAGACCCTTACATCTATATACAAGATTTGTCCTCATGAAGAGGGTATCCAAGGGATTGTATTCAGCAGCGACGGCCTCGGTTTTGCTGACATCCTTCGTTCTCAGCTTCGTATCTGGAAGCCAGCTGTGCTTTCCTCCAGTAATATGAATGAAAGTGGTCAAAGCGAATTTAGTCAAGCAAGTACGCTAGAGCCACTAACTGTCACCATGCCTAAGCATACGCTTGAAGCAGAAGTCACGGCGATGTGCTTTCACCCAGATGGGGATTTTGTCTTCTGTGGAAAGCAAAACGGGGTCATTGCCTATTTTAAGACAGCTACTGCTACTCAGCGTGGGATTCTATATTGTCATTCAGCAAACGTCAGAATAGTTTGCATCGCCTACATTAAGGAGAATTCTCTTCTTATTACTGGGGATGAAGCTGGCCGTGTGCTTCTAACAAACATCGATGTTTCACAGCTTGAGTGCAAAACAGGCTCTGAAATCGCGGAGATACGTTTAAAAACTCCGCCGCTAGCTATACTCGTGGCACAATCTGGTTCTAGGATACTCTTCAGAAGTAGGATTTCGGCGGAGGTATGGACCACAAAAGCCGAGAAAGTAGGTGCTACAATACATCACGAGAGTGACGACAAGATGAACATTGTGAATCATCCTGTCCTAACAGGGAATTTTATCGTTATTGACCACAAAAGCATGCGAATTTATTCATGGGCCGATTCGCTACAAGCAAAACTATCCACCGACGAGACAGCACAAGCATTAAACTTCAATGTCACTCGTTTTTCTCAGCCTTTCCAACACCCAATCCAAGATTGGCAAAATGAACAAAAGTACCAGCAGTCTTCTCGATTCATCGCACATCTCTTCAATGGAAGCGCCCATTCTACTTCTTATTCCGACTGCACCTCACTACAAGTATGGCCAGCCAACAACATCTCCGTTTTTGATTCGTTCCCGTCGCCTATTTCTATCCCGGGGTTCGATAAGAACTCGAATAAAATCTTGCAGATTATCAGCGTCGCTGGGAATCTGATATTATTCCTTGACAAAGATTTTTGGGTTTGCAGCCTTGACATGTCGAGAATCACGACAAATGGACATGGCGTGAAGAGGCACTTTTTCTTGCTTTCGGAGTGGCAGAGAAATTATGAGGGGTTTATCATTGAATATCTTCCTTCGAGATACCAGTTTGTAGTGGCAGTGAATGGCGGTATAGTTATCATAAGTAAGGGATTGGAACTTGAGGCGCCTTGGTTCTCATAAATTGGAAGCTTCAATTTCACTACATATCTGTTCCGGCCCAACCACGAATAAGTGGTATTCGCGAATACGCTGGCCCATTCGCGAATAGGCTGGCCCAACCACGAATAGGCCAACTACAAATAGTAGAAGAGTATAGCAAATTGAATAAATTAATAATCTAAACACTATTGCCAATAGTGTCTGCTCTTGCCCGCTTCCGCTTTGGCTTTTCTACTAAAGCTAATTCCGTACGAGTAGCTAGGCCTGATAAGTTGCCACAGTTATGATCATCATTATGACAGTGAACACTACACTGCTTAACCTCCTTATAACAGCGGCACCTCTTTGTACTACACTACCCTTTGCATTGACATGATATTCCTACCCGTACACTTGTAGAAGCCTCTCTAGCTGCAAGCCCTAATCCTACCTGCTTTGTAGAATTAGGAATTTGAATATCAGACCATAGAGCCTGCTCTACAACACCAAGTGATTTTGTAGGTATAAGGCGTTGTATAATACCAGAGGCTGTTATAACCTGATACCGGTGTAGGTAAGGCTCTTTTAAAATGCGTGCAAAGAGCCTCTTATTATCAGTTGAGGTTCTATCCTCCCGTAGAACCTTTATAGAGACTATATCCCCTACTTTAAAGTGCTGTATGTCATGCTTCTTAGTGTACTTGCGTACCATAGAAACCCGTGCTCTTTGAGTAGCTGCTATAGCCCGCTCAATTATAGGGTCAGGTGTAGCTCGAAGCTCAGTCCTAGGCTGAGCTGGCACCAGAGCCCGGGTCCCACGACGGAGCTCAGAATGAAGCTGCTCTTGCGCTCGCTCAGAATTGAGCGAGGGCGCCAGCTCAGAATTGATCGAGGGCGCCAGCTTAGAATTGATCGAGGGTGCCAGCTCAGAATTGAGCGAGGGCGCCAGATCAGAATTGATTGAGAGCTCTCGCTCTTGCTGAAGCTGTAGGTCAATTTGAGCTTTAGGCTCAAGCTGGCTCTCAAAAATTGGTCCCATATTAGGGTCCTCCTGCTCAACTCCAATTGAGAGATCCTTCCGGGCCTGGCTATTAAGCCAGTCAATATGAGAGTTCCTGTCTCAGAACAGTAGCTCGGCTGGTGCGCACCTAATTGTAGAGTGGATTTGGGTGTTCATTGCAAGCGTGACCTTAAGTAGCCTATCATTCCACTCTGTAGACCCATGGTCCATTTTCCATGCTCGGAGCTTTGCTTCTACAATTCCATTTGCCTACTCAACTAGGCCTTGCGTTTGAGGTGACCGTGGTGCTCCATTTACTACTTAAATTCCATACTTTCATAGTAGGATAAGTAGAGCCCCCTTAAATTCCTTCCCATTATCAGCTTGCATAATCTTAGGAGGTAAGAAAGCTGCAATAAAGATAGCAAAGCAGTCTACAATCGGCTTTGCATGCTTGCTCTTTAATGGATATAGCTGTGTATATTTTAAGAAGTGATCCTTTATATGTAGAATCCACTTATATCGTCCTGACAGCTCGTGGCGCATATCAATTAAGTTAATTTGAACCCTTTCCTATGCTCGGCCTGTAGTAATAGGAACTAGAGGAGCTTTTGTAGTAGCAGGTCGATTTAGTGTGCAATTTTTACATCGCTTTACTATAAACTCTACTTCTTCTCGCTTTAGCCTATAGTATTTCTGTTATAGAATAGTCTATGTTTTTGTCCGGCCTGCATGTAAGAGCTGTAGATGTTCATTAACAATAGTGTCAAATGCATCACTCTCTAGAACGACAGATCGTGGGCTCTAGAACTTAGAGTTAGGCTTCCGGTAGAGCTTATTATGTATAAGCATAAACTCTGTTTGAGCTCTATGCTTTAGTCGTGACTCTACTTGAGTTGTAGGCTTTAGTAGTGGGTTCTGAAGATAGAGTAGTAATTGTTGATATTTTAGGTAGTCTAGCCGCTCTCTATTAACATAGCTAAAGCTATGAATATAGGTCTGAAAGGCCGTGCGAACATCTTGAGGGAATGGATTAATATGGGCAATAGTAGGATCCATTTTAATAGTTAAAGGTTAATGTTATGATTCTATCTACAATATCCTATAATACTACCCCGCGTATTAGGCAGCTATTCGTGGTTGGGCCGGAACATATCCACACTTCGTTATCACGATGAGATAACCTGGTTATGTACACTTATCATGACAGATATAATCATCAATTACACCGTATTGGGAACGACACTCCACACGTAGATACCTATGACCCCTTTTGATATATCAAACTGGAGTCATGTTCAAGTCGGATCGCCCGATGGTTCCAATGTCCACACACCGCTCCAGAACTGATTCCCTTATTCTTTCATCGGAAATCCCCATATGCTGCGGAAACCACTCCTTAATACTCTCCTCCTGTCCGAGTATCATCATTGCCAATGCCTTACCACACAGCCAGGCATTCACCATTCCCTCCCCCGAATACCCCACGCTCACCCATTCCGCTCCCTGTCCCGACCCCCTCCCAGTCAAAGACCCAGGCAGCTTTCCAACCCAAGGAAGCATGTCGACACTAAACCCCATATTCCCCGTCCACATGCTCTTCACCTTAAACCCATCCCCCCCGACATTCTCAAACGCCTTCCCAAGGCCTTGCCTCAAATGCTCGGCAGCATTCTCATTTAACTCCGCATCGCTCGCGACACCCATCTCCACCAGGCCACTAAACCCTGCTTGCACAAATCCACCTCCGAACATCATCTCCCCTCCATCGTCCCATTCGCCCGCTTTAGTTTCTCTCTTCGGCAACTGTGTCAAGTAATCAAACCCAACATCATACTCAAAGCTCCACGACCTCTTTTCTCCCTGATGCGAAAATCCCTTTGGAGGGACCTGCGCCGACATCTGCCCGCGCAGCGGATAAACTCTCCCCCTAAATCCCGGAACAAGATGGCCAATATGGGCATTACTTGCGTGAATGACGTGCTTTGCTCTGATTTCACCCCTCGGCGTCGATACAATGAAAAACCCATCCTCAGACACCGAAATACTCGTCGCAGGGGTATGTGCACAAACATGGAAGCCCTCATCATCACGCTTCAGGTTAGCCAGCACACCAGATACAAAACGATACGGCCACATAGCTCCGGCTTTCCCCTTGATAATGCCATATGCCCCCGGTACCCCCATTGACTGCATCTCTTCGGGCCCCTCAGTGGTCTTGCAAGCATCCACTTCGCCTCCAAAGTCCTCCTTAAACCCTTTAACTGCCGCTTTGCCCCTTTCCCATCCTTTCTCCCCAAAGAACACACAGGTAGACTCCACAACTCTCATCCCACACTCTTTGCCGAGTCCCTCCTCAGCAACAACACGCATGAACTCGTCCACGTGCGCCATCCGGAAGCGCGTGATCTTCTTCGCTTCCTCCCGCCCGTACCGCGTCACTAGATCCCCATACTCCTCCCATCCAACTTCATTCACGTGGCCTCCGTTACGGCCTGTGGCACCACTGCATATATCGCGAGCGTCGAGAAGGACGATGGGATTTTGTTTCTTGTCTTGTTTCGATAGCGAGGCGCGGTGGGATCGGACTAGGTGCCGTGCGATGGAGGTACCGGTTATGCCAGAGCCGATGATGACAATTTCAGCATCTGGAGATGGGGGCAAGGGGGGTGTAGAGAAGGCCGGGTGAAGAGGTGAGAGCCAGAACGACGACGTTGCTGGGGGCGATGTGGTGGGGAGTCCGGGGTCAGAGAGGATTCGTGTTATGGCTTCTGACTTTGCGGTGGAGGGGATGCCAGGATAAGAGAGTAAGGGGAGTATAAACGACATCGCACTCTAGGCAGTGGTTTGTAGTTGTTGTGTCGTGCTCGAGATGGAGATGTGGATATGAGGTGATGTGGGGTCTACTGGTGGAGACAGCGGATAGAAGCGGGAGAGGCGTTTACTCTTTACAAAGTATATTATTGCTATCTCTCTATATTCAACAGGGAAAACCTTGTCACAAAGTCCAACGTAACAGGATAAAATACCCGATTTGACGGAAAAGACAGATAGCAAACAAATGTGTCGAAGTAAGCGATTGGGCAATAAAAGTCCCTTCGAAATTACCCTGAGGCGTGGATCTATTGTGAGGAATTTTGCGTAGTACAAGTTCGTAACGGCACTGTAATTATCATAGTGCAGTCAATCGACACTGTTCTGCAAATTGGAATATGGCGTCCTAAAGATTACTTAGTAAATGTCGTAAATATATAGTTTTTTTTATTTACATAGAGCTCTAGAAGGTACATTAATATTTTGAAAGAGATAGAAATGTAAAAAAGGTTGCATCCAGCAGAGCTGGTAAAAGACCGGACGAAGTGAACTGGGAGCTAATTTTACTTACTGAATAGCTACTAATAACGTAGCGAGTAAAGTTGGAATCTATTACAAAATATTATTAAGGATGCTGCTCCTCAATATGTCGTTTGCAATTGTCAGATCTTGAAAACATCTTCCCGCAGTTTGTAAAGTAGAATGTGAATGTGCTGTTGCAGTGAACGTTGTCTATATGGCGTTGGCGATCTTTACGGGAAGAGAACCCCGTGGTATAATTACAGCCGGAAATGGTGCAGTCGAAGGGGCGTTCGTGGGCCTTTGAATGCTTCCTTTGCAAGGTTCAATGATAGGGCTTAAGTATAGATTGGCGGACTTACTTCCGATCGCAGAGACGTTTAAATCCTTTTTGACAAGAGTCACACTTGTGAGGGTAGTCGTGAGTTGCTGCGTGCTTTCTTTCAAAAAGTCAATAGTTGTATGTTTGGTGTGGCTTTGGCGTACTTACTCTAGATCGCGGCGACACATAAGTTTTTCTGGGCAGATATCACAGTTTAAGTTCGGACTCTTCCGTCTCCTCCTTGGCACTGGATTGCGAGATGTCTCACTAGAGTCACCTAAAACTCGTGCTTCCTGTGTGGAATTGACTGTTTCGAGAACCATAGAGTGTGGCGTGCCGGTATTTAGTTGATGGACAGGATATGAAGATAAGAAGGCTTCCCAGAACTGGCCGTGTTACCCCCGTGGACCAAATCTTGGGATATGGGAATTTACCTGTTATGTGCAAATGAACCTTGTGTTGGAGTGGAAAATGAACAAACTGCATTTAAAGGTGTTCCAAAGTAAGGGTTTGTTGGAAGAAGGCTTGGTGCCTGAGTGTGAACCAGCTCGCCAGTGCGACTCAGCTCCAATGTTTGAAACAAGGGATCCCCTTGTGGTAGTGGACTTTTATAGAACAGGTGAGATTCTGTACAAAATATAATGATTCATACTGACTCAGCAGATCTTGATGATGACACAAGACATAATCTACTGGGAGGACATGGCTACTCTTCTAATTACACCGATGGCGACATCTTTCGTCAGGTGCGCCGCTGTCAAGTCTCTGCTGATGAACTGGGAGAAAGGCAATAGAGAGCCAAGCTCTCACCTACTAAAAACTGGGACTTAAAGCAACTATTGAAACGAGGAATTATTCTTAACGCTTTAGACTCTCTTCTTCCAATAAAGGGGCTATTGGGAGACTTCCATCTAGGATCGTTAGATATTATTCTTCACATGAGAATCGACGAGGTATGATTATTTACAGCCATTAGCGGTTTTATATGTTCACCTGTAAGGTTGGTACTTAGATTTTACATCGTGCAGGACAGCTATTCTAACAGTTTACAGTTGACATAATGGCCTCTATTGAAAGGGAGACCTTAAACTGGCTCTGTAATAACCGGACCAAACTCTGCGCATACATTTATTCTATCTCTCGAGACGATGTGAATGCCGCTAATTTAGGTCGCCGCATTGTGTTACCCAGTAGCTTCGGAGTTAAGCAGTTACTGCAAGATGGCTTAGAACGGACTTAGAGACTTATTAGAGGCACCGCCCTTTCTTACACGTGTCATTGCGTTTCCGTCTTTGAGTCAACCAGATTTAGGTAACGTAATCAGACACTAAGCTGGTCGGTCAGCTTCATCCCCCCTTTCCCCCTACAGAAACATAAAGGGCGCTGTATGGGTATTGTCTTGATGTTTTGAGCTCTGATTTCGTCACCATCTACCATGGTACGTTTTTAGCATCCCTTCGCCGTCACTTCATCTCTATAATATTCGAAGTCGACTTAGCACCTACAAACTTACAGATTGCCTGCAGCAAACAGCTTGTTGGCATCCCATAGGAAGGACAGGATAATATTGCGAAACTCTCCACAGTCGCGCTTGTAGCTAAGAAAGTCCGCTTCCCCAAACACCTCGTCACTGTCAAGGCACGCCAAACACTTTTCGACAAGCTCCGTATAACGGTTTCCCGTATGCCCTGGCAGTTATTTTTTTGCTACTTCTACTAGACCCCACTTAACCTTCCCAGGGTTGTTAGTTGGCACTCCGCCCGGGAAGGCCAGATTAGCAAGCAGGCCGTGGCTAAAAATCCCCTTCTGTTGATACCAATCTCCGACTCAATGTCCACAAGCGACTTCCACAGGCCGATCTCAAAGAGACACATGGCGAGACTGGATATCTATCGTGGCCCATATTATACTGTTTACTCCTAGATTTGCTGCCTTGCTGCTCTGGGTGTCGGTATATATTCCGGCCCAACCGCTAATATGTGCCTCCGCGACTACGCCGGCCCATTCGCGAATGGGGAGTTACAATCCCATAGGCAATGTTGTGCCAGACATTAGCCGCCATGAAACGTGTGAGGGGCGTGTTAGGGCCGAGGACGCCGCTGGCACAGGACATGCTGCTGCAAGACAAAACGTTGGAAGGATGGGATGCGGATGGGGAGATTCGATGTTGGCCCTGTGGCCGAAGGGTTTCTCGGTGTCGGCGTCTACTTCCCGAGTTGGGTTAGTGCAACCATGGTGCAGCCTCATATGCAGTCGCAAACACAGCTGAACTCTGAGCTGTTCAGTCTGCGATTCCTCGGGGTTTTAGGGCTTTCCCCGAGCTATATATACTGTACGAATCTCCGTAGAATAGTGTAGTAATTCAATCGTTTAATTCGTTCTATATACTGTATTTGCTGTGAGGCTTCCTGTTCTGCGTGCCAAGGGATAGATTACAGTAGCCGGAGACTCTCTCAGGATTTTGGCTCTGTATCTCCGTACCGTCCAATTACACTCAACAAATTCCTAGTACCTCTCTGACGTACAGGGATTATTCCCTATATTACCACATATGCAGCCATTTATTACAGCCGCATGGATGCGTCACGGGGAACCGACCCCATTGGGGGACCGACCCCAGACCGGACCATGGTCTGGTCTAAAGCTCATAAACCGCGGTCCCCCAACAGTCTGCTAAGAAACCGTTCAATATATATACGATGTACTATTACACCTATTAGGTAAAGGTACTTTATTATAAAATATTATAATAAGTTATGTGATTATACTAATTACATGATATAGTACCTTTACGTATAAAATAGGTGTAATAGTACATCGTATATATATTGAACGGTTTCTTAGCAGACTGTTAGGGGACCACACTGGTCTGGGCGGTTTGCCTGAGTTTTCCAGACCGGACCGTGGTCTGGTCTGGAAATATTCCAAACCGACGGTTCCGAACTAACGGTCCCCCATGACGCGCACTAAAGCTACCCCGGCCGCCTAAGTCTTTATAAGGGGTGAGCCATACTGTTGGGAGTGCATGAGATCCAACATTCCCCACACGGGACGGATGTCCTTCTAGGGGGGAGGGATGCTCGCTGTCCTGAATAGGACTCATCCCACAACACCCCGCTGACGAAGGTTGGCCCGCCCACTTACTCGGTCGGTCGGCCGTTCCTGTCCCACCTTCTAGCACCAAGACTGGATGGGCACAGTTTGTACGTGCATGAGATCCAACACTTCCCCCACCTCCTAGCACTAAGACTGGATGGGCATTGCTTGTACGTGCATGAGATCCAATACTCCCCGCACTCCCTAGCACCAAGACTGGGTGGGTATTGCTTATACGTTATGAACATGATACTCGTTGCTCCCCCCCTCCATATTTCCCTCAGTTGAAGGTCGTCACCCACTAGCGACCCATCTTGACATATCCATCACTTTATCGTCTAACAAGAAACGTTTTTAATAACGCACGCATCTAGCTAAGCTCTAAGAACCTCTCTATGCCGAAGAGCTATATACTTTATCTCCAACAGCGATATTATGGGCTATTAATCAACGAGGTGCATCCTGGTCAGACCCGAAGATAAGAGCCTAATCCATCCGCAGAGCACCTAATGGCCAGGAGGTCTGGAAACTCCAAGCTTGATTGGTGACTGTAAGTTATATTCGGCCCGGTCCGAGTGTGGCGGGGTGAGGTTGCCATCCTTGAAATTGCCATTCCTGGCATTCTGCAAAATCCATCCCCGTTAACTTTTCACGGACGATAGAGGCAGTAAAAGGAGGAGGGTACGCCATATGTCCAGGAAGGTCATCCGTTGACTAGTGAGGATGGTCACCAGTCCTTAGCAGGTTAGAATATCCGGTGGAATTGCGTCTTGGTGCGTGATACTTAGACTCCTAATTGGTTGCACCGTCGGCTTAGAGCCCAAAAGAAATATCTTCCATCAAACCTCCTCTAAGTTCACCGCTGGAGAAGACAGTTCTCATGGTACCCTTGTTTAGAAAGTTGTAGACGTTCAGCATTGCAGTTTTAGATGTCAAGTCTATAAAAGCCGAGAGATTTCCTTCCGTTGGAATGAAGATTCAAGAGAGCATTCTCTTCACAAATCTTGTTCAAGTACACAAAGTCTCGTCAGGTTCTCAACATAGAAACCTTCCTTCTTTTAACTATCTCTTTTACTACTGGGCTATTCAACATGATGACCATCCTAAACTCTGTGTTAGCTGGTTGCGCTCTGGCTTCCTTGGTTAGTTTTAGGTACCCAATCTTTTACATATGAAGCTGACTTGGTTTAACAGGCATTTGCTAATCCCATCATTCCGGAGAATGTTGCTATGGGCGCCCGAGAAGTCGCAGCTACGAATGGAATGATCTATGTTGGCCCCATTACCCCTGGCGGAGAGAACGTCACTTTGAATGGATCAGTCGAGGCACGTTCTGAAATTCCATTTACTCAAGAGCTAATAATTGACAAAAACTCGTTCGAACAGGAGATACATGAGCAAATTATGGTTTTGAATCCAGCCTTTAATCCGGATGACTTTGAAGTGGTCCGAAAATTCAAAGCTTCGGGGCTATCAAGACGAACCATTGTAAGACCTATAAACTTTCTCAGCGTACTTAATTTGCAACCATACTAATCCTAAGTCCTAGAACTATGGCTGCTGCGGCCCAAACCCTGGCTGCACACCAGCCCCATATGATTCCTGGGCCACCTACTCCCAGACAACTAAAACCGAAATCAACAATCCATTCGCGGGTGTCGACTACCTGTACAACCTCCCAGGCGACTGTAATACCGGCCCAGGCGGTGTAGCACGCGTGTCTTGCAGCTACAACGACGCAATATTCTTCGTCAACACAGTAAGCTGGTCTAACTAAGGAATGCTATATTAATAGACTAATATGGCGTCACAAGGTACAAGCCACCAAGTACGCATCTTGCCAGTATATTGGGCAGGTTGCTCAAAACATTATAGCTGGTTGTGGCCATGAGTGGTGGGAAGGTATTGTTCATCATTGGGATGTTAATGGAAAGGAATGTGACGAACAAGGTTACTGCATCATCGTCGCTGGTAGTAATTGTTGATTCATCACGGGCACATCGTGATCTGCACCAGGGAAGAGTTCGGAGGGAAGAGATTGAAGTAGAAGGCAACAAGTGCGCCTAAGAAGGGACAACCTACCGTGTTGATAAAGGTGAAGAAGGAAGGACCAATTTTTAGGGGTTTACTTTATTATATAGGTGACACTTTTTATATAACGTGGTTTATCACCGAGTGGCGCATATTACCGTGCAACGCACTTCCCCATCACCTCATCACTACGAAATATGACTAGTCAACCATAACACATTATATTCATTAAAACTACTCGGATAACTAGATGTTACTACAGCCCCTTGACATGTTCCCGCATTATGGCCAGTATTTCCGCAACTACCACAGTGTCGCATAGTTGAATATCCTTCACCTCGATCAACCCCTCCAAAGCGCTTGTCGCATCGAATCTGCTCATCCACCTTCTCCTAAGCTGAAATATCGTGTGAATCCTCTCCAATAAGTGCACCTCCTTAATAGATAAGTGCTTTATTTGCCTTGCGAAGAGGACGGTCTCGGTAGTGAAAAAAGTAACCTTATGTGTTAAAATCTCGGTACCCTTTGCTAACGCAGTGACTGTAGCAAATCCGTATCGGAGAGCTTCCTTAATGAAGAGCAATATGATCTTTAACTAAAGTTGTCTGGGAAAGAGCTTCGATTAAATTGTGACGTGTTTGAGAAACCCAAGGTCAGCGTCTGAAAAGGGGGTTCTAGTAGGCGTAGAGGTCCGCAACTTAGCATCTACCCTTGATATTACTGCGCTGAATAAAGAGCTGACTTTGGCCTGTTGTTAATAGCCATGGTGACGGGAAAACCAGGTTAAATGCCACTAGAGTTATCTCAGAAAGAGTGCAGAAAGCTGCGCATACATATGTGTCACGTAATGAATTGACAACGGGCAGGTACCCGAGGCAGACTGTGATCGGCCATTGCATTCCCTCTGACATGCGTTGAGCAAGTAAAGCTATAAAAGACTGTAACTTGGCGCCCTGAGCACCGCTAGATTTAGCGTGTATCCTAGGTTGCTATACGTCGAGTGTGATGAGGAAATAAAAGGTTGGAGCAGAAGGTGTGGTATATAGGGTGTTCCAATAGTCGGGAGGACGTTTGCAGATCAAGGCTGGATGTGGTAATTTCTAAGGTGGTATGGGTAGCCTCTAGGTATCAGCGGCCGATACTACAAATACAATTATCAGTTGCTTTCTAGGTATCAACTGCTGACGACGTAAAAATAAATGTTGGTGGCCTCCCACGTAGGGCGACCTATAGTTAGAGGGCGTGCGACATCTACTTCATGGGGTAGGGAGTCTCACTGGCTGGCCTTGTACAGTTGGGTGTCGGAAGTCTTCGTCACTCGCCAAAATCACGACCACAAATTCAAATTTAAATAACTTAACAACCATACGTTCAAATTAGATAAAAATTAAATCGTAGTGTAGCTAGAGCTCTGTAGATTTAATATTTAATACTAGCCCCTTTTGCTTTAATACATAAAGCAAGCCATTTAGGCATTGAACTAGCTAATTTTTCAAGATAATCTGCCTTTACTTATGCCCACTCCTGTAATACACCTACCCCCATTTCCTCTATATTTTTAATGCGGTGCCGTCGCCCTGCTATCTGATCTTTCAGTTACTTTCACACGTTTTCAATAGGGGCTAGGTCGGGGTTCTGTGGTGGCCACTGTAGGCACCGTACCATACAGAGCTTCTTATATTTTGCAGCAACAGGTGCAAAGTGAAACTTAGCCCTATCTTCCTGAATTTGCACCGTAGGGCTATATTTTGCAACCATCTCTTGATAAAATGGAATAAAGTAAGGTTTTAGAACAAGTTCTGTGTAGAGAGTCTGGTTCATTCTCTGCCCCTTTAGGAGGATCACAAGCGGCCCTCTCTCTACTCCCATAAAGCAGCCCCACACAGAAATTGAGGTCCGGCTAGACTTAAATGTAGGTTTTAGGTGCTTTTCCTAGTACTCTTCACCTGGGCTGTGGGTAATCTAGAAGTTATGGCTATCATGGCCTACTTCAAAAATGGATTCATCAGGCCATATTACCCGGCTGAAATCCGTAGTCTAGTTGGCCTTACACCACTCTAGCCGCCTACTCTTATGGGCAGCTTAAGGAAGGGCTTCTTCCGTGGCTTACGCCGGCCCTTATTGTAGGTTTTCGAAGACTTTCTATACTATCTTCTTTGAGATTTTAGCTCCTGACTTGCTTGGTGTACAGAGCTCAATAAGTGGAGCTCTGCAGTTGGCTACAGCAGCCCGTGAGCCCGCTCTGCTCTAGAATTGAGCTTCCGTGGAGCCCCGGGCCTAGGGGCTGACTTGAACTGGTCCATCTTCTTCTTTAGGCCTGAATCTATCGCTCGCTGTAGAATTGAGGCAACAGTAGTGCGGGGTAGGCCCTCAAGCCTAGAAATCTCAGTCGTAGTCTTCCCGGCCTTTTGCCATACCTAACAGGCGGACCGTTGCGCAATTGAGGTTTCGCGGCGACTTGTCTTACGTACATAAGGCATTTTTGAAGATATCAATTCAATACTATTCTATACTACGGAAATATCGAGGTTTATGACGGGGGAGTACCCCTCTCTGGTGGCGTTTTTGGTGGCTGAAAAGTGACGAAGACTTCCGACACCCAACTGTACAACACGCTCCAAGCCTAGCTATAACGCACTTCCAACATCAGCAGCCTCATTTAAGTCAGACCGGTCACTTTGTTTTGAAGCGGACTCTGCAATAGTGGCGAATGGCTCTAGGAAATACATGTTTCTCCACGGAACCTTGTCCAGCTGAGCCAAGCTTACTTGGCCCTGCATGATTTGAGCTTTTCAAAGCCAAATACGGTTTATGGTTAACCGATACAAAGTCCAGTTTGAAAGCAGCGATTGATTGCTATAAATGCTTGCAGTAGCTTCCACAGCTATCAAATTGCGACCCAACCCCCGCTAAGTCTTCATTTAAACCACCATTCACATATTCGAACGCTACATACGGCTCGTGCCGTGAGGTCTCCTCCAAGTTCCCAAAATCTCCACACTGATTATCCATTAAAAACTGCGCTCCCTCTCCAACAGTCGAATAGGTCGGCTCTCTAGCTCTTAACCTGCCATGCTGCTCGGCGAGAGAGAGTTGTAGGGCTGGCGATACTTCTATACCAAGACTGACGGCCCCAGCACTAACCTGTGCTGAGTATAGCTGGTTGCTGTAATTTCCATAGTCGGGTGCCCTTGTACAAAACTTCCCTTCGTACTGCTCGATGGTATAATGCTCATTCGCAGAGGTTCGTTTGGCGTACTGCTGCGTATTGCAGTTCCCATGCCCGTGCCCGGTTCGATCAATGACCTGCATTTCCTCTGCGCCAGTGTTTTGGTTTGCATACGAATATATTCTTGATGATGGCGCTTGCACCGATATGGACGAGACTGATTTCTTTTTAGACGAATTCGAACCCCCCGTTTCTCGGTTTATCATTTGCTTCGATGACCTGAGAAAAAGTCAACTCCACGGCCTCCAAAGCTTTTGATCACAAAAAGCACTTGCAGTTTGGGTCGGGACGAGCGATGACGGCTATTAGAAGACATATTTGCAGTATTGAAATATATTGGCTTTGATGGATGGTGGTAAATGCAGTTCCGACACGAAGTTATTGTAAAAAAGACTGCTTTCCTCACTCTGAATCATGAGAAATTAACATGTATATATACGACGCCGCCGTGGAGGCCTCCTCACACCACAATTTAAAGCAACAGGTAACCTTCACCGATATCCTTCATTAGCGATGATAAAGCGCCCCATATTAGAAGTCCAAAGCAACCTTGGTGGCCTCCACGGTCACATTCCGCATCGCAATCCCTCAGCGGAATTGGGGGCCTCCAGTTTCCTCAGCACACTGCCGCCGTTCAGGGCCCCATCATACGTTAGAAGTCTCTCTATCAGATTTCACAGCGCGAGTCAGCAGCAGTGCCACCGATAATCCCACCCTACCGCCGCCCTCGCGCGCTTCTATCATGATTACAGAGATGTTGGTGGCCTTACAATCATATTTCGCATGACGAGTTCCGAAAGGGAAATATATGTCTCTAAGCCGCTAAGGCTGCATACCGGAGACTACGCTTCCGTGGTGGCGACTACCTTGTAACACAGGTTGAATGGTCATGGTAGCTCTGTAGTCAAATCGCACTTCATGTCACAGCTTCAAGGGAATTGGCCGATATAAACTAGAGTACTCTAGAAACTAAGGCTGTACGAGCCACACCGGCCTTTACGCATTCCGCCACCCCCCACCCCATCCCCCGGGTCCTCCGAAGCCACCCAGCTTAGCAACAACTGCCACTCCTCCCAACACATCACCCAACACATCACCCAACACATCACATCTCCCTGGTTTGTATTCTATTTCTGTCCCCGGGTTCCCGGGTTGTATGTTTCCTCTTGTCCAATTCGTTTTCGAGGCTAATATGAATCGGGAGTGAACGCGTTCACTCCCGATTCATATTAGCCTCGAAAACGGCTCGTCTACAGGGATCCACTTATATCTATCGACGTCAATCCATGGACTAAGCTGCCTACACATCACATCACACAGCACACTACACAGCATATCATATAGCACATCAATCACACAACACATCACACCACACACCAGCCAAGCCCGAAAACACCAATACAATCAGATCACCAATAGGACAACGTCAAATAAATCAATATATATATGAATGTAAGATTATTCTACACCTACAGGCGCCTTCCTTGGCGCCATATACAGTCATGCCTCCTCGATCGCTCCACAAACATACAAAACTCCCTCTATCCAAGCGCTCCACAGAGTTTCCAAAGTAACGCCCGAAATGCCTATCCAACCAACCCCATCACACGTCACCTTCTCATCCAAACACCGACCCCCTTCCCTCGCATTAGAACTACCTATACTCCGCAGGCATCTCATAAACAGGACTATTCATCGTCGCACTCATCGGATACGCATGCATCTCATGTGACTGCCCCGCCCCTCCGCCACTAACAGGCGAAACCACAGACCCGGTCGTCGACCCATGCAGCTCCGGCCTCGCCTGTCCCGCGCCCGCCTCATGAACTGTGCTTCCATACGGACTCCCAGGCGACTGCGAGCCTGCGTAGCCTTGACCACCCGGACTCACATCGCCGTGGAGCTCAGAGTGCGTCAGCGCAGGGGACGCGTACATCTCCGTCCCAGGTCCGTGTGGTGATCCTGACCCCGCTAGTTCGGAGTGTTGTTGCCCGGGGGAGGAACCAACGAGCTCCGTCCCACCGGCGCCTTTCCATTCATCTTTCCCAGCTAATTCGGTCGCACCCGGGCCCATCGTCCCCGACGTACCGGGCGGTTTATCATCTGATGCAGGGGCGAGCAGCGGGCCAGACACAGGCCTCTGTTTCCTGCGGCGCAAGAAGAAGAATAGTGCACCTGCGCCAATGGCGAGGGCACCGATACCTCCGACCACACCACCTGCTATCGCGGCGGTGTTGGATTTCTTTGTCTTGGGCGTACCGTCGGGGTTTGTGGTGTCGCCGGAGGAGCCACCTGTGGAACCGTCAGGACCGGGGGTAGCGGGGGAGCCGTCGGCGTTGGTGGGGGTTGGGGTTGGGGCGGCGATGTTGCCGCCAGTTGCGGGGCCGGGGACGGTTCCGTAGTTTGATGTTGGTACTAAAGGTGTGTTAGTGGGAGGTTGATGAGAAAAGGGGAAAAGGTGAAGGACTCACCTGATGCGGTAATGCCGGTGGGGGTGGCCAGGCCCTTAGCTGCGCTACAGTAGGCGTTGTAGACATCCATAGCGCTAGCGATGTCTTCGCTTGCCGTCTCGCTGCACTCGTACTTGACGCTGTCTGTGAGGATCTTGGAGACTTGGAGGCTATTATTGTCCTTCATACATGCGCAGCTGGCTAGTGGTCCCGCATCTGCTGGGCAGAGGTAGTATGTCAGGGTGGTGAGAGCATCGTGGACCGCGTCCTTAGCGCAAGGAGCTAGCGATGAGTAGATGGGCATATCGGTGATGTAGTAGGTCATCTTTCCCACGGCATTCGACGGGACTGGGAAGGAGGTGACGCCAGAGCCGAGCTTGCAGTAACCGGCTAGGACGGCCTGGGCGGACGAGATGTCGGCGAGGTGGGTGCTGCCGCAACTATTCTGAACTGCGGAGACGATAGAGGAGCTAGCAACGTAAACGTTTTGGTTCTTCGTGCAGACGCAGGAGTTGAGCGCGCTAGGCCCCTCTGGGCACTTTACGTCCGACATTCCCTGGACAGCATAGGAGACAGCGCTCTGGGCGCACGGAGCCAGGTATGAGTATGCCGGCAGGTCGGTGATGTAGACAGCCAGCGCGTTCGGGTTTGCGGGCTTCGCGGTCACCTTGGAACCAGGATTGCAGTACTGGTTGAATATCTCCGAGGCGCTCACGAAGTCTTCCGAGGCCGTCGTGCCACATCGGGAGCCGACACTCGAGGATATATCATCATGTACGGATGCTGCGATGTTGCCCTTGGTGCACGCGCAGGACTGCAGCGCTGCGACACCGGGTGGACATGCCCTGTAGGTGAGGTAGTCGACGACATAGCTGACAGCACTCTGGGCACAGGGAGCCAGGGAGGAGAAGTCGGCTAGGTCGGTAATGCTGAGCGAGACGGGCGTGGGGAGGGTGGCCGCCGCGGTGACTTTGGCGCCTGAGTTGCAGTACTCATTGAAGACCTGGGACGCGCTCGCGAAGTCCTCTGTCGCGGTGCTGCCACACTGGGCGCTGACGCTCTTGGAGATGGTCGTAACTACAGCGGCGGCGTTGTTGTCCTTGGTGCAGGCGCAGGACTGGAGAGCTGTGATACCGGAGGGGCAGGCGCTGAGGGTGAGGTGCTCGAGGGCGTAGCTGACGGCGCTCATGGCACACGGCGCGAGGTCGGAGTAGAGAGGGACTTCCTTATAGTCGACATAGTTGGCGGAGGCTGAGGATGAGAGGGTGAGAAGCAGCCCGACGAAGACATTGCGGCGGCGAGCTCCCATGGTGAGGATTGGAGGGGGTTTGTAACGACAGAGACCGATATGTTTATAGAGACGGGAGAGAATGAACAAAGGAGGAGGAGCAAGAGGAAACAGGAAGAAATGAGGAAATGCTGGACCTACTCCGCAGCCACCATGTGCGCTGAGGGCCGATCTCTCTTCACCCACAGTAGCTGGCCATACAAATTCAATGACTTACCTCGCATTGGGCCTCTTGGCAGTCCCCTCTCTAGGCCTCAATCGTGCTCTCGTGTCTTGTCCCTCAAGGCTGAGTCGCTCTCGGGGCATGAGGCGGCAGCCCGTGCTAGCCATGTAAGGTTAGTGTTATAAATGTGGAAATTATAGAAGTAGGCAGAGAGTGACAGGCCGGGGGTGAAGGAGGATACCGACCCAATGGGATAGCCGCATTTAGCGAGAAGCGCAGGGATAAGAAGCTATTGACAGGCCATGAGAAGCATTGAATTGGTCTAATTGGCTCTCCACAGCCTCAGTTAGTCGTCGATCTAAGCGCGGCGTAATATTGAGCCGGCCCAGAATATGCTTATTATTACCCTTTTTACCTTTCTCACGTTTGGTGTGCATGGAGCACAAGGTGGAGGCTATATCACGTGAAATACACATACTTCTAGCTGTCCATCGCCGCTGATTCTAAGACAGCTTAGGTATTTGATGTTATACTCTTGTAGTAGGAGATTGTTATAGTATATCCGTAGTTCAATAGTATCTAAATTTAGTTGCTGGCTACCACGTGATACCCTTGCCCCCCCTCCCTCCCGCTTCCCGCTCCGCTCCCGGCAGCCTAAGTTCCCGATGTCCGCCCGCCTAGAACGCAGTGGTGAATATCAAGGGTTCATCTTCGAGGTACTAGAGCTCCAGGACATCCATATAATAAATTTGAAGCAATTGCAGCAATAGAACCATACAGCCGTAGCAAGAGCAGGGCTATGAACTATTAGTAAACGCTTGAATCGGCTCACTGGTTAATTCGTTCATACAATATCGAAGGAGCCACCCCATGCTCCAATACTGGGCCAATGGTGGCTGAACGTAGTTAGGCCAAGTGCGGGGCACAGCCTCGCGTTCGTTTATGAGTATATTATATTTCTTCAGCCTCAAAGTCCCAAGAAGCAACAGCGATAATATCGGTCGTTCCTTCCCCAATACCTTCACGTCCAAAGGCAGAGTAGCGCTCTTCTTCCCCATCATCGCCCCTTCCCTCTCTTTCTCCCACTGTCGCTCCTTCCCTCTCCCCAAGATTACTCCTTCCATTTCCCCATCCTAGCTCCTCCCAACGCTCCTTCCCTCCCTCGCCGCCATTCTCACCATCGCTCCTTCCACACCATGTCCACCGTCGCCGTCACCCCCACTCCCCCCCCCTCTCCCATCGACGATATCTGGTCCTCCGCCTTCACCCTCTACAAACAACAAACCAACCGCGACCTCTCTTCCTCCACCCTTCCCCCCAAACTCCTCACCGTCGACGACGTGCTCTCGGAGGTCGAAGCCTCGCACACGGCATTCGGGTCGTGGCGGAGCAAGCATGCTCGTGTGTGGGGGAAACTGAGCGGGTGTATTGGGCCGTTGGAGGTGTTGGGGGATGGTTGTGAAGCTGTTTGGGGGGCAGGTGCGGTGTTTGGGGCGGTTGTTTATTTGCTCAGGGTTAGTGGTGGCTTTTGTATCTTTCCTGCCTATACTAGTTGGAGACTGGGGGTTGGGAGAAGAAGGATTCACTGACGAGAAATAGGCCTGCGAAGAGGTGGAGAAGAGTTATGAACTCGTGGAGACGCTGTTTGAGGAGATGGAGGAATTTACAGTCCGGCTGAAGGAGTATGCAAAGGTGGAAGTTGGGGAGGCGATGAGGAAGAAGGTTGTGGCGACGTTGGCTTGGTGAGTAATGGATGGCGTGACTTGATGGAAATCTGGCTGACTGAGAGTGATTAGTATGTTGGAGATTATTGGAAGGTATGACGGAGTTGGCTACTTTATTGGGAAGGGAGAAACTAACCGAATCAACCATGCGTGAAGATCTGAGGAGTTAATTCGGACGAAGAGATTCAGTAAGTCTTTAATTTTCTGATTTCCCTCGAACAATGAATATATTGTTCGTGGAAATATATCAGCTTTCTTTCTTGACAGCTGCTTTCAAATGTAGTCATTTTACATGATTGGGCTTGATATGCAACCGGGTTCTTGTTTGGGTTTTGGTCGAGGCTTGGGTTTGCCTCGGGGTTGCTTGGATGAGCTGCAAAATCATGTATAAAAGGTGATTCTAACGAGACAACAGGACACTTTATCGGCGTGGCGTGGGTTGGCAAGGATGAAAAAACACGAGACGCCCTTGACCGCTTTCATAAGTTGATAGACAGCGAAGAGCGCCTCGTCATTGCGGTGACCTATTCATCAGTACAGAATACTGAGCACAATGTTGATACATTGCTCTCCGCTGCAGACGAAAATAAGCTGTCCCAGAAAGAGATATTAGGGAAAGTAGACCATCTCTCGACAGTAGCAACAGGTAAGTCCCAAATCTCACTTTGCTTTATAACCAACTTCCTCTGGCTACAGCTTCTCACTCATCCAGATAGCAAGGAAGAAGAGCTACTCAAGAATGCTCTGTGGACAGAAGCCGTCCCCAAAACGAACGAAATCTTTGCCGAGTTTAAAGAGAATATCCTTAAAGGGACATGTGAGTGGTTACACGAAGAGGCCCCCTTCCTTGCTTGGGAAAAAGAGGAGGCATCTCTACTATGGGTCTTCGGGGGACCAGGGGCTGGTAAGAGCTTTTTGGCTACAAAAACAATCCTTTTCCTTCGAGATCAGCATGACCAGAACCTTGAACAACCCTCGAAAGCCGCTGTAAGTTACTTCTACTTGAAAGAAGACAACCAGACTCTGCATGACTTAAATGTCATTTTGAAGACTATCGCCTACCAGATCGTGCAGAAGGATGGAACATACAAAAAATATGTTCAGTCTGTGTGCAGGTCAGCAGAGGCTACCAACACAGCAGAGAAAACGTGGAAGGCTCTATTTCTAAATTTCTATACGTCGACGCAGTGGGTTGAGAGCTTAGCCTTTATCGTCATCGACGCACTTGACGAGGCATCTCTAGACACGAGGAGGAAATTTCTGGATCTCCTCAAAGTTCTAGTGTACCCACCCCCCGGTAAACGCACTACGGCTCCCCGACTCAAGATTGCCATCTTCGGCCGCCCAGATATCAAGGACGACATGGAATTCCCCCGACAAAAGTTTGTGGACATCAATGCGCAGAAAAACCGCAAAGACATCAATGACTATATCCTCAGCCGACTTCCGCTTGTACGAGTCCTCAAAGACATGAAGCCCAAGGCACGGACCAAATTTGCCAAGGAGATCCGCGCCACCATCCTCGAGCGCGCAGATGGCATGTTCTTCTGGGCCAAGCTGGTGCTCGACCAAATCTGCCGCAAGGAGCGCAAGAGCGACGTACAGCAGGCCCTGGAGAACGCGCCGCGCGAGCTAGACCGTATGATCCGTCATGTCTTTGAAAGGGTGGCAGCTGATCCGGACGTAAATATTGCGGATCTCAATAAGATACTATCATGGGTTGCATGCGCAAAGAGGCCACTACTATTAGGTGAGCTGCATACTATTCTGATGCTTCCCACAGGGGAACCGAACCTGTCGCTACGGCGGAGGCTGAGTGGGAAGTTTGCTTCGTTCATTAATATGTCAAGATATGTTGGGGAAGATTCAGACGAGGAAGATGGTAATGAGGAGGGTGAAGAGGCGGTGCTGGGAGAGAGGGTAGAAGAGACACCGCTAGACTTTGCTAATCTGAGTGACGACAGTGACGGTGATGGCGACGATAGTGATGATGACAGCGATGATGACAATGACGATGATGGTGATAGTGACGGTGAAGGTGATATGACACTCCAAAAAGACGAGTTCGCAACAGAGTTCAGAACCACCGAAATATCCTTCAGCCACAAGCGCATCAAGGACTACCTAGTCCAGGAGGGAGGGTCGAACCCAGTCTTTATTCCCCCGGAATTTCCCAACATGCCAATCGGTATTGACGTGAATGAGTCTGAGCTTGAGTTAGCCCTAACCTGCCTTGCTATTTTAGTGGACAGGGTCACTTGGACTGAAGATAAGTTCGATTTGATGCAGTATGCTGCAGAAAATTTTATGAAGCACATAGGGGGGATCGACCGGTCGAAAATTAGCAAGGAGGATAATCTGAAGCTCTTAGAGCAGATAACCAACTTGTTTTACGACGATGTCGGGGCCAGGAAGCTGCTTGACCCTCAGTCCTTAGGATACAGGGGTTCTATAAGCCGCCAGGAACTTATTTTTTATCTCATCTGGATTGGGACAAATGAATACTCAAAGCTTCTCCGCGAATGCCTCGGAGAAATCGACAACATGGGTATTAATAATTTCACAACTGGTCAGCTTGAGTGGTTGAAGCTCTCTGTGGCTTCTGTAAAGGAATTTTATAGACCGCTTATGATAGAGTCGTCAAAAATGTGGCTTACAAAGACTGGGTTCGATGATTTTGGGTACCTATCTAAGTCACATCTCTATGTGTGCATGTTGCATGGCTACTTCATGATGGTAAGTAGCAACCCCACAAACAGGCACAAACCACTAATGACCATAAGAATGATGACGGTAGCCTAAAAGACGGCATCAAAGATTTCTCTCCCTACAGTTATAATAACAATATGAGCAGTATCCCACTTGAAAGAATTCGCACATATGCGGAGTGGGCTGGTCTTGAGAAGACAGAACACTGGCATGCTTGCCTCGGGTGGGCTATGAAGAAAGCGGGCTATTTCGATGCTGCCATTGTAGAATTCAAAAAAGTTCTGGAGATAGACAATACGGCTTGGGTCGCACAAGAAGGACTCTCCCGTTGCTACGCCGGCCTTGATAATATCAAGTTGGCACTGGAGTGGATGGCAGAGGCCATCCCAAACGTGCCTGAAACTTTCAGTTTTGTGACCCAAGCACAGTTATTGCCACAAGTTGCATCTTGGTTAGGCCAGATTGGGGAGTCTGATCGCGCCATCGAAGCCTGGAAGGGGGTGTGGGGGAATAATACACAAGACACGGATAACCTAGGGAAATACATCTGCGAGCTGCATAAATGGGATCGACACCAAGATCTGGTTGTCGTTATCACGGAGATAAGCAGTCTGGTGTCACGCAACGAGCATTGCGAAAATCTTCTCGTCGAGCTCCTGACCAGCGCCGACAATGAAGTCTTCGATGCCATCGGAACAGCCTTTAATATCACCAATGCCGCGGACGTCCGCGCTACCTTCCTAGACGCATGCACTATTGCGATCACCGCCGCCGACGCCATAGAAGCCAAGAAAAACAAGTCGACATCGCCCAGCTTGTCCCGCATCAAAGTCGCGTTCTTCAAGTATGCCTACTGCAACCAGACTTCTGAAGCCATCGCGCTCTGGCATCAGACTATTGACCTAATCGACGACTTTGCTGCGTCCGGCGGGCGCTGGCTAATCCACGAACGCACGTGGTGTACTAACGCCATCTGCGAGATTCTCTTTGACGACGTGGTTGAGGCGAAGGGAAAAGGCGAGGATCCGGCGTCGTTGGTTGATTCTCTAAAGCAGTGCGCGCGCATCGGCGCAGGGGAGCTCATTTACGATGAAGACGGGACCCCGGCCTATGGCACAACATATACGAGTCTGAAATACGGTGTGTGGCTGTGCGATTATGGCGGTGCCGAGGACACGGTCTGGAAGACATACTTAAAGGCTGGGGTGATACCATGGGTTGATCTGCTCGCTGACGAGGATAAAGATGCTGATGATAAATTATTTGGGTGAGTTGTTTCCCATTAATCCCCTGCCAGCCCTACTTAAAGTACGTTGCTTGCTGATATTTGGGATGATAGATTTTTCGCCATTGGACTTGCTCTCTTGACAGTGAATGATATACCGAATGCGACTACCGCGTTTGCTGTCGCCATGAAGCCGCTCCAGGAGAGCGCTAAAAAGCGCGCTGCAGAGGCTGGAACGGCCATAAATGGCGATCTGGAAGGGGAAACCGAGGAAGTGACTAATGGCTCTGCGTCGGCTAGCCAAGCCGCAGGAGATCGAGACGAAGGAGATGGCGAGCCCGGCTGCACCCAAAATGGTACGCACTCTCTTCTTCCTTGTCCTGCGATCTTCTTACTAATTCCCTCCTTCCCAGTCTCCAAGTACCCCTTCCTCTCCTCCTATGGATGCATGATAATCTGCAACGGCTCCTGTGACACTCCGAACTCCGAATATACCTCACTATATTCATGTTCCATGTGCAGGTACATGACCCTGTGCGGACCTTGCCTAGAACTTTTTAAGGGGGATGGGTTCGTCAAGCGGATATGTAATGTTAAGCATGAGTATTTTAAGATTTTTCCGCTGCCAGAGGGAAGTGAAGATTTGGCTGTTACGATTGTGGGGCCACAGGCGATACCAAGAGAGGATTGGTTGACGGGTTTAAGGGAGAGGTATGGTGGGATAGAGGTGGATGCGGGGGAGAGAGTGGGAGGTAGGAAAGTACGGGGAGGGAGGAAGGGGGCGAAGAATGAAGTTACAGTCGAAGTGTGATTGGCGTGTGGAGAGGTGTTGGGATCGTGCATGGGAGGGGTTGGTATGAGAATGAGATATATACGAACGGAACAGGATTTAACGACTATATAATGGCATAAGACTAATACAATGAAGGACGAGGTATGCCAAAAAAAAAAGATGTGCGAGGCATAAAGAATTACCATGATGTGATCGCTTGCTAAGAGATCGTTTAGTTCAGTTGAGGTGAGCAGATCAACTAGTCGGTTTAGATTTTCTGTAAACGGAGTGAGTGCTTTCTAAGAGGGCCACTAGACGGCCTAAACCCACACATATTTCCCGTAGCAGTCACGTCACGGAAGACATTTACATACAACAAAAGACATATACCGATTCCCTAAGAAATACCAAAATCTATCTACGCCCCAAACCCATCATCCATAACTCATAACCCATTACACATTACCCCCATCCCCCTAATTCATACTCCCCCCACTCCTCCCCCCTCCAATAATCCCCGCCATCTCCAACAACGCCCTATCCGCCTCTATATCCCCCTTCCCGAAATTAATCCTCCTCCTCGCCTCCGCCTCCCGCTCCTCCCACTCCCACCTCCTCCTCTGCTCTTCGGCTTCCTCTTCCCCACCACAGCCCCAGACTTCAAGAGACTCAATCGCGAATCTCTCTTGCCAATCTCCTCCCCCGGGGCCGGAAGCGGGTTCGAACGCGCCTCCGCCGCGAGAGTCGTGCGTGAAGACGCCGAATTCGAAGGAGGCGTCTATGTGCAGCGAGACCGGGCCCAGTTTAGCCGGGTTTGCGGTGCCGGAGGCGGATTTGGAGGATGGGTGCGGGGACCCGAGCGAGATGCCCGGGTGCGAGAGAGGGGGATGGGTGAAGGAGAGTTGATCGGTGGAGATGGTAGAGCGGTGGATGGTGTGTGTTGGTGCGAGTTGGAAGAGAATTGTTCCCGGGTCCGAGAGGCAGGTTTTGTAGGTTTGTTGCCAGGTTTGGGGGATGTAGGCGCCGAAGACTAGTCTGTTGGGGTTGGTGGCGGTGCTATCGGGTAGTCGCTTTGGCGGCAAAGAATCCGCGAAGGCGCGCTCGTTGCTGCCTTCTGGGATGGCGGGTAGCCTGCTGCCTGAGACAAGGAGGAGAGAAGGGGCGCGCCAGTTGAAGACCCGTGTTTCGAAGCTGCGCATGGAGAAGCCGGCGCTGCCGCCGGAGTAGAGGAGGCGGAGGCGGTGGAAGAGGGTGGTGGGCGGTAAGAAGAAGGAGAGTTGGGAGAGCAGGGTTACGTCGAGGATTTCGGCTTCTTCGGCGTCGGCGGTGGGGATGAGCGGGAGTGGAGGTGGTGGAGTGGTTGGTCGGCGGAGGGCGGGCGAGGAGGGAGGTGAGGTGGGTGGTGAGATGGGCGGGGTAGTGGTGGGGGATGATGGCTTGCGCTTGGAGAGGTCGAGGGATGTGGAGAAGAGGAAGTGTGAGAAGAGGGCTGAGAAGCCGTTGAAGAGGTTGGGCAGGGACGCGGGAATGACAGTGTTCCAGGCGTGGATTTTTATGCCAGTGTTGGATTCGGTGTTGACGAAGGCGGAGAGAATGGCGTCAGCTGTGGCTTGGAGCTGCTCAAGATTGTCGCCCGAGAGCCGGTCGCTGTAGTCCGGGAAGGGTTGACTGGCTTCCAATGGCGCTATGAGGAGGAGGAGCATGATTATCTTGCGGAAGTTCTCCACGGGGATTGAACAGTGGGATATCGGTGGTGCGTCGGAGTGCTTGAAGACGTCATTGGCGTCGAGAGACTCCAATGCCGAAAGCGCAAGTCCATCGTCATCATCATCGCCCTCCTCATCGTTCGCTGGTTGATCCACAGCGAATCCGACATGCGCCTTCGCGTTCCCATTGACCTCCCCACCCTCACCCTCCACAACCTCTTTATCACCTCCCTCTTCACCCTTATCCGCCACCTCCTTCCCATCCAACCGATCAAAAACCGTCAAGCTCCGATAAAGCAAGACATTCCTCCCCTTCCCCCCACCCCTCAACACCTTCCCATACCTCTCCGTCAACATCACCACCACAACAATCATCTCCTCAAACCCCAGCACCGCCGGCGCCCCCGCAGAAAACGGGAACGCTCCGAGGTACGAGGCCATCTGGAACAGCACTGGCGCGACCCCCAGGGCATCAGGGACCTGGAGGAAGCGTGTGAGGGTGTCCTCTTTTAGGTAGGAGACGCCATCGGAGGTGTCGGCGAGGCTGCGGAAGACGTCACGGAAGGAGTAGAGTTCGAGGGGGGTGAAGCAGCGAGTTGCGAATTTTTGTGCCTGGAGAAAGAGAGAGCGGGGTTAGCTGATGGGTGCCTGGAGGAGGGTGGATTGGGGATTGAGGGGAATGTCTCACCAGCTGTTTACTCAGCTCTTCAGCGGTAGCTGGGGGGGTGTCCGCTTGGGATTGAGATTGACCCATGATGTCGCAGTAAGGCCAGAATCATGACGGCGCCGTCGGACAATGTTGGAAAGTTGAAGCCCTGGTATGGCGGTGGCAGTGACGGTGACGATGATTTGGTGTGTTTCAGTAGTTCACAACGGTGACCTGGTGCTTCAGTAGTTGACAACGGTGATTTGGTATTTCAGTAGCTGACAACGATGAATTGGTGTTTTAGTAGTTGACAATGGTGGTTTGGTGCTTTAGTAATTGTCAATGGTGATTCGGTGTTTCAGTAGCTGACAGGCGGGTAGCAGCCTTATTTTTGCGGGGTATGACGGCTGCTTTTGTACTTTTTTAGAATCCCCGGTAACTTCGCCGCGCCGGCCGCTCTTTCCACTGAATCCACTAAATTGCCAAATTGCCACGCTAATCTTGGCGCCCGACGCAAGGTGACGACCGCCAAAAGGCGGCAAAGGTCTGGACCGCCCTTACGGTTTGGACAGCCAATATAACCAAGTCACGTTCCAAATACCCAGCCTTTCTTGGGTCTTGGAGGTTCTTGGATATTATCAAATAAAATATACTATTGGTATTTCTGCTAACTATGCCTATTCAAATCATTTCCTCCCAATTTCTCCTCTTTCTTTCTTTCTTTCTTTCTCTCTTTCTCTCTCTGCTCACTCGTTCTTCATGGATATTGCCAATTTTTCGCCAACGTTTCGCCGCCATCGCCCTCTGCGCCTGAATGAATAAGCCATCACAACACCCCACCACTGACTGTACAAAAAAACAGACTCAACGCTCCGAACGCCCATTCAGCAAATTCGTAATCGTACAAGGGACAAATGAAAAATAGACAAATGAAAACAAAAAAAAAATGAACAAATGAAAAAGGTCGAAACCAAAAAGGAAAATAAAAATGCCAAAATAAAAATAAACGATGCTGCCTCCCTCCCCTTCCCCTCTTTAAACTCCGGCTGGTCCTCTATTAATGATGCTCGGGATGCCCATGTTCCGCTCGCTCGTCGCGCTCCCGAGGCTGTTGTGATGGCTGTGTCCGCGACCCTGCATCACCTGTCCCCCACCTATGTACTGTCTATTCTGGCGATGTTGCTGCTGCTGTTGCTGCTGCTGCTGCTGCTCGCGCATCATCTGCTGTTGTTGCTGTTGGTGGATCTGCGCGCCCATCATCTGCATCTGCTGCTGCTGGCGCGTCGGGTCGAAGCCGCAGTCCGTGTCGGGGCTGACGCTGAAGTCCTGTCCGTCGAGGTCTTCGATCCCAATCGCGCTGTCGTCGGTGTACGATGCGGGTGCGTTCTGGCTATCGTGCGAAGCGGAGAGCCGGGCACGGCGGGTAGAGGCGCGGGCTGCGGATTGGAGGTTCTTGAGACCGCTTCCGAGAACCTGGTTATGTTAGACTTGGTCCATAGTAAGCCTAAGTAGTAATATAATCACATACCTTAGCCTCGACAACAGCCCACTTGTCGCCTGTGCGCTCAGCGAGCGGACTCCAGATCTCACGGCGCATGGCCATATACTCCTTCCCCAGCGCCTCGAACTTAAGCGTATCCCAGTCCTCCGAGTTACGGCGGTCCATGAGCCGCTCATGGCGCTTGCGGCACGCATTAGCGGTTTTGCTGGGGAAATAGGCGTCCTGGATCTGTCCCCAGTTCTGGCCCTGCGTGCGCGCCGTCATGAGGGTGATGTCGTCCTCTGGGGACCAGGCGCCGGAGGAGGGACGGGTGGAGATGGGGATCGGAGCGGACTGAGGGATATATTGGGGTGCTGATGCCTGCATCGGGGGGTTGGGGATGTATGAGGGTGCTTGTTGGTGCATGTGGGTCATGCGCTGGGGTCCGATGTTGGACTGCATGGTTGCGGTGGTGGTGATGGGGTAGTAGTGCTGTTGGGCTGTCTGGTCTGCGATAGCGACGGGGATCGAGCGGTATTGACCTTGGCTGGCTGAAGCGCGGCTGGTTTTGGGCATGGTATTTGCCCTGGGGATGGTCGAACGAAAGTGTGCGGATGGGTCGCCCGGGAAGATGGTCGAACGAAAGTGAAGTGTGGATAGGTGTAATGAGAAGTGCGGATGTGAGAGAGTGCGTGTGGTCGAATGAGAAGAGTGGAGATGGTTGAACGAAAGCGGATTACGTATTAAGGACCTCACCAGGAGGATAGAGCGTAGTGTCGATAGGAAATGAAATGAAAAGACCCGAGACGAGAGAGACGACTAGGAAAAAAAGCGAAGAATAGGAAACGGGCTGGTGGAAAATTGAAGGGTTGACTGATTGAAGCAAGAAACAAAAGAAGAGGGCCATGAAGGGTCGGTGTCCGGCCAGTTTATATGTAGAAACCAAGGGCCAGACGAGCTGCAGACATCGACCACCAACAAAGCATGAAACAAATCGTTTCTTGACGCTCCCGGGGACCCATCGCCGACCGATTCCAGGGTCATGGAACGGATTTAGTCCAACTCTGGCTGTGGCGACAGGCTGAGACGAGGATGAGAGCCCCGCATCGAGGGTAAGTGAAACGAGGATAAACGCCGTAGGGAGGCGCGACAGACCATGACGTTCGAGGAAATGAGAATTCCGGGCCGAGCGAGGTCTATGACTGGCCTGATGGGATTGTGGAGGTTGTGTAGGGCGGTTGTCTCATCTCAAATGTCAGCGGTTAGCATTTGACCGGCGGTTAGAACTCAAAATCACGGGGTATGGGGTCGGGGGTCAGGGAAGGGGACCAATAACAGACCTGGTCGATCGGAAGGAGCGCCAACAACCTTTATTTTGGGGGTTTGAGTGTAAATCTGGGTATAATGGGGGTTATTGCGACGATGATGGTCTGTTCGTTCTGTTATTGTTTACAGAATCCAATATAGCCAAGCACATGCCACCATTTTAGGAGCGCGTCTATGGCAGGGCAGATCATTTAACCGACGACTCTATTTCGAGAGCCATACACAACCCCTGTATGGAACGACGAATGTCCATATTTACCAACTCCCATCCCACATCCAACATACCCAAAATTGCAATTCTGGCGTTATTGTACACTAACCGTGATTTTATTTTTAAAACTCGAGGGCTTGACGCGGCAACTATCTTCAAACACCAACAATGCACGGCGGCGCGGAGCTGGGTACCCCCTTGAAAGGAGTTCGAGGGAATCTGGTCGCTTTCCCCCATGGGCGGCTACTGGGACATCCCAACAAACAATGGCCAAATCAGAGTTGCACAGTGTTTACCGCTGCGACAGACATGTTCCCTCCTCAAACCCACACCGGTCCAAACTGGGACACTGGCCGGAAAAGGTGATAAGCCATGCGTACATAGTACAGATTGAGATGATAGATCTACCCTATTGAACTATTTGAAAGTGCAAAGATGATCAAAAACGAAAACGACGATGCAAGCCCACTATTGTACATCAGACCTCAACTCCGCCAATGCACGTACTGTATATATATATACACCAAAACCGTGAACTCATTAGTTCCGGGCAAGCCACGTACTTTACCCTACACGGACGCGACCGTAGTCTTGCCCGGGATCTCATCCTCCTCGATCTCCTCCCACTCATCATCCTCCACCGCCCCCCCGACAGCCCTCCAAACCCTCTGCCACATCCCCTTCTTCTCCACCATCGCCAGCACCATCACCGCGGGCAGATGCCACACGCTGGCCCAGAACAAGCCGCGCGCACTGCCCTTCAGCCCCTCGTACTTCCAGAATCGGTACGCCTCGCGCACCATCCAGAGGTTGACGGGCGTGCTCGCGACCGCGAAGCTCCACTCCGTCACGCCCACTGCACACAGGCCTATACATAGCGGGAGCATGACGAGCGAGTATCGAAGAGCCACGCGTCCGTTGCGCGCGGGGTTCGTCCAGGCCAGCATCTTGTAGCCCGCGTTCTTGTACTCGTGGCGAATAGTCCACGACAGCGCCATGAAGTGGGGGAACTGCCAGGCGACGAGCAGCGCGGCTAGTAGCCAGCCACCCATGTTCTCGTAGCCCAACAGCAGTTCCTTCCAGTCACCGGAGCCCGTGGCAGTCTGCCCGGCCGCTGCGGCCCAGCCCATCAGGGGGGGGATTCCACCAACGAGAGCTCCCACCCAGGTGTTGATGACGGAAACGCGTTTAAGCGGTGTGTAGACCCCTGCGTAGAGGAATATGTTGAAGGCTGCGAGGGATGCAACGGTGGGGTTGACGCCGTAATATAATGCCCCTGTTCCAATTGCCGCGGAGAGCGCTGCAAAGAGCAGGGCGCCGCGGGGGGATATGAGACCACGGACGAGAGGGCGGTTCTTCGTACGCGACATCATGGCATCCCATTTAGGCTCGTAGAGCATGTTGAGGGTGTTTGCGGACGCGCATGTTAACGACGTGCCAAATGTGAGGAAGAGCAGCGTCAAGGCCGATAGCGACGGGGTGTCGGTTATTGCGGGTGAGAGGAGAGCGGGAACGGGATAGATGGAATAAGCGGAGGTGGTGGTGAGCACAATGAGAAAGGAAAGACGCGGCTTCGTCAAGGCGAGCAGCGTGGAAAGAGTGCGTTTGAAGGAGTTTATAGGGAGATTTGATGATGCCGTCGTGAGGACTGATGAGGCGTCTGGAGGTATAACAGGTTCAGCTGCCGCCTCAGGCCCTGCCTCTGCAGATGCCGCCTGTGCATCTTTGCGAGCTTTCTGCCGCCGTCTATGTGGGAGGTCGACCTCGGGAGTCGTCTCCGTCACCGGGGCAGCCGCATCTCTTGCTGGAATTGGCGGCTGCGACGCCGTAAACGAGGTGGATGTCGACGCTCGCGCCTTCGAGACAATGGCAGTCCGAGGAAGAAATGAATTATTGAGAAAGTAGCCGGTTCGCAGACGTTGCGCCTGGCCCGGGCCTTTTGACAGTGCGTTCCTCAACACTCGCGCGGTGGTGAATGCACGTTGTGTTGACTGTGCGGACCTCAATTGTTGTCGCGGGAGCGCGGAAAGGCATTGCTCGCCGATACTGCGGAGCGCGACGGGTGTCGCAGCCCCGAGTGAGAGCGGCCTTATGATCATTGCGGCATCTGGGTATGGAGATTGGCCGGCGCTTTCACAATGAGCGTTCCTTCCTTCCGCGTAACTTTGTAAATGTTGCCCAGGAACTTCCTCGGGCAACTCCGCGGTGAATTTATTTTTCCGTCGCCGAGCAATCGTCCCCTTGGACCACAACACAAAAATATAAAGTTACACGTGACAACTTCACGTGACGTGTGAGAGCAACAATATTTAACGAGGCTGACATTCCGCCAACAGCGAGTGGCCAAGCTTATTTAGACGAAACACAATAATCACGTGACTAGAGACGGACCAATATTCCACGAGGCTGACATTTTTACCACCAACAAACTCCAACAACTCGGCCGTGTGTGGCACGTGCGGCCCCAATATCTTGCTGTCACCTCCACATAGTTGCTTCGTGGCGCCAATTGCCGCCAAAGCTTGCCAAATGAGGCCCTATCTAAGCTCTTTCCGTCTACCCCTAATATATAATCGCTGGCTTGAATTACTCTATGTGGAAATCTGTTGAAGCTATCCCACCACTCAGCCCTGGCAAGGCATAACTGGCGCGTTGTTCGGCTTGGAAGCCATCGCGACCAAGGTAAGACCGGAACGCCATCGTTTCCACACTTTCCACACGTTAATCTCCTTCATTTCCCCCCCATATATCTTCCATTTCTTTGTATTGCTGATGTTATTGCTCTTGTCTTTTCTCCAGATGTATACTCCAGCGTTGTTGTTGGAGCTAGCATACTATTCCTTCGCGCCAAATCCTTCGCGCTTCGGAGCCTCGTCAGCAACGTGAGCAAAACTTCGTGCCTGGGCTCCGGAGATCTCCAGAGATACTTCAATGAGTACCTCAGGGTATCCCCCCGGTTGGGAAGCTGACTACGATGGGGAGACGGAAAGATGGTTTTATACCCATAAGCCGACAGGGGTCAGGCAGTATCACTTCCCCAAGGCTGGTGATGAGGTCGAGTTGGCTGCTGCCATGAACAGGACCAAGGCCGCCAACAAAGCCAAGTTGAAAGAGAACAATACGGCTCAGAGCTCAAAGGACATAGCATCTACCAAAATCACACCAGGCACAAAGTCTCAATTTCTAGAGCAAAGTCCCACTATCAAGCGTTCAGTATCAGAGCGTGCCACGCCAACATCGCCACAACCAATACCCAACGTGTTCAGGCAGAGCTTCCAAGCTGCTCAGAGAACCAATGCAGCTACGGCTCAGCAATTGGTTCCTCAACAAACTAGCCCAGCTGCACTTCCTCTATTGAATACGCAGCTGCACGGCACATCAGGAACTCCCGGTCAAGTTGCCAGCTCTGCTCACCCTTTACGCATTAATACCAATGCACTTAATCAAGGCGGCAATGCATCTCCGGTGCAGAGTATGTCGGCGGGGCCTTGGAACCAGTCGACTTCGAAGGCCTCTGGAGTGAGCTACAGCGATCGCGGTGCGTCTTATGTCTCGCAGGGGTCTCAAAGGATACCCGATTCTTCGACTCCAGTTGCCAGCGAACCTCCTGCGGTTCCGCCAAAGGTTCTAGAGTCTGACCGAATCCCGGTGGCAGGAAGCAAACATCTACGCCAGACACACAGCCATTCATCGTCGGTGCCGCATAATAATGCGGGTGAAGTTATCTGTTCCAGACTTGGTATCCTGTATTTTTCGGACACCGATAAAGAGGATGTAATAACGAATCTCCAAAACTTGGCCCGGATGTATCCGGATGTTACCCTATCTCAGCTCGTAGATCCTCACATGGAACTACCGCGAGCAAAAGTACCCAACCAACCAAGCCCTTCCCAGATACCTTCTGGCCAAGAGCGCCAGCGCAATGCTCCTGATACCAGCCCTGCTCCGGCCTCCGCAATATCAGCAGATGCAAGCCTTCCCATTGCTTTCGTTGCCTATTCCCGGGTACCTCAACCAACGCAAATGACCTACTCATCCCCCATTGCTGGTCCAAATCCTGGTTTCGGTGCATCGTCGCCCAGCTCTGCGTATGATTATCAAAGGCGCCATCATTCATCGTCCAATGCGTCGATAACTTCCACAGCTATTCAAACATCACATGATAGGGCGCACTCTTCAAGCATTAACTCGAAGCGGCAAGACTCAATTGGCACGCAGACGTATTCGCCCCAAACTAGGTCTGAGCTTGCTCAAACCGCTTGGGGTCTAAAACCTGCTTCTGCAAGCACTGAGGGGCCAGAGATGGCGGTCGGTATACCGGCTAGGCCTGCAACCACTGCTCCTGTCCAAGCTGTGGAGTCGTCTCCTGACGTGCTGGGTGGTAGACCATCAAGGCAGCACAGCATGGGCAGAAAGCCGTTGTCTAGTCAAAGCCCCATCATGAATCGTCCGTATCGATCAATGTCCTGGCAACCACGCGACCATTCACCAAATCCCCAATTGCCATCTTCGTTAGTCAGTGAAGTGCCCGAAGAGCCATCTACGCCTCCGCCAGATGTTGCACAGCAGGGATCGTCACTTGTCTCGACTTCGTCAAAGGTTTACTCTGAAGAGGCTCTACGTTCAACTGCGTCACCAGAACAGCAGCCCCAGGAAAAGAGTGGGCCCGATCAAAAGGAGCTTGACCGTTTAAACTCCATAATCCAAGAACAGAATAAGCAACTAGCGGCGCTCTACCAACAGAATGTACAAAATCTCCAGGATCTACAAAACCAGCAGAATGCATCTGTCTCGCATCAGCGCCACTCGAGTGTTCCGGTATCACAATCTACACGGAGCAGTGTCTACACTCAGTCTTCTCTTCAAAATACCCACTATCCTCCGAGTTATCCAAGTGTCCCGGTATCGCCGATTAGTCGGCCGGAGTCTCTTGTGTTTTCGATCCAGGAGGAACCCCGACCTCTTTCGCTATCAGAACCGGCATTCGACGCAATCGCTAGCAAGCCTGGTGACATTGAGAGCATAGTCGAGAATAATAGCGATCCTATCGATGCGTTTGAAAATAACGCACATACCGCAAGTGATGCCCCGCAACACTTTGGGAATCAGCCTGGTCAAGCACCCATGTTCGAATGTAGTATCGCCCAAAACAGCACCGAAGAAGAACCTAGGGTTGATGATAAAGAGGTCGATAGCTATCAACCAGCAGACACAACTAACCAGATGAGTGCGGCTGCTGCCTCTATGGGAGACCGATCAGAATCTCGCGGATCAAACCAGACGGACTCCAAACGAAAATCATGGTCTCACGTACGGACACACAGTGCTACGCAGCAAATAGCAGATCAAACTGTTCATCAACTCGAATCCGCAGATGTTTCCATCCGAGCTACGTCTTCAGCAAGTCAGACGACCGGTTTCTTGGTAACGCAGGAGATACCAAATCAAGAGCCTCGGCAACACTCGCTACAAAACAATGTGACTGTCCAGGAAATACAGCCAGCACACATTGAACATGTTCCGGCCCAGCCACCAACCCAACAACCCCATCACCATGTCTCGAACGTGCCACAATCAAACAATCAGCACTTGCCAAACCACCAACGGCATAGCTCACAGCCTCGGGTTGAGTTACAAACCCAGCAGCATTATATGGCACAAGCACGCTCAGCTTCCCAAAGTCAACCTCACTCAGCCCAGAGCTACCAAGCCCCAAATACTATGGTTAGTACACGGCCCAATCCCCATATAGCATGCTCAATATACTCACTTCTACCATCAGAGTCAATCAGCGGTACATGAGATAAACTTACAAAAAGCTTTGGAAGCGCAAATCCAGCAACACCTCGAAGCTGTAGTCTCACCACAGTCCGCAGTCTCCCCTCCGGATCCGGCCGACACATTTTATGGTGTTAATTCAGATTCAGCAGTTTCTGACTTGTCGACACCTGGGCTAGTTCACAAAGAGTATTTTGATCCTGCTTCTGTCAAACACTCACAGGTCACGGCTATAGCGCCAAGGAGGATATCTATCGCCGAAGTTGTAGGTCCCGCGCAGGGCCATGCGAGGAAGCCTTCCCTTCCCAAGGTTCCCATTTCTGAGGGCCCAAAGTATTACGAAGAAAAGCAGGTTTTCTTCCCTGCCCACGCTCCGTTGAAAATTGGCTCTGGCCAGAATGCTGGATTACAAAACGAGGCGTTTGCGGAGCAGGAGCCTCCAGTGCCCGAAAAAATTGCGGGAATATCCACAGGACCAAGTCCATCTAGGCCTGGTATACATGGTAGCCCTAGACCTGCGGCTGCCAGCGACCTCCCAATACAATTCGTCGCCTTCACACGATCTAAAGGCACAGAAGCAGCCCCTACAGCCATTGCTAGGCCAGAAAGCAAATTGCTTGCCGCAAACCCACCATCTGATGGCAATGCCAATATCAGCCAAACTCACACCCATTCCTCGAGGCCAAGGGTATCTTCTTGGTCTGAAATGGAAAAATCCTCCTATCTCCCGCCGCAACCGACATTTACCTTTGGCATGCCCGGAGATAAACAGGACGATGCTGCAGCGGCGGAAAGCTTGTACGATGGGGGTGGATACGGGGACTACGACGATTACAACGATGACGGGCCGGCGCCGCCCCGATTCGGCACTCCACAACCCCACATGCTTCAGGTGCAACGAAGCACCTGAAGAAGTAATAGTTATATTTTCGAACATTCGTTGGATTTACTATATACCCATTTTGCGAATTTGCGATTTTGGTTTTCACACATACCCTAGTCTAGTTTTTATCACATGCATAGGACAGGATCGCCAAATTGGCTGTGCTGTTGTTGGGGAGCGGAAATGGGCAGCTTAGAAAAACGAACAAAACACATTACGATACATAGCTTGGTACATTATAAGATCGCCGTAAAATCAGTTGGAGTCATTTGTAGGCCGTTGGCTAACCGCCTGACTGAAACATTATTAACCAATTAACACTCCCAAAGAAAGCGAGCAACATACTACTATGCCTTGAAGGATCGGGATAACGGCGATCCCAACATATCCCAAATAGGCAGGCATCAAGTGTAAAACCACCACCAACATACATAAATAAACAAACGCACCATAAGGAAATCGTAGAAAAAACCTCGTCCTCACAATCCCCCAGCCTCCTCCTCCAAAAATGTCCAACTCAACAACCAACTCCACCAGCTGCTCCTCCATCACCCCAACCCCCTTCTTCGACCACAGCTGTGCCCTACTAGCACCGCCTGGTTCCAGCCTCGAAAAGCCCAGCGCGCTGTATGACTGTTGTCAGGGAACCACCTTTAGCTACGGCGATAGCAATCTAATAGACTGCTACGCTTATTGCAACGCCACGGGTGTAAAGGAGGCTAGGGACATGGAATCTTGCTTGAAGGACTACTTTTCGTCACGATCGGATACCACCACTGTGTGGAAGTGTAATACGGTGGATAATGGTGCGGCGATGCAGGGGAGGGCTAGTGGCTGGGGTGGCTTGGTGGTGCTGGGTCTTGTGGTCTCAGCGATTACGACTATGATGTAGGAATATTATATTGGCAAGGTCGGCGAGAAGGGTCGTGCTACAACGCTAGAAGATGGCAGAGAATTGATGGCAGCGAGTGTTACCGCGGCTAGAGATATAAGCATGCGCGGCGAGCTTGGACCGTATCACAAATGCGCATTTAGCTTCCGGCGGTTGGAAATATAATCTCAATTGGCAATGAACGTTCCGACGAAAAGGTATATACGTAAAATCAACCCCCCGCCCCCATCCCAAAAAGTAAGCACCTCAAAGCAATAAAACCGCCCCAGAGAGAAAAGCCTCAAGAAATACAACTCCACGCCATCCCCATCCCCAACCCATGTCCAATCCGCGCCCCCCAAAACACAAAGTAGTAATTATAACATCCTCTACTGCCTCGCCAGTGGACTCCCCACCTTGGGCGCCCACTGCAAGCTCTTTCTCCTCGCCATCATGAGTCTCTGCATCAGCGCCTCACTTCCCATCTGCGACGGTCCGTCCTGCTCGCGGACGACCATCTTGTTCGCCGGTACGGTCCGCATGACTAGCTCCTCCTTCTCCCTGCCGCTATAATACGGCGTCTCCTCAACTCCGCCCTCGTTATCGAGGATGTGCTCGGCATACATACTCAGCGCCTCGGCGCTGGGTGTGGTTGGGAGCGGACTCAGCTCCGGCATGGTGTAGTCGTTCATCTCGACGTCTTGGTCCTGGTTGCTGGTCGCTGCTTCCGCACTGCGGGGTGTGCGGATCCATTGTGTGCTCTCCCTACGCCCGATGCGCGCCGGGCGCGCGGTGGCGGGCGCAGTAGGCTCTTTAGACGACGCGCGACCGGGGGTGGAAACGAGAGTGCCGTTCATGTTGGCCAGGGCGCGTGGCTCCATGGACTTGCGACGACGGTTGCCGCCACGGGGAACGATGGCGGTATCGATGGAGTATGGGCTCTCGTCGAGCCATTCGTCCATGCGCTCGCAGCTGTATCTGTTAGGAAATGTATCATGCATTGGGATAAGTGGGAATACATACTCTAAAACCCATCCAACACCGACACAGAGTACAACTCCGTTGGTTTCTCGCACTTTCTCGAGTGTCCTCTTGCCACCATCCTTGAACACCACATGCGTAATCCCAACCTTGGCTGACTCTGCTGTCTCAGGGCTAATCACTCCTCCTGGTAGACTCATGGTGCTAGGATTCCAGCCCCAGCTCTTCACACACTTCGCGCCCATCTGGTTCAGCAGCTCGACAAAGACAGCGCTAGCATCGGCGCCCTCGCTAGTGTGTACGTCGACGTAGACAACGGCGCCTCTGAGGACCCTGTTGTCAAGGTCACGGCGCGGTGTTCGGGTTGGCGTAGCTGACGTCGACCAGTTGGTGGATTTAGCTGGTGTTGAGGATCCATTATGGTAGACGATGGTAGGTGTAGGTGGAGGTGGTGCTGTTCTGTGTGCCGTAACGCGCGATGCTGATGCTGGACGCTTTCGTGGCGATGGTTTGATAGGCGACTCTGCACCTTCTGCCTTCAAGGGGACTTTGCACACAGTATGGAATGACCTTCCGATGGTGGGTCTAGCTGGTGTGAAGGGACTAGCAGACCGTTGTACCGCACGGGTAGCGGGGGGAGTAGGGTGTTCCTCTTCCGCTTCAACCTCAGTTTCCGGGACAACATTTGTTACGTGTTCAACAGTTGGCTCCTGGTGCTGTTCTGGGGCAATTTGCTGACCAAGAGACAACAGTTCCGGATCAATTGGAACCATATTCTCATCGCCATACTCTTGGCTCGCCTCAGACACGGCCTCATCCTCAACGGCATAGGCAACGGCGTCAACGACATCATTCGAATTGGCAATTTCCTCTTCGACCAATGATAGTTCATCGGCTTCGGCAGCAAGAGCCAAGTCTTCGTCGTCTAACACAGCCGGTGCAAACTCAATTGCTTCCATGACTGTATCCTCCAAGTCATGCTCGGATTCTGGCTCAGCAGGTGCAAACTCGAGGACCCCAATAACTTCGTCTTTCGGCTCATTCTCGGATTCGACCTCAGCTGGTGCTAATTCGATGGCTTCAACAACTTGCTCTTCCAGGTCGTTCTCAGATTGAACCTCTGCTTCCTCTCGAACAATCATCTCATCTTCGAAAAAGCTGGTTGGCACAGGTGACGGCTCAGCGGCTTGCTCCTCGACATTCGGAGTTACAACAGGCTCCGGCTCCTCCTCATATTCTTCCTCCACAATTTCCGGTTGTGGGTCAACTGGCGTCATCCAGCTATCCAACTGCTTAGCCAAAGGTGTGAAGCCAATCTGCGCCGAGCTCTTAGCAACAGGAGTCTTCTCGCCAAAGGAGAGTTTCTTTGGGGTCGAGAGCATTGCGAAGTCCTTGGAGGACATTTTCAAAGCGCTGATGGGACTCGGAGAATAAAGTGGTGACGCAGACGCCAGCTCATCTTCAGAGTCCGAATCCTGGAACGGGTCGTCTTGCTCAGGGCGAAGGCCGAAGCTGCCAATGCTATATGAAGATGGAGAAGCGGATGGTGTGGTGCTCTGTAGCTCCTCTACAACCATCGCAGCCACGTCATCATCACATTCCATAGTCGTACTCTCCTCAACCAAAACGTTGAGGGCGAATTCATCTTCCTCGGTGTTATCAACTGGGCTCTTTGGAGTGGTGGAACCAGCAGGCACCTCGGCCTCATCCATTGTCGGGTCAGCGTGTCTTGGCAACACAGCAGACAGTCGTCCTGGGAACGGCTTAATACTGGCCCGATCCGCAGGTGCCTGGTCCTTTCCAAGCAGCCTGGACTCAGTAGCCGGCTTCACAGCGCTGCTGAACGGCACTCTACCAGGGCGGAACGCGCTCTTCGTCAATGTCCGTGGTGTCGTGAACCTCGAGATGCTGAAAGTGTTTGGCTTTGGTGTGGCGTTGAACAGATTACCTGAGACTGTGCGGGTTGGTGATCCTCCAGCCGAGATTTTGGTTGGGGACGGCGGACGTTTCGCTGGAGATTGAAGTAGAGAAGCTTTGAACGATGGCTTCGTAGATGATGAAGGGGGCATGGAAGACTTGAAAGGTGATCGCACAGCCTCTCCAAGCCCAGTCCGTTTCGGCGATTCTCCCAAAGTCCCCCTCCATGGACTCTGTGGTATTCTTCTAGCAGGGCTGGCCATCATTGACGAGGTAAGATCTTGCTGAGCAGAAACAGCACGGTTTGCCACAATCGATGTTGTGAAATCAAGCCTTTTAGCTGGGCTGAGGATATTGGTCGGTGGCTTCATCGGGCTCTTCATCAGAGGCTTCATCGGCGTCTTCACCATCGTGGCAAGCTCGTCGTCAGAGCTCACATCCTTGGCAACAGCAACCTGTGTCACCTTCTTCGGGCTGAGCGGGGACTTTTCCTTCGCCTGGTCCGATTCAGAAGTCGCTCTGGCGCGCCCGCGTGTCACTCGAGGTGCAGCAGCAGGTTTCCGCACCGGCTTGGCCCTAAGACCAGTAACCGTAGCCACTGGCGCTTTGCCCTTCGTTGTAGGAATGGCATTCTCCTTGTCCAGCTCCGCCGTATCCTGAAACTTGACAGACTTCTTCGGTGCAGCAGTGGGCTTTGTGACGGTTGCCAGGCGGCCTCTAACTATCCTCTTTGGTGCTTCGGAAACAGGTGGTGGTGCCTGTTCATCGGCTACGGCCACCTTCCTCCCTCTAGCTCTTGTCCTCGGAGCTTCCACTGCCGGTGCAGCCTCAACCTCCTTCTCTTCGACGGCCTTCTTCGGCCTCCCTCTTGTCTTCGGCACCACTACCGCAGCCTCCTTCTCTATCTCTGGCTCTGGCTCTGCCTGCACCATGGCAGCTTTCCTCGGTCGTCCCCTCGTCGCCCTCGGTTTCTCTGGCTCGGGAGCTGTCAGCTCATCCTCGTTGTTATCGTCGTCGTTGGCAGCTTCATCGGCCCTGGTCTTCCGCTTCGTCATCGCAGGGGGCATCGTACGCGTCGCTTTCGCCTTCGCTGCGGCAGTGGCGACCTTGATGCCATTATCAACTGGGGCCTTCTTGGCGGCCGCGCGCGCGCGGGTGACGCGCTTTGGTGGCGAGGCCTCGGGATCCATGATTATTGTGTTTGCTTTATCGTAAGGTTAGTTGTTTGTGTCGCGATTTTTCATTGATGTCGAGTTGGTTTTTGGTCGGTGTCGATTGTCGTGGTTTATCGGGGTTATATTGGGGGTCGGTGTGTTCCAAGAGACGGGGGTGTTTATCGTGGTGCGCGCTATGTTGACGGGGCAACCGGGTCGGGCCAATTGATGATGACGGCTGCTCCACTGGATCTTGGAAGTGAGGGATATGACGTGGGACGAATGGCGATCAGAATGGTCATGGGAGTATTATCTGTTGATTTATTACGATAGTTTTGTTCTCAATGTCATGTTGGTAAAATCCAAAGGATTTTTCATGAATTTAATTTGTTATCATATCAAATATTTATTTGTTTATCAGGCAATATCATAAAAACATGTCTGGATAATTATAACTTCGCCCACCCAAATCATATTATTAGAAAAGTCACAGCGTTTTTAAATAGATTTCTATACTTATAGCCTTATTAAATAATTAGTTTACAACATTTCTCATTACACAACTAAACTCAGAGATAATGTCAACAAAAGTGGCAGCTGGCTTCCAATCCCCACCTTCATTCAGCACCAAGTGACGCTGGATCCTCATACCAAAGGTAATAGCTCATATCGAAAATGTCGTTGTTAGAAATTCCCGCGTCATCCCATAATCCTACACCTAATGCCTGACCCTGGTCAAAACCGGTGGGCTCGTTCGTGAAAGCCATAGATGAAGGGGGCTCATTGTCAACCTTCTGGTTCGCCTCCGCTTTCGTCTTAGCAACCATTTCTTCGGTGAGCTGTAGAATCCGACTGACACCAGTAGTACTGATCATTAATAATCGGTCGGTAGGAAGAAGCGTGAAGCAGTGGAGACCTTGTGCTATAGCTTCAAAGTTCCTTTCGCAGCCATCTCTCGCTGGGTCCCGTATAACATCAAAAAGCAAAGCAAAGCATGCAGCTTCGATAAAAAATCGACTGTGTCGCATATAGCATATGAAGGAACTAACTTTGATTGCGCGAGCAAAGACATTGATGATATGAATAGATGCGTTCCTACACCTGTCAACGGCATCATTAAGCCAAATCACCGATTCGTTTGGGATGGTTGATTTTTTAGTGCTGCGTCTCCTTGCGGCATCAAGCACCAAGCAGGGACGCAGAGCAATTATCATCGTCTGAAAAAAATGGAAGGCTAGTATCATCTGACTAGCGGTGAGATTGGCGGAATACTGCCCTAGCTCCGACTCGAAAAGAGGAAACTTCTGATCCACAGGTAGAGATTTATGAAAACATATCATCTCATCGTAGATCGCTTGAACCTTTTGACAGAAATCACTTACGGAGCCTCTGTTACGGCCGTAAATATTGTAATTAACCTTGTATGTTATTCTGGCCAAAGTAACGGCAGCCATGAGTCGGACATCCCATGTCGGATCTAGTATGTTGATGTCTAGTTCATTAATCGACGCAGGTCGACCCAACGAAAGAGAAACGTTTCTGTCGTGTGCGAATAGCGACCAGAATGTAGCCTGACGCTCTCGAGATCGGTCGGATTCGGTAGAGTCTCTCGTACCCCCCTGGGATGGCATATCTCGGTGCAAACCAACGGCGAAGGCCTTGTGTACTGCTCGCCCTATTCCCAGCATCGCCGAGTTCGGCCGTCCATGACTGTGTTCATACTCTGACAGAAGCATGGAAATTTGAACACTTCTGAGGCTTACAGAATCGCCCCAGCTGTCTAGCCGAGACGTGACTCCCCGATGCAGAGAATCCGCCCAGATGGGATAGCTGGATAGAAAGGCTCCTATGGCCAGCACAATCATCACCAAGGTTGAATCTCTGGAGTTTTGATTGCTGGTTGGAGCTGAGTACATCGTATAGAAAAGCTTCCTTAGAGTTCCCTGGTCGCAGAATAGAACGACATAATGAACAGTGGCTAGGTACGTTTCAAGAAAGGTGGCTGCAAGGTCAAATGGTGGGAGTTCCTGAGAGATCCCTGCCGGAGATTCATTGTTATCTGAACCATTTCCATAGAAGATGCCACTGTACCCAAACTCGCTGATTGCCTCTGACGTGTAGTTTGTCGACCAACTACTTATCGTACTTTGCCGCGGAGCCCCACTGCCGAGGAGAAAACGATGGAGTTGTTGCAGGAACACAAAAGTCGAAGATGGCCCATAGTGTAAGTTCATGGTTGAAGATTCCGACGCTTCTGAGCCCCAAATACTACAATGAACTTCTTGTTTCAGTAGATCGGCTTGAGCCGTCGATTCTGGAGCCTCAACATCGTCTGTCCTAGCACTCTCATTCGAAGATAGAATCGCCGACTTTCTAACCGGCTTTCTGCGCTTCACTCCGGGCATACAAACGATGCCACGGTCTGTGCACCGAACACATGGATCTTGACCATTGCACTTGGTTTTGCTAAGACGACAGGGTGCACAAGCTAGAGCAGTCCGGTGACTGGACTTTGAAGCATTCTGAGAAATCTCGCCCGGATTACGTGAGGACATAATCCTCTAATGCTTTCGCCTCTTGGTCGGATGTACGATGATGCAAGATAGGCTATTTGAAAGCCATGGTAGGGAGATATAATGTATTTATCAGCGTCGAAGCCGTAAATTTCGGATGTAATGGTATGATGAGTCCAGTTATAAATGCCCGTTGACAAGATTTTTGTGGAGACCTCAGCGACGCTAACCTCGTCATCACTGGATTTCCGGAGTTGGGGAGCACGCCTCATCCGAACGGATGAGAAAGAATGAAAAATGAAAGCCGACGGGACATCTCACATATTATAAGTAGTCAGGCTTCCAAGAAATAACAGTATACTCTCATCAAGCTCATTCAGGACGTTAGCACCTCTCTTTTGTTTGTCCTTGAATTGCCATTTATGGTTAGGCTGAACGTAAAACACCACCACACGCCACACGCCACACGCCACAAGGCAAGCCACAAACGAACTGAGCCACCCCTGACCTACCGATATGGGGGTTCAATTGAATGAGAAAAACGAGCCCTTGGACAGCAATGGCTTCTCATATAGGAAGTGGTTAGAAGACAATGAAGCCAAGAAAGCCATCGAAAAAATTGAGAAGAAACATCTTTCTTTAACATGGAGACATTTATCCGTAACTGGAGTTGATTCTCGAACTGTGTTGGGACACGATGTTCTTTCTTGTGTTAACCCAATGGATCTCATCGCTGATGCGAGAGGATCGGTTGGTGATATTGTAAGATATAGAAGTCCCCGACATGAAAGCATTCTAACACCAACAGACCATTTTGCATGACCTAACTGGACAGGTGAAGGCCGGAGAAATGGTAAGTATAAGTATCTTTTTCATGTGTCCGCACATCGTACTAATAAATGAAGATGCTCGTGCTCGGCCGCCCAGGATCAGGATGTACTTCTTTCTTAAAAACCGTTGCCAACAAGCGTCGCTCCTTCAAAAGCGTTACTGGTGACGTGTTCTACGGCAGCATGAGTGCTGAAGAAGCTGAACAGTATCGTGGTACAATACTGTACAATAGCGAAGGTGAGTTCCCAAACCCGCCCAGCATAATTTACATACTGACACCCTAAAGATGATATCCACTTCCCCACTCTGACAGTTGCTCAGACACTTGGCTTCGCTGTCAAAAACAGAGTTTCACGCCAGACCCGGGAGAGTGACACAGGAGTGGAGAAATATCATGAAGAAATGCTCCATGTTATCCCTGAAGCCCTGGGCATTTCCCACGCAAAGGGAACCCTTGTAGGCAACGAGTTTGTTCGGGGAGTTTCAGGTGGTGAGAGAAAACGTGTTTCCATTGGGGAAGTCATGGCTGCTCAGGTAAGCTACAAAGTCCTCAATAAGTGCAATGTATTAATTTATTAGGGCGCGATAACCTGTTGGGATAACGCTACCAGAGGCCTTGACGCCTCCACGGCCCTTGAATTTGCACAGACATGCAGGGCCTTGGTAGATAAAACCAAGGCTGTCGCAGTAGTGACATTATACCAAGCCGGAAACGGGATTTTTGACCTATTTGACAAGGTTCTAGTCTTGGATGAAGGGCGGCAGATATACTATGGACCTGCCAACATGGCAAAAGCCTACTTTGAGAATATGGGTTTCGTTTGTCCCCCTGGTGCCAATGTCGCGGACTTCTTAACATCTTCGACTGTCGAGACCGAGAGACGATTCAAAGCTGGTTACGAAAACTCAGCCCCCAAAACAGCCCAGGAACTTGAAATGACTTATCGAAACAGTGATCTAGCAAGGCAGATGCAGGCCAACATCATACCCCTAGAGGAACTAGAGCAAGAGACGGCCATAGCAAAAAAAGCTCTCGAGAACGATCAACCAAACCACAAATCGCCTCTCCAGAGCTCCTATACTATTGGCTTTGGTTATCAGGTTCTCGCATGCGTCCAGAGAGATATTCAAGTAATGCTTGGAGACAAGGCATCGTTCGGAATGCAGCAGATTGCTGCTCTAATTCAATCGTTGTGCTCTGGGAGTCTTTTCTACAACCTTCCAGACTCTAGCGCTGGCATTTTCGCACGCAGTGGAGCGATTTTCTACCCCCTTGTGTTTTTCAATGTGAGACTTCAATACCCCACCGAGAAGACACGAATCTAATGGAGCTTCGCAGTTATCGTCAATGGCCGAACTAACAGCGACATTTTTTGGGCGCCCCATTCTCAGCAGGCATCGAGATTTTAGCTTCTATCGTCCTTCAGCCTTTGTTATCGCGAAGATGATTACCGACATACCTAACATCATCCTACAGGTGTCGATATTTTCCATCGTCTACTATTTCTTAATTGGGCTGCAGATGGATGCTGGCAAATTCTTTACCTTTTGGGTCATCACCATAATCTCCGCCCTAATGCTCACTTCGCTATATCGGCTCATCGGATGCATGTTTAACAGTTTCGACAATGCAGCTAAAATATCCGGATTTTATTCCATGGTCATGATGGTGTATGCTGGATTTTTTATTCCCTTCCAAACCATGCATGTCTGGTTTCGCTGGATTTGGTATATTAATCCTTGTGGCTACGCCTACGAGGCGCTCCTAGCAAATGAATACTCTGGATTGGTTCTCGAATGCACCGGGGCCCAACTCATCCCCAATGGCGATGCTTACGCTGGAGCTCAAAATCGAGCATGCACGATCCCCGGCGCATCTGCTGATGGTACCCAGATCGTCGGCGAAGACTACCTCCAAACTGCTTTTAGCTACTCACCAGCACATATCTGGCGTAATTTCGGCATATGCATTGCTTGGTGGATAGCCTTCACAGCTTGCACTGCCATTGCCATGGAAAGATCCAGTTCAAACAGCAGCAGCAAATCCTCCGTCATATTCAAGCGCGGAAAGGACAACAAAAGCACATCCAAATCCATTCGGAAACCCACGGATGAGGAGAAGCAGAGTGTATCAGTGCCGATCGGATCGTCATCATCATCTACTACCCAAGTCCCTGAAGATGACGACTTGAAACTGGCTCGCAACGAATCCATATTTACATGGGATCATCTCTCATATACAGTTGATGTTCCTGGAGGGAAACGGAAGCTGCTGGACGACATCACTGGTTGGGTCAAGCCAGGGCAACTTGGAGCTCTCATGGGAAGCTCGGGTGCCGGAAAGACAACGCTTTTAGATGTTCTCGCACAGCGCAAGGATACTGGTGTCATCACGGGTGAGGTGCTTGTGGATGGTAGACCTCTTCCAGTAAGTTTCCAACGTTCTGCTGGATACTGCGAACAAATGGATGTCCACGAGGGCACATCAACCGTCAGAGAGGCACTCATCTTCTCTGCTCGCCTAAGACAATCAATGGAGACCCCGGATCAGGAGAAGCTCAACTATGTCGAGAGTATTATCAAGCTTCTTGAACTTGAAGATATACAGGATGCTCTCATTGGTGTACCGGGTGCAGGCCTTACCATTGAACAACGCAAGCGCCTTACTATTGGCGTTGAGTTGGCTGCTAAGCCATCGATTCTTCTGTTTCTTGACGAGCCTACATCGGGATTAGATGGCCAATCATCCTTTAACATTGTCCGTTTTCTTCGAAGACTTACAGCAGCCGGACAGGCCGTTCTTTGCACGATTCATCAGCCCTCAGCGTCACTTTTCGAATCGTTCGACAGCTTGCTGCTCCTCGCAAAGGGTGGACAAACTGTCTATTTTGGGGAAACTGGCGAGAATTCGTCAATTCTGCTAAAGTATTTCTCTCAGAATGGGGCGCCATGTAACCCAGATGTCAACCCGGCAGAGCATATTATTGACGTTGTGTCTGGATCTGCCGGCGGCGGCCGTGACTGGCATTCTGTATGGGTTGAATCCCCTGAACACTCTCGCATGGTTGAACATATGGCCGAGATCAAGGCCGAGGCCCTATCCAAGCCATCTACTCTCAAGACCGACGACCGCGACTTTGCCACGCCGCTTTGGACACAACTAAAGTTGGTAACAGCGCGTCAAAAGACTGCTCTCTGGAGAAACCCAACCTACGTTTGGAACAAGGTTTTAATTCATGTCAGCTGCGCAATCTTTGCTGGTTTCACCTTTTGGAAGTTAGGTAACAGTACGAGCGACTTGCAGCTGGTATTACTGTCTTGCTTCAATTTTCTGTTCGTCGCTATCGGCGTCATCGCTCAGCTTCAGCCTCTCTTCATGCATTACCGCGACATCTTTGAAGCCCGCGAGAAGAAGGTAAGTCACATCTCTCTCGTTTTGACTCTCACTAACAGCCGACCAACAGTCAAAAATGTACAGCTGGGTTGCTTTCGTCAGTGCCCAACTTATTGCAGAGATGCCATATCTCATAATTTGCGGCGTCCTCTACTTCGCTTGCTGGTATTTCACCATCGGCCTCACCGTCGCAGGTTCTACCTCAGGCCAGGTATTCTTCCAGATGATCCTCTTTGAATTTCTCTATACCGCGATCGGGCAGGGAATTGCGGCCATCTCGCCCAGCCCCTTTTTCGCGTCCCTGCTTAACCCGACCATTATCGCCTCATTTTTCATCAACTTCGCAGGTGTGCTACAGCCGTACTCGCAGCTCTCTGTGTTCTGGAAGTACTGGATGTATTATATGAATCCGTACAACTACCTCATTGGTGGCTTGGTGACGCAGCCGCTATACGATATTGATGTGGTGTGTTCAGCAAAGGATATTGCAAGCTTTGCGCCCCCTAATGGAAGTACTTGTGGAGACTACATGGCAAAATTCTTTGAAACTGGGTTTGGGTATTTGGTTGATCCGGAGAGCAAGACCAATTGCGAGTACTGCGCGTTTAAGACAGGAGGGGAGTTTGCGAAGACTCTAAATTACAATGAGAGGATGTATGGGTGGAGAGATGTAAGTTATTTTCTGGCTCCTCACACATCTAAAGATTTACGTTGCTAACTTGGTGGTAGACTGGTATTACAGCGCTATTCTGCATCTCAACCTATGGATTTGTTTTCCTGATGATGAAGCTGCGCAGCAAGAAGACGAAGAGCGCCAAGTTGGAGTAGATGGTGTTTGGTCTAGTAGTGGACCTGTGTACGAAAGAAGAACACTCTTTTAATGCTTTCCTTTAGAATTTCTTAATAGATTGTGATCATGTCAAGTAAGCTGACATGACTAGTTTGGGAATAGATGGGGATGTCGGGAGTTTATTAGATTGAATACTAGACAGTATAGACGGTATAAATATAGAAGTTTATATAGGAAGAATCCATGTTGAACCATTATTAGACGAGATCAAATAACGCACACTCATATATTAAATAGAGTAACCATGTCCCACCTGGAGTACCGCGACGTCTGGAAATACCCGACGTCTTCTACAAACCCCTTTTAATATATACACAACATAAACCTGGTAAATCCCCTGACATTACACATATCCCTCATCATCCAATTGCTTTTCAACCATATCCATGAAGACACAAAACCGCCTAAAACATCATCAACCCACTCACAACAACACCCACTACCACCGCCACCACCTCCCCGGGCACGACCTTCCCACTCCCGGACTCCTCCACCACCACCCCCGCAACCTTAAACTCCGGATTATAATTGGCCGGCACCGTCGAATTCAGACTCCCATCCCAACAATACCTCTTAAAGCAATTCGTACACGCATCCGGCACCGCCGTCTCGGTCCTATCCCAGCTGCGGCTCAGCACCGCACACCCAAGACAAGTCAGCCACTCCGCATCCACGGTCCCGTTCCCCATCGTCGCGACGTCATAGCCGTTCTGGATAATCAGGTTGCGCTGCGCGTCATCGTAGGCGGGGTCGAATGTCGAGACGTTCGAGTGCGTTATGTACGGCGCGTGCGGGACGTAGACGACTAGTGGGGTGAGGGAGGTGGTGTTCTTGGGATCGCATCCGAAGAAGGTTGGGCGATTGTTGAGGCCCAGGTTGACGAAGGTGTTAACGTCAGGGATAGAGGGGAAGGATGTCCCGTTGGCCATGGTGGCGTTGAGAGAGCGCTCGTAGGTAGCTACCAGCGCGGTGCCGTTGGGCCAGAAGAACTCAGTGTCAGCGCTCGCGTCGACAGCGAAAATGACGTCCAGGTGGCGCACGGGCTGGATGAGCGGGTGCAGAGGGATATTCTGGAGATCCTCGCCACCATCGACGAGGGAGAGTTCCGTGACGTCCGCATCGCGGTTCGTGGCGGGGTTGTAGTGGAAGAAGGGGTTGGGGGAGTACTGCGCGATGTCGTTGTTATCCTGGCCGATGCTCTTGAGGACTGAGGCGAGAGCCTCGGTGAGGAGACTTGAGGACGACCCGTTGATGTTGAGGATGAACTGGTTGAAGAGCGTGGAGGAGGTGCCAAAGACGTAGCCAGCGTTGTCGAAGCCGCGCACACACGAGGCAGAGGTGGGGACCACGCCGCCATCGAATTTGGAGCCGAGGTAGCGGGTTGGTGCGAAGCCGAAGGTGGTAGGATCCCAGGAGCCCATCTCGAAGGGGTTAAATTCATAGACTGTTGTGTTGAGGGAGACGATTATGTCGCCTGGCGCGCGGCCGTCGGCGACGATGACGGGGAAGGGGGTTTCTCCATTCTTGAAGTTGTCTTGCAGCGCGATGGATGAGAATGTGTATGCTGGTCCCCCATCAGTAGCATTGATGAGTTGGTAGCTCAGCGCTCGGCCCCAGTAATCAGTGATAGACACCTCATATCCAGCATTCTTCTTCGAATCGACCTGGCCCTTGATGTTCTTGTAGTACTCGGCGGTATTGAGAATCGAGATCCCATCCTCCTTCGGGCCCTGGAAAATCGAGTTCCCAAACTGCCACACGGATGACCCAGGACTCCCATCTCGGAGTGTCGTCACCGAGCTGAAGTTATTCGCGTATATCGACCCAACCAGCCAGCTTCCACCCGACAGACCCGAAAGATACGTGGCTGACTGCAGCAGCCCACCAATCCCTCCCTTCCCAGTCGCATTCACCGTCCGGCTATCCGCCGCCGCCAGAAACCCCGCTCCGTACATCAGCGCTCTGTATCCTCCCCCAGAGATCGCAATACCAATGTTGGGCAGCGCGGTCGCATTGTCACGGAACTTCTCGATATACGCCGCTGCATCAAAGCCTGAAATGTTCGCGCGCGAAAGCAGGTCCTTCATAGGCTCGATCGTGTTATTCCGACGCACGGGCAGCCATTCCGTCTCGTTCGTCGACAGGGAGGCGGCATTGCGAATGGTCGGGCGGGTGGCAGGGCAGCTGACATTGCCGGGGGCGTAGCCGTTGGTGGGGGAGTCTGGGAGGCCGCGGTTGAGGAGTTCGGAGGCGGCGACGAGGGCGACTGCTCCATAGTCGAGGTGGGCGCCATCGCGGGGTGCGACTATAGCTGTTGCTTCGTGACGTTAGTACTCGCTCGGAGCTCCGGATGAGCGCGTGCTCGACGAGGGAAGCTACTTACCGTAGCTGAGCTGTGCGACAGTCGCCAACGAGACAATTCCTGAAAGGATTTTCATGTTTGCTTCTCACAACTGGGTTGATCTAACAGATCGTGACAGTGTATGAAGCACAATTGGTGACCAAAGGGTCTCAAAAGTATTTGTAGCCTTCGTAGAAAGTGGAGCGGATTGGATATTCGGGGACCCGAGTGGCTGTGCAAGGGGGTTAGAAGTCGCCGAAGTACGTACACCTTAGCTTAAAGCTTAAAGGGATCAGCGATAATTTCGATAAGGCTGAGGGAACGGAACGAAGGTTTCAGTTATAAGCAACACTGATTCCAAGATCCTATGTAGCAACCGAAATAACTGAAGATTCGGAAGATAGATCTACGGCAGGGAAAGTAATTTTGAGGGAATAGTTCCTTATAAGGTAAAGTGATACAGCCACATTTCTTACCCAGGTCAGGTCCTGGTCAGGTCAGCTTCAGATCAGCTCAGCCTCAGCTGGGCGCCCAGACAAAACGCGTCACTCTATACAGCCACTAGGAGTTAATTCTATGAAACCAAAAACGGGTCTGGATAGATCCGAGTAGATCCGAGTAAATCCCAGCAGATTTGTTGGTCAGTCGAGTATTTCGGGACATTTCAACCCTGCGATGGTCCCTAGGATCGCGCGCGATGGATACCAGTTTGGGGTTTAGCTCGAACTCTTCGATGTTGTAAGATCCGAGTCGGGCGTTAAGAAAGCGATGGTCCCGCGAGCCGTTATTACCACGCTAGAGGTTGGTAGGGCTTAAAGTGAGATTTGACATACAATAGCTACAACTGCCATAGCATCCAATCTTGTTGGATACGAGGTTCGAGAGACACTATTTACGCCTCGATGGTCTTTAGGTGAGAGCGCGATTTATTACGGTTTTGGGATTAGCTCGGAAGCTCTGTTGATGATGAAAGCTCCAAGCCACCGGCCGGACGTTAGAAGGAAGCAGGTCCCGAGCAATTATCACCAACCGGAGATTAGTACAGTAGGGCTTAATACGAAGATAGATATGCAATACATAACAAGCAATACAATACATAAAAAGTAGTATCATCGGCATAGTCCTAGACCGAGGAACAAGAGGGGCATTTTATGCGATCATTATGAAAACACAAAATCGTGCCTGAAACACAAGGCACTAAGACCCGTCAATGCCATCACAGCTACCCCAAAAGTTGAAGCTCCACCAAGAAAGTTACCAGCCATATCAACCTCGAACGTCAAACTCCACGAACCTCACCCACCTAACATCCTCTCCTACCTCAATCACCGCCCTCACATGCTCGCCACCTAACCACCAACCCCCAAACCACAACAATGGGCAACACCGCCTCCAAAGCCGCCCGCTCCACGCGCAAATACCCAACCACAGCCTCCCCCTCCATCTCCAACCGCCCCACGCCCTCCTCCCGCTCCACCGTAAAAGCCTCGGGCACACGCAACGCCGGTATGCCTTCCCTATACCTCCTACCCCCTCCGCCTCCCTTCCTACCCGTCGCACTATCCCCCACCTCCCCACCAAACACTTTGAAAAACAGTAAAACTAACACGACGCCTTCCTAGAAATCTCCCGCGACGCCCAAGACCCCGACTTCTCCTCCCCCCCCACCTCGGCCTTCGCACAGCGCCTACGCACATTAGGAGCTGTGAAACCGATGCCGACGCACTCGCCCAGCGCTACGACTGTGCAGCCGCCTACGAACTACCCCCCTACCTCCACCTCCACCGGCTCGTCGACTTCCAGTTTTGCCCCTTCGACCACGGCTTCGGCGCCACCTACAAACCCCTCTCTCCTAATATTCCACTCCCGCACCCGACTCGCGAGGGAGGCAGAGGCGGAGTTTGAAGCTGCTACGCGCGGGGGACAACAGGCCCTAAGGAGGTTTCTGGATGTTGGGGGGGTGAGGGGTGTGGTTGAGATGGTGGGGAAGGGGAGGGGAGGGGAGATGGGTGTTGATCCCGTCGTCGTGAGGGCGCTGGGGAGGGGGGTTGTGGGGGTTAGTGATGTTAGGAGGGGTGGGGGGCAGGGGATATAGTTATAGGAGTGGGAGGGGCATGAGGGGTGATTGATAAGAGGAGGGCGAAAGGGAATTAAGGGGCGAGGAGAGGATGAGAGGAAGGGAGAAGCTGTATATATATGTATGTGATGTAAGATATACTGTATTTTTTGTATACTAAACATAAACAACCCCATCGATCCAATCCATGCACCCCCCCCCCCCCCCAACCAACAGTCGCGCACGCAAGAGCCATTTCCATGTCATTCACCAATCGCATCCCCCCAAAACTGCTCAGCCAGCAATGCATCCCCGCGCCGCAACGAAGAAGAAGGACAAAAAGCTAACTTCCAACCAACCTCCAAAAGCCTGCACCAACTACGCCTTGCACCACTTGCTTTCCTCCTTCATCCCTCCATTGGCAGTCCCCCCCCAATCCCCGGCACCTGCGGGCTCAGCAGCTATCCCTTAGAATCAGCAGCCTACCAAGCAGCATGGCCCCCATCCATCCTCAGATCTGCCCCCGTCATAAACGAACTAGCATCACTAAGCAAAAACACCGCCGCGCCCCTATACTCCTCTGGGCTACTCAAGCGGCCCAGCATATTCTGGGCGGGCCAATCGGTCTCCCGCTCGGGGAAGCGCTCGAATAGCTCGGTAACCATCTGCGTGACGATGTAGCCGGGTGACAGGCTGTTGACGCGGATGTGGTGCGTGCCCCATTCCGAGGCGAGGTTGCGGGCGAGTTGAAGGACGGCGGCTTTGGAGGCGTTGTAGGCGGGGCAGATGAGGCCCTAGGGGGGTGGTATTAGGGGGTTATGAGGTGTGGGGGGGAGGAGGGATAAGAAGGAAGAGAGGGGGAAAAGAGGACTCACCCTGTTAGCAACGGTCCCGCTCATACTCCCAATTAACACAATGGATCCGCCTCTTCCTGAGGCAATCATGTGCCTAGCCACTGCTTGCGCCGTCATGAATACCCCCGTTACATTAATCTCGAACATACGACTACCCCCCGTCAGCACCCTGTTCACCTCAATAAACCCCCCCCCCCCCAAAAAAAAAAGAGAAAACTCACTTCGCATCCTCGGCCTTATACTCAATAGCCGGCGTCTCCTGCTGAATCCCCGCCGCCGCAATCAGTCCATCAATCCCCCCCTCCCTCTCCGCAATCCCATCCACAACCCCCCTCAGCACATCCACCTCCCTCACATCCACGCGCGCGTACTCGAGTCGCGTCCCCAGTGCGAGGGCTTTCTCCTGCACGCGCGCGAACTCAGGACTGGGCTCAGAGAGCCGGTCGAGGGCGTAGACGGTCGCGCCGGCTTCGAGAAGGGCTTCGGCTTGCACGAGGCCCAGGCCACGGCCGGCGCCGGAGACGACGACGATCTTGCCTGCGAGGGAGAACTCGGGTAGGACATGGGGGTTTGCTGTGGTTTTAGCTGCGGTGGCTGTGGAACTGGATCTTGAAGTTGAAAGAGGAGCTGTGATAACGACACGGGAGGTGGAAATGGAAGGGCGACCAGCAGCAGCTGCTGCCGCTGTGAGACTAGAAAGGGGACTGCTGCGGCAGGTGGCAGCAGCAAAACCCCCCTTCGACAGGCCCCCGTGATTGTTGTGCCTGGGCGCCGCAGCGCTGAAGGCGCGGAGGGGGGGTCGCACGGCAGTAGGTGCGCGGGCGAGGGGGCGGGCGCCGAGCCGGGTTAAGCTGCGTGGAAGGGTGAGCATTGCGGCGCGGGGGACAAGGGGAGGGGAGGACGGATGGCGGGCTGGTTCGTGGAAGGGTTTGGGGGTGTTTTGGCGGCGGTGTTGTACGGGGATTTTTGGGCGTGTGTGCGTTTGTGCGAGGTGAAGGTTTGGGGGGTTTGTGTCACGAAGGTGATGATGGGGAAGGGATGGAGGAGAGGGTTATGGGTGCCGTGAGCTGAGCTGGCTCTTTGGCGGCTGACTGGGCTGGGGCGGTGGTCGTGGCCGATTCCTTGGGGAGAGTGGAGGTGGGGTTTTTTTTGGCGTGGAGCTCGGTCTTCGTCGTGGGGTTGTGCTGGTCGTTGGTGGGCGGGTGTGGTGATGGGGGGGGGCCGCGGGGATGGTCGGGGCCAACGGATAGCTTGGAGCTATGCAGCAAGTCACTCAGCCATACGGAGTACATATTTCCTATAGAGCGTTAGTAAAAGGGTTTAGTAGAGTTTAGTAGAGCTTAGTAGAGGGTTAGTATTGTGGTAGTAGAGTCGTAGCACAGTAATGGCGCGTTTGTACTTAGCCGGCAAGTCACCACTATGTATGGAAGCACGAGTGCTTTACCACCAGCACCAAATCTAGGAAACCGTGGAGATCCCGTGATCGGTGTGGCGTGTATGGGCGGCTGGTTGGTGCCAACGGAGTTATGGCTGTTGGTTGGTTCTGTTTGATAGTGTTAGATCGATGTTGGTAAGAGAAGTACTGCATTATCGGTGGCTTAATACCCGGCTGTTTCTGTCACTTCTGTCACTTCGGTCACTTCTGTCGTCACTTTCCCTATCGTCCACGGCGGTTAGAAGGTAGAGCTACAGCCTATAAAGTGATCTAAGAAGCAATATATGCAAGTACCCGTTGTACCCCTCATACCCCGCAGTACTTACAATTGTTGTATCTCGTGTCACGTTTGTTGGGCACATAAAGGGACGGTAATGGGCACGTACGACGACCATAAACGGCTCTGAGACCACTCTGCTATTGGTTTATATGCTGTTCGTATGTCGTATGCTGTTGGGTGGCAGAGATACGCAATCCAGGTGGATAAATAAAATAACGAATAGCTTAATAAATAGAATACTATAAATATTCCCATTGGCCGTCATAAATAGCTTACTTGCAGTTATTTTAGAAGAAGTATCATTTCTCATCATCATCGCCTAGAACGGGAATCCCGAAACGGCAATCCGGGAAAATCGGTTCTTGTCATGTGGGGGAGAAGTGGGTCGTCCCAACTCTTCAGCGGGTCCTGTCAGAATTGACCCCCACTCTCCCGCATTTTTATCACGTGATGGATATAATTAGGTCAATCACGTGCTTGTATCTCACAGTCACGTGTATATTCAACCATCACTCCGTCCTTGATACTATTCCGTGGATACCACAGGTCGTTCCTTCCTCATATTATTACGAGAATATGAGAGGACGCTGCTTCCTAAGATGATCACGTGTATGTCACCACCCTAATAAGACAGATACAGCCCCTTGCATATATCTCAAATCTCCGGGTGTGTGCTACCAACAGTCTGTCATACAGCCTCATTCTTGACCTATTCTTGTCCTACCACTAAAATCTCTTCCCCATCACCCGGCTGCATTGACGAAAAGGTATAGGTGTACGATCACGTAGCATTCCATCGAGTCAAGGGAGTACGATTGGTGTTTTACTGTACTCAGTTGTTGTATCTCCAGCTTCAGCGTGTCACCAGATCGGGGATCGTGATATATGACGGTAACTTTCTTAAGACATATTAACCTCGGAGGTTGTCCTGGCGCATGGTTATGAAGCTACTCCCATAACATTCTAGCGAGTCGAGGGAGTCGAGGGAGTCGAGGGAGTACTGTTGGTGTTTCACTGTAATCAGTTGTTGTTGCATTTTTGTGGTGGTTAGAAATGCGTGTTCACAGCACGCATTTGGTAAGTGTTCTCAGTTTTATACGTTGAGGTTCATCTGCTACCTGCTCAATCCCTGGGCCGGATGCCAATGGTCGATATAGCAAGAACCATTACAACAGCTCTGGTCTAGTTTTGACGTGTGATGCTGCTCGCTAGAGCTGTTGGGAGCTCGAAGCAAGGGGCTAACATAGACAGCAAAGCGAGTAAGGGGCTTCTATAATCTTAAATCACAAAGCTCTCGGGAACGCGAATGACAGGAAGTTGCCCTTACCGAACGGGAAGAGTGCACTTTAAAATTACAGGGCAACCATAACCCCTTTCTGTATATGTGTTAGACCACCTCCTAGGACTGCGAATAATGATTCAAAGACGGGAAGAAATTGGCTTTGCGAGCCCCAACTGTAACAATGCATTTTATAAGGTTATAGAGTGACTAATCAGTTCTCTACGCATCTATTGAACGAGCCCCTCGACTGGAAACAAGGGAGCTTGAATCAGACGAACAGGACGGACGAAATGGCAACTTATAAATTAACTACGCCCACCTCTGTGGCTGTATCTGGAGCACCTCTCACCAGACTTCATTCTTCCTCACAAACCCACGACGCAACTAAATCCACCCCCAACTACACCCACCAACCGCCACAATGCAACTCGCCTCCCTCCTCACCCTCGCCACACTCCTCCTCTCCACCGCCGTGATGGCTGACGACTGCTACAAAGTCAGGCACTTCGGATACGGCCGCTACTGTTCGTTGGGGAAGTGCAAGGACGGATACAAGCCGCTCGAAAACAGATTCTGTGATATGAAGGCGGCGTGCTGCAATACGTACTGCTGTAGGGGATAGGATAAATTAGAGGGTTAAGAAGGATATGCGAGGTGAGTTTGGGGTCCGCACAGGATGTGGATTCCGGGGTTGGAGCTGATTTGATAAGCAGAGAAAAAGCAAATGGGGGAGGCATGTTATTTTCTTGGCTTGGGGGGGGTTGATGGGGAGGGGTGACGGATACACATTCTAAGTAATAGATTATTCTGAAATAAATGGGGTTGAAAACCACAAACTCATTGTGATGTATGCGCTGCAAGAGCTATAGCTCGAGTCCCCCCATGCAAGGGCAAATTAAGACATTATAACGGCCCTTTTGCTTCCCCTAGCATATCTCGATTCGGGGGATCGAGATATGGCAATCCCCATTAGAATCTGGTGGAACTACCTTACTTCAAAAGTTGGAACACGAGACTCCGAGGGGGTGCTGTTGGAAAATAGGGTTTGTCATCTGAAGTTTAGAGATCCCCCCTTTCGGGGTTGGGAATCACTTATATACTCTTAATCCGTATGTCACCATCCAGAAACCACAGCCGCCAGTCTCGCAGCCGTGCTTAGTCTCACAATCGCTCTCAGACCCACAAACTTCCTGCCAAACCTCACACCGACACACTCACATACCTACCGCCTTCCAACTATCACCCATCCGCCCACTACAATGCGTCTCGCCACCATCCTCCTCCTCGCCACAACCCTCGCATTTGGACTTGCAGCCCCTTATCCTTATAAATCACACTGTTATGAGCTATACAACCAGGGAGACCCTAAACATTGTTCGTGGTGTAATGGGGGGTATCAACCTGTTTATAATGGGTTTTGCGATACGGTGAATTCGTGCTGTCACGTCCAGTGCTGTATATAGGGGGAAGCGAGGGGAGACAAGCTGAGAATATTTGCCTCTATTTCTCAATTTAGGGGAACGTGAGATGTCATATGCATATATCGACCCCGACAGCATCTGGTGGAACTGCCTTGCTTCCAACGTTAGAATGAAAGATCCGGGGGGTTCAGTTTAGAGAATGTATAGCTTTTTATTCTAGAGACTGGAGATGTCCACTTGGGGACTGGGGAGTACTTATAGACCCCCAATCCTTCTATCCTTCTCCACAGACCACAGTCACCTGTCCTAAAATCACACTCCGTCTCAGTCTCACAAATCGCCCACACAACTTCAAGCCCACCACTACAGCAAAGCTCAAGCCCTCACAATGCGTCTTGTCACCCTCTTCTTCCTTGTCACGACCCTAGTCTCCACCTCTCAAGCAAAAGAAGATTGTTACGGACTATTCAACTACGGGACAAGCAGTCATTGTGCACTGTGCAATAAAGGCTACGAGGTTGTGTTCGAGGGGTTTTGCGATACGAAGAATGCATGCTGTTATGTTTCTTGCTGTCGATGGGTTAAATAGGGAAGGGGGGATTGGGGGAGTGGAAGTGGAAGTTAAAATGGGTAGCGAGGTGTTTGGATAGGTTGGGACAATTATGTGGCTTCGGAGATGGGAAGAGGGAGGGGGGTTATTGGGTTATAACGTATAAGAAAACGCTAGTATAAATTTCAGCATTGTTATCAAATTATATGATTTAGTCCGCCGGTGTGAAGACGCTTATATTCCGGGGTAAAACAACAGGAATATATGAGCAAGGGGTGCTGGATGAGGGTGGGATGGACCTGTAGTAGATAGTGAGGCTTTTCGGCACGTCACATTGCCTAACTTTATCTTGTATTATGGCTTTCTCATGTTGCATAGCATTCGCACACGAGGTCATCTGTAGGACGCCAAGCACATCCACGTCATCTGAAGAATTCAAATGGAATTTTCTACGGTAATACACATAGAAAACACGTCGGACAGACAAGCCGTCAACTCAAATAACCTACGTTACCCCTCTCGGCGAGCTCGCCCTCGAGGCGCGGATCCGGAGTATATAAAGATAATGGTCAACCTCTTGCTTCGATGAATAACACAGAGCTACCACATTATTATTACCAGTAAAACAAGAAAAAAGAACACTCATACCAAACCAATCATGAAAACCCCCTTCGCGGCCCTCCTCACCTTCGCCCTCCTCACTACCTCCAACGCTGCATACCAGTGCCTTGATTCAGCACCCAACCTATACTGCTGCCAGAACCACCCCTTCGCCTGCCAGATTCGTGCGTCCCCCTTCTCCACCTACCTTTCTCCACCTTTCCGGCAGCTGCAGCTAACCGCTTCTTCCATCACCGTAGTGCGAGACCCAGGTCAAGACCCGTCAAAACCGCCTGGAGCTTCATATCAACCTGCCGATTTAAACGCGTTCGCAGCGGCTTGCACGCGACTCAATGGGGCGTCATGGCCAGCTTGCTGTTATGTAGATGCGGCGATAGTAGGTTGACCCATTTGCTTTGCGTGTGGGTTTGAGAAGGTATGCTGACGGGTGGGATAGACGTCGTGTAATCGGGCATTCAATACCAAAAATCGCAGACAGAATCGTAAGATTGCAAAGTACGAAGATTAACTATTTGAAGAGGGGGTTTTTGGTTGACTGATAATTTTTTTTAGCTGGGGTACTTTGGACGGGTATGCTACGGAACTTCCACAGGGGTATCAGACACAAGCTCCAAAATACTGATGGAGGGAAAGAGGGGTGAGGGGTGGTGATGATAATTATGACAGGGATGACTATGACTTCCACTCTGAGACTGGTATTAAGCAATAGATAAAGTTATGGGCCCTAAAGTTATAGCGATGAACGTTCCGATTGGAAATTTGCAACGGCTTTGCTACTGTTTTTGGCAGTGTCTTGTTTAATTGTTGGTCGCCATGAGAACCGTTGAAACTGTCAAATCTCAGTAGCACAATGTGAGACACATAAGTTCCACACCACACGGTACACACTCAGTAACCAGCTTCGTTCCCCAGGTCTCGGCAATGGAAGTTAAATCCTTTGCCAATATTTGGGTTTAAATGGGGGGAACCCCCCTCTTGTCAGAGATACAATTCCTCGTCGCTGTCTTAGTCGTAAGTCCGCCGTTATTGATTCAGCCTTTACACGACTCCATATACCCCCCACAAGACACCCATCAATCTCCTACCATGCATCTCAAAACTACTCTTTTTATCACTGCCATATTTGTTTCCACCTCCATGGCTGCTTTGCGATTTCCAACTACGGAAAGCCCGACCCCTGCCAATCCTGCGGACGACGTATATTTCGACCCACGAGTGAGCTGTGCGATGTCAAGACGAGCTGTTGCCCTGGCTTCTGCTGCTTTCCAGTAAAAAGAGTTTTTTTTTTAATAACTATAAAGTGGGGTAAGTTGACTCTATTTTGTTCCTGGATATGGAACTGAGACAGTGTCTGAGGGCAGAAGATAACAACTATAAGCTTCGGATGGTGTGGCTAGTTCTGATTTTAGTGGATCAATGAAATGCCATGTTATTGAGCAGCACATATAAAAGTTACAGTGACACCTGTTTTGAATGAAACTTGCAACGGCCCGGATGAACGTTGTGTAAGGCTGCCCTCCCAGTTTTGTCTTATTGAGCATCTGGACTCGCTGAAGATTGTGATCTACGCCTACATTCATGCAGTCCTACCTCGCCATTCAAAATGTGAGACCCTGCCATAGTCACGATGGACCATGTATCTCAAACCTTTCTTCATTTTGGTCCTGCTCCGAAATCCCCAGGGAGGCTTCGACATACTTATAGACCCCCTCCGCCGGCGCCTCCAATGCCCCCCTCCCATCACAATATATCCCATTTAACCACACAATTGCCATTCTCACAATACCGGTTTTAATCTCAACACCTCGACACTGAACCTCATAAAAAAAATATGCATTTGCAAACCATCCTTTTCGGCATCGCCGCCTTCTTCGTATCCACTTCCGTAGCACAGAGTTGCTACTCGATCCATCAATACGGATTGGTCGACAATGGCTGCGCGCCTTGCAAGACCAACTACACAATCACCTCCCTCGACGACTGCGATATTACCAAAAAATGCTGCAGCGGCGTCTGCTGCAAACCGGCGCAGACCTCGTTTCCATGATAGATGTATGGTAAGATTCACACTGCTGTTGTAGCTTCTGGGCTTGGATTGGAGCTGACTTGGTATCACAGGGCATCGCATCGGCAGACGCCGATGGATTTCAATTTTGCGACTTTTTCTAGCTATCACCTCGCCTTATATCCGGACCTCTGATTTTGGTGTTCGACAGGCTCAAGGACTGGGATGGATTTGGTGTAACCTTGATGTTATGAGGTTTGGGGGCATACCGTGTTGCAAAGTAGAATAGTAATAGTGATCAATCTTCAACCCAAAATTTTACAATGGCCTTGCTTGACAATGCGTGAGTCCGTCTTACGGCGTTATATCTTTATCCAGACACCAGAGTTGCTGGTATATGATCGCAAAATTCACACTTGTACTATGAACCCACACAACCTTACTTTATAATAATATTCTTCACACTTCAATAGATAATTCATGTTTATTTTTATTTTTATACAACAAGTAATTCTATTGTTGGCTTTACGAAAGCCATTTCATTGATTGGCTGACACAACCCCACTCTTTTCGAATAAGAGCTACAGCACATACCACTTTCTCTTGGAGCTTGGTTATTAATATTATTGTTACGGAGCAATGGTTACTGCAGCCATGGTCGCACTGATATATAAGATATCACATTCATTTACCAGAAGGAGAATATCTTGGCATCGAGATGTGTTTAAAACACAACGTCCTTGCATCAAAATCAACCCTGTGACTCTTTTCCGGCATAACTGAACGAGACGGAACTGACTACGACAATTACACGCCCAGATATGTCTATTGTTAATAAGTACTTATTAGGGCCCCATTCCCACATTCAGAGCAATCTTCTCACAATACATACATACAGTCTATACACTCCATCGCAGACCTAGCTACTCCACCCAAAGAACATGAGTGCCCGCCTGGTCTAACGTTTCAACGTGCATTTTCAAGCTTCTGGATTGAACGTGAGTGCTGTCTCGGCAAATGCTGCCCATAGACGTGCTATGCGTGGTGAGTTAGGTTCTACCCCCCTTCTTAGACTTGGTCTGATTTAACGCCTTCGAGAGTTGACAAAGCTACGTGTTGAGATACTACACTTCCAATTGCCTGTAGCTTAGGGGTCGACGTGGATGCAATGCATTTTTAAGAGTTAGGCCTTCAAATATAGCGTCTATTTCAAATAAACCCCTCATTTTGAATATATTCCCGTGACTCCTAAATATGTTCAAGTATAAAGTAATTCTAGGGCCTTCCACGCCTGCCACCATGTGAGCATTATATGACGTATCCCCGTAATTACCCAGATATGCGTAGCTGTTATTATATGGTATGTATATAGCGGTTTAGCTGCATAGTGCATACCTGCTCTCCTGGTGCAAAATTCTTCCGTGAAAGAGCGAGCTCCTGGAATGGACACGAGTGTTGCCCTAGTTACCCCCCCCCCAAAGACGTGACCGTGACCCCCAAGACGTGATGACACGGTGACTTCTACTTTATTCTTTCCTTCTGGCTTGTTGCTAATGGCCTCATTAGATCACAGTCTTACCATATTCTAGTTGTGTTGTTTGAAGAGCGATGGGATCGGTTAACGACGTGGATTTGGTGCATTTTAAAAGGTGCTACTAATGATAGAATAACAAAACTACCCATTAATATTGAATTGAATAATTGAATAATGTCTTAAACTCCATTCAATATCGCTTTAAAATAAACCCCTTACTCAAAACTTGCTCTTATGATGGAAATGATGAGATATCACCTATTAAATGTCGAAGTAAGGAATGTATTAAGTCAATGTCTTACTAGTTGCATTCCTATGGCTCATAAATATTTCCCTGAGAAGTACTTATAGGCCTCTCCTTGTCCACATTTAGGGCACAACACTTATTTCACATCCCGTCAAAAAAGAAAACGAGTCCACCCTTCAACCACTACCATGCATCTTAAAGTTATTCTTCTCGGCGCCGCTGCCTTGTTCGCATCAGCTTCCGCAGCGCCCCCAGTGAGCAACGACTGCTTGCCCATTACAAACTACGGCACCGTGCAAATGGGCTGCAAACTGTGCCCGGCCGGTCTTACATACATTGGTTGGATCAGCGATAACTGCCATCTTGGATACCAGTGCTGCCGTGGCCTTTGCTGTGTACCTTGAAGGTATTTTAGACTCACATCTCTCTTTAGACTTGTTGCTGACATGATAGCTTAGCTAGTTGGCGGATACTACCGACACAAGACGGCACACCTTCAGTTCAGTTCAGAGGCTTTCTCAAATGGTACTCTTGTCACACAGTGGGCATGTTGTCCGAGGGGCTCTGGGGTTATCAATGTGGATTCAGTGCATTTGTAAGAGTGCTTGCTCCGAGAATGAGATCGCATAACCATCTATTTAACAGAACACAATGATTTACAATCAAGCCTTGATTTCAAATTATACTCTCGTGATTCCTATATTGTTTTTAATCAAGAAGCGGTATTAAAGGACCTCTCTATGCCCCCATTCAGAGCAACTTCCGCAGCATCCCACAACCAGTCTACAGCCACAAACGAATCTTCCAGCCATTACAATGCATCTCAAGGCCATTATTCTCGGCATCGCTGCCACCACGGCATCCTTAGCTTCCGCAGCCCCCCCAGCGCCTCAGGGTTGCAAACCCGTTAATGGTGGATCGTTCGGACCCGCACATTTCCACTGTAGACAAGTCAACTGCGAGGCTGGCGAATACTTCCACTTATATACAAAGGGTTGCAACTATGAACGTCAGTGCTGTGATGGTTATTGCTGCAACTACAAGTGAGTTAAACTCTACCTCTCTCGAGCTTGTTGTTGACTTGATATCTTAGATAGTTGGCGGACGCCATGGAGAACGTCACAAAGTCACAGATAATGGGATTTGGATATTCCTAATTTCAGTAGTATTTTTAAATTATAACCCCGCCGTGCTCCGGCTATGTGGTTTGAAGGGTTCGGGTTATTATGTGGACTTGGTGTGCATTTAAAAATCATGTGAACCAAATAGCATTACTATCCATCAAACTAAGCCGTTTTGAAAAACTTATCCCTCTTAATAAATATATTGGTATCAAAATGTCGTGAAGTCATAACGCCCATTACTTCAAAAGAAACCCCCTGTGATGTGCGTAGCCAGAGAATCAAGCTCTTCCCAACCAAACCCCCTCTGCCCCAGCCTCCATATCCCCCCCAGTTCGCCCCCCTAGTTCGGTCCCACAGGAGCGGCAATGCATTGATGATCCTACACACAATCAGCACTGTCTCAATAATCCCCCGAACCGCCATCACACCAAGACATGGCTTACATTTTCTCCGTGACAGCAGCCCGGCATATGCCCCCCGTTATTCTTCTTATCGGCATACATACACATGTGCCAGAACTCATCATAACTAGCTAGCGTCCTGGTGACTAGAGTGGTGCACATATAGTATTAATAAGCTGCTCCTCAGACGTCGAGGTTATGGGGCTGGTAAGACTAACCAGGGGCACAAGATTCTGGGAAGATAATCTTGTCGTAGCCAGCACAGCATTTTAAGATCGTGTGGTTCGTGGGGCAGTGGTAGACTGGTGCGTCCAGGTGATTAGGGAGGACGAGAGCGAGGGATGTGGTGAATACGAAAAAGAATATGGCGATCATGTTTGCTGCCAGTTGAAGTGAGAAGAAAAATTAAAAAGGTCTCAGAATTGCATGGCCAGGGGTGATATTTATACAAATACCCTGAGGAAAACTCTGCTTTTTATATACACAACTGCACAGCTCGTATCCTCGCCTCGCACAGTTCACGCATAAGCAAGGGGGAGTCCTGTGCGACGGGCACTAACTTCTCCCCGCAGACGTGTTCTAGGAACCCGTCACACATTCAGCCTTACTTCAATCCTTCGGATGAAGTTGTACTTATATAGTTGGCACCGTGGATATTTGCGCTGGTTCTGTGATGGGTCGAAGGGTGACTGGAAGCAAGGGACAGACGATGAGAAGGTCCGAATGAGAAAATTAACGTTGTATGTGCTGTGAACCTGTGGGATTTCATTGAATTGTGGTTATTTATAAGCTCATGGAATCCATGAGAGCAGTTGTTTACAGTGTTCTGCTGCGTAATATTTTTACTTTCTCAACATTGGCTTCTCCAGTTACTAATCCGACACCTGTTCCTCGTCCCCATCCAGACTATACAATTTCCTTAACTGTGACATTGATGCGCCGGGAACCCAGTCTAGCACGCCTTTTCTCTTCATCTGAAACCGTAATCTCAACATCTGCATGCGCAATGCACCCACAAGAGTACTGCCACACGGCAAAATTATCTTTTTCTTCTGGCCCGATCACTTTCCGGAGTGTGCTAAAGTATTTGCGGATTACACACTCCCAATTTGCCACTTTGTACCATCGGTAATCGACTTGTACATTTGTGGTCTCGTTGCGGTCGTGGCAGGGAATATAAAGACCGAGATGGATTTGACGGCCAGATGAGTTCTGAGCAACGAGGGAAATAAAAACAGACTCCACGTTTGGGCAGAGCTTGATGAGGGACTGGAAGGGCTCAATGATTTGGGTGAGGAAACTGCACCTATCAAAGTGCCTGCCCCCATCCTCCTCGTCCCGTGATAATATTGGACTGGAGTAAACGAGTGTGATGCTGCGGGCGGAGTGGCGTAGAACATCTTTGTGTTTGAAGGTACTGAGGGCCGCGTCAAAGTCACTCACACCGAGCTCACGGAGCCATATATCCTGTGCGTGCGACTGGCACACCTCAAGAACCTCGTTCCTGATTTGATGGCAGAGTAACTGAAGTTGTTTGGAGCCGAATGAATATTTAAATCTCGTCCTGGAAATATTAGAATTTGAAACGCTAGTTTTTGGTAAAGGTATCGATGCTGTCATGATAGCCCAATGGTCTTTGGACGATCCGAGTACGCGGACATAAATATCATTCCTTATCTCCCTTGGTAAGTCGAGGAAGGCGAGGAAAGTTTTATCTAACCCCCCTTTTTCTTTTATCCTTTCAAATATGTTAGTTATGTCCAGAGAAACTAAAAATGATTATTACCTTGAACCCCGGTTCTCTGGTGAACTGAAACGGCATTCTTGGTCGACCTCGTTGGAATGCCCACAATTCTCCGTACACTCCATATGATCGGGCCAATGCAGGGCCAGCATCAACATAGATGGCTTGCAGGTGTATTCGTGAGCCAACCTCATCGCCCCAAGACCAAAATACGGCGAATAAATATTGGGTGTCTCGAAAGTAATGATAGTGTGGCTGAGGGTGTGCGAGTCTTCGAAATGGTGTCCTAGGCAACATTTGCAGTTGTTGTTCTGCGCGTATTCGATTTGAGAAGGCAGGGGAATAACCAACTCCATTTTAGCCCAGAGAGCCATTATAGCCAAGAGAGAGCAGAGAGACCAAGATAGATTCTTGAGAGAACAGGGTTGTTCAGAAACGAAGACAATCTACCCGCCGAAAACAGGTAAACTCAAAGATGATTTTCGATAGAGACATCCACAATCTCCATTTCCCAGAGTTCGTTTTCGAAATGGCAGACCAAAATGATATCCAATAAGGATAGAAAGGCAAACAGAAAAATTGTAGTGATGTTGAAGAAGTCTGTGATGGTGGGGAGGCGGGAGGGGACGGGTTTAATGGAAAGAGGAAAGAATAAACATTGTGTGCTGACGAGCGGAAAAGAAGGAAGGTGCGTTGTAAAAGTGCGAAAGAAGAAGTTGCGTGTAGAAATTGTTTGAAATGAAGATCAGAAGAGATGGAAGATATCCAAGTTCGAAGGTGAATTTGAAATTGAAAATTATCCTCGGAAATCTAGCTATGAACAACACTTGGTGTTGGTCCTCAAATTCGGCAGTCAAGATGAATTCAAAAACATTTTCATTTTCCAATCGAACCTTTGGGCCCGCCTGCACTCGACTCCCAAGATCAAAATTTAGGCAGGAACCACCAACGTGAAGGAAGCAAACCGACAATTATATTTCCTTTTATTAAAACCAATCTATTTCCCTTCCCAGGAACCTATAAAAACCCAATAATTTTTCCCGGAGCAGGTATCTCCCTGCAAACATCTAATCCCATTTACCTTCCAAAAGCGTGAGTAGATAACCCCAACCGCGATGCAACAAAATAAAACACCGCTGAAATCCCACGCCGTAGGAGAGACCAAAGTTCTACAGAAAACTCGAAATCTTTACAACTCCACCTTGTACTTGATCCGCAGCTTCTCACCCCACACCGAAATCCACCACGGCACCCATATAAACGCCAGCGCCACGAACGCGAGCAAGCTATTTCCCCATCCGAGTCCAAGGGCCTTATACATATCCTGGCCCGCGAGCGGCAGGACCGCACCGAGGATACACCTAATAACCGTGTTCGCCGCCAATGCACTGGCTGCATAGACGGTGAATGCGTCGACCATGTACATCTGGATGGACATGAAAACGCCCAGGTTGCCGATGCCGATGAGCAACGTGCCCAAGATGGGTACGATGTAGTGGACCTTGTACTGCGCGGTCCAGCCATAGATGAACAAGCCGGCTGGGATGAGTACGGAGGCAGGGAACAAAAGTGGGAGGCGGTACTCGGGTTTGTAGACCAAATCCTTGTCCTCAGTGCCAGGAGGGCAGTCCTTGCGCGCGTTGGATTTGAGGATGCGGTCGGACGTGGTGCCGGTGATGACCAGGCCCAGTAGAGAGCCTAGTCCAATGCCGAGGAAGGAAAGTCCGACGGAGCCAGAGGAAAAGTGGTATTGGTCCGCGAAGACGACGGAGAAGGTCGTGAAGAGGAGGTAGAGGTAGCCGTATACCACGCCCATGTATACCGACAGAGTGAGCACGATGGGACTTAGGACAAGGAGTTTCATGGGGCGCACGATGGCGCGGGCGAACACTTCGCGCGGCGTGAGGCCGGTGTCGAGTTTTGACCTCAAGTCGGTGTTGCCGGTTTCCTTGATCAGGCGGGCAGTCTTGCGCGCGAGGAGCACTGGCGCATAACTTTCTTGGAGGAGGGCGAGGCACATGAGCGAGAATACTCCTGTGGTGATGGCGAGGATGTAGAAGATCCAGCGCCACCCGATGGACTCGGCGGCGAATCCTCCAGCCACGGGCCCAATAACTGGTCCGAGGAGGGGTCCGAGAACAAACCCGGACATAGCTATCCCGCGGCGCTGCTGTGCGATGAGATCGGCAATGGTGCCTCCACCGATGGTGAGACACGCAGAGCCTGCCACGCCAGCTAGAAAGCGGAAACCGATGAGCATGTTCAGGTCTGTGGCCAAGGCGCAGGCGACGTTGAAGATGACGAAGAGCGCGTTCGTTACGTGGTACACGGGCACGCGACCGTAGATCTCGGAGAGTGGTGCGAGGAATAGGGGCCCGACGCCGAACCCTAGAATATACACTGAGACGACAAATGAGGCTAGTGTTTTGGAAGTTGAGTCGAATTCCTTCATGAGAGATGGCACGCCAGGGGCAAACATGGCTGAGGGATGGATTAGTGTCTAGTCGATCAACACGGGATGAGATCAATACGTACAGGATGCGAGCGGCGCGACAAAGGTCAGCATACTGACGAGAGTGACGTTTCCTGCCCTCTTCCACCTTGGCCAGTTCATCGGGTTCTGTGGATCATCGGGTCCATCCCACCAAACGATGTTCGGGTCCGTGATCTCCTCCTCCGCTGGCTTCTCGCCGCCCTCGACGTCTTTCTCTGCGTCTACCTTTGGGGCAGCGACACCCGCCTCCTCCAGCTTCTCATTCTGGACCGATCCATGGACAGAGTCGACGTCGGTCTTAGATCCAGGTGTTGCCAGACCCTCTGCAACGAGCTTATGCTCGTTCTCCAACGAATGGGTTGATACGGAGCTCGACATGGCTTTGTGCCAACTGCAAGACACCCATTGTCAGTTTGATAATCCAGTTATACATCACGGGCCATTGGCATCGTCGTCGACTTTGAGTTCAAGGCCGAGGCTGGTTGAAGTTGTCTCGCCCGCCATGCCAATACCATGCCGCGCGAGCCGGGGTGGGGTAAAAGTTGGGGTCGTGGAGAGAAATTCCCGCTGCGGGAGGCGGAGAGTGCGGAGTCGTTCTCCATTAATCACGTACCTGGAAGCCAAAGCAATTATCACAACTTCTGCGCCAACTGCTGTGCTTGTTCAACACTACTGTTCTTTGGTTTGGAGGTATCAGCACAAGGCATAGTATATATTTGATCAGAAAAAGCCTAGATGACTACTATTATTGTGAAATCCGTAGGAGTCAGAGACCCCACAGTGTGCTGATCCTATCCCTCCATGGCGTGGAATCGGGGTCGGAAAGTGTTGAATCGGTTTCCAGCTTAAGGCCGCACAAAGCAGCCGCTCTAGCTGGATCCCTACCTCCTTTTTTGACCATCGAAGCTGTCATTGGATGGGTATATCGGCACGCTTGACATAATTGCGAAATGCACGCCGATGCACACGTGAAGCATACCAACAAGCGTGTTAGCTCGATGTTAGCTCGATGCTAGGCTGACGCCCCGATAAGTCCTATTTCCGAAGGCGGAGCATCCATGGAGTGTCCGTGGAAAGTCCATGGAGAGTCCATCGAATAAACTTTCTTGTTGCTAATAGGGTGCATAACGAGTATCAGGGTTGGATAATGGGTGCATAACGGAGGGATAAGTGACAATAAGCTGGCGTCCTTTCCGACTCGCCGAGAGACATGCCCATTTTATCCGCCGACGGTCGCACTCAATCCACGAGGCGCAACTTACGAAACATGGCACCCAGGAATGAAATCTCCGGATCGGCGGTCGATTTCAGAAGGCTGAGATCCTATCATTGTCGCGTTGATGGAGGTGTCGCACCGTCTCCTTTCTTTTCTCGAGGCCGAGTCCAGTTTCTTCTTGTGGGGCCGAGCCCGCTGTCATATCTCGAGGCCAAGTCCGCTGTCATCTCTTGAGGCCGAGCCCGCTTTTTTCTAGTGAAGTCAAAGCCTGGCGATATTTCCGCGTTGACGGTCAGCCATGCGCAGCCATGACAGGGCAGCTGCGTGAAGGTTCATGCCGTGGCTGTAAGACCCCGTGCCTCCCTCGTGCAACTTGACTTGGATGTGGCTTCCTGCAATGTTTCCCCAGAATGAGGGTCTGGAACGCAGCCTGCCAGTGAGGCAAGCGAAGCTGACCTACATGGTGGCTCGACATGAAGCCAAAAAGTCGTGCCTATGGCGACTGGGTAATCAAATCGATGCGCTCGTATCTGCATCCCCCCCTCGCCAATATTTTGTAGGTGGCATAAGCCCTCTATTTGTACAGCCATCCCCGGTAACCTTCGGTAGGTCGTCGGTAGCTGTTAGGCTATGCGACATTATCATATGAATAGTATCTAGGGTATGATCTGATAATGCAGCTAAAGAAATATCCCGCTTGGGAGGGATTTGACAGCTTATGTTATTATAGCTTCTTATAGGTAAGTAACTGAATGTGGTTTAACGTGGGGTGCTACTATGTGTGGGTTTGACTCAGTTGTAAGCAAGGGAATGGTATGATAATGAACACTTGAAGCAATACAAGTGCGATCAGTACAAGAACTGCGACCATGAACCCGTTAAAGTTTATATGTATATATGTATTCCCTTTATAAACAACTATTTTAATTGTTTACCTCGTTCACAAACTTTCATATGTTCCAGTGCCTAGAAGACCCGTGATTCATGACTATCAGGTCAGAGCACTTGGCACACGTGGAATCCATCAAGGTGACCAAAATTTAAGTTTAGCGGCAGCTGCCGCACAACCTCAGCTGTCAACCCTCACCACCGCAGGCAGCCATCCAAGTTCAACACTGCCTTTCGTCCAGCTGCAGGTCTCGTAATTCTCCTGCGTCAATAAATGGGATGGTTTGAAACACTGCTATACCTCCGATATAAACAGCGACAGTTTAAAGAGCTTGCGGGCTATATACCCTCTAACACGAGACCATGGACAAGTACCTCCCCCCCCAACCTCCAAACCGCCAGCTGCAACACATCTAACTCCACTCCAGATCCTTCTTCCGCCGCCAGTCCGACGCCTCTCGAGGCAGCTCATCCAACGCCCTCTCCTCCCCCTCCTCCCACGAGCTAAACGACCTCCTCCCACGCCCCTACTCTGACCACCCCTCCTCACGCGACCGCTCCCTTTCCTCCACTGGGGAATCGCGCTTCCCCGCCTACTCCTCAGCCCCTCGATCCGACCGCTCCCGCTCACAGAACAAACACGTCCAGCTCTCCATACCCCCGCCGATAACAGCGAGCGTCCTGCTACCAGCTATAAACTTGACGTCCTCTGTATCCTCGACACAGACGCTCACACCACGACTTAGCGGGAGGAATATCGCGCCTTTGATACGGAGGGAACGGGCGCTACAGGCGGAGATACAGGAACTTCTCGATGCTCAGTCCGCCGCTCTATTACGTGTGCGCGCATCACCGAAATCGCAAAATGGCAACACCGGCGGCGGCGGGAGGACCTCTAAATCCCCGTCCAAGCAAGCAGCCACCCCGCGGACCCTGCATACAGCACGTCTCGGCATCTTACGCGCTCTACACAGCCTTCTCGAGCTCTCACAAACGAAACACTCCATCCTCCTCAGCACACACACGACCCTCCAAGCGACCCTCACGCAACTCACGCACTGGCAGCGTAAACTCGCGGACCTAGACTCAAAGATCCACGCCCTCTCCCCTCCCCCCTCCATCTCCGCCCCCTCCGCAACTTCTCCGCACCGCAACCACTCCCTCCCCCCTTCCAACGACCGCTCCCTGCTGCCTAATGACATACCCGCCCTCGACCGCGAGATTAACAATCTCGAAGCGAGGTTACACACCCTCCGCACCCACCGCCGGCTCCTCTCGCGCGCGCTGCTCGAGCAGAGAAGTAGGCACGAGGCGCAGGCTAGTAGCTGGGTTGGCGCGAAGCGCGAAGTTGAAAGTGAAATCTCTGCGTGGCTGAGGAGGCCGACAGAGGCGCTGGGACTGGATGGCGAAGTGGCGGGGGAGGGGGGGGAGATGGATGCTTTTCTCTCCTTACCCCCTGGACGAAGGACGTTGGGGGGGGCGATCGATGCTATCCGCGCTGTTATGGCGGAAGTCAGAGCGCAGATGGAATCCGTAGAGCGAGAAGGCGACGCCGTAGAGAAAGGCGCGGGGGTTTGGGAGAGTGTGTTAGAGCGGGTATTGATGTTTGAAAAAGAGCTGAGGGTGTGGATGAAAGGAGGTGCTGGGGGAGCGGAGGAGGTGCTGGAAAAAATGGGGAGGGTGGGGGGAGAGATTGAGGGGTTCGCGGGGGTGGTGGAGAGGGAAGGGTGGACGTTGTTGGTTTGTGCTGTTGGGGCGGAGTTGGAGGCTTGGAGGGAGGGAGAGGGGGTTTTGAGGGGGGTTGTTGGGGGGGGTGTGGTTGCTGGGGTGGAGAGGGGGATGAGTACTTCACCTCACCAAGGTCCGGGGAGGGGGGATGAGGATGTGAAGGGGAAGGGGAAGAGAGTCGAGAATTTCAACTCCAGCATGGGCAGCGAAGGCACGGATATCTGGGGAAGCGCCCTTGACACTCCCAACCCCTTACCGGACGACGATCTCAACAACGCATCTCACCCCGCCACCTACTCCCCCGACGACTTAACCACATCTCAGCACCCTCCCCGATCTCTCAGCCCAACACCAAGTCCGAGCCCCACTTACCCCCGTCCCCGCAGCACGAGCCCGGAGGCAGATGGAGACCCAGATTTCAATATCGAGCTTGAGGGGTTGAAGTTGTCGGGCGGGACACCGACGATCAGGAGTCCTGCGTTTGGTGGTGGTGGGGGTGGGAGTGAAATTGTGACGAAGCCTGGGAAGGAGAGATATAGGGATAATGATGAGGAGGAGGATGACGAAGGGCCGGGAGAGGATTTATTGACTGAGCTGCCAACGGAGGGGTATAGAGATGCGGAGGACGAGGATGATGATGAGGGACCGGGAGATGATTTATTGGTTTCTCCTGAGGAGAAGTAGGGGGGTTTGAGGCATGGTGTTGGGGGGTTGGAGGGTTGGGGGTGTATTCTATGGTATTAGTTTGGGGGATGGTATTTTGGGGAAAGGAAGGAAGGCGGGGAGGGAGGGGGGGACAGAGGCGTTGCTTGATGCTTGCTTGCTTATACCCATGACGTACGGAGCGTGCGTTTGAAATTGTATGAGGTTATTTGGTGTTGTAGCTATAGATTAAGTCCGTGGGAGGGAGGAAGCAAGGGGTTATAATATTCATTCTCACATCGCTCATCTACACCGAGACCCCTCATCAACTCCCACCCTGCTCCTATCAAACACCACACTTCAGCATTCACCGTATCCAACTAAAACATTCCTATAACAGTTCTCCATCCCATAGTCATCACATAATCACCTCCCAAATCCCACTCATCCTCCTCCTTGTCCCAGGCAGTATAACTATACATCACGTGACACACCCTCACCCCCCAACTCCCCACTAACACCAAAAAGGCAACCCCCACAGCCACAACAAAAAAGTATCGGGTATCCTCGGGCGAAAAGCACCCGTCGATTCCCCACACAACGGGCTTTCCTTATGAAAGTCACGGGCCTCGGTTCCTGGATTCTCGGGGGAAAGTGTAAGTGTGTGTGCTTCTACATGCACGAAGATGGGTGGTGTTTTTCGTGTGCATTTTTTTTGCTGTGCATATGCTGAGCTTGACTACTGGGCTATTTTGTCTTGGTATTGGTATTGCATATTGCATATTGTCTCGACGATGGGGTTTGTGTGCTTTGGAGCGGTGGGGGATGGGATGTGATAAGTCGCACGCACGGATGGATGGATAGGTAGGTGAACAGGCGGGACTGAATCTTCACACGAACGGACACACGCAATGCCACAAGAAAAGACGTGGGTTGTGCAGACAGACGCATGCTTGCATGCTTGCTTGCTTTGCATTTGGAAATCCCCAGAACGCCGCCAGTTGTCCAGTTGTTCCCCTGCGCAAAAAGACGGAGTGAAGTTCCTCTCTCCCTCTCCTCTCGATCGATCGATATGGTATGGTATGTACAATTCCCCCAACAACTACCAAGTCGGTGGTAGGTCATCCTCTTTCTTTCCTTCCCCGAGGGTTAATCCAACATCACTTCAGTCTTTCAATCATTCTCCTCTCCCTTCCCTCCCTCTCCTCTTTCTTTCATGCATTTGGTATACCCTCCCATCACCTCCTCCTCCACCATCCCTCCCCCCCCCAATCCATCATCTCCTCAAAATCAACCCCCCAAACCACCTATCTCACATGCTTAAACCACCCGCTCGCCGCGGCGATGGTGACGGACTTATCCATGACCCATTCCCCGACGTCGAGGTAGGTGTCGATCCATTTCTTGACGTCTTTGTTGTCGGTTATCTTATCGGTGTTGAAACTGGGGCTGGGGCCCAGATGGGCGTTGTTAGTCCTGTGGTCTTGTTGGGAGTTGTGTCGAGAGAGAGAAGAGGGGAGGGGGGGAGGAAGTTGTGTGGTGTGTGGAAGGTGGCAGGGAGGGGGTATGGAAAGACTCACGTCAAACCCGTCGACCTCTTCATTCCCGCGAGGATAGTTGAGACTGTGACGACAAGGTTAGTATCCGCGCCAGGTACATCTGAGGCACCGGGAAATAACTTACTGAGCACAGCATCAAAAGCATAGTGAGTTAACCTCCCAAACTTCCCCCACAGACCAAAAGTTAGCAGGTTGAGGAACTGAAAGCGTTGATTAGGACAGCAGCAACAGCAGCAGCAACAGACAGTGCAGGTCTCGTGCGTGGTGGACAAACGACACCACAGCTGGCGGGTGTGACCGGGGTGGATGGGAGAGAGAGGATGGGACTCACGACCATGATTGCGCTGGGTTTTGTTTAGCGATATAAAAGAGAAAAGGTATGTGAATCTCGAATACCCGGTGAGGATATATATGAGGCTGATCGGTGTGCGTGGGGTGGTGTAGATGAGGCTTGTTTAGGTGGTGGGTGTTGATCGGCTCGGTGCGTTGTTGCTATGGGCGGGCAAATGTGTCAAGTGGGTGACGACGGACGGGGAATGTGACGAAGCGATGGATGGATGGGTGACGACGGACTAGCACATGAGGGTGTTGTGGGATGCCGGAGTTGAGCTTGTGGTTGTTGTGGGCGACCGGAGAAGGCACGTGCGAGAAATGGGGATATCACGTGGGGATGGAACTGACAACTCGGGCAAACACGACAAACTCGAAAAATGAACAAAACACGACAAACACGACAAACACGACAAACACGACAAACGGGGCAAACACGACAAACACAAAACAGCACTCCTAGCAACACTCACCCACCGTACACCAACACTGTGCGATTACGGAAGACCTCAATGGTTAAAACGGCCGCACGGCCCGATTGAACATCCGATTTCGCGGCCAATCAGCTTGACACGTTCCGGTGTTTGTGGTGATTTTAGTGTTGGATTTTGGGTGGTTTTGAGTGGTTTTTTGGGGTGGTTTTAGGTGGTTTTGGCTGGGGTTGGGAGAGAGCTATGCTGTGCTGTGCTGTCAGAGATTTGGAGATTCTGACTGAAAGTTGCGCCGTCAAATTTTTGTTACGTTAGAGCGAATTGCCCACCTACGAATTAATTGCCTACCAGGAATTGCCCACCGCCTTCTGGGAGACAACTTCCATCGTCAACGTCAGCGTCAACTTTCTTCGCCCCTCTCTTTCTCTATCTTCTCTCTCTATACAACAACTACAACTATCGCACCAGAACACCACAAAAAAAGGTCTATCGTCATATCTTCCCTTGTGAGTATTTGCTTCTTTTCCACTTCTTTATTTCCTATATTCCTATATCTATCTACCCCTCAAAACAACCTCCAACCCCCCCTCAATGCGCATCATATTCGGCGCCTTGGCTTGATACATGACAGCATGCAATTGGGGGTTGGGGGGGTCGGGGCGGGCAGCCTAGCTTATCGGCGAATCTCAACGCTTCACCCACTGCCCCACCAACAAACGAGCAGAATCGGAGAATACTACGAACCAACCACCTAAAGCACATTTATCCCATTTAACTTCTTTGATCAAGGCTGATATAATCTTCTTTTTTTCTCTCTACAGCTGTCAATCAAAGGTCAAATACATCTCCAACCGCTCCGACCTTCGTCTTCTCTCCTCTCCTCTCCAAACCAAAAACCCTCATCCAAACTCGAATAAACTTCTCCCCCCCACTTACCTACCCCTCCCCTCAAATCCTTCACAATGGCCACGGCTTTGGAGCACCTCTCCAACCACACCAAGATCGCCTGGCTGAGCGGCCTCGACACCGAGTTCAAGCCCACCAAGAACTACCGCCGCACCTCCATCATCTGCACCATCGGTCCCAAGACCAACTCCGTCGATGCCATCAACAAGCTCCGCAAGGCCGGCCTCAATGTCGTCCGCATGAACTTCTCCCACGGCTCATACGAGTACCACCAGTCCGTCATCGACAACGCCCGCGAGGCTGAGAAGGTCCAACCCGGTCGTCCCATTGCCATTGCTCTCGATACCAAGGGACCGGAGATCCGCACAGGAAACACAATCGGTGATGCGGATCTGCCCATCTCCGCGGGTGATGAGATCAACATCACCACCGACGACAAATATGCCGCCGCCTCTGATACCACGAACATGTAAGCTGGCCTTATATTTTTTTATCTTCTTTCTCCAACCACTCCCAGTTCCACCAACTAACACCCACACCCAGGTACGTCGACTACAAGAACATCACCAAGGTGATCGCGCCCGGCCGCATCATCTACGTCGATGACGGCGTGCTCGCCTTCGACGTCCTCGAGATCATCGATGACAAGACCATCCGCGCGCGCGCCCGCAACAACGGCAAGATCTCCTCCAAGAAGGGCGTCAACCTGCCCAACACCGACGTCGACCTCCCCGCCCTCTCCGACAAGGACAAGGCCGACCTCCGCTTCGGCGTCAAGAACAACGTCGACATGGTCTTCGCCTCCTTCATCCGCCGCGGCGAGGACATCACCGCCATCCGCGAGGTCCTCGGCGAGGACGGAAAGCACATCCAGATCATCGCCAAGATCGAGAACCGCCAGGGCCTCAACAACTTCGCCGAGATCCTCAAGGAGACCGACGGCGTCATGGTCGCCCGCGGTGACCTGGGTATCGAGATCCCCGCCGCCGAGGTCTTCGCCGCCCAGAAGAAGATGATCGCAATGTGCAACATGGCCGGTAAGCCCGTCATCTGCGCAACCCAGATGCTCGAGTCCATGATCTACAACCCGCGCCCCACGCGCGCCGAGATCTCCGACGTCGGCAACGCCGTCACCGACGGCGCAGACTGCGTCATGCTCTCCGGCGAGACGGCCAAGGGCTCCTACCCCGTCGCCGCCGTCACCGAGATGCACGAGACCTGCCTCAAGGCCGAGAACACAATCGCATACATCGCCCACTTCGAGGAGATGTGCAACCTCGCCGTGCGCCCTACCGCCGTCGTCGAGTCCGTCGCCATGGCCGCTGTCCGCACCTCCCTCGACATCAACGCCGGCGCCATCCTCGTCCTCTCCACCTCCGGTGACTCCGCGAGGTACCTCTCCAAGTACCGCCCCGTCTGCCCCATCTTCATGGTCACCCGCAACGCGTCGGCCAGCCGCTTCGGTCATCTGTACCGTGGTGTCTACCCCTTCCTTTTCAACGAGGAGAAGCCCGATTTCTCAAAGGTCAACTGGCAAGAGGACGTCGATCGCCGCATCAAGTGGGGTATCGCCGAGGCTTTCAAGCTGGGCGTTCTCACCGAGGGCGAGAGCGTCGTCGTCGTTCAGGGATGGAAGGGTGGTATGGGTCACACTAACACGTAAGCCTCTTTCATTTCCTATTTCTCCCAAAATCACCTCCTCCCCTCTTCTTCACCACTGCCCCCCCTCCCTGCAATTAACCCCCCGCCAAAAAACTCGGATCTATGTCTCTAAAACTGCGTCCCATCACAATAGCATCAGAGCTCTCACCGTCGACGATGAAGTCGTCAAGCTTGCTAAGCTCCCCAAGCGCTCGCGCGGGGTGTCGGAGGCGCAGCTGGGGGGTCCGCCCGCTAGCGGTGCCAGGGTGTCCGTTGCTTCTTCGCCGAAGCAGAGGAGGAAGTAGATCGTTTGTTCGGTCTATAGTCCATCTACAGATCTATCGGTGGACCGATTGGATACGACTTGAGCACGAGACACCGGCCGGAGAACACAATTTCTTTTCTTTTCGATCACCAAGAGGCAGAGATCGATAAAAGCACACACACATTTTTTAGATTTTGAATTTTTTTTCTTGGAAACAGTCACTAATTACCTTTTCGCAATACAGCCTCCGCGTCATCCAGGCAAGCGAGAGCCTCGGTCTTGCACAGAACTAGATTTACGCCGCCGCGCGCGCTTTTTAAGAAAAATGAGAAAATGATATGGGATGGGATGGGATGGGATGGGGATATAAAATGAATAAGAAAGACCAAGCCGTGGGTACGCCGCGGGTGGGGGGACCTGATAGGTCGGGTCGCGCGAGGGGATTATGGGATGGATATGGATAGATGATGAATGTAGGGTGGATTAGAGTGAGCGCGGTGCATAGGATAGCGTGGGGGATAATAGACTTCTTCTTTACTTTCAACTTCACCCTCTTTATCCCTACAATGCGTTTGTCTATTTACCTATAAGCCACCAGCTACGAACGAGAGAGAGTCGGGGAAATAAATCAACGGCCTCGATGCGCTGCGGCGACACGCGGCGACGATTATCACCGGCGCCTCCGAACCGGATCTACCTCACCCCCTCCCCTCCCCTCACCTCTCCCACAAACTCACCTCCGCCTCCCCCTCCCGCGAAAAATGCGTGGCGGCGGACAGGCAACTCTTCGAAAAGCTTGTACTTCCCTAGCGTGGAATCGCGGTACCATCGGAGTCGTCGGGGTCGTCGGAGTCGTAACGAGGTATGATATGCAGAATGGCCGGGGCTTGGCAGGGGTGACGCCCAACGGTCCGAATGCTTAACACTAAGAATCCTTGACAATACAGTAGGAGCAGCTAGCTTCTGAATAGCGCCATTAACGAGAGACGACGTGGGAGGTTGTGTGTGGGGTAAGCTGGGGGTATAAATATATGGCTGGATATCCCGATGGCGGGGGAGGTGGAGGGGGGGTATTGTGTCGCGAGCTCGATTCTGAAATTCGGGGTTGTTGTTATATATAATTCTCAAAATCCGACGGTGGACATTCACGATGAAGACAACAACCACCACCCTTCTCCTCGCCGCGCTGGGAGCAGTAACACCCACCTCCAGCACCACCACCACAACCAACTGCGTAAAGCCCCCCTTCCCTCCCCCCCCAAGTCCAAACCAACAGCTCCAAGACTAACAACCCCCCCGTGCCAACTCCTCCACTCCTCCCTCCCCACCCTCCTCTCCTTCCCCCCCTCCGCCCCCTACAACCACACAACCTCCACCTACTGGTCCCTCACCTCCTCCCTCCTCACACCCTCCTGCATCCTCCTCCCCACCACCGCCGATGATATCTCAACCGCTCTCTCCTTCCTCTCTCTCCACCCCTCATGTCGTTTCGCTATCAAGGGGGGAGGTCACAACCCCGCCGCGGGATTCTCGTCCATCGGTGAGGGGGGGGTGACGATCGATATGTCCGGCTTGTCAAGTATTGAAGTCAATGAGGAGCGATCGGTTGTGAAGGTGGGAGCAGGAGCGAAGTGGTTAAGCGTGTATCAATTCCTCGACCCCCTGGGTGTTGCCGTAGCAGGTGGACGGAACGGCGACGTCGGCGTAGGCGGTCTTCTTCTCGGTGGTGGGATCGCGCATTTCTCCCCTAGAGTGGGGTGGGCGTGTGATAACGTCGTGAATTTCGAGGTCAGTTCGTCCATCTTCCCCTCCCCCCCAACCCCCCTTTCCTTCCAAAGGCCACGAAATATCCTAATGCGAGAAACCCCTAGATCGTCCTAGGAAACGGCACCCTCACAAACGCAAACCTCACCTCCCACCCCTCCCTCTTCCGTGCTCTTAAGGGGGGCGCTAACAACTTCGGCATCGTAACGCGGGTTGATCTCTCCACCTTTCCCCAGGGTGACATCGCTTCATCGCTGGTGTTCAATGATATCGCGCAGCGCGGGGCGGTGTTAAAAGCATTCACTGATATCGCCGACGCCGCTGAATTCGATGTCTATGCTTCTCTCGTGACGAGTTTGGTGTATACCTCCAGCACGAAGGGGTGGGAGATAATCAACATAGTAGCCTACACCGCGCCCATCGCCCAACCAGCCGTGTTCAAGGACCTCCTCTCCATCCCCAGCACCACGAACAAAACATCCCTATCCATAACCACCCTAGCAGCTCTAGCAGATGAATCCCAAACCGCACCCTCGTGAGCCACCATACCACCCACCCACCAGATCCAAATATCCAACTATCCAACATGAGATGAGAACCCCAGACTAACAAGTGCACAGAAACCAAATCATGGCCACCGCGACATTCAAGCCCTCCCTAACACTCATGCTCGAGTTCTATCATATAGCGAATGAGTTCTTCACCTCCTTTGACGCTAATGGGGGGATAACATGGCTGTTGACTTTCGAACCCCTCGTCGCTGCCATGGTTCCCTTATCTCGGAGCAGTAGCAGCCAAGGAAACGTCCTCGGTCTCGGGCCAGAGGATAAGGGGTTCAGTAAGTTTATCGACCACATCCAATAACTCCAAAGATCCATGCTAAATCTCACATTCACAGTCCTCCTCCTCTCAGCCAGCTGGGCAGATACCGCGTCAACAAAGGCAGTGCAAGACGCTACACGCCATGTAATGTCCTTACTAGAGTCATCTGCAGAGGAAAAGGGGTTGTTATTGAAGTTCCAGTATCTCAATTACGCAGCAGCGAATCAGACTCCACTAGAGTCATATGGGGAGGAGAATCTGAAGTTTTTGAGGGGGGTGAGTAGGGAGTATGATCCAAAGGGGGTTTTCCAGAAACAAGTCCCAGGAGGGTTTAAGTTGTGGTAGCGTAGGGGTTACATACCTGATAGATTAAAGGGGTTGAATATCAACAAGGCAAAGCAGCTTGGTTAGAGTCTTGTGTGTTCCCATAAAACATCAGTATTAGGCGTATCAATAAACTGCGAGTACTAAACACCAAAACTCCAATACAACAGCTAACCTACCGAAACCCAAAAGACAAGCAAACAACCTACGCCAGGCCATAGGCGACACGGCCAAGCCAACTACTTCTCCAAAGGCCTCAAAGGACAATCCCCATACGGCCCACCATACACAATATAATTCGCCTCCATGCCCTTACTCAGATGCGTCGTGAAATGGCAGATAAGCTGCCACCACCCCGGATTCAACGCCGTCATCAGCACAGACGTCATCTGGCCCGGGTTGAGCACGACTGTGGCGGACGTGGCGCCGGTCACGGCGTCGACCGTGTTCTCCCCGTGCATGTGGAAGACGTGCGTGTCGAAGCCCATGTCGTAGAGGTACCAGATGATGGGGTCGTTGACGCACATGGAGAAGGCGGGGTTGTTGGCGTAAATGTAGCCGTTGATCTGTGGATGTGTTAGTTGGCTTGTTCGAGTGGTTGGAGGTGTGATGCAAAAAGGGAAAGGGGGCTGTTACCGGGAAGAAATTCGGTGCCATGGTGGTAGTAACATTAGTCTTGGGCGTGTTGATGAACTGCGGGTACCAAATACTATAATTCCCAACACCTTGGGTCACCGTTGGATACTGAAATGACAAGTTGGCGACCTGGGATGCCATGCCAGGGAGGTACTTCTGGACATTGTGCAGAGCGAGGAAGGAATTCGACTCCTGGTTGTCCGAGTAGACGAGCACGAATTCGCGGTTACCCTTCATCACGACCTCCATTCGCCCTGGGTTGTAGATGATCACCGGACCGTATGAGCCAGCGTCTGTGTCTTGGTACATACTGACGTAGGGGTGATAGGAGAATATACGGCTGTCGTGGCCAGGGTTGGGAGCTGAGCCTGACGGGACGAGCCTGGTGGGTGTTAGTACATCATCATCTGAAGTCAGGAGTTGTTGGAAATAGGGGTAGAGCCACCATTTGTAGACGAAGCATTCTCCAGGGGGGACAGCATTCCCGATGGTGACAGCTTCGGTCCCATTATAATAAACACTTCCCTCCGACTCCTTGGTGTAGTACAACCCCATCGAATGCATGCTGGAGAAGAAATGATCCACCTTATTCACAAACATGATCTTCAGCGTGTCAGCACATTTCCGCATCAACCGAAGCAACACAACACTCCCAACGTCAGAGAACTTACCTCGATCATATCACCAACCTCAGCACGGATGATAGGTCCCTGAAGACCAAGCCATTCGGGCTGCTTGGAACGTTCCCTGAACGAGGCATCCGTGTATCCCTTATATTGCGCCTTGTCGAACTTGGTCCCGATGCTCGTGTCCGAGGCGATGTATCCGTATGTCTGGGCACGGAAGGACTCATTCATTGGTACACCAAGCCAGTTGTCCCAGCCTACGGAGCAGAGAGTTAGAATTTGGGTTGCATATGGAAACTCATCCAGGGTGCCATACCTGTCGGAGCGTAATCCCATGGCTCAACTTCAGCGGCAACATAGTATCGACGGACTCTACCAGAGAATGTAAAGGTCGGAGGGGTATAGTATGGCAAGTGGCCGTCCATACGGGCTTTGCAGTCCTCCCATTGTCGGCATGTGGCAACAGCAGCTGCTGCGAGGAGAAGATAAACAGAGGGTAGTAATGAATGCATTGTAATGAATATCAAAAGAATGAGAACCAGGACTCGATAACAGGAATAGCAGAAACGACTGAATAAAGAGCGACAGCTAAGTTATAATGATGGGGGGAATGTTTTTTGTTTATTGTGAAGAGTTGTTTTTCTCAAAAGGTCGGGGGGAAGAAGAGATATAAGTAGGATAAGAGCAAGCCAGCAACCTTCTATAAAAGAAGGAACGATAGACTGTTGATATATAAGGAAAGAACGATAGACTGTTGATGTATGAGGAAGGCTCGATGGATTGTTGGTATACGAGGAAGGCACGGGGGACTGTCAGTATATGAGAAGAAGGAACGATGGACTATTGATATATGAGGAAGGCACGACCGACTGTTAAAACCGCGGGAAAAGGATTTTTTCTTCTGGATTTCTGTTGTTCTGTCCTACCAACTTTGTGTTCTCTGGCATTCTATAATGCCGTTCTGGGACTTGTAACCAGGCGTAACCAAGTAACCCCAGCGACGTGGACATTCATTGTCTGGTCGCGGGAACATAGACGATTGCCCCGGTTAGTGTTCTGTACTCATATTTCCGTAATGGAGAAGAAGAGCGTTGATGGCCGGATATGTGTTCTCGGTGATAGGTCTTCTGTTCGGTGAACATTTGACATTCTGTATGACTAGCTGCACACACGACTGCTCAGTTAACAGCTGGTCACCACATAGAAACCCAAAGCATCCGCGGAGCCCTCGGAATCTTGGGAAAATGTTCAAAACGTCTTTATCTACAAAATCTATATATCATCTAAACCCTCACGTAACACTAGTACACGTTCTATCCACCACCGGCCTCCCTCCTTTCCTCCCCCCATACCCATGCCCATGCGCTCCCCCCTCCCCCTCCACCCTCCCAAACACCGCCCTAGCCCTCAACTCCGCCACCGCCCGATCCAGCTCCAACTCCACACTACAATGATTCCTCACCCTCCCCAGCAGCGGCCACGTGGCCCTCTCCCCCGCCTCACACGCCCTAACCATAAACCCCGGCGTGGGATTTTTCAATATCGCCACGAAATCACGATACTCCACCCTCGGCAGGATGGTGATATCGCCAGAGTACTTCTGAGACAGCATGTTGCGCGCCTTATTGCAGATATTCGGCAGCACGCCCAGCTGCGCCAGGACGTGGAGACGGTGCAGGGCTTCTGACTTGGCGAGGCGGGTGAGAGGAGCGAGGAGGGGCGCGAGGTGGGAGTTAAGCTTGAATGCGGAGGGTTGCGAGAGGCTGGGGGCGGAGGAGGAGAGGAAGGGCACGATGTGCGGGTTGACCTGCGAGACGATGAAGTGGTTTACATTAAACATCTCCGCGAGGCTAGTCATTGGGAGGTCATTATCGACGCTTCCATCGATCCAGCGCAGCGGTGTAGGGTTCCAGGGTGAGTGCTCGCCGGTGGCGGGATTCTTGGCGAGGATGTGCGCGGAGGAGAAGACGAAGGGGACGGAGCAGGAGGCGGCGACGGCGGACCAGATGAGCACGTTAGGGCTGGTGATGTAGTTTAGGAGGCGGGGGAGCTCGTAGATCGAGGAGGGCGAGACGCAGATGTTGAGGATGCGGCGCGTGCGATTGTAGGCTTCCTGGAAGGTCATGTCGCCGAGGAGCTCTTGCATCACTTTGGTGAGGTGCTTGATGTCTATCCAGGCTCCGTCGGTGAGGAGGCGCGCGATATGTTCCAAGGCGCCTTCTTCGCGGTCATGCTCTTCGAAGACGGCAAGGTTCCCGTGAGGAAATCCGCGCAGCACGTCGGGAATCTCTTCGTCAGTACGTGTGCACAGGACCGAGCAGACTATGGAGCCCGCCGATGCCCCAGAGATGATACGCGGGAGCAGCTTCTCCTCAAACAACGCCTTGAGAACGCCAATATGGTACATCCCGAGCGTCGCCCCGCCACTGAGCAGCAACGCACTCCTGCCAAACGCCTGCCGCGCAAGCACAACTTGCTCCATTAGATCTTTAGTATCCAGCCCCGGTGGCAGCGCCTTGTCTTCCGTCCTAGCCAGCCTCTGTATCGTCTCGATCGTCGCATCAATATAGCTCTCGATCAGATCCTTTGTTCCCACATGCGAATGCTGGTATAACTCCACATTCCCCATCCCCCCCAACCCGCGCGACAGCGACGTCCGCACAAGGTACAACATTCGCCTCACATCCCCACTCGCCCGCGCCTCATTCAAGAGATCCAACCGCGCCTGAATCAGCGGGGCGTCAAACTCCGAAGTCTCATTATCCGTCTTCCACGCCTCGTTGCCTTCCAGTATATCCAGCTCCAGCGCCGCAGCCCTCCATTCTTCGACCCTTGTGGCGTCGCGCAACCGCTGGGTTACGAGGTGGATGTTTTCGGCTCTGTGCTGGGCTGCCAGCCGCTGGTTGGAGGTGAGGCCATCCCGCAGGTGGAGGACGGTCGAGGTGAGGTATGTGTTGGAGGTTTTGGCGAGCTGGGCGAGCTGGGGGAGGCTGCGTCGGGAGCGGGAGGTGTTGGCGGTCTGGGGTGTGGCGGCGATGGAGTCAACCCATGTTGCTGCGGAAGCGTGGGGTGTAGGAGTGTCGACGAGAGATAACATAATGCCCCATGGGCGGGCGAGCGTTCAGTCGTGGTCGTGGCTATATCTGCAAGTGCGTCGGTATATTCGTCGTCGGGCTATAAATTCATCTTCGTGGCTTGTGCCTTGCGTTTCCTGTCTTGCCTTCGGACGAGAGTTGCCAACATAAGATGAGAACTAGCACTCTAGATGAAATGGGGAGGATATAGTGGTAAATATACGACGATGTATGTAGTTACCATGACCTACTGAGAGAGTAGAGGCATCCTCGGGGCGCTGCCATCATCTTACAGTCATCATTGTTGGCGTTGGCGTTCCCGTTCGTGCCTTTCACATGTCTCGTGATCATAGTAGGGTGTCCCGCGGTGTTCCAACCACTAAGTCCCAGCAAGTCGCAGCGCTGATCACTCTTAACGGGGACCCGCCAGTACCGCCGTAGCCACTTCGGTCCCACACTATCAAGATCTTGGATGCGATTCCAGATCTAACAACCGGATTTCACGGAACCCCACAGTCTCATACACCGGAATTGGCTTAATTCCCATGTTTGAGGATTAGAATAGTCGTTGTTCCCGCTCTTTCAACGAGTTGAGAGTCTGTTGACTGGATCAGGAGAAAGGATGAGGGAAAGAGAGACGATACTCAACTTAGACAATCGTCACGTTATTCGACGGCTCTGGAGTGCTCTCTCTTGCTGTGTATAGCATGGTAAAAGTTAAAGTTGAGCTGCTAGAAGACGATTGAATTAATGCTTATATACTTCCAATCTATAGCAAATCTATAGCATATATTAGTATTGGAGAAGAGAAGAGTATGTTGTCTTGTCTTGTTGTGATTCAGAAGGGACAACTTGTTAGAGTATGAGTGAGTTTCTTGGGTTTCGTTTATTCCTCAGGCACCAACATCCTACACCACCAACTATGCAATCAATCACCGGGGACACACCTGGAGGAACAAGGAGTGAGTTTAAATATATGCGTATAAGCCACTCAGCATGGGCATGTTGGTGTCATACCGTACAAATCCCGATTTCAATTTCACAAATCCTAAATCCCAAATCCCAGATCCCCATGCTAATTTCGGGCAACGGTAACCTGGAGAAAGCGCCCTAATCTTAAGCTCCATCGCAAATCCACATCGCCGAACACTACGACCGCCCTGTTATAGCCGCTGCCGCTCTACGGTCGTCCATTCACCCTCCCCTCCACGGTCCCCTCCTCCCCCTCCCCGACCTGTGCTCTCTCTCCCCGATCCTTCTCGAGAATGCCCTTGTTCGGTGGACATCATAGGTCCAGCTCTTCAACTGCTTCTTCTTCAGCCCAACACAATGCTCCAGGCGGCATAACAGCAAATCTACTCCAAGCTGCGCAAGTTCTAGGCTCCGTGGGAACGCCATCTGCTGCTGCCAGTACTCGGACCACTGCGGCGGCTACAGCCACAGCTCCTGCAGCTCCACCACCAGCCAGTCCCTATCGCTCCTCCCCCACAGCCTCCTCCCACACCTTCAATGCGGCACCAGCCCAACCCGCCGCCCAACCTCCCAATCACAGTCCCCCGAACCCCATGATGTCGAACCCTGCCGCTCCCAACAACGCGCAGCAACACTTCGAGACGCCGCGCCGACAGCAGGCCTACGCGCGACACCCCGACGAGCTGCACATGGGCGACGCCGACTCCGCCGCTGCTGCTGCCCAGAAGGGTCCCCTCTCACCACGCGACTACGGTCCCGGAGGCGCACCGCGTATAAACCTCGAGCAGGCCACCCCCGAGACCTCACACTACCAGAGCAACCTCCCCGGTCCTCTCCAGAGCGGAGGAGGAGCCAGCAGGCCCCCGACCCTCTCCTCGAACAGCACCCCCGCCGTGCCAGCGTTGCAGACCACGATGCCAGCCGATCCGTTCGCGACGCCGCTGCGCTCGAACCAGAACCTCTCGCACAACTACTCGCGATCCAGTCCGTCGACAAATTACGATGGACAGGCGTACCAGCCGTACACGACTACGCCTGGCGGTGGGTCGGAGCTCTCGCAGTTCTCGACGCCCAGCTCGCTGAAGTACGCGCCGGGACAACAGAGGAACGTCTCGAATACGCCGCTGGGGCTGGCAGATATCAGACCCCGCGCGGACTCGACGCTGTCAGATGCGGTGCTGCCGGGCGCCAATCCGTATTCTTATGACGGCGCGAATGCGGTGCCCACGAATAGCAATTACCTGGCGCCGTGGGCGATTTACGCGTTCGATTGGTGTAAATGGCCGTCGCACAATAATGATGCTGGAAAGGTTGCTGTAGGAAGCTACCTTGAGGATGGACATAACTTTGTAAGTTACTGTATTTGAGTCTACTTCTGCTTCTTGTGCTGACGTTCCTTTGTAGATACAAATCCTCGAAACGTCGATCAAGCCTTCGTCACCGGAGCCATACTCACAATCCGCTCCCAAATACGGCCTCGAATTCTCTAAAATCGCAGAGGCTACCCATTCATACCCCGTCACACGCCTGCTATGGGAGCCGCCATCTTCCCAGAAGCAGTCGACGGATCTCCTCGCGACATCGGGCGACCACCTCCGACTATGGTCTCTCCCAGCAGACATCTCCATGTCCAGCCACTCCAACTCCATAACCCGTTCTTCGAACCACGGACAGTCCCAGCCACCCAGCAAGCTCACCCCGCTAGCTCTGCTGTCCAACTCCAAGACGCCAGAGCATACAGCTCCCCTCACATCCCTGGATTGGAACACCGTCTCTCCATCCCTCATAATCACCTCGAGCATCGACACCACCTGCACCATCTGGGACATCCCCACCCTGACCGCCAAGACGCAGCTAATCGCCCACGACAAAGAAGTCTTCGATGTCCGCTTCTGCGCCAACAGCGTTGACGTGTTCGTAAGCTGTGGCGCCGACGGTAGTGTCCGCATGTTCGATTTACGTAGTCTGGAACACAGTACTATTATCTACGAGCCAACCGCCAAGGACGATAAAGGTATTACCTCCTCCGCCCTTCCCCCCTTTCTCCCCTAACTCGAATAAACAATAAACCCCCAACTAACACCCACCAGACCACAACACCCCATCCGGCCGAATCTCCCCCACCCTCGCCCAACAAACCATGGCCTACGCCCCCCCCCTCCTCCGCCTCGCCGCCTCCCCACACGACACCCACCTCCTCGCCACCTTCTCCCAAGACTCAAAACTAATCCGCATCCTCGACGTCCGACAGCCCGGCCAAGCCCTCCTCGAGCTCCACGGCCACTCGGCGGCCATAAACTGCATCGAGTGGAGTCCCTCGCGCCGCGGCACGCTGGCCAGTGGCGCGGATGATAGTCTGGTCTTGGTGTGGGATTTGCTTAATGCGAATCCGACCCAACAGCAGCAGCAGGGGGGGGTTAATGGCGTTGCGCCTGGTGCGGGAGCCGGCGGAGGAGAGAATATCAGAAGTCCGACGGCGAGCTGGAGGTGTGATTATGAGGTTGGGAATTTGAGTTGGGCCCCCAACAGCGCGTTGGGGAAGGATGGGAGTGAGACGCTTGGGGTTAGTGGGGGGAGGGGGATTTGGGGGGTTAGGTTTTGATTTTTAGGTGCTGGTGCTGGTGGAAGGGAAAAGGGGGGAGGGGGGTGCTGGGGGGGTAGATAGAATGGAGGAGCATAGCTAGCATGGCGTTTATTTTTGGGATTGAAATGTGTGGCGTACGTACGTACGGATATATTGTGGGTGAGGATGCACGAAACCAAAATTCTGTTCCCCCACACCACAATTCCTCCCAGTGACCCATGCTACCCCCATACCCGTCACAGTGACCCACCCCCCTCACAAAGAAGCCTTCCCGCTCTCCTCAGCCCTCCTCCTCCTAATCGCCGTACTACTTATCTTCGCCGCAAACCCCTCCGTCTTACTCCCCCCACCATTCCCCCCCTCATCCTCCTCCCCCGCATCCAAAACATCAATCTCAAACACCTCCAGCGCCGCCCACCCCTTCTCCTCCCTCTTATCATTCACCGCCTTCCCGCCATCGCGTGTTTCCCCTGACACGACGAGTGCTGAGACCACGGCATCGGTGATGGTTGGACCGAAGGGGTCTTGGATCTCTACACATTCTATTGTGAGATTCGCAGATTTGAGATGGGTTGAGACGCCGCGGCCGTTGACGACGGGGGTGTCAAAGTGGGTGCGTGTTATATCTTCGGGGGTGGGGAGGGTGGTGAAGGAGAGGATGGGGAGGAGGAAGTTAATCACACCCTCCTCGCGCCGTTTCCAGCTCTCGAGCTGCTCGGCGTATTTCTTGTTTTTGAGGAGCTCGTCGCCTGTTACACCGATTATTAGACGGCGGTGGGGTGGTTGAGAGGTGCTGATGGCGGGGGGTTGGAGCATCAACGCCGTAGCGGTGAGGAGGAGTTTGTGCCCCGCGTGGAGGTGGTCGAATGTCCCCCCTACCGCGACGACGGAGTGGGTTTTTGACGACGGGTAGGGAGGAGGTGATGAGCTGGCGGTTTTGGCGACAACGGTGGTTTCGCCGGGGACGGTGCGGATGTGCCCGCGGAGAGGGGGGGAGTGGGTGTTTGCTAGTGTGGAGTAGCGTTGGAAGACTTGTTGGCCTTGTTCGCCGTCGACGCTGAAGATGAGATTCCAGCTCCGACGGGTCAGAGCGAGGGTTTGGAGGTCTATTATCGGACCTCCCGCGGCGGCGGCGGGGGAGTTGCTGCTTCCCTGGTAGCTGGGGGGTGGTTGAGAGGGGTCATATTCCACCAGCAACACCCGCGGATCAATCCCCCCCGGTCCATCGAGCTCGATCCCCTTCTGCGCGCAGACGAGGGAAATGAGACTATACAGCTCCGCCAGTAAATGCTGACTTTCTCTGAATAAATGAGACCGCGGCTTCTCAGCTTGTCCGCGCAGTGCAGGCCATGGGACGGCGATGTCTAGCACGGCGATTGGGCTCACGCGGGCGGATGCTAGGTCGGCTAGGGCGGCTGTGAAGGCGGGGAGGTAGGCGGCTTTTAAGGAGGCGCGGTCTAGTGATTGTGGCGGGGGAGGGAGGAGGAGAAGGGAGGGGGTGGAGGAGGTGGACATGGTGTTCTTGGGGGGTGTTTGGTGGGGAGGTTGTATGCCGCTGGGTTGGTCTTAAAAAGTGATAAAAGGAAGGCAAGATATGTTTAGGATATGGTAATCCAGCCAGGCGGGGCCGAATGGTAATGCTCCGAGGCTGTTCGGTAGCTTGGTTTAGCTTCTGATTGGTTGGAAATGGAGGGGCAGATGTTGATTAGTAAGCGATGACGGAGTGCGGGGAAAAGTGGTTCCGTCGCAAAATCGATTTAGACGATATATACCACTCCGCCAGTGGTCGTTTTGGCCTAAAGGTCTAGAGGAACACCCTATGGTTAGGCTAGGGATTAATACTAGCAATTGAAGTTAATAGAATTCCTCGCTTTGGCTCTATTCTAAATAACTCAATATACAAACCCTATTAGCTTAAATTGGTCGTATCAACCCTAACGTATTCACAGTCCTCCTTGAGACTCTCGAGCGGCACGAGTACTAACCAGCCCTACTCCTTCGTATAGTAGTGATAAGAAAGTCATTGGCCTACATAATACGACGGTTTCGTAAACGACATTCTAATGCATATCAGCTGCGACGTCGGCCACATGTCAGCCGCATGTGTGTTTCCTTTTTCGCCCAAAACCCCCATGTCTTGTGAGTATCGTAAGCACCGGCCATCTGTGCGACATGTGGGGTCCATTTCAGCACGACAGGGCTGCGAGATGTCCCTTTTCCTGATCGCCGGCTGGTTGGTGGGGTGGGTGGTGCACAGGATCACTGGCGCACAGTGTCTTTCCTAAGATTCTGCAGTGGACAGACGATAAGGATGCATAACATACCTACAGTACCATAGTAGAGTACCATAGTACAGTACCATAGTACAGTAATGTGGGAATGAATTGGCTGGATACGAGGCACTGGCCGCCGATTGCGTCCCGAACCGCGCGCGGCGCGAGCCGGGGACATGGAGTCGGCCCTCTACGGTGACAGTGTATGGTCAGTGTATGGTCGAATTCTATGGTGGGAGCTTGGGGATGGAGTTGGATTGGGACCTGGGACCTGGTCGGGGGAGATGGAGATGAGCTGGACACAGAACGTGGCTTGCCCCTATGCCTGGCGCGGTAAGGTTATATTGCTGGAATGCATTTTGAAGCATGAGATTTGGATGCAGGTGGTTGAAAGCGACGAAGCGACGACTTTACTTGCTGGTGGTGTGCATATAATCCAGTACCTAGTATCCCCTTAGTAGAGTAATCATTACTGCCTTGGTAGAAGTATGTAGAGTACTTGATCATGTAACCTAGCTCACACACAAAAGTCCTTACTGGGATATCCCGACCATCTGCTGCAGCCGAGCGGTGTGATCAATTCGCTGAAGTGTGTGTTCTACAGGGCAAGTGCTACTGCATCTCCTTCTTCAAACACAACCTCTGTTGAAGATTTACGCCCAAGTTCACGCCTACGCGCTGCTTCACGAGCGCTTCATGCGCCAAAGGAGAGGCCGGCCGGGTTTCCAGTATTTAGAATGCAAATCCTTCTCGCGCTCCAGAATTAGACAGCAGAAGAAGACATGAGATTCGCCAACCATGCAAGCCACTGGGCGTTGGTCTAGAAGGATAGGCAGGATCTTTCTCCCTAGCTTCGCTCCTGGCGCTTGCGTTGGGCGTTGGCGGGCGCTTGGAGCTGTCGGTTAGTGGCTGGTTGGTGCCACAACGTGCGTTCGACACCACCACCACCATCCTGATTTTCTTCCACTGCTGAAGATCTACGGTACTATAACTGGATTGCACTGTATTGCAGTGTATCGCACTGTACTATTGCTGTAGAGTATAGATAGTATAGTATATAGTATAGTACATGCATCATTTGTTAGACACGGCATCGGCATCGTGTCGATTTCAACTCGGTTTTAATATTGCGTGCTTTAAACAGAATCTACTCTATAGCCCCTGCGCCTGCCCTGCCTCTTGCTTGCCATGTTCCATGTTTCTACGCAACCATTCTTTTTCCCTTTCCATCTTGTTGATCCCCTTGGGTCCCCTTGGATCCCCTAGAACCCTAGGATGCAACTCATCACTCTAGACTAGACCAGGCCGGCCATCCTTCGGCATGCGCCTGCTTATGAATAGTGCAATAATAATCCGTACATGAGCATGAGAGTGCATATATAGTACATACAGACCACATACAGACCACACACAGTATCCCATTAGTATCCCTCAGTATAGTACACACACTACAACACCCTCGGAAGACTTTCCGCTTGAGCGACGCCTCATTACTACTTTGGGGGACACTCTTCGGCATGCGCTTCAACGTGGCCCAACCCCAGCGAATCCTCATCTCTTAACATCTTCCCCTCGCAATAACAGGCCAATACACGCTTTGAAAGACAACAAATCCCACCCACAGTCCGACACAGCTCTCCCCTCTCAATTTACTAAATTGGGCATCATTTATCACCTGACTTACCCGGACCCGAGAATGTGGTTGAGACTAAGATAGAAACGCTGTTCAGCGGCTGGAGGTTTCTGCAAGACGTCGCATGTCTCGTCCATTCAGCGCTCTTTACTCGCCAGAATCGCCATCTACACCACTTACACCAAGACCAATACACGTATGCTTCATGCACAGTATACCAGCTTAGCCTATGACGAGATAGTATCTGCACTCTGCGCTCTGCATACTTTCGCACTTTCGAAGAAAAATTACTTTTGGGTGGTTCTCCTGGTGTCGGCCGTACTACTACTGTGCATCAGAAATTCAAACGACCCCTCTTCGCCCCTTCGCAACAACCACGACCACCACCCCCCTTCCGCCTTCCCCCCTCCCCCCTCCACCCTCTACCCCCCCCTTCTCCACACGATCTGCTGCGAAACGGACGAACGGTAAACACCAGACACACACGCCTTACACGCCTTCAAGTTCCTTCTGCCGTCTCATGCACTCGTTCTATCCTCTGTGCCCTGTGCTGCCACACTCACGAGGGTGAGGGTTGCCACTAGAGTTAGATTGGCAAAGTTAGCAGCTCGGCAAGTATGACCTTCGAGGGTCCTGTCGCTCAATTCTTGGTTACCAGTTACCAGGATATCGCATACTCATACTCCCCCCCCCTTCGGTCTTCGTGTGCGGCGTGAGATATAAGTGGCCGCTTCCAAGCCTCTCCGTCTGAGATGACCTGGTCTCCTGGTATTGAAATTGAATTTTCCCCAGCTTTGGCAAAATCCATAATTTATTCCACGTTATGGCTCCTCGGAGGCAGATTGGCATTCTAGACCTTCCTGACGAGGTTCTCCTAGTAATCCTTCGTGCCGTCGACACCGATCCCGGGCCCATCAATATTGACCATCGCGCGTGGATGAGTGTCGTGAGCTTTAAATTCGAGAGTCAGCTGCCGCGCGAGCCTGAGGTGGTTGGCAATTTCCGCTTCACCTGCAGACGCTTCTCCGAGGTTGGATTGCAGCATCAGTTTAAGACCCTGGCCACGCGCTTCAACGAGGCGGGCCTCAATAGACTGAGAAATATAGCCCGCTACCCGCATCTCGCCACGGCGGTCAAGAAATTCACGTATCTGGTGCCCAGGCTGTTCTTCAACGGTATAGCGTAGCGCACCATTCGTCTCCTGCTGTGCGTTGCCGGCTAACCGTGGCCTACAGATCAGGCGCACATTGAGCGCATCAGCGATGCGATCATCGCGAATGGCAAGAGAGTCCCCGACCAGCTCATCGCGCAGGCGAAGGAGCAGGTCAGCATCGTCGAGTCCCAGATCGACCGGGAGACCCTGAACGGCGCCTTCGCCGCTTTCACTTCCCTGCAGCATGTGTCGCTGCTGAGCCTGCAGAGCCAAATCGACACCCGCTTCATCGCTTTTATGCAGCATAATGTATTCGAAGCGGAGCTGCAACCCAGTCGCACTGCAGCCTACCTCCATGGCGTGAAAACGCTGGGCAGCGCCCTGCTCTCCTCCCAATCACCTGCTAGTCGGCTCTCGTTTCCGATGATAGACGCCCAGACCGCTATCTCGCTCCAGAGCGTCCCCAGCGCACGGGTGCAGAGCATATCGTCTCGCCTCGAGTGCATATTGGCGCGATTCGTCGATCCGGATGAGTTCCAGGCCAGCTTTGGTCAGCTATCGGGTGTTATTGAATCGATTCTTACTTGTGCTACGAACCTCGTGACTCTGCACATAGGATTTCCTAGGGGAAGACCAGCGTCGATTCCACTTGCAGAGGTTTTTCAAAATGAAAATCTCACGAGACTGCGTGTCATCTCGCTCGAGTCATGGAGACTCGATGCGGTCGAGATTATCGGCCTTGTCCGACGACACCGGAACATGCTAGGCGGATTGCGACTTCGGGGCGTACTTTTGAAGCCCGGGAGCCGCTGGCGCGATGTCCTCATATTCCTAAGACAGGAAGCAAAACTCACGTGGTTGAGTCTCTCGGACGCAGATTACGCAGCCAACTTTGACCTAAGAGCACCGACTGGATTCGACGTTACAGATAGAGACTCGACTTACAGCAATGTCGAAGACGATTTCGACGAAGCGGATATGGACTACGACCAAACCTCCGGCTCGGACGCCTCCGCCGAAGCCAGCGAGCAGGAAGACAACAACGAGGTCACAACAGACGTCGACAGCACCCTAGACGCCCCATACATAGAATACATAGAACCCACCGACATCGAGCCCGAATACGACCTAGAAAACGGCGTCCACGACTCCTCCGAGCTCCCCAGCACAGACGATACCCACGATATGTGGGATAGCATAAGCCAGCGCAGCGAGCACGTCGCCCCTCCCTCCATCGACAACGAGGAGGCCGACACAAACGGTCACGTCAGCGGCGACGAGAACGACTTCCCGGAGCCGCCGCCCCACGTCGCGACGCCAATCCCGTTATCCCTGTGTACGTGCCCCACGCTGAAGGAGCTTGATGAGGAGGAGGGCATCGATGGGCCGACAACCCGTGTGACGGCGAAGCAGAGGGCGGTGTGGGAGGAGTGGGTGCTGAGGAGGTGTTTGAAGCATGGGACGTCGGGGATAGTGGTGGAGAGTGAGAGGGTTAGGGAGTCGAGCGCTTGAGTTGCTGTGTAGTAGTGCCGTGGGCGGCTCTGAGGTTATTATACGTTTAAGCTTTGGGTCGGCATATAGATGTGGCTGAGGCGGGTTGGTGGTAGGAGGTGTGTGGGGAGAATATTTCTGGCGAAGGGCAATTTGATCTCATATAGGAGGTCGGTTTGGCGCTTTTGCTGCGAGATGGCGGATAGGGAGGTTATTGGGGAATGATTCAACATGGGGATTTAGGGGGGAGATGTCTGGATCTAGACAGGCAGGTGGTGGCGCTGGCGGCTTATGTCTTATTTATATTGCTCCGTGTAATTAAGGAGAAAAAGTTATTGGTGTCTTTGACGTCTTGTTTGATCGGTTCGGTGGCTAGCCAGCCGGCTTGAATAGGTCTTCGAGTAATCCGGCATATATTCTGTATAGGACTAGTCATTCATGGCGTCTCGATGCAAGTTACATATACCCTATCACATTACGTAGAAGTTTCGGACCAAACACGGACAGCCATCTACGGCCCTCAACTTCCAAAACCGTATTGCTGTTATTTATATGTTTGAATAATACCTTACTAGTGCACTAAATAAATTTATTAGCCTATTCAATATCTGTATGAATTTTACTACAATTGTGTGAATTTGTTTGTCACTTATTTTTTAAATGCATTTTTATCACTGTTGTTTTTTTGTAATGCGAACCTAAATATTATAGTATCCCCAACCCTTCAAATGGAATTGACCCACTATTTAAACCCTTAAACCTCTAAAATAAAATAACCTTTAAATTGACAGATAAAACCAACATATCTTTAATATTTTATTGTAGGTGTATCTAAGGATTGCGGATTGTTGTTGGCTGGGATTTCGTGGCTTATCTCGGGCCTCGATTCCCAGCCGTGCGATTCGCGGGCTGGCCATGGTGGTTACGTAGGCGCCGCCCGCAACTGAGACATCCACCACAACCCCTCCTCATCGAGACAACAAAACAAGAGTACCTTTTCTATGGGCTCCTGAACATGCGCGCCGCTGATGGGCGATCGATTCTACAACATCTACACGTCAATGCCTCCTCGCGGGTGATCTGAGCGCAGTGCCCACCAAGGTGACTCGACCGCCCGCGGAGCGGACCGGGCGAGCGACAAGATGGTTCTCAAGCCCACGCTGAGCCTGACACTTCCCTCGCTGAAGGATGAGACGGTGCTCGATTGCCGAGTCTACTTTCCAACGACCTTATACGACCCCGCCGCGTCCACGGACTCGTCTTCAGGGAGCTGGAGCGGCGATGACGAAAAACAACGCGAGAGAGAAAGGACGAGAAGCCAGCTGAACGGGGAGGCTCGCGCCTCGGACAGTCACAGGTGGACTGGGAAAAGGAAGAAGGCGGCGATAATAGCACATCCATATGCACCGCTAGGTGGGAGCTGCGACGATTATATTGTGCAGCAGACCGCGGGAATACTGCTGAAGCAAGGTTTCGTGGTGGGGTTGTTCAATTTCCGGTATTGTAAAGCATTGGATCATACTATAGGAGAGATGCTGACTTAAACAGTGGTGCGGCTACCTCTAAAGGCAAGACGTCGTGGAATGGGAAGCCGGAAGTATGCGATTACCACTCTATGGTCGGGTTCATGGCGGCTTTCATGCACCACCTCGACTTGGAACCCGTGTCTCCCACCTCATCTCTCACTGATGCAGGCACCTACGAACTAAGCACAATACCCTCACAACTCCCCGCGAACCCCGTATCCGCGCGTCCCACAACTTCCTCCAGCGCGTCAACAAACCGCGACTCCGCAGCAGTGGACAATACACCTCTCCTTCTCCTAGCGGGATACTCCTACGGCTCCCTCATAACGACCATGCTCCCACCCCTCCCCGCCCTTCTCACGCCCTTCCAATCCCCCCTCCCTGGCACCCCAGCCTCCGAAATAAGACTCCGCGCCCAACACCTGGCAGAAGAACAGAATACCCTGCACACCGAGCGACTCAAGCGCGCCTCAGAAGCGGCTACACGGCGCCAACACGCAAGGAACGTGTCAGGAGGTCTACGAGTCGGCGGCGACGAAACATCAGATGTACATCACCGGACGAGTCTGGACTCGCACCATGCCCGGAGGAGCTTGCGACTCGATAGGCTAGAACACAGCGACTGGGGCAGGAGGAGCGTGGAGCGAGTTCGGAGCTTGCGGAAGAGTCTTGACGGACACCGCTTCTCGCCTCCTCCGTCTCCCTCGCGCCACACGTCGCAGACCGAGAGACGCACGAATAGTTCGTCGGCTACTATTGACACCCCCGGCGGCGCATCCGTGGTAGTGAGTCCGGAAGAGGCGTCTGAAGCTGTGGCTGCGACGGCAGCGGCGACTCCTATGCCACTTCTCCAGTTTGGCGAGATGGACGCGGTGTATCTCCTCATTTCACCCATACAGGGCGTGGTGGGCGGTTTGGCAACTATGTTCACTACCACGTCTGCGAAATCGCTCTTACCCTCCCTCTCGTTTCGGAAGAAGGATGCTCATGCTAGCACTGCGGCTCTTAACGGGGGGGACGGGAAGTTCGTAGAGAATAAGACGCTGGTGGTGTTTGGGAATAAAGATTCCTTTTCGAATGCTGACAGGATGAGGAGGTGGACGCAGAAGTTGGAGGGTGCAAGGGGGAGCAGGTTTAGAGCTGTGGAGGTAAATAATGGGGGCCATTTTTGGCATGAGATGGAGGAGTTGGAGGTTTTGAAGAGGAGTGTTGAGAGATGGGCGAGGGAGTTGGGGTGATTTAATGGGAGGTATGACGAAGACACTGCCTGTGTAATAAAGAGATGGGCAGGCTATAGAGAGGGCCAGGCTGGCGTAGTATACAGCTCTTAATATATCACCGAAAGTTACGAGATTCTCACGCAGGATGTGCTCTACTGATGTGGTTTGAAACGCCAGCAATGATGCCCGACTGCATTTTGTATAACTCCCGATCCCTATAATACATGTACAAACCAAGTCCCCATTCTCAAGATCCGCCCAGAACCTCTTTAGATTTAAATCCCCAACAGCCTAACAGCTCGGCCTCTTTCTTCAATATCATAGCACTGCACTGGACGCCCCTTACTCGTCAGTATACCTCGGGCCATCCTCATTACCACCATCTGCCCCCCATTCACCAGGAGTCGGCGCTCCCCATCCACCCGGCGTCGGCGCCGCTAATGCTCCAGGTGTAGGTGCATTCTCCGGCGCTCCGCCCCATCCACCACCTCCCCACCCAGCAGGTGTCGGCGCACTGGCAGCACCGCTCGCACCGGGAGTAGGCGCACTATACGCGCCCGGAGTCGGAGCATTCAAGCCACCAGGCGTAGGGGCAGTGACTTGAGCGCCCGGAGTCGGGGCATCATACGAGTTTGCGCCCCAAGAGCTCGTATTGCTGGGCTCGTTCGAGGAGTAGGCTGGCGTTTTGGAACCAGTGCCCCAGGCATCGCCGCCACCACTGCCATAGGCGGGCGTCTTTGAACCGGCTGCGAAACCGTCTGAGCCTGAGCCGAAACCTCCGTAGGCGGGTGTCTTCCCGCCAGCTTGCCATGCGGGAGTGCGGTTTCCGGCTCCATATGCGACGGTGCGCGAGCCGTCTTGCCATGCTGGGGTCCGTCCACCAGCGTCTGCAGCTGCCTTCCATGCTGGAGTTCGACCACCACCATTCGATGCTGCGGCTGTGAGATAAGTTAGTATGAGACTCGCAATGGGATTATACAAATGAACATACCTCGTCCCCATGCAGGGGTGCGGTCGCTGCCGCCCGCCCCACCGGGTGTACGACCACCATCCCAGGCTCCAGAAGGAGTCGCACCGCCGAAGCCTCCACGTCCTCCTCTTGATCCACCGCCGCCGCCGCGGTATCCACCACGTGCATTTGGATCGATCGTATTACCGGTCCTTGCATCTTTGAACGCAAGGGCATCCTTTGGCACATTGACTGTCTTGCTCTTGGTATGGAGTTCGACACGTGCAGTCGTGTCTGTGGTCTCCTTGACAATACCCAGAAGTCCCTTGTACGGTCCCTTCTTGATAGTGACAGTTTGGCCAATTGATCTGTCTCTGCCGGCAAATTTGGGCGGAGGCATGTCCATGTTTCCACCCTGCGGGTTCAGTTTCATAGCGGGGTTCATAGACGAAAGATCTGGACCAGCCGACGCAATAATTCGGCCACCAGTCGCAGAGATAGTTGCGATGTTGGTCGTGCGCACCACGAACACTCCGGCATTCTCGTTCTGCTCCGCGCTGTGGAGGAAGAGGAACGATCTGTGAATGTGCATGATCTTTCCTTGCCTGCCACCATCGCCAATCTCCTTGACAACATCATCGGTGCGGACTTCAGACCCGTTGCGATCAGTGGCAACGGCAAATTTTCGCCGTTCCAGCTTGTTCGCAATCTGTGATGGCATAACTGTTCTGGTCTGCTCGTTTTGGTCAAGTACAGTCAGAGACTCCCTGTCAACCTTGATGATACAGGCAACGGTGGCTGGGTCGAGCTGAACAAGATCCCAAAGCTCAAATTGTCCCAAGGAGCCAGCACCGCCCGAATCGCTGGACTCGCGCAGGTCTTTGCTGAATACTGTAACTTCATTGTTGCCTTGGTCGGTCAAGAGCGTAACTCGGTCCTGAACGATCTTGACAACCATTCCGACCTCATCCCGGAAGCGACTTCCGCCAATAACCTTGACGTGATCTCCCTGCCTAAACCTCTTCCTGAGGCCCTTGGTTGGTACCTCGATTGTTTGGCCCTTGAGTACTCCATCCGTTACAGCCATGGTAACGATATCAGCCTGAATTGCTATCGCCTTACCAAAAACGCCCTTCTGCTCGCCCTCGTAAACCTCGATGATATCGCCAGGGAGGTAGGATGCGTTCGCAGTACTCGCCTTCAAGCTTGCTGCCAGGGCGTTCAGGTCCAGATTCTCCGTGCCGTCATCTGCGCCAGATGCGAATCTTGTAACTTCTTCAAGCGTTGGGTTCACATCTTTAACCTGGATCTGCTGGATCTTAACATCCTTCTCACAGTATCCATTATTATATTCGTCGCCCATATAGTTCCAGATTTTCGTTTGTGGGTTGCCGGTGAGGTATCTGGCGTGTCGCTTCTTTGCCTCGACGTCGCTGAATAGCCTTGGTGGCGGCCTTGGACCAGCGTTGGCACGCTTACGTTTGCCTTGTGCATCGAGACCAGGAGCATTCATATCTTCGTGTAGACCGTAGTCAAGGCGAGGCACGAATCTGACCCTCACTTCCAAGCCGTTTTCTGTGACATCGACAACCTGTGCAAGGTCTCCGGCGTACTTTGCTGGTCGCTTGAGGCGCACATATGCACCGGGCTCCAGCGGGGCGGTCTTTGATACCCTCAACAAATCCGGCATCTCTTTGATCTCCACCAGTAGCATCTTCGTCCGGGGATAGACGTTCATGAGGCCATCGAGAGCAGATTCAATCTCTGCCTGGCGCTGAGCCTCGACGTAAATGTATCCCTTGATGGGCGCCGTTGCGTTTGCGCGCTCGAAAGCGGATATGATAGAGAGCTCATCTTTCGTGCCGAATCGCTCCTCGAGGCGTTTGGTGATCGAAAATACGACTTCGCGCTCCTTGCCTTCTTTACACTTCACAGCCCAGATGCTTGGATCGTCGACACTGGGAAGGAGCAATCGCTTTGGAACGACCGCTGAATCCCCACCGAGCTTCGCACTCCTGGTCTTGGCATAACGTTGTCGCAGAATCTCAGCTTGTTTCTCCGCGTCGAGACTGGATTCCATCTCTCGCCTCCTATCGAGCTCCCTGTGGCGCCTGTCGTCGGCATCGCCACCAGCGGGGAGGTCAAACGCATCGTCAGGGTGTGTATCAGCGATGAAGTTGTCTTTGAGTTCGTTCAGCTCGTCATCGTCGTCATCGTTTTCGTCTTCACTTTCGTCAACTTCGGCCTCTACATCGAGGAACTGATTGCGCCGTTCCCTTCTGCGTTTTCTTCGGTGACCCTTGGAGCAAATTAGTTCTGTAAGCAGAAAGGGCTTCAAGCCACAACGCGTTGCGACAGGCCCGCGCAATATCAGGCAGGGCTGTAACTTACTGTGACCTCTTCCTCTTCTTCATCCTCGTCTTCTTCCTCATCTTCCTCGTCTTGTCCAGCGTCTTCATCGTTATTGTTATCACCGCGATCCCCCGGAGTTCGACTGCGCGATTTTGACTTTCGCACAGGCGATGTCTCTTCATCACTATCCTCTTGGTGCCTGTTGCTCACTGAGCTCCCTCGATTCTTGGGTGGCGCTGGCGAACTGTTGTCGTTGTCTGCGCCCTCCTCATCAGACAAATCAGCGGGCGCCGGGTTGAAATCACCCTCATCCTCTGAGTCGGAGAAGTGCTGATCGAGGAAATTCGCCGTAGACATGATGGTGACTACGCTCCGTGTATATGGACAGAGGTATAATGATCCTGTCTAGATCGATAGAAGTTGAGGTCAAAGGACCAAGAAAGTGAGGCCAAATGCTTGATCTACCCTTGTCTTGTTGCTTTGGTGTTGCCTCTGGCTCAATTCGCGCTAGCGACTCGCGGCATGTACCGGTGTCTTGGGAGCTAACCTAAAGGAGATAGGTTGATCGGGTCCGAATAACCAAGGTTCAGCCTCGGCTTCAGCCTTTCCCCTCAAGTCGAACTGAGAAAGGCGATGGCGAAAACAAAGTACAGAAGTGCTTGTTTTTGGCAAAAATGAAGGCTCTCGTCGTGGATAAGTTTGTTAATGTATGTCTTCATTCAATTATATTCTGACATCGTAAGCTGACCTTTTGATCCAGAATTATGATGAGCTTAAAGTAACTGAGCTGGGGCATCATGATGTCCCATATGGCCATGCTCTGGTGCAAGTGAAAGCGGTCGGCCTCACCTTTGTCGACCTTTTATACGTATGTAAGCCTTTCAATTGCTACGCTGTGTTCAAAGACTTTACGTCTTTCATATGACAATCATTTCACCTTTATTTGGAGTTTACTACAGCCTCAAACCACCCTCTCCGCCCAGAGGCAACCATGCCATGAACTCCACCTCAGAAGTTCCAATTAACCTTTATTAGGCCCGCGGTAAACATCAGAACAACAGATCCCTCCACACGCCCCCATTCACCCTAGGCAGTGAATTCTCCGGCGTCATCCTCACCACCAACCCCCCCGCCTTGCCCCTCTCCTCCTTCTCACCCGGAGCCCGCGTCTACGGCTCATACCTCGGCGCCTTCGCAACCCACATCTACGTTCCCCTGTCTTCTTTCAGCAAAATTCCCTCCTCGTGGTCATTCCAAGAAGCAGCCGGCATCAGCTCGACCTTGCCGGTCTCATACGGTGCGCTGAAGAGGGCGGGCTTGGAAAGAGGGCAGTCTGTGCTCGTGCACGCTGCGGCGGGGGGCCTGGGGTTGATGGCTGTGCAGGTTGCCAAAGCACTTGGCTGTACTGTTGTTGCGACGGCGTCTACAGCATCTAAACTTGCTGTGGCGAAGAATTTTGGCGCGGATTATTCGGTGAATTACTCGGATGAGGGGTGGGAGAAGCGGATACTGGAAGCCACAAATGGAGAGGGCGTGGATGTTGTATACGACCCCGTTGGCCTCGTTGACCAAAGCCTCAGGTGCCTGAAGCATGGAGGACGCATCCTGCTTATTGGTTTCGCTGGAAGAGAGGGTAACATGGAGAAGATTGCGATGAATCGGGTGCTGTTGAAACAGGCAGTTATTATTGGGTATAGATATGGGGAGACTCACCGACGGAACCCCGAAGAAACAAGAGCTATTTGGGAAACTTTGGAGCCCATGATCGCAAACGGCGACGTTAAGCCAACGGTATACGATGGGGACTTCAAAGGCCTGGATAGCATCCCTCGCGCGATGCAGGATATGGCCGACCGAAAGGTCTGGGGCAAAGCCGTGATCACCCTTGATGACCAAGTCGAAAATAGTCGAAAAAAGGTGGATATTCGGGCGAATATATAATTTTATATGTACATACTGTCTTTCTATGTTCTATTTCTGACTTTTAAATTTTGCCCACTGTGAACAAGCATAACATGAACAAGCATGTTGTGCTCTAAATTATTACGTCCCGTCCCGCGGTCTAATCCACATCGTCCGCATTAGTGTCGCCATACTGCTCTTTCTTATCGTCGGTCTTGACCCCGTTCTTGGCAGCAGGCTTTTCCTCCTCTTCTTCTTCCTCACTGCTACTCTCGCTTTCCTCTACGTCTTCCTCCTCGACGGTGACTTGCTTTCCCTGATTCAAGTTCACGCCCTCCTTAATCGTTCCATCTTCATTGACATCTTCCTTGAGATACAACGAAAACAGAACGACCAGATACACAACCCCAGTAACGCGATTCTTTAGCACATATCTGAGGCTATGTGAGCGTTTGATCGTCCTCTTCTCTCCTTTGCTGTAGCTTGGTTGGCCTTTCGTGATCGATACAATGCGGCGTAGATAATTTTGCCAACGATTTTAACAGAACAAAGGGAATAAAACGGGGATTATGAAAAAGGGAACATACCGGAGTGGTTGCCCGTCCCAGTAAGACATGATGGGAAGGTGGAAACCAGGCAGCTTGAGCGCAAACTTGTTGAAATCCAGGTACGGGTTCCCGAAATCAACGAACACGGGCCGGCCAGCCTCAAACTCGAAGCCCTTACGATTGCCCTCTACGAGGAAATGCTTCTTCCGCGCCGCAGCGCCATCAGGTATGCCCTTCTCTTTCCGGTAAGCCAGTCCATCAGCTGCCCCGCCTTCCTCCACGAGAATCCCGATCTTTTCATCGAAGTTCTCCTTACACTTCTTGGATCCCAATGAGTTTGACGAATCGCCGTTCTTGCTGCCCAGCCATAGTCTGTCAATGCTGCTCAGGAATTTTCCAAACAACCATGGTTTGTCCGAGTAGACATCAGCCTCGAGGCCCGGATCAACAGCCCATTTGACGATTTTGAACGCGGATCCAAATGCAGGAGGTAGTCTGTCTCTTATGGGATGGTCGAAATCGTTTCCAAACACCAGGTCGTCGCCGGGGATTGCTTCGGTGGGAGTGAATGAGAATGAGATCGAGTACTGGTGCTTGGTGTAATCGGGTAAAGAAAAGTACGGGCTGTTTTCCGGCGAGGAGTGGGGAAGTCCGTGATAATTCTGAGAAAGAGACTGGTTAGCTGAGGGCTTATGGCAAGTTGAGCGAGGGTATAGAGGGGAGGGAATGAGTGTGCGGACCTGGATGCGGATGTTGAGCGAAACGTCGGTGTGCTCCGACTTAATGGAGATGGGCTCCGCAGTGTTTACGGTGACAGTCTCGTGCGTGCTGGGATCGTAGGAAGTGCCCGCCGTGACACGGAGAGTATATTTGTTATGCGCCATGGTGTGTATTACCAACGGTGAAAAATATCAAGAAACGGTGTTCTGCCCCGCCTTATGTATGGTCTCCCCGAATCGTGTAGTACAAACGGAGGCGGCAACACAGCAATTGTAGCACTACAATAGCCCAATTACTTCGAGTATGACCTGCAGGGCTGAGTTCACAACAGATAATAGCCCGCGGGTTGATGCGTGCGCAATGTGTTGCATTTTGCCACGTTTTGAGGCCGACCGGAATATGGACGGAATTTCTTGGGTTCGGTGCCCCACATCGGGAAACGGTAGCGATGACGATGTACATGTCAATGCCGAGTCTAGCCCACTCTAGCATCGACAAGAATGCCATGAGATCGGGCTAGTAAAACCTTCTTTTTCTCCTGAATAATCTATAAAATTATGCTATATGTGGGGGATTTTATAAGTGAAATCCCGATTTATATTTATTCCTGATGCCGTGCCTCAGGTAACTGAACAGCTAAAGCCTGTTTGTTGGTCCCAAATGAAACGAGACCTTGAAGCATGCCGCATAGACTGAATATATTTAGTCTTTACCGCTAGAAATTACTTCCTGTCAATCCGCCATATATAGTTTGGGATTTGGGACAATGAAATCATCGAGTTTGACTCTTTCATGGAAACAGATAATGCCCAGTGATTTCCAGTAATGAGCGATTTTATCGGGAGATATAAGGATGAGCTGGCTCTCGAAATACTCGGCTGCATTCGTCAGATATATTCTTGGAAACTTATAGGAAGGCTAATGAGATTATCAAATACGTACGGTTCATGAAATTTCTATTCGCAAGTTGTCCCTTGCTCTTGACGATTCTTGCGCCTTTGAATTGATCTTCCTTGGCAATACGAACCAGACCCTCGTCTCCAATGTCCTCGGCCATGAAGGTATACTCTCCACGTGGGATATTTGGATCTCCAGTTAGTTTTATTGCTTCCAAACGACCTCGATAAATCTGTGCATCTTTTTTCCGGGTCAGATACTGCTCGTCGCTTTCATCAGACCGTTTAACAACGGTGGACTCATCAAACGGCTCGTCGTCATCCGGCTGATGCAGAAGAATAAATTCGCAGCCATGAGCAGAACTAGAAATATTAGCTAAGTGTATAAATAGAGGAAGTAAAACCTTACTAATCGCCGACCCAGATCCCTCGGAACGGTCGAGTGTCCGTGGGAGTATAGAGTGCCGGATCAAGAGTGGCATATGTACTTATTTGTAGAGGCTCTCCTCGGTGTCCAGCAACCGTGTGCATCCAGTGGCGTATTCTAAAAGCTTGTTCATTTATCTCATCGCGATTTCGTGGCTTCTGCGCGCCTGTGAAAGTTTGGTTGAACGTCATCATTTGCACCAGGGCACTGACATGGCGATGACCTGCCAAAATGTCGTCGCCGAGGCTTACCACTCGCTGGCTGGCTGGGATTGTAGCTGGTGGCCACATAGATGAATTTGGATGAGGTTCAGCTGGCCGGGCCAGCATGAATGTCGACTGAGCTATGGTGTCTGTCAGGTTGCTGAGAGACATGGGGATTTCAAAGTCGTAGCGGTGAGAAGTGCTGCTATATATTGGGCTCGAATTGCCATTCTGGCTCAGTGCCTCCAGTCTCAGTAGTGGTATGTCCGTATGGAGCCTGACGTTGGGTTTAAACGAAATAATAACAACGTTTGGGTCGTGCTCCCAAGTGTATTCGATTGTCGGAGCCCGCTCTGCAACTAACCGGTACCCATCGATGGTTCCCAGATACGGGTTATAATAAGTGATCATCATCCGGCCAAAGAGATGCTGATCTCCGAACCATATTTTCATTTTGGGGACAAACCAGTGCGGATCGTGGGCCCGATACAAACCGCGGTAGCTCGAACATGGCGAAGATGATTCCAAGATACAGCCTGGGATGTTTTCTTGAACAAGTGGTTGCCAGAGGCGATCATTGGTTCCCCGTATATAGAGGTGACGGCACGAATAAACAACTGCATCCAGGTCCCTCGGAGAGAGGCACGATAGAACGAAATCGAGAAGCTCAGCTGGAAGATTTAATAACGGCGATCCACTTTGAGACAGAATGCTGCGTTCATCGTCGTCATGTTCTATAAGCATGTTAGCAGCTAATCCGCATCTTCCGGACACAAGCTTCGTTTGTGGTCCAAATGATTATCCCTGTGGCCTCTCATGCCCAGAAATGTTATCCGTAAGGGGAAACACAGGGAAATTACGAAATGGAACTTGTACTGTACCTTGCGATATATACGACATCTGGTCGAAATGGATCTGGGCGCTTGATTCGTGTGGGTCAGCGACTCCACCCGATGAACTGCCCATACTGTCGACATCCATCACGGCTGAATACGACGGCTAGCATTAATGGGATGGTCAATCTATGTCTTATAGAATCCGGTATATCCGCCTTGAGGCGGTATTAGTCAAAGTAAATCGTTTCGGTCGTCAATATAAAACAGTGGTGGTCTTGGTCAGTCCGTGTCACGGACACCGTTGTAATATTCCCAATAAAAACAAAGGACCACGCATTTATCAAATTCGCTTATACCATCAAACAGCAGAAGAAAAGAACAAATATAATATTACTGCACATCAAAGTTGATGGCCGAGTCGCATTATTTATGATCAGAAGTGGCCTTCTTTGAGGTGTGTGGACGTTTGTAATTGCCGAAAACGATTTAGCGGGGCCCATCACCCGCTCCTCGCCTAGCAAGGATAAAGTGGACTGACAGAATTGTTTAACATTGTTTAACTGAACTTCATGAACAAAAAGGTAATACATATTATTTATCTGTGCCCCTATCTCTGTGTATATCCGAGATCATTACCCTAGAAATAGTAACTTTGTAACGTTATTTGCGTGTGATCGCTTTGGGTGGCAACTTCAAATCATCGAAAGGCGCTTCCTGCATCTCCAAGTCTTCGTCGTCTCTGTCGAACGCCCGCTCTCTCCTTGTAACCCGCTGCTCCAAACGAGTCTGCTTCCTCATCTTATTGAAAAAAGAACAGTATAGGCTAATCAGAAGGATGGTGACGAAGGCGACCGCTACGAAGATGATGCCCACGGTTGCGGGATGCTGAAACTGTTAGCTGCAAGTCATTTGTGCTGCATGGATTTACTTACAGGCCCCTTAATCGGCCGAGTTCTTTCTGGCATGTTATGTTTCTTGTGATATAAATATCGTTTATTTGATGGTTATTCCGAGTGGATTTTGAGTTGGCAAGGTTGACGTTGGTGTCTGATATCGCCGCGGAGGTTTTGATGAGTGCAGTTACTTTTTTTACTGACAAGGGAACATAGTATTTAAATGCACAGAGAATTGGATCTAAGTTCGCTGGTGCCTGGAGCTATGGGTTAGTTCCATATCACGTAAATGAAGCTTTAGATGGGCCCATTCTCAGTTTACTAGCGCAGGGCAACTATCATCACTTCAGAGAATCGGTGCCGCTTTCCACTGCTTACAATATCCCAAACCCTAGGGAACTCCCTTTGCAAATGAAAGAGGGCTTCCTATATTCTGTATATCGCTAGCGTCAAGCATTCTCTGACGATGCATTTTCCCTTGAATGCTGTGCGTAGAGTTTGGAACATCGTGTGTAACAATGTTGAACATCTTGACGTGGCTGGTATTTCCAAGTATACATTGACAGTCCCTGGGAATCTTGTATCTGTTGCAGCTGATGAATTCATGAATACTGATCAAGGTTTTTTGGTGACGTGGTTGAGGGATTGAAGGAAGAGTAGAATGTGGCCCGTAAATGTACTGTACGGAGTCCGAAGACATCGATCTGTTTTAATCTGCGGCTGGAATTAGCAATGAGGATATGAAGGTATATGCTTTGAAAACTGTGATTTGCTAGGCCAATTATCACGATTATTATATCCAAAATACAGAATAGGCATAATCATTCCCAGCATTACTGGTTGCATCTTGGCGATGTTGGATCATTCAAAAGAATTGCCTCGACAGAAAAACCCACGAGTTGCGTGCTCTCATATACTTCAGGCTGAATATAAACGAACCACACAGCAACCAGTCCAGAGGAAACCTCAAAAAAGTCTCCCGTGACCTGTATTTTTTTGTGGGAGCCACTAAGCATCCCCGATATACCAACATGCATGCCCAGAAAGCCTCATTTTGGCATGTGCATATGCCCGCATAGTTACACACACGAGTGCAAAAAATGCACAACAATAGGCAACCGACATCGTGTTGGTTACATCGCCAAACGCAAGGGTACAGTATATAATTCGTGCTCCACACCTCAACGCTATCCCCAATACCTCACAAACCAAGCGTGCCGACTGAGACTTTCGACAAACCACCATGAACGGAACTTCGGGGGCTGAGGCGGGTCAACTTTCTGAGAACCAGTCAGGAGTAAATATGGATTGCGCAGAGTGTATGAAGCTGGCCGAAAAGCTGGAGAAATGCAAAGGTAGCGCCGGGAATAAGATGGGTGGGGAGGCTTCTAATAAATCACCGAAGGCGAGGAAAGAAGAATGCAAGCACCTGCGGATGAGAGTCAGAAAGAGCAGTTGACGTCGGTTTTGCAAGGAGTTCTTATATTTAATTGATGAAAGCCCGTCTCAACAATGAAAAGTCGACTGGTGGTGGGAGGATGGTGGTTGTGGTCTTTCATTCCGCAATCTATTTGGGAATGCTCAACAGCGGCGCAGCCCATTGCGCTTTTCGCTGCTATCGGAGGCAGCTACAGAATGAATCAGGCTCAAAATTACAAAAGTGGATGCCTCGGAGGGAAGAAGAATTCGAAGTTATTTGCTATGCCACTTAAATCGGCAATGAACAACTTACTGTCACGGATGCTTGCCATTGACCTACTAGCTATCCGTCACTATAGCTACCATTCTTATCTGCGACTCAATAATGGCAGCGGTATTTTGGAAACCGTGAGAGATTATTGACGTCTCTGTTGAATAGGTTATTTATTGGAGGCAAATAGAGAAGATGGCGGAGATGGCGGCTGGCAAAAAGATTGTGGTTAATGCTAGGTTTATCATTTGGTCTGTAGAATAGTCCAACTTTGCGATATGTAAAGAATAGCAAACCCGTCTTTCCAGTTCGAGAGCATGGTATTTCCCCCATGATTATTTGGTATAGAACTAAAAGTCTCCATTTACACTTCGGCGAAGCTGTCTTTGTTGCCAAACAACCAACATAACCACCACAACAACCAGAACTTCACCCCATCCTTGCTTTACTAGCACTTCAATATCCACCCACAGAGCTATCATATCAATTGCTTTTAAGCTTCAAAAGCTTCAAAATGTGTCTCGCACAAGAGATCTGCTACCAGCCATGCAATCACAGATACCGCCAACCACTTGAGAACTGCGGACCCATGACAGAGCATCTCCAAAGCACCACCAATGCCCTCGAACTAGAGTGTGCAAACCATTACACCATCATCTTGGAAGCCGTTGACTTCTGCAACAACTGCACCAAACAAATGAAGGTCACCGCAACCATGGCGCTCGTCGCACTTAGGGACATGAGTATTGCCGGAACGGATGAGACGGGAGGAAAGGCGATTGGAGAGAAGGGAAAGGCAATTAGTGAGAAGGCGAAGGAGAGATTGAAGGAGAAGGTAAAAGTGAAGGAAGGTGGGTCACGCAAACATGCTGGCTATCTTGCTCTTCCTGTCTGGAACACAAAGAAAGTAGGTACAACCAACTTCTCAAGTGTGGACAGTGAAAAGGTAGCTAATCCTCACAGATCCAAAAGAATCGCGAGAGAGCCCGCTCAATGGGCCCAAATGATAAACACGGCCGCGCAAAGACCGCTCGGAGGAAACGCCGCAGGAATTCTCTTGCTATCATTGGTGGACAACCTGATGATATCAAGGCGGAGATATTAGTGCCATGGTAAAGAAACAGGGTATGCGTTTGGAGTCAAGTACAGACAGCTCACAAGGTACACAGTTCTGATTGATTCAACTGCCACAAAGACAATATCCGCTGGCAGTCACGGGAGGAACGTGGAGTCTTTGCACGGAAAGTGGCAGCCACGAGTATGCTCCGCTCCGATTCATCTCACACAATGTAGGTTAGCAAATCCCTTGGATTAGAACGCGAAACGTGGCTGTTCATATAACCATGCTAACTTCTGAGTTTTCCAATAGACTTCCTCTCAGGCTACTTAAACGCCGAGTTGTGTGCTTCCTGCGCGGCGTAATTATCCGATGGAGAGGCCGGATGCGGCCAGGGCAGGATATATTTGTCAGGTGGCTGGAAGTTGTACCTATAGATATCAATCGGTCGCCCACAAAGAATGTAAATAGCCGTTGACTGCCCTTTGCCAGTGGACACGGCATTCAAAGCTCTCTTTGTTTCAGGATGTTTCACAACAGCTAGAGTTTAGAGAATATAACTTGACCTGTCCCTCCGGGATGACCATCCTTGTTTGCCGAGCGCCATCAATCGCAATTTTGGAATCAGAAGTGAAATACCCCTCATCTAATACCTCGAGCTAGGATATTAATCCTCTCCAAAATCCCCCCATGATATTCAACTTCTTTGATGAATTTAGCTTCGAACCTAGAGGCTGTGAGTAATACCCAATCAAAGCACCCCCATCGCACCGTTCTACAATCCTTACCAATCGAGTTTAGCCCATTCCCCCTTCATAGCGCGACGCCACTACCATCGCCGGCCCGCCGCCCCATCCCGATCCCGATCCCGACCTCGATATGTGTCTCAAGACCGAAGCTTATTACATGGAATGCAGCCACCGCTTCCCGCACTCCTTCAGCCACTGCACCAAGATCATCGAGGAGCGCACGACGAAGGGCTGGTGGCCATTCTCGTTGATGAACGCGGACCCGTACAAGGAGTGCGACGACCATCGGTTAGAGAAGAAAAACAGCGAGGGGTTGTGTCCGACTTGCGACTGGGAGATGAAAGAGAAGCTGAAGCAGGTCGAAGAGGGAAGGGGTGGTTGAGTAGTGGGAGTTGGTTGCTTGTGGCTCGGGCTGAGTTGTTCTCATTGAGGCCTTGGAGTTTCTTTTTGCGGCGGAGTTTAGATGGTTGAGACATCATATTGGTTTGATATTTGCACCAAATAGAATGACATACGCTGCGATTGAGTCGCTGAATAAGGAAGGATACCTAAAATAAAGCATTCACCACAAGCAATTAACGACATACGAAACTTGGAAATACTATCCCAGTCCTATTCAACGCCTGGGCTCGTATTGCATATTGACCTCCATGGTTATAAACCGAATACCAAGTTCACCCACAATATGAAGAAAAATCATATGCCTGCAGTAACTGAAAGGCCATTCTATGGCCGCAACAGCTGAGAAGTCATTGCATGACACGTGCAAGTAGTGCCTCTCAGATAGATATCCCGAGGACAAGACGGCACCGCGGTTTGGACCTGCCTCCGCAGAGCCTATTTCATCCATTATATCCGAATCAGCGCCGGTTCGTGTCTCCACCCATCAGATCGTACTTCGTAATCGCCAGTCACACTAAGCTTCACCTCGAGGTGCTTGAAGCCTATCAAAGGTCGCTTCACCGGAACCACCCTCCCATCATCCAGCGTAGTCTCTGTCAAATACGCTGTGTCAGGATCAAATATCCTACCTAAGATAGCAATGATGAGAACGAGGCTCATAAAGGTTATAGTTGCAGGATGGCGACCACCCAATTTGACCAGCAGTACAACAAAGACCACGAACACCACGGCGAGTAGTGCGAAATGAAGAGGCAGGGAAAATGGCCGCTTGTAGCGCGTCTGCACCATCGCGCGAACTGGTCTCCAGTTAGCTATTTCACCTCGAGGAAGAGCTGTAGGCTTGTACGAACGAATACGCGTTGGTAGGAAAAGTGAGAGTATGGCGCAGCCGCGTCAACCAGAAGTAAACACGGTACAAAAGATATATTGATTACTGTCTACTCGTACAATGCATCTATATCGGACTATTCTTTCTCATTCTTGCGTTTCTCCCTCAAGCATTTGTTGCAATCCGTTGGTTTACGGACCCAATCCCAGTAGTACTCGGGGCAGCTCTCCTTGGACCCGCACCCACCATACTTGGGCGCCTTTATGAGTCTGCAATATCTCGTTTTTTTTTGCTGTGTCCACACTCCCACTTACCTTGGTTTGGTTTGGGGATTGGTGAGGCTTGTGGCTGATTGAGGATGGATAGGCTGTGCGAGTTTGTGAGTTTGGTTTTGAGTTTATGAGATGAAATCCTTCCATCTTATATATGGCAATCTGGGGCTCCTTGAAAGCCATTTAGTCGCAATGTCAATTAATAACACTAGTTATTCATTCCTTGTAACTCTGAACATCAAAAACTCGGTTGTTGTCTGTTCTCAAACAACCCCCCAACGTATCATTATATTTCATTACCACTTCATCCAGCAATAAAGGCTTTGTTAAAGTGAACGCGGACCCACCACAAGTCTCGTGGCCACCCGCACGCATCACCAAATACCATTGTCACACCTTGTTCCTTCTCTATTTGGATTCTCTCCTCTTAATCCTCCACGTGATAACCATATCCGTATTCGAAGTCAAGTGAAAAAAGCTCCGTCCCACAAAGAACCAAGCAGGCAGCCAGCCGTCCATCAAAGCCACAACAGTCTCTCTGCGCTACCTCCAACGCAACAGTCCGCCCTTCGCCACCTAAGATGTGCACAAAGCTCAAAACCCACTTCTGGAAGTGCGGCCACCGAGTCCAAACAGGCATCGAGGTGTGCAGCCCCTGGGCCGAGCGCTCGCAGATCCTCGACGCCAACGGAAAATGCCCGAATGACTGCATCTCGGTGGAGAAGTGTGATGCGAAGTGTTGGGATTGCAGTATGGAGGTTGACAGGCCGACATTTGAAGAGGCTCTCGACAAGCTGCGTTCAGACCTCCGGGGCCGGGCGGCAGGCGTGGGGATGCAGGGAGTTTGAAACATGGCATTGAGCATAAGGATTCTGTGATGAAGGTGAGTTTTACTTCTCATTGTTATATGAACAAAGTGCTGTTGCTGACGGTGGTTATGACGTAGATTTGCATTGCGTATTGAAGTCAAAGAGATCGCTGCCCACCCCATTGGCTGAGAGCTTGGCCTGGGGGGAACAATGAAGACAAAGGTTGCAACAAAGGTTACTATTGCTACTAAAGGGTGGTTTGCCCATTTTTGTTTCGGCGCAGATGATCAACTGGCAATAATGTATGTTGTTTCTATCCCTTTAGTGGCTGAAACCTTAAACAACGACAACATTATGGGAATTCATGTTCATATGCGAAACTGTTCTGCTCAAGCTATGAAAGAAGAAAAAGGTATAAATACGCCCGAAATTCCCATCAATCTGCCCCAAATCAAATTCACCACTTCACTTCCTCATCGAGATCCCTAACAGGATCATCAAAAGCACCATAGCCATTAGAATCATCAAGACCAACAATTCCTAGCCAAACAGCTCCAATCCCACCACAACGCCATAACCACATCAACCATGTGCTGGATAGTAACCTTATATTTTGCCTGCGGGTGCATCAACAAGGAGGTGAGAGAGTGCCGCCAGGTCAAAAATGGCCAACGATGTAGCGGCCTATCTAGCCCCCGATCTAGCGACAACGAGGTGATCGCCGAGGACTGCGACAGATGCGTCCGCCGCTATACAGACCACAACTCGCAGGGCCATCAGAAATGAATAGATGGAATGTAGAGGTAAGTTCTCTGCTTCGTTATTTGTTACTGACAGTAGACTAGATATGGAATAGACAATTGGTTTTTTACATTAATGTTCTCAAAGTGCTTGAATCGTGATTATGGCTTAGTTTTCAAGTCAAGAACCGAATCCGGATACTTGTTATCCTCTGTAAAAAAAAGGGGGGGGCTGGGCCAAATAACGTGAGATATATCGCTCCGCTTATCGTATTGTGTTTTCCATTATTGCCGCCGGTTGCTTCAGTTTCAGGAGCAGTAATCGGAGTCTTGATTGTCAAACTACCGATACTGCTCTTCCCTTGAAAATTTCTTCTAGCTCAACAAGGTCCTTTGAATATTCAGCGCTATCCTTGAGAATATCTCGAATTACTTCCTTTGCAGTTAAAGGAGCAATGCCGTGCGCGTCATGGCATATCTCCTCTGGATTTGCACCATGCCTTAGCATAATCTTCATTACCTCAATCCAGCGCCTTTTATTTTGAGCAATTAAGCCTGCCCTGGAAATACCTCGCGCAAATAAAATTCTCTGACGAGTAAAGCATTTGTGGCCGGTTTCCACGGCTTCACTCCACACAGTTGTACCATCATATTGTTCGTTTGTGTCCGCTCCAAGTGATAACAGGAGTCTGACAACACTGATATCAGGTAAACTATATCCAATAGCAGCGTTATTATCGCTGCTATAATGTACCAGAGCTGGTAGTCCATGATCAAGAGAAACAGCATATGCTAGGAGCGGCGGTTTCCCTAATTTGGCTCCGACTGAGATATTGCCGCCAGAGAGTTTACTTTCAACATATGAGGTCAACCCTACCTGAATAGCAACAGGTAGAAAGCCGTCGTATTTGCTGACTTTTTTATCACAATCTATCATAGGCTCGAGTGTACTCCAGTGGCATTCTTCTATTGGACCAGTCTGGATTTGCTGACGAAGAAAGAATGCGCGGGCTAAATGTGTGCATGTTAAGTCAAGCTCATCGAGAAGGCTGAAGTATGCCTCCTTATTTGCGCCGTGGCCCTCAGATGATGCTGCGTAGTGCATCGAATCCGCGGTATATATATAATCAAGGCCGAAATAAAGCCGTCCGTAAGCCTCTCCGTAACGCCCTTCATATGGCTTGGAAATGAGTTCTTCTAGGCACTTAAGCCTAAGGATGCATGCGCTTAGTAGTGCGAGGCTTGGATCAAAAGAGCTTTGAGGCTCTTGCGGAAGCAGATGTATCCATAATTCTTCCCTGAGAAAGAATTCTTTGACTGTTTGATGCATAAAACGCACGTGTTTCTTTGGCGCCTCGAGAAGGCCTCCACAGCGGCTCATCAACCTTAGTCTCATTTTCTTCCGCCGCGGCTCTAGTCGCTCATCTGGGATAAGATTGAAGGGGGCCTTAACAGCTATCAATGCATCGGGAAGGCTCTCTAAGTTGGCATTGCTACTGCTTTTTCTCCCGAAGGGTCCTTCCGCAGCAAACTCAAGGTCCACAAGATCAAGATCATTCCAGGCATGGAGTAAAAGCCTAATATATCTAGACGCTTGAAGTCTATACTCTGGATCAATGTTTTTTAGCATCTCAATGTAGAGGCCCCTTTTTCCTCCCAGACGTGGTGGAATTGATTCTAGCTTCGCCCGAAGCTCAGGGACAGTATCGCCATTGTTGAATCCAGCTATTAATATATCGACTACGAGGCGAACCCACAAAAAAACTCCTTGTGCTTTGAGAACTATTTCTTCTGCCAGCCTGTCCATGCCATCTGTTTCGTCCACTGTCGGGATAGATTTGATACCACTATGAAAATTGGTTTTCGTAAATATAGTGATATCCGTTGCAGTAAGGTTGTGTAGTCGTAGGTGTGGAAAGGCCTCAAAGGCTCCTTGGAAGGGAGTCAACTCGCGGCTAGATAGACAAATTTTAACATTCGTAGTGCTAGCTGCCACCTTAAATAGCTCTGCAATTTCCCTGTGTCCGTTGGCTATCCAGTGGCTGCGCCCCCATACCGATTCGTCATCATTTTTGCCATCATAAAATAGCTCAAAGTCGTCATCAGTATAGTCTTCCATCCGATCCATGATTCTGTACTCGTCTAAACCATCGGCAAATATGCAAAGCTCAAATGAGTCGGATGTGTGAGTAAGTAGAATTTCGAATGCGTTTTTCAACTTTGGCCAGCTTAAAAATCGAGGGGGTTTTATCTCCTTAATCTCAAACTCATCTTTAAAAACTATAGGGATAAGCTCTCGTTTCTGTGAGAGGATTTGGTGGAGTAGGCTTCGAATTAGTCCCTCGCGAGATTTCTGAAACGATCCCCCTCTTTCGTAAAAAAAGAATGATGCGAGAAGCAGAGGCTTGCCCCCGGCCCACGTCGACAAATGAGTTCTTGTTCGTTCATCTGTCCAGATGTACTTCATCAGTGTCGACTTCCCCGATCCAGCCTTTCCGCTAACCCAACAGATGGGCTTTGTGTCCTTAGATAGCCAGGGAACAATGCTAGAGCTCCCCTTTACTTCAGTCGAACAGTGACTTTGATCGGATAGTATCCAATTAAACGTCTCCGCATGGGCCCTTTCAATTTTTTCTTCTCGGTCGTCTATTGTCTCAAAGTGTAAAGCTTCAAGTATGTCTATAGTAGAAGAATTAGATCTTTTTCTTAAAAAGGTGCTTGGGGTATAATACCGTCCATCCTCTTTTGAATTTCTAGCGCAAAGTTAGTAAAGCAACAATATAACGTGCGCATTGTCGGTATCAATATAATGATAAAGTACATTCATGTAGGTACTAAAGTTGCTTTATATACTAGTTCTCAAGCCAAGTGCATAGAGGTTTTGCGATGGTCGTTCTTTTTCGGCCTCATATCCAACAGGAAGGATGCTTTCCATGGATGCATAATAAATATGGGAAACATATTGTCTTGTCACAATGCAGAAGGACCCTAGCATTTTACGTATGAATATTCAGCAGCTCACCTTTATTCTCCTTGGTGGCTTGAACTTGAACTAGAGAGACAATATGGCCGGATACTCTTCGGTACCCAATGTCGTTTGCGCGTGAGAATTTTGTCATGTCCATGTGGTTAGCTGGTATCGAATCTTTTCGTACGTTGAAGCCATCCATGGATGCTGAATACTCGGGAACAATCTACCTAAGCATTAGTGTTTGAAAATTAGATTGCTAGGAACTTTGCTGCTCATTACTTACCACGCCAATGGCAGTTGGGAGTTCCTCTCTAATGCAAACAATCGGTGTATTCTGAGTAATAGTCGTGAACTGTTCTCGCTGATTCTCAAGGACGTCTGAGTCAGGAGAAAGTATGCCAACGAGCTGTTTATTGGGTTGTCGAAAGGAAACCTTTGCAACGTTGGCTATGATGTTTGCAAAATCGGTCTTGTCACTCCCCCGATGAGGCGTCCCAAGAAAGATTACGCCCTTTGTGTTGTGGTATATCTCCCCTAGAGACGGGTGCCGGCCATGGCTCTGGTACGCTGCTGACTTTATGAGAGCCTTACCTACCATTTAGCTTCTGTTAAATAGCAACTACACAGACCTGATGTAGAATGTAAAAAAGCAACTGACCTCTTTAATTACGAACCCACCAAGGCTATGGCCAACAAATAGTATTGGACGGGTCGGTTTGTTTTATCAGCCTTGGTCCATTTATCGTTGTGTCATAGAAGCGCTCCTAGGACACATTTACTTACTTTATCACGGCGCAGCCTCTCCATATCACCAAGCAATGTTTCTGAGTGGCCGAAGATGCTCTCCTTACTTGCATATTTCAAGGCATTTGCAACACTAGAATCATATCCCCAGGTAATTATTCGCGCGTTTGGGATATCATTCTTGAGAAAATCTCGAGGCCAACAAACGAGACCCTTAGACCACGTATTGATGGCATGTCCTCGTAATCCATGGACGAAAACGATGCTACTGATATTAGTTTATATCATAGATATATGAGGTAGAGAGCTTACTCTGCAACTATTTCGTCTACTCCTTCATGGAGAACGTAGGTTCCCAGCGGAGCCTTGTCAAATGACTCTGCTTTTGAGTCCTCAGTTGGATCAGATTTTGATTTCTTCGAAAATAGGTTTCGAAGTTTCATCTTTAGTAACAATAGTGGGCATGTGGACAGTATGTCCTGGTGTTAAAGATTTGGTTCAAGATTGAACAGATACCCCTCTCGGATGGTGATGTTTTTGTGGCCTTGGGTTATATGCACGTTAACTTTTACGTAATCACTAGGCGTTGCACCCATGCATAACGTTGCTTTTTTCGGCTCATTTGATGTTGTAATATTTCTAGTTAAGAGGGTTTGGGTTTGATTTTGATTTTTTAGTGCCCTGGGCCTATTAGTTGGCGGGTGCAACTGTTGTATGGATGGGACCGACTATCTGATAAGAATCTCATGTGGTTAGCCGGAACCACCTCAGTTTATGACATATGCGGCGATTTAGAGTTTCGGCGTGATAGTTTAACAGCATTTTGCGAAGCAGCGCGGTTTCTCCTAGACTCTCTAAAATACAAGTAACCGAAGAGAAGAAGATATGAAGGGAGCAAATACTGTAAAATGCATCCCTCGAGGGCGACTTCCGGGGATATTACAGTCGCTGCCATCATCCAAGGAGCCAAATACAGCGCAGAGAAGGAGAGGGGCAATTAATACTGTGATAAGGGGGTTGAAAATGCATGGAGATTGAAGACCTGATACCGAGATCGTTCGTGTCTGGAGTTTTGAGTTAGTTCCCTAAACACCGGCGCTATTCGGTGAGCGATTATAATGATAATCTGCGGAGAGAAAATGAAAAGAAAACCTCTTGCTGGCTCAATTTTCAGAAATACTACATGAAGCAATACCATCTTTGCCTAAACACTAAAATAGCTTGAAATAATGGTTCTTGGATGAGTAGATGTGCGATATTCGCTAGTAAAATACTAGCGAATATGAAATATAATAACAAACAACAAATTAAAGCGATAAAATAAGGAAACATTAATATTTAAGCATTATGCCAGAATTACAACTGCCTACAACGAAATAAATACTTCACTACCCGAGCAGACACAACGGCCTAGACTAGAACTAGAGATAGTGAGGCAGTCGTACAGATCATGTTTGGTTCTCCCTAAAGATAGTTATGGAGCCAAAAAATAAAATAACATAAAACATACAACAGTAGGTATTCGCTGGTGGCCACTCACCCAACCACTAATATACCGATCTCAAGTAATGCTCTCTAGATAATAGTTAAATTGATGCCATCTAGCCTAGTGAATGAGCCTCGCGGCCCGGACCTGTATCATGCTTCTATGAAATTGAAATACCTGCAGGCATCTGTTCAAACTCTACACGCTACAGAGGCTAGGTATCTTCTTTGCTCCCTGACCTGCAAGCCCGTCAAAATACGCAATAAGTATATCGGCCCGGACCATATCCAAGACCCCAAGCGTCGGGTTGCTACTTTTCAGCACCTGCCCACCCCACAACACTCTGACGTAGTATTGCTGGTCCTTCTTGCCCTTATAAAGCTCGAATACCACCTCACTGCCCATACCTGGCCACACCATCTTCTCGATCTGCAAGATGCTCAACAACCGACTAACGCTTCCGTCGTGAGCGACATTGTGTCGGTATTTCATGCCACTACTCTTCTTCTTGCTACCGTTACTCGCTGAGTCAGTTGCATGCATCGCATCTCGTAAATTCTGCGCCAGCTCCGCAATCCAGATACCGTAACTAGCAGCAGTATACTCCAGTGTGCGTGCCCCGGCGTCACGGTAGAGGTAACTGTACTCGTACTGCCCCAAACGAAAGACTTCCTCCGCCATCTTCTGCGTAACGCAGAGAGACGGGTTGCTGATACTGCAAGGCAGCGGCTTCGCGTGACAGAGTCTCGCAGACAGATTGTCGAAGTAATGGTCAAAGGACATGTGGAATCCTGAATCCGTAGGCGAGACACCAGAAATGGCATCCAGATTCGCGTATAGGTCAGAGGCGGCTTTCAGATGAGCAGTCCAGCCTGGATCGCTGCTCCCGGCGCCATACGATGAGAACTTGTTACTCGCTGATGAGCAGGAGTATGCGGGCTCGAGACTGTCGATGTTCGAGGGTTGGATTAGCAAGGGTACGTTCTCATGCTCTTCGCCGCGAAACATGCCTGATACAAGCATGCTGGCGACCTGGGAAGTGATGACATTGTTCGTGACGCGGAAACTGACGACTTTTGGATCGTATTTCTTGGGGAGGAACCCGAGTAGGTCGTGGTAGACGTCGTATAGATCTTTGCCATGCTGCCAGCTGTCGTCGAGCCCTTCGCGGGTGATCTGTGGGAATTGACATGTTCCGTTAAATCCCCGTGGTGCCAAAGGGTTAGATGTGGAGGTGTAGACGCTCCAGTAGGTGTTGGCAGCTTGATTGGCACCGTGAGTAGGTAAGGGGGCGCCGGCGTAGAAGAGGCCTTCGTCGTCGCAGTACCATGGATAGGACTCGACTGGGAAGGTGTTGGAGGCGTAAGGAGTGCGCTTGTGATGTCGGTGGATTACTTCGACGTATTCGAGAGCATACGAAGAATTCACCTTTGGATACTCGGTGCGCCTGACATGGGGCATGTTGCACCAATTGTACGTTCCTAAGTAAATGTGAGCAACCGAAATTTGAGAATAGGACGGGGATCACAGTACCATATGGTGTTCCCTGTGGTAGCGTAGAAGAATTGAAAATGAAGCCATAGATTCCTGTCCCATTGATCGCTGAACTGAGGCTGTTGATATTGGAGGAAATTGGCGCATGCCAGCTTAGATCCACTGATATAGCCATATCTGCAGCCTGAGTACCAGATGGACTTGAGGTGATAGAGAAGCTGCCTGTTAATTCAAAGAATCGTGTTAATACATAGTAGCCTACCAGTATCAAGGCAATCAGCCAGATAAAGGTATTTCGTCGAGGGGTAATCCCATTCATGAAGATGTTGAGATTGAATCCACGTGCCGCGAGGCTGTCGCTGAGTGGTTAAACCATTGTGATAACAAGTCCCGATAGATGTCAACTTAAAATGGCGGTGCACGGGCCGCAACCGGAACGCGACGCCAAGAAAAGCGATCATCGCTCCAACTTCAAGCTTCCCGAAATCTCGAGATCCTCACAAAACCACCCAATCCCAATCCCCACCAGAACCCAACCCCTTCACAAACCGCAAAAATGGGCTGGTTCTGGGGCGCCACCGCAGACGACAAGAAGTCCTCCACTGACCCCCTCCGCGACCTCGACCCCAGTCTGCAAGCCTTCCTCAAAAAAGAATCCCCCGTCCAATACTCGCCCACCACACCCCCTCCAACACAACCCCAAGCGCAGCAACAACCCACCGAACCCACCTCAACCACCTCCTCCTCCGAACCCCCCGCCGACCCCGCCGCCCCCCCCACCCTCTTCAAAGACAACCGCTACGCCCACCTCTGGAAAACCTACACCCCCCAATCCGCCATCGAAGCAGCCACCAAATCCGACTCCGAGAAGATCGCCGACGTCCTCGAGGGCTACAAGTACCGCAAGGCCGAGATCGGGCGCGCGGCGCTCGAGAACTGCGCGCTGGAGCAGTGGGAGGTGAATGAGTGTTTCTCGAATGGCGGGGTGAAGGCGCGTCTCACGATGTGTAGGACGGAGAATAAGAGTCTGGAGCGGTGCGTGGAGATGCAGCAGAAGTTCTTGAAGGCGCTGGGGTACTTGAGTACGTTTGATAGGGGGAAGGATGTCGATGAGAGGATTCAGATGCATGCTGATACGCTGTATCATCGTATGTTGGCGCAGGAGAAGGCGGTGCAGGAGGCGGAGAAAGAGGGGAAGGAGATGCCGAAGTTCGAGCCGCTGCTGGGAAAGGGCGGGAGTTCGGTTACGGCGATTACTCCTGCGGAGGCGGCGGCGGCGAAGGAGCAGGTGCCGGAGATACCGAAGACGAGCCCGCTGTCGAAACTACCGCTGGATATCCAGGCGCAGATTAAGGAGAAGTTGGAGGGATTGACGGGGATCGAGCGGGAGTTGCAGGAGAAGGCTTTGGCGGCGGAAGTGTCGGCTGGGCAGGAGGTGAAGGCGAATTTGAAGGATATTTATAAGGATTCGAATGCGGAGAGGCAGAAGAGGGTGGAGGAGGGGAATGAGACGATTGTGGACCGGGTTTCGTCGATTTTGGGGGGTTGGAAGTAAGGATGGGAAAGATGTATGATAGAGTGGTGGATAGGAAGGCGCGATGCTCTGTATGATTGGGATGGGATGTAGTGTACGAAAGGGGGAGTTGGATCTGAGCGCTGCTATTTATGTGTACAAATAAGGAAAATATACCGGCCAAACATCCTCGTGCTCCAACCTCGATATGCCGTGTCTGAGCTCCGCGTATCATGCACCTCGCCATGTAGATTCACTCATTCATTGCCAAACGTAGCCTCAACAGAAACACATATCTCGAATAAACAATGATACAGACAATGCTCTATTAAACAATAGCCTGCCACCTGCCACCACAGACAACAATCACGCCTCCCCTCCCACCTACTCCCTCATTTTGCAATTCAATTCAATTCTAAACCCTTTAACCCCCAACTAAAGCAAAGCCCTAATAGTAACCCCCCCCTCCCACGCATCCCCACCCTCCAACTTCGTCCACCCCGCCACCTGCCCCGCCTCCACGCAAATCATCTCCTTCCACCCATCCTTGGGCGCGAAATCCTTAATCCCCTTCGCCTTCTCCTCCCACGGGTTCCAGACAACCACGTTCTCGAAGTTCTCGCGCACGACCTCGAAAGCTGGGGTGCCGTTCGCGGAGACCGTTAGCGCGGTGTCGACGGTGGCGGGGGTGTAGACGCGGTCCGTCTCGCCGGTGATGGAGAGGGTGCTGGGGGAAGTTGGGGCGGTGGCGGCGGAGGCGGTGACTTTGTCGTGGTATGGCGCGCCTGCTAGGCCCTCAACTGTGGTCGTGGTGATATCCTGCACACGTTAGCTTCACTCCCTCACTCACACCCTCCCAAAACCAATGGGTAACAGAAGACCAACCTTAACCCTCAAATAAGTATGCATCAGCACCTGAAACTCCCACGCCTCCCCCCCATCATTCCTAACCAACATACTCGTCCGCAACGCCCCCCTCGTCAGCGCAACCGAGTAAATCAGCCCAAACTCCCCCTTCCACGCCTCCCTTGCCTCGGCACTCAGGTTCTCGGGCCCGAGCCCGAAATCGAGCTTCACACCGCCGTCGCCGCCTTTGCCGTCGGATTCGGTGGTGGACTTGCCGAGGAACTCCCAGCGAGAGGTGCGCGCGAAGCCGTGTTGGGGGAGCGCGGAGGTGGCGGGGTGGTCGGTGGGTTTGCCGAAGACCTGGGGGGAGGTGTTAGCTTCTATTCTCATGTATATTCTCTGGCTCCGAATGATCGATCGACCGGATAGTCTGGTCTCCCAGACATTGCGCGGGGTATAGACTGCCAGCTGGCACTCAGACTAGAACTCGGAATGTATACGCACAGGAAACACCAACGGCACTCCCCCCCTCACCGCCGACCCACCACTCAAATCCGCCGCCTCGCTAACCCACAGCTTCTCCTCTCCCTTATCCTTCCAGCTCACCACCGTCGCGCCATACAGCAGCACCTCGACGCTCTCGCCCGTCGGCAGCGTGGCCGTCACGCGCCCGTTGTCGTGGGTGATTGTCGCGCTGGCGGAGGGCTGCGCGGGGGTGGCGGAGAGGGAGAGGTTGTTGGGCTTGGGGCGGGTGGAGGACATGATTGCTGTGGTTGTGGTTGTTGTGGTGTTGGGCTGGAGATGGATATGAGGGGTTGATTGATTGAGTTGGGTCGGGTAGTGTGTCGTTCGTATCGAGAGCGAATCGTAAGCCTATCTATCTACTACCACGCTGTAATGAAGTGTAAATAGTATCTCAAGCAAGAATCTCAATTCTAATCGTCGTCAAAGCAGAACCTCAAAGATGTTGTCAAAGTAGTAATTAGTTGTTGAGTGATGAACCCGTCGCGGTGTTGTTATAGCGGGGCAAGGCCGCCAACCCAACCAGCGATGATGACAGAGACGATTGAGGGGAGAGGGGGCAGAGCTGAGAGCTGACGCGAAACATGCGGGGTCCCTCTCTCGTTTTACCCACTACCGCACCGCCGCATCCACCATCCAACATCCACACCACAGCCGCGACTGACAGCCAACCATCCGTGCATACTCTGAAACGAGAAACATGGAATTGGCAATGGAAGGGCAGGGCGGGGTGTTTGATCTGCTGTGCGGTGTCGCAGTGATGGGAGGGGGGGGTTATGCCTTTGTAGTGGTGGAACTTGGGATTCATGAGTGGCAGGGCTGAGTTATATGACCAGGTATCCTTATCTATAGGACCCTTATATAGAGGTTTCACTATAAATATACAGTAATAGAGTAATACAATAATAGTCATAATAGTCATGATTGTGTACAATTCAATTCGAGATAATCCACATCTCCAATTCCACAAAATCCCCTTTATGATACAACAGCCGTACTCCATACAAAAAAAGACGCCAGTACAGTTATCCTACCCCCCCCCACCGAAAACAAACCCACCCCCCTTTCATCCGCGCTATGCTCGCTATGCTTTATGTACTATACGCATGGGTATGTCCTCTCCCCTCAGTCAAGACGCTCGACCCAACGACCGAGTTATTTTTATATCCTAATCCCTCCCAATCCCTTCGCTGAATGCATGAACCACCACCCCCATCCCCCATCCACAGCTTACGCAGCACTCCCCCTTCCCCTCCTCTCAGCCGCATAAAGCTCCGCCTTAAAATCCCACACCATCTCCTCCATCTGCATCGCCTCCCCCCTCGACACCGTCCCCGTCCTCAACCCCTCCATCAGCTCCTTGAACATCGCCACCGCCGTCGCGCCCGTGAAGCCCTTCTTCGCCGCATCGTCATCGGCCTCATCCTCAGCGACTTCAGGCTCTATAATAACGACTTCAGGCTCCGCAGCAGCAACAGAAACAGACGACTCGCGCACCTCTGCCATCCCATCCCAGATCTGCGCCTCGGCCTCGTCGTCGGACGCCACGCCCTCCCGTTGCGCCTCGGTCACGCCTCCCTCCCCAGCACCGTGCATACTGACATCCTCCGCCTCTTCTCCCTTCACATCGGTGCCCACAAACGAGTCCTCCACCATCTCCCCAGACGCGGTGTCAAGATCCAAATTCAAATTCAAGTCTAGATCCACCGACTTCCCCCTCATCACCTGACTATCCGTCTCTTCTTCATCCTCAACCACAGCGCGGCTCCTCCTCCTCCGCTGTCCAAGATCGCTCTCCTCCCACTTCGCCGTGGATGTCCTCTCGCGACGAGAGCGGCGGCTGCGGGGCGTGGTATCAACAGTTATCAACTCAGCGTCATCTCTCTCAGGTTCAGCGGCAAGTTGACTATCCTCCACCTGCTCCCCTACTTCTTCAACGCGTTGCCTCTTCGCGCTCTGCGACCTCATCACCACATCCTCATCTTCTTCCTCACCATGCGGTGACTTCCTCCTCCTCGTCTCAGTAGCTTTCGTAGGCGTCTCAGGGATTGTACTCGAGATCTCGCGTTTCCTAACACGCGATCTCGTGCGCGCGGGTATACTCCCCTCCTCCTCCACTTCCTCCTCCTGCTGCTCCGGCACAGCTGGTTCCTCAGACACAGCAGCAGCGCGAGTCAGCTTATCAGAGCTACGCATCGATCGCATAGACCGCGGCGCCTGGACGACGGGGGTAGATTCCTTCTCCGCAGCCGCAGCAGCGCGGCGACGTTTTCGGGTTTTCCGAGTCTCGGGCTCGGGAGCGGGAGAGGGTTGGGGGGAGGCGGTGTAGGCGGTGTGATCAAAGCCGGTGGAGGGAGTGAGGCTGAATCGACTGCGTGTGGTTGGTGGTGCATCCGCCTCTGCGCGGGTCTCGTCCTGCTCGACAGCCGGTGCAACGCTCTCATCTGCGACAGAAACAGACGCACTCGTCCCACGGCTCACATCCCCGTTTGAGCCTGTCCGGTTACGACGGCGTCTCTTGCGTCGTCCACTTGACTGTGTGCTAGGTAGATCGGCTTGTGCCTCGAGTAGAGGTGAGGACTGCGCGTCAACAAAGACCTCGTCGGTCGTCAAATCGTCGCGCTCGCGGATGGCGTCAAGATTTGACAGCGCATCCGAGAATGTCGATTCATGCGTAATTTGCTCGCCTTGCTCCGCTGGCTCCACGTTATGGGGTAGAGGAAGCGCTTGCATCAAAACAGACTCGCTATCACTCCTCCCATCCTCCTCTCCACCCACCACCTCCGGCAGCCCAAGCGCATGCTGCTCAAGCAACAACGAATCAATCGATCCAAATGACGTAACATTCCAGAACTCATCACTCGCCGACGGCCCACCCTCTGCCTCCCCCTTCGGCGGCGAACTCGGCACATCCCCCTCCTCCTCCTTCCCTAGCAACCCCTCGGTGCTCGTCTCCCGTCTCGGCGTAGGGGATGAGGTAATGAAATCATCCTCTCTCTCTCCTACACGACTAACACTCGGCGTCCCCCACGTCGTGCCCTCAGTCACTGGTAGATCAGAGCTAAGCGCCAATCTCTCCCCAGAGCGCCTCGTCTTCATCCTAGGGCTCTTTCGGAGGTCAGGGAACATAGCTGCGGCTTCATTCTGCTGTCTCTCCTTGACTTCGCGCTGGTGATCGGTTAAGAGCTGCGAGTCTTCAGCTGTAGGTGAAGATTCGATGGCTGCGAATTGGATCTGCGAATCGTCGTGTCGGAGTCGCGGGGTGGTATCTCTCTTCTTCTTCTCACCGAGTTTCGACGCGCGGGTGGAGAAGCGCTTCTTGGATGCAGATTTAGATAGTTCGATGCTGGGGTGAGGGGATTTCGCCTTTCGGTGTGAAGCAAGGGGCGAGGATTCAAGGTAGGGTGTTACACCGCGGCTGGCCGGGCGGCTGGAACAGCGGAATGAGAGAGCTTGGCTGTCTGAATCGGAGTCGATGAATTGGGGACCACTGGGTGTGGCAGCCTCGTCGTATGCTGCTGGGAAGGTTGGGAGTTTGAGGTCAGCAACCGGGCGTAAACGGGCTAGTGCTTTCGCGACGTCGGGAGGGTAGGTGAGTGTAGATTGAGTGCCAAAGGTTGCATTCCAGAGGGTGATAGCGGAATTGGCGATGGGTTTGCGTTTGCTGTTCAGGCCTGCGGATAGGAGGGCTTCCAGCTTGGAGAGGGGAATAGTGCTGTCTACTCCTGAGTCCGCCCCTGAGATCGTAGTCGATGCCTGGGAGCGGATTGCTTCCCAGAGAGCTGTAACAGCCTTCCCAGTCGAACTCCTCGATTTCACAGCCCCATTCACATCCTGTATCCAACACCCACCACCACTCCCGATCGCAGCGAACAAATCCAGTGAATTCGTCCCAGGACACCGTTCAATCAAAACAGTAACACTAGTTAGCAGCGCATCCGCACCAATCGCGTCTTTGCTACACTCCTCATAGCACTTCTCCAGATACACATTAACAGTACCATAAAGATACTTATAAGGATCCGTAGTAGCAGGCTTAGGACTGTTCGTCGACGCGCCCCATAACCTCCTCCGCGCAGCCTCAAGCGACTGCGCGTCAACGGGGTAACACGCATCGCCCACGAGCACCGCACACATGCCCGCAAGGGCGCGCACATCTGTGCGACCCAATTGATCGCCCAGACACCTCGCCAGCGGATCAACAAGACACAGCGCATGCCCGCCATCGCCGACTTCAGCCCTGATATAGCTCGAGGCAGCGCGGAATAGGGTTTCCAGGTGCGGAATCCCCTCTAACACGACAGTAGTAAGGCCGTACTCGAGGACCCGAACAATGCCGCGAAGGACATCGCCTTCTTGCGGTTTATTAGCGCTAGAGCTGGGTGTATGGCTGTGTCCATCATCGGCGCCCTCGGTGATGGCTCCAGCGAGCATATCAGCAAGAACGGACCATACCGTCTCAGAAGGAGAGACGTCAGACCCGCGCACTGCTTCGGGGAGGCACTGCACTAGATCCTGGCAGAACTCGAAGCGTGACGTGCGCGAAGTCCGGGCCTCGTAAAAAGGGTTGAGGATAGCGCGAACGGCGGCCTTGTAGGTAGTGCTGCACTGGAGGTCCGATGCTGCTTCGACAAGGAGGAGGATGAGGTATTGGAGTGGTGATTTAATTGTTTTCGGGAGGCGGTGAGAGGATGGCGTGGCGACGGCTAGGAAGGCGTTTTGTTCGGTAATGGAGAGCTTTTTCTCGGTGAAGGGTAGCATGCCGAGGATACTCACGCTCTCGGTTATGAGGTACACCATGCCGTCGAGGTAGGCTGCTGAATCCATAGTTTCGCGCTGCGTAGCTGGCTGAGGACCCTTCTGCCAGAATCTGCGTAGCATAGTGAAGATCCGTGCTACGCATTCCATGGTTTCATTAGAGACTTTAATCTCCTTAGCCCCCGCAGCAGCAACAGTCATCAAGAAGCTCCTCCACAACTCCGTAGCAGGGCTCTGTGCCTTCCCGAGATCGGCGAATCGTTGCTCGAGAAGCTGCTCCATGACGTCTAGGACAGGCACGCAGTTCTTGCGCACCCACTTCGAGTCGAGGGATGGGAGCTCGCTGGGCTTGACTAGTTCAGCGGCCATGGCGCGGTCTTGTTTCCATGGCGTGGCAGATGATTGCGTTGAAGGCTCGAGTAGCGAGTGTAGGATCTCAATTGCCTGCTCCACGCCATCCAACCCTGGTGTTCCTTTATCCGCGCCTTGCTCTGTGGTGGTAGTTGCCAACTTCCCAACTAGCGGAACGACGTAAGAATCCCAGTATAAACTCAGCTGCGCATGTGACGCAGCAGGATTCAGAGTATAATACAGCAGATTGCAAATACTGCTAATAGTAACCTGAAACATCTCCTTCCCCTGCTTACTACTATTCTTGCGGTTGAGCTGCCCAATAAACGGCTGATGCAGCATCTTGATGAAGCGGGGATTTGTCTTCTCGTCAGGTCGGATGGCAAAGACGAGTCTGTTCCAGGCGAAGTTGGCTTCGCGCTTGACTTCAGGGTCGCCGCTGTTGAAGCACTTTTGGAGGGTTTGGAACCACGGGGTCATGAATTCCCAGTGCTCTAGTTGTGATGGGCGTGAACGGAGGGATAGGGTGACCACGCTCCATATCTGCGGTACGGATGGCACATCTTGCTTGGTTTGGATGGCGGTATTAAGACGGCTGGCATAGTAGTTTCCGTACTTCCCCCCTTTCTCGTGAGGTGCTTGGAACAACTCCACCACAGCCCGGGATACCTTTAATTGCGTCCCAAACTGCAGCGCTGCTTCGAATCCGAATGCAATGACCGGGTTGCGAACTTCTTTGACGCTAACAAGCATATCCTCAAACATATCCTTAAGCCAGTCATTATTCGCAACCAAAGCTGGCTTCGCCTGCTTCAAAAGCTTCCTGTATATCCCCAGCCGTCCAAGCACAATGCTCTTCCCCCTAACATGCTCGGCGATTTCGTGTGTAGCCTTGAGCACCCGCGCCGCTCGGTCGGGCGTCATGATCTTCGGCGGGAAATTCTGTTGTCCAACCACAAACATGAGGTGCTTCGCAACATCCTTCGAAACCTGCGGATCCTCGAAAGTCGCAATGGCATGCTCCAGTACGAAAACAGAAAAGTCAGTAGGCATCGGCTCCGTCTTCCAAAACAGGCTCGCAAGCAATATCAGCGCATTATTGATCAGCACCGTATCAGCCGCCCCAGACGGAAGTTGCGCCGTCATATCCCTCTGCACAAACTGCGCCAACAACCCCATCTTATCCCTCAACGCCCTCGGATCCGGCAGATTCCCCGTCGCCTTCAACACCCCCGAGAGCGACATATACGCATCGACCCTGCTCATCCTATCCCCACCCGCCAACTGCTTCGCCACCGACTCCAGCATTATCGCAAAGCCCACGTCTGTGATCGGCTCTATAGATTTATTATCAAAGCTCAATGAAGTCCGGTTCAGCGGGATGGTAGCCCCATTATACGGTTTCAATATCGACTTCGGCGGTTTCTGATCGCTCGACGGCGGCAGCGAACGTAGTATCTGATTCGAAAGCCTCGAGCTACTCAGATTCAACACCCCCTCCTCCTCATCCACAATCGACCACCCCACCTTCTTCAGCGAGCGATTCGACGGCGTAGATATGCTGGGGGTGGTGGTGGACTCAGCTGACGACTTCGGCGATGCGTTGGGCGGCGTCTTGGTCCCTAATCCCATCGACAGTATTCGTCGAAGCAGGCGAGGCCGCGGCTCAGCGGCAGGTACGGGTTCGGAGTCCCGCGGTGGTGTCGGGGGCCGGGGAGGAAGGTTCTCGAGACTTAGACTCCGTTTGGCGCCGGCTTGCAGCACCATGGCTGATAGCTGCTGGGCCGTTGTGAGTGGGTGCCAGTGCCGTGATTCATAGAGGGTTAGGAGGCCATGGGGAGTATGGTGTGTGTGTGTGTGAGAGTTGGGATAATGACTCGGTTATGGTCGTGGTAGGTGTGTTGGATTTGGTGGTTTGGAGATTCGGTTGTTCCCCTGTCTGTTGGTGAGGTGGTTGAGGGTTTTCGTGATGCCTGTCAATTTACTTTACTGCACGTTACTTTTTGGCGACGCGTTATGCGCGTCGCGCTGGCTTAACCACTTTACGCGACCCAGGCTGCTTTTTTAGGAGAGCTTCCCCAGCCTCGTCTGGTATGTCAGGTGATGTCACGTGCGACCTTTTTTTGGTTTTGGAAATATCAAATCAATGGTATTTTACTGTAACTATGGTATTATAAGTGTGTAAGCTTCTTATTCTCGGTATCATCCTACTGACATGGCTTTTAAGTAAATATGCGCGGGTAGTTCACTCATAAACTCCTATCGGTCCTTCAACAACACCACACCACTCTCTCCTCCCACCACAACATCTCCCCCAACATCCCGCAAAACTCCCTCCCTCTCCATACCCTCACTCCGGGTTGGTTCCTGTTTCTAGATGTTGGATGTTGGATATCATCCCAGGATATATATTCCCGACTCCAGTAACACCCCCCGTCACGTGTTAAACCAACATCCCATACCAACGAACGGCTAAATACCACCTCCAAACACCAACAAACCAGCAGCCCCTCCCTCTCATCTCCTCCACCTTCCCCTTCCTACCATCCCCCCCACTCCACAAACCAGAGCCTATTCCCTCCCTATCGAGCGCCATGCATACACCCCGTCTCTAGTACCTGCACCCGAGCCGGATAGCTGAGACAGTAGCCCTGTGAGTGGCGTGGGCTAGAAGCCATGATACCTGGGCGCGGCAGGGGGGTATCGTGGGTCTTTCACGGACTGTGAGGTGGTACGGGACATCCATGTATTGTGTTGTAATGAATGTACTCCGTGCTCTGGAGGACGTGCGTACGGTCGGTATGTTGATGGAGGGAGGGGAGGGGGAGGGTAGAGACGGGATGAGACGGGATGATAATGAGAGCCGAGGTATGTTCGGGTTCGGGGACTGGGGGGTGGTCGGACGGGTCAAGGGTGGTCAGTTGAGCCAAGGATTGGGGGTTAGGTTAGGTTAGTTATCATTTAGTATTCATGAGGTATAAGGGAGGAACATGGTTGCGCAGTATGCCAGTTTAGTATGATATGATTTCCGCGCTTATGATGCTGATCCAGATGCTAGATGCTGGAGGCCGTTTATAGTCCTGCATGCAGGTACAGTAAGATGATGCTATATAGAGTATATCCTTCCCAGGGGAAAAAAAAACCATAAATCCTTCCTACGCCCCCAACAGACTTCCTTTAGCTCTCCAAGATTCCAACAGCCTTCCTTCCTGACTCCCATCCTTCCTTCCTCCAACACACTAAACACACATCCCTTCCCTTACCCTCCCCTCTCGTCTTTCCACCTCAAGTAACAAACCTCATCATCGCCCTAATAGCCCTCGGATTCGGGCCTGCCACCACAAAAGTCAGCGCAGGCCCTTATAAGAACTCCATAACACAACACAAGAAAGCACCACAACCACACCATCATCGCCCGCACACAGCACTCAACGATACCTCTTCGGAACAATAAGACTCATCCTACCTTTCCTATCCCTCCTCACCGCCGCCACCGGCTCCACCACCACCTCCCCCCTCTCATACAGCACGAGCTCCCCCTCCTCTCCACGCCTATAATCCGCATCCCCAATCCTTTCCACCCTCACGATCCGTCCCTCCCCCTCATACCTAGGATGGCGATGTCGATGTCCCGACCCGAACACCGGGATCGGGGCTAGGGCGAGACTGGACTCGATGTGTCGCGGCGTCGGGCCCATGCTGCGACTCCGATAATGGTGGTGGTGGTGCGGACTACCGTAGCGCTCTTCGTAGATGGTGGCGGAGGTGGTGGTGGTGACGAGGTCGGTGGAGGGGGTGGAGGGGGGGTAGCGGGAGCGGGGGGGGTCGACTTGGATTATCTCGGGGACTTGGGAGTAATCGATTGGTGCCGGGGGAGGGGGGGTAGGGACGTGGATGACTTGCTGATGGTGGTGGTGGTGGACTGGGGGAGCCGCGTAGATGGGTTGTGGGATGGGAGGTGAGTAGACTGGTCGCTCGATGGGGGGTGGGATGGGAGCTGGGGCGGGGGGTGGGGTGTAGATTGTTTCGGTGTGTCTTTCTTCGACGATTTTGTCGACGTGTTCGGTTTCTGGGAGTGGTGGTTAGTATGGACTCACATGGGTTTATGGTGGTGGAATGGATGGGTGAGGTAGGTGGGTGGATAGGAGATGGCGAGGTAAGAATGCGACCTACTAGTCTCTCTCCTGTATTTCTCGCTGAGCTGGAGAACCTCATCGATATGTTCGCGCCCCAGGGCCTTCTGGATAATAATCGTCGTGTCCTCCTCCACAAACGGATACCCCAACTCAATAATCGCCCTCTTACTCACCATCCTCGCCGGCATCCTCGTCTTCCCCCTCTTCGGAAACTGGCTCTTCCCCGTCCTCACCGAGCTCGCCAGCGAGTACTCCGAGCTACTCGTGCTGCTCAAGCTGCGACTCCTACTCCGTCTCCTCTCGCGCACAACCTCCCTCTCCCTCACACGCTCCGCGGGGTATGCCCTCTCCTCCTCAACCTCGCGATCGCGTCGCACAGCCACCGGCCCTGCCTCCTCTCTCTGCATGTATCGCGGCATAGTCGGCTTGCGGTCGAATGTATCGAGACTACTCTGCCGCCTCAGCATACTCGGCCTCACAGGCCTGACAGGTCGTCGAACACGCTCCCGCTCCGGACTCGGGTCGCGGTAGTACTCCCTCTCCCTCTCCACCTCGCGTTCGACAGTCGTCCTGCTCCTGACTGGAAGGTCTCGTGGGGGTTCATCGCGGTAGACCTCCCGCTCGCGCTCGCGCACGTAGTCATCTTCGTAAGCTGCCCGTGATGGAGGACCGCGTCGGTCAACAAACTCGTCGCTGGAGGCGGAGTGGTCGCGAGCGCGGCGGGAGGGACGGGCGGGCCCGCCGCGGTCATCGAAGCGTTCGAGGTCGCGGTCGCGGGGTCGGTCACCTCGCTCGTTGGCGAAGCGGTCGGCATCGTCCCAGCGCTGGGCTGACCGCGGCGGGGCGTAGTCGGTATATGGATCTCTGGGCATTGTTTGGGCGGCCTCGATGTTTTGTCGGGGTTATGTTTTTCGGGGAATGAGGGTTTGGTGATATTTTTTTCTTGCAAGATGGAGGTGTTTGTTTGACCCCGCTCTGTCTCGTCACCACCCACCACAGGGATCATTACCTGTCCTGTCGCGAAACTTGGCGATCGCACACAAATTGACAACTACGTAACCACGCATCCATCCACCAGCCACAATAAGAGTGCCGCCACACATCGATATACACAGGAAATAAGTGTTTTTTTGATTAATCTCGCGATCCTTGTATATCAGCCACCCTTCTTCCCTCCCTCTGCCTTCCTTCCAATCGCTCCTCTTCCATCCCACCTTCTCGTTCTCCTCCTACCCCCCCCCCCAAAACATCCCCGTCTCCCTCAGCCTTCGCCCCCTTCCCCTTCCCTTCCCTCCTCTCCCCTCCTCTTCATGCCTGACCCTTGTTTATACCATGCCAATCCCATGCTCTTCCCATGCTCATCCCCCATGTCTACCACCATCCACCACCCATGAGACCATGACCATCCCATACCTTCCCATGCCCATCCCCTGCCTTCTCCTCCCTTGAAGTCCTTGAAGTCCACGAGTCCTTAGCATGTGGCATGGACCCTGGTTTCCGTAGAGTTTCCCTGACTTCCCTGCCTCCCCTGCTCTTTCTCCATCATCTCCCTGGCTCTTTCTCCTCTTTTCTCCATCAAATTACTCACTAGCGCACGCCGTCGCGTCCACTACGACCTTCCATCCTTCCACACATACAGTACGCACTGTACACAACAGTGCACAGCACGGTATTTGTGTGTATTTGTGTGTACACGAACAGCATGGTTTAACGATTTAGTACTGTGCAACTATCCAATACACACACTCTCTCTCGCCTTCCTACGGCAGAATTCGAAGACTATTCGGCCCTCGAGTATTCGGCCCTCGACTAGACTTGCAGACAATACAGCAGTCTACGAATTGAAGGTCAGCCTGGATCACAGCCTGCATCACATCCTGCATCACACTCCAACAACACCCTGCGTTGCCCTGCATCACTCCCATCACTCGGAGCCACTCGTCGGGACTCTGTCTGCGTGTAATACTGGTAATACTGCAAGACACCCACCGATACTACCCAAGGACCCCCCGAGGACCCTCCGGGATACTCCCTTGTCCCACATCAATACCCAGCGGCTTGGGCGAAATACTTCCTCCCTCCGTTACGAGTTACAACTTACGACTTACGGCTTCTACAATAGCCTGCGACAACAGACTATAACCGTCAATATCGAACTAGCCAGCCTGAAAGGACACTATTGGGACTCCCAGACTGAGCCCAGAGAGCGGAGAGAGGGGACAAGAAGAGACAAAGACACACAAAGAGGGGCTCGACCACACACCACTCGTCCCGCTGGGAACAAAAAGCCCCAAAAAGAATCCACAATTACCACCAAATCCCCAAATTTACCACCACCGACTACTAAGGACTACTACGACCCCACCACAATTCGACCTCTCGAACCACTCGAATCACTCCACCGCATTACAACCTACCACTACCAACGCCACTATATCCTACTCTACCTCCATCGCTGCCTGCCATCTGTCATCCCAAGCAAAGAAAGACCTTCCAGCCCCAAACCCTCCCACCACGCCCAGCCGTGTCTTTCGGAACCCCCGCCACCAAGAAGATCCCCCAGATAGTCAACTGCTCGTGCTCACCTCACCTCCGCACTTTCCTCCGCTTCTGACGCCCCCACCTTTCACACCATCTACCACCTACCTCCTTCTCTTCTCTCGGTCTGGACGACAACCTCACCCCAGCCTCGATTCCTCTTCCGACCTTTCATATATAATCATGGGCGATTGAGTCAACACATTCATTCCCTTTTGTGTATACCCTTTCAACAATGAGATCCTCCAAGAGCGCGTCGGCGAAGGCTCCTCCGCCGCTGCTGACAGGCGCAGGTACGTTTGCCTTCTGACGCATCCTACTTTTGAACCACGAGCTAACCAGCTGTCGCAGCAAAACTCGCCGAAGTGAAGCGCCTTCTCGAGAAGTTGTCGCTGGACCTGCAGAAGATTTGCATGCTGCCACATCGTGAGCAAGACGTAGAGGTCGACGTGGATTCCACGAGGCTGACGGATATAGAGCGAGACGCGGCCCTCGAGCAGCTGAAGCTGTACGGTCGAGATCCAGTAGATGCCGAGCCCATCTTCACCCAAGAGGTACGTGAAGCGAATTGCGCCTTCATTCTCTATCCTCTACAATGCTAATCCCAATGCACCAGGGAATCGAAACCCTCACACGCCACGCCTTCAACAGTCCCTCCTTCACAACATCTCGCAATGCGCTGCGCTGCCTGGCGAATGCGCTCCTCCTCCGGGCCTCGTCGCGAGCCGTCTTTGTCGACCTACACTACGAGATGAAGCTGTGTCAGCGACTCAGCAACGACAATCGCGAAGACGAATTCCTCGTCTCGCGCATCATATTCCTCACGACATACGGCGGTAACATGGACCTTGAGAACCTGATCGACAACCACCACCTCGCCGAGAACATCAACCAAAACATCTCGCGCCACGCCAAGCAGTACGACGAGGTGCAGAAGATCGAGAAGAAGGAGAGCGACCGCTCCTCGGCCTCGTCCATGTCCACGAAGGATAGGGAGAAGAGGGAGAAGAAAGAGAGGAAGGCCAAGGAGAAGGAAATGAAGAAGAACGCCAAGAACCCCGAATCCACCGAGCCGGACCCGATGGAAGACATGTCCCTGGCTGAAACCCTCAAGCTCCTCTTCAACACCACCCACTTCTGCCGCGAGCGCGCCTCCGCCTTCGTCCCCGCCATCCCCTCCATCATGCGCCTCCTCCTCAAGCGCGCCGTCGCCCCCACCAACCCCATGGAGCCCCCCACTGCCCAACTAATCAGCGCCCTCATCAACCTCCCCCTCGACCTCGCCGAGTCCCACCTCTTCCCCCGCTCCGACCCAAAGATCCACGTCGAGCGCCTCGTCAACCTCCTCGACCTCGCCACAGCCGCATACCCAGAGCGCGACCTCGAACAGCAGGTCTCACCCCTCCTCTCCCTCCTTCGCAAGATCTACGCCGTCGCGCCGCGGCCTGTTAAGGTGCACCTCCGCATGCTCCTCCTCCCGACGGCAGAGGATAGACTAAAGCCCTTGGGCGCGACTAATACCCTCTCCTCGCGCATCCTCAAGCTGTCTACCTCACCCCTCGCCCCTACGGCGCGCGAAGAGCTCTCCCACCTCCTCTTCGAGATGAGCGACAAGGACGCCAAGAATTTCGTCCAGAACGTCGGGTACGGCTTCGCCTCGGGCTTCTTATTCCAGAATAACGTGCCGATCCCAGAGAACGCCTTAGATGCGTGGAGTATCAACGATTCGGCGAGTATGGGCGGGCGCAGCAGCGTAGGGGAGAGGAGTAGCAGTTCCAGCGCCAGGACATTTGGGATGGTGGGCGGGAAGGCGGTGAATCCGATTACGGGGCAGACGCTGGAGAGTGAGGAGCCCTGGGAGGGACCGAAGATGACGAGGGAGGAGAAGGAGAGGGAGGCGGAGAGGTTGATGGTTATGTTTGATAGGTTAGTTTTTCCTCCTCGGTTTTACTTCCCCTTGTGTTACGGTCTGGATTACGATGAGGGTGGGCTAGAAGCTAACTTGATGATCAAATAGATTACAGAAGAACGGCATCATCAAGACAGAAAATCCAATGCGGACGATGCAGCATGAGGGTCGGTTTGAGGAGCTGTCGGATGATGATTCGAGCTAGATGCTCTCGTTGTCTCGGTAGTGTGGGTTGTGGGTTTGGGGTTGGTTGGATTGGATCGGATCGGATTGGGGTTGGATAACGGTGGTGGGTATAGGAGGATATGGGGGACAGGGGGATATAGGGGATATTGGGGCATAGGGAAGCGCGGGGAGGGAAAAGGAAGAAGAAAGATTAATTCGATATTTTAATACCCTTGAATAGAGTATGTTTGGTGTATGGAGTTGAAACTTCTTTCTATGGTATACTTGGACTGTGTGTTTTTCACGTGTTAAGAGGTGAGAGGTTGGTGGTGTTCATGATATCTTCTCTAATTTATGTTTTCGTCACATATAATTCCCATGCTTTGGCAGCTTGATTCCGCCTTGATATCCGTATCTTCATATCCTTCACCACAATCTCCCAGCTATCACAGTGGATCTTTAGCCAACTGTATCTCCTGTTGTGCATTTCCAGCACAACAACTCCTTTCCCAGGCGATCGTAGACTCGAGGGAGGTCACGGCCCAGCCAGCCACCCTCCGCATCTTCATCCACGCACCACTCAACCGACCTGTCAACCCGATCATCAACTCGCTTGGGTACTCAAACAGAAACATACGCCCGCAGCGCCTTGACGAGGTCGCCCTCATTCGCCTTCAACAGCTCCGTAGCTTTCGGTTTCGAGAGCTCGAGTTCCTCAATCTATTCCCTCACACGTTAGCCAATGTCCCTCCCCTCTCCCCTCCTCCTCCTCCCCCCGGAAATCATCACGAAATAACCATAACTCACCACAACCTTCACATCCCCCGCCTCAACCTTAACCACCTTCTTCACCTCCTCCTCTTTCTTTCCCCCAACCTTTCCCCCCTCTCCCCCCGCCCCTCCACCCCCACCAAGACGATCCATAGCCTTCCTCACCGCCTCAACATCGACATCCTGCTTCGTATTGCTGTCATCGTCGCGCGGCGTATCGAGAGACGAGAGCGCAGCGGCTGCTTTACGGTCTTCCGCCGACGCGGGGGGGAGTTCCTCGGAGATGTCGCCGCTGGGCGTGGGGCCGGGGGTTAGGGTTGGGGGTTGGGGGTCGGTCATTCTGTGTGCTGGGTTGGGTGGTGAGGTGGTGTGGTGAGGTGGAGATGTGGTGGAAGGTGGTAGTGTTCGGAGTACTGTGAGATTTGTGAGACGGGTGGTGGTGGTGAGGTTGTCGTGGGATTGGGGAGGTTCGTTGGCGGTGGTGGTGGTGATGGCGGTGGGATTGGGGGGGGGGGTAACTAAAAGCGGGAGGTGATGATGGATGGATTGTCGTCAGGGATGCGTTGGTGGGGTGGTTTCTTGGCGTGGGCGGTGAGGGTTTTCTGCCCGAGATTTGTGGGAGCTGAGTTGTCATTTATGTGTTTCACTGCATTGAGTCACCTGGGAACAAACAACGAAGAAAAGAGAGCTGAACTTTGGCAATTGGATTCGGACTTTTGGATTACAACTTATAACTTCTTTCTTACTATCTTCCTTCCTCTTTACTACACTATATTTCAGGATATATTCACTTCCAAACACACAAACCACACACACAAACCGCACCAACAATGGTCTCCATCCCTCAACCCCCCGCAGCGGCCCAGCCAACGCAAGAAATCAAACTCGCCGCCGCCAGTGCCACAAACACCGCCATGCCCACCACCACCAGCACCACCCCCTCGGGCACCTGGTCCCCCTCCTCCTGGACCACCAAGCCCATCAAGCAAGACGCCATCTACGCCTCCCGCCCGGCCGTCGAGCGCGTCCTCGCCAACCTCTCCCGTCTCCCTCCCTTGGTCACCCCCAACGAGATCGAGAATCTCAAAGCCAAGCTGCGAGACGTGGCACAGGGAAATGCATTTCTCCTCCAGGGCGGGGATTGCGCGGAGCTCTTCGACTACTGCCAAGATGGTGCCATTGAGAGTAAGATCAAGCTGCTGCTGCAGATGAGTCTGGTGCTTATCTCGGGATGTAATAAGCCGGTCGTCAGGATTGCGAGGATGGCGGGGCAGTATGCGAAGCCGAGGAGTAGCCCGATGGAGATGGTGGATGGGAAGGAGATTCCGAGCTTTAGGGGGGATATCTTGAATGGGTTCGATGTTGGGGAGAGGGATTTGGATCCGGAGAGGTTGAAGAGGTGAGTTTGAACTGGGTGTGTGGGGGTGAGGTGATGTGGATGTGAACTGATGGGGTTATAGTGCATACTTCCATTCTGCGGCGACGCTCAACTTTGTGAGAGCCAGCTTGGCGAGTGGGTTTGCGGATCTGCATCGTCCGCTCGACTGGGGCTTGGGACATGTCCAGGACCCGGAGCTTCAGGCCAAGTACACGAAAATTGTCGACTCTATCACTGGCACTCTTCGCATGATGCGTGCTGTTGGTGTTGGCGCAGAGTCCTCTTCCGGTCTCCAGACCGTCGATCTGTACACGAGCCACGAGGGTCTCCTCCTCGAGTACGAGCAGAGCCTAACCCGCAAACTCCCCATCCCCAGCGAAACCACCTCCACCGTCCCCGCGCCCGAGACCGACTCATCCACAACCGGAAGCAAGAAAGCCTACTACAACACCTCCGCCCACTTCCTCTGGGTCGGCGACCGCACCCGCCAAATCGACGGCGCGCACATCGAGTACTTCCGCGGCATCGCCAACCCCATCGGCGTCAAGATCGGCCCAACCACCTCAGTCACCGACCTGATGGCCCTCCTGCGCACCCTCAACCCCACATGCGAGGTCGGAAAGATCACCCTCATCACCCGCTACGGCGCGTCCAAGGTGTCCGAGCTGCTGCCAGCCCACATCCGCGCCGTCGAGTCGAGCGAGTACAAGCGCTGCGTAGTCTGGCAATGCGACCCTATGCACGGCAACACGCGATCCACGCCCAGCGGGATCAAGACCCGCGTGTTCGGGGATATCTTCTCCGAGCTGCAGAAGACGCTGCAGGTGCACAAGGAGGAGGGGAGCTACCTGGGTGGTGTCCACTTGGAGCTCACGGGCGAGGCGGTCACGGAGTGTATGGGCGGGAGTGAGGGGCTGAATGAGGAGGATTTGGGGACTAATTATACGAGTTATTGCGATCCGAGACTGAATGAGAAACAGGCGCTTGAGATGGCGTTTTTGATCGCGGGGCATTATAAGGGTCAGGAGGCGCTTTGAGAGGGCATGAGGGGGTGCATTTAGATAGGTGGAGGAGTGGAGGGGATGGGATGGGGAGACATGTTCGTGCGTGCGGATGTGGGGTTTGTCTTTTTGGGAGCAGTGGGAGTTTGCGGCGGCGTCCAAAAACAAGGGAAATGGTATGCGGCATGGTGTGGAAAATCTGTGGCACTCATTTGTTTGGCTGACGGGTTGTCTGGAGGCCATTGAAAGAGAGGTAGTTGTGGACGAAGTGGTGATTAGACTCTCGTAGTTAGATAGATAGGATATCAATGGAGAAATACTCAGGAGTCAGCTGGACTAAGTAGTCAGCTTTTGATATGATCTTTCCCCAAGGCTGTGTCCCTATCTGCACGCAAGGCGTCAAATTCACTCAATCTCACCTAACGCACCCCTCCTCCCTCTTAACCAGGACAAAATAATGAACTCATTCCTCGCCTTAAAGTCATCCTCTTTCAAAGTGAAAGGGGATATGAAGCGGTGCGGAACCCGGATCCCATTCAAATCAGGCCAAATCATATCGTCCAACTTCTCGGTCAATGCGTTTCTCTGTGGCTTAGGCACTATATAGTTCTGATATTCGACAAGCTGGACAAACTATCGAGGATCGGAGACCATGAAGTCGCATTCGACGGGTTTTTCTTGCCTCTCCTGACGGAACTGGATAAGATGCCCCCGGGGAAAACGCCTGGTGATATCACTCAAGAATTTCATACCATGGCACACCAATTCGCAGAGAAACTGCGAAAACTGCACACGATTCATTTCTCTCCGCCTCAGCATATGAGCCCTCGCCCGCAGCATCTGACCCCTCCTCTCCAGAATGTGATCCCTCGGCCTCAGCATATGAGCTCGATAGATTTACCGGAACTAGAGCATGGTTGCACGTGCAAGGAAATGTCGAAGGCTCGTTTCTTTCCTTGAAGATCCCACGCTCAAGCGCATTCTTTTCCAATTCAGCACCGAGAAGCTTTTCGCCCACCACAAAACGTACCACTTACCCCTGATCACCAAAGAGGGATTTACCCATACGTGCAAGACAAGTATCCAGTTGGATGGCGCGCTAAACTACAAAGTAACCATTCGGAGACTATCTGGTAAGGCTAAAAGGGTGAGGCAAAGAAAAGAGAAAAGAGGGATAATCTGTAAATCGACAATACCAAGCACGAAAATGCGAAAGCCTCGGTCGCAGAGACTTCATACAAAGGCTAGGATGCGATATGCAGCCGATTTTGGACGGTTTCTTTGCGAGACGAGAAACAAGACGCTTCTCAAAAAGTCTACCGAGCCTTCTAATACATGAGCTACGACGGGGATGAGGACGGTCTCTGTAACGCTGGATACGGCACTCAATCTCTACTACGACGGGGAATGAGGACGGTTTCTGTAACGCTAGATACGGTGCTCGTTCTCTGATACTATGCGACGGAGGGCTTTACGAATTTTGCTACTCTTTGCCAGTTGATTATATGAGATGATGGCCGGTTGTTACTGCGTCGGTGGATGACACTTTTTCATTGTGGCTGTTTGAGCTTTACACAAGTATCTGTCTGATACATTCCTAGAGAACATTTGCTTAGATAACATTAGCTTATAGTCTGTAATAATATCACCAATAAAGCATCTTCGAGAGCAAATCGCTTCTTCCTTCTGACGCAATGTAAACCTAGTGACCGATTTAGAAGTATCATGTTACAAACATTTAGAAGCTTGATGCGTTGCTGCGAGTAGGTTGAGTTCAGTTACTGTACATTGTTCTCCCATTCCATTCCATTCCATTCCCTCAAATCCAGCCCAACGCCAGATATAACCGTCCCGCTTCCACTTATATATATACAACAAGGTTCCTTTCCCCCGCCTTTACTTCTTCCCCATGATCATCTCCTTCACGGATTCCAGGGTTGACTTCTGCTTCTTCTCCTTCCCATCAACCACCGAGCTTGCATCCTCGCTGTCCTTTCCTTCCGCGGCTCTCACCTGCGCCAGTATCGGGTTCTTTCCTTCATCAATCACCTTAGATTGTTCGCCTTTCCCAAATCTATCAGACAAACGCTTCGATCTTCTCTCCTTTTCAGCCCTGATCTCTTTCTCCTCTTCATCTCTCGCCTCTAGCTCCTTAATCCACAGGTCGTTCTTCTCCTTAGCCTTGCGCTCTGCCACCACCTCATCAAATTCCTTGCGCTTCTGGCGGTCGGATTTCCAGTACATTGAGCCGGCAACCATGGCGACGATTGTGAAACCTTGGGCGTAGATACGGGCGCGGAACATCCGGTTCGTGCGTTGTTGGTCGCCAGAGCGGATTGACTTGGAGGCATGGTAAAGTGCCCAACATGTAAGAGCACATCCTATACTGAATGTTAGATAATGCATTGGTGGGATGGCTGGAGGCATACCCAAAGGCACGAGGGGCTCTTCTTTGAGCCTGCGGGTCAGCTTTTGCCATCGGTTCTCTTCGTAGAATTCTCTGAGCTATGTCAGTGCGATTTCAATTAATATACCAGTAAACATACGTATCTCCGTCAAAGGACGACGGCAGGTTGGTGGACGACATGGCTGCGCACTCGGAATTGTGGTGAGAGCTTTCCTGATCGCAGCCTTATTAATTAATGCGCTCCCAGTTGCTCCTCGGAGATTCTGTGGTTGTGACGCGGTATTAGGATTAAAGTTTTCCCGATCCTGGTGGTACAGTCACCTATCAGTGACCCCACAATACAAATTCATGGCCGATAAGGCTCCGAACCCAAAAAAGCTCCCTTGCCATGAACACAACAACTCTGAATTGAGAACAACACCACAAGTAATGACGGCAGAGATGGAGACTCCAAATGGAGTCAGCGACTCGCCCACCATACCGCGTACTCCCAGCGTTCAAGCTTTATCTCTGACAGAATATGCCACCAACCCTTCACCGCCGAGAGAAGGGAGGCAAGAGGGGAAGGAGAAAGTGACGAGTGCAGTGCCATTGGACTTCATATTGCCCACTGGGTATCCCGATGTTGGTCACCACGAAAGGCTTCCTTCAAACAAAGCTAATAAGGAGTAGTATTTACGATTGATTCTTACTTCGCGAGTTTATGAAGTTGTCAATGAGACGCCGTTGACTCACGCCACCAACTTGAGCAACCGGCTAGAATGCCAGGTCCTGCTCAAGAGGGAAGACCTGCAACCCGTCTTTAGCTTTAAGCTGAGAGGTGCATATAATAAGATGGCACATTTGGACCCGCAAACACGCTGGAAGGGTGTCGTCGCTTGCTCTGCCGGTATGACTGCTACAATGACCGATGTGAACAAGGCACTGACTTGAACAGGGAACCACGCTCAAGGCGTAGCATACTCGGCTCGCAAACTGAAGATCCCTGCGACCATCGTCATGCCACAGGGGACTCCGAGCATCAAGCATCTGAATGTTACAAGACTGGGAGGATCTGTTGTGCTTCACGGGGCCGATTTCGACGCTGCGAAGGAAGAATGCTATCGCCTGGAGAAGCTTCACGGCCTGACGAACATCTCTCCATTCGACGACCCATACGTCATCGCAGGCCAAGGAACAATTGGAATGGAGTTGTTGAGGCAGACAAACCTCCAGCAGTTGGAAGCTATATTCTGTTGTGTGGGAGGTGGAGGTTTGATTGCAGGGATTGGCGCGTACGTCAAACGCATTGCACCACATGTAAAGATCATTGGAGTCGAAACATACGATGCGAACGCAATGGTCCAGTCGCTAGCAAAGGGAGAAAGAGTCTTCTTGAAGGAGGTCGGACTTTTTGCGGACGGCGCGGCTGTCAAGCAAGTCGGTGAGGAGACATTCCGCATTTGCCAAGAGGTTGTCGACGAAGTCATCCAAGTCACAACAGATGAGACTTGTGCTGCTATCAGAGATGTCTTTGAAGACACCCGCTCCATCGTCGAGCCTGCCGGCGCACTTTCCATCGCCGGCTTAAAGAAATACGTAGCCGCCAACCCCTCTCCTAACACCAGACGCCAACTTGTCGCCATCGCATCTGGCGCGAACATGAACTTCGACCGCCTTCGTTTTGTTGCAGAGCGCGCCGCACTCGGTGAGGGCAAGGAGGCCCTCCTCAGAGTAGCTATGCCGGAAACCCCCGGCGCATTCTCCGAACTCATGAAAGCCATCATGCCACACGCTGTTACTGAGTTCTCATACCGCTACGCCACTGAGGCGATGGCTAACGTCCTCGTTGGAATTTCTCTCACTTCTCCAGCATCGCAGCGGGCAGAGGAACTCAAGAACCTCCTCGAGCGTATCTCTTCGGGTGGCTTGACTGCGGTGGACTTGTCAGGCGACGAGCTGGCCAAATCGCATATCAGATACTTAGTTGGTGGCCGATCTGACGTCCCTAACGAACGCCTATACATGTTCAACTTCCCCGAGCGACCCGGAGCATTGGAGCGTTTCCTTGCTACGCTGAAGCCGAACTACAACGTCAGCCTCTTCCAGTATCGCCATGCAGGCAGCGACATCGGAAAGGTCTTGACGGGTATCCAGTGCCCTGACGATGAGGTTGACCAATTGCATGCCTTTTTGAACAAGATTGGTTACCCTTGGGAGGATTGCACGGACTCTGAGGTATTTAAGACCTTTTTGAGATCATGATAGATGGATGGGAAGATGGATTAGTTATATGGCGTTTGATAGTGCTACTAGATAAAAGTGTAGATGGGTGGCGGGCCTGCACATAATTAATGTGGTCAACTTTTCCCTGGCGGAATAAATCAAGTGCATGGCATTGTGTGAATGACCGATCCTGCAACTGGAGCGACTCCATAGTTACAGGGCTAGCTCTAAAACACTCACTGTGCTCTATCATTTCCTAAATTTCGTATTCATGAGCATGTGTGACTTATGAACTTTAGCTTCCAAGTTTGAAACAGAAACTCCATACTTTTGAGTATTGAATATGAGTAACAACGGGCAACCCAATTTCATTCTTGCCTCGGAGCCAGAGCAATGCAGGAGAACCTCAGATCCCCCCCTGAGTTCCGCTCCATATCAATCAACCTTCCCAGCCCCAACTCCAGGGCTCTCGGACTCAAAGCATCTTCATCTTCCGCCAACGCTCCCCTGTCCAAAGGGCCTTTCCTCGACCCTTCCAGCTCCCACAGATGTCCATCTTTTGCCTTCACGAAACTGACAAAGTGCTGGCCCAACTTATCCGCTGCCTCGGCGGTGGGAGGATGTGTGTCACCAAGCTGTGCAACGGCCTCGTGTGCTACCTCAAATGGCTCCGATTCCGATAGCATATTCGCCCTCTCAGCCCAGCGCAACGGGATAGCATCCAGGAGTATCTTGTCAAAATCGCTCCCTGGTTTGATATAATCTGCGGCCTGGCTGTTGAGAACCGAGTGAAGCAGTCCGATGGAACCACATGCGTGGTTTATTGTCTGCTTGAACCAAACAACGGGCTCATCGGGACCAACTCCTTGGTAAATCTGCTTGGGGCCGTCTTCCTCTTCACGATCTTTATGCCAGGCATCAGACAAGGGAATGATGACCAGCAATGCGAAAACTGGGCGTGGGATTATCGCGAGGAGGTCGGGGTTGGTGAGCGAGTATACGTCATAAAATGCAAGGTCTTGTGAGAGGCCGAGTTTGTATGCAAGCTGGTTCATCACCTCTGGGTTGTTTTCTAGAAACCGTCAGTAAACTGATAAAGTAACTTAACTTGCTGCTTGAGGTTCATTACCGAGTACGGTAAATGTCTTTATGGCCATAGTTGCGACGTGCTAGTTCAGAAGAAAATATGTTCACACAGCCAAAATTTATGTTGAAGTAGTATCTTTAACCCTTTTGTTTGAACCATCTGTTTGTCGAACTATATCCAAGTCCAGTGAAGCTTGGAATTGGCATGCAGGGTCACGTGTAATGGTGACGGGTCGCAGTTGCCTTGGAAACAATTCCGATGTCAGAGCTGTCGACATCACTGACTGACTATGGTCTCCCAATGAATGAAAGCCAATCACTATCATAATCATCACTCCCACTTTATTATAAGGCTCATTTCATATGCTGAAAAGGGTATTCATGACTTGCTTTGTTCATGCCAAGGGCCCAATATTTATCGAATTATAATTAGTGGTCATTTAATGGTGAATAATTGGATAAACTTCAGAGTATATTAAAATGTTAACTTCGATCACTCAAATAAGCCAGAATTTAAATATAAGTAAGGAATACACGCCACTCATTGATGTTTAGTAAGTTCTGTTACTCCTGGGTCCGTTCAATTATCTAACCATGAGCGTTGCCTGTATGATGACTGGACATCCCAGTTTTCATTGAACTAAGCTATAAACCTCCAGGTACGTACATAAAAAGCTCCCATGGCCCCGGACACCACAACAAGGCCTATAGAGTCCAAGGCACAGAAGTACCAACAGACAGATGGGATCGAGAAAACTTGTATGGGGTACCCGAACGCGACAAACACTAACCCCGAATGCAAGACAAACGTAGGGTCCCAGGCGTCAGAGAGAAACCCGAAGGCGCGAAAAAACAACAACAACCTCGAATGCGAAACAAATGTATGCCCTCACCTTCAGGCGCGAGAAAAACCAATCCCGAATGGGAAACAAACGTATGCCCTTAGGCAGCAGATAGAGAATGAATCCTGAAGGCGAAAGTGTAAACCTCCAAGGCAGGTTCCAGACAGAAACATATATCGGGAGGCAACAGAGGACGGGAAAACGCTCACAGCGGCGCCTGACTTATGATCTTTTCTTCGCTCTTTTCTGTGCTCTTTTATGTGCCCCTTTCTTTCCTTTGCCCACTCGACCTGGAACAACGGAGCCGGTGCCATCAGCTTGACGGCTGGACTACAAATAGTTAGTGGTACAGCTACCAAGAAATGACCAAAAGGTGAGTTACCAGTGAGGCGCGGAGAAGTTTGAGGATCTCATCCTGCTTGTTTTTGATTCCTACTTGCCCCACCAAGATGGCGCGATATCTATCGTCGCGAGTCTGTCTGCGATTAGTTTCCTCAAGGCGGATCTTATCGGAAATCGCATCTGCATCGGCTTTTACACGTATGCGGATGGCTTCGCGGGTCTTCGGGTCAGCGGCATCGTGAAATTTCTGGAGCATAGACAGCTTGCGCGCTGCGTCAAGGACAGAAGCAGGAACCTAACAATATTAATTGATATCTGAAATGGATAAGGAAAGGTAAGGCTTACTGGAATGCAGCCTCCCCCAAGGCTGCTGCATCTCTTGCACTTTAGTGGGTTATCTGTGAAATCACAGGAGAAGACTGGGCTGACTGCAAGATTCTTAAGACATCGGAGACATGCACAGCCATCTCCGGCAACGAGAGGTTTGGCGAGTTTGGGGACATTAGCGCCGAGGACGGGATTCTTGTCTATTTTCTCTTCCTTTTCGTCATAGGCACCATCTTCATCATCGTAGCTGTCTTCGTCGCTGTCTCCATCCCTGTTCTCCTCGGCTTTGGCGTCTTCTTCGTTCGGTTTCTGGCCTTCTTCCTCGCTGTCCTCGTCTTCGTCTTCATCATCTTCGCTTTCATCCTCGATCTCTTCCTCAGATTTGGTTTTCTTCACGCCCGCTTTCAGGCCCTCTTCTTCGCTCTCATCCTCGTCATCACCATCCTCATAGTCATCATCACTTTCCTCCTCCTCTCCTCTCAGCCTCTTGGCTGCAGCAGCGTCTTGTTCTTGAGCTTCCTGCTCTTCGGCGAGTCGGCGATCGCGTTCCTCTCTGGCTTCCTTGCGTTCCTTTGCTAGACGAGCTTGGTCCATTTGTTGTTTCACTCTATGCATCATAGCAATGCTTTCCTGCTGTTGGAATAACCCCTTCTTGCGCTCCTGCTCCTGACGCTCTTGCTTCTGACGCTCCTTCTCCCGACGCCCCTGCTCTTGACGGGCCTGCTCTTGTCTCTCCTGCTCCTGGCGCTCTTGCTCCTGACGCTGCTGCTCCTGGCGGCGCAATTCGTCGCGGTGCTCCTTCATGCGCAGTTGGCGCTCTCGCTCCCGTCGACGGTTATCCTCTTGCTTTCTTGTGAGCTCCTCATTTCTAAGCATGTTGGCCTTTCGCTGTTGTTCTTTCTGAACGGACACCAGTTGCTTTTCAACCATTGTTTCATCATCATCTTCTGCCCCTTCGGTGTGCTCTCCAGTCGTGTCTCCGTGATCATCTGACTCGTTGTCCTCGTCTTCGTCGTCTTGGATAGGGATTGGCTTCACTGACTTTCTCTGTTTTTTGTTTGAACCGGGGGACCTCTCTGACAGTTTCGCTACATCCGAAGGGCGCTTGGAAGAGCTGCGTGTTGTTCTTTTGGGTGTGGTTGGTGAAGATGCCCTGCTTCTATACGAGCCATCCCCTTCATCGAGGTTCTCAGACTTGATCTTCCGAGCCATGGTGTCGATCTATAAATATCTAAGGAGTTAGTTCATCTCAAGGAATAATGCACGATCAGTGAGAGAACGGAGGGAAACTGACTGGTACAATCAAATTGTGGTTACTGAACAACTGAACAGGACGTAAGCTCCGTTTGTTGGAGTTGACTGGCTGAGGTGATAGCACTGGAAGGGAGTCAAGCTGTGTTGATTGTTAGTATAATCCAAGTGAAATTGAAGCACTGGCGAGAGGTCCTACCAGAAGTTGACTTGTTCTGAACAAAGGTGAGGTTATTCAATCAGGAAGAAAGTTTGTTTAGGTTGACTTGTGCAATTGAAGTGAGATTGTTGTAGCAAGCAGAGAACCTTGATGATGTTGATGGAAGGTTTGAAAATGGAACTGCGGTGATGTGGGCACCGTGATGATGAAGCTGAGAGAAAACCGATCTGAAGTTTTGGAGTTGTGGGCAAAAGGTTGGAGGTAAGTAAACAAAGTCGCGCCTATGCGTGGGCAAAACCTTGCCTGTCCCAATTCGGACAAAACGCAGCTGTACATTTCCTGTTTCGCTAATAGAAGGCCAAACAAAGCAAACAGTCCAAATGTAGGATTATTGAAGTGTTCCCAATAGCGACGGCGGGCTGTATCCCCACATATGGTTATTATGTCGCCCACATTCACTTTACACTCACTCCGTACACTTAACACACGGGACTGATTGTATGAAATTGATATTACTGGTTATGCAATATCTTAGCCATGAATAATAACACTTCATTTGTGTGAGTTGGGATTTTGATCTTGCACATGCAACAAGTCAACAATATTGGCTTTGGCGAGGCTCATGCTACTCTCATTATTCCGTTCAAATACAGGTTCTTGATACATTGACACGCTGATGTTTGAGCTCTATCTCCAAACGCACTGGCAGATAGTAAACTCAAAGTAAGTTCACGGGTGTGTATGTGCCGAGTGTCTGATAAGACAGCAATTCCCCCTATCCAAGTTTCTTTTCCACGCTGCTTGTCCTGCCTGGACTTCGCGTCTGACACGCGCTAATTTCCATTCGCCCGTTTTCTCCCTCTCCCACTTCCCCTCCCTCGTCCCCTCCCTCGTCCCCTCCCCCTTCCCCTCCCCGTCGTGGATACGTGTGAGGCATCTGACCGGGAATCTGCGCCAGATGATGATCGTAGAGGGGTCTCGGCATCCTTTGAACCCTCGGCTGAAACCTCGGCAGAACCCTCAACGGCACCCTCAGCTGTTCGCAGATGACTCCCGACAGCTTCAGAGTCACTTTCCCTTTTCCTCTTGCCTAGTTGCGAAGCATTTGGCAAGCGAGGTTTGTCAACTGTCGGTGGTAGTATAGGAGACTTGGCAGAACTCTCAGTGTCACCCTCAGTTGTTCGACTTCCGATAATCTGAGAGTCACTTCCCCTTTTCCTCTTGCCTAGTTTGGAAGAATCTGATTTGCGAGATTTGTCAACTGTCGGTGGTAGTGTACGAGTCTCGGCGGAACCCCTAACGACACCCTCAGTGGCACTTTGCCTGGTTTTAACGCCAAGTTGTGAGCTATCGTACATGCGAGATTTATCAAGTGCTGGCGACGAGATAGAACTCCCATGAAATCCTCTGGATACACCCTCAGTTGTTTGCAAGTGACTCTCCATAGCCCAATGGACACTTTTCCTGCTTTTTATACCAAGCTGGGAGCCATCGTGGACTTGAGATTTATCAAGTGCTGGCGGTGGGAGAGGAGTCCCACAAAATCCCCTAGCTACACCCTCAGTTGTTTGTAAGTGATTTTCCATAGCCAAAGGGGCACTTTGCCTGGTTTTTATACCGAGTTGGGAGCCATCGCGAACTTGAGATTTATCGAGTACTTGTGGTAATATAGGGTCCTCAGCAACCGCCTCAACGGCACCTCCAGTTAAACCCCCCATAGCCTTCGGCGCGATTGGCCTATTCCCCTTGTTAAGTTGGGGGCCATTGTGCATGAGAGATTGATCGACTAGCCGTGGTAGTGTCGAGGTCTCGGCACACCCACCACCTCTCCCAACATCTCTCCCCCTATTCTTACCCCTCCCCCTACTCCCTCTGGGTCTCCCTCCCCTTTTCGCACTCCCATCGTTGCATGACGCTTCCGGGTCAAGAGGTTTGCTCACTGGTGGCAGTATAGGAGCTTCGGCATTATTTAAATCCTCAGCAAAGCCCTCAACAACACCCCCCCTTGCTCTCCTTCTCCCCATGACTTTCCCGCTTCTGCTTGCACGCCCAGTCCCTCTCCTTCTATTAGACGGCTGTGAGATATCCGGCGTGTCAAGTGTTGGTAGTGGAGTCTGGGCATCATTTAACCCCCCAAAATCATCAACCTCTAAACCACCACCAGTTAGTGCCTGGGCGTCTTCTGGCCACGCAGTTGGTCCCAAAACATCTCCTGGCCACAGAGTTGCCAAAGCTGCCCCAGATTCTTTTATCCAAGCTTGTGTACTTGCAAGCTTCCTTTCCAACTTGATTTCATGTTGCTCCTTTTGAAGTGGATTCAACACCGCCCCAACAAAACATATGATAAAATTTGTAATGACAAGTCCCATCTGACCAGAAATACACTGATAAGTTCCTACACACTCATCTCCCATAGCAGCCTTCACGGCTAGATAAATCTTGCCGCCTTCCATCCGTCTCTCAACATTTTCCGTACAAGCGTCCGCCACCTCTTGGATGAAAGCAACATCCTCCATTCCTAATAGAACCTTATCATAGTCAGTTCGTGGAACAAGTTTTGTTGGGATGGTAACAGTTCCTGTATCCATTGCTCCGCGCCTGTCAGATTCTAGAACTCCGGCCATCGGTAAAGGTTTATCATTTCCAGCTGGAGCAGCGACAGGTACCCCCGCAGCACCGCCATCAGCAGGAGCCTCTATGGCTTTCTTGTCTCTTGCGTCTGTGTTACCTACACCAGCCTCCATAGCGTTTTCTTTCCGTACGGGAGCCAAGATTGAGCTATACAGGGGACCTTGGGGCCATTCCTGTTCCCTCCAAACCGCAGCATATAGTATGTCATTACAATAACCTTGCAGTATCAGATCGTAAGTTCGTACCGTGGTATTGTAGTAATCATCCTCCATCGCCAATTGAATCGTATGTTCCTCAGCGATCTCCCTATCCTCCTTTGCCATCCGTTCTGCTTCCTCCTTTTTTAGCTCCGCTAGCTCACTCGAAGTTACTGTCCAGTCTATAGACCAACTTGTCTCCGTATTCGCTAGGTCCTCTTCTGCCTCTAACATCCCAACCGTAGTCACCGAAAACTCCTCGGTAACATGTCTCTCCTCCTCTGCCAGCTCCTCTTCTGCCTCCAACATCCCAACCGTAGTCACCGAAAACTCCTCGGTAACATGTCTCTCCTCCTCTGCCAGTTCCTCTTCTGCCTCCGCCATCCCATCCGGAGTCATCGAAAACTCCTCGGTAACATGTCTCTTCTTGGTCGTTCTTGGCAATTCTGTAGCTTCCAAGTCAATCAAAGAAATTGGCCTCTCATCATCGTCTGTCGGACTCCCCCCACCTGGATCTTCAGGTCCCCCCCCGTCCTCACTCAGCCTCTCCGCCCACCTCCGCGCCACACTCAACTTCCGCTCCTGAATCGTGCTGTCATCCTCCGCCAACCTTGTCTCCTCCACCAGCCTCCCCAGGTCACTCGGCCGCCTCTCCTCGCTCGTCTGGTTTTTCGTCTGCTCTTTGGTCTGCCTTTTCGTCCGCTCCTTCGTCTGCTCTTTCGTCTGCTCTTTCATCTGCTCTTT